CGAAGGAGACGAAGGAGACGAAGGAGACGAAGGAGACGAAGGAGACGAAGGAGACGAAGGAGACGAAGGAGACGAAGGAGACGAAGGAGACGAAGAGGAGTCAGGTCAAGGAGAGAACTCGGACGAGACGGTGACAAAGAACGATCCGCGCATTACCTCCAAGCGTTGGAAAGCAGCCAAGGCGAAGATACTGAGCGATTTGAGAGCTGGACGAGACACCACGGCCAGCTCTCCCAGCCCGCCTCCAGTTCCATTCGCATTCTCATCCACCTTGGCGCATCGGAGCAGACCCAAGCGGACGCTGCAAGGCGAGGAAAACATTGCTGATGACGTTGAAGACGAAGACGGTCAAGGTGATGGACACAATGAACAGAAGAAGCGGAGAAAGACTACAAAATGATCAGGCTGGTCGAGCACATCTTCGCGGGTTGGAGGGGAGAGCGAGAATATGGAGCAGCACGAGCAGCACGAGCAGGACAGGAGCAATAGAAGATGCAGAGCTGGAGCTAGAGCAGGAGCAACAGTCTCACCCCACAAGCCAGGCTTGCTGAAGTTTTAGGTCAATGTGAACTGGAAGTGGAAGCAGAAATGCAAATGGTTATGAACAGATACCCCCCAATCCCAATATCGAGTCTTCCAGCGTCAAGCGCTTCAGTTGACCATACCAATAGCGATTGACTGAGCGATGGAGAAGTCAGTTTCATTGAAGGCTTTAGCGAACAGGTCTTGCTCGAATTGAATTCACTTGTTTCCACTGAACGGTGATCGAACCAGAATAGAATAGAAACTTTGAAGAGTTCATTCACAACAATCAAACGGTGTGGTTTAATTATTCCAATAATAGGTGTCCTGTATAGACCGACTTCAACTCCTGTGTTGCCGGACGTTCTCTCAATAACCCAATCTAGACTCTCAATCTTATCTTCTATCTTACATCTCATGGCTCGTTTGGACTCTTTGCATGTCTAATGAGAGATGTCGGCAGTTGTAGTGCCTACCAAGTAGATTGTAGGGTTACCTTGGGTATGTAGTTACAATTTCTGCGCGCGCTGCTTTATGGTGGTGTCGCTTCTCCAGGTATCACCTGCTTCATCCCGCCCATAAGTTATCTACAAGGTTCAAATGGGAACAAAAGCAACTTGGATGCTGCTTTCATTACGATTCTATGCCATAGTAGTACATACCTCCTTTCTGCTCCATCCACACTAGCAATCGTAAAGGAGGTTGCATGGGTCATTGCACAGGCAACATGAAGAGAACGCGAAGAAACACAACCAGTATGACACCTCCGGAGAGGGCGAGAGGTCACAAATCCGCCAATTGTTACGTACGCGCCTTCGTCTGACTGCCACTAACTGCCTCGCCATGTTGTACATCAGAATCACTTGCTGGAAGGAGAACTGTCTCGCCATTGATCATGGCTGTTCAGCACCTGATTTGCCTGCCCACCGAGCGCCGGGACATCATCGTCGACATCTGAGGCGAACACGTCGTCATCTTCCAAGACAGTGCCTTCTTCAGGATTGGGGGTGGAAGCTTTGGGGGCCGTCTGCTTCGTCCTGTCGTGCTCGTGCAGTGTGTCGTCCGCCGAGATTGAAATCCCACGCGGTCCCCAGCGATTCACCTTGGGTGGTTGGGCAGGACCATCAGGGTCCCCAGGTTGGGCTTCTGGATCTTCCTCAGCCGCCAGAGGCTGGTTGATGACCCTGTCTACCAGCCAGCCTTTCCGCAAATCATCTGTGTCCACGACCGTACCTCCGCGGAGCTTGACCCGCTGTCTCGTCCAATACACCCAGGCAAAATCAACGTAGAAGGCGGTCTGTACGATGCCGAAAAGAACGGAGATGGGATCGGGCTTCAACGAGGTGAAGGCGCGGTAGATCCAGTTGAGCAGGTAGAATGCCCGATACGAGCCAAGGGTGACCAGATAGAACGAGTCAATCACCGTGGGCACCGTGGTCTGCCGCAGGAGCAGCAGTTGAGGGAGCACGCAGACCGACTCGAGGATGATGGAAAAGGTCCAGAGCACCTCGACGAATGTGGTCGCCCGCCAGCCGTTGAAGATGAGTGAGACGACAGGAGCAGCAACAAAGGAGGCTCCAGCTGCGTAGGCTCCCCACTTCCAGGCCTTTTCTCTTTCTCGGGTCCGCGCATACACCCTGGTCATCAAGACGATGATATAGATCGACGACCAGATGTAGAAGTTCTTGAGAATGAAGTTCCACCATGACAAGGAGGGCCGGACCCAGAACAGGTCAAGGTATCGCGTGCAGAAGACGGCGATGTAGAGGATCTGGGTGATGAGGGATACACCTGGACCGCATCAGCGTGTTGAACTTCAGCTTGTGGTAGCACGATCTAGGGCCTCACCTTCAGCACTCTTGTTGGAGTGGATGGCATAGATCAGGATGCATTTGGACGCAGTATGGGACACATCGCCCAAGATGCGGAAGACGTTCATGTACATGGTCGCAGAAGAGACATGGCCTGACACAACCAGTGCAGTTGTCGGGAGGTGTTGGTTGTTGCGGGATCAAGTTACGATTAGCAGTGCAGAGAAGATATCGCCCTGTAGTACTGTCAAGAATACCAGCGTGCCAGGCAGCCGTTATTGGACACAAAGGATGGATCGTAAGGCACGAGGACGTGAGCGAGGGCGGGTTGAAGAGTAACGCGACCTTGTAGGTGGCCAGCCTGCGACAAGGGGATGCGCCTCACATGTTTCGATGTCTCACTTTGGACTCGGATGGCGCAGCCTGGATTTGGTAGACTGATGACTTAGTACACATTAGCGGCAGTATTGATAAGATAAGGGCCCTAGGTGGCAAGTCTGTCTGAACTCACTCTGTCACCACCACCACAACTTCTACCCTACACCTGCAACATGAACACGAAATCGATATCTTTCCTGTCTATCAACCCAAGAATTTGTGCACCGACAACTTTCCAATGCAGAACATGGCTGTAAGCCAGCGAGTGAGCTCGTCTCCAGTATCTACTCGTCACCTCAGGTCGACTTGAATCACCGAGTGTCGACACCCAGGATACTGACTTTATGTTGGTATTTCCATGAGCGTCTGCGTGGCCGCATCTAATATATAATACTCTGTGTATCTATGATTGCCTGCCATGGAGCTGTACGCAATGGCAGCAGCTGACAAGGCCTGATACAGTACTCTAAGTTCAAGAAACTCCACCTTAACTCTTCGGCAGCAGGATATACCAGCAAGACAACAGAGTATTCATCACAACTCCCCTCTGCCTATGACCTCCATTGAGAGTAGACATTCACCCAAAAACAAATGATCAGGCTCGAGCCGTGCCTGATATCGGTTACCCATCGGCAATCTACTTGTGGTCTTTGTAACAACCTTTCTAATTGGCCATGGGCCTGAGCATCATCGTGCTGTCCTGGTTCGACTCGGAGGATTGAGTCGGTCCAAGGTGATTCTCGGATAGGCTTCTGCATGAATACAGTCGAACTAAGCATGCTGTCCAGAGGCTGACCGAGTATCATTTTTCATCACGGTGGAGAGGCGGTTCTGATTCGTACTGGATCCAACCCCTGTCGTGTGAGGGCGCCTCGTGCTGGGCCACCATCCTCGCCCCCAAATTCGCGCCCGAAATCAGGTGGGCTAAGGGGGCGTCCTTTTGACTGCTAAGCGAGCACGGCACAACATCCGCATGTGTTCATGATCAGACGGCAACGAAGCTTTCCCTCAGGCTTCGAAACATGTGAGCAATATCATGCCTCAATCGGTGCCATTCGCTTGACTCTCACCAAGTCCCAGCAACGCCTCTACATCTCTGCTGGTCTCCAAGAGAGAAGCGTTGAGAAGATTCAGCTACAGGTCTGTCACCCACATTGCAAGACCTTCAAACAGTCAGTGGTAAGGACCGATGATCGTCTCAATACTGATGCTTGGGGATCCAAAAGCTGCAGACTGCACATCTCCAACCCACTAGCACGTAAGTCTCCACTGTGTACATGAACAGAGGGTAGTATGTTGAATCAACCGACGGACAAGGTGTTCCTTGCTAACTTGGAAAGCGCTTGGGGTTCCTAAGGCGTCCTCTGACTTCCCCTGCGATCGCCTGCCTGCCTTCAGCCATCCTTGATTGATGGTCGGTCATAAGCTTTCTTTGAATCTCCGACTGATACAATGCAACTGACTCGTGGGTTTGTCATTGACCTTCCGTCAACTCGCGCAATGCTTGTGTGACTTCACGATCGAGAAATAGCCGCCGACACGTTGCGGCGCTTGTTGAGCCACCTCCACCCCTTTTTCAATTCGTCCACCCAGGCTCTAGGGCAGACACGCAGCCCAGTTTACGGAAACGAAACCAGCGCTCGCCCCCATCGCCTCGGAGAATTGTACAGAGGCATGTCAAGAAAGGTCCTAATAAGATCCTTAGCCGTTGCCGAAGGCTTGAACTCTACCACGACGCCATCTTGCAATCGAGGTAATTACTTACACGGGTATCCTGATAGATTGAGGGTCGGCAAGAAGGAGATCATGCCTCGAATGGAGATATCGTGAGCGTCGGCCCTGGTTCGCACATGGCTCAAACTCTGCCTAGACCGGGTAAGAATCCATGCAGGTTGTGAGGTGGCTATCGAGAGATGGTTACAGTCGGCTGAGAGGTTTGTTTGCCTGCATGAAAATCCAGACCATAGCCTCTAACCCTACCTCTGTAGAGGTCACTAACCGGCATGCCGCACGAGAATGTGGCTACTTAAAGCTCTAATGCAAGCCACTTGCAGCGGTATCAGCGGCTATTCATCCCCTCACACTGCTCGGAAAATCGCAACTCATTTACAATTCCATGGTCCATGCCCGTACCTCCATCCATTGCAAAGGTCTCATTCAGGTCGACGACCTCCAAGCCAATATCAAATCTGCCTTCGCGTTTCGACAAGGCAGATCGAAGGCCAGCAGCTACCGCGTCTGCGTTCAGATCCTTCTTCTTGCGGCAAAGGGGAGAAGGGCACAGTATTTCCAGTGACTTATCTACCTCCATGATTCTTCCCAAGCCTGCCCACACCGGCAGACATCTTGCGATCTTGGAATGTACCACACCAGTCTTTGTCAGATGTGAAGTGCTCCCGGCAAAGCTCTACCCCATCTCGTGCCGTCTGGTCATTCTAGATGGCATGGACAATGGCCTCTCCAATCATGCCGTTGCCTCCTTATGAAACACCCTCACGGTCAACGTCACGATGCCGACGAGTTCAGAAGACTCCAAATTCCTCTCGACGGGACAAAGTTCGACAAGGAAAACTGATACGTTGTTGGACTGGCGAAGAGGTTTGCTGACTGGACCATGCACAAGCATAGATGACTGACAGCTGAACAGGAATCCTATCTCTTCAGAAGTCGAAACCAGAAGCTTCCCTACAAGCAGATTGCCACTCGACTGGATAAATCGGAACTAGCATGCCGTCTACATTACCACCACATGATGGTTGGACGCAAGGGTCACCACATTGATGAGTGTGAAGACCAAACGTCGGAGGATGGCCGCTCCTCCTCTCCACCAGCTATGCCGACCGAAGTCGAAGCACACACGGGACTGATTTACCAGGCCACTCCGGGTTTGGAGGTTAGGCCGGTCCCATCAATGACAAAATCCTGCACGTTACCGAGCTTTGACGCCTTCTTACGAGACACTTTCTATCGAAGGAGTGTGTCGATGCCGGACTCGGTGTCTGCCATGGACGATCTGGTGACAGGAGGTGAAACCAAGAAAGAATCTCACCTCTCCAACAGCACAAGAGGCATCAGGACACTGTCAGGGACATGGCTGAGAGAGGAAGTTGGACCATCTCTGTCATGCCCGCAGCAGCATGTTGCCAACTCGCAGATCTCAGACACTGCCCGATACCGCACTGTCCTGTGTCGACGTCCACACTCTCAGCACCCAGAAGGGGCAGAGGCGACCGATGCCAGTTCTATCTCTTCTATCCACGTCGATAGGGCTCAGCCAGTGCCGATATCTCATTGAAGAACGCCTGTCTTCTTCGTCCCGTCGACAGCGTGGGGAGGGAATCACAGATATCAGGCGCATGGGGTGACTACAGTCACTTCTCGCCTATACGATTGTAACGACCAGGCGACTATCCTCGTCTACGAATTTCCTTGCCATATAGCCTGCATCGGGCACGGTACTTTGTCAGCCCAGGTTTACCTGACAGCACTTTAGGGACTATTGAATGTTCAGTTTCCAGATTGCCAACACTGAGATCTGACACCGACTTCACCACATTGCAAGCAGAACGACCTTATCCAGCCGCGTCGCGACGCACTGTGGTCAAGTTAGTGTCGAGGATAGGGCCAGTTCTATAGGAGGTTTGTTGCAAACTGAGAATTACCCTTGTCTGGGAGCACCAGGAAAACGCAACAGAGCTGTGCGGTATTATTCAACGTCAACACCTTGTATGCAAAGGAGTTACACACCAACTATACTGAACGTCCGATACGGTGTGATACTTGACGTAAAGCGGCGTGTTTTTTGTCAGCCTCGACTCGCATTAGGAAGCCTCAACTCAGAGCGATTAGAGCCAACATAGGCGCCATAGTACTTGAGTACTGCAGTCATCCTTTATTTTCGAACGAGATCATGAGCCTGATGGCCAAGGGCGTAAGACTCAAGCAATCAGGCTGCGATCGAAGATTCCCATGGATTCTGGGCGGCCGGATCAACAGCGGACGAACCGATCGAAACATCTCGAATCTCGAAGTGAGAAGATACACAGATAGACATTGATGATTGATTATCTAACAGGTATTGTTCCAAGGGCCCTACCATGATGTTTTTGCTCAAGCTTAGTCCAAGATATACCACAGTACGTTGGTATTCGATGGTAGGCCGGTTGTTTCTTGCAGTTCAAATTGTCCGTCGCTCGTCCGGTGATTGAATGAATGGCGTGCCATCAAACTGGCTCCCCACACGGCCCTTGATTCTGATGACAAATGTATTCTTCACTCGGAGAGGGGGATGGATATGAAGATATGCACGGCTACACTACGTAGATAATATGCTCTGATGAGATCTCTTGACGGGTATTAATATCCAGCCCTAACGCCGTGAAGACAGATTGACTTCCTATAAATCCATTCACTCGCAACTTATTCCCCGATATATTTATTCTCCACAACTCGACGGCTCGAATACTACCCCCAAGATCACGACATCAGTAATCATTCCAAGACCGACCAAGTACATAAGCACTACTGTGTCCTTCCTTGACCATCATCTCATCCTCAGCTTGAACACCTCCATATACGGTTCAGCAATCCCGTCCGACTATTCTGCCATCATCTAACCTGCCATGGCGTCTCAACAACCCATCACCGTTGTCTTCGGCACGGCCTCATTTGGAAACTACGAGCCCTTCATCTCCGAGGAGTATCTGAACAAGGTCTTCTCAACGCTGGAGGCTCACAAGATCAAGAACCTCGACACAGCCCAACTCTACGGCAAGTCGGAGGAGCGGCTCGGCGAAGTGAAAGCCGCGGAGAAATTCACCATCGACACGAAATGGACAGGCGGCTGGACACCCGGCTGGGCGACCAAAGAGAACATCATCTCCTCGGCGAAAGAGAGCCTCAAGAAACTTGGGACCAAGCAAGTCGACATCTTCTACATCCACTGTCCAGACCCGCAGACGCCGCTGGAGGAGACCTTGGAGGGTGTCAACGAAGTCTACAAGACGGGCGCATTCAAGCGGTTCGGGTTGTCCAACTACTCGGCCGAGGACGTACAGAAGGTCTACGACACCGCCAAAGCCCACGGCTGGGTCCTGCCCACCGTGTACCAGGGCAACTACAACCCCGTGGCGCGCAAGCAGGAGACGGTACTGTTCCCGACCCTCCGCAAGCTCGGGATTTCTTTCTACGCATACAGTCCTCTGGCTGGAGGGTTCTTGACCAAGACGGCCCAGCAGGTGCGTGACGGGGCGGGCCGCTTCGGCCCAGACGCCCTCGGCGGCATGTATCGTCAGATGTATGCGCGGCCCAGCCTGCTCGATGCGCTAGATAAGTGGGCGCAGATCGCCGAGGATGAAGGTGCTTCGCGGGCCGAGCTGGCTTATCGCTGGGTCACGTTCAATTCGCCGCTCAAGCCCGAGCATGGCGACGCGATCATTGTCGGGGCAAGCTCGGTGGAGCAGCTCGAACAGTCGCTCACGGGAATTGAGAAGGGCCCGCTCAGTGACAAGGCTGTCAAGGCGATCGATGAGATCTGGGAGCAGATCAAGCATGAGGCGCCGCTGGACAACTTCGCTAAATAAGCATTCGGAGGAACCCTGGAAAATGAATACAGGGAGGGAGGGAAGTCGGTACTGAAGATGTTGACTCCGGTTGTCTATCAAGCGAGGACGAGCAGGGGCGCACAAGAGGAGTAAATAGGAGAGTTGTTAGTTGAGCGAACTCGGAAGATACTTCTTTCACAATAGCTCCACGTTGTCGTGTTCCGTTTTCGGATGAATGATATGGCCTTATGAGAGCAAATCCGAAGGTTGACTCAAGTGAGACTAGAACGGATAGGAACAGAGACGGTGCAACACATCAATTCGTATCGTATCAACTGGGAGCGTATTTTTGGCTGTGAGACCGCAGCCTGATATTGACCAGCCTCGGCAACATGGGCTTATCGGCCTTATCAGTCTTATCGATAGCGTCATAGCACGATAAGCCGGTGGCGTCTGCGGTGCGCCGGTCACATGCGTCGGCCGCCTTTATCTCAATTCCCCTGCATCGCTGGCGACACGCGACGGTCTAAGGGAACATCCCAAGCCAAACCCCTGCGCCTGTACTAGTAGTAGTAGTACTACTTCGCCATTCCAAGCGCCCACAAACCACCACCTTCAAACTTGCCCTCCAACGCTCCCTGCGGAATTTGTTGCAATCGATTTGGCGATCAAATCTGGATACAGCGTGTCCTTGCCCATCTATATCTCATGACAGAAAATGAAGCGTTGATTCTTTGAGCGGTCCTTTTGTCCATTCCCCCCTCCCCCACCCCGCTGACTGAGAGGAGTTTCTCACGCGATCATGCGAATCACGACGTCAGATTCAGCATGCGCCTCCTAACCGTCCTTGAACTCATCCTCTGTTGGGTATGGCTCTCGAAAGCCGGAACTATCGAGAAGCGCCGTCACGAACCCGAACGCAACGCTGTCGCTCGACAAGCCGCCCAGCAGAGGCTGATAACAGATGCAAGAGATGGAAATTCAACTGGGACATGGAGATCGAGTCTGGCACCTGTCCTTGGGGACATGCTGAGCGCGTTAGAAGTCATGCAAGATGCATATTTTGACATATTCACTGGTACCTGGCCAAACGCCATCGACTGGACGTCAGCCGTCATCGGCACCCATGTTTCTGCTACTCTGGCCAGCATTGTTTCTTCCCTCGACGCCTCCTCCGCATCCACCTGCCACGATATGCTGTCATGGCAAAACATCATCGATCGATATTTCGCCCATACCTCTGCCTTCTATTTCGGCGAAAATGCCTTCTCTTTACGGAATCAAGCGTATGACGACATGCTTTGGGTTGTTCTCGGCTGGCTCGAGAATCTGAAATTTGCCGAGATGTACTCGTTGAAGCATTGGGATTTCCTCGAGTCTGGAAGACAACCTGGGTCGGGAGACGGATGGCACGGGCTGCAAATCATCCCCATGGCCGCCCACCGCGCACGCATCTTCTATGATTTGGCGTCGGTGGGTTGGGACGAATCCCTTTGCGGCGGAGGCATGAATTGGAATCCTTATCTGACCCCTTATAAAAATGCAATCACCAACGAATTGTTTGCTGCCGCCAGCATTGGGATGTATCTGTATTTTCCGGGTGACAACAATACCTCGCCATATATGACCCAAAATTCGAGAGGGTCGGTGAAACCCCATGATCCAATATTTTTGGAAAATGCGGTCAAAAGTTACAAATGGTTGTTGGAGAGTCATATGGCCGACTCAAAGTCGGGATTGTATCAGGATGGGTTCCACATCACCGGCTGGCGGCGATATCCTAACGGGACTATCAACCCCGGCACTGGGAACTGTGACGAACTCAATCCGATGGTATTTACTTACAACCAAGGCGTTGTGTTATCTGCGAGCCGTGGCCTTTGGCTAGCGACTGGGGCCAGAAGCTACCTCGATGACGGCCACAACCTGGTCCAGGATGTCATACGAGCGACGGGTTGGCCCAACTCGGATGCTTCGTGGAGAGGCATGGGGCGCGGCGGAATCATGGAGGAGGTTTGTGACCATGGCGGCTATTGCAGTCAAAATGGGCAGACCTTCAAAGGCATCTTCTTCCATCATCTCCTCGAATTCTGTCGGCCTCTTTGGCCCCAAGAGGAAGCATTCCTCGCCACCGACAGAGGCATGGAGTTTGACCGCAGTGACTACGACTACCATCTCTCACGTTGCGCTGCGTACGACAAGTGGGTCACCCATAATGCGGAGGCTGCAGTAGCAACCAAGGATCCTAGTGGACGTTTTGGCATGTGGTGGACATTTGGAGATTTGGACAATGACGCGATAACACAGATCCGTGATACGACTGTTCTACCGGATGGTGCTGATGACTATATCAACCCCACGCCTAACAGTTGGCTTCCTGTGGCCGCCGCGTCTGGTGACTGCAATGATCGCGGACGCGGACGAACCGTGGAGACTCAGAGCGGAGGACTGGCGGTCTTGCGGGCACGATGGCATTGGGAAGTCCACCTAAGGCCGATATCCTCTGACAAGGAGTCGAGCCAAGCAGATATATAGATGTAAATATATCAGCATGTGTCCCAGGAGTTCATTTCCTCTATTCGTACCACACCATGCCCAACTTCCTTCTGTTGATATGGTCAGTAATACCGTGATATGCTTGACGTTGCTTGAGCCAATCAGAACGCCCAAGGCTCTGATTAGTCATGGAGGGCGAATCGCAGAGCTGATACGTATCAGGCATGGAACTGGCGAAGCACTCGTCAGAGTTCACAGCAACCCTCACTGTGGCTGTCAGTCTTTGCTGTGTAGTTTTCTCTGGAATATCATCTCGGCGTTCTACGACTCTGGAGAGGGAATATTGTTGCCGATGCGGCGGTGTTTGGGCGGTGTGCTGGAATATCCACGATGAGCTCCCTCGCCACGCCCTGAGCTGCTCCCGGGGCCACCGAGAGCAGCGATGCTGCGCAGACCCGCGCGCTTTTCCTATGAATGACCAAACAGCACCGAACTTCATCCCAACATCGACCTGGCGATAACTGACGCACACCAAATCTCTTCCGGCGAGCCGCAGGGCTCCAGGTGTGGAGGGCCGTTGCAGCTAGCATTTCGACGGGCCAAGACAAGGTCGCGCAAGGCTGACCGACTTCTACGATCAAGATCGCTGTTCTGGTCGCCATATAACTGAGATCGGTGGTTATCTGTCCACCACGACTCAAGATGAATGTGTCCGTGCCGCCGGACAATACTGGGCCTCGCCGAACACAATTCTCAAGTTGCGATGGGTGTCGGAGCTCTCGACTTGCCTGTGATGCTGTGCGGATCGGCCTTGAGCCCGGGAAGCCTGGCGCGTCGGGTTCCTGCTCCAGGTGTACTCGCCGGAGACAGAAATGCACGTTCGAGGTATGTCCTGACCGGCGGTGTCCTCGATGCTACGTGTCCTGAGCTTCTTTCAAACGCTAACATAGCCTGATTGCACCAGTGGATCAAGACGGTCAAGAGACCGACCACAAGACCTCGTCGGAACAGCCGAGCGGTGCCTTCCACATCCGGTCATTCACTGGTCTCGTCGTCTTCTCCCGAGAGTCCGTCCAACGGACAAACCAGGGCCGCGAATTACGCTGAGCCCAGCATCCAGCGACCCCAGGTCCCCCTGGGGTACTATCGGTCCGTGCCTTGCGCTCTCCTGGGGTGTTTCGCCTTCATACTAATTATACTACAGGGAACAAACATCAGAGTCACCCTCCTCCATACCCGTGTCCACTCTGGTAAACCCTCCTCGAGAAGATACCATGACAATCTTCGGGGATTGGCTCGAAAGAATTTTCGAAAGCTGTTTTGAGACCATCTTCGGCTTCTGGCTAGGCCGGCACTGCTGCCCACTTGTGTATGACTCTGTTACTTCCCAAAGCCAGTGCTGCCGGTGCTGACATGATCAGTGGCGACATGGATTCTGATATCGTCCTACATCCGACACGACTGTTCACTGAACTGGATGCCTACCTCGCCGAAGACCGGGAAGTACGGAAGCTGGACACGGCATGGTCATTGTCATCCAGCAGGCAGGAAAGAGACCGGCAGATCGACCAATCCCTCCGTCATGCCATCCGAAGTTTCGCCGCTCGGTGGCTGCATCTGGTTCCACACGCGAAAGAAGCGCTGTCGTCCCACGAAGATATCGTCAGGGAGCTCTGGCGGGCGACTCGCAGGGACATGCTGAAGGTGATCAATCGAGTATCGTATCGGTCTGTATTGACCTTGTTTCTCTTCGGACTGACTCCAATCCCCGTCGGCATCTCGGAAGAAGAAGAAATGGACGGCTTGACGGGCCAGATCTGCGTCCAGACTGCCCTCCAGCAGGTGCAACGACTACGTGAACGGCAGCGAAACTATCAATTCAACGGAACAAAAGTGTCCCTGGGATCAGACGTGTTCTCGAGCCCGGCCCCAACCTCGACTTTCACCCGCAGCTTCCTCAGCTCCGAGAGCAGGGCGTACTGGGCCGCCTTGATCATCGACACGTCAGCCTCGTTGACGCTCAACTTCCGCTCATCTCTGACCTCGGGCTTGCACGGCGTCCACGCCGAGTCGTCATGGCGGGTCCTCAAAATGGGCACAGGCTCATTCCACACAAGAACCCAAGAATGGCGGCAAGGAACAGTCCCAATGACCGACGACATGGTGACACAGGTCATCGCCGCCGCTAGCGCGGGGAATGTGTATATGTTGAAGATGATTGCCGTTCTGAAAGAAGCACTCCGGGAAGGCTACGAGGACGATAAAGTCGCCGAGGCCTGGACGTCGTGTCTCAAAGCCATGGAGATATTCAAAGTCACTTTCCGACCCCTCGTCAATCTGTGTGAACGCCGTCTTCCGCTTCTGGGTGAAGCGGAGAGACTGAATTGGTATGAGCTGATGCTTCATCAGCATCTAGGCGTCCTACTGTTGGTTGATGGAGTCGAGGCCGCCGAGCGGACCGATCTATTATCACAGCTCAGAGAAGCTCAACTGGATGCTGAGCGTGATCTTCTCGATGTCATCAGGATCGGGCTCGAGAGTACGTACACCATCCGCGGCCCCGAAGGTCCGATGTCCGGCGAGGAGACCCCTGCGGTGCTCTCGGCGTCGTTTGTCGCCGTCGATCCTTACCCACATCACATGGTTGCCGCTGTTCAACTGATGAACAAGGCGGTCGGTCGAGAATACAAGCAAGGGAGAATCACGTTTGAGACGTACAAGTCCCTCAAGCAGATCTTGCTGAGAACTCTGGAGGAGTTGCCTCAGACGTCCAAGTCGGTTGAAGCGACTCGGCGCGAGCTGGGTGCGTCGGTTGCTGAATTGGATCGTTTGCTGGATGATAAGAGTATGTTGTCGGAGGTTGTTCGACGACAGCCACAACACCCTGCGACGTGATTGAAACAGATGGAGCCATAAACTTGAGCTTTATCTACAAACGCCGCCAGAACTGCGGGAAGGGATTTGAGATGAGCATCGCTCTTAGATCTAGCGGATCCTTCGATGCCTACCTATGTATATACAATCATACCATCTGCCTTGTCCAAGTTTATCTGGTGTTTGCTGGCCGGCAGCTGCTCACATTTACTGTGTAACGTTAACATTACTAATCAGTTTAACAATGCGCCAAGGCCGTATTGGTTGTAATTACAGTCTGACGAAATCAAGTACCTGAGTTTATCAGGACGTGATGTCACTCTTACGCGCATTGCCATGTATAAACAGCATCATCTGGAAATGTACCTCAGCGATTTGAAACAACTGTTCATCTCTCTACACCCCCATAGATCTCTTCTCGTGCCAGCTTTCAGCATGACAAAAAGTTGGCCGCACCTCATCGGAGCCATTCGGGTTCGACAGGGCGCTTTCGCGGGTTCGACGAGAAGCAGGTCGGTGGAATCGACCACGGCCTTCCCTTCTTCCTCTTCCAGCGGCCATCATGCCCTCTTCCTCAATATTCCCTGACTTTGTTCTCGGCCACCCGAAGCACGAAAAGACTCGACTCTCAAATGCCCCCAAGAGCAAGAAGCCGAAAGCACGGCCACCGAGGAGCATCAGAGACAAGGTCCCGTTCTATGGGAAACTACCAAAGTACACTGGGCCCTACGAGGTTGGCACCATCGACCTCGAAGTCCCGGCGAGAGAGCCGCGGACCTTTTCCGACATTACGCGCCAGAAGATCCACGTGCTGGCTCTCGAAACCGTGCTGATGACCATCTACTACCCGGCTCACATCAACGCGGGGGTCGAGGTGCAGACGTCTGCGGCAAAACAAAAGTTCCGACCAACATGGCTCAGCAGACCCAGAGACCTCACCAGTCGTGGATATGCGAGGTTTGCCACCCTTCCGGAGCGACTCACCATGCTATGGTTCTTCTGCACGACTTGGTTTACAAAGCTGCCTGCGTACAAGAACGCCCGGATAGCAGATCACTGGCCGCAGCATGGTCGGACTTCTACGCACCATCACAAAACGACGCGGATGAAGGGGGCTCCGCCGCCAGATGGGCCTGAGAAGCCAAAGTTTCCTCTGATATTCTTCTCTCATGGTCTGGGAGGCACCCGGACGGCCTATTCCTCCGTCTGCGGGGAATTTGCAAGCCACGGATTCGTGGTGGTGGCGTTGGAGCATAGAGACGGGAGTGGACCGCGGTCAATCATAAATCACCCGGACCACGGGCCTGGGAGCCGGCAGGAACGAGAAAGAAAGGGCAACATCGAGCATCGGCCGGAGAACCTGGACCGGCCGTATGACATGGTGGACTTCGTGTTTCCCAAGCACGATAAATACGACACGACCCCTGGCCATCGGGTGGACAAGGAGTTGCGGAGTGCACAGATCGATCTTCGGCTGGCCGAGATCCATGAAGCGTATCTGATTATGCAGGACATCTGTGCCGGAAAAGGTGCCGATGTCGCGGCGAACAATCTTCGGCTGAAAGGAGCAATCGGCGCATCCAAGGCGGGCCTCGACGGCATCGACTGGTCCTACTGGACAGACCGCTTCCACTGCGATTGTGTGACCATGGTTGGCCATTCGTTTGGCGCAACCACAACCGTAGAATTGCTTCGACAGAAGACCGAGGATCGGTTTCACTATGTCACACAAGGGATCGTCTATGATATCTGGGGCATGCCGGTTCGTCCAAACCCCAACCACCACATCCAGGTGCCGCTGCTCGGCATCAACTCGGAGGCTTTCATGTACTGGGCCGACAACTTCAACGTGGCTCGCAATATAACCCAAGAGGCCCTCGACGCAGGTCAGCCTGCCTGGCTGCTCACCGTCCGGGGCACAGTGCATATCTCGCAGTCGGACTTTTGCATTCTGTACCCACACATCGCGAGTCTGGTGCTGAAGATGACCGCAGATCCAGTCCGAGCGATCGACTTGAACCTCGACCTGTCGTTGGATTTTTTGTCTCGTGTGATGCCCTCGCACATCTTGAAGCCTGACCAGCCGTTCTTGCGTACGCTTGCCGAGGGAAAGAAGCTCCTGGATCTGCCTGTGCTCCATGACCTGCCTAACGAACATCAGCCGGATGACAAGTGGATGGCGATCCGGCTCAAGATTCATCATGAAGGAATCAAGCGAATCATACCCAGAAGTAGGAAACGTTATTGGGAAAAACTGCACAAGATGGGGCAGGAAGAGGTCTGGGTGCACCTGGGTCCGGAGTGTGTGACAACTGGGACGTGTAGGACTTGTGCCAGTAGGGGGAAAAGCCAGAAGTCCGGTCAAGGTCCGGTCCAAAGCTCTGAAGAAGGCGATGAATGGAAGAGCCTTAGCGCTAAGTCTGATGAGTGAATTCAAGTGGAGAGGTTAAGCCCGATGATGTTGAATGAATTAATGATGCACCAATTCAACATATGGAGGAATGGCCATAAAGTGACCAATACATGCCATTTTTTCCAAATTACGACTATGCTTAGAGGCGAACCTCCTTGCCTTCTACAATCCAAACCCCCATCCCACGCTGGCACGCTCCCACACGAATGACCAGTATGAATAACCAGTATGAATGACTCGTATTTGGGTAGATCAGCATCGGTGTTCATCTCATCCAGAGAGATGCATAGACCCATATAATCACCTGCTGAATTAGGGTAGGTAACACCAATATTTCTCCCAGACGGAAAGAATCTTTGCAATCTATAAATCAACTTGACGACAACAACGCAGGATCTACTTGTGCATCTACTCGTACTCCCTATCCTTGTCTACGAGTATGCATTTCGTCATGTGGAAGTGAGTGGTACGGTAACTTCCTCAGATATTAGAGCAGATGCTTTCGCTTGAGCCTATTACTGTAGTGTGGGGTTCAGGGGCTACAGCCTTGTCCCGACCACGACCACACGTACAAAATCATCTCCACTTCCACTTCCACTTCCCCGTCACAGTCCAGATATCACCGATGCACAAGACAGACATGGCAGGTCAGGCACAGACACACAGATATCTACAGGGTGCCATCTCAATCTGAATCTCCATAATAAGAATCCCAACATGTTTTTGGATTTTCAATCTGCACATCGGTCTTCATTGGCCATATTTACCACCATCAGCACCGGTGGTATGCTAATTATAAAGACCATCACCATCACCATCATCTACGAATGTCAGCAAGCCCCCAAAGATACTGACCGTGTCAAGCCAGACAACTATAAGGTAGCATAGCAGTCACTGGGGGTAGACAAACTGACTTCTCTGCAATACTGGTTTGTCTCTGCTATATCTATATCTATATCTAGGTAAATACGAATGAAGGGCATGCTTCAAACCAAGCAGAACAGATAGTAAAAACATCAAGCCCCAGAAATGTCAAACACTAAACGCAGGAGTGAACTAACAGTCAAATCAGTAAGTACAAGCAGCCAACAGCCAAATCAATTAGTCAAGCAGTACAATCAGTCAATTCGTTAACTGGTCAATTCGTCAATTCGTCAATTCGTCAATCAGTCAGTCAACCATTCAGTCAATCAGTCCATTGATTGTATCCGTAAAGGGCTTATAAGAGTCTAACCACTACAAGTTCATACCAGCATCTGTCTGCTCAGTCACCACCACTCCAATAACAACAAGTCTATTTCCAGTCCACCAATCTGCTCGTCTAGTATCTCAGCAACAGGAAGACCGAGCGAACCACTTAGTTCCAGGAACTAGGCCAACCCTAAACTAACAAGGTCTTTGAGCTGAGCAGGGCTAGTATCACATCCCGCTCTGGCGTTCTCCATTTCGACAGCTGGGAACATGAGACCACATGATAATGACATCCATCGGAGAGATCGGAATCATCGAGACAGTGATAGAGACAGTAATAAGAAAGTTCTACTTGATGCGGAGACCTCTGCACGTCAGATTTCTGCATTGGAGTCTGAGAGTCAGACCAGATTGGCTCCGTCTTGGGATGAATCAGAGGTTGCAATGCAGACGACGGAAATAGAGTTGGAACGAGAAAGAGAACGAGAACTAGAAAGAAAACCAGAACCAGAATCAGAAACACACAGAGACGTACAAGGAACTACACAACAGCAAAAACAACAGCAGACACAGACACAGACACAGATACGGCAACAAGCACAAGCACCAACTGGAAACCACTCATCAGACAAGCACAAGGACGAGACCCTCCCACTCCCACTCCCACCCCCAGTCCCGATCCGACTTCGACTTCGACTTCGTCAACAACCCCCGACTGTTGAGTCAAGTCTTTACGGAGCGAGGGCGATGCCAGCACAGCCGTCGCCGCAGTCGTCGTACAAAGCAGAAACAAGCCCTGCAGGTGATCACGGTACTTCGACCACAGCCACACTCAAACAGGGGACACTCACGTCTCAGACTTCATGTCAACAGCAGCAGCAACAGCATCAGAGCAAAGATCAGTCTCAGGGTATTACACATCGACAAGATCAGCCTTGTAGGTCTGGGAATCGGAATCTTGAACGGGAGCAAGCAAAGAAGCCAGGAGCACCAGCACCAGCACCAGCACCAGTGTCAGGAGTAGCAGTGTCAACAGATATGAGAGCATGGAGTCCAAGTCCAGATGATGATCCACCTATCACGGGAGTGAAGCGTCTTCCTGGGCGCCGCAGGAGAACGCGGTGAAGTACAAGATGTGATAGATGATAGATCTCACTCTGTATCTTACTCTGTACACAAAACAAGCCCCACACCCAATAGCAAGCAGCAGCAGCAGCCAAGTCTTTCATCCCTTACGCAGCCAGCCTTGTATGAGAAAATCCATACATGACATTCAATTTCTATCCCTTATTTCATTTTTTATGTGAGCCCCTCCAAAGCCAGCACCATACCACCACCAGCCTGGAAGAGCCGACTAGTACGAATCCGGCTCAATTATTACTAGAGTTGCAAGGAAAGGAAAATCTATCGATCGCAACACAATTTCTATGAACTTTTCATTGCTCCTAGACACCACTCGTGGCGGGTCAGGATGGGGTATCAATCTCCTGGTCTCGTATCTGCTGGCTTGCTTGCTCAAAGGAAAGGCAAAAGAAAAGAGAAAGCTTGCAATGCGATGCAACGCAATTGCAATGCATGACATGTCCGCCCCTTTTTTTGTGAAATCATTTTCGTCGTGTAATCAATCATTCTGGTCAATTGGTCAATCTTGCGAGTCACCTCCACCGACTCAACCGAGTTGTTGGACTGTTGACCTGACTCTGATGCAACCACGCCCAGTGGTCGCTGACAGACATTTCGCGTTCTCATACAATTGGAAACAAGAGGCAAAAAAGAAAAGTGGAAGCTCTCACACCCGCACATAGCTTCTGAGTCCACGCCAGGACTTCTGACTCTGTTTTGCTCTTCGGTGGCTCATCATACCCTTGAGCACGGTATTTCTGTTCCAGTTGGTTATCGGTCTCGGATCCACTTGTCACGCAGTCAAAATTCCTAGAATCCAGTGACCAGGTAACCAGGGTGACCAAGACTCGGGTAATCAACAGCCGAGGAGCAATATCAGTCGGTATGTTGGGGATCAACTTCTCCACCCTGCTTTGAAGGAATCCTTCTCGAGAACACCGCTGAACCGACCCGTCCCGCCCTCGTAGAAGCCATCCTCAACAGAAGCCCAACGCTCCAGATTGTCAGGCCATCCGAAGGTCATGTCCCAAGCTTCTTCCAGGACGCGTTTCTCGATCGGATGGATGCACTGCGTCAAGGTCCCTAGCCAAGGATACTCCTCGAAAGTCGGAGAAAGTGTACTCATCATGATTTGGTTTGGAGCGTCACCGTCATTGTTCGCACCACGGTGGTTACGCAAACGCAAGCCAGGCACCACTGGTGCCGGTGCCGGTCGATTATCGTCAGGCGACGGGGGGCCCAACTGGACATTGAACCGCTCCTTTCGGGCTCGGAGACCACCATCCAGGGGCGAGTACAAGTGAACAACAGCCGCGTTCTGCTTGTACGCACGAGGCAGGTGCTTTGGCAAGGAGATCTTGACGTAACCGCAACTGTTGAGCACGATCTTCTGGACGTGTCCGCGAAACGATTTTCTCGCTGGCCCAGGGGAAGAGTCTCGACGGTGGAATCCTGTCTGCAGCTTACGTTCGGCAAGCGTGGGACCAGGGGTTATGGAGTCCAAAACCTGACACCAAGCTGCACTGACCGGTAAGGTCTCCCTATGCCAGTTCCAAGGATCGTAGTGGCAGCGTAGACTGTCCCCAGGAGTTGTCAGAGCGTGTACGATAGTGGGATCATGAGAAGCGATCATGCTGACGGAATCAAGCACCAAGGAATGAAGACTGGTATCTCTGCTCTTGTCCATGAATTCTTGCAGCATCGAAGGACTGAACCAACAATTCTCGAACTTCAGGTCGCGGATATGGTCGAACTTGGTCAAAAGTACGTCTCTCCTATCGGAATCGTCATGGAGCCAAGCACCCGGGTCGTCAACAATAGGAGCTGGCAGAACATGCTGATTGCGAGCAAACATCCCGACTGCATGTTCTCCTCCACCAACATAACCAACGGCCAAGCTGTGAAGGTTCTCCATCTTCGCCACATAGGTGCGGAGGAATCGGGTGAACATCTCCGCCGCTTTCGCAGGAGAAATGGGCATGTTGTCGAAGTGAAAGCGATCTCCGATACAATGTTCTTGACGCCAATCCGGACTGATGAGAACCTGAAGGTGTTTCAGACCAGGTAGCGAGCTCCAAAATTCGCTCTGTTCCAAAGACGGAAGAAGACGGGATGATAGTTTCGAGATTCGAACGGTATGGATGGACTTGAAATTCTGCTTGTTGGTGATGATGGCAGTGGTGTAGGCTGACAGAAACGCTCGTTGTGCCCATACTGTTTCCATCAACCATTGAGCTTGGGCTTCTGTGAGATGACCAGGGAGAAGAGGAGCACTTGCGGGATGGGCGGTTTTCGCTTGTACAAAACTACAATGACCTCCATTCTCGGCTGCGAGGTTGTGACCATTGAAGATCAACGGCCATTGTGGCTGTCTCTTTGGAGGACTCTGGCGACGAAAGCCACTGCGACGTGAACGATGGGTAGTTGCGGCGTTCCCCGGCATCCAGCCACCCACAAGAGCGGGCGGAAAAATGGGGAAGTCTTGAGCATTGGTCCCGGACGCGCCGCCAACATGAGCCTCTGGTTCGAGATCGAGTTGTTCTTCTTGTGACTTGAAGCTTTCCACGTCACGGATTTCAATGCTGTCCAAAAAGCGTACCTCCTTGACCGCAGAGGCCTGTCCCGGGCTTCGATGTTCAAGCATATGTTTCATTGTCTCGTTGATCGTATTTTGCTGAGCCCATTGGAAATATTCGTCACGAGCAAATGTGGTCCAGACATCTTCCGAGGTGAAGGTTTTGCCAAACACCTTGCTGCCATTACCCATGCGTGAATTGAACAAAGCAAGGTCGGAGATATCAGGTCCCTCAAGCCATCCATGTCCACTATCGATGCACAGCCCAAGTTCAGAAGCTTTTGTAATGTGCTTGAGCGTCTCTTTCAACAAGGGTCGATTATGATCGACTAGATCTTCCACCGCCTGCAATGCTGGGAATCGCGGATACTGTTCAGTCGGCCAAGTGAACGTTCCAAACCAAGCAGTCTGCTCCTTTTCGATCACCTTTGTTTTTGCCTGACTGAGGCCATTCAAATCATACTCAAATGCAACACCGAATTGATTGATATTGGAACCGTACTTCTCAAACATCGAGGTGGACGGAGACGGGCTGATTCCATGAGCATAGTCGCTGCCAGTCACATCGAAGAAGCCTTTCCCGAAATTGACGACCACATTGCGAAACAGGATCGGGTCCAGAGTCTGTGCGAGAGTCTGACTGACGAGCCGAAGACGCTTTAGATCTTCTGTAGAGAGATGTCTAGCAACAACCACCCATAGATCTGTGTTAAAGTCTTCCAGGGTGTTGGTGATAGCTGTCTGTGACGCTGATGCGGATGTTGTCATTGGATTGGTTGTCTTGTTATTCCCATAGTTATGACGCTGCAGACAGCTGGGCTTTGAAGCACTCCAACCGCGTGGGTAAGAACTGTGAGAGATGCACACGGTTTTGCTGGGTTTCTTGCCCTTCGTTGGTCGGCGACGTCGTGCATCCGCGGCCGACGGATCGATCTCACTCTCCGAGTCTGTATTCGTCTCAGAGTGCGAGCCGCGTTGTGCTGCTCTCAAGAACTTCTGCTTCTCCTCCTCAGGAATACGCTCGGGCACGACTGCAGAAAAGTCGAACCCAGGCGGGGAATCTTCCTCGGTGCGGGATTCAACCGGACGTTCAGACACGATGCTGTGTATCTTGTCGGGAGTTTCGGCCACTGGCATTTGGTTGCCGGCGGTTGCCATGTCCGAAACCCCTCCAGGGGCAGCTTGTGCAGTCGTAGGCAAGTGGCTTTGCCGGGAAGAGCGCTCTGCTACAAACCCTAAGGCAACGGGATTCTCAATGTTCAAGGCCGACGGAACTCCTGATTGTTGGGATGACTTGTTCTGCCGCATCTTCTTGCGTGGTTGCGCAACAATATCGTCCACAGTCTGAGGTGCTCTGGTAGTCATAGACCTAACCACTTGCCGCTTGGTCTTGGTATGTTCTTCGAAATTCGTTCTGCGGGACATACTAGGAATGGCGGAATCTGAGGCAGAGTTCGCTGGTTGTTCGCCGTGATTGGCATTTTGTGCTCCTGAAGCGCCATCTTTAACATCAGTATCAGGAAGTAGAGTGGCAGCCTGAGCCTGGACTCGCGATGGCTGTGCAGTTGCAGACTGCAGCGGCGGCAATGGAGCCTCTCCCGGAGAGGTTTTACCATGACCACCATCTGGAGGATTGAGTTCCTGACGCGCTAGACGTCGTGACCGTCGCGTACCCGTCCGAGAAGCCGTTGACGCCAGACTGTTGGAGCCGTTGGAATGAGGATTACGTTGGACGTTTGTTGTTTCCGACAGACGAGCAGTCGGGTGTGTTCCCCTCTCATCCCTCAAGGACTGTCTCGTAACCGTGTTGTTGTTCAGATATCCGTTCGTATTTGGCCCGGCAGATACCGCGCCGGCCAGTGACGCTGCCAAAAGTTGACCATTCACAGAAGAGCCAACACCACCACGCACCGCAGGCATCATACCTGGGATTGAGATAGGGTATACGCCAGAGGTGAGGTCGGCATGGTGAGACTGATCTGAGGTTGTGCGGTTGTCCTCCTTTTCTTTTCCCTTGCCAGGTGGCGAACATTTTTCGAGTTTCTCACATTCCGTTCGCAAGTATTCGGTCAATGTCTTGGGGCCAAAGTCGGTGGTGAAAGGATGGACAGCTTGAGGTTTCTCACATGCTTGCTTCGAAGCAGCACGTCCAGGTGCGGTAGAGGAGTTGTCGCCGATGTTATCTTGAGCACCATGTTCTAGAATGAACCTGGGTGTAGAAGGATCGCTGTCGTACTCGCCGTCGGGGCCCAGACGCTCAGGATGTCTGAGGGTCATCGTTGGATCTGACGTCGAGATGGAGTGGCATTGAGAGGTTCTTTCGTTGGAAGAGGTGGAAAGAAGCGTTCTCAAAGAGAAAGTCGAAAGTAGGACTTTCAAGGCACGGCAAAGCAACTCCTGAGTGAGTGGGATAAGTTCAAGCAATATGAGACGAGAGGTGACTATGATACGGCGTGAGGAACTTTTGAGGAATGAGGCTTGAATCAGGCGCAGGCAGATCAATCTCCAAAGTGAGATCCAACTGAACTGAAGTGAACTGCGGGTTTCAAATCCCTCCCGCTTTTTCTATTTCCGACACATCTAATTGGCCCCTCGCGGCTAGCTGGTCTAGTCGAATCTGGATTAGCTCGGATTACCCCAGAGCGGCCTGCTTGGCACGGGTTATCATTGATCCGGGGAATAGCACATGCTACTGGTAAAGCGGCGAGGTGGTCTCTAACCACAGTTTATTTTAGGCACTCGAGACATTCTTGGAAGACTGGAACAAAGACTTTGATTCATCTCGGTATTCTTTCTACCCTCAATATGAATCATGTGTAACACTAGCAACGGGACGCCTGGAACCTTGTAATCTGCTGGGTATCTCTGTGGACATGGGATTCCAATCAACAAGTGTTGAGTTGAAACCACCCTGAAATGTATGTTTGTCATAGACCAAATGACAGCCTAATCCTGATAGCCCTGGTTCCTGCTTTGATGCCACGCATATGGTCCAAGAGATCCTTAATTGTGATCTGTCCCAAGGGCACCAACTTCGCTCCGCCAGCTGCACGTTGTGCGGACGTGGACCCAACCTTAGGTTTGGAACAGCAGAAGTGTCTGTCCGAATCCGTTGAGGTGATCCTGACCTATTGCCTCGGGAGTGCCGTCGACGTTGACCATATTGACCGACGCTTTGGTCGTCAAGCCAAAGAGGCTCACGTTTGTTGAACATTGAATGTCAACCATGTTTTCTTGACAAGACTCCGTATCCAGGCAGGTCTGGATATAATTGTCGAAGAAACTGTATAGGCCCGCCCCGTACATGTACACGTTATCAGACTCGACGATGCGCAAACCCCAGGTTTTCTTGCATGACTCCGTTGTACAGTCTGCGAAATCAGGATCTGAGAAGGTCGAATTCGGCCGAAATCCCCCATTCAAGGCATCGGGAGCGGCTTGCATGTATGCAGTTTCGGTCTGAATGGCGCCCATGAAGATGTCTTTCGCGTTGGAGAACTGGTAGTTGTAGAGCTGGCTGTGCTCTGAGGAAGTCCCCCATAGCCAAACAGGGCCTTGACTTTCAACCAAAAGACCACGACCGTTGAAGATGTCGGTCTGGTTGTGGCCGCTGAGGTCAAGTTCATGGTCAGCCACCCAGAACCAACAATTTTCGAGGTATGCCGAGGCCTGCTGCGTAATGTGCATCATCAAAAATGAACCCGCACATTCTGGCTTAAACTGAAAAGACCCAGTCACATTGGCCTGGCAAGTGTCTTGCTGCAATAGTGTGCCTGCGGTACCTCCAATGCGGAAGTGGACGTCCCACATTCCACAGGACCCTTGAGATATCTCAGCCACGTTCCATTCCATCATGATCGCACCCGGGAGTGCGCCCATGGTCTCAAATATGAGGTCTGTAATTTCGACAGAACCTGTATCGCCTGGTGTGCCGATCTGGAACACGGGCTTCGGACTGCTGAGATCAGTGAATGCGTCGCCCTTTGCCATGATCAGAGGCCAGATTTCCCCCGTGATACGGATGTTGCTCGGAACTTTCACCGTGTTGGTGACGATATAAGCACCGTGATCGAAATATACGATCTGGTCTGGAGAGGCAGCATCGAAGATACGCTGAATGGCAGCAGTGTCATCAGTCACGCCGTCACCTTTGGCTCCAGCGGATCTGACACTGACGAATGACGAGACGGGCACATTTTCGTACTGTGGCTTTGATCGTTCGAATACGGCGTTGCCGTCCATGAGAGATGAAGGCAGTTTAGGTGCTGTGAGCTGTTGTTGCACTCGGGCCGATTGAAGCGGCAACGGCGTTGCAGTGCAGACTTTCGAGCTCGAAGGTGCCCATGTATAATTACCTACTTGTGGACCTGTATTGACGCTTGACGACGGCAGCGCAGAGACAGTCACGGTGGTTGTGGAGACCGAAACGTTAACTGTCGCCGGCACTGGGGAAATGGTCACAGTGGTGGTCGTTGTGGTGGTCGCGCAGGAGTCTGATGTGGAGGTTAAATATGCCTGCGGCGCCCGTTTGACTCGTTTAACGTTGCTGCCTGGGCGGTATGCATCTCCTTGTCCCCATGATTCGACAATGCTTGAACCGGCCAGAATCTGGTCCACGCCGTTTGCACCGACAATTGCAACCTCGGTGGTGGTGAAATCGACATTTTGCAGGGCTAGAGTCCCACCTGTCGTTGGCTCACTGGTTTGATTGTAGGAGGTCTTGATCCCGATCCCCGTATTTCTCATGACGCTGTCAAGGACGACAACAGAGCCAACAGTCTGGTTGGTTGCATCGGCCAGATTTGACATGTCAAGACCAACATCACAGTCATTGATTGAGAGAGATTTGAAGGTCCAGAGCCAATTCCAGTTCATGAAAACGGCAGTGTTGCACCCATTGAAGGTCAAATTTCTGCTGGTGAATTGTTGGTTGCCCAAGAAGGCACCATAGTTGCCGCCGTTGAAGATGAGGTCGCTCATAAAGCCTCCGGAGCCGTTGTCCATGAATACTCCCTGCTGTTTGTTGCTGGGGCTTTTGGCGCACATGTTGAAAACAATGTTCTGCAAGCTGGTCGCCTGCGCAACCTGCCAGTGTATACCTGCACCTCTGTCTTCTGGCATATGTGTGAGGTCAATCACAAAGTTCCTGATCTGGCGAAAGAAGTTGTTCTGGTTCGTATACCACTGGGCACCGTTGCTACCGGGAATGTATGGATCGGTATCCAGAATTGCAAGGCCCTCAAAATTGGGAAGTGCCATGATGGTCGGGATGTTGATAGCATCACCGACAAATTGTGTATAGTAGTATTGAACAATGGGAGCCGATACGGCGTACTTGCCAGGCGGGAAGTAGATGATTGCTGGGGTGGTCGTCGAGCTGTCGCAGCCCTGTCCGCATCGTTCTCCGTCGGAAATGGCGTTGTTGATAGCCACAGTATCATCAGTCGCACCGTCACCTTTTGAAGTTAGTACTCTCTATGCCCGTAGGAATCCAGCGTACTCACCAACAGCACCGTAGTCTTTGACACTGCGGAAGATCTTGTAGTTCGGATCTGAACCAAACGCAACAGTGCCCTGTCGCTGGATTTGGGCGAACCAGTAGGAGGAGGTTGCTTGTCGTGGTTGGGCCAGGGCCTGTAGGCTTGGAACAGCCCCAGCGATCCATGGAAGAAGAATGAAGTAGAGGAACAACATTGTGACTGAGTTGCGTGGCAGATTCATGTTCGTTGTTGTAAGGGAGAAGGTTGTATGGGTAATAGGGGTCGCGACAGATCTCAGATCCTAATACTTGAGGTGGCCAGCACCAGAGAAACGCTCGTGACAATGGACTCAGTCCTGCTTGAAGAGGCGCAGTCAAAGAAGGTGATGCGGAACTGTTTTGTAGTCGGTGGTGATAGATCGGCAGGAGGGCAGGAGGGCAGGAGGGCAGGTAGTCGTGACCGGCCGTTACTGCACAAGAAACGCAGGCAATTGTTGTTGGTAGTGTCGACTGCAGTGCGCGGAAGTGACGAGTAAGGAAATGACTCGAGGTCATGCGACAAGCACAGCTGCTTCCCAACGCAACAATAGACAAAATCAAAGAGGGTGCGGCAGAATGAGATTGTTCAGTGACCGACAGTACGAGGATATCCTTCAAACGAGCGACACAACTTAATTTCTCAAATCCCCTTCTGGAAGTGAATAAACACAAGACCAAGCAGAAATCGTCTAAACTCTAAACGATCAATGGGAACTGGAAGAAAGCAGACGAGAAGATAGAAAAAGAAAACACTGCACGGTGGTGGCCAGCGCAGGCTGTTGTCTTACATTCAGGTCCATTGCACGTTCTTACACCGCATCTCGTTTCCATCATCGTCCAGCTTGATTTCATTTTTCATCCACTTACGGGTTTGCCTTCATCTCTTGGGGCACCAAAAGAAGGCTGTGCCATGTTGTTGTCTCCGATCTCATCTCTTTCCGCCATGTTCTAGCACCCTTCTTGCCGCCCCTGTTGGGTACAGCCGCGGCCAGGACTCAGGCACGACCTGTGCACAGCTCCCTCTAGCCTCTGATTTGAGCGCCTCATGGGCCAGCGAACTCCTTAATCCGCACGGCCACGACTCTCCATTCATCAGCTTGCGGGTGTCGGACGTGGCAAAGACGGAATGGAGGAGAAGAAGCGAAGAGAGAAAAAGAGAGGTTCAAAATTCAACGAAGCCAGCTGTTGTCATACACCTGATTGGTGCGCGTGGCACGCGATGAAACACTCCGAAACCTGTTCTGTTTAACAAGCGATGACCGAGATTTGATCCTGGATGGCTGATTGTGGCTGGCCACGCAGTCTCCTTTTGGGAGAAATGGACCTGCAGATTCTGTTCCAAGACTGGCATCTAGGCACAAATGATGAACTAGCTGTGGTGTTGAAGGTGTGCCACTGCAGTCTCGTGCATGGTCCAGCTGTTCCAGCCAGTCACTTGCTACTGTGTAGATACGACGAAAATCGCCCGAGATTAATCTACGCCTCATTGCATTTTTTAGCTGATTCGGTCATCTCCCTTTTTATTACACGTGCCAACCGCTTTACACCCTCTTCCAACACATCCACGTCGTCCCATGCATAGCAAAGTCGCAGCTCATTCTCGAACTGTGTTGCTGCGTTCTCCTCGTCACCCTCCACCTTGAATTTTGGGCCCGAGATTATGGTCAAGCTCTCCTCTTCCAATGCCCGTTCATATATCTTCGTGGCGTTCAGGGATCCTGGGAGGGTCAGCCAGACAAAGTATCCGCCAGCAATCTCGTTGTTTGGTTGAGGCATCGTCAAGCCAAGCGGCAGCAGCACGTCTTCGATTGCGCGCATCATGCGATGGTACCGTCGTGCGTATGCAGGTTGCAATTCTTCGAATATATGGTGCTGTAAGGTTCTGCTTGTCAACATCTGGTAGATGAACGACGCAACGAGGTGCGAGGGTGAACCTCCTGACCGAGTTGATCCCGTCTGTGAGAGACCATAGGCCAACGCCTCGGTCCCCTCAGCCCATCCCGTCCGACAGCCTGGGGCCACGATCTTGCTGAAGCTGCCATTGCTGACTGCATTTCCGTACTCATCCTTGGGTCCGCCGTCCAGTTCTCGGTCAATGTCCACTATTCGTGGCATTACCGCCCGGTCCATCCGGCGGGGCCCGACCTTGGGATCGGAGGGCCATTGAAGCATGTCATAGACGTCGTCAGTTACTATCAGGGCGTCGTATTGCCTGGCCAGGTGTACCAATTTACGTCGGTGACTCAAGCTCATAATACGGCCAGAAGGGTTGGCAAAAGTCGGTACAGCATAGATGATGTGCTTGTAGATCTTCCTCCATGGCTTCGGAGACTTGAGCTTTGGAGAGGTGTTATTCTCTGCCAGAGCTCGCTTCTCACTTTGGCGTAGGCCGCGTTCCAGATAGTCGAGATCAATTCCTTCGGCGTCTTCAGGAACTGCCTTCATCCGGTTGTCAAAACCGGAGTCTGCGAATATTCTGCACGCCAAATAGTAGGTCGGCGCCACCATCCAGACATTGCGAGTGTAAATTGGATCAGTAAAGGTTTGCAAAATGCACGCCAGATTCTGACTGGCACCTCCGCTAATGCATATTCTGCCACTTGAAATCGGTTCTCGAGGCTGGTAGAAATCGTCCAACCACTTAGCTATTTCTTCCCTCAATGGGCCATACCCTGCATCAGGACCGTAGAACATAACGTCTGAATTGCGAGGATCCGCAAGTATATCATCGGCGGCATCGTTAAGCTGTTGCGGGGGAAGAAGTGTAGGATTCGGCCAGCCTTTGAAGAGATCAATCGGTCTCGATGCCCCGGCTTCGGCGTCAGGAGCACTTGTGCCTGATCGAAGGATTGTCCGTCGTGTCATGGTCGATGCGCAGTCCTGAGGATGTCGACGAGTGAACAACGACAACAACCAACGTGGGTGACGTGGCAGCATATAACTTCAAGACACTGCAACCAGACGGGATTGACTGCGTAGAGCGCAAAAATTGTTTGTTCCCCTCTTTCTGCTCTGGAGTACGACAGACGTACGAGTATCTGGGCTACTTTTCGGAGACAAGCATAATGCAGACGTCAATCGCAGCATAAGCGACTCCATAGGCTGAGGATGGAGGCTAAGGAGGCTTCTTAGGCGTCGAGGGGTGGAAATAGCCCCTGGATCTAGCGAACTTGGGACTAGGATGCGGCGACGGTTCCTCGGGCCTTAAGCCCTCCAAAAGAACATCTCTGAAGGAGGCTTGACGTTGCTTTAGGTGGAAGGGTGGCCCCTAAGCTCAACGTCAGAATTAGTATCGTAGCCGTGGCAAACTGAGGGACGTGTGCAGTAAGGAGGACGACGTGGTACACTGCGTCCCCAGACTCAGACACGCACTGCTATGAATAAAAACAACAACGGCGAATTGAACCAAATTCCATCCCTGCGTTGCTCGCAATTCGTCTGCGCCTACACTGGCAGACCCTTGCTTGCACTTCGCCTGGAATCCACGCGGTCCTCGAATAACGAATGCAGTCCGTCCTGCGCGTCGATGTTAGCCCAATGGACCATGTCCCGGGTGGCCTTCATGGCCATCTTGCATTCACTGTACGACCGCCTTCTCTCCATCTCATGGTGTCATCTGCCGACGTCCTGCAAATATTCCTTTACTTCGCCCGGCAGGACGTTCAGTTGGGCCTCATCGGACTGTGTTACCCAAATTCCTCCCGTGATACTACTGCCACTCCCCCCATGTCCATTCCTGCCTCCTTCAAGGTATTGGTGACACTACAACAACGTAACATGGGCTTAGCGACCGCGACGACGACTGGCAGTGCCTTGTGCGACGTTTGGTCATGAATACCTAACCGATCTGAATACCTAACCGATCTCGGAATAAGATCCAGAGAACATAACAGCAGTCTTCAGGAAGTCGATCCATTTGTGTGGACACCAAACTGCAATGGCCAAAAGACTATCTTCACTGTTTTCATTACCGCGGGATGACAGACATCAACCCCATGCGCTTGAGCCAGTCGTGGCCACTGGCGCTCAGTACACTCCTTCTCCTACTTACGTGACGGGTTCGATCAGTCATAAATTGCACAAGCACCGCTTCACCGCCTCCTCCAATATCGATCTCAATGAAGGATCACCTGCGCTTACCCCTCCTCCACTTCTCTCAGGAACAGCATATGTTCGTCCTCCAAGCAGTCAGCGAAGTGGATCAGAGAGCAGGCCGGGAAGTCGGGCGAGTAGTGCTCACAGTCATGTCCATAGCCAAGAGGGAAGCAGGAGTCGCCCTCAGACACCCACGTTGCTGATCCCATCGAGTGGCACGGAATCTCCAGCTCGACCTGCAACACCATCTTCCGGGAAGATCACTAAGAAGAAGAGCTGGATGCCCGGGAAGCATGAGAGGCAAAAAGTCGACGATGGCTATGGCCAGCGCAAAGCCTGGATTGCAGGGTTACGAGACTATGTCCCCTACGATCTAGACCCCTTGCTTAGGGGAGACAAGGTGATTCAATATCACACTATCAAACCGGGATCTTGCTGATCAGTGTTCAGGTACCCGAACTGTGGAACGAGCGTGGGGATACCCTGATCTACCTCTATCCACCGGCTTCGCAGCGTGGCCCATGCTTCAGAATCGAGTCGGCCCTGTTGGCGGAGTCCACCACTTTTGTCAGCCTCCGCATGCACTCACCCACATCTCCTGTCGACAAAGGTAGGGACATAGATCCGTCTGAGTCGGTGTTGACCGAATCTTCATTGAACCCGCGACGTGCACGACCGCCGTCTCAGCACTCCCAAGCGAGCTCTACCTACCGTCCGGCCCCGAATTATTCAGTTCCTGACTTGATTACGGTCCAAGAGGAGAAGCATCTATACCTACCTCTGGGGTTTGACGGAGATATGTTGAACCAAGAGTCTGAACCTCAGGCCGATGACCTTGAGCTTGTCGTGTTGTATCGCAATTTCTTTGCATTCCTAACTGGCGGTGCACTGGTGGCAACTCCTAGACAAGTCACACTATTCTCTGTCTTGATGGGAATCAGCACGATATTAAAGCGATTCGACTTCAGCAACTCCGATGGATCTACGTTCGGAGATGTACCGTTCAGCAGTTTCTCGCGGTACTGCGACGAATTGCGACTCGCAGATGTGCGATCTAGCAGAGAGAAGACAGTGGAAGCGATCGTCCTCGGCGAGCAGATGAGGTCGTGGCCTCTTTACAACGAAGGATTTGCACATGCCGTGGGCCGACTGGCGGACATCAAGTCCATCAATAGCCCCAAATATGGGAAAATGTCGCCCATCACAATCAACCGATTGGAACGGGCTCACCTCGATATCGAACAAAGACTTTTAGCGGTAAGAAGCAAGCTAGAGGATTTTGACTTCCCTTCAATGTTTGCAGGTATCGCCAACTCCCAATCCTCGACGGAGGCCAAGCTCATTCGATTCAAGGAGTGGAAAGCTGCATTCTTGGACTTCAGACGGTTCACGCTGTCTTATTACCGCCGAAAATACGGGGCTTGGCCACCCAAGGCGTCTTCGAAGAAGAACAATTTCGAAGGCAGCGGGCTGAATCGTCTTCTTCTAAAAGAACTCTACAAGGACTTCACAGACTTGTATGATATCTTGGTTGATCGGACCGCCATCACCACACGGACCGTTGATATGCCTGCGATGGACGATGACGCTGAAACAAATGATCAGAATGAAACCATCCAACATGCCATTCGAAGGGTGGAGAGCGAATACGATAGGGCTACACCTCCTGTCGTGCCCCCGATCCCCTTCGACACGCCGTTGATCCCGCAGTTCTCGCAGAGTTTCAACCGCCAGCATGTGATAATCTCAGACAATTCAACATTACAGAGCAAGAAATTGAAGGAGAACGAGGTAAACGAAGTGTTGTTAGGGTCATACAATCGTGAATCCATCAATGCCAGCCTTTGGATTCAAGACTTCTTCAGCTATGAACGTCGTCTGGGCAGTGGCAAGACACTCGGACAAATCGTCGATGTCAGATGCGGGCAGTGGTTGTTCATGTATGCGGTTCTACAAGCGCTTCCAATGACTGTCGTTGACGCAAGAGATCTCAAACACACCGAAGGGGTGGAATATTTCTTGTGTGTCGGTCCCAGGGGCGGGAGGCCTTGGATGAAAGAGGATCAATCAACATCACGAGCTTGGTATAATGTTGCCAGCGGTGGTGGTGTCGTCAGCCTTCCAGCCGACTTGATCGACCACGGCGTGGAAGGGGTCTACCGACGCAGTCATTGCTGGACGGAAGCCACCAAGTGGTCACAGTCTCAGCCAGACAGCGCTATGAGATCCATGGGGGAAACAGACCCAGCCGCCCTCCAGCGTCCGAACGCTGTTGGTGTCCCAACGGACTATTTGAGTCCTCAACATTCTCCGTATGCCAGTCCACTTTCATCGCCACTCCTGAAGCCAATATCTCCGGCTATGTCCAGTGACATGTGCAGGAGCAGAGATAGGAGCTCAGTCCATCTCGGATTGGAAGCCTTGGACGAACCGCCTCCTCGACAGACGTCACGGCCTACCTCGGTCCTTAATCCGAATATCACTTTTGATGCGATTCTTGGTACCACTGACGCACCGAAAACAAAGGGCAAGAAGGGCAAGAAGTGAATGCGAGCGTAGAGTATGGGAATGAGAAGGTGATGAGGCCACAGAGATGCCTACTATGAGTCTCGGGAGATTACTTTGGCTGATCCGGTGGTCGAAGAGTTGCCTCAAGAGCTTCTCCGTCAGTTGCCTGCAACCGGCCTCTAGGACTTCTTTTGATTGGTGAGCTTGTTACTTGGACCGTATCACACTTGGTGACCAGAGACACGAAATCGCGGCCAGTTGGATATTACACCGTTGATTGGCCTATGCCTTTATGACTGACGTCAAACAAATGGCGGAGTATTGGTAGTAGACAAAATGTATACCCAATCCTTGCAAGGACTCGCAACCCGTAAGACCTGATGCTTGTGATTCACTCTGATGAATTCGTAAGTGTCTCAAGTATGCCTTTGCTCACCGCGTGTTGATATCACCAGTTCTCACGAACCTCAGAATTGGCAGCCTCGTATGAGGTAGAACGCCCAAGAATGTCGACTGAAGGGGACGGCACCGTCCAAGACCCCATCAACCGAGAACCTGACCCCGAAACGCTGGTCAAAAGGTAACAAGGAGTCCGTGGGAAGCGTCATGAGTTTCTCTAGTTCTGACCTCAATTTCAAGATTCCAAACTGATCAAGCTCAGCTTCCTCACCCCGTCTCAGGCTCGCGATACAGCTGAATTCAAGGCATATGATCGAAACCACGGCCCGATCCAGCATATCGATGCCTCGAAGCACAGAGTCACTGTCAGATCGGACTCCACAGCAGAATCAAGGGCCGTACCAAAGCCAGTCGACCTCAAACTCTCGGTGGACGATCTCCACTCCAGATTCCGTCAACATACCGTGACATGTGCATTGCAATGCGCAGGCAACCGGCGCCATGAGATGCGAAGCCGACTAAAAGAAGTCAGCGGCATCGACTGGGGCGACGGCGCGGTCATGAATGCCGAATGGACTGGACCGTTGCTGCGTGATGTGCTCATCGCCGCTGGGGTCGTCGAGAAGAATGAGTCTCATGAAGGGCTTCACGTCCAGCTAGAGTGCAATGCCACTGAAGTCCAGGAAGACGACTGGTATGGGGGGAGTATTCCGCTTGCTGTGGCCATGGACCCGGAGAGGGAAGTTGTGTTGGCGTTGAAGGTATGATCGTTGTTACTGCTGCCGTTTACGGCCGTATCCTTTGCTTTTTTGGTCCGGACCTTCGTTTCGGAGATCATTGACGTTCTAACTGTCTCTCTTCGGAGCAGATGGTAGTTCTTCTCACCCACACATGTTCCTTTCGGCATGACACTTTCGTTATTTGCGGATTGTTGACTAATCGGCCCTAACTGCACCGCTAGATGAACGGCGAGCCCTTATCAGACAGACACGGCGCCCCAGTCCGCGCCATCACGCCAGGCATCGTCGGTGCCCGTTCCGTCAAGTGGCTGGACACCATTGTCGTCTCGTTAAGCGAGTCGCAGAACCACTATCAGCAGCATGACTACAAAGTCTTGCCACCTGAGGCAACCAGTCCCGAGAAAGCGGAGGAGTTGGGGTTGTGGCAGAAAGGCGTCGTCCCTCCCATGTTGGACAATGATATCAATTCTGTCGTGGCTGTTCCTGGGGAGGATGGGGCCGAGCTGCACAGAGATTCTGGCGGTCGGGTCAGAATAGCAGGGTATGCGATCCCGAAAGGTAAAGATGGGCCAGTTGTCAATGTCTGCGTCAGCATTGATCGTGGCGGCGCATGGCACGACGCAAAGATATTGACTGATGGAGACGAATATACCACGCAGCTGGCGAACACGGGCAAAGCAGGGGCTGAGGGTGAGGATGATGGCGCAAGCAAGCTGCGTGACAACAAGTTCAGTTGGGTGCTTTGGGAAGTGTCCATCACGTGCGAGCCCGCTGAAGACGTGAGTATTTGGAGCAAAGCAACTGATCGAGGTGGGAATACCCAGAGCGAAATCGAGGGGAGCTGGAATCTGAGAGGAGTGGGATACAATGCTGTTGAAGGGAGGAGGGGAATCAAGATCGTATAGTAACCCGAAGAGATGTGGCACTTACATTTAGTGCTTTCAATAGCATCCGGTACTATATCAAGACATGCTTGGATACTCGAATGATTCGAACGCATTTGGTGCCCGGCTATCATGGGTCAAGATGCTCAGCTGGTGTGACCTGGAGGAGGCAATCTGTCGCGTCAAAATGCAAGGCTGAGGCTTCAGATCTGACAAGGCTGAGATCAGCCGAATCGGGAAGTTGAGCCGATCCCGAATTTCGATCTGCGGAGACAGGTCACTAGTAGGAGTAGTATGTCCTGCGCGACACGGAATACTCTACATCTGTGGATGCTTTCTTGGACCAAAAGACGCGACAGAAGACGGATACTTCCACGCGCGACTAAATCATGTCGAACTGCTAATACCGCCTTCTACACCCGCGTGAAGAAAACATTCTAGAGGCTCCTCCAGACATCTTGTCAACCAGGCGCCATGTCTCGCTCACCCTCTCCACCACCCGAGAACACCATCGATCGCCAGAAGACGACGCCCTTCTTACTGAACTTCTGCTACCGATCATCCGCGTTCCACAGCCTGACGGACTTTCCTACCCCTACACCCTCGAATCCGCGACCACACCTCCCCGCCCATCTACAGATCTACACATGGATGAACTGCACGCTACGGGAACTGGCGCATCTGCTGACCCAGGCTCTTCCCAGCATTCTACCCGAACCGAGCATCGGCACGCGACTCAGCTTCCGCCTAGTCTACCCTGATCTCCACGCGAGTCGTGGCGGCGGGGGCCGGCTAGAAACAGAAGGACGAGCACGGTATCTCAGCAAAGAGATGGGAAGCGTGGTCGTCTCCGCGCCTCTGTCGGAGTACGCCAATGGCGGGGGCGAATCTGGGGCCGGAGTCGCAGCCGCGTTGAAGCTCGACGGCGAAGATGCAGACAAGACTCTTGAGGACGCGAGATTTGTCATTGGCGACTTTATCGATTGTGCTGTCTTTCCTCCACTCAGTGATGGATCGGTTGTCAGTAGAGGCAGCGTCAGTGCCAGGGGAGGAGGGGCAGCCCCAGCAGGTCCCAGAGAGAATGGGTACGGGAGAGTAAGAGGTGGTGGGTACGGATTGGGTAGGGGAGCGAGTCAAAATGGGTATGGTGGCCCTCGAGGAGCGTCGGGAGGGGATTTTGGTGCGCCCGCTACGATCCCTAGTGGTGAGTGGAGGAGAGGAGAGAGGTTGCCGGAATCCGGGTTTCGAGGTGGAAGAGGTGGGAGGAGACCATACTGAGAGATGGACATCCGAGGCGAGATACTGTCCCGGTTTGAAGCCCATTTCAGGATCGCAGTTTCGACTAGTGGTTACCGGTTCACGCCTCCCTCGGAGGCGTCTTGCACGACTGTTTTACATGGGCCAACAATTCTTGGAGTCGCCCTGTTTATATCAGCGCGTTGTCACATCGGTGTCTATTTCGAGGTCTTCTGCATGTCCTGGGCAGATTCTGCCCAGAGAATATCGTCACATAAAATGAACCTGATGTCCCTTGAGGAGACCATCTGAGGTTATGACCAAATATGCCTCAACTAGGTCTACCACTCGTAAAGGGCTGGGGAATGTTGTCTCATTTGGTTGCCATCACGGGGAAAAGGCAAAATGGATCAGACAGATCTTCGATTCTGGATATGGAGAGGGTCTTGAAGATGGTTGTATGATATCTGGGTGAGGCGGGACACCTCTGCTACCGGGGATTGGAAGAAAACCGTTTTGGTGTAGACTCATGCGAAGCTGAATCACTTTATTCTATACTCCTCATCGGCATTACTCTGGTCACTGCATATGTGAACAGGTAGTGGCGGTATCTGACTGCTCTGGTGATGTATCTACTTCACTTTCACAGATACCTTCCATATCACTATAGGTCGATCGAGCCTTATCAAGCTCTCACGTGCAGATAAGAATGTTGGGCGCCAGAAAAGCCACTGACGTCGGCGCACATTCCCCGTAAGTCACTAAGTTGCTAGCGCCCGTGATATAAATGAATAATTCACCCTGTTGTAGTGGCTGCGGCGTTCTTCCCCAGGTTTTTGCCCGACTGGCAGGAGGTTTAATTGTTTCTTTTCGCCGACTGATCTGATCCTCGCGTCCATTTGTACCCATCACACATCACACCGTTTGCTGGCCTCACCGTCAACAGATTGTTTCGCACTTTCACACCCTTACCGTCTCTCTTTCTGCGCGACAACTACTGTACTTCACCGACACTCTCTCAAGCATCATCTCTCACGTCCACAGTCGTCAACATGCCTAAGGTCAGTCTTCTCACTTGATGTTTACCCTGCGGCATCCTGCCCCTCCCCCACGTCCGAATAGCCTATACTTGACCGCCAGTTCGCCCAACAATCTCAGTCCCCCGTTGTGAAGCACCGTTGAACTGAACTGAACTGAACTGACGTATGCTTGCGAACTGCAGGTCAAGTACGTCCTCCTCGACTGCGACAACACCCTCGTCCTGTCTGAGCGTCTCGCCTTCGAAGCCTGTGCCGATCTCACCAACGAACTTCTCAAGCAATATGGCATTCCTGATCGTTACACCGTCGACTCCCTCCTTGAAGACTTCGTTGGTCAGAACTTCCGTGGCATGTTGGTCGGACTGCAGAAGAAACACAACTTCCAGATGCCAGCTGAGCAGCTAGACGAATACGTTGGTCGTGAACTGCAGGCCGTCATCGCCAAGCTGTCCGCAAAGGCTGAGCCTTGCCCTGGTGTCCCCGAACAGTTGGAACGCCTGGCCAAGGAAGGCTACCCCATGTCTGTCGTCAGCACCTCTGCCAAACCACGTGTCGTTGCCTCGCTGAAGAAGGCCGGCATCGACAAGTACTTCCCCGACGAACATGTCTACAGTGCTGCCACCTCGCTCAACCCGCCTTCCAGCAAGCCCGATCCCAAGATCTACCTCTACGCATGCGAGCAGCTGGGTGTCAAACCGGAGGAATGTGTCACCGTCGAGGACAGCAAGAGTGGTGCAACTGCTGCCATGCGTGCGGGCATTCCACTGATCGGTTACGTCGGCGTCTATGGTATTGAAGAGGGAAAGGAGAAGATGGAACAGATGGCCAAGCTTCTCACCGAGCAATGCAACGCCGCCGCCATCATGTATGACTGGAAGGAGTTCCCGGACATCTTGAAGAAGCTCGAGTCCAAATAGATGGACTTTACTCCAGATTCGACCGACATGACGGCTGACGAGTTGACGAATCAAGAGCATCACGACATTATGGTCAGCACTAATCTCACCAAAAAGGGACAACCTGAAGATGGGAGAGGCGATTAAAGACCATCCTCACTGGGGACGGTCTTCAGTCCCGAAGTACCATCGAGGTAGATTCAACACTCCAGGTAGTGTTTCTCATCCATGAGCTGAAATACAAATTTCCAACTCAATCAGCGCATGCTTTCTTTGTTGCATTGTCGTATTCATTGATTGTCTTCCCTAGTCATCTCGGCTAATCTGGCCAGCATTTCTCGCATGACATATCTCTCCCCTTCATAGTCCATGTCGAACCAATAGTTCACTGCTATGCAGGGCGCCACCTCTCCATCATCCCAGACTCCACAATCTTGCCGGACATGGTGAAACCAGCCCGAGGGTAGATATAACATCTCTCCTTCGGACACAGTGACAGTGAGAGGGTGTGAATACTGGTAATACGGATATTGCGAGTTTAGTATATCCGCAGGTGGGAGGTTGATTGGATCGATAGGAATCCAAGGTATGCAAGTGTCCGGACCAGGTTCATCATCATCCTCGGAGAGGCTGGTGGATGTCGATGAAGGCGACTCATCAAGCACGATCTTGAAGGAAGGGGGCGAAGTGCTGGTATCATATACATGATGTGCAGTGCGGACTTTTTTGGCTGTTGACTCACAAATACATACAGACGTCAGCGATGGAGATAATCTTCAGAACAAAGTGCGACAAGCCTGACAACATACGTGACACGCGACGAAGTGGGGGAAGGAGAGAGGTTTTCAAAAGCCCCCCTCTTGCATGAGTCGGGGGGAGGGAGATGGTTCAGTATAGCTTTACGACTCACCATGCAAACATAATTCCTCACAAGGCGGCCACAAAGTGAAATGCTTCTTGCCCCGGATCACTAGATACAGGTTCTCATAGGGGTCGCGGTGGGTGCTGGTCACGGACGAGGCATTGCCCATCCAGATGTTGACGGCTTCGGGGTCGCCCAGGACGGGTCGGGCGACGGGGATACATGATGGCACGTCTGCGAGGAGAGCGGCTAGGGGTGTGGTTGTCAAGTTGCTGTTCTGTGACTGGAGATAGTAGACTGGCTCTCTGGATTCAGGGTGAGGAGAGTTTGTCGTTTCCGTTGCCGTCGTCGATGGCGGGGTTGGGTCGGGGGGTCCAGTGGCTGAGGCTGAGGACGGAGATGGAGTGGATGATGCTGAGCAGATCTTCTCAAGAACAGACGAGAGAGGCATCATGACTGTTGCCGGTTGAACAAAGACGTCTTCGTGAGCGTGCTGCGATCTCGTCTTGGATTCTTCTTGGTCTTCTCCTGCCTGTGGTCCTTCCTGGGAGGCATTGCTGTTGCTGTTGCTGTTGTTGGGGTTCCCGGACTGGCTTGGATACGGGTACGGGTACGGGTACAGAGAGTCGGCGCGGCCGTCCGGGGTCACGGCCACTTCGACATCCTCCTTCACCTTCTGGCATAATTGCTCTTTCGTCCAGGAGAAGGCAGGACATGATAGAATCTCTGTCTCCTCGGCTTGCCGAATTTGATCGGTGTCTGACTGTGGTGCCTCATTTACATGTCTTCCATCATCTCTGTCTCTGTCTCCGTTTCTGCTCCTGTCTCTGTTTATTCGCTCACTGGAACGCCGGAGTCGGTATACGCATGGCCGTCCCCGGCTGACCTGTTTGCAGAACTCTACCGAGGTAGGATAGGGAAGCCGCTCGACGCCACCTGGGTTGAACGCATGGTAGTCTTCTATCAGCTGGAGCAGTGTTGAGATAGCAAGTGACTTGCTTGGACTGTTCGTCATTTGGGGGAAATGAACGAGGCTGCCATGATTGATTCATCTAGAAGAAATACAGGGTCTGTGGGGATGGGGAGTCGATCGCTGATGAGTCAGTGACAAACGGTAGCACGTGTCATCACATGACTTCGTGTGTTCTTTCCCCGCGAGAAGACAAGAATCTGGACTGCGTCTATCGGCCGAGTATCAACTACAGCTTTGATACGATTGACAAAGTGCAAAGGTCCTGCATGACTACTGACATCAATTCAGCGGAAAAGCATGTGGCTATAATCAGTTGACTATTGACCCATTCTGCCATGCGAAGACGCCATCGACGGTCAAATCGCGTGGTATACGAGTCAACCACCCAAGGGCAAAGAGATCGGGAGCTGCAACACCTGGAGAGGTTGTATCTACTGTTCAGCAGAAAGAACATGAACTGGCTACACCGAAGACGTTATTGAACAGGGATGATGAGGAATAAGAGGCTATGACCAGATGGCGCAACATCGAGGGGAAATGGGCATCTCTGCTGATTCAAGTTTGAATAATGATCCAGGGGTTGCGTGTCAGCTCAGCACTGGATACCTACCTATGCACTGCAGTGGATGATGGGATGGCAGTTGCAGATGGAGACCTGGGAGTGGTAACAGGGTCGGAAGAAAAAGGCGCATGGAGGGGAGTTGGAAGTTGAGGGTCTGGAAGAGGGTCCGATGGTTCAGGAACAGGCCCGGCGAAGGCTCTAGATGGAGGATCGATCTACTCTGTGCCTGAGTAGAGAGAATAGGGACCTAAGTACGGACTACTACCGAGTAGTAAATTGTGGCTCCATGGGTCGCAAGTATGGACACGTTGCGCTGCGTGGCTGCTTAACAAATCATCAATAATCGAGTGTGAGATGCGGCCAGTTTCAGCGAGTGGATCGCGGAATTCCTTCCAGCCTCATTCGATGGATTTCTACTCGATACTCTGTATTCTACAGTAGAGTGTTTTGTATTAGAGACAATGTTGGTGTTAGTCTTGTTAGTCTCACTATCTGCCATTATTCGGTTGGTTTCTATGCCATCACTCGGCCGAAAGACGGCAAAGTCACGCTCCGTCCAGACTTAGTACTGCTGATAGTCCCTAGCTCGTTGTTAACTACTACCTGGTACCTTGCAGGCTCTATTTCTCTATCCTCTATCCATTCTCTTTCTCCATCTCGGTACAGAGTATCCTCTCCTTTCCCATCATGCGTGTCTCCAGCACTCCCCTTCGACATATAAAGCTCACCACCACCCGCTCCATCCCATCCTCACCCTCATCCTCAACCAGAATCTTGTCTTCACCTCGTCACACTCCATCTCTCTTCCAGTCTTCGACCACCACCACTACTCGCCTTCAAGCCTCCCGCCTTTACTCTTCCACCCCCGCCAACATGTCCTCCAGCTTCCTCGACGCCGTCAAGGCCCGCCGCACCATCTATGCCTTGAAGCACGAGTCGCCGATCCCGGACTCCAAGATCCAGGAGATCGTCAAGCAGACCATCCTGCACGTGCCCAGCTCCTTCAACTCGCAGTCGACGCGCATCGTGGTGCTGCTGGGCGACGACCACACCCACCTGTGGGAGGAGATTGTCAAGCCCGCGGTCAAGGCCGTGGCCCCGGCCGAGGCCTGGCCGCAATCCGAGCAACGACTGAACGGCTTCAAGAACGCCTACGGCACCGCCCTCTTCTACGAAGAACCCAAGGACATCCTGAAGCTGCAGGAGGCTTTCCCTCTGTACTCGGAAAACTTCCCGCAATGGAGTGAGCACACCAACGCCATGCACCAGTTTGTCTGTAAGTATTTGCCCTAAACTTGAACATCGGTGTCTATCTGGTCACGGAGTCTAACCTTTCTTCACAGTGTGGACTGCTCTGGAACAAGAAGGCTTCGGCGCCAACCTCCAGCACTACAGCCCCTTGATCGACGACAAGATTGCCGCCAAATGGGGAGTCCCCGGCGCCTGGAGCCTCAAGGCCCAACTGGTGTTCGGCACTCCGGCCGGCGAGGCGGGCGACAAGGCCTTCAAGCCCGTCGAGGAGCGTGTCTTTGTTCACGGCGCCAAATAGATGTTAGATTTGAGGATGGTCAGGTCGACATGAACAGACAGATAGAGTGACTGGTCGCCACGACTTGGATACATACACGTACAGAGTAAATATCACGACGGCAATGAGACATGTTCATTACCTACCAGGTTGCTATCTTTCTCGGCTCTACGATCTCAATATCCCCCATATAATAGTAGTACTAATGTCACCGCTCAACGATGGCGCCATCTCTATCTAGTAGTCACACCATCTCCATCTTCCCCGTCACCGCCAAGGTCCATCAAGTCTTGTCTTGTCGCGCGATACCAATCATACTATGATATGATATGCCAGGCTAGATCTGAGGAACTTCTCCAGAACTCTCTTGCAGCATCGTCTCCGCCATTGGCCTGATGCTCATGACCGGGTATATCTCATCTTTCTCGCTCCCTCCCTCAACCTTGTTCCTAGCCAAACCTTCTTCCTGTTGGCCAGTGTCGTCTCTTCCTTCTTCTAGACTTTCTCCTTCCCCCGTTGGTCTAGTCGATGAAGCAATCGGCTGGCTGGCCCGTCCCTATCGCGACATTGAGCCGCGTCCCGGCAATCTCATCAGCCTGGTCAGATACTACCTAGGTAACTAACTACGTGTGGCACTAACCCCCGCTTCCCTCTATCTTATCATGAGCTGTACCATGCATGCCCTGCCATGGTGATTCCTTTTTCTGCGTCCCATCAACAATCTGCCATCTCTCAAATTCAGTTGCATACCTGTATCTTTCAGACGGTCAAGCTGCTCAACTGCCCTGTCTTACAATTTACCTCAGCTTCTCCTATAGCAGGTTTTCCATTGACTGTAGGAACTCGACAGAACATGCGAACGAAGCAGAGCTGACATCTATCTACCTTTCTACCTTTTATCTTCTACCTTCTTATCCGAATCTAACATACACCACTCCATCTCGACCAGCCAACCACCATGGCTCCCACTGGTCTTCTCAACTCCTTTCTCGCCGCCATCCAAGCCAGTCTCAGTGTGCTGCTGGTCATCTTCTACGGCGGCCTCGCCGCACACCTCAACCTACTCAACCAAGCCAACAGCAAGGCCATCTCCAAGCTATGCGTGCGCATGTTCCTGCCCGCTCTCCTGGTCGTCAAAATCGGCTCGGAACTGCACCCAGACTCGGCCCAACGCTACCTGATCATCTTCATCTGGGCCATCCTCTGCCACCTGGTTTCCTTTGTCCTGGGCATCGTGGCCCACCTCTGGCTCGGCATGCCCGACTGGACCACCGTCGCCCTCATGTTCAACAACACCACCAGCTATCCACTCCTGCTCATCGCCGCCCTGGACGAAACCGGCATTCTCAGATCTCTGATCGTGACCGACGAAACGACCCGAGCCGCCGTGGAGCGAGCCAAATCCTATTTCCTGGTCTTCGCCACCGTCTCCAGCTGTTTGACCTTCGCCGTCGGTCCTCGTCTGATCGACTCCGAACATCCTCCTGAACAAGAAGACGACGAAGACGAGGACGGAGAAGAAAAAGACTCGGATGTCGATCCCAACGAGCACATCCACACTCATGACACTGACCCTGACACTGACCCCGAAGACGACGGACCTTCCGAACAAACAGGTCTTCTCGATCGTCAACGACACTCATCCCTCACCCCATTCGGCCAACAACACAACTCATTCTTCCCCTCCCTTCGCAAACTCTCGACCGCAGCAGCCAAGACAGCCAACAAGCAGCAGCGACAACGTCGCCGCACGTCCATATTCACATCCTCCCCGATACAAATCATGCAGAACCGTCGCGCATCAATCGTCCCACGCAAGCAATGGGTTCATCTCAGTCCCCGAACCAAGTGGTGGCTCCTGTTCATCTCGGATTTCTTCAACGCCCCGCTCCTGGGCGCCATCATCGGCACCGTCATCGGGCTGATCACTCCGCTCCATCGGGCATTCTTCAACGACACCGAAGACGGCGGCGTTTTCACCGCATGGCTGACCTCCTCGCTCGACAATATCGGTGGGCTTTTCGTGCCGCTGCCGGTCCTAGTTGCCGGCGTGTCGCTCTATACTTCGATGCGAGAAGTTCGGAGAAATGCCATTGCTCGGCGAAAGCTCGGTAGCGTCAGCGAGGAGGATGATGAGACGTCGTCACTCCAGGACGCTGACACCGTGGAAGCCGGAAATGGACATGGAAACAGTCAGGCAAATGGCCCCTCCAGCACCGCAGCGGGCAAAGCAAAAGCTCAAGCAAACCAAACCTCAAAATCGACGAAATTGCCCTGGCTGACCGTCACGTACATCCTGGTCATCCGATTCATCATCTGGCCTATTGCGTCCATCGGCCTGATCCATGCTCTGGCGGCCCGCACCAACATCCTCGGATCGGACCCTATGCTGTGGTTCACCATGATGCTGATGCCCACGGGCCCGCCGGCCATGAAGCTGATCACCTTGGTGCAAGTCAGTGACTCGACCGACGAGGATGAGATGAATATTGCCAAATTACTCACGGTGAGTTTGAAACCGTCTCTTAATGTCTTCGAACTATCGTTGCTGCCCCCTCAACTTTTCTTTTCCCTCTCCAGTCTTCTTTGCGTCGAGCTCATGCCATGAGTGATATCAAACCACCTCTGAAATTGAGGAAGTATGCATGCATGCAGACGAAGAACCTCACTTGGTGGTGCGATGGTAAGGCCATCGATCAGATGGACCTTGCAGACCACAATATCATCTCACCCCATGGTCATGTCTATGTCTGTATCGTGGAGATCGATAACTCCCGCCACAGCCCGGTTGCCCGTCCATCCACGTCCATCCAACTTATCTAGTCACCCACTATCCCACCATCCTGGTTCTTCTTTGCTCTCCCCTCCTCGTTTCTCCCCATTCAACAGCCCAGCCCAGGCCTGTCTACATCAACACAATCATTCACTGGGCCATCGGGAAGGGCTCGTTCGATTGTTCCATGCAGAAAGTTCCCCGTCATCTGTTCAACTGTTTTGCACACTATCGGCATATCCCCTCTTTCATTATATACCCCTTGATATGCATACCAAGCACTTCACGCGCAAATGCTAACCATGAAACGTCTTTCGATCACCCAGATCTCCTATCTAGTCTCGCCCATCCTGTCCATCACTGTGGTCGGCGGGCTTCGGGCCAGCCAGGCTGCTATTCGAATATGATACAGTATACAGTATAGTATATATTAGTATATATGGGATCTGACAATCTTGGAGTACTACGGTTACTGGAGGGCAAGAGACGGAGAGGGAGAAGAAAAGAAAAGAAAAACAGATCTCTCCGTGTAAGAAACTGGTGGGATCTATCATTCGTCCAAGTATATATCATGTCATGTGCATTTTACTTTTTCTCCGATGGCTCATACGTCCCAGATATAGATCATCCAACACAGAAGTCCAACTCATGGGATGTCAGAAAATAGAAGGGGGCCGCAGGATCAAGACCACTAAATTCTCGTTCTTTGGGTTTCCCGTTCCGTTCAATATCCAATTTCCAAACATAGGGAGCCAGTATTCTTTTTCTGTATCATTCATGTCTCCTCCCTCACCAGAATCTCAAGTATGTTCTCCATCTAAAAGATTCGCCCTCTTTCCTCCCGGTCAGGGATGTCTGTCCTCTTCTTTTAAAGTTCCCTCTTGGGTGGATTGACACTAGCATTCCCCCCTCCGACAGTGACAGTAAACAACGCCGGATCGCCAGCATGCACTTCGCCACTCTGGTCGGCGCCGCCCGAAGGCTGGACATCGTCGTAGGGAAACGCATAGCCCTTGGTGTCCAGATTGGCCTGATGCACGATGCGCGAATAATGGTTCGTGACGGGGTCCTTGTAGTACAAGTCCTGCGGCGCCGGCTGGCTGGTCGACACGAGCAGCGTCGACCGGTTGAACGCGGCAGCCAGGCGCGGGATGATGGCGTTGGTCTCGGGATTGGCGCCCGTGGCGAACGGGCCGGTCGAACAGCTGAAGATGTCGCGCGTCGACGGTCGGGAGAAGGTCGACCCGCCGATCACCAGCGTGTCCGACGACGCCGAGACCTGCGCGGACACGGTGCCGAACGAGGCCTGTGTGTCGATGGACATGCTCTGCGTCGTGAACCGCGTCCACACCCGCGCCACGTAGTCGTCGTAGTACCCGGCGAAGAGGTTCGGGTTGGTCACCATGCCTTGGTTGGGCGAGAGGGCGCGCAGGTTGCGGCCGTTGCCGTTGCGTGATATGATCAGTTGGTCCCATCCTTGGCCGTCGGTCGCGTGTTGTGAGCGCAGGCCGTTGCACACTTGGTCGAGTCCGCCGGCCGGCATGCCTGATACATGCTGTGTGACACCGGCCTGCGTGGTCAGGGTCAAGGCGACAGGCGGGCCGACGAAGTCGACATAGCTGATGTTGGCGTACAGTTGGTCGCTGTTGTATGTGAATTCCGCGAAGCCCCAGTCGATGTTGATGTTCGGGTCGGAAGGGTTGGTCACGGACGGCTCGACGAGGGCGGGACCCGGGTTGAGTAGGAACGTCAGGGGCGCGTCGATCGAGAACCAGATCCGGCCGCCGGCGATGTGGGGAATCGTGACATTCACCGTGTTGCCGGGAGGACCCAGGACTATGGCGCAGTTCTGCGGAATGCTGCTTCCCACGCTGGCTGGGGAGGTGGGATAATATGGAGTTCGGCCGTCGGCTTGGAGGAGGAAGAGAGCGTTATTGTTGTCAATGGCTTGGCCTGTGATATAGGCATACACCGTGTTTGAGGTGGTTTGGTTCTGCAATGCAATGTTGAGCGTCGACCCGGGTTGGTTTTGCGATGCAACATTGAAATTTCTCTGTTCGCTGGGAGGCGGATGTGCTGCGGCGGCTGGCTGTTGATCTGGTTGACTGGCCGGAGGTGGAGCGGGACCGGGAGAGGGAGCCGGAGGGGCAGCGGAAGCTGGAGAGCGGGACGGGGACCTGACACGTTCGAGAAACCGATTGAGCCGCTTCATTTTGCGCAAAGATCACGATAACCAGATAAGTAGAATCCAATGCCGGACCTCGATGAGAAAAGTGAAGTAGCTCAGAACTGAGGTTTGGAGAAGGCTTTTGACCATTCTTTATGCTGTTCCCCCACCATGGTGGAGACGTCATCTCGATCGTAATATCCATCATGTTTCTTGTCCGTGTTTCACGTCTGATGCGTCGAGAACAAAGCCAAACCATCACGCTCCAATGTGGTCTTCGGGTTTTAACTTATCCGTTGGAAAATATGATGTCAAATGATACTTTTCAGATCCCGCTCCTCTCACTGTTACTCTGCGAACAAGATGGTCGCACGACACGGACCGAGGTTGGTGGTACCAGATTGACAGGGTCTGACATCTTGCTATTGGCTGCGTACCTGACCATAAGCGGCGCGAGTGATCAAGATTTAGTCGCCTGGTTCTTGATTGAAGCAAGGGACATTCCAAACGCCTGGAAGGGGTTGGTAGCCACAAGTAGTTGCTGACGTGGCCAGCTGATGAGATGTCCCAAGACTGAGCTTGAACCAAACTTGCGGATGATATGGAACGGCTGCAGAACTGCCAAGTAGATCGGGATAACAGTCTCAGACAAGACGTGGGCACAAAATGCCAGTCGAATGGTCCCAAGATCAAACAGATCTGATGCGGTCTGCAGCATGTTCGTGATCGATATCGCCGACATTGCTGCATCAGACCAAAAAGGTCCAGTAGCTGGGGAAAACGAACTCCTCCTCAAAAATCTTGCGAACCTGTTCAAGCACAAACTTCTCGACCTTGCCGACATTTTTGAGCACCTGTTTTCCGTCCTCTTGTCGGCCAATTTCACTCTCCACGTGAATTTCTCGCAACGGGCCGGGAAAAGGATTCCTCCCACCATCCTTGCCGCCTTTAGTCTCATGTTGGTCGAGACCCAAGCTGTCTCCGACCAGAGCGATCGCGTCTTCGGGGTCAAGAAAGCAAAAGTGCATCTTTCTCTTGATCCATGCCGCCACTGCAACTCCGTCGAATGACATGCCGGTGATGGCCAACTTGACTGGGATGCCGACAAAGCTAGGCATAGGGTAGTCAAGTAGGATCTCCGCAGTCAGCGTCATGCGTATGTCGCCGGAGTATTTGACCCTTGCAACCACCTGAAGGTCCGTTGGCTGGCTGCTTTGGAGCTTGGATGGAGATAGTGGATGGTCGTCTTCCAGTGCAGACTCATCCTTGTCGTGCTCGTACATAGTGTGCTGTAGCCGAGGTGATGAAATGCCAGACTCTGACTCCCGTGGGGACGACATGCTGTTTGCAGTGGATGGTCGGGTAGAGGGATCATCATGGGCTGGGGGATCTGGCATGACGTTTCTGCTTTGGGCTGATGTCTGTAGAGGTCCCCGCGCTGGCGCTGCAGTCTGTGTTGTGTCAGACGACCATGGTCGGGGAGTGAAAGGAGTGCCGCTCGCGACAGCTGCCAATGGAGTCTGACTTCCAGAAAGACCCGTGGCAGGGAAGTGAAAGTAGCTGAGGTTGGAGGTGCCTCCAGGGATACCGGGAGTGGTGCTTCGATGGAAATGGGCCGCAGCAGGGTCGGCGCTTGCGCCCGCAACGTCTTTGGTGGCCGCCGAATGCCGCCATTCGTGATACTCTGGACCGGCCAGGATGTTGGCCACTTGTGGCCTAAGCGATCGTGGTTGGGAAGCGTGTGAGTCTGTCATGGGAGGCTCGTAAAGCGTCGGGGCTGTACTTTCGACGGATTCAGTAGCGGGTTGCTGCGTGTCACCCTCATCACTATCATTTTCTTCTCCTGCCTCCTCGTCGTAAAAGTCGGGTAGGGGATCACAGATGTCCTTGATCTCGATATCCGGGCATGTAGAGCCAAATTCGAACGAATGGACATGGACTGCGTGGATGAAGCGTGGGAGAGTGACCTGTTGGAATTTCTCGTGTACGAATTCTCGTATTTTCTCAGCAAGAGCTGCCCCTTCGGGACCGCTGGTGATGGTGTCCCATCCGATATCTACAGACATGATACAGTTGTAGAGAAGACAACGGACGAGGGCAGTTGCTGGAGATCTGAGAGCTGTAGAGACGATGGAAGCGTTCAGTCCCTCGAGGTCTCGATGCTGTCACGAGGCTTGGCATTTCCGTGATATAGGAGAATAACATTCATCGTCATACAGAACGAGCAGAACAGCACGAATTATCGCTCTCTTAATGCTATCTCGACCATGGACTCTGTATGCTCCTCAGAGTCTGCTCTCTGCGCCACTTGATCAAGCACCTCGAGTTGTCATTGCGCACAATCTCGAATCCGAAACTTTGATTCCACCGCCCATCCATAACCTGGCCACCCATTAACGCAATTTAGAACCCATTCGAGATATCAACAGCCTGCTTTTCCATGCTAGAGTATCATCGGGTATCATATAGTCGGCCATAATCTGTGCTCCTCATTTGAACCTGTAGCTTTGACCAGGGAACCACCAGCAAAAGAGTAAGAATCATCCGCGAGCAACGTTGTCACCTACCCCAGTGGGCCGCTTTTGACTAACGGGTCCGTTGGGAGTGGTCGGGACATTTGCCGTTGACCGGCTTCGCTGAGACCTGTTGAACCGTGCATCGAGGTGTGCCGATATGGGCGCAGTTGTGCCGAACATTTTTGGTACACCCACATTGGGTATACTTGGTGGTGACAACACGACACATTGGATCTCGCGGCAGGTTGCCGTCAGTACCGTGTTGCCAGGCAAATCGACAATCCAGCGAACAGCCACCCAGTGCGAGAGAACGGCAGCCCGTAAAACCAGTGACGATGATGGTGACACGACGAGCAGCAACAGAATCCGCTCGATCCATAGCGGAACGACGTCTCTTGTATAAATGTGATGTTTGTGGTTGCGAAAATGCCTGTTTGTACTGCTCGGCCCAGGATCGTAGAGGAGGTGTCTCGGTGTCCTTACCTACTTCATGAGTACGATCGAATTCAGCCCATCGCTTCGTATGAATCTTCGAGGCGATAGCCTTGGGAGCTCACATTCCAACGGACAGCCAACCAGAGATGACCACAAGACAAAAGAGGGAGAGACCAAGGGAGGCAGTATGATGGCAAGAATGAATGCTTATCCGGTAATTCCGACCGCCCGTAGTCTACCTGTATCTTCGCTGCACCAGGCTGAACTGACGAGTCATGAAAACCCACAATAATGCGGACGGAAGGTGCCCTCACTTACAGAATGCCCGTAACAGGATAGCGTGCCCAGTCTGCAGATGCGAGGGGATGGGGAGCACCTTCCCTTTTGCAACAGGGTGTGAGGGTTGCCGGAGAATATGCTGCATAACGCATTACTCACGGGATTCTCATGCAGTGCGCGGCTCGTGTGTAGCGTCAAGAACTGGGTTTGCGACTACCGAGACCCTTGAGGTGTGTGTGGAAGAAGGACTGCGTGCAAGCCAGGGTTGGCCTTCATTCTTGAACGTGACATGAACTCAGTTCTCAGCAGAGCATCCTTGGACGCTAGGTGCGGCACGACCGATACCTTGCTAGTCTGGCCGTTTCAGCATCAATACCAGCACACCCAAACATGGAGCGACCACCCTTATTTCATGTGGTCCAGCATGATGATGGAAAAGCTGTCAGACGCTTTGCCCCAAGAGGAGTGAGGTTGGGTCGGAAAAGGATACGTATATCCACGACACTCGGAGGCGTACCAGGGGGTGGGCATTTCTCAAGATCATGACATTGTGATATTGTCAAGCCAGCTGCATTAGTAGCGTAACCCAACGGCCGTGGTTCTCCTTCCGTGCCAACAAGGTCCGTGTATGACATGATGTTGACGCGGGAATGTGCCTGCTCTTGAACCGTCGTGCAGAGAGCCGCACACGCGCACCTTCGAGCGAATGGGTGCAATAGATTGAGGTTCTATGGAGAGAAAAGGCAGACAGGATGCGGCAGCCTTTTCGTCTTCAGTAATGTCTTCCCCAAGGTGTATTTAGCAGGTCCAGCACGGAGGATATGATTACAGGGTCGCTGGACACTGTTGTTGAAGTTGATTGTGAGTGCCTTGGGAGTCTGCGAGAGACACACACACACACAGAGAGAGAGAGAGAGAGAGAGAGAGAGAGAGAGAGGCGCAGTTTGACGCCAACTGGAGGTGACTTCACGTGATCTCTCGTGATGCCAAGTACCGCATCCTGCTTCATAGTAGCAGGAAACCTGTTCTGATCAGCGAGATTCTCACTTTGATCACAATCAATCTGATGCCACCATCTTGTATACACACCTACCTACCCGAGGTACAACAAAATCGTATTCTTTTTCACATTTATGGTAGGTTCGACAAGTCTTGGTTCTCAACAGGTTGGTTTTTCTTGTCGTTGCTATGCCCCTCGGCCAACCCTGCGGCCAACCCTGCGTACCAAAGAGATGCAGCCGGACCGAAGGAAGCCAGTGACCACGTCAGGACTAGCAGCAAAACGATGCCATCTATGCTTTGGTCTAAATTATTCTGTGAGAGGAAGCCTGATGAGGGACTCCCGCTCAGATCTTTCCGTTTCCTTCCGTGGCATAACTCTGCTGTGTGATACTAACCCGCTAATGGATTGACGAGCGGAAACCCTGTGGCACAAGCCCGTATTACAAACAGGTCGCGCCTACCTGGAAGTGGAAGAGACAATAGTGCAGATCATCTTCTGAAAACGCCACGTGCTCTACGGTATGGTCGAGACGGCCAGCCTGGTCAACCCTGCATCATCAGTCCGAATATCAAACTTTCTCACCTACTGGATTTCCACGCCGTCGATATTCGACTGCATCCAACATTCAAGGTTAGGCATGCCCGCATCGGCAATTCTGACATGTCGATGATACGTATCGTCCGTCTCATGAGGTTATCGCGGCCAGTGGTTGGGGTCCCACGGCCTTTACAACGGCAAAACAGGAGGGCGAGATACCTTACCCCACCGAGCACGGTCTGGTACTGAGCCCGGGGCATCTGGACAAGGTGTCAGGCCTGGGCCAGACAGGTCTTCTCCGTACTCCGTACTCCGTAATGCGGGAGCGGGTACGCTGATTATCATGCCACCCACGCCCAAGCCAGCCGAGGTTATTAACGGCATTCGCCGGCACGATTGTTGCACCACTGACGGCATCGCATCTTGAGCACTCCAAGGATATCGAAATTGGATAGTTATCCAGTAACCTTCCGAATCAAACTTCCACGATGGACTATTTGCGGTGGTTACCGGTTTCATCCGCGTGGGACAAGGATGCAATTCGTCAGCACCACTTCCGAAGGTTCGATACTGCAGGCCGTGCAACACCTGTACCAACTCGTCTCTTTCTGATCGGGAGAGATCTGCATCCTAACCTCTGAGTATACCGGGATGTCGAGGAGGAAGAGAGATGCGACAGATGGCTATAAGTCTAAGCACGTTTCCGCTGACAACGCCAGTTCTGTCTGTTCTCTTCAACTACCTCCAGCTTACGACTTCCAATAATCTTACCTGTCACGAGGTCACCGAGCAACAAAAAGCCTCAAGAGAACAAAGACATAATCCAATAATAAGCAGCACCATTATTCCTCCGGATCCCCAGATCTCCGCAAAGCCGAGGCCAACATCAACAATCACATCACCCGGGCACTTGCGTCATATTGAGGACAAAGCGCCAAACATATATAAATGAGACCGTGCCTGTCCTCTGGATTCTTTGTTCGCACCTTTTCTGTCGATTCCCAATTCCGAACCCCAATACTACTACTCTCCCTGTGACCGAAACCGATTCCAGACCTCACCGTCACCAATCTCAACCCGCTTTTAACTCCCTAAACGCACATCACTCCTTCGAATAACAAGACGTCAAGATGTCTGGCCCAATCTCTACCAACAACTTCTTGACTCTCATTCCCACCGCCCACCGGGTGGCAGTCGTCTCTGGCTCAGACTTGCAGACTCCACTTGACAGCGCCGTCGTGGCAGGAGAGTCGATCATCCCTACAGTTCAGAAGACCCGCCGCTCCAGTTCGACCGCGACGGCCGACTCTACCACCACCGTCGAGTCACCCACCGCAGATGTCAACGGTCACACATTCCTCAAGCTAGGCAACTGAGCAGCCTCGCGTCGCGCTCACTTTTGGTTCATCCCACGAAGAAGCTGTGTCGACGCCATTTGCTACATTTATCCGTTCCACGTTTTACGAATTTTCTTGCAAGCAATTCTCGCTACTGCTACCACACAAGACGAACGATGCAAGCATTGAAGCACGGATCTTGAAACGCGACGATCAATGGGATTTTCTGGGGGATGGTTGGGGCAGGTCAATTGGAATCAATATCTGGTACCACGGCTTATCATGCGATCGCCGACACACAAGTCCGACCGTTACCGTCACCGTCACCCCACTTTCCCTGTACCTACCGTACGCAATGAAGGACACAGCACCGTCTTGCTTTCTTCCATCTCGACGATCTGTCGCAGGTCCCACCGATCCACAAGACGGAGGGAGAGCGAACGCTCGGAGGGAAGATTGTGGGGGTCAGAGGACATGGACCAACCCCCCGCCCCCCGCTTGGGGACGTTTAGAGAAAGGGCAATTTACTACGGTACTACGATGTGTTGCTCATATGAAGGAGGCCTCGGAGAGACGGAGTTAGGGAACAACAGCAAACCGTTGGAGTCAAGTGTTTTGTACCAGGTTCTTTTATGAGGGATTATGTATGCATGATCATCTTCGACCCCCATTTGGTACTTCCCAAATGATATCCGAAGGCAAGACTCTTGTTAATGGCCTCCTAACCCTACTGTACCTTTTAGTAGCTTGGTTGTCTTGCATGCAATGGGATATCGGATCCTGTTGCTATCTAGCAAGCCACCCTACAAAATAAGTGGCACCGCCAAATCATCGTAGGGGCACCCTTCAAAACTTCAACAGGCGGTAAGTCTACCTACGTTGAAGGAGAGCGCCTATTGTATCAACCTTACGGACTACTTATCTATCAAAAACCTACCTCTATCATTTTTGCGGTGTCACTTATTTTTTAAGGTGGCCCCCTAGAGAGTCCAGTCTGATGTGCGCAGACATTCTCTGCTTATAAGTTTAGCTTCAGCGAGATCACTGTAAAGCCCGTCGTCTCCTCAACATCTTGAAACGTCAGATGCAACGGGATGAAATGCCCCAGCTCGGGGAAACCCGTAGTCTGGGCAAATAAATGGCCAAGAAAGCGGCCTGCGTACTCGCCATTGTCGATTATCATCGCTCCAGAGTCGCCAGGCTGACAGATAGACTTCGCTGGACAGGAGACGGCAGTCCAGGTCCACATACTCTTCTCACGCCCATAGTATCCCATCATGAACTCCGAGTTCCACACCGTCACGACCGGGTTGAGCCTCCCGGTGGTCCAACCGGTCGACCGGCCATGTTTGATGACAGGAGGGTGGCCTTCAATTGTGCGAGGAGCCGCATAAGTGTCAACTTCCTTTATTACCTCTCCACCGGAGTTAGCGTAATCGCGCAGTGTTGAAGAACAAATCCGATTTTCCATGGTTCTGGGTGCATCGATGGCGATCAGCGACCAGTCCAGCGGGAAATGATGGTTATTATGGAGGATAGTGCGGAAACCAGAGGACGCAACGACATGGCCCACCTCTCTTTCCCTTCATTGATGGCGTTGAGGGTCTCGGCCGAGGATTCGACGAAGGCTTTAGCAGATTTGGCATCCAGGACATTCTGCGCAATCTTGACCTCGTTGTTGATGACTTGTGCCGTTATCTTGTGATCCCCATCACTCGGGGACATCACCATAACGCCACATTTTGCGGCATTCAGAGGTTTATCTTCAACAGCTAATAGATAAAATTAGTCATAGCCATTTGACGGAGAATAGTCATTATGGCTTACCTCTTGTTATTTCTGGCGTAGCGACAACATGGTGACAGCTGAGTCCAAACAGGCTCTCCTCCCCTTGCTTGTCCCTCAGAGTAAGGCTGATCCCGATGGTGCCTGTCGTCTCGGCGGTCTGATATCCACAACTTGCCCCCATCACCATTCCATTCCCCCAGGCGTCCGGATGAAGCCGGTCAACAGAGTCGATTTCTTCTTGGGACGTGAGCAGCTCGAGCTTGCCATATCTAAGCTCAACATCGAGTCCGTGTTCGACCCCACGTAGCCTAGGTAGAATAGCATTCCACCACTGTGGACTGTCGGGATCGAGGGCGGTGATCGTCAGGACTGGTTGGCAGGACTCCCGGTCAGCCTCAAATCCGCGCCGGGTGATGGTGAATGAGGTCCAACGCAGGCCGGATTCTCGCAATTCTGTCGCGACCGAGTGTTCCAACGATGCATAGAAATGTTCGATAAGCATCTTATCCGTTGAAGGATCGAGTGGAAAAGTATAGATCCGCCGCGAGTCCAATATTCGAATCTGGCAAATACTGCCAGCTTTCTGCAAAAGGCGACGGATTTCCAGCACAGCAATGTACCAGTTTCCATGGCCAGAGGTGGCAAAGATGACCACAGTCGCAGTCTCTGCGCTCATCATGGTTCCCGTACGAAAACGGTGGCATATTTTGAACCCATGATACCGAACGCTTTCCGAATCAAGGATGCTCCTTCCTTCTTTTTCATTGTCCCTCCACTCTGGGATGCTATTGTGACCATCTGCAGTTTCGACAGGAAGGACTGGTAAGAGAGGCCATCCCACTCTATACGTAAGCTGGGTATCGATCTCTTCTGCGATCTCTTCATCTGAACTCTTCATACGTTTTCCACGGGAGGTGACGAAAGGTTCGACACTTTCCATCTGAATCGTTCGTTGGCAGTTTGATCATAGACTGTAGGACAGCGCAGAGCACTAGGATAGAGGTTACAACGTGAGACTCGGAGTAGAAGCAGAGTTGAAGTGATGTTGAACTTCTACTATTTATATAGAGAACTAGAAGTAGGCAATAGGAAGCCTAAAACTTTTAGCAGCCTCTGTTTAACTCCATATGTACTAGTCCTACGTATCGAAGCGAAGTAGTAGGTCTATATGTAAATCTCGTCAAGAATACCGCGATGATCATTGGTTCGATAAGATTAAGGCTTATCGATTGGTCGGCCGAAAATTTCCTCACGTAAGTTAGTAAGACTGAATGATACTCAGCCTGGCGGCACGAATATAGGCTGTACGAACTCATATTTTAATGATACGATAGGCGTCAAGCCACCTTACAAACTAGTACCGCAGAAATGATATAGGTGCCTACCTAGTAGGTAAGCAGTCAGGAATGTTGATACAATAGGCGTTCTCCTCCAGCGTAGGTGTACCTACCGCCTCTGAATGTTTGAAGGGCGCCCGTGCCAAGATCTGAGGGTGCCATTGATTTTGTAGGGTGGCTCAACGTGTCGATTGGGGCTGATAAGTTGAACTGGCCTTCTGATGCTGCTGCTGCTGTTACGGTGTTGGTTCGGCCAGACAGGTCTCCCTTTGCGCCCGCCCATTTGGCAAGAAGCTGGAAGCTGGAAGCTCGCCCTGGAGGTTGGAGACCGCGACTTGTTAGGGCAACTTTGAGCATGGCACTGCAACGTGCGCTTGGTCTCAAAGGGAGCAGTTGGTCGTACACCGCCGCTTTTGCCTCATCAAACTTCAAACATAGGCAGAAATTTGGCGTGGTGCCTCATTTTCTCCAAATCAAACTCATAATGGCCAAACTCACCCAGCTCTTTTCGTGCATCCCTGTGCCCAGAGATCGTCTTCAGAAGCATGAACCTGCCAAAAAGACAATACATTATTCAAAATCTTTTCGGAGGCCCACCGATTCCCTGCGGGCGTTTCGAAGCGGCGACTGGAGAGAGTCCAAGTGATGTCCAGTTGCAAATCGTGGCAGTGGTTGCAATGTTGACGGCAAGCCAGATGAATCAGGTTTTGGCATGTGAAGGGGTGGAGACTTGTAGTAGTAGCTCTACATAAGACAATGCAAGCACACGACCAACCTTGGGACACCTTCAATGCATCATTGATCCGTCCTCTTCCGGCCTGTCAGACTCCATTGGTAGTTGTCTGCGACTGGGGACAAAGCCCCCTAGCATGTGAAACCAGGGTCTAAATAAGATAAGTAGCTAGGTGTCCGGTATCTCGAGGGAACAGGGCTAGATATGACATCCGGCATATCAACAGGGTTGTTGTTGGGGCGGAAGATGGTTGGTTGCAGTTGTCGACGGTACAGTCGATGGTGGCAGTGGCATGATAGCCAGTCTCGGCTAAGTTGCCCTGTGAGTCTTATCCTTATCGCTACAGGGAGGCTTTTTCTCCCGCATCGAGTCATTTTCTTTTTGCGGTGAGACGCTCATACTCGCATTCAATCCTCCTGCACAGGCTTCTACATTTTTGGACATGGGTGTAGGACTCCTTGTATATGTCGATCCGGGGGAGATCTTGGGGTCCCAGCCCACAGGTCTCAATCTCGACCAGGTATCCTATTTAGGACAGTGCCTGGTGGAAGCCACTCCCGACAACTTCGAGTCGAGCCTCGCCTTTCTCCGCCAGAACTTCTCCAAACTCGCCATCAACTTCGATGTCCGGCAATTGAGAAGCTGGGATCATGTGGTGGACTTGCTCAACAACGGCGCCTCCAAGCTCTTCGTCAACTTCGAGCAACTCAAAGCCCTGTCGCAGGAGCCCACGATCTCCCAAGACCGCCTGGTTCTCACCATCTCCCTAGTCAACCCAAAGACCGATATTGGCAAATTGAAGTCTTTCCTGGAGACCAACACAGAATGGATGACCAGGGAATGGGCGTTTTATGGAGACAAGGGGAACGAGCAGGTGGACGAAGTCCTGAAAGAGCTAGGGAACTATCCCCCGAGTCATGACCAGACTATCTTTGTCAGAATCACAAGCGAAGGCGAAGGCAGAAACCTGCTCCACGAATATCCTGGCAACGCGCTCATCGTGTCCTCCAAGCTGTTGACATTCGACCAGTCCAAAGAAGGACACGAGAAGCTTATACCTGCCGTGGATTTGGTGCTTGCAGGCGCCACTCCTGATAGGAAGACTGGCCTCTATGCAACAACCGTGGTGGATGAGCGGGGTGTCGCCTTGGGTCTAGTATGGAGCAGCAAAGAGAGCATTGCGGAAGCTCTCAAAACTGGGGCGGGAGTGTATCAGAGTCGCAAGAGAGGACTTTGGCATAAAGGCGCATCGAGTGGAGATACGCAAGAGCTCATCAGCATTGCGTTTGACTGCGACAAAGACTGCTTGTTGTTTAAGGTGCACCAGAAAGGCAAAGGATTCTGCCACTTGGGGACGACCTCGTGTTGGGGGAAGTCATCTGGTCTATCTAAACTGCAACGAACACTGCTGGACCGCAAGGTGGATGCCCCGGAAGGCTCCTACACTGCTCGACTCTTTAATGATTCCAAACTTGTCAACGCCAAGATCAAAGAAGAGGCAGATGAGCTATGTGCAGCGAACACGAAAGAGGACATTGCCTCAGAGGCGGCAGACCTACTCTATTTTGCCCTTACTCGCTGCATTGCCGCGGGTGTTACTCTGGAGGATATCGAGAAGAACCTGGACTTGAAGAGCCTGAAAGTCAAGAGAAGAAAGGGCGATGCCAAACCTCAATATGTCGAAGATAAACCACCCAAGGAACAGAGCCAGTCAGAGAGCAACGGCGTCAATGGCCCCCAGGATGAGGAGGTTAAAGAAGCCGCTTCTGTTCCCAAAGCTCCTTCAGATCCTGCCGGCAAGACATCATCTGGCCGGATAGAGCTGAAGCGATACTCGACGACACAAGCCTTCTCCGATGATGTCCTCAAGGCTGCCCTACAGCGACCTTCACAAAAGTCCAACGAGAAGATCATGTCTCTAGTCCGTCCTATTATCGCAGATGTTCGGGCAGACGGCGACTCTGCTGTCCTGCAATACACCCACAAATTTGAAAAGGCCACCAGTCTCAAGTCGCCAGTCCTGAAAGCACCTTTTCCGGAATCCCTCATGCAACTCCCGGAAGAGACCATCAAAGCCATCAATATCTCATACGATAACATCCTCAAATTTCACTCCGCCCAGAAATCTTCGGCTCCGTTGGTCGTCGAGACCATGCCAGGCGTCACATGTTCCCGCTTCTCACGCCCAATTGAGAAGGTTGGACTTTACATTCCTGGAGGAACTGCTGTGTTACCCTCAACTGCTCTGATGTTGGGTGTGCCTGCCATGGCTGCAGGGTGCAAGGACATCGTGTTTGCCTCTCCCCCACGAGCTGACGGCACCCTCACTCCTGAAATTGTGTACATAGCACACAAGGTAGGGGCTAGGGAAATTGTGCTGGCGGGTGGTGCACAGGCCGTTGCAGCCATGGCCTACGGCACCGAGTCGATCACTAAGGTTGACAAAATTCTCGGTCCTGGAAATCAATTCGTGACTGCCGCAAAGATGCTTGTTAGCAACGATACATCTGCAGCTGTCTCTATCGACATGCCTGCCGGCCCGTCGGAAGTGCTTGTGATCGCCGACAAAACTGCAGATCCTGCCTTTGTGGCCAGTGATCTCCTCAGTCAGGCCGAGCACGGCACAGATAGCCAGGTTGTGCTAATCGCCATTGACCTGGACGAGAAAGAGCTGCAGGCCATTGAAGACGAAGTGCATAAGCAGGCGCATGAACTACCTCGGGTTGACATTGTGAGAGGCGCCATCGAACACAGTGTCACTATCTCTGTCGCCACTCTGGAGGAAGCCATGAAATGGTCCAACTATTATGCCCCTGAGCATCTCATCTTGCAAATTGCGGAACCGCGATCCGTGCTGCCTTCTGTTCAGAATGCTGGCTCGGTGTTTATCGGTGGCTGGACCCCAGAATCTGTCGGCGATTATTCTGCCGGTGTGAACCATAGTCTGCCCACCTATGGGTACGCAAGGCAATACAGTGGAGTCAACCTGGGCAGCTTCACGAAGAGCATTACGAGCAGCGAGGTAACCGAGCAGGGGGTGGGCGAGGTCGGATATGCTGTCATGGAGCTTGCGAGATGTGAAGGTCTTGATGCGCATAGAAGAGCCATGGAAATTCGAATGGAGAAGTTGGGCATTGTTGAGAGAAAGGTTCCAGCAAATGGGAACACTGCCGTGGGCAAAGACGAGCCCGTCACAGCCGCTGGAGAGCAGGGCGCCGAGGCGACAATACAACCTACCAAGTCGACCCCAAGCGAATCCCAAACAGACGGTGTGGAAGCGCCAACTGCTGCCTGAACAATCCGGTCAAGTGATAAACAATGGTCTCAACCTGGTCGCCCTACAACCATGGGCAAACTCTGGCCCGCCAGACTTTTCTATCCTTGAATTTATGTGGAGAGAACGACTTTCGTAATGGACGGACTGATATGGGCTCAATGGGATATACAAAAGACAAGCAGCATGGGGTTAGAGCTGCTCTTTCAATTATATCTCGTACAAACACAAGTATCGCTTCGATCGTGCATCGAATGATGGGCCTGGTCACGACAATTCAGGCTGCGGATTGTGTTGAATTTACGTCCTAGCGATCAGGGAGTTCACGACTGGTCCCTGCGGCTGATCTACAGAGTACGTATCCAGTCTCCTGCAGAACTTCCCAGGTCAGAATCTTTTATCCAACGACCGTCACTTTCCTATTAGTACATAGAACATTTGTCTAATCAACCAACGACTGGGTGCATGTTAGTTAAAGCGGCGGTATTTTGCCATTCCCTTGCCAAGCTACGAACACCCTGCTGCTTTAACTCATGAGCAGTGCGACCGGAGTCAATGTTTGTTCTGCAGTCGGAGTCATTTCTGTACATTTGGGATTATTGCGAACCGTAAAGTTGAAATCAACCTGACCTGTCTTTGCCCGTCGCCTCTGGTCACTGTTTTCCACGGTTTCCGCCGACACTGATAGACACAACCATGGCCGAGGACTTGACTCCTCAGGTCCTCAGCCTTTTAGCTTCGAGCGACGGCCCTGTGCTCACATCGGGAGCGTTCCCCAATGCCCCTTACGTCTCTATCAAGTCGGCGCTCGACAAATTAAAATCTCGAGACTACATTCAAGCGGAGCAACTTGACCGGCTGGAATTAGTCCTCACCAAAGAAGGACAGGATATCGCCGACCACGGAAGCAATGGCGCCAGGGTCTTCGAGGCAGTGCGGGCGTCTCTCGAGGGATTGAAACTCAAGGATCTGCCCGCGGCCGTTGGCGACGCCAATGTCGCCAAATTCGGGTCAGGAGATGCCTTCCGGCAGAAATGGGTGAAGAAAGATGGAGACACTCTCAAGGCCAGCGTGGATCAGATCCAAGACGAGATCCAGCAACAATTACGAGAGATCCAAGCCACCCACAAACTCGACAATCCCAAGGTTGTGGCAGATTTCAAGAAGAGGAAATATGTGGTGGAACAGAAAACAATTGCCTTCAAGGTCACCAAAGGGCCGAATTTTTCCACGGAGTTCGTGAAGGAGGAAGCAGATCTGACGGCGGAAATGTTGGCTTCGGGGGCCTGGAAGACCGCGCAGTTGAAGCCGTACAACTTCAAGGCCAAAGGCACCCCTGCAGCTGCTGGCGCCCTCCACCCACTTAACAAAGTGCGGCAAGAGTTCCGGGAGATTTTCTTCGAGATGGGCTTCGAAGAGATGCCGACGAATCGATACGTCGAGACTGGCTTCTGGAATTTCGATGCGCTCTTCGTCCCGCAACAACATCCCGCCCGCGACCTGCAAGATACCTTCTACATCTCGGATCCTGCAAAAGCCGATCCTCCGCGCGAAGATCCCGCGCCTACCGCCCCCGGAGCCCAACAGACGACACTGGCGGCAGACGACCAGAAACCAGAAAAGAAGCCAGACTACAAGCAGTACTGGGACGACGTGCGGGCTGTGCACGAAACCGGCAAGTTCGGTTCGATAGGCTACAGATATCCCTGGTCGGCAGACGAGTCTCTACGCCTGGTTCTCCGGACGCACACCACTGCCATTTCGACGTACATGCTCCACAAGCTCGCCCAGAATCCTCGACCGGCCAGATATTTCTCGATCGACCGTGTCTTCCGAAACGAAAGCGTCGACCAGACCCATCTCGCCGAGTTCCACCAGGTCGAAGGTGTGATTGCCGACTGGGGCCTCACACTGGGTGGACTGATTGGATTCATGGAAGTTTTCTTCGGCAAGATGGGGATCAAGAACCTGAGGTTCAAGCCTGCATACAATCCGTACACCGAGCCCAGCATGGAGATTTTCAGCTACCACGAGGGCCTGAAGAAGTGGGTCGAAATCGGAAACAGCGGTATGTTCCGACCTGAAATGCTCGAGCCCATGGGGTTGCCCAAGGATATGCGAATTTACGGATGGGGGTTGAGTCTGGAACGACCGACGATGATCAAGTAAGTTTGCCCTTTCTAGCCATGTGACGGACCGTGACTGACTGACACTTCGCAGATATGGCGTGAACAACATCCGTGAGCTGCTCGGTCACAAAGTCGACCTCAACTTCATCAAACAGAACCCCGCCGTCAGACTGGACAAAGACTAGATTGGAGTCTTGATTGGGAACAACAGCCGCGAGATTTCCACCTCTGACGCGAACAAGGGCAGTGCCATAGAGAAGAGATGATCAGGCGAAAAGGTTCTAGACACAAAAAGGAATCTATAATATGATACCCTTGTGCCCCTTCCCTGACAGAAGCTCACTTTCATCTGTTGCAATCTCTGTCTTCTTGCAGCTTACAAGGCTGTTGCTAGCATGTTTGTTTTCGGTTACCGGCACATCAAGGCTTCCTCAGACCAGCGCTCCATGACTGGGGAAGTAGAGAAGAAAAAACATCGTACATCCAAAAGCCGGAGATGAGATCCCCAGCCGCCTTCTGAAGAGCTGTGATTTTCCAAGATCAAGAGTCAAAGCACAGATACGGGCGGCACAATTAGCAGTATTGGACCAACATCGTAAGAAAAGAAAAGAGTAGACTCGGAAGGGCAAAAGAAGCCCACGAAGGCGCCGAAAACAGTCTAAGACATTGATGTAGGAATCGAAATCGAAACTGTGCATTTCGACCCGAGAGAAAGTCTTTTTTTTCATTCAATTTCTTTCTATTGGCCTTGGTTCGAGCCGATTTGTTGACCATGGCACCCAGATGACCATTTCACTTGCAGCCAGCCACGCGACTTTCCCCATCAACCCCTCGAGCTCTGAAACCCACGCGCGAAAGCATCAAGACCACTCCGGCTCCCTTCCACGGCTGGTCCGATTCCTCAAGCACACATTGCACTACCCGTGATGGTATGGTCTGGGGTCAACATCCATATTGCATCGTTTCTGGTATGGGCTCCATCTCCAGCATCGCTAGTCCATCGAATTTGGAAAGAATCCTTTCTTATCTCGTAGGCTGGGCGCTCCAGACGCTCTTCAAGAACCCATCCTTCTGCGCCAGTCGGTTGAGGGAGTCGTCGCTCTCGGCGCGCGATCGGACGAAGCCGCTAAGTGCGTAGACCTGGTTCTCGCCCGTGTAGCGGCCGTTCTCGTCGACTTTGCCGACGCTGATCTGGACGGAGGCGTGGTCTTTGGCCCGGATGATGCGGTTGGTCGCGCTGCATTTGCGGGGGACGTAGCTGGAAGAGAAAGAGTCAATGTTAGTCTTCAGATTTCTGAGAGTAGTGGGCTGATATAGCAGGCTACAACTGTTTCGGTAGAGAAACTGCGAAAATGCTGGTCCACAAGAGGTTGCGGTGGAAAAGCAGTTTTCAGAAGCGATAACCATCACCGTCGACCAGGGATTGAGGGAGGCTTACAGATCGACGATTTCGCCCTTCTCGTTCTCCATTTTGGCTGAGTGTGATGTTGAGGATGGAAGGTTGACTTGGGTTGAGGGTGTCGGCGGAGGAGAGGTTCGTGGGAGGTGTAGGTTGTTGAGATGAATTTGTTTGTCGTCGACACAGCCGCAGGTGGAAAGGTCGCCTTCAAGTTGGGGGTGCAGTGCAGTGTCGAATGTGCGCCGTCGGAGTTGCAAAATGGGGTCTTCCGAGGCTTGGCGGCGAAATCTTGGCATTGAACTCAACCTCAGCTCGACACCCTGCCACTTGAAATACTATACTATGCCTAGGTACGTACATATACCGACCTACCAGAATGCTATCATGGGAGATACTATAGTACCTCACCGGCGCCCTCTCATATTCCTATGGACATATGATCATAGTGTTATCAGCTGATGCAGCATATTGTTGCAACACTACAATGTAGCACCCATCACAAGACATCCGCTCGGTGTCTCGAGCTTGCATCAACCATGAACAGAGGCTTGACTAACCGCGATTGACCTTTCTCTGTGACCACTGGCCTGGCGTGACCTCTGCCTTGGAAGCAAAGGAAAAATACACTTCATGCGCCCAGGGGCCAAATCCAGAAAAGGTATAGAGTCAGGTATGCTGTGAGTATTACGATCGACCAGTTGACGAAGCATCTGTTGCTGGTTTTGACTCTGATCGTTCCCTGGATGTGGTTCAGGTGTGTCTAAGAACGCCTTGACTCGGCTCTGAGAAATACAACTGTTGGGATTGCCCGGGATATCACTGAAAAGAAAAATCAATAAATGAACCGAAGTATGTGAGGCAGGAAAGTTAGGGAGTCGAAGAACGGTTCTTGGAATTTGTACCATGCTTTTCGAATTCGATTTGTACTAGGGCCGCAGGAATCGCGTTAGCCACAAGGCTATGGAGACTGTGAGAAATGTCCTGCATATCAAATGAGCAATGCGAGGTCAGCATTCCCTTCGGAAGACGGCCGTCGAATGTCCAATATCTATATGAGAAGGTCACAACAGGGCCTCAATGGTGATCTACCTAGGTACCTTATCATATCATGAGACTGCAACAGACGAAACTCTTAGCGAAAAGAGAACTCCATCCTTGCTACTACTAATATCGCTTGCGATGCCCTGCCATACTATGCTCGTTGACGCCTTGAATCACAAATTCAATGCATTGATTGTGTGAATATGCATACACAACTCGCGTGCCCAATCTGAGACACCTTATTAATCCCTCCTGGTATTCGTGTCCATACATCCCCATTCATGTTCATGGTATTCGTTCGGTCAGTCGTGTCCATTATCCATTATCCATTCGTAGCCCCATCGTCCATTCGCATTCCCGCATCCATGTCTGCTTCCACTGGCGTTGGTCCCAGTATCGATGGTGGGTGCAGACAAAAAGAAGAGGTGAGAATCTGTTTTCTACAATTCAAGACGCTCCAGAGAGAAAAAGCCCATCAACCGCCTCCAAAATGCGACAGCGAAGCTTGTGCCCAATTCCTCTTCCGCAACACTCTTCCCTCTTGTAGTTGTCAAACTCTATCGTCGAATGACACTCGGCCCAGTCATCCTTCCCCCACCAGCGAGAAGACTCTGCCTGACAATCATCTCAGCAGCGGCCGCGGCGGCAAGTCGTTCTTTCTGTCGCGATCGATCTCTCAGGTACCCAGCGGCTTCGGGTCTCATTCTAAGGATACGTAAAATCATGTCATCGTTCGGTTCCGCCTGGGCGGCTTTCCATTTCTCCTCTTTGGCTTTGCGCATGGTGCCAAGGTTGCGGCTTAACATGATGCTCTTAGCACGTCGGGCGCCCGCCAAACTACCAGAGTTCAAAAGACCCCCTCCGCCCACAGTCCCAAGGTTGGCTGGAGCCGAGATTCGGGACCGCTGCATTTGTTGGTTGATGGCTGTTGCAGAGGCCATCCGTTCCGACTCGCGGATCAGGCTTTCGGTGGGTTCGAAGTAGAAGAAGTTGAGCATCTGCAGTTCGTGGTATTTCGGATTCTTCAGGATGTTCAGGGGAACGCCATTTGCTTCGCCGGTCTCTTCGTCTACGGCGTTGAAGAATTCGAGCAGGCTTTGTAACCATTTGAAGACCACGTCCAGTTCCTGTTGACTGAGTGCCTTTTGTTGAGAAGGCTTGTCGGACAACGGAGGAACCAGGAGGCCTTCGATGGTCGCAAGAACTTCTTTCCAGATTCGCGTCATGACGGCTTTCATTGCATCTGAAGTCAATGTCTGTTGCATGATAGCGAAGTTGTCGTCGAAGTAGTCAAACAAGGGTTTTAAGGCGTTGACGATTTCTGCATCTGTTGGCATCGCTGTCGTCACTGCTGTGGAGGCTCGATTCCGCGCGAAGTAGGACGACACGGTCGAGATGGATATTCCGCGATTCAGTAAAGACCGTAGTGCCCGCCGGGATAGGCAATGACTGATGTAAGCCGACAGTTTGTCGGTGATCTTCCTGGTCATGTCTCGCTGGGTGCGCTGCAGGTTTCTGAAGGCCTTCCCAAAATAGAACTGGATGTCGTCTCGTTCGCCCTCCATACTGACTCGGACCATAACCCGCCCTTGAGTGTCCAGGTCAAGCCAGTATTCACGCGGCAGAAAATCACTGAAATGCGAGGGATCCAGTTTGAGGGAAGTCCGTCCAACATAGTCATGATCACCGACCGCATCCCAATCCCAGACGGTAGCAATCAGGTTGAGTGGCCCTTGCGTGGTGATGTCCACCGATTCGTCCCACCGCGGATTGAGATTCCGGTAAACTATCCTGCTTTTGAACAGGCGCTTCTGATATTCATCGGTCAAGACCACATATGGGTCGCTGAAGCCGTTGACATCACATGCTTTCAGGTCTTCTGCTTCGACAATCTTGATGGTGAAGACATAATTTGACGTTTTCCGAGGCCGTTGAACCACCGGTGGAGTATGTCTCTTGATCACTTCTGCACAACCGTCGACATTCACCTCCGACTCAAGCTTGTCCCACTGTTGGATGGCGAAGGAGATGTTGTTAAGTTTCACGAATGATTCTGGGTAGAACTGGAATGGCTCCACTCGCTCCTTATTGTTCCAGGTATCTTTGGCAAGTTGAACCCATTTCTCCTGTCTTGTCATCGTGGCTGCTGCCTCTTGCTCCGGTGTCATTCTGTCCATTTCTTTACTGAACATCTGGTCCAGTAGTTCGCAGTATCTTGCAACACCACGCCCAAGGGCTTTGGAGAGTGCAGTCATGAATTTCGCATAGGTGAGGTCGTCGTCCCAATTCAGCTGGCTGACCTGCTCAATGACTTGGCTGAAAGAGCTGTAGATGTCGATGATGGAAGTCGAGTGACGCTCGTCTTCGGTGGGAACTTGACCAGGGTGCTGCGTTCTGACAACAAATTTGTCTTGCTTGACAGCGTTTTCAACCCACCCGATTACTTGTTCCTCGGTGATCTTGATCCATCGCCAGACAAAGTCGGCCAGTAAATGCTCAATTTTGTAAGGGAATGGCACATGAGGCAATGCGTCGGTGTGGACTCGGCGGAATTCGCTCAGCGCTTTGTACAGGTTGAAACCGTCTTGAATGGCAACTTCGAAGCCATCTCTTCGCGCAACGTTCAAGATGTGCTCTACCATCGCCTTCGAGTCTTCTGCAAACGCAGGCAGTGTGCAATTGAGCAGAATCATCAATGGGTTGATGCCGAGAATTTCCGGGTTCTTCCTGAATCTCTTTTGGACCCTCTCTGCAAGCTTCAAGACAGCTTTGGCTAGCTGTTGAACATGGTAGAATTCCCACCTGTCATTCGCCCCTGGCAGTTCACGGTCCAGCAGAATGTCATACATCTTTCGAGCTTCATTTGCCAATCCATCTATGGCTGCATTCTTGAAGTTCTCGAAGTCCTCCTTGTTCGGGGTGAAGTTGGGATCGTTTCGGATATGATCATCAAGAACAGCCATGATGGCCCCGACCTTCTGCAGTTCAGCTTTTTCGGCATAAGCGGTCATCATCACCTCATACAAATCTCGAAGCAACGCCTCATGCAGCATGTGAAGCACTTTTCCCATCAGGGCAAAGTCGGCAATAGTCCAATGATACCTGTCGTTAAGCGATGTACTCATCACCAGGGAACTTCTCTTGCTTTTTGGGTCGTCCTGCAGAGGCTCCTTGACGTAGTTGAAGGCCGCGTCCAACATCTCCAAGCTGATGGCCTGCTCGACGAACCTTTCGCGAACAACATCCAGAAACAGAACCATTCGAGTGAACTTGGGTATTCGCCATCTTAACGCAATCTCGTTCAGCAATTCCGTCGTCTTCTGGGAGAAAAGTTGGCCTCCGTCGTTCGTCTTATCGTTAAGGTCATGAGAAAGAGCCTGGTGCATGATGTAGCGAAACATGGCTCGTGGGCTAGAAGGAATAAAGGTATAGATATGCGCTGCGTCATCGGCCTGTAGTGATGAGTTGGCCGAATCCAGATCGAGCGAGCTGAGATCTGCCGGCAGATCCAGGACATAGGATGAAGAGTCCCCAGGCTGAGAAAGGACCCTGGAGACTTCCGCGTATTGAGAGTTGGTAGGACTAGTAGATGCAGCCTGTTGGTTGAACTGGGGGAGAGTGCCACCAGGGGTGCTCTTTGCCAGTTCTGGATTGGCTTGCACAATAGCTAGCATGAGTTGGGAGAGATCAGGGCCCTCGGTCTTCTTCCATGCCTCGTAGGCCTCTTGAGTGTCAAAATCATTCGCATTCAAGGTCAGATTGGTGCCCAGGTTGAGATGTTGCTGGTACGTTTTCAGATCTTGAAGCGCTGCTTTCTCCGTCCAAGTGTTCTTGTATTTGTTGATGTCAGACTGCATCATCGTATTGCTCAACCCAAAAATCTGACCGACGACCTGAACCAGAGGCATGTCCTTGACTTCGTAACTCAACGGCACAACTTCCTCGACAAAAGTCATTGGTCCATTGATTTGCGACGTTGCCAGATTGTCGTCGCCTTTGAGTAGCTTTGACTCCAGAGTCTGTAAACGGGTCGCCAGTTCGGGCTTGTCCCTCGCCCAGTCGCGGTCCTTCAATATGAGACTTAACAAACGGACGAACAAAGCAACATGACGGTCCACCATGCGCTTAACTGCGTCGTCCCCGGGAGGCTTTCCCTTTTGCAATTCCTTTGTAGCATTCGAGAAGAAGATCAATACCAGGTCCTCAGCTCGTCGATCTGCTTCCATGCGCTTTTTAAAAGAAGGGTCGGACAGAGTGTTGAGGAAGATGGCGAATATTCGCTTGACCAAAGGGTCATGGTATTCTGACCGCCGCTCAGTTCCAATCAGAATGCCCTTCAACCTCTTTTCCAACTCTTTGATGAAATCATGGGGGAATCTGGTGCTCTTAGAATCTCGCACCACGGTGAAATCATTCATGAGATCGTGGAAGGAATTAGACGTTGTCGAGCGGTGCATGGCAGGCTTTGTTTCGACATGTCTCTTGCGCGTTGTCCGAGGCTGGAGGAGGTAAGAGAGGTAAGCCACGCGGAGAGCATATAGATATGCTTCATTGGCATCTATAGACTTTCTGCGTGGCCTGGACGAGTCCCGCGACATTCCATCTCCATTTCGTAAACTGTTCACGCTCCTTCTGGGCGCTTTCGAGCGGTGCGAGGATTGGGACATAGGGAAGGCATGAATCGGGTCACCCGAGATACTGCAGATTTTCGCAGGCGGTGTTAAGGGAGGATTGCAAGGAGGGTTCAGTTATTTCGTGGCTGGTCGATGTTGGCGGTTGGACAACTGACTGGTCGAAGTGCCGTGACCAGCCACAGTGAACTGCCAGTGGTGAGCAGTGACAAGGGCAGCGACTTCTGCGTTCCTCTTTCTTCCTGACTTATCATGTCAACCCAGACAGACTTGTCTCGAGTTGCGGTATGGGTATGAGACTGAATGACAGAAGTGTCACTTGCCAACCCTCATTTGGGCCGCAGTCACTGGCATTGCTGTTAGACTGCCTTCAGATTTGGTGCCGGCGGTTTCAGGTTCAAACTGCGCTTGATCGCTGGTCGCCGCAGGGAAATAAATAATCATGACGAAGCCTCCACTTCCGCCCCTCAATGCGTCGCCGTATAAAGCCTAAGGGCCTTAAAAGGTGATACCACATTTCTTACTAAGGCACCTGTATGTTTACTCTGTTAGGTGCTGCTCTATCTCTCTGTCTTTCGCAACCCCTGAGATCTTCCCTCAATAGGATTCTGGTTCCCACTCTTCAACGGCTTCCAGTTGATGATGCGTTACTATCTTCGCCGTCTAGAGAAATGTGGCCCGAGTCCAACGCACCTTGTAACTCCCGGCGTCATCGCCAGCACAATGCACGTGAAGAGAGGCGCGTCAGCCGGACCGAGGTAGGTAGGCGTCCTAGGCCTGCCGGCCTTGTACGGGCCAATGCTTCAATCCAAAGGCATTCTGGGAAGCGGTGGGGGTCGTCGGCATCTGGACCGACGTGGATGCACAGAGGCTCTGGCCAGCCGGCCCGCCGTCGCGAATTAATTCTGGGACTTTGATGGCGCAATGGTACGAGAAAACCGTTCTGAGACTGTAGCATTCAATTGGCAATTGAGCAGAAGCATGTCTCTGTCCGAATCAGACACCGAGTAGCATGTTAAATTCTGTGGTGCGCCGTTGTTCAGATGCGAGTTTCCCTTGGTTGCCTGCAAGCGGCCGCCTTCGAAATCGGAAGGACGTCCATGGCCCGAAGGGTTTGTGGGCATGTCTGTTGTGTTGAAGAACGTGTCAGTAAGCTTTTTAGCCTCAAGATCGTCTGTAATCGTGGGTGGAAAGAAAAAGGCGCCCGCCGCCGCAGAGGCCTTGAAACAAATCTACCTGTACCCTGGCGATCAGAAGAAACAGGAGATAATTTCACACCTCAAAGGATACGTGGAACAGATACGCAATATTCGGTGTTTGGCTACCAGAACGAGGAATTACAGAACAGTCTCCGTCCTGTTTCAATTCATATAAAGAATGATTACATAGTTACTGCCCCGTTAAAACTTATTCACGATAGCTGTCCATTCGACCCGTGCGAGCTGGGGTTGAGCACAGGGCGGCATCACCCTTGTCTGGATCGAGGGAGAGCCAGGGGCCGACTTTACTCACACTGGCGCCCGGAGGATTTTCCCTCCTTTGACGGCATATGAGCCATTGAACGCGGTGGAAAGGGCATGAGCAACTACTGTTACTTTGTGGCATGGACTATAATTGTGCAAGCGTGTCGCGGAATCGAGCTTTCACCTTAAGAAAGCGAACTGGGGGATCCGTACGTAACTTTCCTCTGGACAATTCCAACTTTGAGGTCGTTCGTCAAATGGGCATACTGCAAGCTGGAGCATATCAAAAGCCTTCTGTAGACCTGCAACTCTGATTGAAGAGAGGGAAGACCTGTAGTTCGAGAGGATTGTACGAACTTGACCAGAAAGGCTAGATAAGACAAAGGCATTCAAGCTGGGCATGGAGCCGGAAATTCCTGTATTAGAAATTATTCAGGCCTATACAGATACATTGAAGCAGAAACTGGAGGTGAGGGAACACACAGCGTGAGGCACCCATCTCGGTATCAACACCACTCAGGTGTTTAATGAAGCTTCACTCTTCCGGGGTAAGAATATATAGTGGGTACCTTATTTCAAAGAATCGAATTCTTGTAATCCATATATGGTGTAGGAACCTTCCATGGCTACAAGAGAATAGTGTCTCCCAGAGAGAATTTCCTACATCTAGAAACGACTCTCTATTATCTTTTATCCAGTACAGGTGTATTATTAGTAGGGCAACGTCCTTCCCAAAAACCCCCCTCCTCCCCCTTTTCCTTGAGATACCTATCCACCGAGCGCTCGTAAACTACGTCCTCTGATCTTTTCACCATACCGAAACAACAGGAAAGGTATTGGGATCATGGATACGGTTACAAAGCCGAGTAGGCTAGTTGCCCACGGAATTGAGAGTTTTTCATACACTAAATAGCAGTCTCTTGGTAAGTTGTTGATTAGAACAGAAGAGGGGGATTTAGATACTAACTCTGAAGAGTGAATAGAGGGAAAGCGGCCGCGAATGCGTAGCGTGTGAAAGCGCCTGCGGACATGGCGGATGCGCCTAGTTTGGGCCCATAGCAATCAAGTAAATACACTGTTGTAGTTGCCTATATAATTTGACGACAGTAAGCAGGAGTAAGATCTTTTCTTGACTGGGGCATTGATATGCAAGTTTACAGAGGATAAGTACGTAAAAGCTGGCAGATACTCACAACTAAGCACACATTTCCCCAAGCAAACGGCATAGTAGCAATCACTGGACTCATCCAATGGACATTGGCACGTGCGGTCCACGCAAACCAAAAGAGGGATATAGGAGGTCCTAAGCTTCCAAACATGGCAGCATAGAGCCTCCTCTCGGGGGGTACACTGTCCTCACATTCCTGTTGTCCTTCGATCTGCTTGTGGTACCAATGGCGATCGATGAGAATAGTGGTGACAATGGCCAGACAGCAGCCAACGCAGATAGGAACGAAGGCCAGACCGATGTCGCCCTGGTCAAAGCGATAGACTGTCCTAAAGATAAACGGTAGTGCAGCAAAGAAGTTGTAGAGGATTCCGAAGGTAAGCGCAATGTAGAGGCTGAACAACGTAACAATGGGCTCGGATACCAGCATAATGACCGGCCGGAACATTGTAATGTACACCCAAGCCTTGACCAAAGCGTAATTCGAAATTCCCATCTGGGAAACATCTGAAACATCTGCCGAATCAAGACGCTTTGCTCGATGTCGAAGTATGGCCTTTTTGTAGGTCTCGGACATGAACAGGCTCCATAGGTAGGTGGCAGCTGAAAAGAATACGATTACCCATTCTAGCCAGCGCCAGCCTTTATTCTCAGCCACAAATCCACCAATTATTGGGCCTGAGTTGGAGTTAGCCGGTACCATGTTTTCAATGGATTTGCCGAGGAAGCAGTGAATATACCAATACTAGGCCCTAGATTGGGACCGAAAATCCAGAAAGCCGTTGCAGGGCCCCTGAAGGATGGGCTCCAAATATCTGTCATCGTTCCTCCACCAACACTCAGAGCAGGACTGCCAAAAAAAGCCGCAAAAAATCGACAAATAAGTAGAGCCGACATATTTCTGGATACAGCAGCGCCAACGATGAAGAGGGTCGATAGTGGTAGACTGATTCGGTATATAAGTAATCGACCAAAGGTCTCGCTCAAGGGAGCTGCCAGAACTGGCCCAAATGCTAGACCAAGACAGTAAAGGGATACGCCGAGTAACGAAATCGTTGACGAGACAGTAAATTCTTTGGATACTTGTAAGTAGCCCGAAGCATAGACTGATGATGAAAAAGTTCTGTCGCTCCCTAGTTAGATCTGAAGACGCACAAAGGATCCAGAAATGGAGTGGGTGACATGCTTACACTGTGAAAGCGTACATGGCTGTAATGCTCGTGTGGTAGGCTTTTTTTGCAAAGCTCCAGTTCCTGGGGTTCCGAGGGTCTGCTGGGGAAGTCCAATCCATAATGACTTGCTCATTAATAACTTCAAGATCATTGTTGCTTCTTGTCTCACTGACGCATGTTCCTTCCATGTCGAGACTCAATGCTCCTTGGACTTTATTCGATGTATCGAGCAAATTTGTTTTCATTCAAACGGCCCCATGGTAGACTCGACGAGCACCCTAGAAGTGGTAAGAATTCCTGATGTTATGAAGACTTCGCTTGAGCGTACGTGAACTATTTGCTGAACTATCTGCTTATCAATTATTCCAATCACCGGCACTAGTCTTCAAATTTGATTGGTCGATTATCACGTCTATACGCCATAAGAGGAAACTGTCGAAATTAGACTTAAGGTTCTTAAGACACTAGATAGGCACCGAGAATACTAGAAAATTTGTCAGCTTACTCTATACGCGATCCGAGCGGATGCAGCGATGCAGATTGCCGATACAATTGTCCGAAGCTATCCTTGCATTTCGATAGTATACAATGTTGGTGAAGACTAACTACAATCGCGTACAATAAACTTTTCGGCAGTGTGGATGGTACATTACCGGTCATGTATTATGCTCTCGAGACTTTACCGCTGCGGTGAGTCTGAATTATGTCGAGTAATGTTTGGTACTTGCCACTCTTCGTCATCTAAGGGCTGGCTAGATAATGATCCTCTACGTGGTAAAAGGAGAGGTCTACCTGTCTAATCGGCATTGATTCAATTCCTGAACACGTGCATATTTACACATGTTGTAAATTGGAAAACTTTTTGCATTGGAATCGAGACTTGAATGGAAGCACGTAGTGTGCATAGACAAGATATCCAGGTGAGTCTCTCTCTCTCTCTCTCTCTCTATATATATAAACGCAAACAATCTGGATATAGCGGAAGCCTACACTTTCCGCCCGAGACCCTCCTACCGAAGGTTGATTTTGATTACCATGTCATCGGAATGGCAAGAATCCTTGAGATTAGACCTTGGACACATCGGAAGAGACCACTTCTTGAGGCGCCATCTTGCCTGCGGAACCGGAGTTAACGCTGCGCTTTTGCTCGTCGCCTTCAACCTCTGATCCATTCATGACGACAGAGCCGTGTACGGCCCAGTCGATATCTTCAAACTCTCGTGCGCCCTTGACCGGCCAGATCTTGCAAAAAATACAGTAAAAGGTGAAGCCGCCAACCAAGCCTGTAACCGAGTAAGCATGGATAAGCAAATCGTCATCAAGAAAGGGACCTTCTGAAAATATAAAAACGTACCAATGAAGAAGGAGATCTGCATCATTCGGTCCCAGGATATACCGTAGCTCGTGCCATTGATGGCCGCCGCGAACCCAGCTGAAAATCGCCATGTCAGCAGGGCTCTCCTTTTGTGAGCCCAAAAGGAGTGGTATTTCCACTTACGAATTGAAAGCCAAATGATGCCAACCCAAGCGGCAAAGGCTCTTGGATTAAGGCCCGCCGTGTACCAGTAGATCCCGGTGTTGTTGCCAACATACAGGTCTCCAACTTTCCAGTTCGTCTTCCGAACAACCCAATAATCTGCAATGACAATTCCGGTCAAGGGGGAAACGAAGATGCCAAAAGAGCTAAGAACCACGGTGAAGGTGCCGGCACTGTTGACAAAGTTCCATGGACAAATGACAATGCCGATGCAAGCGAGGAGCCAACCTCCGCGGCGGGCATTGAGATACCTCGGAAGAATGGCGGTCAAGTCCATCCCGGCGGCGACTGAGTTGGAAGAGACGTTGATCTGGATTGAATATCAACACTATGAAGTCATGTCAAGAAATAAACAGCAGTGCACTCACCGCCAGCTGACTGAGGAACCAGCCCATGCCACCGAAAAAGGTACCCGCTCTTGCGCCTGGGCTGTAGTCTGTGTCTTGAATATGAAGGAGCAGAGTAATTGGTTGCCAGATGATTTCACCGTACATGTGTCGTACCGCAGAAGTCACAAACACTCCGAACATGGCACAAGTTGTCAAAGCGATGGGGCAGCAGAGCCAGATTCCCGCCCAGGGTGCGCTTTTCGTCTTTGCGTAACGAGACCAGTCAGAATGTCGAACACTCTGGCCCGTGAAGCTGCCGCAAAGAATGGAAATGGTCTGAAGGAAGACAAAGAAGGTCTCCCTGTCATTTTGAGTGGATGTGTCAGTCGGAAGTAGGCTCAAATGAGTCCCAAAGGACGTCAACAACTTACGCTTTGGAAAGTTTCTTTGCAGGTTCGACAAGATTGCCGGCTCCGTGGTTTGCGGCCATAGCCCAGATGAACATGCCCAGAATGGTCGTGACCACGGCACAGAACGAGACTCGGAAGAAGTTGTACATCTTGTAAGGCGGAACAAGAAGGACACCCAAGAACACGAGGAAGAAGAGAATGGTGCCAATGAGATCCTGTGTAGTGATGTTTGAGCTGTACAAAATCAGCCATCTGCCAGAAACTCTTCAAACGCAGACGCAGCAACACCAACCTTGATGGGATTGTGTTTTTCATGTGGTGAAAGCTTGGAAAGATAGCTGCTAGCATGACATGGACCGCCAAACCGCCCCAGTAGGTCTGAATTCCGCAGCTGCAATGCCTGTTAGTCCATGGGACGTTTTGATGCGGCATGTTTCTTTTGGAGTTGACACCCACTAGATGAACACCACAAAGCACTGGACGAAGACACCAAAGTAGCTTCCGTACAAGCCAAAGGCTGCCCGGTTCAACATGGGAAAACCCAGATGATATTTGAGGCCGGCGGCACCGCAGTAATGCGCAACAATGGCGCAGATGACGGACCCTATGAGCAGCGCGCCAATAGCTTCTCCGGCGTTGAGTCCGTTGGCAATGGCAGTGCCTCCCATGGACCAAAACGAGGCGCAGATGGCACCCGCAGACCTGTCGGGACATCCATCAGCGTGAGTCAACAGGGACTAGAAAACTTCTGCAATCGATGGATAAGACTTACCAGTAGGCGACATAATCCTTGCTGCGGAATGTTCTGTTCTCAGGCAGGACAGGGAGAATATCTGGACTCATCCATCGGCTAACCTTGCGAACATCGGACTCGCCCTTGACTCTGATGAGATTGTCGAATTTTCTGAGCGCATCCATGGCGGACATGGTAGATATGGTGGGCGGCGTTTGGGTCAATGTGGAGGATCTGATCGAGGAGAAACAAAGAAAGGAGCAGCACTTCGAGATCTTGTATAGACTTCGTTTGGATCGACTACCAGTACCTACGGGTACGGTTGGCCTCGAAGTGTCTGTGACTGATCGGATATCGGAAGTTCTTCAAAGCATCACGCAGCCTAGAGGCAGGTGGCCGGATTGCGGCCGAGGACAATAAGGTATCTTCCATATCGCTCAATGCGCTATCAGGGCTACGTCTATCAAAAAGCGATAAGTGCGGAGTCCGCCTGGGGGCCGTTATGGACGTGGAAGCTCGACACACGGGGTCAAGTTCAACCCGATCTGCTGAATGGTGTCCTCATAATCTATCGAGGTTTGGGTTTGACTTTAAGATATGAGATATGGTTTTTGGAACGGCCGATTCTGGCCGACATGCCGTATCTCTTATCAAGATACCAGACCTCTTTGTTTCCCGTGCTATCAGGTGCGCGTCGAAGGTATCAATTTGAATCTTGATATCCTAGCTTATCTGAAGACGACATGACTAGGGAAACATCCCGAATAGACACAACACGTACTGGTCACTTCAGCAGGAGCTTGAGGTAATGAATGGGAGTCTGGGAGGCTGGAAAAGTGCTGTGATGCTACAACGGGTCGAGCGGAGGTACAGTGGAAACCATCACGGAGTACGTACGATGATGGGGCATTCACAGGTGTTTCTGGCAGAGCTGCATATATGCGAAAGGCTTCTGATTTGCTCTGAAAAGAGTGACTTGACCTGATCTTTGACCAACAAGCACCAAAACCATTACAGCTACCACAGTGTACGTATCTTACGGCTGGTCTGCACGGTAGAAGGTAGTACCGATACTGGTATAGGCCCGCTCCCATCTGCTCAACAAATGGTCCTGCACCTTAATTGGCGGGTATAGTGGCTTCTCGCCGGGTGCTAGACAAGTCGGGATGCACTCGATAACTTGGTCTAGTTCGCCTTCGTTGAAATAGGCGCACGTATACCGGTCTTTCAGCGACAGAGGGCTGAGAACTCTGTGCATGGTTGACTTGTAATGTCCGTTCGTCCAGCGTTCTGGGTGCGGTCAGCATATGCACTCATAATCCCACCTTGATTGAGAGGAGAGCCGATAAAGAAAGAGTACATACCCAACAAGTCTCCAATGTTCATAACATAAGCACCCTCGACTGGTGTGACGGGATGCCATGTGTCGCTGGCTCTGTGCAAGACCTCAAGGCCACCAACTGAGAGAGATGATCAGAATCACCTCTGAATTTCCGAAAGACGTTCAAGCCATAGTACTCACCATCATCTTGCAACAGCAAGGTCAATGCCCCAAAGTCTGTATGCGCACCGGCACCCCTGGTCCTGCCGGTAACATCTACCGGGGTAGGAGGATAGTGGTGCGATCGGAGGGCTGCCAGCCCATCGGGATCGCTGGCGAATCGATCAAAGTACCCTTCGTCCAGGTTCAAGCTGAGGGCGATGATCCTGAAGAGAGCTTGGCTGAATCCGCGCATGGCGTTATAGTACTCGGTGTAAGATTCCTTGAATCCAGGGAGATCCGGCCAGTGATTGGGACCCTGCAAGAATCGTCCCAGTGGTTTATCTGTCCGGATGGAGAAGGCTTCTTTCTGGTCCGCAGTGACATTGGGGTCATCGTCGAGCTTCTGATCCCCAATTCGCTCATAGCCTCGATTGCTTTTGCTTTTGCTCTTCGAGATCGCTTCCTTCTGCTCCATAGGTAGCTGGAAGAACCTGACCACTCCCTCCATGAGCCGTTCCTGAAGATCGTGCGAGATGGGGTGTCCGACAATCTGAAGGAACCCGACGCTTGTACACGCCTCACGGAAATCCGCAACCAGTTTGGCCGTGCCTTCAGCATCACCTGCTAAGAACGGGCTGATGTTGATGATGGGAATGTCCATTTTGGGTACGCTGGCATCTACTTTGGTGGCAGCAGTCTCGGCGATGGTAACGGATTGGGTCGCCATGATGAACTCGACAGAAACAATTGAAGACGACTTTGTGAGATATTCGGGTTCAGGAAGGGGGTTTAAGTCCCAAGAATCTGGAATATACAAACGAGAGACCAATTCTGATGGTTTAAGAAGCACTCCTTCGAAATCCCTTCCTAGGAATGCTGCCTATGGGTGGTCCTTTTGAACAAACGACTCAGGTGATCATCCTCTTTGAACGACCCGGCCGGCGCATAGCAGGACGGGGCCCGGCCAAACCAGGCCGAACAAGTGGCTGAGATAAGGTTGATGGATTGTTGTGACTGGAGGGCAGACTACAATAGGGTTGATAGCCACGTTGTTAGTTTTGTTACCGGAAACACCAGCTGGACCATGGACCTTGGAGCACCAACGGGGTCACTGTCCATAGCTCTTATCACGAAATCGACGTTCCCACAGCACAATTCCAGAGCCTGGCTGGCACTGTAGATCATTACTATGACTAGCCATCCAGAACGGACATCACAGTCTTGACCCACTGTCACCCGAAGTATGGAGATACAGTAGTCACTGAATTCTCGCTGTTTCGCTGTTGGAGTTCTGTACTTCACTTGTGAAACATCGGCCAGTGGTTTGGCCTATCCGGCCTCATGATATTTCTAGGACTAAGATAATCGATCCCTGCACGGCCCAATGCGTACTTATCCGCGAACGGTTCAGCTTATCGCTGGCGGACCATCCATTTTAATATGGATGTGGAGCGGCGGTGGAGTCCATTTCCTATTTCTGTCAGGTAGGTCCCAGTCGTTATGTTCCGGTCTTTTAAGCAGCTCAAGAGAATGCATTCAGATTGTTGGCAGGAGTCGCTCGTTCGCATCTTTAGCTCCTGCTGGGAAGATGGAATTCGATACAGTCGTCCGTAATGGCATCATTGTAAGTTGGCTCACGAGATTGACAGAAATGACGCAGCCTGACAGGGTTACTAGGCCAATGCCTCGGAATGTATCCTTGGTCAAGATATCGGTATCAAGGATGGCCTCATTGCGTGTATTGGTATCGGCCTGCCAGTCTCTGCTTCAACCAGCGTTATTGATGCTCAAGGAGGGTATATTACCCCTGGCGGTGTAGACTCACACGTCCATCTGGAGCAATGGAACACTCCCACAGGAGATACCTGGGAGACCGGGACTCGCAGTGCGGTCTGTGGAGGAACCACTACGGTTCTCTGTTTTGCATCACAGAATCAGACAGATCAGAGCGTGTTGCCAGTCGTGGAAGACTATCTCGGGCTTGCCAAAGGAAGAAGTGCTTGCGACTACGGGATTCATCTGATCCTGACTAATCCGACAAAGGAGGTTGTCGAGAAAGAACTTCCACTCCTCGTGAGATACAGTGGAATCACAAGTGTCAAACTGTACATGACATATCATCCGATGAAGCTGGGAGATCGAGAGATCTTGGATATCATGGTTGCCACGCGAAGACTAGGTATAACCACGATGGTCCATGCCGAAAACCATGATATGATTGAGCTGTAAGTAATTCTGGGGTGTGAAACTCGAGCAGTTCCCTAGCTGACGACTGAGAATCATTGAAACCTTGGAGCAACGGGGCCAAGTCGAACCTTACTATCAAGCTGTCTCAAGGCCGAAGATCGCAGAAGCAGAAGCTACCGTGAGTGCGGTTTTGTCGCTCTGGATGGCAGATCCTAACCAACAAGCAGTATCGGGCGATCTCACTTTCCGAGCTCATGGATACTCCGATTCTTCTCGTTCATGTATCCTCAGAGCTGGCTGCAAAGCATATTCGAGATGCGCAAACGAGAATGTTGCCCATCTATGGGGAAACCTGTCCTCAGTATCTGTACCTTCTCTCCGACAGACTCAGAGGAGAGAACTTTGAAGGTGCTAAGTGTGTCTGCTCGCCACCGTTGCGAGAGAGGCCCGAGGACACCGACGCTATGTGGACATCCATTGCCAATGGCACCTTCACGACCTTCTCTTCAGATCATGCTGCCACGAAGTAAAAATTCCCATTTGAACATCGACTTCGGCTCTTACGCTGACCGTCAAATAGATTCTATGCTGAAGGCGGTAAACGTCTGGGTCTGATCAACGGCCGTCCCGTGTTCGCAAAGATCCCCAATGGACTTCCAGGGCTCGAGACTCGTCTTCCACTACTCTTCAAAGGCGTCGAAGAAGGCAGGATAACGATCCAGGACTTTGTCCGCGTCGCCTCTTCCAATCCAGCAAAGCTATACGGAGTCACCCGCAAGGGAGCTGTTCTGCCGGGTTATGATGCAGATCTCTGCATCTGGTATCCGACTGGCAAACTGGAGCCTTTTGTACTCAAGAATTCCATGTTGCACCATGATATCGACTACACGCCATTCGAAGACATGACTTTCACCAATTGGCCGAGATATACCTTGCTGCGGGGGAAAATGGGTTGGAACCGTGATGATGGTGGATTTATTGGCAAGTTTGGTGGCGGAAATTACATCAAGCGAACAGTAAGTGCTCTGGCAGGCCCGAGAAACGTCTTCGTGAACGAGTGGCGGCCACCAATATGATATCGTCCCCGGATATATAGCTGTTAAAACTTTTTTCAGAGAGCTGTGAATATTTGGGTTGATCACGGAAAAGATCGAGTAGCAAACACACCGAAAAGAAACTCGGTAGAGATCAAACATCTCAGATCTACCTCGTACTTCATGCCCCTGCTGTTTTCAACATCCAGCTTTTGCCCCAATGATATTGCCTTCTTGCAGTAGACTACCTTCCAGCCTCAATAGCGCAAGGCTCATTAGTCCCTTGCCAGCGTTGCCGGCTCCGAGCCGCAAGACCCTTCGCCAACGGAGGATAAGAGACTTGACCTCACTTGCATCGTCTCGTGTCGACGACGATGTCGAGACTGCGTCTGCAGCTCCTGAAGAGCGCTCAGCAGTGGCGCTGATACTAATTAACACACGCATGAGAAAGGACGAGGCGAGGGCGAAGTTGGCACGAGACCCTTCAATTGCTGTCAGCAAAAATCATCATCAACATTGAATCCAAACAGTGTAAAACCCACAGCTGTGCCAGAACGCATCCCACACACCAACATCTCCCCTGCTGAGATCTTCGACGAACTCCACAGCTTCCTTTCCACACTCCTTCGCGCCTTTCAGGACTGCTGAGCGAGCAGCAGCATGTAGATATGCGCTAGTTTCAAGTGAAGAGTCCAGATTATCAACAGCTCGTAGCAAAGCACGGTAGAGTGCCATCACAGTGACGATATATGCCAAAACCAATGACGCATTACCATCAAGGGTGTCGGGAGCGATAGTGGAGAAGATGGCAGTATCCAAGTGGGGACTGCTATTTTCCGCTGAGCTGTTAGACGCAGTGAACGAATCTTTCCAGGTCTTTAAGCGAACGCGCAGTGGTTTCGCGAGTTCGACGGACAATGAGAAATTGTTCGTGGTCAACGAAGTGGCACGAATGGAATAGTAGGTATCAAAAGTGTCCGAAAGTATCGTGGTAAGTTGAACGAGATGGTAGAAATGCGAAGGAACCGCGAGGAGATCGTGAGCATTGTCATCGACGGGGGCAGTCGACGGGCATGGAGAGCCTTCAACAGTCGAAGGAGCATTGGGTGCGAGTATCGGCAGCTCCACGTCAAAATCATCGTTCCGAATATGACTAGGCGTTCCAGCTCCGAAGAAGGACCATTTATCCAGAACATATGTTGCCCACCACAGCCGACCTCGAAGCCGGCGTTCCCATTTTGGCAATCCCAACCATCCGACAGAAGACTTGCCGAGACCAATAAGGTAGGCAAGGCTGACTGTCCAGGCAGTGAGACTCCACTGAAACGGGGTGTCCATGATGTACTTGTTGCTGGGTGCCCGCTGAAGCAATAAGAGACAGGCCTGAAGTGTCGCGAGCTTCGGGGTATGGGTTTCCTGTACGATGGCAAGCCAACAGATACGGTAAAGCCTTGCTGCGGGCGGCGGTGAGTGGATTATAGTTGTGGCTAGTATGTCGTCGTATAGGAGAAATGGTAGAGAAGTTGCGTAAATCCCCGCTTGTAGAGACAGGGGCAGGTCCAACAACACAGTGCTGATATCATGGGCCAGCATTTGTGTCCGCGACAGGACGGGGAAGTATGGGTAGACGAAGCGAAAGAACAGCTTCAGCAACCGCACCCCAACATCAGTCGGAACCATAGTTTTCAGCTCTGTTTGTGCCGCTTCCAGTACCGAGTTGTCCGATCTAGGCTCCCCTGTATTCGCGAGGTTGTCGTCAGGAAGCATAAATATAACAGGGCGTTCAGCAAAACCGAGCTCAGCATCGTCCGTCAAGGACGGTGGCGGAGGCAGAGGAATCCGCCTGTATACTATATTGGATAGGACGCATTCGTCATTCTCATAGCGGTACCGACGACAGAGATACGGATCAGCCTCACCGGTCTCTCCAACCAAAGCAGCATTTTTCGTGGACAGTTCAGCCAGGGAGAACTCCCCGACACGTGGGACGCTGTTGTTCACATTGTGTCCTCTGAGGTCCGATCTCCCAGCTTGTGGCTGATCCGTGTTTTGGAGAAGAGCAGCTTCTTCAGCTCCAGGCACTTGGCGAGAGGACGTGTTCAACTCCCCTATGTCGTCGTCAAGAAGGACATCCTCCACAGGGGAACGAGAAGCTGGAGGGCTGGAATTAGACGGCGGCGACGATGAAGTTGATAGCCGTCCTGCTCCGTTGAGTCTAAGCTCGCTGTCTGCATGGTCGGTTCGACGTCTCTGTGGCTCTTGACCATCACCAGACACTGCCTGAGATGCATTTCTCTTGCGCTTCTGTGGGCCGCTAACGAAGGTGCATTCCCTGCCGTAGGAGTGGCACAAGGCACACGGGGGTGCCACGGCAATTTTGCAAGCGGCCTTCCTAGCTCGGCAAAAGTCGCATGGTCTGTTCTGACGCGACTTGTAAGCTCGAGGACCCAGCGTGGGCTGGTCGGGTCGAGGATCAACTGTATCAGCGGGAGAATGTCCATACACGGCGTAGCTGCCTGAGGCGGATAGTAAGTCCATCGAGTTGATAGTAGATAGCGGGAGGTCAGGATTCGATGATAGTCAAAGCAGATGGATTGACCATTTAGGGTCGTTGGCCTGATACCTGCTCAGTATCAGTTATTGTAGAAGATTGGGGCTGTGAATTCTTATGAGAGTGTAGGAGTGGTACATCGGGGGAGTACCTTGCAGTGGTTGGAAGGAGGAAGGAGATGGGCGAAGTGGGGTGCAGTGGTCAAAGAGCCAGAAGTCCGTCCTACACCTACACCTACACCCTTCCCTCGCCGAACTCTTGAAAGTTACTACCTACCTGACTAGGCAGTTACCTATCAATCAGCTACAGCCCTCCGCCGGGCAACTTTTTCGCCTAAACCTTGCCCACCAATCAACTCCCAGTCACGGTCCGAATCCGACTTAGCCTGTATAGAACCGAAGCTTCAGTTTGGGGAATTCGAGACTCCAGGACAGGACTGTACATGTTGCTTGCCGGGAACTCTCGGAGAAACAGTCAAGCTATCTCTGAGGGCCAGGAGCAGCTCAACAACGCGGTCATCCTCTCGTGGCCGAGAATAACTGTATTATTACGTAGGTAGTAAAGAGAAAAAGGGGTTATCAGGTAAAGGAGAGGGTTGGTTGTGACATCCTAAATGGTGGTGGGAAAATCTTGACGGTGCTATCTTGTTTGCAAACCGGCTCGCTACCTCTCGTCTCGTTATTGTCTTTGCCTCTATCCTTTGGCCATATCTTGACAAATTTTTGGCTACATGGTATCATGATGGACCTACCGAAAGCAAATCTGTTCAATATCGAGCAATGCATATCGGAAAACATCCCTCTCTCAGCAGGCTATCGAGACTTTCAAGGCTACAAAGGCAAACATCCCGACCCGAAATGGCCCAACGGGGCGAAAATCTGCGTCAACCTCGTGCTGAACTATGAGGAGGGCGGGGAGTACAGGTTGTGGCACTGTTTCATTCTGTGCCTCTCAAATAAGATAAGCTGACTACCAGTACATTAGCGTCCTTAACGGTGACACACAGAGCGAGAATGCCCTTCAAGAGGTAGGTCTGACCTGGCCTTCGGTCAATAGCCATCGATGCTTCGCTGGTGGCAATCACTCTGTTCCATCCGTAGCTAACACGGCCTCAGATGATGGTTTGGCCCAGGCGCATGGGTGCTCGTGACATTCAGATTGAGACACAATACGAATACGGCACGCGGGTGGGAGTATGGCGACTCGCACGGTTCTTTGCGCAAGAGGAACTGCGCGTCACCGTCTACGCGATCGGGCAGTCGATCCTGAAATCCCCAGAGGCTGCGAAGCAACTGGTGAGCGACGGACACGAATTCGCCTCGCACGGATACCGCTGGATCGACCACCATTCCGTCCCCCTCGCCGTCGAGGCGGAGCAGATCAACAAGGCCATCGACGCCATCGAGCTGATCTCTGGGAAGCCGCCGAGGGGTTGGTACTACGGTCGGCCCTCAATCTCGAGCAAGGCGCTCGTGTGTAGGGCCTTTCAGGCGAGGAAGATTCCGCTCTTGTACCAGGCGGATTCGTACTCGGACGAACTGCCGTACTGGACGCCGCATCCGTTGGAGCCTGGAGAGGGACTGCTGATGATTCCTTATACCTATGTATGGTTTTCGGCGTCTGTGGTGTCTGACTCTACGTGTGCTAACTCCCACAGGATGTGAATGATGGCAAGTTCACATCGTCGCCAGGATTCGCGAATCCCAAGGTAGGATTTGCTTCCCCTATCCGAGACCTTTGGCCCCCCTGCCTCAGACCTTTAGCCTCACTAACCTCGACCACTTGATCTAGGACTGGTTGGACTATGCCAAGCTCTCATTCGATGTCATGTACGAGGAAGGGCAGGCCGGCTCCCCGAAAATGATGACCATTGGCCTTCATAGCCGCATCATCGGCAAGCCCGCGCGATTCTGGGCCCTGCGCGAGCTCATCAAGTATATCAAGACCCACGAGGGTGTGTGGTTTGCCACCAGGGAGGAGATTGCGAACCATTGGCGACGGGAACATCCCTTCAGCACCGAGAGTTTACCAAGCGAAATGCCGCACTTTCTATAGACAGGGCACAAAGGGGATAAGTTCTGTGGGTCTGGGTCGAAAGGAGACTATGTAGTGATATAGCCTCAGGGGAGCGAGCTCTGGGCATCTGCCCTGTCGATTGCCGCGAGTATCTTCTGCCAAAAGGCTTCCGGATTGGTCCTGATAGATAGGTGCACGTTTCGGGCTTCGTTCACCATGCTGTGCTTTATATGGCAAATGGTCTTACCGTATTCTAGGGATTTTTACCGTATCCTAGCGAGCTCGTAGATGTAGTAGTACTCCTCGCCTCTCTAGCGATATATATATTATTTTATTCGAATCGACGAGGGTCACTTTAAGCAAGACATGTTTTCCGTTACCGATGAACAGCGTGGTACATTAGAGTCGGTATTTAGTGTGGTCTCACAGATGCGGAGAAGGGTGAGAAGGTGGAGAGATCTAATCCTAATCAGCAACCCCCACAGCGGCAGAACAGCGGGTTCGAGCGTGGGAATGAGGAGTGGTAACTTATATCGCGCCATGCCATCACCCACTCTCTGCTCTCCTCTCCTACGACTCTGTGAAGTCAAATAGTACTCAAGATGCAGATCAAAGATCGGACGTTTATTGTCTCTGGAGGCTCCAGCGGCCTGGGATTAGCCACGACCAGCCTCTTCCTGCAAACCGGCGCCAACGTATCCATCCTCGATCTGAATCCTCCTCCTTCAGACACCCTCTCGCATGTCGACACTTCCCGGATTCTCTTCACCAAGACCAATGTCGCATCAACCGAGTCGTTACAAGCCGCAGTCAAGAGTACGTTGAAATGGATCCAAGAAACAACCTCGAAGCCGTTGTCCGGCGCCATCTGCTGCGCCGGGATCGGCACTGCGGCGTTGGCTCTTCCTAAACAGGATCCCTCTGCGACACACGAAACCGTCAAATATATGGACATGAGCCTCTTCGACAGAACCCTAGCCATCAATCTGCGGGGCACTATAGACCTCATCCGCTTGACTGTTCCGCATATGGCACTCAACGAACCCTGGGGACCGGATGGCGAACGAGGTATTGTGGTGGTGGTCTCCTCCGTTGCTGCCTACGAAGGTCAAATCGGCCAATTGGCATACAGCGCAAGTAAAGGTGCTGTGAGAAGTGTCGTTTTACCGTTGGCCCGGGAACTGGGACAGAAGGCTGGCATACGGGCCATGGGCATTGCACCGGGTGTCTTCCAGACCGGCATGACTGTGCCCCCGAGGAAGAAATCGGGGCCGCCACCAAAAAATGAAGGGGTCCAAAACAAACCGAAAGGTCCCACTGGTTCGCGCGCGTCCGTGAATCCTGAGATGATCCAGTATCCAACACGGATGGGTCGTGGGGATGAATTTGCCCGTCTGGTGAAGGAAATCGTCGAGAACCCGATGCTCAATGGAGGAGTCATCCGTATTGATGGTGCCGTGAGGATGCCCAGTCGCCTGTAATTCGCTCTTTTTCGCTTTCTATGACTCAACCCGATGATGTGGATGTCTTGCAAAAGTCGATTGACTATCTCTGGTCTGGGGATGCCTCTTACATCCGACCAGGCCCCCGTTGATACGCGTGGGAACGGAGTGTGGGAAGGGCATCCTGCTCTGTTTGGATGCCAGAGGTTGCCAATTGGATCCCGCAAAGGATATTCACTAGAACTGGCCCTGGGAACTGAATGAGGCATTTGGGGCAATTTAGGGCCAGAGATAGGTGAGCACGGAGAGATCGAATCAGGCGAATGGCTCGAATCCGGGCTTTTATCACATCTTTGATGCAGAGCAGAAGAAGCATTGGCCCGACAAATCACAGTAATCATCGTCGTAAACATCTCATTAACTTAGCGCTACAGTACAGAGAGTATTCTCTCCTGGGCAATCACTCTTGCAACTATTTCAGCTCCGGCAACGGACGCACATAATGCGCAGGGCATTGATAGCCATGTTCGCCCCTGTCTTCCAATTTCTTCAGATAATCCTGGTGGTAATCCTCCGCATCATACCATTCAGTGGCGCGCTGGATCTGAGTGGTGATGGGCTTCCCTTTATACCATTGTTCCTGCGCCTTCTCTTTGATTTCGTTTGCAATCTTCAGCTGCTCGTCGTTCTCCGCGAAAATGGCCGACCGATACTGTGTCCCGGTGTCTGCACCCTGCCGATTCAACGTGGTCGGGTCGTGCATCTTGAAGAAGAACTCGACCAGTTGACGGTAGGAGACGCGGTCAGGATCAAACACGATGAGCAGGGACTCGGCGTGGCCCGTCTGTCCTGAGCAGACGGCGCGATATGAAGGCGCTTTGGCCTGGCCACCGGTATATCCCACTCGGCAGTCTAGCAGGCCCTTGCCGTTGCCCCAGTGCTTCCGGTAGAATTCTTCGAGGCCCCAGAAGCATCCTCCTGCGAAGATGGCCCTTTGAGAGTTGGGTGGGAATTGCATGGCGGAAAGAGAATCAGGCTGGAGGGCTATCGATGCTGAGGAGGTGAAGGGGCGCAGGAAACGGGTGAGGAATGTAGGCATTTGGAAAGCCATGATGGTGATGATGAGGACAAGGAGTGACGTGAGGAAGGTGTTCGTTTGCAGTTTGGCGGGTTTTGAAGGGTTTACAACAGAGTGGAAGATCGGTAGGTAGTTATGAAGAGTAGGTTGACTGTTATATAACTCGCAAGTCTGCCTCGTTGATGGACGATGGCAAAATACGAAGGATAAATCCGAAGCCGTGAATACAAATAATGATGGAAGAATAGTAAATGTGGCACGTCATTCATCTTCATTCGCACCAATTCGAGCCGAGGATGACAACTCAAATAACGGTGGCGGTGTCAGCAGCGTCCCATACCGCGAATCGGCTACCTATCTAAGGTAGTTTGAGTCTGTAACAATTGATTCCACTATCATTCCTCTCGACAGACTCTCCGGCGACAATCATGCTAAGAGGATGAAGACGATCGGAGGTCAGGCACCCTCAGAGCAATAGTACTCAAATTCCGTCATTTGAGGCTTGTGACTGATCAAGGAATCAATCGCTGCTACTAAAGCAGCATGATCTCTTCTATATGAGGAATCCGAGTCTGGCTGTTTATCCCGCGCTTGCCACCAATGATGCGATCACCACTTATAGTGGCTGGTAAAGCGGCATGTCAATATAGATCCACCCGGAATCCATATCTCTCTCTACGTACCTGGATAGGCCATGATCTAAACTGTCATACCTTAATCCAGCTCTGAGTGAAGTGTGCTTCAATATGGAAGATCCGCAAAGTATACCTGCTTCGAGATCACGACGTCGCATTCTTTCATGCAACACCTGCCGGCGGCTGAAAAGCCGCTGCGAATATGACCCTCGTATCAACTCATGTCAACGATGCCACAAGCTCAGGTAGGTTTTGGTTGCCATGGCCAGCTTGGTCGTCGGCGCTGATGGTGGCTTGCAGAATCGACTGCTCTCTGCGCTCCAGCACCAGCGCACCTCGGTTTTCGGACAGTGTCGAGCCCGAAAACTTCGCTTCCGCTGGTGATGACAGGTATTGTTCAATGTGCTTTACCGAGTCTTTCATAGGCCTAATCAGGCCAGCAGGATTGCCCATGTCGAGTCGTCGTTATCAGAAATGAAGCAATCAGTGGACAAGATCTGGCAATTTCTCCAGCGATCAAGGAATCAATCGCTAGATGCCTCCGACGGCCAATCTGAAACCAGCTTCGACCAGAGTGCCGGCAGCTGCTTCCCAAGGTCGAGAGAACAGCTTGAAAGCTTAGATTATCCGCCACTCCCTACAACTCAAGATGGAATTATCAAATCTGCACCAATCATGATTGTCAGAAAGTTCCGGTCCAGCACGCGGAGACTCTACAAGGATCCTGGCAGAGATATCATCAACCAGCACATTCTGAGTGAAGATGTTGCTATTAAACTAGTTGCCGAGTACTTACTGCGCCTGCCTTGCTAGCTCAAGTACAACTACTGATGTTTCTAGGTTCATTAAGCGTCTGGGGCACGTCATACAGATCAGGTCCGTTGCAGATCTCACATCTGCCCCGAACATCAGACAAGCATCTCCACTACTTTACGCTGTATGTTGCCTACACGGATTACGGTTTTGCAAAGACCCCGATTTGGTAAACACAAGTGTCCATCGCCAGTTGTACGAGGAGGTTCGAGACATGCTTGGTCAGGTCGTGCTGGCGAGCCCTATCCCGTTTGAGGAGCTGTATGCCGTGCTGATCATGAGTATATTTGAAGCAGCACCCAGAGTTCGTTGTATCACAGCCTTTGATCAGAGTTGTCAACTGATACCTATCTAGCCCGTCTTTGAATATATTGAAAGCTGGCTGCTCAGTGGCATCTGTGCCCAGCAAGCAATATCTACTATCGACTTCGCCGAGATCATGACCAATCTGAGGCGAGGAAGACATAAAAGTACGGATAAACGATCACTTTCGTTGTGGAACAATATTTGTCTTGTCAATTTGAGGTACCATTTGTTCACCCTGACCTCTCGCAAACGGCAAGTAACTGATATCGTAACAGATTTGCCGTTGGCACGGGGAAGCCTACGACAATCCCTTCAGAACTATTGGATCAATGTCCAGCCATTCTCAACCACCCCGAAGCCACCCTCGACGATGGGATAGTGTTAGCCGAGATTCTTCTCTTCTCCGCATTGTGCAACAAGCATTTTCCTCCTTCACTCGATAGGGATGGGAATTGCCCCGAACTGACTGCATGGGAAAAAAGGTGGAAGCATCTGCTATGTAAGTATATGTTCCTTACGCGTAAAGGGAAATTCTACATGCTCATGCTCGAACATACAGTATCAGAAAAAACAGTCTCCCTTAGGTTCTGTCGGGAATTTGCGTATCTTGTGCTGGCCATGCGTTCCGTGGACAAATACCGCACGGAAGCTCTCGACCAGTCGATCATTCGACCAGACCAGACGTCTGCATCGGGCACAGTTCCGCCATCTGGCGGTCATATCAGCGACAACCGTGCCCGCCTCAACTTCCTCTATGATTCCTCTCAAGCATATGCCCATGATCATGCGCTTCTTCTGGCCAAGACTTTCCTGGAAATGCCCACCGCTCTAGTGCAGGAACTACCAAAATTCCACCACATCTGCATTGCCTACTGCACTCTTGTGCTCTCTGAATTCATCGACAAGGCTCACTTTCCACGCGAACCGATTTTCGAGACTCTCAACGATGTGGTCGCTCATTATCATCAGTTTTCTGAGGAGATCCCCGCCGTCATGAATGTCGCCATAGAGAAAGTGAAGCTCAGCCTCAACCGAGATTTCGCTTTCGAGCGGAAAAGACAGAGTCAAATAGATGACCAGGACCCGAGTCACGATGAATCTACCTCGAAACGCCTGCACATACAGCCAATAAACGCATCCGCGGATGCACACCGACTCGATGCAAATCCGTCAGCAAACAGTGTCGAAGTCGGCCGCGACTTTGTCATGGAAGAATTTGATCCTGAGACGGACCTATTCTCGTTTCCAACTGTCGAAGACTTTTTCGGAAATTGGATGCTTGATTTTGGTGGGGAGTATCCTGATCACCCGATTCAAGGTTGAAACCAGCTGTGTTGAGGTTATAGAGCTCATCGCCAGAGCAATGGGTATGCCTTATGAGGGATGCGCGGACCAAGTCAACCATGCCGCGGATATGATGAACTTCACACCAGCGGCAACGAAAAAGACCCCTGGTATCCCTGCTCGACTTCGACTAAGCCAACCGCCTGAGATGGCACCCAAAAGCAAGGCACAAATTGCTCCCAACCGTCGATTCCTGGAAGGATTCTTACTCAGTCCATGTAGAAACCTGACGTCTGAAGCAAGGCCAAAGTAAACACTGGTCAAAACCGTGGTCGGGATTTCCTTGAAGCCTAGAACTTCACTTGCCCAAACCTGTCCACCAGCCTGGAATCCCAAGAAGACCAAAGCAATCAGAACTTTCATTGATTCGGAACCTTCTGATGTGTCCGGCACCACCTTGGTCTGCACAAGCACAGCCGCTACTGTCAGAAGAGCTCCTTGTATCATGAACAATAGGGACAGCATGCCACGACTTCGTGGCCTCGAATTCCGCATCAGAGAGAATGAGAAACAGCCGACAGTGAATGAGATGATGGCAACCAACGACCGAAGCCAGCCATACGGTTTCGTCACTGGCAATCCCGATGCACCAAGTCCAAGAAATATCGTGTTCCCTTGGACCGTTCTGTCAGTGTGACTGTTCTCATTGCCAGGCTAAGGGGCAAGGACGAACCGGTTTGCATGTTCACAAAGCAACTCCACGCATTGAACGCGCCACTATCACACAGGCCTGATATGAAGCTGCATACCAGCAGCACAATATAGGCATGCTTGACTTGAACATCTTGTCCCAAGTATCTCGACAATCTGTTCCGTCGTGAGCCTTTCGAAGCCTCCGAAGAGCCCTTTTCAGGGTCTTTGTCGAAGACCTCAAGCGACATGACTATGATTCGGGCTGACCTGACGAACCAGCAGTCTGAAGAGCTTGCTTGCTGTTGAGATGTTCAGAACGCTTACACTAGAAATGGCAAGGAATCGAATTGCCCTCTTGCGGGTGTTCATGTATCTCCGCCGGTCTACGTCGGACATTGGTGGACACATGGGTAGAGCCTCGCGATCCACCCGCGGCCCAAATCCTATCTTTCCACTATTCAACCTTTGAGGAGATATATTTGAATTTCATAATCAGTCCAGATTCCAAGTTTTACAGACCAATACAATCAGCTGACGTTCATTCCAGGCCTAGAGCCGAGCCACGTCGATGGGTAGATTATTACATTCTAAACAGGGACTGCAAAAGTACTCTCCACCTCGACAATGTCATCCTAGAAGTGGACCCGTTAGCAATACGTTCCTACACGGAGCAGATAACGATCACTTGATTCAGCCTCGAAACTTCCACAATTGAACGAGGTGGGAATGGGACATCACCCCATATCTCCGACTGAGCCTCGTTCACCAAAGGTCGATATTGGTTCATGTCCGTGGTGTATCTGAGGCCATGTCAGTCAATGCACTTGAGCGTTAGGATCCATATGACCGACACTACAAGGCGGAGACAGTCGCCCAGCGATGATCCGGCGGCTTCAACTATCATCTGCATGTTCTGGAATACTGGTGATCAGTCAGCCCACGCAGTCGAGACGCCGACCTCAAAGCCAGCAACTCACTCTTCAATACACGAGGGTATGCGGGTGACTCCCTGGATGCAACTCCATGCATTTCTGTGGGGACTATCGGTACCAACTCGGACGTCTCAGGACAAATCCCGCGTAAACCTATATCTGATCAGATCCTGATGGCGAGCGACAGGCGACAATCAACAAACCCGATATGTAGAGGGTGTTTCCTCGCTTGCTCATCATAGACCAAGTGCCTGTGGGGTTGTAACTGCTCCGGTCAGCGAGAATCGCGAGAGCAAGTGCCCAGGTCGCCTACCACCATGATGGACTGTATAGTTGCACGCCTTGTGCAGAGATGAACTCGGGCTCCCCAAGTTGATGCGCCATGGCTATATGACAGACAGCAGACTCGTGAGTCGTATCAGACGTGCAGCACTGCAGTTGTCTACAGAACCGACAGACTGGAATCGGCTGGGACAAATATAAGCGATAACCCGAAAAAGCAAAAGCATAGGGCAAGTGAAGCAGTTCCCCAACCAGCCGCTGACACTCTGGTTGGACAGATTTGGCCAACGCATGAACATTGAAGATCAATCCATCTAAAGGTCCACCTGGTGGAGAAGATGTGGACCATCAGCCCGAAGGGTTTGATAAAGAAATCACCATTTACGGGAATCGCGTTGCAAGGCTGATAAGAAACCGGTCACCGACGGTTGCCGCTCTCAGAGTCTTTCGACACCCGTGAAAGTCACTTGGATATCTTTGCGGACAACATGCCACCACCGTCCAGGCCTGATCGCTGATATAAAGATATGGACGCGCTCGCCTCGTCTTTTTCGGCACATGCAGCGCAGATTGGACACCACACCGAGACGCAGTCAGAATGACGGCCTTCGATATGGATTCACAGCGACAGGAAGATTTCGAGGTGATGCCTTCGAAGGAAGCCTTCGCCTCAGCCAACTACGACAACATGATTGACAAAGGCGAGGTCACCATCGACAAGAGCACGGCTTTGCACCGCGGACTCAGGTCCCGCCATACCACCATGATTGGTAAGTACTAACTTCTAAGAGCATGCCCAAATGCACATCCTCCATTTCATGCGATCATCACTGACCGTCTGCTTCAGCGTTGGGTGGCGCTCTAGGGTCTGGCTTGATCATCGGGACTGGCTCTGCCCTGGCAAGTTCAGGGCCGGCGGCTGTCTTGATCGCCTACTCACTCGTGGGCTTTGTCGTGTGGTTGATGTTGACGGGTCTCTGCGAAATGGGAACATACCTACCCATCGCCGAGGGATTTACTGGTTACGCTTCTCGCTTCGTCGATCCAGCTTTGGGCTTCGCCCTCGGGTGGTGGTACGTCGATGCCACAAATCATGCCCATCCAGCGAGACTGAGCTGACCGATCGAACATCTAGTTATTGGATCAAATACGCCATTTCAACCCCCAACCAACTGACCGCCATTGCATTGGTGCTTCAGTACTGGGTTCCTCGAGAAAAGCTCAATCCGGGAGTGTTCATTGCCATCTTTCTAGTGGTGATCATCCTGATCAACTATTTCGGGATCCGGTTCTTTGGCGAATTCGAATTCTGGCTCTCGTCCCTCAAGGTTTTGATCCTATGCGGTGTCATCATCCTCTCGTTAGTGCTGGCCTGTGGAGGCGGCCCCAACCACGAAGCCACCGGATTTCGCTACTGGCACCACCCGGGCGCCTTCCACGAGCATCTCGCAAAAGGAGCATTGGGCCGGTTCCTAGGCGTGTGGAACTGCGTCGGCATCGCCGCCTTCGCGTACCTCTCGACCGAGTTCATCGGCGTGACGGTCGGCGAGGCGCAGAATCCACGCCGGACGATCCCGCGCGCGGCACGACTGATCTTCTATCGGATCTTCTTCTTCTACATCCTCAGCGTCTTCTTCCTGGGCATGATTGTGCCGTACAACTCGCCCAAGCTGGCCTTCGCCACAAAGCAATCGACCTCGGCCGCCGCATCCCCGTTCGTCGTGGCCATCATGCTAGCTGGGATCGACGTCCTCCCGGGCTTCCTCAACGGCTGTATTCTCATCTTCGTCTTCTCCGCCGGCACCTCCGACCTCTACATCTCCAGTCGAACGCTGTACGGTCTGGCGCGGGACGGGAAGGCACCGGCCTTCCTGGCCCGAACCAACAGCCGCGACGTCCCCGTGGCGGCTCTCGGAGTATCAGCTGTGCTGTCGCTTCTGGCGTTCATGAACGTCTCGAACGACTCGAAGAAGATCTTCAACTACTTCATCAACTGCATCACCGTGTTCGGCTTGATCGTGTGGATCTGCATCCTGCTGAGTCACATCAGCTTCGTCCGCGCCTGTCGAGCACAACAGGTCCCCAAGGAGAAACTGATCTACCGCGCACCCCTGGGCATCTGGGGGTCGTGGTATGCTTTGGTGTTTTGTGTCATTGTCACTTTCACCAAGAACTTTGCCGTCTTCGTCCACACCCCGACCTCGGACTTCGACTACAAGAACTTCATCACGGGATATATTGCCATCCCTGTGTTTCTGATCATTCTGTTTGGATATAAGCTGGTCTATCGCACCAAAGGTGTCAAGCCGGCCGAAGCAGATCTGCAGTCGGGGTTGGCTGAGGTCGAACTCCATGAGGTGGAGTTTGCTGCGATGGAGGCCGAGCAATTGGCCCACCAGACCAGATGGGGGAGATATTACAGAAGATATCTGTCCTGGTTGTTCTGATACAGACAGTCTTGGTAGGATTTAGTCGGAGAGATCTAATATAAAGAAGAATTTGACATACTTCCATTTCAACACTTTACTATTACAAGTCCGGCGGACCCTGTACTCGGTACACTAAGGCGATTGGCTCGATGTAGCCTGCACGAGAATAGAGTAAATATACTTAGTGTATCAATAATCGGACACTGAAAACTACTGTTGTTGTTCAGCTTGTATACAAGGAAGAATCGTCTCGCCCCTCACAAAAGGGTACCTAAAAGAATGGTGGTTATCTTTTCTAGTGTATTGTGCACTCTTACCCCACCTTTTATTCCTCCTCAATTGAAACAAGAAAGCAGCAAGAGCGCCTCTCATCCTGCTCCCATCGACGCGAAAGAATGACACTGACACGGCTTATGATCTTTTCAATAGAGAACCAGGTTTGAAAAGGTAACGATAGAGAACAAGTAACCACATCCCCTCCCTCCATCCACTCTTTTCGCTCAATCTGACAAGACCAATAAGCCCTGCATCACTCGGTCTTGACTCCCTCTGGGAGTGTTTCTTCATCTCTATTCCTGGCTCGCATCTAAGAAACTAAGCGATCCCCCTTCTTGGTGCCCTCGACGAAGGACCTCTCCGTCTCATTCTTTGGGTCTCCGACACCACTCGTGTCCTCTACATCTGCCGATCCGACACCTTTGAGAGGATCGGATGTGCGAGTTGTCTCGGTTGATGATGACGGAGTTGAACTTTCGGTGTGCTATGTATGTGAGAGAGGGTCAGTATAGTTCTGGACCTCTGAGGGACTCGTGCTCGCTTGAAAGAGACAGGGTAGAGGTAGAGAAGGCCAGATGTAATGACAAGAGTATTCGTTCGCTCCGAGTTTCCATGACATTAAGAAGGGAAGAGTCCAACGACAAAACTCCGATGGGGAAAAGAAAGCGCTCTGATCAATAGACCGAAAATTGCAGCCTCGCTCCTCTCTGATCGATGGTGATGGCAGTGTCAGCTTCCCCACGTCGGCCTGCCTTTCTTTTCAGAGTTCCCAGAGGTCTAGGCTTGGACTGCATCACACTTCAACCCGACCCGATATCATGTCACCCAATCTCCATTCTTGTACAGTTCAGTGTAGTATCTCTGAAACCATCTGGGTATCTGGTATAATGGCAATATCGAGGCATTCCGGTCCACTCAACCATGAGGTATCCCAATGCCCATAATTCGTAAGATACTTTCAAGACAGTCTGAAGCAGACGAAAGCAAAGCTGAAGAAAGAAAACAAAACAAAATCAAAGACTCAAAGACATCGAACCGAATGAATCGAATAAACCGAATGAATCGAATCAACCGAATGAGTCGACTTAGGTAGGTAGGTAGGTACTAGGTACACACCTTTCCAGCCTTATCACCAGTATCACCGCCTCCCGCATCCCCGAGATACTGCTCCTTCGCACTCTCTCCAGGCGGATTTGCCTTGGATCCAGCCCCCTGCAAGCCTGATAGGGATGCCATTCTAGCCGGCTGGAGATTTCTCGTTTCGAGTATCGGCTCGGCTCTCGCTCGCTGACGTCAAGAAGGGTTGTCGTTGACGGTAGTTACTAGTGAATTCGAGGAACAAAGATACGAGTACGCCTGATCTGTGGATTTAGTGAATATAAGGATGATTGGAGATATTCAAGGACTACAGTGATGTAAAAAGGTCAGGGTTGGGTTGAGTTGATGAGGTCGTCAAGGTAACCAAGATACAGCACGGCAATGTTGGTACCTTAGCTATTTACCTACCTCATTCCCTAACACCACCTACCTACGTACCTAGGTAGGGTCTTGTGGCATTGATTGACCGACGTAATACTGCATGAGTTGTAGTGGGTAGGTCTTTTTGGAGAAGATAAGATCGCAGTCTCTGGCAGACACTACCTACGTACTGTGGTCCTCCTATGACGCAATTCTGCGTCTTGTCTCCAGTGTCTCCGCAAGGCTGAATGACAGACAGGGGTTTCGGGGTCCCATGACCGGACTTCTCATCTTACCTACTAGTACTGGGTATAAATCTAGGATGTATCAAAGGGAAGGGAGAACAAGGTAAGCTGGGAGTAAACTGAACTGTATCAATTGTATTGGGGATCATCAATCGTCAAAAAGGTCCCATGTCCACGGTCAGACACCCCGAACATCAGACGCCATCCGTCCATCCGTCCATTCATCCATCCTAGTCGACTGGAATGATCCAAAGACCACAGGACCAACCTCAGAAGCTTGGAGGTAGCTAATTACAACAGCATCTGAAAGACCTAAACACACTCCAGCAGCATTGCAGGGTCCAGACTCAGTTCTGATACTGCACCCTGCCGTGGAAACCGCCGTGGCCAGAAAACTCCATGCGACAGAGTACTTCTCCGCGGAGAGAAAGGCATTGAAACGTCGTTCAGAAGACAAATATGGTAATGCCAGTCCTGGCCATAACCATGACCGTGCAGACGCCACCCGTACCCTTTTCCCCAGCGTGGGTTCCCCTTCTTGACCCGATCTTATGAACTCCAGCAAATGCAATACATCATTCGGTCAAGATATAACCATCAAGACTGTTTTTCGGTCAACACGCATCCGTTTTCACTTCATCGCCAGACTGCTTTGCCAGAAGGCATTAAACTACCCCTGGAAGTCGAATGGCTGTGACCATGTGAAGGGACGATCGAGCTCATTCTGATTGTACCACGGTCCCCGGCGTTGGGCGTGGATCTCACATCCATTCCGTTCAGAGTCGTACGTCTTCCGCCGTTGGAGCCCATGCTTCGGCTATGGCTGACGATGCCTTGTACGCGAGGACTCAAGACACCCACTTTCCACTCGTTCTCCTTCTCGTTCTTGCCCATGACCATCCTCCTAACGTGGCCGGCGGCGAACATGGAGTCGTTGGGAGGCGAGCCAGAAGCGGCGGTAGGGGATCTGTGACGTTGCGAGCGTGACCCGTGGACTCCGGACCGACGGACTGAGTTCGATCTTCTGACTGCGTCACGGATCTTCATAGCCTCGTCTTTGCTCGGATGGCCCTGGTTCTCAGTGTCCGAATTAGAAGCGGACGAATTGCTGGCATTGTCGCTACCGACATTCCCCGCAGCCTTATTTGATGACATCGGGGTCAGTGATCTTCGATTGGCCGCTTTACTCGGATCAAGTTCTCTCAGTGGGGACTCGTCACTGTCCGATGACGAGAGCGAAGTCATCTTGGGCGGGAGCATGCTGGAAGAATTCGGCGACCCTTCAAGCTTCTTCGCCAAGAATCCGGCCTCGAACCGACCTCTCTTGGACTGGGCGGCAAGGGTCACCTCTGGCGGTGCAGGTAAAGGCGAAGAATGTGGAGACTCGGGTTGAGTGTTCAGTTGGGCCAGCGAAGCAGTCAGATCCGAGACTTGTGGCAGAGGGATCTCGGTGGTTGAGTCCTCTCTCGGCGAGGGGGTGAATTTCTGCGGAGTTTTCTCGAATTCGGCCAAAGCCCCATCCTCCGTATCGTCGCGCCACCTCACCACCCGTTTGGAAGCCTTCACCGGAGATTTCCTCTTCTTCGGAGTGAAAGAAACTTGGACTCCTTTCTTGGGACCGCCCAGGAGTCCCCGACGGCGAGGAGACGCCTTGGCTGGGGATGGTGCGAGGTGGGAAGCGACAACAGCTACCGCCTTGGGCCGAATAGGACTGCCTTCCAACATCGAGGTGTTCATGTGGTGTTTGCGTCTCTTGGGAGTTCCCGCTTTGCTAGGCGCAAACGCTTCGACAGGTGTGAGGCTGCCATCGGGTTTGACGACATATGAGGCCGCGCTCGAAGCCGATTTGAGCATCTTGCCCAAGATCTGGGTTGCCGCCTCCACTGCCTCATCGACGCTCATTTTGTTCAGGTTCTCGATGGCCGCCACTGTTTCGAAATGAGCCTGCAAGAGAATTTGGATCGTGGCCGCATCCCCGAACTTGTCTTGGTCCACAACAGCTGCCAAAGCTTCTCTTTCGGCATTTGATCTCAGCAATTCCACTTCTCGTCGAAGTGTTTCCGAGTCGATCATATCGCCCGTGTCCACTTCTTTCAGCTGGCGCAGGCTATGATCCAATGCTGTGTTGATTGCCCGATCCCAGCTGCTCTTCAACACCTTCTGTTGACAATGATGTCGGCCACTCTCCAATTCCATCAAGATGCCCTGGGCTGTCTTCCTCACTGCTTGCAAGTTCTTCATAGGCTCATCTTCATCCAAGCTGTCGCATACACCATCAAAGGCAGCAATCCAGGAAGATAGCATGGCGATTCGTCGGCCCAGTTGCTTGAGCTTGATCATGTTGTTCGTTCTTTCTTGTCTTTCTGCCGCTGAGTGTTCGTACGCGGTCCGGATTCTCTGCACGCCCTCGCGGGCGATGGACTCTTTCCTCTCGTTTTGCTTTCTGAACTTAACAAATGCCAAAGCCTCCGAGTCTTTTTGCTGGGCCTTCAATTCGTTGATCAGAGCCATTTGCTCGTCGATCTTGACCAAGAAGTCCTTGACATGGCGATTGACATTGTAGACGTTCCGTGTGACCTTCGTCTGGATATTCTTTGCGCGGTTGGCGTATCTGAGAGTGTTCTGCGTCTCATCGAAGTGCGCACTGGAAGGACTCACGCACACAATCATCACTGTCTTGCAGTTGCCACCAAGTGAGAACTTGAGGAGACGAGTGAGTTTGGAATTGCGATATGGTACGTGGTTACGCTTGCGAACGTCACACAGTGCGTTGATGCAACTCCCGAGAGCTAGCAGAGACTTGTTAATGTTAGCACCTTCGAGCAAGCGTTCTCCGCGATTCTTGGTGGCACTAGCACGTTCACTCCCAGCCAGATCGATGATACTCAACGTGGCCATGGTGTGGGGCTCCTCGACGCTGGCGTTCCGGTCTTTCTGAGCAACGTTAATCTGAAGGACGGCATGTGATCGAGATGAAGTTGCATTGGCTTCTGTCGGAGACATGGTCCTCATTTCATTACCCTTCATGATCATATCCATCACCTCTTGAACATTTTGCGGCCGGTGACTGGAAAGCCCGGCGACCGAGACAGTCTGGTTGGCATCCTCTCGCAGCATCAAGCCGCCCCTCGAAGTGGCGGGCGCAAGAAGATCGCGAATCGTCTCGTTGTAAATCTCGAGGTAAGACAGTGATATCTCGGTGACCTTGTCGGTTGCCGACTCGCCGACGCGCTCAAAGAGCTCTTGCATGGCCATAAAGATTATTCCCGGTTGTTGAACTGTTCCGGTGATCGTGTGCGTCTTTCCACAGCCCGTGGCTCCGTAGGCGAAAACGGTGGCATTGTACCCATCCAAAACACTGTCCAGCAGTGGTCTGGTTGTTTCCTCGTAGACCTCGCCTTGTGATGCATTTTCATCGAAGATGCGGTCGAAACCAAACGTCTGGTCCTTGACTCGTTTGCCGCTTGGGACTAGGGATCGCGAGTATTTTTGGACGGGATTATCTTCAGGAGGATCAAAAACTCTGCGGACTCTGGTTAGACGCATTGCTTGAGCTGGCTATTCGGGACATACAAGCACTTGTCGTCCACAACTTTAATCACTGGTCGGAGGCCTTTTTGGAGCAGCTTTGGTGTAGGCGCAGGGGCTAGTGAGCCATCACCAAGAAAGATCGTAGTATCATCGCATTTGGTCAATTGCGCAGCCTCCCTGATCGTGAAAGGTCTGACTCGAACGGTGACCGAGATTGAAGAAGCGCCATCGCTGACCATGGTTGTTGTTTACCGCCGTGTACACCTTACCGGCGGAGCGAAGGCATGAGATGAATGGGAGGTACTGTCGAATAGTTTGATCAGGTCAATCGACCAAAAGACAAACAACAAACGCCGACGTCAGATGCAATGATTGAAGGTCGTTTACCTATTCACAGGGTGCGGTGTGTGTGGAGAGCAGGCGTTGTTACTCGTGAAGTCGGAGGTGAAAGAGTTCGGAGGCCGCGCTACTGGTTGGCGGAGCAACGAAGATTCTCCCCCGGACTCCAACTGCGAAACTGCATTTTTCTCTGCCTCTTCCATGGTTCAGCTTGCTGCATCGCGAATCAACCGCTGCTGTTTCATGTTTGTATTTGCCGTCTCCATCGTCCTGCATTGTTGCTATAGCATGGATACCGTGGACGTTTATCTATGCAAGTGCATCCAGCTGACAATAATGTTGTGAGCAGAGCCAACAAGAGGACCACGGCCGCCCCAGGAGTGAGAAGCTTTTCCACAGTCAAGGCCTACGTCTCTCTACCTCTGGGTCAATCCCTTTTTGACGCCTCTCTGCAGCCATGACGGCCCTCAGACGGTCGCCGCGTCCATTAGCCGCACCAAACTCGATTCACCCCTCCGAGCAGTTCTCAGTGCCGGTATCTCTGCCACAAGGTCCACATTCGAGTTCAATACCGGGCCATCCGTCCTTGGCGTGAAGGGAATAGGTGAAGATGAAGGATACGACTACCTAGTCATATCACAGTCGAGCGGTGGTATGACTCCCGGCGTGACAAGGGTGAGGAGGCTGTACCTCCATAACCCTCTCAAACCCTACCAGACACGTGCCCTCGGTTAGATGCGGCCAGGCACGGGCGACAAATGGCCGTTTCCGGAGATAAGAGAGGATCCAAGGCTGCGGCGGAGAGGCGCACTGACGTATCATCATCGCGTTTACCAGCCTGTTCGAGATGCTATCGCTCTGACCTTGAGGCCATCGGGCCGCTCACAACCTGAACCATACATAACCCACATGCCACACCGTTGTCAAATATAAGCTGAGTACATTCTGCCATCTTCTTCCTTTGGTCTCTGTGTTTTGCATCGCCCAACCCTGAACCTGTGTCTCTCACGATGACCCTCCCTTTGCGGCCGAGCGCAGCGCTGCGCCTACGCCGGTATCATATCCTCTGCTCACAACCCGCCTCCGCCCCTCTTATCACACAGTGTGCTGAGACGGTTCCATCTCGTCGAGACGCTCATGGCTATCCTGTACGGCCTTCACTCTCACAACAACGTCGAAAGACGCATACTCGACGATCTGTCACCTCGACAGCGTACGGCGTCACCAATGGGTCGTCTGCCTCGTCCGACGTGCCTCCATCCACAGTGTTATCCTGCCTGCCTCTCTCCAACTTGATCCGATCATATGTGATCACCTCCGTTTCCTCCATTCCGGCCCTGCTCCGGCCGTCATTAGCCGTCATGACATTCCTTGCGCATACCAAGTCGCCTCTCTTCGACCCTGATAGAAATCCGATACTCCACTTCCTCCTCAAGAAAACCTTCTATGCTCAATTCTGTGCTGGCGAGACACCACTGGAAGTGAAGAGCACCATTGCCAGTTTGAAGGACATTGGGTTCAAAGGGGTCATTCTGGGTCATGCAAAAGAGGTGGTGCTCAGTAAGGACGACGAAGCAGGGTTGGACTCAGCAGAAGATTGCACGGAGCAGGCAAGCTGTAATGCGCGAGAGATAACAACATGGAAGCAGAACACCATTGAGACGGTGAAACTTGCGCAGCCGGACGATTTTGTGGCCCTCAAGTTCACTGGAGCGGGGCGTCAAGCTCTCCAGCATCTCAAAGCAACCATTGCTTGCTCTCCAGAATTCGAGGAGGCAGTGCATGACATTTGCAAACACGCACAGTCTAAGGGGGTGAGACTCTTGTTTGATGCCGAGCAGGCTGCTTTACAACAAGGCGTCGATAACTGGACCATGTACTTCGCAAAGGAGTACAACAAGGAAAGGGCCCTGGTATTTGGTACATACCAATGCTATGCCCAGAGAACACCCAAGGTTCTGGCCACCCATCTTGACCTGGCGAAGAAGGAGAACTTTGTGCTCGGGGTAAAGCTGGTTCGCGGGGCCTACATGGAAAGCGACCCACGAGAACTATTCTGGCCCACCATCGAAGACACCCACAAGTGCTACAATGGTATCGCGAAGAGCATCATCGAGCGAAAGTATGGCGACGTCCTGCAACCGGTCGAAGGTGGTTCTTCCGACTTTCCTCAAGTCAGTCTGGTGCTGGCCACCCACAACGCCGAATCCGTGAAGCTAGCCCTTCGACTTCGGGATGAGCAAGCGCAAAGGGGTGAACCACTGATCGAATTGGCGTATGGCCAACTGATGGGGATGGCGGATCATGTCAGCTGTGAGGTTGTACAAGCAGCGAGGGCCCGAGCCAAGGCTCAGGATGCCAACGTCGAGGTTCCGAGCGCATACAAGTATGTGGTCTGGGGTAAACTGGGCGAATGCATGAAGTACCTTCTCCGTCGGGCCCAGGAGAACCGGGATGCTGTGACCAGGACCATCGAGGCGAGACAGGCACTAGGTCGCGAGTTGGGCAGCAGGATGGCATTCTGGCGCTGACTTGATGGAAATCTACGATTGGCTGAGTGGTCCTTCGGGGGACTGTATGGGACATGAGTTATGATGTAGGTGCACAGTGTGAGCATGCTTGCGTTTGCCAGTCTGCACTTGCATGGCGTTCAAGTTGTCGATATCAAGAAGCATCAGTGTTGGGTTGTTTGTCTACAGGTGCAAGACTGTTTAACGCGCGCAAGCGAGGATAGAAGTATCAGAGATTCCCACTGGGACTGCCGCAAGCAAACATTCTTTCTTCTCCCCTGATCCTTTGAAGTCTCCTTCACCGTGCTCCTGTGGTTTCTGGGAAAGGCCCAGCCGTGGAACGGGTAGCTGCTGCTCCCGAACTCACTTCATCCAAGACACGTCGTCGTTGTGGCGGGCGACCTCCTCCCAACTTCTTTGTTCGCTGAACCACTTCCCTCTACGTTGGGCACCCGCGACAGACGGCAACGTGATTCTCAGGAGGCCTGTGTTGAATCCTTCACTTGATCTGCCCAATCTATCCGCGTTGTGCCTTTTTGTGCGAGATGGCTTTCGTCCATGCAGCCTACTCACCTTCTCCTCCAACGCGACGCACCCTCAGCAATTCCTCCATCAACCCAACCTATCCACCTTCTCTCATCTACAGCGACTTTAGCGGTAGCGAAGACTCTGAGGTCTGTTTTCCTTTGGCGACATCCCTGCCTCCTCCTCGTCCCCTGCGTCAGGTGCGCTGCAAGGGAAGAAAAAAAGCGGAATATGAATCACTGATCAGGCACCAACACAGGACATGATGGCCATTGGAAACGACCCTCACCATGTCAGCGACGTGATGGCGGATGCGTTAAGCCACTTAAGTCGGGTGGTGGAACATGTAAGAGTCTCTGTCGGCGTCGCTCCTTGCTGGACTAATCATGGCCAGCTTCGAGGCGAGGGTGAAAATGAAGCAGCGAATGGCATCGCACGCGACGTCCACTCCATGCTGGACACGTTCAATCACACTACTGCCCCCTGGGGGATGGAAAAGTTCCAGATGAAGCCTGCACCTGCACCCAAAGGCCCACCGATCCCACACAGTCGAACCACCACTCCCTCCGACGCGAGATCCAATGCATCCACCTGGGCCGCGGTGGCAGCCACGGACATTCCGCGAAACAATCGACTGGTTAAATTCCGACCATCGGATGCATTGAAGAGAACCATAACCACTGAAGCCACCGTCCAACCCAAGGATGAGGACTACCGTTGCCTTTGGATTTATGGGTGGACCAAGGAGAGAGCTCTGAGCACCATCACTGACCGAGTCAATACCGGGGCTGTCTTCTCCATGGCTTTTGTCGAAGAATATGGCGCGGTCTGCATCATATTCCAGTATGCCAGCGCAGCCATGGCCTTTATGGGCGAGAATTCTCAGGCGCTTCGGGACTCGGGCGTCAGCTTGTTTGGCCCTCTGCAGACAGTCAGGTACGGGGAGCCGTATCCCGAAAATGCTGACATTCGGCGGATGGGCAGCCCGAGTAATGAGCGACGTCGCCTCACCTTCGCTCGTCAACAGCTTTTCACGAATGGCTTGAACGAAGAGCAGTTTAAGAAGGACCTGATCGACATGGTGGGAACCGACAACGTCGAACTGGTGTGGTTGTTCAATACCGGGAATGGTAAGTCTGGCTTCGTTGTTGGCCTCCTGCAAGTCTGACGGAGTATCGTAGCCACGGTTGTTTTCTCTTCCACGGTGATTGCACGGATTGTCCGAGACGAATTCCTTCATCGCTCCAGAAAACCGGGACCGTATCACGATGTTCACGTGGGATTCTCGCATGACCCCTGTGAACGCCCTATGAATTTGATCACCCAGATCCCGTATCCTGGAACATCCCCGCGAGACCGAAGTAACAGCAACAAGTCAGGATCAAGTGGTCGAATCAACCAATCGACATCTACCAAACTAGGATCAGGGGCTATTGTCCGGATCAGAAAGGGAACCGACTCGGATGGTTGGCAAACCGTGCAGCGAAAGCGCTGATGGGATATTCCATGGTTGGGTGGCCGGCGTGGATGGATATTTGATCCTGAGAAGATGACCTGTGACCCACCGGCCTATCTTGTCGAGGCCGCCATGGATAAGCAACTGCGGAAGGAATACAAGGGGATAAATAGTGAACAACTGAGGAGATCAATTCGAACGGGAACGGATGACACATCGACATCCAAGATGGTAGATGGCTACCTCAGTGACATTATCTGGCACCAGGTTTGTATCACAATACATGACGCGAAGGAGGCCTATGGATGGATGATACAAGTCGACACAGAGTGAGCAGGGAATTGAAGTGGCCATACAGTGGTTGACGTTGAAATAATGTCGCCATGGTGGGGAAGAAGTGTGGAAATGTCCATTGAAGAACTATTTTATCCAGCTTTTGAATCTGGTCTTCTCTTCATCCCACCCCCGTCTTCAGGCACATACACCCTTATTGCTTGCCCTCTTCTATGCACGACCTTTACAATCTCTAAAAGCGTGTAAGAGTATGGCTACCACTTGACTAACTCCAGTCATGTGGTTTGGGCTATGTGATGGAGAAGTGGCGCTCTTCTTTCACTGTGCCCCTGAAATTCGATCCACATCCTCCCCCACACCAGTCGTGACCTTTCTTTCTATATGTCCAAGTTTAAATACGGCAACGGTGAGCTCAGCAATATACTCACACACTCTTCTTTCCCATTTCGCATATGCACAGTAAAAACAAGCTTCAAGTTCTGCCCTGCACTGTCCATCACGCAAGGCAAAGAAGAAAGGAGTCCAGACCATTCATTGATTGACTGACAAGTCATTCTCCAACCTTGAACTCATAAACACATGGCGTCCTCCCCAGCCACAACAGACAAAAGAACAAGCTGAGAACCCCTCTCCCCCTCAAGAGAAAAGGGCAATCCACTCCCTGTGAGAAAAAACAAAACAATTCAATGACGGTACTCGGATTCGAACCAAGGTCTTCCTCTTCCACCAGATGAAATCAGCCAACTGTTTCCTGTCCCAAGACTTGACCCTGCTCCAACTACAGGTTTCTCTCCAAAGAGAGCCAATGGAACATCCCAGTTTGCCGTCCCTGTGGGGGGAGGATGTGCTATACCACTGCACTACACCGCCGGGGGTGACCGCGGATTGCGAGTCCGACACGGGGTCGTTGGGGAATTGTGTCGATATTTTGTGCGACGCGACGCTTTAACGGTGAGAATTATGGACAAAAGGCGGATGTTAATCAGGCGGGATTCAGGAGAGTAACTATAGAGGCTTTGATGTGGTATATGTGAAGGCCTCCTGTGGCTTATCACAGACGAGGTCTTTCGAGATTGTTCTTAGGTGCGGGACGGAAAGCAGTCTGTCACCGGGCCAGACTGTGACTATGATTGCGATCTGCCACAGACACTGCTTGCCTGTATCCACGCCCTCAAGGCCGAGCATTTCTGACTTCACCACACAATACAAAACAAAACAAAATGGATGGGAATCTTCATATCACGAAAAGAAAACGAAAAAGAAACCAACAGCAGTATTTGGAATTGAACCAAAGTCTTCCTCATAGGGGTGGAACGCACACAGTTCAGCCTCAATCTGACAATCCCGCAGGAAGTAGTTGAGATCATGAAGGGGCTCCCTCAGTCGAGGATGTGTTGCCAACTACACCATACCGCTTTGTTTTGTTGACTGTTGTTGGACTGAATGTCGTGGGATATGCTCTTATACTCGCTACTGGGACTAAAAGGAATTGACTCTAGTGCTGGGCGTGTGTGCGGGTAAAGTATGTGAAAGACAATACGCGGTCAAATGTAATATGGGGCGAATGCACAGGGAAAGGACATGAAGTCTTGTTGATGAATGAGAAGGATACAACCAAGGAATCCAAGATTCGCAGACTGCATTGACATGATGAGATGGTATCGGGGAATGTGTATGTTCAACATCGACTATAGCTATTAGCTATGCAGAGTAGAAGCCCGGTCCTCGTATATCAGTATAGGATCCATCACACATCTTCTCCATACAGCATCACTACTACTATCAGGTCCCTCAGCTCTTGTCTTGTCTATTCTTGAGCCTTTTTTCCGAATCAAGACTTCAGGACATACAGACTAGACCCTCTCGTCTAGGCAGCAAGCATCAGAAACGGAAACCGATATCGGCACAGGCGAGAGAGAGCGGGTCCAGGAGCCATGACAAGGCTGGCTTCACGGGCTGTTTGGGGATTTCCTGCTCACTTCTCACTGTAGGTAGCACTGTGATTGATAATACTGGCGATGGTCGTGCTGAAGGCCCAGCGTTCATTGGGCCAATTCATACCCCGTACTCACGGCCTTACTGTAATACCGTCATAAGCCCGAGTCTCTTATTGATTCTGGTATATACCTGGTTAGTAGTAGGCGGAGCTATTGTCGGAGATTACCTACATGACAAACATCTGTTCAAGCTGAGATATAGATAAACACCTTATATATAAAGGAATGAAAGTGTATTGAATATATTGCGGCCGACTTCATGCTACTATACTCTGCAAGACTTCCAACTTACCTAAGACTGCCCACCCTTCCAAATGTCCTCATCCTCTCCCCATAAAGGCGTCTGTCTGTGTGGCAATGTCGAGTTCGAAGTCCACGGCAAGCCCGTCACCAATGTCTTATGCCACTGTGTCAACTGTCAGAAGTCCAGTGGCTCGTCTTTCCAGGCCAATTATTTCTATGAAGCCAAAGTGAGTGACTCTTCCAGCGGATCCAGCATCCAGCATCCAGCATCCTTGACTTATACTCGGTCAATAGCAATTCACCCTAGTCAAGGGTAAAGAAAGTATCACCGACTATCAAGACAAAAATACCGATGCGGGATATACCGTTGTTCGCTCCTTCTGCAGCAATTGTGGTTCAAACCTGTACACAATCAACCTCGACAATCCTGCGGTCAAGGATTTCATTATTGTGATGACGGGTTGTCTTGACGAGCAAGCGAGGGCCGAATTTGAACCAAAGCAAGAATACTATTGTAAGCGACGTCAAGTATGGTGTCCGTTAAGCCCGTCAAGTCAAAAGATTCAAGCCATGGTATAGAACTTCCAGTCTCTAAAAGATAAGATAGGGTTAGAAGGCGAGCAGATAGGCAAATAGCAAGATAAGACTATCTTGACCTAGAGTACGTACCTAACTCAGTAGAAACCTACCTACATCAGGTACATGTACATAGTAGGTACCCAGCAAGTATTGAAAAGCTGTACTACTGGTAGTATAGTACTTTCATCCTGGGCCAAGAGATCCTTGGAAGTGAGTCCCGGAAGACAGGACCGCCACCACCATCACCACTACTACTACTGACTGTCTTGCTAAACTCTATCCCAGCGACTTGGTCAATCAACAGCAAACTGCATGCTGAACAAGAAAGCATGCAATAATAATAAAACTCTGTCCCGTTCTCCATTGCCGGTCGGACCGTCTTCCCCGTTGAAGCCACCGCTGGCCTTCATCGTCGTGATAACCCGGCGACAGCGCCACTGGTCATGTCTACCATGTCTATCATCTTTCCTGCCTGTTGTCTACAATTTCAGATCGAACTCAAAGGGACGCTACGGTGTAGCCGACCCAACTTTTTAACTCTGCTTGCCACGTTTCCCGGCCACTGTTCCTTCCACTCAGGTTGAAGAGAGAGAGCACTGAGAAGGCTTCCGCTCAGCCATGGCATCCTCTTTTCTTTTCCGACCCGCCCTTACCGCCTCGCTCTGAACTCCTCCAGGAGCTCTCCTCTTGCGAAAACCATGGCAACCCGAAACCTAGACGCTATGACAACTCATATCCATCCAAGCGGACAGGTGTCCAGTCCGGCCGATTCCACTGAGTGCAAAGACAAGACAGGAGTCTCGTCTCGACGGCTGAAGAAGCGAGAAATCGACCGACGATGTCAGCGGCAAGCTCGCGAACGCACCAAGGCGCGGATTTCCTACCTGGAAGGCCTCGTCGACGACTTTCGCCGGCAGGATTCCAGTGGTCAAGTGGCATCCTTGATGAAACAGCTACAAGATGTGGAAGCTGAGCGCGACGTGCTGGCAAAGACGTTGAAGGACATCCAGAAAGCCATGGATATACACAAAGCGGTAAAGCCGGCCCTGGAGCAGGTGCAGGCAAACAGCATACCCACGTCTCATGGGATGTCGGAAGCCGTCAGCGTGGGGCGCAAAGCCGACATCACTCCCTTCTCGGATGACATTTCTCTTCGCCTGAAGGCCGAGAGTGTCGATGTGCGCCCGGCAAACATCCCAGCGCGCAGTTTCGACCTGGGGAACTACTACTCACCGGCCGGACATCAAGCTCTCGTGCCATCCAAGCCAGCCAAGAACCCGGTTTCGATTCCTCCTGCGCGGTATGCCGATCTTTGGGCCTTGCCCAGAAACACTTGCTCTTGCCTTGGGCGCCACGACCGTGATCGTGACCGTCAACCGGGTCGTCGGTTCATGTGGCGGGGCAGCTACTGGACATTTGCCAACGAAGTCATGTGCGAGCGGTTTGAGTGGACGGACGTCGAGCCTGCCGCAGAAGCCACGGCCCACGATGTACCAGTCCGAGCGTTACTGGAGGGATGGGATTCTGTGGCAAGAAGAGGTCCATTACATCCTTCGTGGCAGACCCTGCGGCGCATTGATGAGACCTTGTTCTCCACCCTCCCCAACACCGAACGTCTGGCCATCCTGAGAGCCATGCATCTGCTTCTACAGTTCCACACCGAGTCAACAACAGAGCGCTATGCCCGTCTACCGCCGTGGTATATGCGTCGGCCGTCACAGAACCTGGCCCACTCATACGCCATTGACTTTTTCGCCTGGCCTGGCCTACGAGAACGTTTTATCTTCAACGAACATGACTATTGTGGGAACGAGTTCTGGCACGCCTTCCGCGAGAACTTGCGGATCCTGTGGCCTTATGAATTCCGGGATTGCTACACCTGTGAGGTCGAGACGGGATTGTACAAGCTATCACCCATGTTCGACCAGCGCTTGGTTGACATCAGATCCTGGACGATGGATTCGGATTTCTTCCGACGGTTTCCCGAGTTGTCTAGTGATATCCCCGCGTTCAATAAGATTCCGCAGTCTGTAAGTCCCAGGGTATGTCCGGGTCAGAAGAATTTGCTCGCCAATCCGTCGTCACCAAAGATGCATGAGTCTGAAAGCGTCTACGAAGAAGAGCACGTCGAGGAGAGACCCCCTTCAGAGATGATTCCTGTCCCCAGTCAGAATCCGCAGATGCACCTTCAGGGACATCAATACCCGCATTTCACCCAGAAGCAGGTGCAGGTGCAGAATCTTCCTCGACAGCAAGACCTTAATCATCCCCGAAGTCAGACGCCGGGGCAGAATCTGCATCGACCACAAGATATGAATCAGCACATGTACGATATTTCGGATCTCAATTCCATCATGGCCCTCGATGCATTTGCCTATGGAGCCATCAGCGAACTCGACGTTGCCAACGCCTTCCAACCCGCGATACCGGACACCTACCCGAACGTCATCTCCTGATGGTGCTGAGGGCCAGCTTCCATATTCCTGGCTGGCACTGTGTAAGAATTCAGCGCCGACGCCGAATTGGTTCTCTGGTACTGGCTCCTGAAGCTCAATTGCGATCCTGTATCCCAGGGGAAATCAAGATGCCTTCTGAAAGCCAGTCATCAGACGAAGAATGTGCCGATCTCCCAAGTGTCGCCTTCTGAAGTGGACCTTCGATGCATGGTCGGCACACGTCTCACAGAACCCAACAAAGTTGTCCAGAACGAACGTCTTGCTTTGCTCAGAACGGTCGATGCAACAGCTGTGTTTTATCTGTCCTGTCGCATTACACTTGAAGCAGGTATCGATGCCCACGGGGTATACCCTCTTGTGATGAAAATTACAATCTTCCTCGGGATATCCCATCTAGGAGATCACTAGACGACGAGCGAAGAAGGTGGTTCTCTCTTGGTGTTGCGATTGTCGAAGATATCAAGGGCTGTCTGTTTGCTGTGGCGCCATGGCGCTGTTTGAGTGCTCTTGAACGTCTGCAGCCGCTTCCTCGGTCGTTCGGCAAACAAACCGCTGAGTCAGGGCGATCAATCAACGCGTTTGCCTCCTAGGACAGCCAAGGCAAGATATAGCTTGTCTGGCAACCAGTCCATGCTCCTTCTTGGTTGTTGATGATGACGGTCCTTGTGCATAGCTGGCGAAAGAACCTGGTTTCCTTCTCATTTGACTTCCATCCACGCGTGGGTATCACAACAAGCAACTGCAATGTCCACCAGAACACCAGCAATCCTCGCTTAGCAGTTCAGAACAGGCCAACTCACCCAAATCAAGCTTCACTTCTTCACTTCAGTCAAAGTCCTCTACGACCTGACAGTCACAGTCAGGTTCGAGCAGCAGACCTTCGAAAAAAATGAGCGAAGGCAACTCCATCAAAGTCTGGGTCCCGATCACGGTGGTTGTCTGCGTCGTAGTCGCCCTAGCATTGGGTTGGTGTCTATGCTGCCACGAAGACGATGGCCGCGATCGGGAAGTCATTCGCATTCCACCCGACGATCTTCTGGGCATTACTCATGCCGCACGCCGTCCAGGTCCCAGTCCCGGTCCCGCAATCGGAACAACCCGGCCGTCGAGACACTTGTCGACAGGCCTTCCGTGGCAGGAGGTCATCGTGGCGCGCGAGTCTCCAGTGCGTCGGCCCGAACCGGTTTTCATCGTGCGAGAACCGCGAAGAGGGAGAGGTCGAGACCGAGGGATACGGGCTGAACGATTCGTGGAGAGAGGGAGACCTCTTGATCGGGATGGAGGTTGGGGATGGGGTTGGGGTCCTCGTCTGGGTCAAGGTCAAGGTCAACATCAGAGGCGGAACGGAAATGAAGGAAGAAGAGTCTGGTTCGATCCCCAGCCTCATTGGATCGAGGAGAGGAGACCTCGGAATCTTCACCATCTTCACCCTCACCCTTACCCTCACCCTTACCCTCAGCGCGGCCGATGGGGCGAGGGAGGGGAAAACGAGCACAGAGGCGGACCTGGACCTGGCGGGGCGAGGATCATCGAGCGAGAACCCGTCTTTCGATGAATTGGTCTGACTGCAGCTTGGCCATTGGTTTTGTCTTTTGTCTCGTTTCTCTGGATCCCTTACGCAAGGATGCGGTAGGGGGGAAGATCGATTGAAAACATGGGTCGGTGTGATATGGGATGATTTTGGTCAAGGGACGAGGCTGTCAAGAAATGACGAGTAAGACGACTGTGTCATGGGAAGAGAGGGAATGGATGGGATTATCCTTACAGTAGTACTTACCTTAGGCTGTCGAGGAACTGGTGCCGTGGTTCAGCAGTGAGCAGTGAGGAGGAGGGAACATATCTGCTTGACTACCTTGGTGTCTTGGTATCTTTTGTCACTTTGCTTGATCGTTCTGACGATGACGACGTCAACGAATATGAAACCGAAGATGATAACGAAAATGACGACGTTGACGACAATGAAAATGAAAATGATGACCACTGAAGGATTCTTCTGTTCTGTGTTCATCTCAACAGATATCTATATATACCTACCTTATGTAAAGAAAGAGATATATATATACATATACATCCATGCAGTACACAGCAGGTACGTATATGCACAGTAATGCAGTGTCCACATGCCGCAATACTAATCCCATCCCAGCTGGATAGATTTAGATTTCCAACTTTTCTTAAACTGGCTGCATCCTTATTAATACTACTTGGCGCAATACGAGATCGCTCCTCTAAAAAGGTCAGCATCGTCACTCTGATCGGATCTGAGAGCTGTAACGCTAACGCAGAGCAGAGAGGGCGATAGATACACTGAGAAAGAGGCGACCGGGTTGGCCTAGAGACCAGCTTTTTGTCCTTTTTTCTTCTTCATCACAGACCCTCGCCTTTTCTCAACATTGGCTCAATAAAGTCTTACTTCCTTAGGCCCTGCGTTGCGTAGAAATCGACTTTTTTTCGTCTTCTCCTTCTCGCCTTCCCTCCTCATCCATTGCGTGTCTTGAAGACATATTTAGAATCCAGCCTCGTACCACGCCGATCCATTTTACCCTGACCAAACTTGGAACGATTGATGCGTGTTGTTCAAGATATCGTCGTCCATCGTATAAGACACATCTGTGGACTCGGGTATGTTCATTTCCCGACGAACCCATCCGGAATCATCAATCCAGCCACCTCAGTAACGCCCCTCTCCATGGCGAGCAAATTATACGCGGCAGCGGCGTTGGCAGTGTCCATAATGTCGACCCTAATCCCCAGCTGTTCGGACAAATACTTCCTCGTCTCGGCACCGAGCATCCACAATTTCCTCCCCGTGCCGATCAGCAACAAGTCTGGTCTCGGGTAGATCAGCTCGAAAATCCCCAGCGACGAAGGCGGGATGGTGAGGATACCGCGACGGTCGAGGAACGCGTTGAACCCTTCTGGAGATGAAGTGACTCCTCCGTTTGTAGTTGTAGAAGAAGTACTATCTGTTTCCTTCTTTTTGTTGGCGGCATTCGCATTCCACGGCGCCCATACAAACGCCTCCCCATCAAGCAGTAACACGCCCAATCCGCCGCGCGTCTGGACGCCGTTGTTCAAGTGGAAGCCGTCATGGACACATGCGTCAATGGATGTCGCGGGGGTCGTGGCTCCGGCGTTGGTTAGGATGTCCATCTTGGCGAAATCGGTTTGCGTGTCTTCCTCCGACGCGGGGCCGCGGTCGTGGGACTTGGGAGCTTGTGGGTTCAGTGATGAGCGAGAATCGAGATCAGAAGTAGCAGTAGGTTTTGAGGTCGTAGGACTTGTGTTCGTGTTTTCCGTGCGCCGAGGAGACGAGACAGGACGCCCCGGTGATAGAGACTGTTTGGTCAGCTGCGACGAGGTTTGGATTGTGCGGCGAAGAAGAGGCGAAGGCGAAGACGAGGTCGGACATCGAGAGGTCGGTCGGGCTGCGAGACATGCTGGTCGTATAGTTGCTGGCGAATATGTACATGAACATGAACATGAACATGAGGGCGCCGATTGTCGTAGGGAAGGGAATGTAGCTAGGCGCAGGGCCCGGAGCAGGTCGGTCGATGGAGGACGCATGTTGGAAGCGCTGATTCTCAAGCGCAGCGAGTTTCTCTGGAGATCCGGAGACAGGAGGCTCGCTTTCACTGGGGAGCTTGGTGGTAGCTTCGTGCAAAGGATGGTGTTCCAGGCGATCTCGAAGAGGTGTGTGTTCTGACCCTGACGTGGTCGCTCCAATAGAACTGTTCAGCTTCAACAAATTATTCTCCTCGATCAAAAGGAGGAACTCCTTATATAGACGCCAGTACAACGGCCATGGGACTGTCGAGGATGGAAGTTCAGTCTGGCACACTGGCAGCTATTGGAAGAGTAATAAAATAAGACGTGGATGTGAAAGAAGTCGGAGAAGATGAAGATGACTTCATCAGTGCAGCACTCAATTAATATCGACAGGGTTCAGAGTAGCAACCAATCATAGAACTCATATTGCACCATTCTACACAGCAACCATCTATCTGCCTTCATTGCTGAGTAGGTACTTTATCTAGCCTACAATCTGACTTAATCTGCCTTTCTCAAGCATTTGCAGGTATGGCGTGTAACCAGTGACTCAAGAGGAGTTGTATACCTTGCAAGCTGCAACCATTCAATACATAGGGATTTCGTCTGGAGGAATAGAGAGAGGGCAGACCAAATACTCAGTTGAGCGAAGAAGAGGGTGATGAATGCATGACAGATTTTATTTGACCGTATTCTTTCTTCCTCATTAAAAACACTCCACGCCACAATGGTGTACAGATTCGCCAGTGCCAGCAACTGCTGACCCGTCAAATGCAAGCACCGAATACCTCCCTCAGATAAGGTAGTCACTCTGAATGCTTCCGTTGTCACGCCGTCCAATCCCAGTACCGTCGCCATGCAAAATTCGAGATGGCCAAATACATACCACTCAGCGGTTGATAGAAGAGCAGGTCCACATCCGCCCATGAATAGCGAACAACAGAAAGCCAATTCTTCTTTGTTTGGAATCACATGATGCAAAGTCCCACAAGTGCGACAACGACAGCAAACAGACTCCCTCGCAGGACCGACTCGCCATTTCCGCCGTATTGGGCGGCGCCATTCGAACCTGATCCACCATCGCCCTGAACGAAGCCGGTCGATGCACTTCCTGTGGCGGCGGCCGTGGCGCTTGCAGAATCGCCGTCACTACCGCTGTCATCACCGCTGCTGCTGCTGTCCGACGAATTTGAACCACGATTACCATCACTACCAGGCCCTGCACCCGTCAGACCTGGGACCGTGGCAACATCGCTGGATTTGGTGGTTCCGCTGGCGGTGGCCGAGCTGCTGGCATAGTCGGCCGACATGTTGGTACCGGTGCCCAAGAAGGATTTGAGAACAGTGTTGTCGTTGGTGATCTCGACGGTTGAGTTCGTCAGGGACTTGTCGGTGAAGATGTAAGATTTGGTGCCGTTGACGTTTGCGCCGGCGGGAGGATTGTAGCATTGAACGCTCACTTGGTCAAAGGTGGCATAGTAGTACCCATTGGTCATGTAGGGCGAGTTCCACTGCACCAGACCGCCGGCCCAGTCAATGGTACCTTGGCCGTTGCTCGCCAGACCACCGGGCCAGAGAGACAACTGCACTCGCGCGGGGGTTTGGGGATACATGTAGCGGTTGGCTGTGGCGTTCCAGGTCTCGTCGCGGTTGAGGGTTCGGACCACATTGCCGTCAATGGACCATGTGATGGTGTCGGGTTGCCAGTCGATTTCGTAGTCGTGCATGTTCTCGCGAGTGTCGCTCAAGCCAGTAGCATTGACCGCATTGGTGTCTGCAAGGTAGAAACGGTTAGTACGGTCATCCTAGAACGGAAAACGGGAAATGCTCACAGTTCGTAATGCCCAGAGAGTAAAAGTTGGTCTGCGCCGTTTCCAAGTCCACCCCAATGAATTCAAAATCGATTTCGTCCTTGGAATCACCCAGCAGAATGAAAGCCGTCACCACACCGGCACCCGCGGAAGTGCTGAATCTGGCAGCCACCTTTCCATACCAGACGTAGTGTGTGCTAGCCAGTAGGGTCCCGACCGTGTTTTCAGCCATGGTCAACAGCACCGTACCGTTGTAGGACAGCGGCGTCCCCGAAGATACCCAGTCGGACTTGCTGGCATCTCCCAGGTATTTGGTGTTGGACATGACACGGTCGAGGTCGTCAAACTTGTAAGTCTTGGATTGACAGACAGGTGCGGGAACACAGGAATCGAGGCTGAACGAGTTGACAGGGTCGCAACCTCCCAGACAGTAGGCGCCAACACCACATTGGCCGTATTCTATTCAAATCACCGTCAGTCTTTCCTGTTCTTAAACTCGTCAGAGCAGTCTTCCGAAACGTACGTGAGCAACAAGGTGTATCTGAAGGACAAAGCACGCCGCCACCGCAGGTCGCTTGGGCGAAGACTGCAGGCGCCAATGCGGCTAGGAGGAGGACGGAATGCAAGACGCGGCCTGCCATCGTGGGCATGGATGTTTGTGGTGTTGGATCTTCTCTTGGTATGTAGGGAGTGTAGTGATCGTATGCAGTCGGAAACGAAAGGCGGTGTCGGGTCGCTACACCAGTGCGGCGTTTAATGAGAGGTACAGCAGGTTGTACAGGAAAAAGCTCCGTCAATGGCAGCGGATTGTGGCTGAGCGAGAGGATGGAATTGAAGCTCGAGAAGACTGCGGGAGATTGGACAAAGAAATCAAAGAGCCCAAAAACCGAGACAAAATAAGGGGGCCACCGGCGAAGGAGAGTGAAGAATACTGTGCTGTTGTTTATTCTCGAACGCAGAGCCAACAGCAAGACCACGGTGCAGTGCGGAAAAGGAAGAAGATGGAAATGTTACAGATGGAAGAGGCCGGAGAATAGAAAGGGAGATGAGTTGATGGATCGATGGAGGCCGCAGTCGAGAAACATGCAGTGAGTGGTCAATGTCAAGGCCCCAAACTTGCAGGCCAAATGGCAAATCATGGGCGCAGGCAAAAAATGTTACTAACAATACAACAACTTGAATACAACAAGCACTGCATCACCAACACTGTCGCTCTCATTCAATGGCCGTTGATTCATTATTGCAACCTACAATAGCATCTGTCTGTTCAGCAATCCTGCTATAACCTCCTACATGATCACGAACCTCCCATGCCCTTCAAACAAGCGATCCCAAGTCTCCAATTTCGCAGCGTGAAGAACTCCATCTCCCTCTGCGATCCAGCCCAGCAAATGACGCGGCGCGTGAAACATCCAGGCACCTTCAACCACGACATTATACTCGATCGAGTTTAGATGTCGAATCTCCCACGGTTCTTTATTCGCCGAATCCTCTCAACGTCCCCAGATCATCCGTGGCGGACTCAGGGGGTTTCACTCTATTTTCCACGCCCAACGAATCAGAACATGTCTTCACTCAAGCACGGTTCAAAGCGAGCACCTGAGGGTGGCTGAGCCGCACTGAACCGCCGTAGTGGCCGCCATATCCACGGTGATGGCTGTGCCCGGCGCTGTTGATGTCGTTCATACTACTACTCTGTAAATATACGTACCGTCGCTCATATTGAAGAGCTGTGGCAGCCTCTCAATGAGCGTTTGAGAGACTCAACAGGCGGAGTTCCGGGGGTAGGCATATTCTAATGATCGCGCGCACAGTATCAGCCGCTTTCGAAGCATCTATCGGCGGCGATGCGCAGCTGGCGAGAGACCACATGTAGAACATCAATCTGTCCGTGTTCAGGTCAGACACCGTCTCGACCGCAGGAACCAATTTGTCCCCGAACAGGATCGTCCAACCCATATACAAAAACAGCCATGTACCACACATGTGCGGCGACAAGACGATGGACTCAAGGTCAAGTGCAATCATGGAGTGATCAGGTCGATGCAAATCAAGGTAAATCCCGTACCTGGGTTGACGTCGAGGTTATAAAGGAAAAGATGTCCAAAGAAGGATGCAGTCTCCGCCGATAATGTGGTGAAGGAGCGAGGAAGCTCTAAGCTCTATTTGGAGGAGAGAGACCTAGCCGGACCATGGACTGTCGACTCGTTGGTGAAGATATTTGCCTTTTCTTACCTGCCCAGCACCATTGCCTCTGCGACATCGACTGACGATCCCGATGCGCCTGATACGACGTCTTCAAGGGGCGTGATTTTAGACGGCAGAAACTATCTCAGTGATCCACAGTCCTGTAGCCTCGCGACCAAACCGAGGCAAACGGGGCTTCTGGCATGTGACGTAGGGGCACAATGGCGGCCTCACCGACTATGACTACCTCCAGATATGAGTGGCCGCCAACAAGAAGATCTTACCTAGGAAACCCGAGCCTGACGACTCCAAGGCCACCCAAAAGGACTCCAACTCCGGTCCTTCATAGTTGGGTCAACATGTTGAGATGAGCAGGGTCCTTCTGGCGGCGAGTACTGCTTATGTGTGAGGCCTAGTGGTGGCTATGGCTGTATGACCTTGGTGGTTGCCCTCGGAGCCCGCCCCTTAACAGACTGCCTGATGGGATCGGCTGCACCAAGGCGAAGCCGGTTGCAGCTCTCGAATAGGCACTCCGACCTCTAGCAGGAGACGCTCGTAAAGAATGTCGACACCGGATTTGTCAAGAACATGGAGCGGCCCATGCAATCCAAATTCGACACAGTGCTGGAGGTGGACATACTCGGAGCAATTCTCGAAGGCTTGCGAGGGGATGGCCATGCAGCTAAAGTGTTCCTGATGGTGAGCGATACTTACACAACCGCTGCATCTGTTGTGCTTCAGATCCTGTGACACTGTCTCTCGCAGAAATCAGGAAAGCTCCAGCGTTAGACATGATGTCGCCCAATGTTATAAATAAGTCTGGGAGCATTATGCATTCCCGTGACATCCGGGGAACATGGGTCTCAGGGGCTCTGGTTTGGCTGTTCCAACCCGTGGCTCTGCACACTGCAGTGCAGCATGAGGATAGAGACAACACTCTTTGCACTTGGCAATTTCACAGGCTCGCATGTCTCTGTCGAGCAGGAGTAACAGCCTCGGACAGACATAAGGGCCTGCACGCCTCGACGTCCTTGAACCAATGGTTAACAGCCCCGACAGAAACACGATGTTCTCCGGAATCACGGCGAACAGGCGAGGTAAGCAGAAGAGAGGCAGTGCCGGAACTGACTGCACCCCGTCATTCCACGTCCATGATGTGCAATATCGATATTTCCATCCAATTGGGAGCAACAACGGGATCGAAGCAGTTGTCGACGGTATTAAATGCTGCGATGACTAAGCCCCCGTCGATGCTGGCATGATAAGAATTAAAAGTCGACCACTAGGTTCGGTTTCCGAGATTCATTCGATCGATCCGGGGGTTCCAACAGCCTGCCTGACGTGTGATTACCGGTCGGCAGGAAAGGCAAACGTACCCACGGCCTCCGACTACTCTGAGCACTTCTGTTACGGACCCGCCAGAGAGAGGTCGGCTAGAGATTTGCAGCGTTGCATGCAGAGCATCGATGTAGCTTCCAGCGTGAGAGATGTTGGAGGTTTCGTCAAAGTACCACAATCACCGGCATGTTACCGTGCAGATGGTCAGACGGTCACGGCGTCATAGAAAGTCCCGACTCCGTGAACATTGCATCTGATGCTAGGCCTGTCAGACGGGCGCCTCATGGCTTGTTCCTGGGATCAGCCGGCGGTTGTTACACACTGCATGCTCCAAGCCGCTCTGCACATGCGAGGACAGGGGATAAGATAGAACGCTTCGAGATGTGATGTCAAACACATGTCCGTCCGAACAGACTCCTGAATAGGTGGTGATTGACTAGTTGTCCCCCTTCGGCCTCTTTTCTGGATTGCCTGATTTGAGTCGAGTGCACTCTGTCCCAGGACTTTTTGGGACTATCCTCCTCAATAAATGCAAGAAGAAATGCTGGGGCGGACGGTGAAAGGAAGAGCGGGCACCCGACGGCAACAATGCCGGAGGAACCAGTGGCTGAAAATTTACCAAAGAGGTAGTGGGTATCCTTGTTGTCAGGAGTTTTTGACTTCAAGTTTCGACGGACTCTTCTCCGTCTCATAGGAAGGCTGTTCGGTACTTTAGACAATCTGTTCGTAATGGTCTGCCCGGTCCGGTAAGTTGAAGTGAGACGGCAAGGGGCTTCCTGAGCTCCCTATCTCGTCTCGTACATGACATTGGCAGTGTTGTATGGCAGCGGAGCATGCCAGCTACTGCGGCCAGCATCCTCTTGCATTTCCGCCGTATCGAGAAGCACCCTGCAGAGTAGTAGTAACACAGAAGCTGAGGGCTTGGCTTGTACACCGCATGCCAGTAGAAGGAAAGCGCCCTGTTCATGTTATTGCTGGGATGCTTCCTGGTTGGGGTTCATACAGTCAGCCAAGTGGCTACTAGTAGATCAGATAATCTCAACACCATCCGCGACACGATCGTCTGGCTCTATCTACCGGTAGTCGGCCGGTAGTCGGCTCCAAAGATTGTGGTCAACCCTTGCAAGTTGGCAGGGGGAGGCGATAGTATGCCAGGTGAGTTTCGCTTCTTTTCGGGGGGCCTGGATTCCCTAGAGGTGACATCTGAGGGAACAAGGATGCAGGTCGCCCTGACCATCCACACCAACAAACCCGTTGCTTGCCTGAAGTCGACTGTATGATTACTTCTCTAGGTCCAACAGTGCGTTGAGCTTTTCTGACACTCGAAAAATGGCAGGAGCCGCTTGGAAGTTGTGCTGGGAGATTCCGGCGGCTCAAGGAGGGTGCAAGATAAGATGCCAGGAGTGGTCAAAACGATCTTTCATCCCTCGTCCGACCGAGGGATCGGCAAGGTGGTTGATTGATACCCTCCTTAATTCTGTCCTTTGCTGTCTTTTGGCTGTCGGGGGCCGCTCAGGGGATAGATGCCATTGGCCGTGTGAAACTGTCCCCTTTCCACATCCCACCAACCACTTACAACCACTGGCCAGTCCCTGTCGCTAGAGAAAATAGTATGTTGCGGTATGACGGTTGACTTCGAAACGTGAACTCCATAAGCGGGCCAACTAACGGCTGTCTGTGGCTGAATCCGACCCATTACTCAGGCCCGTTCGCTTCCTCCTCATCGCCTCGTTGTCTGTGTGAGGGGGGCAGCAAGGAGAGGGAAGTGTGCAAAGCCGCCTGTTGAGAAAAAGAGGTGGTAAATTGTAGAGGGACATCGCAAAGTCCCATCGTCGCGCCTTGTCGTAACAGATCGTACGACCGACAGCCTCTCGGCTTGAGCAACCAAGTCATTCCCTCCCCGTTCTGCATCCTGCGGGTCTGGAGGTGATTTTGATGCAAGTCAGTCTGGGCAACAGCCACGAGCCACGGTGTATTCTTGATAACTTCCCCGGTACGGGGCGGTCGTTCATAATAATAGATATTTCTGACCGTCAAGACATTTAGAGCAACCCTTGCTGGTATTTGACGAGCGCACGGAGTGGAGCTGGTCGCATCTGAAGGGATCAAGTGGGCGATCCATCGGTTCAAGTCGTTCCAACGTTATCACCGCCCCATGTACGGAACCGTCACACTGGCCGTGTCCTTTCTCGATAAACTTGCCATGGCAGCAAGACCTCTTCGAAAAGAAGATAAGGTGGGCTTCGGTCCCTCATGCACCAACCTCTTCGGTCGTCCCTGTATGCTTGTCAATCTCCATTCTGGCAGCATTCCGTGCGTTGTGATCGACTTCACTAGTTAAACAAGCTTACCTGACACCCCGGCTTGTTTTCAAAACACATTAAGTGCCTTCTCGCCCAGCTTCACATTCCACTTGGTCCCTATTCTTGGACACACTCTGCACACCGATAAGATGGGCCAAACAGCATCCCAACCGGTGCCTGATAAGACCTTGAAAGTCATAGGAGCCGGTCTGTCGAGAACCGGAACAACTTCCTTCGGCGCCGCTTGCTCGTACCTGTTGGACGGCCCGTGCTACCATGGAGGGACACAAATGCTCAATTCTCCGGAATCACACATCAAACGCTGGATCGAAATCATTAGACATACTCCAGTGAAGGGCGAGGCGGACCGTGTGGCACTCCACGACGGAGTCAAGGAGTTGCTTGATGGATATGTCGCCTGTACCGACCTGCCAGCCAACGCCTTCGTCGAAGAATTGATGGAGATCTACCCCGATGCCAAAGTCATCTGCACAGTTCGCGATCCCGAAAAATGGTGGAACAGCATGGCTCCGATTGTCGAGAAGGGAAACCTTACTCTTTTGTCTTGGATTCTGGCGCCTCTCCCGACTCTGCGCATGTTTAGGACGTACCACGATGCCATTGACGATGGCCGTGTTGGCGAACTGTACTTCCGCCCTGGGGAGCCTAAGAGACCGACCAGGCTGATGTGGGAACGACACATCGAGCACCTCAAGAAGGTCGTGCCCAAGGAGAAGCTGTTCTTCTACGATGTCCGTGACGGATGGGAGCCGTTATGCGCCATCCTCGGTGTTCCTGTTCCCAAGGATGTCCCGTTCCCCAGACTGAACGATGCGCAAGCCATGGAGACTTTCATGAAAACTAGTGCTCGACGGGGCCTGATGGCATGGGCCAGCATATTCTTGACGGTGGCTGGTGTTGGGTTCTATGGTGCCAAATATGCCAGGTTGATATGATTGTTTCGATGGACTCAATGCAGGTGAAGTCACTGCTGTCGGGTTGTGCAAAGTGTGAAACCTATATCGACCTCAGAGGGATTTGGGTCGATTTCAACCAACCAGGATCGGCGTCCAGGGTCAAGAGATACCTGGCAAGGGAGTATGGGGCGTTGGAACGGTGGTTCGTCCAACAAAGGGCCGGGCTGTGACAGCATACCGCTGCTCTCACGGCTTCTTGCGATTGTCGGACTTGCTTTTCGCCCTAGAACTGGTTAGATAGGGTGGCACCATATATTGTGGTGCCGAGATCACGATGGTCCATTCTCAACACAGGGCACCCCCCTGCCCAGTACCAAATTCACTGCCTTTGGCGAGGCATTTTCGTGATCAAGGATTTTGAGAAACAAAAACAAGACCGGGTCTTAGACGAGCGAAAGGCTGTGGCTCCAGTCCAGATGACTTCGGGCAAGGCTGTCAGCTAGTGCGTGCGCGACGGGCCATTGACTGACAGGCCTGGGGATTAGATGAACTTCAACTTAGGACAATGCGGGGAGACCGTTGGCCAACATATATGGGAGAGAGTTCGAACCAGCGTCGCGCATTGTCATATGTTCATCTCCATTGCGTGAATGCCCCTGACAATGGCGCCATTCCTGCCAAGATGGCATCAGGCTGTGTGGCTTTCTTCGTGTCCACTTCGTATTCCTAAAGGCATGGGTAACCCTGTTCAACTCTTGATTCTGGAATGTGATGGTGGTTTTGTTATTTCCGCTGTTGGGTATCTGATCAAGGTTGGCAAGAACCACAGGTTTCCAATACGCCGCCGCTCGAAGAGAGATTGACCTTTTTCGTCTCGTTGCTATGATCGAAGTGAAAGGTCGCCAGCGAGGTGGGAGCCCAGAGACGATCAACAACAGACAGAGTCGGACATGGGCTTCATGGAACGGTGGATATGGCACCACCCGATCAGAAGCTAGTCTCTCCCTTGGTCATAGGGGGATCAAGGACATAGGGGGGAGATCAGCCTCGTCGACAGAGCTTGAGGCGGCAGAAGGACAGCAATGGTCGTAGACTGCGGTCATCGTGAATACCCTGCGGCCCACCCAACGTAGGACGGTAAGTCCAGTGGGTTGAGAAGTGTCCGAAGGACAGAGTAGTATGAGTATCGTGTGCTTCTTTCTGTGTAGATTCTCATCTGCTCTTCGCTCCTTCCCAGTTTGCGCAATGTGGTTAGTCAGCTGCCTGTAGAACCATCTGCAATTCAACGTTGGGCCAGATTGGAACCTTGGACTATCACTTTCGAATCCTCTTGACACGACTGCTTGATGTATTCTCTGGGACTGTTCATAATGCAGCTCTCGGCCCTTCACCACCTTCTGAACTCCCTGGCATCCCTGACCCGGTGAACAGGCCGTTAGACGAGTATCATCTTGACATTTTCGGACAACAACACAACCTCTACAATCTATACACTCAAATATGTCTTTGCTTCCACGTGCCAGCACCTTCTTCGCACTCACAGATCACTGAGGCCCTGACCAAAGGCCTTGAACGACTGTCTGATGGTTTCCCATGGATTGCAGGGCAGGTGGTCCACGAAGGTGGACCTACGGGAATCTACAAGATCGTTCCATTCAAGCGGATCCCTCAGCTGGTGACAAAAGATCTTCGGGACGATCCAACAGTACCTTCTATGGACAAGATAAGGGATGCAGGGTTTCCTATGAGCATGCTGGCTGAGAAGGTCATCTGCCCGCGCAACACGCTGGCCGCGAAGACGGCAGTAGGAAATGACCCAGCACCCGTGTTCATCGTGCAGGCTAACTTCATCACTGGTGGTCTCCTGCTCGCCTTCGTTGGCCAGCATAATGTCATGGACATGACCGGACAGGGCCAGATCATCCGGCTCCTCTCCAAAGCCTGTCACAACGAACCGTTCACCGACGACAAGCTTGTGGTGGGCAATCAGGACCGTCGCGACACCATCCCTCTGCTTGACGAGCCATTTGACCCGTCTGTCGAACTTGCTAGACAGCTTGCAAAGCCACCTGCGTCTATTCCCAATGCTGAGAGCACATCTTCAGAGGCAGGAGCAAAGGTTCCAATGAACCCTCATACAGCCCCTACGAAATGCTCGTGGGCGTGTTTCGTATTTTCATCGACAGCGCTTGCGGCGTTGAAGTCACTCGCTGTGAGCACCATGACCGGAAACACGGGTTATATGTCGACAGACGATGCACTGAGCGCCTTCATCTGGCAATCCATCATGCGAGCTCGGCTGCATCGCTTAGATCCCAAAGAAGAGGTCACGTTTGCACGCGCAGTCGACCCACAGCCCTTTCTAGGCATTCCAAAGACATATTTGGGTGTGGTGCAGAACATGACATACCATACATACGTGCTGTAGCAGCTGTTAGACCAGCCGCTGGGCAGTGTGGCATCAAATCTGCGGATGGCCTTGGACCCGGCAACGACACGGGTAGCGTACAATACCCGTGCCCTGGCCACTTTCATGCAGAGGTCTCCAGAAAACCGAAGCCTTGTTTCAGTCACAGCGACACTTGATCTGGGTTCGGACATCATGCTCAGCTCGTGGGCTAAAGAGAAACTCCATCACCTCGATTTTGATCTGGGTCTAGGCAAGCCCGACGCTGTGCGTAGACCGGCATTTGATCCCGTCGAGAGTCTGCTATATCTGTTGCCTCGAGCTTTGGATGGGGAGATCGCGGCTGCAATTTGTTTGAGAGACGAAGATATGGAGAGGTTGAAAGCAGACAAGCAATTCAAGGAATATGCCAGGTATATCGGATGAGGAGATTCGCGCGCTGAATGCTGAGGGCAACTGGTGTATCATGATCCTTGCAGGTTTCTGCGGCTTTTCATGCTGCAGGCGACGCTGAATGTTCAGTCTCTGAACCCTGGACAGGCTGGACAGGTTTCTGAGGCTGTATCCTTGATGCACCCGTGTGAAAGAGGCCACAGCCGCATATCGGATGTGGCAATACCTACCTCTCTATACTACTCCAGAGCTGATGTTCGTTGTGAAGTGGTTGTTCTTACCTAAACAATAATGTGATATGGACAATCTACATAAAGGTATTCAGCAATTGTTGTGAACGTAAAAACGGAAGACCACCACTGGCAGCTCGTAGTGATATAGAATGGGCATTGTGTCCACAAATACTCCACCGTATGTTATGGATGTTGTATCACTACGGTGGATGTCAAAACTCTCAATGGCTATCCCTGCTGCGACGCATGTGGCATGGCAGACTGCACCCGATTGCGTCTATCAACACATCTCTGGCTTCATGAAACCATACCCGTCTACGCGCTGTTCCATTTTGCACAGAGAGGCCAGATAGACCAGCATGACGCGGTCCGAAGAGCCTCTCCTAGCGAGACCGGCATCACCCAACTCGTCGACCAACGAGATCGAGGAGGAAGATGCGCTCCTGACGGGCCAGCCCACGAACCGATCACCTACATCCAAAGCACGGAAATGGAGAGAAGCCGGCCTGTTCGTATGGGCGGTACTCGCCACCGCTGCGGTCATCGTTCTAGCCGTCGTCTACCAGCACGAATCGTCAGTGGCACGCTCAAGACCGAAGACCGGGGGATGGGGTCCAGACGGGAAGCCGAGCGGCAAGCGCAACATGATATTCATGGTGTCAGACGGCATGGGCCCGACGTCTCTGTCCTTGACGAGGAGCTGGAGACAATACACCAGTGGACTACCCATTGACGACCTCCTAGTGCTGGACAGACACCTGATCGGGTCGTCGAGGACACGCAGCTCGAGCAGCCTGGTGACGGACTCGGCGGCCGGCGCGACGGCGTTTTCGTGCGGCTTCAAGAGCTACAATGGTGCGATTTCGGTGTTGCCCGACCACACGCCGTGTGGGACGGTGCTGGAAGCGGCCAAACGAGCGGGATACATGACGGGGTTGGTGGTGACGACGCGGCTGACCGATGCCACGCCGGCGTGCTTTGCAGCGCATGCCAACCGGCGGGAATACGAAGATCTGATCGCCGAACAGATGGTCGGCCATTACCCGCTTGGCCGGGTGGTGGACCTGCTCATCGGCGGAGGACGATGCCATTTCCTGCCCAACACCACTGAAGGGTCGTGCAGAGCCGACTCGACCGACGTGGTGGCCATGGCCAAGGACGACTTCGGGTACCAGTACATCGACAACCGGGCGGATTTCGACAACCTTGACAACCAAAACGGTCATCTCGACCTGCCTCTCCTGGCTCTGCTGGCTGACACCGACATCCCCTATGAGATCGACCGGGCCCAGGTGTCGGACGTGTACCCGAGCGAAGCGGAGATGGCCAGACTCGCGCTCAAGGCATTGTCCGCTGCGACCAAGGACTCGGACAAGGGCTTCTTCCTCATGATCGAAGGGTCCCGGATCGACCATGCCGGCCATGCCAACGACCCGGCGGCCCAAGTGCGCGAAGTCATGGCCCACGACGAAGCATTCGACGCAGTACTCAAGTTCCTTGACGGCGACGAGACAGAAGGCGTGCTCGTGTCCACGTCGGACCATGAGACGGGTGGTCTCGCCACCGCCAGACAGCTTCACGAGTCATACCCCCAGTATCGATGGTATCCGGAAGTCCTGGCCAACGCGAGCCACTCGTACGAGTTCATGGCGCGGGAGTGGCGCAAATACCTCGACTCCTCGTCTTCGCTGTCGCGTGGCGAAAAAGCCATCAAGCTCGCCGACATGATCTCTTCAGACCTCGGCATCACAGACTACAGCGACGACGAAATCGACGCCATCATCGACGCCTCGCCGGTCTGGCCTCCGGCGTACCACTTTGCCGACATGATTTCGCGCCGCGCCCAGGTCGGCTGGTCCACGCACGGCCACAGCGCTGCGGACGTCAACATCTACGCCTCGCACCCTACTCATGCCCCGGGACTGGTGGGCAACCACGAGAACATCGAAGTTGGCCAGTTTATCGCCGAGTACCTCGACCTCGATCTCGAGCCGGTCACCAAGGAGCTGAGGGAGAAGAAGGTCAAGACTTCCTATTCCGCTTCTGCATCCCATTCCGGCAATCAAACCGCTGCATCTGAAGGTTGGGGCGAGTGGATGGGTCCGCCTGGGTTACCGGCCAATGATAACGCACAACTTGTCTCGCTTGACGAGTATCATGGCGACTTCAAGCATCGGAAACGCGAAGCCGAAGCTGCAATGGACTGTGGCTGTGGCATGAAGCATTGAAATTGAAAAACAGCCGGCCTACATCAGACTGTGCCACGGACTGTGCCACGGACTGTCATTGCGACTTGAAGCATGAATTGACAGCCACACTGAGTTTACATAGCATCACCTGGTACGGAACAGACTGGACAGAACTGCACTGCAACCCGTTGAGGAACAAACTGGACGGCACTGGACTGCAACCCGTTGAGCTGCAAGTTCGTGGGTGATTGCTTGCTTGCTTGCTCACTTGCTGGCAAACATTGCGCCGGGCTTAGATTCAAGAACTAGCGAATATCATCAAGGGCGCACGGCGGCGTTGGTTGATGGGATGATATGATACAATACAATTACTTGCCTGGTTCATGCCGTGCTCTTTTCCTTACTTCTAAGAGCTGTGACCATCGACCGAGCTCTTAGTCGAAGCTACCCGAGAGAACATCCCGAACTGATGTAGAGTTGATCGGCAGCGATCAAGCATGTTACAGTAGAGAACATAGTGTAGGTAGATTCAACACCTTCTCAAGGATTACTTGCTACCTGCGAAGCATCTCGGTTCGAGAGTGGTTCGATAGTCCCTCAGCCTGCTAGAACTCACGACTTATACTGAGATTGTGCAGCATCTTCCTCCCCAGGTGTGACCAGCCGCACGCTCTTTCTGGAACCGCTGAAGCCTGTTTGAGCCGTCGGCTTGCTGCGACCATTTCCTCGCTTGTCGGGCATACTCCGCTCATCACCACTTTGGGTTGCCCGCTCGGCAGCCGCACTGTTACGCAGCGCCACTCGCGCCTTGTCGACTGCTGGGCTGGGTGTTGCTCGGAGAGGATCTCGTTTTGTCGAGCCAGTTCCTGCACTGCTTCCACGGATGAGTTTTGCTTCTTCTTCTCTGTTTATTTGTTCCTGAATGCGCTGGACGCGGGTCAGCCCCGGCCCACAGTCACACCCGCAGCCTTGTGACGGACAGGCGCCTTCACTGAAAGGCTGAGCAAACCATTCCATCATGCAACGGACATGTCCTGAATGTCCGCACGCTTGGCAGAACATCCACATGTCCCCGGCCTGGCCCCCGCTTTGCATGTCAGATCCGCCTGGTGAGGTCGGCGCAGATGTGCCGCCCTGATCAGTCCTGATCGATTCGCAGATTGGACACACACCCCTGATCCTCCGACACGCGTCACAAACGTTCGTCCCAGGAGGCATAACTCTCTGACAGTTCGCGCAAGCTGCCGAGACACTCATGGGATCCCCATTGGTGAGGCTGCCACTATTCTGCTTGTTGCTCTCTGCAGCATGGATTCGAGGGTACTGAAGCTCCACACACATCTTCCTCACGAGTGCCGCAGACTCAAAATATCCCATCTGTTTCAGGTATTGCAGATGATTTTCGAAAATGCTTTCGATCATACGGTGGCCAAGGTCAGGTGTCATCAGTCTATCAGCAAGAGACTCCGCTCCTGCGGAACCCGATCGCTCGAGATTTCGAAAGCTGGGGTCGAAGAAGTATGGGTGAACATGCAGAAGCAGATGAGTCGAGAATTGTCCATGTCCGATACCATTGTCGACGTCAAAAGCAACACTCTGACATATCAATGGCAGTGACGACCAGGCGAAGGGCAGTTTCGGCTCATACCTTGACAAGTCAATGGGCCGGAAATCTTCAAACAGATACGCCTCCTTGTCAAGGTCTTCCATCGACATAGCTGCGGAGATATCATCCGCATGTCGACCATCCTTGTCATTTACAGAGATATCCTTCTCCGTGCGAATCGGGTTGAACGTATGAATACGTGGCTTGGGGAGTGATGACCCTTCTTCGAAATGGAATATATCTGGAGATGATGAGACCCCCGTCTCTAAATGCAGATTCTGAGCCGATCCAAGTCCATTTCCGGCGTCCCACGTTGTGTGATCCTCTGCTCCGGTGCCCCTCCCCACGTCCTGACCAGACAAGTCGTGTCCAGGACTCATGTCCAGTAGTGTGTTGTCGGTAGGAGGTCCGCTCGTCGCCTCCTCCGGAGCAGCATCAGATCTCTGCTCCGACCTTGGTCGCGACCGACTGTAGTCATCAAAAGACGATTCATCGAGCTCAGTATCCTCCGCGTCATGGTTGTTTGCAGTTCGCCCACGAATATTCCCGCCACCGAATCCAGGCGACTCGAATGACTGCCCAAGCGACCTGGCTTTGTGCGAGCTATCGGTTGATGCGGAAAACATGGGAAAGCTTTCGGCCGAGTCGTGTCTGACATCAGGTACAGGCTTGCTGGCCGATTCGTCCAATGTAAATATAGGCCGAGCCTGCACGCGATAGTCCCTCAACGCAGCTCTGCGATCCTCATGATTCTGAGTCTCTCGTTTGGTACGCTGGATATCAGACGGCCCGCCTTTGGCCGCCTGCGACGGTGACATCCCTGCCCTTTCCATTTCGTTGGTTATCTGGCTTGCATTAGAACGCACAGGTCTGAGTATTTCCGGCGAGGAGGCATTGGATGTCGCTCCACGCTTCGGGCTGTTTATAAGGGCCCGAGCAGCAGCAGCAGCAGTCGTGTGTGAGGTCAGTAGGGCGGGAGGAAGAGGCGCAATATTCTCAATTCTGTCATCACTACTCAACCCACTCCATCTCTTGTGGTCTTGAGGAGGCGAGTTTGGGAGTGGTTTGGCTAGTGGTGTGGTCATATTCGATGTACTGTCCCGTTCTGACCCTTGGTGTGCACGATCGGCCTCCACCAGGCCTTTTAAAAGACTGTTCATCAATTTCTGCGACCTACCTTCGCTCTTAACATTGAGGCCTTGATGAGGAAGTCCAGCCAGAGGGGAGACTGTGGTTCGGTGACCGCCTGCGCGGAAGCTCTCCAACGTCTCCCGTCTCCTGGCGGCGTCGGCCCTTCGCTTTGCGCGATTCGCGTCGGCCCAATCCTTGAGCTCCGGAACAATGACTGCTCCCAATATTCTCCATGATTGAGCCATGCGGTGCATAGATACAGCGTCACATGCGGCGGCATTCTGGTTGAAGGCAGCCTCTAAACGAGGGAGAATGGTCTGCGGAGACCTCCTCCGCTCTTCGGCGGATGCTGGGATCGCATATTGTGACGCCAGGGACTCAACCACTTCTGGCTGGGCGGCCACACCGACAACATGGCCAGCCATACCTACCTGCGCATTACTAAACGTTTCGCCGCAGCCGAAGACAGCCTTATCGAGAGGCAGGACGTGTGTCTTATCATCCAGTGAGGGCGGACTGCTTGCTTGAGATTTGTTGGACCTGGAAGACGCGATTGTTCTACCAGCTCGTCGGGAACTCGCCCCAACCGATGTTTCAAGGCTACCTTCGTCATCTGTGAAACTCCGACTCACTGCACCATCATCACCGCTGCTGAGTTTGTCTTTGGGAACCGTCAAGAGACCAACTGCCGCGGCATCCAGCGAGAATCCGCGCCGAAAATCTCTATCCTCACTGAACGTGTAGTACTCTCCGTCAGGCATGAATTCTGAAGCGCACGGTGGAAGCTGGGTGTAGAAAGGTGCAGTATGCTTGAGATCCCACTGGGTAAAAATCCCTTCATCCCCGACTGTCCACAGCATGTCTTTGTTGGCCCACAGCATATCGTTTGGTGGCGTGCTATATTTTTCGAGTTCGCGAAAAGGTAGCAGCGGTCTTCGAAGATCCCAGATATGGATCCTGGGGTCATCATGATAGTAGGAGACGGCGACTTGCGTGCTCTGCCAATGACCGGATTCCGAGGTCTCCGAGGTCCTACACGGAGGCCTCCACCTGATATTTCGGATCGCATGAGGCGCCTTAAGTTGGAGAACAGGCTTCTGCCGGCGATTGTCACTCTGCAAATCCCACACCCGGATGTATTTGTCGAAGCCTCCAGATATCACGTGCCGGCCATCAGGATGCCAATCTAGAGAATAGCATGCCTTCTCGTGTCCACTGATACTCAGGATGGGCCGCGAAGGAGAGCGGGCATCCCACTTCTGGATGAGTCCTCCGTCCGCACAAACAGCAAAATCGAGCGGTTCTAGGGCCGATGGGGACCAGCGAACGTCTCGCACAGCACTTCGGACGTCGAACCTTCGAAATGCTTTGTCTGGCTTGATACGCAGATCCCAGAGCCTGACAGACTTGTCTTGGCTGGCTGAAAGTAACAGATACCCTGCTGACGGGTCGAAGTCCAACTTGTTGATCTGACCTGTATGCTCGTGAAGCCAAGCGAATTCCGTCTTAAGGCCCGATGCTTTCAAGTCGTACAGGGCAATGCGACCATTCGTAGCTGCAGTGGCTATGATATGGTTCCAATGTCCGGTTGACCATCTCACATCCCTTGCGGGCAGATATTCCCTGCGCTTGCCGACCTCGTTTGACTGGGGCGAAGTATGAGTCGAGGCGTAGGAAGTGATAGCCGCCCGAAGGTTAAGGTCCTCGGTGACCTTGCCATCATGGACACGAACGGTCTTGAGAATGTCCTTCCCGGCTAGGATGGCATGCGTTCCGGCCTGATTGATGTCAAGAGCGGCAATCGGGATCCCAGTGCGATGGGTGGCAATGGGTGAGGCAAGAGAACTGAGATATCCCGTTAGTCCATGCACAAGTAGCAAGCGATCTGCGAATCCAACCTGTAGGTGGGTAGGGATGTGATTTGGCGCAGCGCATGATCACGGTCGCCTTGGGATGGGCCGCCATGAGATTTTGCACCAATGTGCTTGCCCCAGGGTGCTATGATTCTTTGCAGTTGGCCAAGCCGGCTGGGAGGGAGAGGTGGTGCTGGAGGAGGAAGGAGATCGTGAGGGTCTGTGAAGTCGGAATCGGTCATGATGCTCTGTATGCGTCTTTGTAACCGCTCACATGTCGGATGTCGATGGCCAGCACGCTAACGCCGCAAGGTAGAATCCCGAGATACATGGCCAACCGGAAAAGCCATCACTGAAATGGATGGCTGGCCGATGGCTTATGCGGCGGTGCTGCAAGTCGGCTGCAGGTTATCAATGCAATGCCAGGAGAGAGGGCGCCGAAAGGTGGTAGTATGTCTGGAGGAGACAATTCTGATGAAGCGACCAAAGGGCTCCAGGGCGACGACAGAGAAGCAGAGTTGAGTGGCTGTAAGGCTGCGGAATCGAACATAGTCCGTGATTGGATAAGGCGCTGGATGACAGCGCGGAGGTACCTGGCGAGCCTAGACACATACCCAACGAGCCTAAAGAAGCCTAATAGATCATAGCTGCAGCGGGAGTGCGATGTGCATGCCCCCGCTGGGTCAGACACTCTCTCTGGGCAGTCCAAAATATTAGTACCCAGGTACCTTATGCACGAAAGCCGGGGATGCAAGTCTGCCGCACACCTACTACCTTAGGCTGGGCCAGCCTATAACCTTGACTGGGTGTCGAGGCGATATACCTGGTCTATAAAGCCCGGGGAAGTGTTGCCGCCCAAGTAAATGAGGTGCTTCATAGGGGAATTGTTGCTGAACAGCAAACAATTTAGGTGCTTACCTTAATACCTGAGGTACGCACTCTCCTTTGTGCGCCTTTTCTACAGAGTACGGTCACCTGTACCAGATAAGGCCAGTACTAGTAGTAGTAGTAGAGTGAAGAACTACTGCTACTGCACGCCGCGCAGCTGTCTACAGGAGCCTCGCATACTACGGATAGAGCGTGCCTGGTCTTCGGACGACTCACTGGGTTTTGGGCAGCAGACGTCGTGGTTTTCCTGCTGTCTTTTCTCTTCGCTCCCCTGCAACTCTATCCCTTCGGCTAACATCAATGGAGTACCTAGAAAAGGTCTTCTGCTAGCAGACGCCTTGCTGAGCGGTGAGCAGGCTGCGCTCAATATCTCCATTCTCGAAATCGCGCAGTTGAATCTGTGTCTATTCCTCTCTCATGGTTCATTTATCCATCCTCCAATCCTCCAACCCTCCAATCCGGGTACCTACCTGCAAGGAAGCCTCCCTCTATCCGTACGCTGTCTTTGTCGGCGAGCGCAGACTTCCAGCAATCGTCATGCTACCGGCCCTCTTCCTGCGCCGACCACATTGCGGAAGTCAACTACGTACCTATCAAGCGACCGACCACTACCTAATCGTTCATGACCGTTATGAAATCGAATATAATCCTCTAGACTCGTCCTCTTTAGCCAGCATGCCTTCCTCTCCTCCGTCTACAGTATCAGTACTTCAATGTCTCGGTTGTGACTAACTGGCTTCTGTTGCCCTTGTCACTGCACTCGTCTCACCCAAAGCAAGCAGCGAGCAAAGATCAAAATCATCACCATATTTCCTACGGTTGCTTGCCTTCCCAAGGACTGCTCTGACCCAAGCGCACACATCGATTTGGACATCTCTGTTTCTCACATAAGATACTACTGTGATATACCACCTACATCGTATACAATCATAGGGGGATCTGGCATCTGACACTTGTATGCAGTGGACACGCCACAGCAGCAGCAGCAGTGGTACAGTTCCTCTAGTGGACGCGGACGCGGCCTTTTATTCCAGCAAGACTACCGTCTCTGCCACCAGACTGCGGGTGCCACACGGTGGTCCAAGGGCTTCCAGACTCTCGTCAGACCCAAGAGAGACCGACCTTGGGATCTAGGGACCCCCACCATCAACGCCCGCTCGCACACACCCTCCCCGCCCCATCCCGATACCGAAACCATCCACCCCCAAGCCCGATCGAGGCTCAGCTCAATAAACTTGAAGCCATTAGTATTATTTGGCACCCACAATCTTCAGTCTGTTCTTGTCACGCGACAAGCGCGATCGCAATCCTCGATCCGGCCAAGCGAACCCTACTTCACCCAACCCTACAACTTGAAGGTTGGAGCTTCGCCTCCAAACCCCCCGGCTTGCCACTAGAAGGCCTCCTCGCACGTCGTCATATTATCACATACACTTCCAACAGTGCCACAGGTGCTTCTACGCTCTGTTCATCACCTGTCCATCTTAACATCACGGTCGCTATTTCATTCCTCTACTCTCGATTCTCTTTCTTTGTGGTACTACTCCCTTCTGTCACTCGCTCATCTTCAAGGTCCAACGAAGATACTCCCCGGCCACGCTCGACTACTGGTTCGATCTTCAGTTTTCGACGACCCGAGGGAGCACAGACGAACCGCCTGTCCCGCCCTCTTTCAAACCCGAGGAGCAACACGACACCACGCTTACAGTCTTCGGTCGGTGATTTGAATAATAAAGCAGGGACTCACAACCCGGTTTCCTTTTCATCCTTGGGTGGCTTTCTCATTTTGATTTTGCTTTTTGATTCTGCTCTGGCCGATTCCGTTGGTGGCGAGGTTTGAAGGAACATGCGTGGGAAACCAGATTTGAGTGCCATTCAAGCCTCTCTTCGGGTCTTGAATGCAGCAAAATTGGCATACCCAGCTGTGGTCCTGATCATTTTCGTCGTTGCATTCATCACATATGGCATCAAGACCGCCCCCGATGATGGAGATAAGGTCCGAATCCATTCTATGCGTGGGCCTGGAGGAAGGCCTCTTCCAGTCCGCCGCAAATCCGCCAATCAAGTCAAAGCAGCAGCGGCTGTGAAAGATCTCTCCCCAGCAATGAAGACGTTCTTCAAGATCGGTCAGGCCGGTATCGTTCTGACATTTTTGGCAAATGCTGGCCTTCTCCTTTGCCAAACCATATGGGAACGGAGTGAGGAGTGGTGGCCCGGACAGAACGCCGTTATTTATGTTGTTGCGTCCACCTTCGTCTGGATGGTGACGTTCATTTCCATCCTGGATTGCAAGCCCTCGCCAAACGTGGTTCATTTGGTCACCTGGATCTGTGCAGTGCCTCTGGAAGCTATCATTGTTGCTACCAGCCTTCGAATCTACACGGCCCCACACTACGAACCGCGGGTCGGCGACCAACTGGGTGGCAAGTACAGGAAATCCATTACCGGTTGGGAAACGCTTGAAGTCATCATCTATATCCTTCGGCTTGTTCTCCTTGTAGGTATTTCGATTGTTTTCTCCTCCATCAAGTTCAACTGTCTTTGGATGAAGCATTCCCACTCCACCGAAGAGCATGAACGGACTCCGCTGCTGGACGGTAATAGTGAAGCCGGCCGGCGGGCTAACGGGCACGCCAATGGTACTGCGCAGCGAGGCCCGACAACGGAACATAAGGAGCAAGTTGATGCTTGGGCCAAGCCAACCGAGGTCCCAAATATTTCCTGGTACGCATATCTACGAGGATTCGTGCTGTTGATTCCATACCTATGGCCAAAGAAGTCCGTCAAGCTTCAGATGTTGGCTGGGACATGTATCGTGATCATGATTGCGCAACGGGTCATCAACGTTTTCGTGCCTGTCATGGTTGGCAAGATCACCGATGCGTTGTCGGGTGACGATGGCAGAGGTGTTCGAGCTCCGTGGCTCTACATCTCCTTGTACATCATATTCAGGTGGCTCCAAGGATCGCAAGGCATTTTGTCGGCAGCGAGGTCAATATTGTGGATCCCCGTGGAGCAGTATTCCTACCGTGCCATCTCGACCGCCGCCTTCGAGCACGTCCACAACCTCAGTGCCGAATTCCATACCGGAAAACGTACGGGAGAACTGATCTCAGCGTTGAATAAAGGAAGCTCCATCAACTCTTTTCTCGAAATGGTCACGTTTCAGGTTGGCCCCATGGTCTTCGACCTGGTTGTTGCTGTCGTCTATCTCACTGTCAAGTTCGACGCCTACCTAGGCTTGGTGGTGGCGATGGTCACCTTCCTCTACATCTATGTCACCATCCGCCTGGCCGCTTGGAGAGTCACGCTTCGTCGGAATTATGTAAATGCTGATCGAGAGATGGAGGCGGTGAAGAATGATTCCCTCCATTCCTGGGATACCGTGAAGTACTTCAACGCCGAAGACTACGAGTTCAACCGTTACAGGACTGCAATCAAGACGATGCAAAGTTATGAATACTGGGTTGAGGTTACTCTGTCATACATGAACACCGTGCAGGGGGCTTTGTTCATGATTGCTTTGCTTGTGGCCAGTTTCATCGAGGCGTTTGAGGTTGCCCAAGGAGACCAGACCGTGGGCAATTTCGTCCTTCTCATAACATACATGGCGCAGCTGCAGGGACCATTAAACTTCTTTGGGACCTTTTACAGATCAATCCAATCGAACCTCATCAACGCCGAAAGAATGTTGGAGCTCTTCAAGGAGCAGCCTCATGTCACCGACCGGGAGGGCGCAAAGACTCTGCAAGAGTGCTCAGGGGACATTATGTTTGACAATGTGACTTTCAGCTACGACAAGCGACGACCTGCCCTCAACCAGCTGAGCTTCCACTGCCCTCCTGGGACCACTACCGCTCTCGTCGGCGAGTCAGGTGGAGGGAAAAGCACAGTGATGAGACTGATCTTCCGTTACTACAACCCCGATTCTGGACAGATCAAGGTCGACGGCATCGATGTCCAAGATATCACAATCGACTCTCTACGCCGATTCATCGGTGTTGTGCCGCAAGATTGTAATTTATTCAATGAATCAATCATGTACAACCTTCGATATGCCAATCAACACGCCACGGATGAGGATATATTCAATGCTTGCAGAGCTGCATCCATCCATGACCGAATACTCCAATTCCCAGATGGCTACAATACCAGGGTTGGGGAGCGAGGTGTTCGTCTGTCCGGGGGCGAACGGCAACGGGTGGCCATTGCACGGACCATTCTGAAGAACCCACGGATTACCATGCTGGACGAAGCTACGGCTGCTCTGGATTCCGAGACCGAGGAGAAGATTCAGGATTCGTTCAACACTCTTGCTGAGGGCCGGACGATGATCATCATCGCCCACCGTCTGAGCACCATCGTAAATGCCGATCAGATCTTGGTGCTATCCAACGGCACAGTGTTCGAGAGAGGTACACACGAAGAGCTTATTGCGCTCGGGGGCAAATATGCTAGCATGTGGCGGAAACAGTCGCGGGCGCAAAAGGCCGCTGCGGAGGCTGCCGAGCTGAGAACAAGAGCTAAAAAGGCACTGGAGGACGCTGAGGCCGATAGTGCCAGTGTCAGTGAAGAAGAGATCGAGCAGGCAAGGAAGCAACGAGACAAAGGTTTCACAAAGGGCCATAAAAGGGTCAACTTTAGTGGCAGTAGTCATCTGCGAGCCAGCTGGCCAGTCGACGACCAGGACGGGGAGGCAGGCAACAGATCAGGAAGCCCTGATCATGGCCACTCTGGCAAACCGCCAGGGCATCCTTGAGCGGACTGATCGAGAGGCATGGTATGGATTGGACAATGGTTGGATGATTGGACTCTGCTCCGATGCGATACGAACCACAAAAGATGTTTTTCGGGGTTTTTTTCTTGGGTGGAATTGACTTTGACTTGGCTTCTTGCACATTTGACTATGAAGACGGCGGTTTCCACGATTGATTATGACGATGTGGAATGACAGCAGAAAGTTGTACAGGCGGTCCCAGATTCCGATGATGAACTGGAGCATGACAGCGGGCGTGATGCGAATACCGCCCAATGGAAAGGCATGAAGACCAGGAAAGCCGGTACATCTCGATGGCGGAAGGAAGACAGTGATTACTGCAGAAGGACGGGTGTCAAAAGCTTGTCGGGAATTGTTCGCCATCTACGGGTTATGCGAATCTGGATGATCGCTGAAGAGCTCGCAGCCTCGCGGCGGCAGTGATGGGGAGTCGGACAACAACAAGACTGGGAGCTTAATCAGACGACATCTCGGCCAATAGGCGTCAAACAGAGCATGTGAGGCATGGGAAGGCTGTGTCTGCCACGGACAGCAGCACGTGTCGAAGGGATCCTTGGTCGATGGACCGACCATTGGGTATGGGGCTCGATTCAGCTTGTACGAGTGTATGAATGCAATAAAATTGGGGCAAGCTCTCCCGTTAGCTGGCTTTCGTCATTCAAGGTCTCTCCGTCATCGTTGTCTCCTGAAATCGGTCGTGGCATGCATGGTAGTAAGTGAGAAGACGATGATTTTCCCCATCGAATGAGTTCCTGTTAGGAGAGACTGGCTGGCTGGATAGACGTGTTCCCCTTTTCCAGACGCCGTAGAGTTCACTCTGTTACTTGTCCGAGGCGATTGGTTTGATGCTCTGGGAGGAGCAATATATTCATACAAATGCGTGGGAGTGGGAGTAGGAGCGGGAGTCATGTCAACCCTGTGGCCAAACAATCCTTCGTATTGCTCAACAATCTCATTTCGTGCCGGTTCGTGTAGTGTCGTGTCGTGTCTCATCAAATCAGCCGTTTTTTCCTTCTTTCTATTTTGACAACAATAAAAGCGCCGCAGAAGACAGAAGACAGACACAAACGGGAGAGAGAGAAAGAAAGAGAGAGAGAGAGAGAGAGAGAGAGAGACATATACCACAGTACACATATCTGTCTCTTCTCACTTCCCTCAGAAGCGCCTTCTTCTCTTGACCGGTGATGGTGCAGCAAGCGCAAGCTCAAGCTCCATGCGTCGCCTGTCAGCTTTCTGGTCTTCCGTCTCCTGTCTTTCTCTTTCTTTCCGTATCTCCCTCGGCGTCTTCTTCTTGGGCCCCCCGTTCTGGAGTTCAGGTTCATGTTCTGGTTCTGTCGATTCTAGACTCCGCTTCCCATTTTCATTACTGCGCGACGGAGCAGAATTAGACGGAGATTTCCGGGGATGTGAAGCAATTTTGGGCTTCGATGTGGCCTGCGACGCAGTAGGAGAAGGCGAGGGAGACGGAGACGGAGTTGAAGTGGCAGACCCGGTCCTGTCCGAGTCGTCATTTTCGTTGCCGCGCCTGTCTCGAGTCCTAGTTCCATGAGTGTTGCCTTGTCGAGACGTTGCTTTATCGGTCGCTTTTTTCGAGGACCGTGGTGTGGGACTTGTTTGTAAGTCGGTGGGTTGGTCGGGCTGTTTGCGGCCGATCCTCCCGAGTCGTCTTCTGGGAGTATTTGCTGATGACTCTTGGGATTGGTTTGGCTTCGGTTTCGCGTCTGGTTCGGGTTCGGGTTCAGGTTTCGATTTCCGTGGCTGTTGTGGTTTAGAGTCAAGTTCGGGTCTGGCTCTTGCGTCGATTTCAAAGTCGGATTCAGAGGCTGTGGAAGTTGTTTCATCTGCGTTGTTGCTGTTGTCCTTGGGGGTTGGTGAGACTTGGTTCTTGGATCGTGCGGATGTAGAGTTGCGGCTCCCTCGTGCTGATGGTGCTCCCTGTTGCCGTGAGGCCTGCGCTGGAGAGGGCGCGGGCGATGGTGTTGGTGTTGGTGACGGTGACGGTGTTGCCTGCTTTTTCTTCCGCAAGCCGCCCAGCTTCGGTTTGTTGTTAGGTTGAGGCTTGACAGGCCGCCGCCTGGATGATTGGGGTTCGGAGTCGTTGTCATCATCATTGTCCTCTGAGGCTGTCGGTGTCGCCGTTGCCGTTGATGCATCCGAACCACGGCGGAGAAGGGGTGTCGGCCTTTCGGCGGAGGACGATGAGCTACGCCTAGTTGCCGATGTGCCAAATGCTTTGGTTGCATTGCGTCGACCCAGGCCGCCAATCTCGGGCGCCGACTTTAGTGCTTCCTTCGAAGGAACCGTTTCCTCTTCTGCATCTCCGTCATCCACACTCGCTGCCTTGGCAGGTTTGCTTGTTTCGGGCGCCTTTGACTTCAACCTATGTGGCGTTGGTTGTCGCTGGTAATGGTTAGACATAGATGGACAACACACCTTTCGGGGTTAACTAAGCTCACCTCGAAATCATCATCACTTCCAGAAGCCGTTGACTCGTCATCAGACTTATGCTGGCGCGGAGCAGCCTTGCGAGTTGGAGGACTAAACTGACGGTTCTTGTCCCCATCCCCATTCAATTTGTCCATTGAGGGAAGTCCGGCGATCCAATCTTCATGCTGAGCTCTCGTGTGCACGAAGCATTTTTCACACCCGCGGACCAGATTGCCCAAACCGGTGCGATCAGCGCCCTCATAGCCATCATCATTGGCGAATTGCTTCGTCCAAGATTTCTCATCAAAGCTCGCCATCCCAGGAACATGCTTCTTCGCCTCTGTCACAGAGATGTGCCCTCCTTTACGAGAGGCCACGCCCGTGATTCCGGGGAAGATCAGGCTCAGGTCAACAGCGGAACTGCCGATTCTATCGAGAAGACGCGAGATGACATGGTCCTTTTCCCGAATGATTCGTAGAAGAGTCGAGATCTTTTCTTGAGACACGGCAACTTCGTGTAGGCTGGGACGGAGGATGCGTTCTGCCAGTTCGGACGAGGGCTGGGGGGTGAGCTTGAAGGTCCATTCCAATGGCCTCAGTGGCTTGGGTAGGTCGACGGAGGTCTTTAAGCGCAGGACGTACCCATCACGCTCGTTGGTTCTGACTAGCACGTTTTGGCCATCTTTCAGGCTCTTACCGATCTTCGATAGTAAGACGTCGAATTGGTCAGACGAGGCGGACGGGTCGATGCTCGTATGCTGGCATGACGCTTCGGCTACGATGTCGTACCGGTCCAATGAGCATTCCCAAATGCAGATGAGGTCGGTGAGTAGGAGTGTGATTGAGTCACTTTCTGTTGAGAGCGAGTAGAAGAGTTTGGGACATTGTCGTCGCGATGGCAGTTGGAGTTCTTGCCAGCCTTCATCATTGAATGCTCCCATAATGAGAGCTATTGAGCCTTCTATGGAGCATTGGCATGGGGATGCACGAGATTAGCTGAGACCACTGGTGCATATCAAGAACACCTGTCACAGCGTGATAGCCCAGGGTGTTGAAGTGGCTGTTGGTGACATACTAAGTTGTAGTTGTCTACAGGCAATGCAAGTGGATGAGGTTACTATTCACGTCGTGGTGACGAACAGCGGAGAAGGTGCGCCTTGCTTATGTAACGATGTTTCACGTGATATATGCATCACGTGTTACTGTCAGGCCTGCACAAGTTCTCCGCGTTTCGAGCCGAGACTCAATAATACAGGTATTTACGAACTAGCGACGTCGACTTCATCAAGGTACCTACAGTCCCTAGTATTGCTGGAATCACATTGCGAGCAGCTTCGTCCGCGCCTATTGCTTCATCCATCCCCTCTGAATGTGATAATATGCACAGTAACATGTGCTAAGCTTCAGCCCAGCTGATCAGCTTACCGCCATCCAGAAACAGCCCCGTGACACATGACTCGGTTAGAGCGATCTTCACTAGTAGGAGGGAGACCTGAACGCGACCCGACAGCTTGGATCACTCCCTTACTTGCTGCTATAGCCTCAATCACAGGACTCATTCCAGGACCCGAACACTGTGCTGTGATGTACTTGAGAAGCTGCATCGTCACTCTCTTCTCCATCAACTGGCCCCAGTCTTATCACAGTCTACCGGTCAAAATGATCACGCAGAGAAGGTGAGGAAACATATGTTCTGAGTATGGCTGCGGCGGCTCCCGCGTTTCAGGCCACAAAGTGTTTGAGAAGCTCGCCATTGCGGTCTTCCAATAGGTCCATCACTCTTCCATCCTGCAGTGCTCTATCAAGAACTGCTGATGCCAATATTACAGACTCATCCTTGCTGGCCAGGTATACAGACCCTACCAGATCTGGTCGGCGGTTGCTTCTCCTATCATGCCATTCTTCGCTCTGTCATGGCCACAGCCTCAGAAGCAGTGCCCCAGCTTAAATTCCTACCAGGATGACACCTCGCCTCACCAGCACTGGATAGTCGCGCGCTTGCCGCGTGCAAGTCTACACCAACTGGGCTAGCCAGCTCGTGTCAGTTGGGCGAGTGGGTCGATTTGACCTTTCAAGAAACCCCTGTCATCGACTCCCTACCTGGTCTACTCAACAGAGGTGAGCGCTTAGATGGACAGTGTTTGTATATCATCTCTGGAATATAAATGAAGCGTGCTTCGTCGCCGATCTCAACATGCCTACTCAACCACCACAACGACAACACCTCAAGTCCTAAATTGACACCATCTCTCTTTGGCCGCAACATCCACAAGGAAGACATCCATATCAATCCATATTATCCAACATGAAAGTCACATTCGTTTGCCTCACCTTGCTTCTTAGCCATGTGGGCTCCATCATGGCAGCACCAGTACCCGATCCTGCCCCGGTCCCAGCGCCAGTCTCAGAGATACTCAAAGCCAGGATCGTCGAACCTGAGCTCTTCCCACGAGGGTTCCTGAACAAGAATCACGGAGCGGTCCAAAGCACCGGCGGCGGGTAGACTACTTCTTCGATACCCGAACGCCTAAGAACCAGAACACTCAATTGATGGAGAAGCATTCGTGGCGTGCGCAAACCAAAGAAAGGGCGGAATACAACACACGCTTTGTGAGGTGACCGGTACGAGATATTTGTTCAAGTATCGAGCTGAAGGTTTACGATACGGGAGCTATACTCGTGCCAGCTTGTGTATGTCATCTGCGGACTTTGAGAATTGTACGGATCCTGACCTGTCTGGCATGGATGGTTGGAACTTGCGGGAATGTTGTCCCTACCTTGTATACTAAGGGAGTGCGAATTGGATGTATTTGCGAACTCAGTCTTCGCGGCCTTGCTTGTCCAGAAAGGCACATCTTGAGAAGGATGTCGCTGTAGGGGGTTTTAAACACACACTGTGCAGTATAGACAGCAATACTACTACCAGGTAGCAGTGTAGAATGGTAGTATGTGGTCAATCTGCAGTGATTCAAGAGCAGTGGCAGTCCCCAAAGGCGCCAAGGCTGGCGGCCTGTATCCAGTGACGCAGCCTGGGGCCCGCCGCCGTGCACTCATGAAAGTTCGATCCTTGTCAACTTGAACGTCACCGACCACAGCAGAGCTCACGATTGTCGCAATGGATGTTCACGAGTCTGTGGGATCCAAGCGAAAGAGATCTACCTCCCCGCCTCCATGGAGGACAAATGGAAGCGACCGCCGCTACCGCGAGCGAGACGCACCTCAGCGTCGAAACGACGGCCAGTCGCAGAAATGGTCGCACAAAGATCAAATGAAGATTAATCAGTTGCAGGAGGACGAGCGTATGAGAGAATGGGTGGCGCAAGAGGATGAGTTTGTTCTCAGACAGGCAAAGAAGAAGGCGGAAATACGAGTGAAAGAGGGTCGAGCGAAACCCATCGACTGGCTGGCAGTCACACTCCGGGTCGTCGACCCTACGAGGGATCCTTTAGACGAGGAAGTCGACGAGAAAGACCTTGAATTTGTGGACCCCGAAAGCGTCTTCGATGGCTTGTCCGAATCGCAGTTGGGCGAGTTACGCAAAGACATCGACACCTACCTGAACCTGGAAATCAACAGGAAGAACCGAGACTATTGGCAGACCATGCAGATCATCTGTAAAGACAGACAGAAGAAGCTACGCGCCTCTGGACCGGAAGGACGAGCAGTGAGTTCTGTGGCCTCAGACATCGACAAACTACTGGCACCGAAGACACACGAACAGCTAGAAGTGCTAGAGAAGCAGATCAGGAACAAACTTGATTCGAACGAGCCTATTGACACAGACTACTGGCAACAACTGTTGGACAGTCTGTTAGTATGGAAAGCAAAGGCGAAGTTAAAGAAAGTCTACCAGGACGTTCTCGACTCGCGGCTGCAGCAACTCCGACAAGAAAACGAGCGCAAAGCACACCAGGCTCAGCAGGACTTCAAAGATGCCAGTGTCACCACCACTGACCCGATCCAATACTCGAAAGACTTGGATCCCGAGCCGCTTCTCGAAATCTCCGCGAAAGACAAGACCCTGGAAATCCAGGACGAGAGCACATTCCTGCACAGCGTCGCTGCCAGCCGCCGCAAAGTCATCAACATGGGCTACGTGCCAGCTCCGAAAGGAAACGTCCAGAATACAACATCCTCGACACCTTCTCGTCCGTCCGCACAACCCAGCAACCCAATCGACCCGACCAGCCGCTTCGAGCAAGCCGGCGCGACAGATTCATCTGCTGTCACGAAAGCCCTATTCGACCGCGAAGTGGCCAAAGGCATGAACGAAAACGAAGAGATCTTCACAGGCGAAGAAGAAGTTGCAGGCACATCTGACGAGAAGCCCTTATGGAGCGGCAAATACCGACCGCGCAAGCCGAAATACTTCAACCGCGTGCAGATGGGCTATGAATGGAACAAATACAACCAAACGCACTACGACCACGATAACCCGCCCCCGAAAGTCGTCCAGGGGTATAAATTCCACATTTTCTACCCCGATCTCATCGATCCGACCAAGGCGCCGACGTACAAGATCATCCGCGAGGGCGGGCGGAAAAAGGGCCAGACCATGGCGCCCGCGGGCGAGGAAGACACGTGCATCATCCGGTTTATGGCCGGTCCGCCGTACGAGGACATCGCGTTTCGTATCGTCGATCGCGACTGGGACTATTCGGCCAAACATGACCGCGGGTTCAAAAGTACGTTTGAACGCGGCATTCTGACGCTGCATTTCAGCTTCAAGAGGATTGTTTACCGGAAGTAGGCCGTTGGATTGAGAGTGTCCAGTTTCCTGGGATACTGCGTCGGGTGGAAGGTGGGTGGAAAGGGAGGATGATGGACATTGGATCGATTCTACGATAGTATCAAGTCTGCACATGAAGCCTTGCGATGCTTTGGCTTTGGCTTCCTTCAATCTAAACTCTGACTGATGCGAGTTGCATCAATGGGTTATGGAAGCTACATTTTTTTAAGGGGTCAACATATCAGCATCGCTTTGAAAGGCGTGATATGAAATACTACATTGATACCCCGAGTGTCTATCTCTTGACTTGCATGTCCTCGGACTTTCGATAAAAGTCATCCTTAGCCTTGTCCACCTATGATCTTCTAGAAGGTACCTTACCTTATGCAGCACTGGTTCTAATGTTGTCGGTCCGTCCATATGGGAGAAACAAGCCGAAGCTTCGGAGAGATACGTCCCTTAGTACGTAGTAGGTCGGTAGTAGTAGTCCCATGTAGTGTTCCATTTCATACATTTCTTGGCCTCTGGGCGTTTGAGTATTGGCATCTCCTATCCCACAGGTCAGGATCCGATCTCACTCACAACACCAGATCTGACCACGACGGATGACGTGTCCCTACTAAGTACCTAGACATTCACATGCAATGGCACAGCGATTATGATGAGAAGATGACTGCATCATCCGGTGCCTCGGCAGGAGGTGGGGAGAGAAGATGATAACACAACTGGCAGTACTTAACCTTATCTGTATGTGCTAGGGATAGTGGGCGCCTAGGATGACTAGAACTTGCAGCACGTACTAGTATCAGGTGAAGGGTCCTATGACATTATGCTAGTTCTCCTACCATGGCACACTCAGGCAGGGGAATCGACGAGCGCTATACGCTCTCATAAGGATAGTGTCTCTCTTTCAGTATACCAAACCAAGAGAGCGTATTGGGAATAAAGAAAAAGAAAAACAATAAACCCCGGCTGCGTCGCTAATCGATATACCACGGCACAAAACAATACCACACAACGACTCTCCCACGCCGGTTCGCCTTGCCGGCTTATACCACAAATAATGAACCTTTTGGGCATCCAATACTTCTCATTCCCGAATTGACCACTCGTTCGTTCGTTCGTTCATTCCTCTCAAAAGTCCAAGTCAAGGTGAAAGCAAGCACAATCGTAGACGGGGTGCGCCGTGGTTTAGAACGCATCGTGAAATGTCGAGCTAGTAGTTACAGAAGGCGTTGATGAGGTAGACAGAATTTAATCAAGGGCGAAACCAAGGTCGAGGTCGAGGTCACGGTTCGGGTTCTTTGGGCGGTGTATCGCGCTCCGAGTCGGTTTGTTCGAGCTTTTTGTGGGCTTTCTTCTCCCCAGGTTCGACACCGTAGTCTTCTTCCCACGTCACCGTCTCTTTGTGCATGGCTCGGCGAACCCAGGGGACAGAGATGGCGGTCCAGATGCACGCCCAGGCAAACGGGACGCCCCATCCTAGATTCAAACATTAGCATGCTGCTAGAAATGGACTTTTGACCGGAAAACATACCGATTCCGTATGCCACTGCTTTCGGCACCGGATGGATGATGATCACGACCGTGCAAGCAATTGCGATGACGAGCGCCGGCACAGACCAGAATAAGGACTGCTGCTTGATCATCCTCCGGAACCGTGGACTGGCCTTATATCGGGCGGCCAGGGCTTCGCGGTATGGCCTGCCAGCACTTGCGTTGACGGCCACGACGTCTTCAATCAGGTAGTAGACTCCCGGGTAGACTTCGCCTCCTTTGGGCGTCGAGCTTATCCGGAAAGGCGCTTTGCGTCCGGACAAACTCCACATGGTGAGGATGAAGATGCTTCCGCCCAGGCAATACAGGAGCGCGGGAGCGGGTAAAGAGAGAACTCGGAGCCATACAATGTGCGGCGCGCTACCGACGATCAAAAAGGTGGTGACCGCTGCGATGGTCAAGACGAAGATCCAATGCGTGATATCGAATGCCCATCGATTCGACGTGCCCAGCGGGCGGAAGAAGTTTTCTTGTTTGGTCAGTCGCCAGCAGCGGACGGCGAATTCGACGTACGTCGGGCCGCCCCAGATGGTGGCCACAACGGCAAATACTGCGAGATTGGATGTCAGTTCTGAGAACAAACCACCTTTGGAAGTGGCGGGTCGCGGCGGACATACCTATCCAGCCCTGTACATGGCCTGCAAAAGTCATGGTATAATATAAAACAAGCGGGACCACACATGCATCCACCACCATTATAAAGATTGTGAGGAACAGCTTCCATCGTCGCCAACCATATCGCCAGGTGAAGGGTAACTGCGGGAGAAGGTCGGGATGTTCGCTATAGTATTCCTGCAGCGTGCTGGCTCGTCTTCTAAACTCTTTTTTGGTCGCCGCACGACTGTCGTAATATGCCCCTCTATCCGGCTCATCCCCGCTGTGTTTGTGGTGTTCTTTCCTCCTTTCCGAACTCTTTCTTCGCGCAGATGAAATGCTCACCCGAGTGTCGGCTCTATCGACCCCGGGGCTGGGAGGCGCGGCTGCTTCGTCGTCGGCAAACGGCCCTTCTGGACCGAAGTGAACAGTTCGTGTTTCTCGCACCGGGCTGGCGGGAACCACGCTACCATTGCGCTCGACCTGGGCACTGGTACGAATGCCTCGAACGACTTCGGGCATGGCGAAGTCGAGAGGGATGCTTTTGGACCGGTTGAATTAAGACGCGGAAGATACGGTCAAGGCGTTCATCCTCGGTCCGGAGGTAGTTGGGAAGTGAGAAAAGTGAGAGAGTGAGAGACCAGGACAAGGGAGTAGTCGTGACAACGAGGACAACGGGGTTGCAGGGTTCTAGGAAGGCCGCGGAAGGTCAATGCAGGGTGAGTCTGGGGCTCTGCCAGTAACAGTGAAGGAGGTATAATGCTGAGATAGATTGTCTGAGGGCGGTAGACCGTGCAGTGACGGGCAGAGGTGACAGACAAGCTGGGCAATTGAGATGATTATTATGTATTGATGAAATGGACGGCCATTGCCAGTGCATCACTTTGCATTATTATTGTCGTCAAAACGCTCAAGCAGTCGGAGTCAGCCAAAGTCAGCGAGCACTGCCGCATTCGAGGTTGACGTTGACGTAGACCTCAGGAGCCCCTACACTTCCTATTGGCTACGGATCGTTATTTATTGGCCGGCTCTGCATCGAACCAGAAACGGGCAAAATAATGCCTCGCGGTCTCGGTCTCGAGCCAAGAATCTTCCATCTCAGCTCCGCACTAGGTATTATCCGGTTAGTGTCTGCCGAGCCGCCAAGCCGCCAAGTCCTGGAACGGGCAATCATGTGACCGCGTCTGATCATCACGGTTCAGACTCTGTTATGTGGCTCAGGCTGCGAGAGTCATCAGTCCACGCATCTACTACTAACACTGGGGTCATCACTACAAGAGACCTACCTTATATGTTCAGTAAAGCCTACCATCCTTGAGCCTACGCCAGGCCTCTACCATAACCTGCGCTCTGCTGTATGTTTGTATGCAGGATTGTTGTGCGGTTTGGCAGTGTCGCAATCACCCCCAGCCGGGCAGAAATCAGAGAGCAGCCTGTCAGCCTTGAGATGGACCAGCTCCCACAGCTCTCCGCGGCGGAAAATGCAGGTGTATACTTCCGGGGACCTCTCCTAGAGCAGACCTTTTTTTCACAGTCGGCCCTGATCTTGGACGTGAACTATCCAGGCTACTACAGCACAGCTCGCAGCACAGCTCGCGTTCCATAACTAGTCCCTCTGTGGTGCTCACAGCAGACTGACTACAATGCACAGCCGTCGCAAGCTATGCACCCAACAAAAGGGGTTCGACCTTGGGTAGATTGCCGGATCTCTGTTGTCGAAAACAACGAATCTGCGACCTGTCTCAACACTAATCACAATGGTCTATAGTCCCATCAGCCTTCCCCTCTCTGGGAGAAGATCCAACCCTGCAATTACATCAGCTCGTCTGACTTGTCTCTTCTACGGCAAGACATTACTCTCCGCGTCAATAGCACGGCTGTGTTCTTCCACGGACAAAACCACAGAAACAAAGTCAAATTTTCTGGCAACAGGGAGAGAGTGTGGATCACTGCAGGTTGGCGATTTGAGGCCCAACTGGCTGCACATTGCCGTCCTTGAGAGGCGTCAACTCTGCATGCCGTTGCACAGAGGACATCCCATACTGCTCGCAGGCTGATTGGATGACGGAAGCTCCAAAATGCCCGGATTCTTTCTGGATGCATGTCGTACAGTACAGTACAACGCTAGCATGCAACAGGTCAGTGAGTCGTCCCCTTCATACAGGTGAACGACCAGGTGAGGGCTGAGGTTCAGGAATCCTTTGTTTGCGTTCCGTCTTCCCTAGCCTAACCCCCCTGCCTGTTTGCGTGATTCCCTCACTTCCATCATGTACCTTGCAATGCACAAGATCTGCTTGCTTGTTCTAAATAATACCATTTTGACCCTTTGACACCCTTGATCTGTGAGATCGTTCCTCATCTTCTGTCTCCTTTCATCCTGCAGTTTGGTGACTTATCTATCTTCCTCAACCAAGCGCTGCTTGTGCAAGACAGTTCACCGGCTCTATTCACAAGACGCACAAGTGGCATCGGTCTTCAGCTTTTTCTCTGTCTTTCCAACCCATACTGCTCTGAGGATGACTAAAATAGATGTGGAACATCACCATCGTCAGCTAGAGTCCTACAACGATATGATGGACTCTGAGCTTCCGAACCTGATGTCAAGGACGCTTGGCCAACACAATATCCATCCATCAACCTCTGCACTCCCAAACCTGCCGATGTATCAAGGCGGTGCGTTGCAGGAACTTCACCCTCTACTCAAGGTCGAGGGCATGACGAACGATTCCTTTGGGCCCATAGGATTTCATCATGACCATCATTTTCCACTCCCCGCCACCCAAGTCCAACTATCTGACCTGGAGCTTGGTCCGACATGGTTCACTCAGCAATCCTACCCACCGCTCATCAACGGTCGCGCTATCACGACATCCGAGTTGAATGGGTGGCCTGTAATGCCATACTCGGCCGACATTATGACACCTCCATACTCCACATATCATCATTTTGACGAAAGCGATAGCAGAAGTCCCTGGTCCTCATCGCCAGAGTTTGCGCACTGCAGACCGCCGACTATGGTCGGCGAAGATGAAGAAGGCTGCAACGACAAGCCATATGCGCGGCTGATTTATGAAGCATTGATGCAGGTCCCGGGCCACAGAATGATGTTGAGGGACATATATGAGTGGTTTCGCCTCAACACGACAAAGCCCCAAGAGTCTGGGTCAAATGGTTGGCAAAATAGTATTCGACACAACTTATCCATGAATCAGGTATGTTACAGCCCATCATTCCGTGCAGCCCAATCTCTGACCAAGATCTTGTAGGCTTTCGAGAATGACCGAGAAGGTTCTCGCGGCAGTGCGAGAAAAGCGAACAGCGTCTGGATGTTGACTGAGGACGCCATCCAACACGGTGTCCAGTCTACTACCAGGTATCGCAAGACTGCAGGGGCCAAAAGAATGGGAGGAACTCGAACAGCTGCTATTCAACGACAGAGATCTGGAGCAAGAGGTGGGCGTGCTGCACGTTGGGCAGCGAGGCAGAGGCGGCAGGAGAATCCCCATGTTGCAGATGCGACTCCATCGGCCAGTCCGGCCACTCCCTCTTATTCGGATGTCAGTGAGTACCAGAGCTTTGACTACAACTATCATCCATCAGCCATGCTGAGCTGGCCTATGACTCCGGTGGATGACAGTCTCCATCTAGCAGATGATGCGATGCAGAGCATGTGTCTTTCCCCGCAAAGCTCGTTCGATCCCAACCATGCAGATGAAGGTTCGCAACCCCAAGAAATCCTGCTGCGATGCTTGGGGGACCGTCACATGCAAGGACCAGATAGCTTGCGCACGACCTGACGGCTAAGGAACGAAGACGGTGGTAAAGCAAAGATTTGGACTCTGGCTGTGATTTGCGGAGATGCAGTGAGATCATGCATTGCCCGATGTATGTTCTGGCAAGGGGTATCCGTCATGATCTGGCCAGGAGGTTGAAAGTCCAGCATGGGGGCTGTTGTGTATTATTACCGTTCAGCTTTTCGTGCATGCTGCTGCAACCTAGAGAGCCATACAGAACAGGAAGGTCCCTTGTCCGGAGGACAGGGATACCTGGTGATACTGCGCTCGAGTACTATGAAATGTAGTCGGGACCGAGAAAGAGTAATGTACACAATACTATATTCATCGATCGTGTGGCGACTGGGCATTGAACGGTAGTGAAGGGCGGTTCAAGAATGTCTCGTTACTATCGAATAAAAATGTACATAAACATTGCGGATCTTGCCGCTTGGTGTCGAGGTTACTTTTGACTTCATCCCGGCACCTCGACTGTTGACGTCTACTGCCAGATAATCATCACCACTCCTTTTCATCAATCTAGCAGAGAAAACCGATCGACAGCCTTCTTCCGATCTCCTCGATCTAGCAGACTGCAGTGTGGCGCACCAGAACTTGAAGAAATCGACACTCGGCTGGAGACGCAACCGACAATCTCGGACTATCACACCTGGCTCGCATCAACCCAGGCGGATTTCTCTTTTCTCGGTTATCAGCAGCCATCTGTAGGCTCCAGGACGAGGCTTGAATTCTGCGCTGGCATTCTACCAAACCTGCTACCACATTAGTCTTGCCAGGGCATCAAACACTGCAGGCGACATTGACAAGTTGGTGATGAACAGCTATACTTAACAGCAAACACCCCGAGACCCACAGCAGGGGTTGTCAAACCGACTGCAGGTGGAAGATGCAGCAAATTACAAGGAGACAACCCGGGGATGACACTCTCTATGACCTGTCGAGCCAATATCATGCTCGGTCTCTCAGGGATATCTTCAGACTAATGCACAGCCAGCCCCGCGGGCAGAACCCTTCACTTCCGTTGAGAATAATCCTGGTCTCAAATCACCACAGACCATCGTCGACGTGGCGGTCCGGACCGATCTGAAGAAGGGGCAAAGGACAGAAACCGCACCTCGCCTTTCAGTTTCAGACGTGTTAAGAGCTGCACTGCATCCGTTTTACCATTTCGCAAAAAGAATTCTTTCTGTGACGGCAAAGAATATTATCGTAAGTTCTGGTTGTGCCCTTCTATCTATGTCAGATGAATCAGCAGGAAGTACAGAACGAACGGTCAGGAGTCGCAGGGATAGACTGTACTGGGGGCCCGAGGAGGCCAGATCGTTGTGGCGGCCACGAGAATCGTCCATGCACCTTCTCGCTTGTCTTTATTCTGTACCTTCCAGTTAGATGTCGTCCTGTTGCAGAATCACATGGCATTGGTCATTTCACCAACTTCTAGTGCTTAGATCGAGCGCCGACCAGGTCAACAACGATGCATCTAACGACAACAAAATCTCGGATAAATGTTCGATCTTCGGAGCTTACAACATGATCGTGTTCATCGGGGATACTGGCCTTCCATCAGATAGTCATGAGCTCTGCTGGCTTCCCGAGTTGGGCAAGGCGTGAGGAGATCGGTTTCCACAACAGGGAAAGAGATCTCAATCCTGGTTCTCTACCTGCGTGACGCTGGAAGAAGAGTCGGAGGTATGGCTGATAGCTTGACAACGGCATGCTCGAGATGATACTGCACGGGGGCATCACCAAATGCACTGCTGTCTTTGAGAGTCTCAAGATGACCTCTCCTAGGGAGTGCGGGTGGATGTTGCTAGACAAAGCCAACCCGTTCCCCCGGCGCAACCATCTGCCATCAGCAAGGATATACCTTGATACTCGCCAACGTTACTTCTTTGCTCATCAGATGGGTGGAGATGTGGTCCGGAACAGAGCAGATCCTCAATCTCACATCGCATCTTCCTCCCTGGCCGAGAAGTTGACCATGTCTTTGAGGCGAAACAATCCTGCAGTTGAACCGATCCCTCTATGATCGGACCAATGGTTGAGCTCCGTTGGCAAAGACTGCTATCAGAATCCGTCAGTTGATCGGACCCGGGTTGGATGGGCAGGTCTGAAACTTCCACCGTTACTAAACGACTGCTCTGGTTTCCAACCCAACCTGGAAAGCGAGCATGCGCGATTCTTTCCACGCAACTTGGCCGTTTTGGTGTCATCCTGTCATGCAATTCTCCGCCCATCCCTGGTCCTTGTCAGTCGTTCAGAACGTGCTTGACATATGCTGGGTAACGTGGGACAACACAACCTGGGACTGACTGAATTATGATTGGCAACGAAATTCCACAGCATCCGTCAATGTCGAGTCTTCACGGCCTTGTATTACGACGCCTTATGCGCGGAGAACTCAGTGAAGCTGCCGTCATGGACTCATGTCAATCTGATTACGAGCGTACACAGTAAATGCCTGGGCCAATGGCCTGCTCTGATGCGATTCATCCACATCGCTTGCAGATATTCGCAAGAGCAGCGGAAGGTACCCTTTGCGGGCCGAGACTTACGCCATTATTCCCGCATTGTCGCTGAGACCGACTCACATGTTCTAGGTACGAGCATCAAGTGGCCGGATATCACGGATACGCAGGTATTTCCGGCACAGTATTTGCAACAGCACGTTCAGAATTGCGAGGGTGGCTGTGGTAACTATCCTTTTCGACGGCACGCCGTGGTATCTCACCAGTCGGCCATATTTTCACACTAAGACACAACTCGATGGTCAAAACATTCGATGGACTATACATTCCGCCAATGGAGCAAATTACAGAGGTGCTGAGGGTCATGAAAGACAACCTTGATACGCTTCCGATACAGGCCTTTTTGTTATCAAGATGTTCTATGAGCGAACCATTGCACGGTGCCAGTGTGCCGTTGACTGACCAGGACCGCAAAGAGGTATGTTGTCTTGCGGAAGCCTCTGTGTCACCATTGGCAATCTGACACCAACCCTGACCTCTCATGCTTCAGCACTGCTGACAACTTCAAGGATGGCAAGCGACTTGGCTAGCGGGCACCATCTCTCAGAAACAGTCAAGGATTTCGGGCTGTGCCTGGGACCGTATGCGGTCTTCCGGCCTTCCAAGGCGTTGCTACAACGCACTTCACCCACCTCTGGAAGATAGGTTATCCCTCTCCAGGTTCGAGTTGCACAACGGTCCCCTCCAACAGAAACAGAAATCCCCCGATGGATCCCCAACAAGCTCCTCTCCCTGGCTGCCAGCAGATATGACAGATTTGACAGCGGCTTTTGTACTACCTTCAGAAAAGACCGACACCTCCAGCTTTGATGATCTAGGCACTGTGATGATGGTTATCTGATCTGCTTTTCCTGTATTTTGTCATATTAACATTCACGAACAGTCTTTGGCAGAGCCAGGGCACTTCACAGCCGTAGCCGCAGAACAAGATTGAAAAGTCCGTCGAAGGTGAGTGCCAAAAGACAGAGGGAAGTTTTGCCTCAATCCTGGCCTGGCGAAGCGTTGTCATCCGTTGTGCAGTGTCACTTGCTCATATCGCGGACACAATCCTTTTTAAGTTCATGCAACGAGAACACTTGATAGGCACGCCAGTGGAAAAAGCGACCAGAACGGAGCTTTGTCTAGTTCCACTGGTCCTCACCTGTACCACTGCGCTTTCCTCTCATCGTGATTTTGTCTGATAGTGAGGACTGTCATCGAGTGATTGAACGACGACTGAGCCTCCCGTTCCCCCCATATTCCACCTGTCAGACAATATGAGCATCGTCACTGCATTGAGACGCCATTAGTTCTCTGTGTTGCAGCTTTGTGGATTGTGACCTCCAAAGGTGGAAGCACTCAATACAGCTGGCTGGCTGAGGCAGAGCCGTCCAAGGACTGTCTGCTCTACAGCGTATGGTCTCTCGGTGCTCACTGTGAATAGGGCACACACCTAGTCTCTGCCAGAGCTGGCAATGGTTATCTAGCATGAAGAGCTTCAGGATCAATGCGTCAGGTGTGAACATGATAGCGTCAAAATGTCGAACAACAACAGGAACCTTTTAAGTATGGCAACGCAGGAAATTGGACACAAAAAAACTGTAACAAGCCAAAATGATAGGATAAAGCATGGAGAGACTAACAAAGCCATCCAGCCCGAAGCATCTTTCGTATGGACATTGTGGAAACAAGCATTTTTGCCGAATTTGTTCCATTAGTAGGGGCAGTCCATAACCATTGAAAATGGTCGGGGACAACTTCAGTACGTGGCGGAGCCGTTCATCCTGCGATACTGAATTCTTGTTTTTTGCTACCGACAGCACACAGCACCGAGATTGTCGAGCATAGAAATGCTTCATGAAACCCTTGCGCCCATGATCATCAATGAATTTTCAACCCATTTCTTTGCACCAAGTCGACTCGGCATCTATTTCTTGCCAGTCTTCTTCTCTTGGGTCTCCTTCAGCACCTTCTTGACGATCTTCTGCTCCTCGATCAAGAACGCTCGCACAATTCGGTCCCTCACGCAGTTGCCGCATCTGGATCCACCATAGGCACGCTGAACGGTCTTCTTGGGTCGGGAAGTCGTAGAATATTCTCGGGGTCGGAGAGCAGGCACCTATTGACCGACACACTGTCAGATTATTTTCTCTCTTGGCCAAAAGTCGTGTTGCTCCTCCATTGTTCGGGTTCGCAGAGAGGTTGGATCGCCACTTACGCCTGGTAGCTTGATGCCGCAGTCACCGCATTTTGGTGCTGTTCCTCGCTTCTTGATGTGTAGAAGTCTGAGCTTGCCACCGGGGGTCTTGATCACACGGACATTGTTGGAGGTCGTGTTGTATCTAAATTGCGATCACCAGTCAGTTCGGCCAGGTTTAGTCGTCGAATACGCCCGTCAACGATGGGATCGTAGGGGAAGGGCTGAGAACGTACGGGTTCCGGCGACGGTACTGAAGTCTAACACCTGCCATTGCGACGGTTTTGAGGGCGCAACAGGGGATATTGGATGAGGAATAACCGTGGTTTCGATGTTGTCGTCGAACCTCAGGCTGCGGAACCGTAGGAAATCAATTTTACAAAGTGCGGATAATCTTGGCAGTGAATGTCCCGATAAAGACTAGCGCGCTGTGCGGGAGCTAATCAATCACGTGACAAGGCGGGTCCGCGCAAAATGTTGAAGAACTTCAGGCGTCGCGGGAGGCAACAGTTCAACCATCGAACCGCGACATCGACATCACCATCACTTGTCTTCTGAAGGGTTTCATCTTGGTGGATGGTCGGCCTGAAAGAAGGAGATTGAACGACCTTGCTTTCCTGACCGAAGCAGAGAGCGGGTGGCGCTTCGTAAATGGTAAGAGACCTTTTGAAACTTGATCTTCGAAAGCGGGACAATCAATTCATCAAATCTATCACAACAGTCACTCTCGTCCACCTGACGGCAGGATGGCTTCAATCCCACCCCCTCCGCCTCCAGGATGGAGTGCTGGGCCACCTCCCCCTCCACCTGGCATGGCTCCTCCGCCAGGATATCGACCTCCCGTCGACCCGCAAGTAGCAAAGTTCGCACAGAAAAAGAAGGAATGGCTTCGTACGCAGCGGAATCGATTCGGCGAGAAACGCAAGGGCGGCTTCGTGGAGACGCAGAAGGCGGATATGCCTCCGGAGCATCTGCGCAAAATCGTCAAGGATATCGGAGATGTCAGCCAGAAGAAATTCAGCAGTGATAAGCGCAGTTACCTGGGCGCGTTGAAATACATGCCACACGCGGTGTTCAAGTTGCTGGAGAACATGCCCATGCCATGGGAAAGTGCCAGGGAAGTGAAAGTCCTGTACCACGTCAATGGATGCTTGACGCTGGTCAACGAGATCCCGCGAGTGATTGAGCCGGTCTTCCATGCTCAGTGGGCGACGATGTGGGTATGCATGCGACGAGAGAAGAGCGACAGAAGACATTTCAAGCGTATGCGGTTCCCCCCTTTCGATGACGAGGAACCACCTCTATCCTGGTCGGAAAACATCGAAGACGTCGAGCCTCTGGAGCCCGTGCAGATGGAGTTGGATGAGAACGAGGACGGACCGGTCTACGAGTGGTTCTACGAACACAGACCATTGTTGGATACGCCACATGTCAATGGGCCGAGCTACAAGAAGTGGAATCTGTCACTGCCGCAGATGGCGACGCTGTACAGATTGTCCCATCAGTTGCTCAGCGATGTGGTTGACAAGAACTATTTCTATCTCTTTGATCGAGAGAGTTTCTTCACTGCGAAGGCGCTGAATGTGGCTATTCCGGGAGGACCGCGTTTCGAACCTCTTTACAAGGACATTGATCCCAATGACGAAGATTTTGGTGAATTCAACGCGATCGACAGGATCATCTTCCGGGCACCCATCAGAACTGAGTACAGAGTCGCCTTCCCCTATCTCTACAACTCACTGCCACGAAGTGTGGAGATTTCGTGGTACCATCATCCTCAAGTCGTCTATGTCAGATCGGAGGATCCCAACCTGCCTGCCTTCTACTTCGATCCCGTCATCAACCCCATCTCATCAAGATCTGTCGCTCCCAAGAACCTCACGGTCAGTCACGAAGACGAGATCTTTGGCCCTGGTAACATGGAAGACGACGAGTTCGAGCTTCCAGGGAATGTCGAGCCTTTCCTTGCCGACGAAGAATTGTACACAAGCGAGACGGCTTCCGCAATTTCGCTCTGGTGGGCTCCCTACCCTTTCGACCGAAGATCTGGCAAAATGGTGCGCGCTCAAGATGTTCCCCTGGTCAAGCAGTGGTATCTAGAACACTGCCCGCCGGGCCAGCCGGTCAAAGTGCGAGTTTCATACCAGAAACTGTTGAAGACCTTTGTCTTGAACGAGCTGCACAAGAAGAAACCAAAGCCCCAGAGCAAGCAGGATCTCCTTCGCACATTGAAGTCTACCAAGTTCTTTCAGCAGACCACCATCGACTGGGTGGAGGCAGGGTTGCAAGTGTGTCGACAAGGCTTCAATATGCTGAATCTGTTGATTCATCGAAAGAACCTGACATATCTGCATCTTGACTACAATTTCAATCTCAAGCCTGTCAAGACGTTGACTACCAAGGAGCGGAAGAAATCACGATTCGGAAACGCTTTCCATCTGATGCGTGAGATCTTGAGGCTTACCAAGCTCATCGTTGACGCGCAGGTCCAGTATCGACTGGGCAATGTCGACGCTTTCCAACTCGCGGACGGCATCATGTATGCTTTCAACCACGTTGGTCAGCTTACCGGCATGTATCGATACAAGTACAAACTCATGCACCAGATCAGATCGTGCAAAGATCTCAAGCACTTGATCTATTACCGCTTCAACTCTGGTCCTGTCGGTAAGGGCCCGGGATGTGGTTTCTGGGCTCCAGCTTGGCGAGTCTGGCTCTTCTTCATGAGAGGCATCATCCCGTTGCTTGAGAGATGGCTTGGAAATCTTCTTTCAAGACAGTTCGAGGGTCGTCATAGCAAGGGTGTTGCGAAGACGGTCACAAAGCAACGTGTCGAGTCGCATTTCGATCTCGAGCTGAGAGCCTCCGTCATGGCAGACTTGATGGACATGATGCCTGAGGGTATCAGACAGAACAAGGTCAATACTGTACTTCAGCATCTGTCAGAAGCATGGCGTTGCTGGAAGAGTAATATCCCTTGGAAGGTCCCTGGCTTGCCAGCACCGATTGAGAACATTATTCTTCGATACGTCAAGAGTAAGGCTGATTGGTGGATCTCGGTGGCACATTATAACCGAGAAAGAATCCGGAGAGGAGCCACCGTCGACAAAACCGTTGCAAAGAAGAACCTTGGCCGGTTGACTAGGTTATGGCTCAAGGCGGAACAAGAGCGGCAGCACAACTATCTCAAGGATGGTCCTTATGTGTCTTCGGAAGAAGCCGTGGCTATCTACACCACCACAGTGCACTGGCTGGAGTCTCGGAAATTCTCTCCTATTCCCTTCCCCAGTGTGTCTTACAAGCACGACACCAAGATCTTGATCCTGGCTCTCGAAAGATTGCGGGAAGCCTACTCGGTCAAAGGTCGCCTTAACCAGAGTCAGCGAGAAGAGTTGGCGCTGATCGAACAAGCCTACGATTCTCCTGGAACTACTCTCGCCAGAATCAAGCGTTTCCTGCTCACTCAACGAGCGTTCAAGGAGGTTGGAATCGACATGAACGACAACTATAGTTCGATCAACCCTGTGTATGATGTCGAACCGATCGAAAAGATCACCGACGCCTACCTTGATCAGTACTTGTGGTACCAAGCAGACACTCGACATCTCTTCCCGTCGTGGGTCAAGCCTTCTGACTCCGAGGTTCCGCCGTTGCTGGTATACAAATGGGCTCAAGGCATCAACAACTTGACGAATGTGTGGGAAACCGCTGACGGTGAATGCAATGTCATGCTCGAGACGCAGCTTTCCAAGGTCTATGAGAAGATTGATCTTACCCTGCTCAATCGTCTCCTTCGACTCATCATGGACCACAATTTGGCCGACTACATTACGTCCAAGAACAACGTGCAGCTGAACTACAAAGATATGAACCACACCAACAGCTATGGGTTGATCAGAGGTCTTCAGTTCTCTGGTTTCGTCTTCCAGTACTATGGACTCGTCATCGACCTACTTCTGCTCGGATTGCAACGTGCGAGCGAGCTTGCAGGGCCACCTCAGAGCCCCAACGATTTCCTGCAGTTCCGAGATCGTGAGACCGAAACTAAGCATCCAATTCGACTGTATACGAGATACATCGACAAAATCTGGGTGTTCTTCAGATTCACCGCCGAGGAGTCGAAGGATCTCATCCAACGTTTCTTGACCGAGCAGCCCGATCCGAACTTCGAGAATGTCATTGGCTACAAGAACAAGAAATGCTGGCCTCGTGATTCTCGGATGAGACTGATGAGACATGATGTCAACCTTGGTCGCGCAGTTTTCTGGGATCTGAAGAACCGACTACCCCGTTCCATCACCACCATCGAATGGGATGACACTTTTGCAAGCGTGTATTCGCGCAACAACCCCAACTTGTTGTTTTCGATGTGTGGCTTCGAAGTCCGAATCCTGCCGAAGATTCGCACCCTGAACGACGAGTTCCCTATCAAAGACAGTGTGTGGGACCTCGTCAACAACGAAACCAAGGAACGAACGGCCTACGCGTTCTTGCAGGTCACCGAAGAAGACATCCAGAAGTTCAATAACCGCATCAGACAGATCTTGATGTCTTCTGGCTCCACCACCTTCACCAAGATCGCCAACAAGTGGAATACCGCTCTCATTGCCCTCTTCACCTATTATCGAGAAGCCGCCGTCTCAACCATCAATCTCTTGGACACCATTGTCAAATGCGAGACCAAGATCCAGACCCGTGTCAAGATCGGCTTGAACTCGAAGATGCCTTCCCGTTTCCCTCCCGCCGTGTTCTACACCCCCAAAGAGCTTGGTGGTCTGGGTATGATCTCCGGCTCGCACATTCTTATCCCGGCCAGTGATAAACGATGGTCCAAGCAGACCGATACCGGCGTCACGCATTATCGTGCTGGTATGACTCACGATGAAGAGACGTTGATCCCTTCGATCTATCGCTATCTAGTGCCCTGGAGTAGTGAGTTTATTGATTCTCAGCGGGTATGGACCGAATATTCTCAGAAGAGACTGGAAGCGAACCAACAAAACCGCCGGCTCACGCTTGAAGACCTTGAAGATTCTTGGGATCGAGGCCTGCCGCGTATCAACACTCTGTTCCAGAAGGACAGAAGCACTTTGTCGTTCGATAAAGGCTTCCGGGCTCGGACAGAGTTCAAACAATACCAGTTAATGAAGAGCAATCCTTTCTGGTGGACAAGTCAGCGCCATGATGGCAAATTATGGAATTTGAACGCCTACCGAACCGATGTCATTCAGGCCCTTGGTGGTGTGGAAACGATTCTTGAACACACACTGTTCAAGGCAACGGCTTTCCCGTCGTGGGAAGGGCTCTTCTGGGAGAGAGCGAGCGGTTTTGAGTTAGTGGCAAAATCACCACTGGCCATTCTCGTCCATTTCACTTGCTAATACTTCTTCTAGGGAGTCTATGAAGTACAAGAAGCTCACGAATGCTCAGCGTTCCGGTCTGAATCAAATTCCAAATCGTCGGTTCACACTCTGGTGGTCTCCAACGATAAACAGAGCAAGTAAGTTGAAAAGCCCTTATTGTTTTGGACAATCTCGCTGTCGAATTAAAGATTGCTAACTGGGTGTTTGTAGACGTCTACGTCGGTTTTCAGGTTCAACTCGATTTGACCGGCATTTTCCTGCATGGCAAGATCCCCACTCTTAAGATCTCATTGATCCAGATCTTCAGAGCGCATTTATGGCAGAAGATCCACGAGTCCGTAGTGATGGACTTGTGTCAAGTTTTCGACCAAGAGCTTGAGCAATTGGGTATTGAGACTGTTCAGAAAGAAACCATCCACCCTCGAAAATCGTACAAGATGAACAGTTCTTGTGCAGATATCCTGCTGTTTGCCAGCCACAAATGGAATGTCACTCGGCCATCCCTCCTGTTTGACACCAAGGATCAAATCGAAGCCACCACAACGAACAAGTTCTGGGTCGATGTGCAGCTCCGTTATGGCGATTACGATTCTCACGACATTGAGCGATACGTTCGAGCCAAATACCTCGACTATACAACGGACAGTATGAGCATCTATCCATCCGCGACTGGTCTTATGATTGCCATCGACCTTGCCTACAACCTCTACTCCGCATACGGACAATATTTCCCAGGTCTGAAGGCTCTCATTCAGCAGGCCATGGCTAAGATCATGAAAGCCAATCCCGCTCTCTATGTGCTGCGTGAGCGTATCAGAAAGGGTCTCCAACTGTATGCTTCCGAGACAACTCAGGAGTTCTTGAACTCCCAGAACTACTCTGAGCTGTTCAGCAACCAGACCCAGCTGTTCATTGATGATACCAACGTTTACCGCGTTACCATCCACAAGACATTCGAGGGCAACTTGACCACCAAACCAATCAACGGAGCGGTGTTCATCTTCAACCCGAAGACTGGACAACTGTTCTTGAAGATCATCCACACCAGTGTCTGGGCCGGTCAAAAGCGATTGGGGCAATTGGCCAAATGGAAGACGGCTGAAGAAGTTGCTGCGCTGATCAGATCTCTACCGGTCGAAGAGCAGCCCAAGCATTTGATTGTGACTCGCAAAGGTCTTTTGGATCCACTGGAAGTTCATCTGCTGGACTTCCCCAACATTTCCATCAGAGCATCGGAATTGCAGCTTCCCTTCCAGGCCGCCATGAAGGTCGAGAAGTTGGCAGACATGATCCTTCAGGCCAAGGAGCCACAGATGGTACTGTTCAACCTGTACGACGAATGGCTGAAGACCATTTCATCATACACGGCCTTCTCCAGACTGATCCTCATTCTGCGTGCCTTACACGTCAACACGGACAAGACGAAGTTGATTCTCCGGCCCGACAAGACTGTCATCACCCAGCCACATCACATCTGGCCCAGTCTTTCGGACGAGGATTGGATCAAGGTCGAAGTTCAATTGCGAGATCTGATCTTGAACGACTACGGGAAGAAGAACAACGTCAATGTCCAGTCCTTGACTTCCAGCGAAGTACGAGACATCATCTTGGGTATGGAGATTTCGGCGCCTTCTCTCCAAAGACAGCAAGCGGCCGAGATCGAAAAGCAGCAACAAGACCAACAGCAAATGACCGCGGTGACGACCAAGACACAGAACGTCAGAGGAGAGGACATCATCGTCACGACCACCTCGCAGTACGAGCAACAATCGTTTGCATCCAAGACCGAATGGCGTACACGGGCAATCGCCACATCCAACCTGCGGACCCGGGCCAACAACATCTACATTTCGAGCGACGACATCCACGAGTCCGAGGATTCATACACGTATGTTCTGCCCAAGAACATCTTGAAGAAATTCATCACCATCGCCGATCTCCGGGTCCAAGTGGCCGGCTATCTGTACGGTTCATCGCCCCCGGACAACGACCAAGTCAAGGAGATCCGCACCATTGTCATGGTGCCGCAAGTCGGCAGCACACGCGAAGTCCAGCTACCTCATCAGCTCCCACAGCATGAGTACCTCAAGTCCATGGAGCCGTTGGGCATCATCCACACCGCGTCCGGGAACGAACCATCGTACATGACGCCCCAGGATGTGACGACGCATGCGCGCCTCATGGCGCAACACCCGTCATGGGACAAGAAGACGGTCACGCTCGTGGTGTCGTTCACGCCCGGCTCTGTGTCTCTGTCCGCCTGGTCCCTGACTCCAGCAGGCTACACGTGGGGCGCCAACAACAAGGACACACAGTCCGACAACCCGGCCGGCTTTTCGACCTCGTTCGGCGAGAAGACGCAGCTCCTGTTGTCGGACAAGGTGCGTGGCTTCTTCTTGGTGCCGGAGAACGATAGCTGGAATTACAGTTTCATGGGTGCCAGCTTCGCCGCCGTCGAGAAGAGACCGGTCTACGTCAAGATCGACACTCCTCGGCGGTTTTACGATGACAAACATCGTCCTATCCATTTCAGCAGTTTCAATGAGTTGGAGGATATCTGGGCGGATCGCGAGGATGTGTTTGCTTAGGCTGGTGCCGTCAACGGCAGGATGATATGTTAAAACCCACGATGGAGCAGGACATGGTGGGAAATGTATGAACACAGGTAATCAGAACATTACTCAAGGAATGAAATGATTCAAAAAGGCTGCTATGACTACAGCGATACAACGGTGATGGCCACTATCAACATCAATCCCCCTGATGGTAAGGAAGGTATAGAGCGTTGGAGTGATGGAGCGTGCCGTGATCAGGAGATATAATATTTAGTGGAGTATAAGGTAAACACCAGATTCAAGAGAACCTTAAGAATGGTTATTAGTATACATAGCCGCAGTATATAAGGTATTCACCTAAAAGAGGTTATTATGAACAAGCTACTTTAACCATATTGTCTATTTGGGTTCCACTTTTCGTATAAGATGGTAATTTACTTGTTGCTGAAGGCCGCTCTATCTCTATTAGGCGATATATTAGTAGGAGAGACTCTAGACTTATTATTATTATGATCCCTGATGATGGGTGAGGAAGGATTAGAGAAGATACGAATATGACTGATGGTGATGGAGGAGTGTGCCGGAAGTAATGACTCTTGTATGGCTTGAAGTTAGGGAGCTCGTCAAGCACTAAAAGGTGAGGTCAGTAAGTCTTGAGGCTAATATTGTTGACATGACCTGTGTCGCTCAGAAACAGAAAAAGGTACCTATATAACTCAGGCTTGAATCTCTGCAGTGTAATTCTAGAAAAGAATCGCTCAATGGGGTATCATAACAAGTATCTCAAATCAACATGACATCGTAATATCATCAACTCATCAAATCCGCAGTTCGACAACATGAGACGAACCAAAGAACTCCCAGTAGTCAAAGCTCGTCGTCCTCGTCCTCATCCTCGGTCTCTGTGTTGACATCAAGAGCAACGACATCCAAGTCCGTCCTATTCTTTGGTCCCATCGCAGCCTCTGCTTTAGGGTGCATCCCGGTTGCCTCAGTCCGTTCGACAGACCCCTCAAGCTTGACGTCGGCTCTCCTCACCTCCCACTTGACCGGATCGCCCTGGTGATCATCGCTTCTATGCGGCTCTAATTTGGGACGCACATCTGCTCCCTTTGCTTTGAAAGAGTCGCTTTTCACGAACCCGTCAAGGACGTCACGACGATAATGGTAAAACCGATCCAGACACTCTCTGCGCTCCGCTTGGGTCCAGTTTTCGACGACCAAGGCAAACGAGACCACGTCGTCGCCATACCCAGCCCAGCGCGCCATGCTGCAGAACTGCCGTTTCATGACGGCCTGCGGGGGATGGTACTTGTATCTGATGCCGCCGTTGGGTGTAGTGCTTCCATCAGCATCACTTCCGTTCCCGTACACATGTCCACCCCCGTGGCCACTAGTGCCTAGCCCTGTCTGTGATTCGTCCTGGAACACTTTGGACTGTTGCTCCTGTGTGCCCCAACGTCTGTCGGTGTCGGCGGCCTCTTCGGCGCGTTTGGAGAGCAGCGCTTCGACCTTGGACGAGCCAATGACTTCGCTGTTCTCATGGGTATATGACACCCCGACGGATGACAGGATGGCTTGAATGGGATCATGTTTTTTGACAACCTGCGTCTTGCCCGGGGCAAGCGACGTCTTGGACCGGGAGCGAGATTCGCCAATGATCTCCGCTGCGAGCTGCGAGATGGCTGCATCTTCTTCGGCTTTGATGGGGCGGAGCGTGGTGTCTTCTTCTTTGACCACAACTGGCTCCGCCTCGTCACCGCTGTCATGCCCTTCGAGATCAAGGTCTGCAACACGAACCCCTGCTTTAGATTCTGCAATATTGGTCTTGTTGACGATGTCTCGCAACACCTGATTCTCGTTCTGGAAGGCGAAGAGATTCTGTAGTCCGAAGATCTCTCCTTTCTGGTCCTTACGGTCCTGGACGCCGTGAAAATATCGTCGTTCGGAAGTGGCAGTGTACCCGATGTTGGCTTGCTGCTGTTTGTAGATCTGGCGAGCATAGACGATCTCCTCCATGGTACCTTGACTCACCAGGCGGAAGACCTCAACATCCCGCGTTTGGCCGATTCTGTAGGCTCGGTCTTGTGCTTGTAAGTCGTAAGACGGATTCCAGTTCGGATCGACGACCACAACCTTATTGGCGGAAGTGATGTTCAACCCGACTCCACCAGCTCGGGTGCTGATGAGAAACACGAACTGTGTGGGATCGGTGTTGAATTCTCGAACGGCCGCATATCGATCGTCATATTGCATGCTTCCATCCAGATATTTGACGTTGAACTGGGTGCTGATGAACAAATCCTGAAGCATGCGGAGCAGTCTGACGCTGTGAGAGAAGATGAGGACTTTGTTACCGCCCTGGTCATGCCAGAAAGTGAGCAACTTCTTCATAACACGCCATTTCCCACAATATTCGGGATTGCCCGTGTGCATGATGCTGTCGCGAGTCCGATAGATTTCAGACCACTGCTCGGGCATGGCAATCTGCAGCATGTCGAGGTCCTTTGCCTGCTTTTCGGATGAATCGGACCCCTGAGGGATCAAGACCGCCAGATGGTTTGCTATCTTCTGGAGAACCTGGATTGCCGGGAAGACCCAGCTTTGCCATTTGCTCCCATCTTCCAGCTCCATATGACAGCACCAGCCCGCTTTCTTTCCACTTCCACAATCACACAGCTCGCTGCTATTCTTGATGTGCTCGACAATATCGCTTTCGAGGAAATTCTGGTACGCGCTTGCCTGTGTCGCCGTGAGCGGACAAAACACCACTCGATCAGTCTTTCTCGGAAGCTGGTCCTTGATTAATGCTTTCGTCCGCCGCAGGAAGAACTGCGGGAGTAGGTTATTGACGAGCATCTTTGCGGTTTTCCTGGCTCTTGCGAGCTGATAGTTCGAAGCGTCGTGACTCTGGCCTAACTTAAGCGGCTCGCAAATGGACGTCCTCCAGGTAGAGACAGGGCCGAACCGACCCGGGTTTGTCCAATTGAGAAGTGTCCACAGTTCCTCGTACTTGTTCTGAATTGCGGTTCCTGTCAAGCCAATACGACAAAGAGCGTTGACTTCAACCATTGCTTTCGTGGTGTCCGATCTTCGATCCTTGATCTGATGACATTCGTCCGCAACAACGCAATCCCATTGGACCATGTTGATCTCGCTTTTGTTGGCACGGTAAGTGTGGTATGTGGTTATCATAACCTCGAGCATGCCTGCCTGAGCCTCCAGAAAGACCTCATGTCGGTGAGAGGCATTGCCATGATAGAGATCAACGTGCCACCAGCCCCACCGTTCGAATTCATCTTTCCAGTTGTTCATGAGTGTACCTGGACAGATGATGAGGGTGCGAGGGTACGTCTGACCAGCACGCCGCATTTTTCGCATTCTCTTGTTGTCCCGCTCGTCGCCGGTTTTCCCATATGCTGCTGTCAAAAATGCTATCACCTGCACGGTCTTGCCCAAGCCCATGTCATCCCCAAGAATCCCTCCCTTTTGATACACAAAAAGTTCATGTAGGAAGGCCACGCCCTTAACCTGGTAATCCCGCAGGAATTGCGCGAGGGGTGCTGGTATCAACCCAAGGGAGTACGGAAGCTCGATGTCCTTGTATTCTCTAACCGCGGCAGACTGACGAAAGGTCGGCCGTTCCTTCAGATGTTGTGGGTTGTCATCGTCAGAAAAGAATACCTCATTGTAGTTGGGCGGTAGTAGTAAGCCACCAGCCTTCAACCTCTTGATCCGCTCATCGAATTTCTTTCTCCGTCCCTGAATGTAGTCTGGCGTGGTCCATTCCATGAGGTCCTCGTCTGGGTCGGATTCATCGTACTCTTTGAGTTTCCTCCGCTTCCTCGGTCCTTGTCGACCGACTCCAGTTGTGGTACCACCTGTTCGCGCTCTGGAAGGCGCATCCATCTCCTTAGCAATGGCCCTAATCTTACGGGCTTTCTTCCCAGCTCGCTTTTTGGCTTCCGCCGCTCTGGTCTTGGATTTCTCATCCCCGGTCCATGCATAGTTGAGTTCGTCATCGGAATCCAACTGTACGGGTTCGTGGATTGCTGCAGCAGGACTGCGGCTCTCTTTTGTGTCGGTCTTAGCAACTATTGCTGCGTCGGAAGCCCCCGATCCAGTTGTAGTAATTGATATCAGTTCAGGGCTCTCTGTCTTGACTCTGTCCGCTCGATTCGCTGTGAGTGTGGTTGGAATGCGGCGTTCCTGTTTGATGCGAGGCTGGTCCAGGTCATCATCCTCGCTGTCGGTGAAGACCATCCTGGGCACGGACCAAGATAGGAGGTACGCCGACCGGCCCAGAATGTAGATCAGGGAGTGGGCAGAAGAGACCGACTTGCTCGCTAGCAGAGCGTAAACAAGTATTCGCCGATTGACGATGGCGTTGGTGATGGCGGGGCAAAAGTCGCGAAGTGACGCAGTCGCGCTTCTGCGTATTTTTTAAGTGAACACGAAAATTCCGCCTGAGCACGGGAACGATTTGGGCTTCACTTCGGCCCAATTGGCGTGGCCTCACAATTTCTTTGACTTACATTCGTTGTCCAACCCACTGGATGGCTTGCTGATCTTAGAATTGTGTGTGCGTCTTCGACGCCATTCTGCAATATGCCTCTCGATACCATTTCCACCTATGCGCAAACGCTGCTACGACAAGATGGTCGGCGATGGAATGAACTGCGCAGAATTACCGCTTCAATCTCAACCCAGCCTTCCAGCGATGGAAGTAGTCTTTTGACCATGGGCAATACAATGGTCCTATGCACAGTGACTGGTCCAAGAGAGGGGTACGGTTCACAATTCGAACTTACTGTCAGGCGCATAGGTTGACTCTCACTAACTGTATTTGATCATTCCACAGGCGCGGTCAACGAGATAACACCAATGCCACAGTTGAGACTGAGATCAACGTCGCCCCTTTTGCACAGATGGACCGCCGAAGACGAATCAGAAATGACAAACGCATCCAAGAGCTTCAAAGTACGGTCTCAAACGCATTCCAGAGTCATCTCTTCACACATCTCTACCCACGTTCGACCATCTCGATCTCCCTCCACGTCCTGAGTCTTGATGGAGCACTGCTGGTGGCGTGTCTCAATGCAGCGAGCCTTGCTCTTGTGGATGCTGGTGTCCCGATGCCCTCTATTCTCGCCGCCATTTCGAGCGGAAGTGTCACTCCGACCGACGATTCTTCGGCCAGACCTGAACCTATTCTAGACCTCAACAACACTGAAGAGCAGGAGTTGCCTTTCCTATCAATTGCAACCGTTGCAGGTCAGCCAGGCTCGGAAGACAAGGTGTCTGTTCTGATGATGGAATCACGATGTCAGATCGGTGGCGCGAACAGCAAATTAGAGAGCATGATGGCCACAGGAGTCGATGGATGCAAGCAAGTTCGAAGGAAAATGGAAGATGTTATCAGGAAACACGGAGCGAGAGTGATCCAAGGAAGGAAGTAGGCGGACTTTCGAGTCACCTCAAGAATCCTTCTTGATTTGCATTGACAGAGGGTGGCCAAAGGTGGTTTAGACGTTTGGAAATCGTGCTGATTATCTACGTCTGCTGCTCGCTCAGTGGCACTGGCGACCTCTACACGCGTACGGGTTCCTCCAGTCAAGAACACAGACAGGCCACTCTCTTCTCGTTGCCCGGTTGTCGCACGTCCGTCCCAGTTGCAACCCAGGGGTGACTTAGAGAGCGATATCAGAGAGGGCCAGAGCACCACTCCGAGTGAGTCGGCAAGCATGTTTGTATGACTTAGCATTGACCGTAAGTCACCACATTTGCGTCCATTGGAAAGGGAGTTGTGCTGACGTATCCTAGCTCTGATGCGGCCTGCGCAATGTTCATTGCGATCTCAAGCGGGATCAGCTGTCCCGTCGCAAGCGCAGATGCGAGATCTCAAATCGAAGAGGAGACCAACACCCTTTGGGAACGTTGTTTGCGAGGATGTCCAGAAGCTTTTTCAAGCATTTGGCCACTTCTCAAGCACCGGAAACCCCTGGATTTCCAATCGGTGATGGCATCTATTGTTCATAGCATCTCTTCGGGGCCTGCCACCTGATTGAACCACTAGAGTGCCAAAGTCGTGCTCTAATAAACCGCATGATTCAGTGGAGTTATTGAGGTTTGATAGCCCGGTTGGGCCATCGCAGAACTGAGCAACCAGACACGCTGATCGGAAGAACGCTTCGGTTCTCACCGTGGTGGGCACCGGCGCTGTCTGCAAACCTGGAATATCCGGCCTGGAAAACGCCTGGTTCTTGTTTGAGGTGGTACCGGCCGGGGCGAAATGGGTGCACAACAGGAGATCTCGGACCGTGGTGAGTGAGACATAACTAAAAGCGTAAGATGGACATAGCTACGGATATTACATCTGGAAAGCGAAGAGCGTGTAGAGATGATATTCGACATGCCTTGCGGAGAAGATTCATCACCCTGGATGCTGTATGTACCGTGTTGTGTGAGAGACTTTCATTTGCAGGGATGTTGGGATGCTGTGGAACGACCTTCATGCAGGTACAGGTATCAAATGGCCTGCTAGACGTGTTAGCATGATGGGGAATGACCAGCATTATTGCACGGTTGGTGGCGCATGTCTGGGGATCTCTTGAAGCCGGATGGCCCCACGACTTTGGTAGCCATTTGAAGTGGCCATATGGACTCGCTAACATGTCGTGGCGCTGCATGGGATGTGGCGGTGGAAAAGGTGTTGAACAGGAAGCGTACCTAAGTTAACTGGGCGCATGCGATGGAGGATTGGTGATGTTGCAGGGGCACCGTACCTAGTAGTACTACCTAGGTACTACTAGTAGTATTTTAGGTGGTAGTTAGTGGCTCCGAATCGGCTGCAGGGAAACTGGGAACTTGGAAATTTTTGATGCTGGCGTCGACCAACTCCTCTAACAGTATCGCTACGGGGGCTACTTGCGGTGACTACCTCCCACTACGTACTAAGGTACCTAACTCTCCTAGATCACTTACCGTAACTTCAAGTTCTCGCTCGTTCACTACTAGTATCCCAACATCAGTTCATTCTCTTATCCCTCCCTCTCCAGTTCCCGTTGGGTTTGTATCCTGCCTGGTATCCGTGGTTCCTTTTGATCAACCAGCACCGTGGTGATCACCCGCCCGGAGAAATATAACGCTGTTTGGCTGCATTGGTATGCTCCCTTACCCTGACCAACACTCGACCCTCGTGACCTACGAACGCTTTCACGGACACATGGCTGACGAGTGATCCAGAGACGTTCTAGCCTCAGAGCATGGCAAGATAGACGCCTGCACCACTGTCTTTGCTCCTCGGCCTCCTCCTTACTCGAGTTCCTCTCCTCCGATCAATATGCGAGGCTCCTCTCTCCTTCCAAAACAACTCCGCTCTCTGGGCAGAAGCGACAGCTGGTTGAATCGTACCGTCACCTCTGGCCTCCTGGCTCTGTCGCATACTGCATGCCAACATCCGATACACACCATTGTCGTACTTGCGTTGCTGGCTAGCACTTCATATGTCGGTCTTCTTCAAGAGAGCTTGTTTGATACTGGAGTGAAAACCATACAACAAAATGGCCGCGTTGACGTGGAAGCACTGTTGAAAGGCAGCCGCACGCTGGAACTATCCGAGAAGACTGCATGGAAATGGGATTTTGCAGACGATTATGGCGTTCCGCAGGTGTCACTGGTAAGCAAATCCAATGGGGACTGCAGACGGAAGGTATGAGTGCTGACACCGCTACGACAGGGAGCAGATCATTATGCCCTGGTCACGCTCCTGTTCCCGGACTCTTCGTCACTCCAGCTGGCTCCTGAAGCTCACGATGTGCCTATACCATCCAATATCACAGCCACGAACGTCCCCACTACCTCCAATCTTTTGTCGCCGATATCGCACGACACCTCTCTTGCTTTTTACACCTCATTCTCCGAAGTGGCCGACTTTCTACGGGCGGCGCAAGAGCTGCCCGCCAGAAACACGGAATCGGAAGGCAATGGTGATGGGGTCTGGTTGATGAAAGCTGCCCGTCTGAATGGTCTGGGGTCGCGCGGGTCCTACAGGGCCTGGCTCAGCGAGGGTTGGTCGTCCTTCGTGGATTTGGTCAAACACGCAGAGACGCTGGACATAATTATTATGTCTCTGGGCTATCTGTCGATGCACTTGACTTTTATCTCGCTGTTTGTGTCAATGAAGCGGCTCGGTTCCAATGCTTGGCTGGCGATCTCCGTCTTGTTCTCCAGCCTGTTCGCATTTCTGTTCGGGCTGGTCACGACGACGAAGCTGGGAGTGCCAATCAACATGGTCCTGCTTTCGGAAGGTCTGCCCTTCCTCGTTGTTACCATTGGGTTTGAAAAATCAATTATCCTCACAAAGGCGGTTCTGTCTGCTTCGTACGACACCAGTCGGCGCCCAGACTCCTCGGCGAATGGCGCTGCTACAGGCCCGTTCGCTCAACCGTACGCAGCGAGCTCCATCCCAGACGCCATTCAAATGGCCGTCAAGGACACCGGCTTTGAGGTCGTCCGAGACTACGCAATCGAGATTGCCGTCCTCATCCTCGGGGCGGCTTCTGGCGTCCAGGGCGGACTACGGCAATTTTGTTTCCTAGCCGCCTGGATCTTGGCTTATGATTGTTTGTTGCTATTCACCTTCTACACCACAATCCTGTGCATCAAACTCGAGATCAACCGTATCAAGCGGCATGTCGCTCTTCGCAAGGCTTTAGAGGAAGACGGGATCAATCAGCGAGTGGCCGAGAACGTCGCCACCAACAATGACTGGCCGAGTGGGCAATCTGATCAAGGAGCGGGTTTCAACATCTTTGGCCAAAAGATCAAAGCCAGCAGTGTCCCGAAGTTCAAGATTTGGATGGTCACCGGTTTCGTCATCGTCAATATCATCAATCTTTGCACGATTCCCTTCCGCACCGCCAGCAGTGTCAAGGCCACTGGGCCAACAATTCCGAGCATGCTAACCCCGGCACCTATCGACCCTTTCAAGGTTGCAGAGAATGGATTGGACGCCATCTATGTCGCTGCAAAGAGCAAGAAGATCGACACCTTTGTCACCGTTCTGCCGCCTATCAAATATGAACTGGATTATCCGTCCCTGCATCAACCGGGGGCACAAGATGACCTCGGTTTCTTCGAGCACGAGTACACAGATCAGTTTCTGAACGTGATGGGCGGGCGTGTCATTGAGGGTGTCCTGAAGAGCCTTGAAGACCCCGTTCTTAGCAAATGGGTTTTAATTGCTTTGACCTTGAGTTTGATCCTCAATGGGTACTTGTTCAACGCCGCACGTTGGAGCTTGAAAGAACCTCACTCGACAACAAGCTCGCCATCTGCACCGAAGCCACCACAGCTCGAACTGCCGCAAGCGCCGAAGCCCAAGCCGGTCGATCTGGCAGGGGCCAACGAGCTGACGAGGTCCCAGGCCGAGTGCGAGCAGATGCTCAAAGAGAAAAATGCCGCCTACCTCACCGACGAGGAGTTGATCGACCTGTCGATGAGAGGCAAAATCCCCGGTTATGCAATCGAGAAAACCTTGGAGAATCCTGAGGCCATGACGCGCTTGGAATCGTTTGTTCGTGCTGTCAAAGTTCGGAGAGCAGTGGTGTCGAGAACCCCGGCCACCAAACGCTTCGCGGGTGTTCTGGAATCATCAAAAGTGCCATACAAAGACTACAACTACGAACTGGTCCTGGGTGCATGCTGTGAGAATGTGATTGGGTACCTGCCCCTGCCATTGGGAGTTGCAGGTCCCCTGACGATCGATGGTCAGAGCTACTTTTTGCCTATGGCGACCACTGAAGGTGTGCTGGTGGCTGGTGTCAGTCGTGGCTGCAAGGCCATCAATGCTGGTGGCGGCGCCGTCACTATACTCACCAATGACGGCATGACACGCGGGCCTTGTGTCGGCTTTCCAACCCTTGCTCGGGCTGCGGAGGCCAAGGTCTGGCTGGACTCTGAAGACGGCTGGCGCCGCATTCGAGACGCATTCAACTCCACCAGTCGCTTTGCACGGCTCCAGTCGCTGAAAACAGCTCTGGCGGGCACTTACCTTTATATCAGGTTCAAGACAACCACAGGCGATGCCATGGGAATGAACATGATTTCGAAGGGAGTGGAAAAGGCGCTATCAGTGATGTCGACAGAATGCGGCTTTGACGACATGTCGACAATTGCAGTGTCCGGCAACTACTGCACTGACAAGAAAGCTGCCGCGATCAACTGGATCGATGGCCGAGGTAAGGGTGTTGTGGCCGAGGCCATCATTCCCGGCGACGTCGTTCGAAGCGTCCTCAAGAGCGATGTAAATGCTCTCGTGGAGTTGAACATTGCAAAGAATTTGATCGGCAGTGCAATGGCTGGCAGTATTGGCGGTTTCAACGCGCATGCTGCCAATATCGTGGCTGCCATGTTCCTGGCCACCGGTCAAGATCCCGCTCAGGTTGTTGAAAGTGGCAATTGCATTACCGTGATGAAGAAGTAAGTCTCTGTCCTTTCGACAACATTCAGACCGATTACTGACCCAAACTAGCAACAATGGCAACCTTCAGATCAGCGTGTCTATGCCATCACTCGAAGTTGGTACCATTGGAGGAGGGACGATTCTCGAAGCACAGTCGACTATGCTAGAGATGCTTGGAGTTCGTGGAGCTCACCCAACCAACCCAGGCGACAATGCGCGCCAACTGGCCAGGATCATTTCTGCTGGCGTTCTTGCAGGAGAGCTCAGTCTATGCAGTGCACTCGCCGCAGGCCATCTTGTGCGGGCACACATGGCGCATAACCGCAGCGCTGCCCCCACCAGAACATCAACACCAGTGTCAGCTGCGGTTGAGCCCTTCCTTCGAGCTCAAAATGGTCCTTCCATCCCTTCCTCGCTGAAAATGACCAACGGGCGATGAGAGGTGGAATTAATGGTAATTCGGCATGTTTATGTACAAACGAGGAGCATCGTATATATGGGATCCCAGCGCACGGCGTTTGAAGACAGTCAGTCCACTGCATTGAGCGACCAGGCGTCATGATGCATGAATGTGGCGCCTTTTCAGGGTCATCATCGTATCGGCATTGTTTTGTTCATGATCGTAGTAATGTGCTTGACGGTGCTGCTGTGGTGCGAAGACAACGGTTGTATATGAAAAGAGTATGAAAGAGTGTGGAGCAACCCTGATAATGACCAATTGTTGTCCAGCTCGTGCCTGTTGTTCCTTCTCTTTGTTTGTCCTACAACGTCGGCACAGATCCGGGTCATGCTAATGAATCCATCCAATCGGAGGCTCAGGGGCCCTGAAGCCACACTTCTGTAGCGCGTATCATCTCCTAACTCATGGACGCGATGGCGTCGAGCGCGTCGTCGGTGGCCCCTGAGATAGTGGCAGGGACTGACAAGAGATCTGGCCAGTCAGCGAACGCAGTTGGCGCCCTGGGGTTCGGAAAGGCTTGAAGCTAGCGACAATGGCTACTGTCAGGGTAGTAAGGGGGCAGCGAAAAGTCTCTGGGCTGCATGCATGCTGAGAGATGGGATTGAGGGTCCGTTGTTGGAAGAATCGAGAGCAAAGTCATTGTGGGATAAAACTCGTGGAAAGAGTAGAGCGATGAAAGTCAGATTGAGGGTAGAAGTCGCAGTTACAAGGCCAGTCATTGGAAATTAATTGATTTCTGGTGAAGTTGTTCATTCCTCTCCTGCCGCTAGCGAGATCGAGCACCCAAACACGTATTTCTCATCGCAGACAACCAAATGGGCTTTTACTATTCATCTGACATCCACCACCCCAGCTTGTCCCTCCTTCCTCGTCCCACTGTGGTCCTTCTTCTACCGCGACTATTTTGATTCCACACTCGTTCATTCACCGTCTGCTGGACAGTCCGGATTCTACGATCCCCTTTCTAAAGCGTCCTGGACACCCGCTCGTTCTCTTTGTTCTCCCAGTTCAGTCACGCCTGCGCACTGGCTTTAGGGTCTCCCACTCCTTGACCTCTTACGCAATCTGCGACATTTCCTGCTTCACCTTCCCGACCGCAGAATAAATCGAACCCCCCATACTCAAACCCGTCTTCATTCTCATCAGTGGTTTCGCCGATCAGAGGTGTTCTTCCGGCCTTGTACCCTTCGTCAGTGCTGCATGCGGTAACCCAGAATGCAAGCCGCCTTGCCGCCTCCCAGTCGGGGCTCCGAATTGTCTCCCGTTTCTACGGCGGGCAGCGAGTGGTCCGGCGTCAATACTTACAATCAACTACCACGGAATGACGGCCCCTATTCTGCATATAATCCTGCCGGCGATGACTATTTTCAGGGTAGAGCAATGCCTTTCCGCCCGCCGCCCGGAGGCAGCATGAGTTATGGGCCTGGCTCCTTTGACCCCATGGGCCAGCCACGCCTATCGGATGGTGCCTCTCGGGGTTCCTCACGCACTGGCTCTATAGCGAACTCGCGATCGAGTGACGGGACACTTTCGGACGACCAGAGTAGGAAATACAGAAAAATGGAGACCGAGCTGTTCCAACACTACACCATTCTGAAGGGATATTTGAAAGGAGGTGCTCAGGCGCCTCCACGCCCCAACAAGGCACGGGACAAGCTATTACGCCTATCGCCGGTTCAGTTCCACGAATTGAGTACGGATGTCTTTGACGAGTTACAAAGGAGACAAGCGTCGGCACCGCTCCCAGGTCGCCCACCGCGACAACAGAACGTCCCACCTTTTTTACAGCCACGGAAGGACTTTCACGAGAAGCGGAATCAGGCTAGACAGAAGTTGTCCACCCTCCAAGCACCAAGATTTAGAGACCTTTCCACGGACGTGTTTTGCGAGCTGGAAAGAAGATTTCCTCAATTCATAAGACCCGACGGCTCCAGAAGAGAGAGTGATCGGTCACAGTCAAGAGGTCCAGTTGCCAGTGGTTCGTCGCGAGACGGTCTAAATGGCTTCACAGGGCTACCGAAACCTCAACCCTATGCCTCCTCAGGCCATCCAGGTTATCAACATAAGCAGGAATCCCTGACCAGTGTTCCCCATTTCGATAATCCACCGCCGGCCAGCGATTACGGTCGACCGATGGCGAAACAATTCCAAAGTAATACCATCACTCCCAACAAAAGTGTCATGGTGGAAGACGAGGATGATGCACAGGCCACCGATTCTCGATACGACCGTTCTAGCGATGCCTTCGGCCTTGAAAGCTCTCTCACGGGCCCAAGGAGTGATCGTGACACCTCGGCCACTTCCCAGAGCGGAGTGAGCCTGCCTTCCAATCCCAAGCCCAAGCCGCCCGCATTGACGGATTTGCAAGATAAAATCGCAGACTTGGAGGCTACACTAGAATCTAAGGATGAAAGGCTCCAGCAACTAAGCACCCAGAATGACGAATGGTCCTTGACTAGGCGAACCCTCGAGGAAAAGCTTGAACAGGCCGAAAACCTCAACAAATCCCTGAGAGAAGAAATCGATAAATTGAAGGAGGAACCATCCCATTCCGGCGGCGAGAATGTCCTGTGGAAAACCAAGTATCTACAACTGGATCGCGATCACGTCGTGCTGCAGGAACAACTGGAACAGCAGCGGGAATTGACCGAGGAAGTGGGCCGACAAGGTCAACTCTATCTGGAGGAAATGAGGGCTATGGCACAAGCGGGGGATGGCAACTTTGAGCGAGAGGAGAAGCTGCAGGCAGAGGTCAACAAACTCCAGGAAGAAGTGAAGGAGTGGAAAGCGCGGTATGTCAAAGCCAAAACGCAACTGCGCAGCGTTCGCACGAGTTCCTTGGGATTGAACATCCCTCAGGCGGATCTCGGTCGACAAGCAGGTGCTCTGCAGGACCGCGACGGGCTGGTCAAAGACATTCATGTCACACGGTTCCAGATGTCCATTGATGAGCTGCTCCGGATTGCTCGATCAGACGCTCCTCAGGCCGTGCTCGACCACATGAAGACGGTGGTTTTGGCCGTGCGTGCCATCACATCCGACATTGACGCGGCGGCACCTCCAGATAAAGATGAAGAACTGGCTAAAAGACGTACTAAGCTCAAAAGCAAGGTGTCAGCTACAGCCAACAACCTCATCACGGCCTCCAAAAATTTTGCTTCTGCCAGTGGACTCTACCCTGTCAGTCTTGTCGATGCTGCGGCTTCGCATCTCACCACGGCTGTCGTCGATCTCCTCCATGCCGTCAAGATCCGCCCCAGCCCGGATGGGGAGCTGGAAGTTGAGGATGACAGTACGATGGAACCTCTACAAAGCAATGGATATTTCAATCTTGCCGAGAATTTGAGACGGAGGAGTGCTATCGAAAGTGTCTATAGCGCTTTGAGCACTCCGTCTGATTCGAGATATAGTTCGAAGCAGGCTGCCACGAGCTCTCACCACCGAGGGGGCTCAAATTACATAAACGGCACAGGGCTCGGAATCAAGGCTGGGTATGCATCAACTCCGGAGGCGGCGGAACTCGAGGATCTCAAGGTCAGTTTTGAGGACGCTTTTCACTATGATCCAAGGCTAATTTGTTCTAGATGTTCCTCGAGGATCAAACTGATGGGTTAGTCCAGTCCATCACCGCCATGGTGGACGCCATCCGTGGCGAAGAAGGAATGCCAGCTATACGCAATCACATTGACACCGTTGCGGGAACCATTGAAAACATTGTGGGCTCGGTGGAGAGGACGGCGAACGAGTCATCCTCTTACCAGGCGACATTGAGAGAAAAGTCGCGTGCGAGCGCCACAATGTTGCAGGGATGCCGAGAAAAGCTGCTCAAGACGAGCTCTGATTGCGCCGCGGACGACAACGAACCGGAGAATAAGGAGCTCACGCAGAAACTGCCACCCATAGCATTCCAGATCGCTCGAGAGACCAAGGAGCTGGTGTCGAGGATCATGGCCATTGAGGTCGGGCCTGGAGATGATGATTTCAGCTGAAGTGCGAGGTTGTCCTGCCGGCCTAGCCGCTGGACTTCGACATGTTCGGCTGGTTTAGTCAGTCGTATGACTACATTGAGCATCAACGAAATGATGCCGTAATGCGTTACCAGACATCAATGAGGATAACATGGAAGCTAGTCACTTGGGCATTTCAATCAATATGCTCTCGACCTTGGGAGATGTGTCGCTTGATTCGTCTCTTGAAGTGCCCGTTACGATAATCCGCGGAACGAATTGCCAAGATCTTCATCGACCATCAACTGCTTGAGACCTGGATGGAATAGTGTAGATGGAGTTAGTATTGATGGTAGGAAATGAAGTAAGAGGATCGGAGTGAACTTGACTCGGGCCTCGGGCGGCAGAAGCCATCAGTTGGTATGAATACTTTAGAACGGAGCAAAAGGACCCGGACGGTGTATGTAGTGTGTCTAGCCAGGTGGTCTTGTCTCCCTGGTATGAACAGGCCGTTTGCCTTGAGTTCGAGATGGCCTTCGTCGATGGTCAGCGTTGGTCAGACGGGAGGATTTAGTACTGAAGCGTTGGCCTCCCCGAAGTAAAAGTAGCCCCTGAAATGCGCAGCCTGATTGACCGTGATACAGGGATTCTTCAGCTTGAAGGAGTCCTCGCTAATAGGGCCGGCTGACATAATCATTTCTGACCCCGTCATGTGACCAGTCACTCTTGATTGGTGCACACGATCAAGCCTTAGGTGGCATCTCTATGGCTGTTGCTAAGGGTCCCTGGAGGGCAACAGGTACCTCTAAGCGACGTATAAAATTTGCAGGAGCGTGTCTTTCTCCATTTGTAGCTGTCAAACCAACCATCTCACACCGCGACATCACCTGTTTTTCTGTCTGGATTTCTACAGAGTGGTATCTATTACTGCTATCCACCTATTGCTCCTCAGGGTTTTCCGGTCCATTTTCTTGCTTCCGAAATAGCCTGCACCCGGCGGATACCTGCAAATATTTGAGGACACGTCATTGGAATATCTGTCTCTTCTAGTTGTCGAAGCTCTTCTGCACACTCTGTTGCCCTGTCGAAAACGCACATTGTTGGTAAGAGAGACTGATTATACTGTTTGAGCCAAACCAGCGTAGATGGACTGACTGCCGTTTGAACAGATATAACAGCCTGTCCATTGCTACTGTACTCTGTACATCCAACTACTATTTATTTAGTGAGTCCCCTCAGGCCATTTCCAGACCCAGGGAAACATCACGTGCCGTGGCAGTGACAGCTGAACATCATCATCATCGTCACTTCCAGAAGCAAAAGCTTGGCGGGTTTTCGGAGCCCCAACTGCCCCTCACTGCTGCTGCCACTGCAAATCCCACTCCCACTCCCCGGTGCAGATGGCGTTCAAACTGATGACCCCTCCAACTACGACTACTTTCTCATTTCTCCTTCGTTCCTCGACCATTCTTTCTCACCGTTGTGCCACTACTCCCTTCAAAGTCCGTCACTTTTCTGCATCTACCGCCAACATGACCATCAAAGCCTGGTTTGACGTCGAATACACCGACGCTGCTCTTGACCGAGCTCGCACCGATGCTCAACGCTCGGGAGGCGAGGTTCCTCCTCGTAAGTTTCATCCCTCACCTTTGTTTTCACTGCTGTGAAGACTCCCATGCCTGGGATGGAGGCTGGGCAGTTCTCCCAGCTTCGCTCTCATCATCTGCAACTCTCCTCTGCGGATCTAATTGCTGACGTTCTTCTTCCTTCGCAGCCAAGAGAGCCCGCATCAACTTCAACCTCTTCGACGATGTAGTCCCGCGTACCGCTGAGAACTTCCGCGCTCTCTGCACCGGCGAGAAGGGCTTCGGCTACAAGGGCAGCAAGTTCCACCGAATCATCCCTCAATTCATGTTGCAGGGTGGTGATTTCACTCGAGGCAACGTTAGTACTCCCTAAGAGACCGGAAAATTGAAGGAACATAAACAGGTGACTGACATCGAATGGTATAGGGTACCGGCGGCAAGTCCATCTATGGCGAGAAGTTCGCCGACGAGAACTTCAAGCTGCAACACACCAAGCCCGGTCTGCTGTCCATGGCCAATGCTGGTCCTAACACGTAAGTGGGCCTTACATACAACACCCGACCCGACCCAAACTTTTCAAATCACACTACCCTGGGTAGCATCATATGTATTGGGAACACGACTAACCTGCTTGGCTTTCGTGCAGCAACGGATCCCAGTTCTTCATCACCACCGTCGTCACTTCCTGGTTGGATGGCAAGCACGTCGTCTTCGGTGAGGTCGCCGACGCCGAGAGTATGAAGGTCGTCAAGGAACTCGAGTCGACTGGCTCTGGCACTGGTCAGGTCAAACTGAACTTCAAGCCAACCATCGTCGACAGCGGTGCCAACTAAAGGACCTCATCGGTCATGGCACGCAGACATAGCGCGAGTGGTTAGAGGGCGTGAAGGTCTGCAGTTGGCAGGACCAAAAAAGTGTGAACGAAATTCAAACAACCATGCACTCACAGCTGATGAGAGCAAATGGGCAAGCAATATTGGCTGCAAATGACTAGACAAGATACAAGTCGTATGCCAATGAAAAGTTGATCCTCTCCCATCAACACCTGAATTTCCCAAGTAAATGTTTTGTTATTGTTTCGTTGAAGATCTGGCGCCGGAATAGCATCTCCTATCCTGCCTTGACCGACCTACGCATATGCTCTGTATACACAGTACCTTAAAAACTGAGGGGTTAAAAAATCCCGGTCTCCCCCCACACATCTAGCAGGCTGGCGCGCAGAAGGGGTGGGTGCATGTGCGATTCCACCAGACCCCTCGCTCTCTCTCTCTCAACGGTTCTAGATTCCCGATAACGTTTCAATCTGCTGAGTACCGTACGGTAGTAGGCACCGGTTGCAGAGTGCAGAGTGCAGAGTGCAATGAGTGTCATCGTGTCATGTAGCACCCTGGTGAGACAGGACAACACAGGGGGAAGATTGTCTACTTACGTACCTATAGACACATATACATAAATGGGTATAGGGATATTCTCCTATCTTGTCCCCTTCAGAAGAAAGAAGTCTGAAGAGAGAAGAAAAAAGTATAATAAGCCTATTTACCCACCTACCTACTATACTGTAGGTATACTGATGGAAAGTACTTCGCGGGTGGTCACAGTACTTGTAATCACAAAGTATTCTTCCCGTCTAGGTACGTACTAGGTATCCAGGTAAGGTAGGTATGACTTCGGCAATAGACATCCACTGCATGAGATACAACGGAGGAGACCAGATCTTGTTCACATGAGAAAGAGAAAAAAAGAAAGGGATTCGACGGCACGTATGTATATAACACAAACTCTGATATAAGAAAGAAGCTAAAGGTAAAGGTAAATAAATCATCTGGATGTCTTTTGTCTCATTATATGCCTTAAAATCGTACTCTTTTTCCCTCGTATATGTGGTGTGGTTTGGTTTGCTCTCTGTCCCGTTTCCAAACACTTCCTGTTCTTCTTCTTGTTCCTCTTCCTCTTCCTCTTCCTGTTCGATGTCGACGAATATCATCTTGGTAATGTCTCCCCCACGGCCAATCAAATCGACCGTTGGGAGCGAATGGACAGTAGGATGTTCCTAGGACAGGCCAGGAATACTAGAAGATGTCATCACAGACACTCCAATCGTGGTCGAGCCGTTTCTGCCAGTACTGGCCATTATACTCCCAGTACGGCTCGCCCGTGACCGGGTGTTTCTTCTTCTCGAACCATTTGGGCCGCCACTCGTCGCCGGCGGCCTCGCGTTGGCGGCGGGCGGCGCGCTGTTTCTCCTCGACGCGGTTCTTCTCCGTCGCGGCCAGGTCGTACTCGCCGTCCTCCATGGCGCGCTGGTCCGGGCGCAGCCGCGTGTCCGTGGGCGGCAGGTGAGGCCGCAGGTTGTCCGGGAGGGCGTTGAGCGTGACCACGAACGGCGTCAGGTTGAACGGGATGCCCTGTGGACGGGCGTGGGCTTCCCACACCAAGAACGCCTGGTTGCCCGCTTGACTGCCGAGTCTGGTCGGGTTGGCTTTGCTGCTGTCGCCCACGGCTTGGTCTTCGAAGCCTTCTGTGGCGCGGGCGTAGATCTTGTCGTTCCATCGGCCGCCGATGCTCCACTTGGTCACGCCGTCGGTGCCTACCACTTTGCCAAAGACCTGGTATGCCGAGCTGGCTTTCCAGCCTCGTTGCTTGAATTCCAACACGCACACTTCGCCCGTGTTCCAATTCTTGATCTCCATGGACCCGTAGTTGTCCACCGTGGGGTTTCCGGTAATGATCCCCACGACCGAACTGGTCACCTTTTTCCACGTGTACAACTCTGGAGGGCCGCCGTTCGAGGGCCGCAGCCGTAGAAACCAAGTCCCAAGGGGGTTGATGTCAAAGGATTTGCCATAGAACTTCGACCGGACCGCCGATTCACCCCAGTAGTCCCATCGCGCGGACTCGGCGTGTGCGGCGCCAACGGGAGGATGGTGGCTCACTTGTTCAATGAAGAACCGGTACCCTTTGTCAGGCCGGACATACTCGTACGTCTCCCCTAGCAGTGGGTTGAACGGCTTTGCCACGCGGCCGATGGTGCTGGCGTATTCCGAGGCGGCAAAGGCGGCGACATAGACCAGTCGCTCGGTCGGATCTGGCCTGTCCGCCGCAATGTCCAGGAGATCCGAATATTCCATATCTTCGGCGACCCGTTGCAAAAGAGAGGTTGGCTCGTTGAACGACACCGGTAAAGTCATTTTGGTCATGTCCTTCCCAATCATGGACTTGAGAATCCCCCACAGCGAGATCTTCGGCCGGTTGTCGGCGTCCATATTCAACTTCTTGCGCACACCGTCTTCGTAGCCAGCGAAAGACGGAACAATCTCCATCTGTTTCTTGGCTCTTTCGTCTCCCTGTGCGAAGGGGTATTGCTGCTGTTCTTCTCCGGGAGGCACTTGCACGGGGAGCGGGCTTAGAAGAGGTGGTTCAACCACTTCCACGTTGCCGGAATCAATTGCGTCAAAGAATTCCTCATCGTCGCCAGATTCGGAGTCGGAGAGATCGGTAAATTGCGCAATGATGGACTTTCTTCTGTTTCCCTCTCGAGTAAACGACCTCCGTCGTGCTCGGTCCCGGTCCCGCACTGAAGGCTGGACTTCGGAATGTGACATTGGCTTCTCATCGACGGCCTCTTCAAACTGCACATGGTCTCCGGCCTCCTTTTGAACAAGCGAGCTAGGACGGCTGACTGGTAAAGATCTGCCTTCTAAAACCTCCTTTAATGCCCGCTTGGTGCGCTTGCGTTTCTCCTCGGACTCGGCAATTGCCCTCTTCAGGTCCTCATGCTCAAAGGCTATCTTGGCCATGCTCTCTTCCCACATCCTACGCGCATCGGCGTCTCTCTCCAGTCGATACTGCCAATAGGAGTCTCGATCTCGAGATATCTTCAACAAATCCGAAACCAATCCATTCAAACTGCTCACAGCAGTCTGGTACGTCGCGAGCGCCTGGGAGACATCTCCATCGGACAGGTTTGTGTCGGGGTGCGATGCCTGGCGAGCCATCAAAGCCGCAGAGACCCGAGAGAGCAGCTCGAGTTGCAGCTTGGCTGACTGTGCAGTTATGTTGAGAGCATCTTTACTTCCGGGCTGGTGTATTTCACGACTGCTGGCATCATCTCCATCCCCGTCTTCATCCGCATCATAGGTTGCAGTGGCAGGATTCGTCATCATAAGTTGAAGTTCGTCACCCACGAGGCTTGGATCATTCGACTCATACATTGATGCACCCTCAGCATAAGGGGGGAGAGTCACTCGCGATGACCCTCCAGCTCCCAGCGAAGCAGCAGGTTGTTTTGATCGGATAGTCGCCGCCGCCGTACTGAGTTGGTCCGATGACTCGGCTCTGGCATGGCGCTGAGTGTCGACATCGAGAGTGCGTCTTTTCTCTTCTTCTCTCGCCTCGTCTTTGGCATATTGAATGGCATTGTTGAGTGCCCAAAACCACCTCTTGGCTTCGACCACATGATTGGCTTTCAAGTGATATTTGACGGAGGATTTTCCGTGAATTTCAAACCGGGTCTTGTCTTGTGGATCCATGTGTAGCCTCGCAATGCGCATGTTGATCGCGCCACGGCAAGCAGAGCCGGCATCATCTTGGTGTTTGTAATAGCTGAGAACGCCTTCTTCAAGAACAAACCACCGTAGCTTATAGCCGCTGGTGTAATTTGTCCACTTCTTGAGATATCCCTTCATTTCCCGGGCATCTTTAGTGGTGTCGAGGGTCCCAGTAGCGTGCCTAGCCTGTGATGGATGACCGCCCAGAATGGCCTTCTCCTGGATCACTCGCTGGGCAGCTGCAGCGGCGGGCGACTTCTTCAAAATGGCCCGGGTCCTATCGTCTTTGGTGACGTCTTGAGGAAGCTTGCCTTTGCGGTCTCTCCTGAACGGGTCCGCGCCGTGCAGCAGGAGGATCTGTGCTAACTGAAGGTCCCGCTTGCGCGCCGCTTCGTGCAGCAGGGTTCCTCCAGTTTGAACCGTCACTGGTTCGGTGGCAAGCTCCAATGCGTTGACATCCAGAGTGCCTTCGACGCGAGGCTCTACCAGTAGAGTCTCGATTCGTTTATAGTCACCCTGTGCCAGCGCAGTGTGGATCTCCTTGACTGTGTCATCCAAGAAGATTGACCGGGAAAGTTGCAGCTGTTGAAAGATGTCTGGTGTCCGAGCGAGATCTATGGGCAATTTTCCTTGCCTGTTGGGTATCGCATCATTGATGTCGGGACGGTCAAGCAGGTCTCGTACAATAGGCGCGCGGCCCAGCTGCGCGGCCAAATGCAAAGCAGTATTTCCCTCTCGATCTTGGGCATTGACATCAAGACCTTTTCCTTCTCTTATCACTTGCTCCACCACCTGAGGCTCGGCACACTGTACCGCTAGATGAAGGATGGTCGTGCCGGGAATCGGCTGGGGGTTGCTCGGTGAAGGTATCGTCTCGGCAATGGCCTTTGAGATGGCGGCGGCATCTTTGCCCCGAAGCACTTCGAACACCCTGAATGTTCGCACCGAGTCCTCTATGGAGGCGTTGTGGCCCGGGGAAACGCCGGAAGGAACCTTAAGAGACACATCCGAACCGGATGAGAGCTCGGCGGGATCCATCGACAACTGAGACGCTTTTGTAATGGAGGGCGTGAGAGGTGCGAGTCGTTGACTGTCGGTGGGAGTGGCCTGGGTCGGCGAGGTCATAGTAGCGAGTTGCACAAATGGACCGGTGGTGGAAGTAGTGGTGGTGACTGGCGAATCTGGGTCAGAGGCATTCTCCCGTGGAGGATTGTCACTACGCAGGAGGTTGAGCACTCGAGAGCTCTTGGAGCGTTTGTGTGACGGCGGATCGGACATGTTCACCACCATGCGGCATGCGGAGGATGACGGACAAGATATGCAGTGCAGTGGGCAGAAGAAAAGGGTGACAAGACAACAGCCGGGGCGCTGATCCTGGGAATGTGATGCAGTGGGCAGAGGGCAGAGGGCAGATTGCTCTTGAGACGCTGGGGGGAGCACGGGAGGAGTTGATGCTGCTTCACCCCGCCATCCTCGTATTGATTGGTGTATGACGATGGCTAGAGGGCGATCCGCCAGATTGACCCGCGTCTGCACAATGACGAAGGGAGCGAGTTGAAGATAGAGAAATGGTGGTGTTGAGAGCAGCAACACCCAGTTTTTAGGTATTGTCGATATGTGAGCGGCGTCTACTCTGTATTTGTATACGCACGTGGAAGTGAAGGCACGCAGAATGCCGTCGCCGCCCCCAATGAATGACCCGTGCTCACAGTGGATGCACTGGATGGATCTTTCTCTACTACTACTTACTACTTACTACTAGTAGTTGATCTTCCAGACAAACGATCACTGTGGAGGGATCCTATCCTAACCACTAGTACAATCCCACCAACTCCCCAGTTTCAGCGGCAGCTAGGTGCACTACTCCTTGGACTTCTCGCTGCCCATCATCATCATGTTCACACCGTAGTCGAGTCTCCTGTCCCTACCGGTCATGCAGCTGGGTGCGTGTATGCTCCTTCTAGTGAGAAAGACGTCGCAGGGAAAGACAAACAAGACCGTTATAGAACATGGCATCCAGTCGTATATCCTGAAGTCTCTTGAAGTCTGTCCGATGATATTCCCGTGTCTTTTGTCATAAACTCAGTGTTGTTCAACTCTACCCAAGCAAATCGTCCAACCCATTCCCCAGTGGTGTGCTGGGTTTCCCTGGAACTGAAGCCGTACCAGGCTTTGGTGTCGAACTTGCTGCTGATGCCACGCCCCAGATTCCCGCTTGACTCTTCGCCTTGGCCATACTTGCCAAATCCGGGCCCTTCTGCGACCCGCCTGTGCTCTTGACACCGGCTTTGCTACTGGCCGTGCTCCAAAGGGACCCAAAGACGTCACCACCACTAGCCGACCCTGATTTTGATGCTGGCTTGCCTAACGAGGCGGCGGATGTGGACGACGTGTATGACAGAGTTACTCCAGCCAACGGAGTGGACGCTGTAGATGTCCCGGCCGCCTGAGACTGGGTCGCCATTGGAACAGAAGTGAAGTAGTTCGGTCCGTTGGATCTGTAGCCTCCAGTGGTTTGCGGCTGCGTGAGCGGCGAGGAGAGCGTGGACAGAGCTGGTGACATTATCGACGGAGACGCCGAAGGAGCGGGAGATGCTGTGGCAAAGATGTTGTTGAAGCCTGCTGTCTGACCAGGCGCAACGGGCTTAGGGGCAGCAAACTGGGTGGCGGATGTGGTGGTCGAAGTGGTTGGCGGAGGAGAGAACGCGGCCAGAGGGTTTGGAATTGCCGGTACTGCTGCAGGCGTCGCGGATTGAAAGTCGTCAAAGTCGTCATCGTCGTTGGTCGCACTACTCTGTAATGCCCCAATATCGCCGAGGCCACTGGACGCAGCTGCTGCAGGTTTGCCATTTGACGTCGTGGTGGATGGTTCATTGCCAAAATCAAAGAGGTCTTGCTCCGGCTCTTTGGGTTTGGGGGGATCTCGTTTTGGTGCTGCCGTCCGGGTTGCAGCACTTCTTGCAGGTCTGGTAGTTTCCACATCGTCAGCCTCGTCATATTCCTCGAATTGGTCCCCACGGCGTTGAGTCTCAGAGTAGTCGGTTTCCTGACCGCCGAAACCGCCGCCATCGCCGTAGACTTCTCCCTGGTAAGCGCCGAATCCGCCAGTATCGCTGCCAAACCCGCCGTACCGGCTGCCGCTGGAGAAGCCTCCTCCCAAACCAGCCCCGCCCTCGGCACCAGCGTACTTGTTCCTGTTGGCTCGGGCTTTCTTTCTTTCTGTGCGGATGGCGTCCACATCGCTCAACAATTTGACGAGCTCGGCGGACCTGTTTCGGACGTTGATCCCTTGATCTTTGCCATTCGGGTCGATGTAATAGAATTGTCGGAGCATCCGGAGGAGGGAGAGATGCGATCTGGCGTCGTCGATCACTCGTTCTGAACCGTGTTTCACGAGGTACTCGAGCAGTTGTAATGCCTGCGTCTGCGTCAGCCGTAATGGAGAATTGGCTAGATACCAGAGAGTATACCTTGTATATCTGCCTCCATTCTTCTGCAGTCTTGTCTGTGAACCGCTTGTAGATCATGGGCATGATTTCATTCAGTTGTTGACTGACAAAGTTAGTGAGACAGTCTCAACTGACGCAGGGTGACGACGAGGGCGAACTAATTATGTGTGCCTTGAGCGATCTCCTGCATCAAGGTGGCAGAGGCACCCCAAGGATCTCCGTTCGTCGCTTCACGGACCTAAGAAATGAGTCAGGAGTTGCTGCAGTCAGAGGCTCAGGGGATGAAGCTGACCTTGGCTTCCATCTCGGTCAAGTTCATGACAGCTTCACGACCAGTCAGTTGCATTGCACAGCATTGTAGTCGAACAAGATCATACCATTTTGGACCTTTCGTACACCAGCTTTGAGGTCATAAAGGGTCAGGTTGCTGACCTGACTCTTGAGACTGTCGAAATCCATTCTGGCCAACGGACACGGTGGGATATGCTGCTCACAAAATCAAAGGGGTAGGAGGTCCTATGGAGCACCGGGAGACACAATCCAGGGTAAGACCCTTCCACAAGGGACTTGTAACCAGATGTTCTAGGGGTGCTGGATACAGCGCGGACGCAGTTTGAGAGGTCGTCGTGTCCCTCTTTATTGTTTGGATTGTAGACTGTCGAGATCAGTGCCGACTAGTATAACTGTACACAGTAATTAGTACAGACTGGCAGCTCGCGACTCACACGGATAAGATATAAAGATGACGCCGCCCTATCCAACTCCCTACAACGCTTGACCATTATTGGTCTGGCTCGAAGTATCGCACTAAAAATTGCCCCTATACCCCTCGACCACTAGCCCTAATCTGGTGAAACGGTTGAAGCATGTCAAAAGCGGCGCTGGTCGACGCGTGTTTCCCTTCAATATCGCAGGCAGGTGAGAGAGTAAAAGATCTACTGATTATCTCTATGGCAATATTGACCCTGATATCCTCATGAGCTCTTCAGCATTGATATATCGAAGCGAATACATGCCTGCTGATCTAACCAACATATCTGAGCGTTGTCCCTCCTTCAGCTCTAAAATCAAGTCGACCGCCGCGTTCAACATCAATGACGCCGCTGCACTAACCATCACTTCAAGCTGATGACAACCGATTGTGTCGCTTGCCTTCTTCCTTCGGTCCTGGGTCTACTTTCCCTCTCGTACTATTTGCCTGCTTTGTTCCTGCTCTTTGCTGTCCTGGCCAGCTGTGTGGATGACTGGTCAGGCCTGCACCGTTATTGCACTGCAATTTATGATGGCGATCTGGGCTTCGCGAACTGCAGGTAGCGACCTCAAACACTCCATCAGCAAAGGAGATCAAGCGCCCAAAGAAGATACCTTCTGGTGGAAAGCAGACGGAGTCAGCTGAATGAAGCCCGTACCCTCAAGCTGCTGAGGTCTAGAGCGCCCAGCCATCATCTCACCCAGAGCTGGTTTCTTGCACCCCTTCAATGCTGCAATCGATTTGTCGAGCAATCCTCCCGCTATGACTAATTCTACACGAGCCAGATATTACCATGGGGCATTTGAGAGAACAGTATCTGACGAGTTTGTACGCACACGGTTAAAAGACTTGCTTTTAATCTAGACATCATGGTATATGAAACGCTGGAAAGAGGTCGAAACATCCAAACATGCATGTGACATGCTCGATGGCGATTCTTTACGGCACGTCAGGCTTCTGTGCTGTAGCATAAGAACTGCGGCAACATCAGCAGATGAAGGATGACGGTATCTGTTCTCCTCTTCGACGACTTACCAGTGTGTATACACATGCATCTTGTTAGTTCTGACCTCTTGTCGCACATGCGCCAGAAGCACCTGGGTCTCTTGTTCGCTCCAATTTCCCACCCGAGTGAACAGAGCCAGGGAATAGCCATCCACGGCGCCCTCGAGAAATTGATATTCAAAGTAAACACCAATCTCCTTGAGTCGCTTGTTCTTAGGCCAGGCTCCGATCGGCGTCCGCTCTTCGTGAGCCTGAACGTTGATAAAGCCAGCAGATTCGAGAAGTCCTGCATATTGTGGAAATGGGTCAAACTCCAGGTCTGCACTTCGAGCTATTCTATGGAATTCTGTCTTTAAGGCTCAAATTGTTAGCATGTCAACTGACTGATGTGTTCAAGCAGGTTGCTAAGAGGGTCCATACCACCCAACGATATGTTTGAGAATCTTCGGGATATGTGCCATCATCACAGCACATGTGAGGACGTCCTTCCGATAATTCGATACGACCGCCAGGTCTTAAGTGTCTGCAGTGGTCGACCGTCAACAGGGCCGAAGACGTAATTCACTGTGATCTTGGGAGAGCTTACGCATATGCCTGGTGCAGTAGCTCTGGCCAGTCCCTGATGCTGCCGCCCAGCCCTCGAGCGTGAATGAAGTCAAAATGTTCGGGTGGGAAGGCCCATTCTTGCGTAGCATCATCGATCTGAAAGCGCACATTTGGTGGGACCCTGATGCGATGCAAAGTAAGAATTATATGTGGTCAAGGTCAGAATCCGCCTTACCAACTTGGCTGGATGGGAGATAGATCTGTGCCTATGATCTCTGCAGAAGGATATTCATCACCCACTGTCGCACATGTCAGTCTCATAGCCACTCGAGTGAAGGAGGCCATCATACTATCAATGGCCCAGATGCCGGTTCCTGTGCCAATGTCCAGTATCCTTCCGGGATTGACCAGCTCTGGGGCGGTGCGACACAAGTCGCCTCCTAGAGTAAGGCGGAAGACGTGATGGAGCACGTCCAGTCGGTCCTGCTCCTGATCATCATTTGGAAGCATCTCAAGAGCCGCGATCAGCTGGGGTTCGACGTCGACGTCGAGCGATATTGACTTACATATTTGCCTGCTTGATAAGCATGGTATCGTCGGCCATTTTCATACTCATAATTGAGGACGGACGAGTGAAGCGAAGTCAGATCCGATCGAATGCTCCCAGCATCGGAGTAGTCTGACCAAGTCTGTCGAGCAAACCACGCATCAGTCACCCTGACGTTGGCAGAAAGAGTTCCGGGAGGCTTACCTCTGCCTCGATCTGTTCGTTGCCGGTCATTTGGTCCGTTCAGGTCGGTATAATTCTATTACCGCGTGTAGGCACGCACGGGTGGGTTCTCCTGGACAATGGCTAGGACGGTATCCCGACTGACACCATCAATAGCTACCACGATTTTGTTGACATTAGACGATATCTCAGCTGACCATAGGAGAGTGTGTGGTCAAGTGGCCTGAGAGATTCTGTCGCGGACGTCCTCCCACTTCTGGTTGACCGGGGGGGTGCTCTTCCGCCACGGGCCTTACCATCTAGACCTCGTCCATGCCCCTCCTGCATCTCCATCTCCAGGCATCTCCAGGCATCTCCAGGCATCATTATTGGTGGTCATAGAAATCTCCGGGGGCCAACAACAACCGTCAAGACGTTCACAGCCATGGTGCAGAAGATCCCCGACGACGTCCACTACTGCAAAGGGCCGAAGGGGGCAAGCCGCCCCCGTTAGCCCGAGACAACGAGTTGTGAAAGACTCGGACCTCGTCGGTGGCGGGTGGGTCTGTATACCGACGTGTACAGAGTATCACGACGTGCTAATGTATGTTGGCACTAGCCGAACAAGCTGTTCTCCGACGTCGTTGGTCGACAGAGACGCAGGGCCGTTGGAAGCCGGCGACTAATGCAGATCCTAGACCAACGGTGTCCACCACTGCAGCTACCACAGACCATTCATCTCCGTTTGATAGTGATCAACTAGGAGTACAACTTTGCAGGGATATGGGTGTCATCTCGCTTGAAGGACATGAGTTGGCACTATCGGCCTCTCGTGCCTTGTCACATCGCATCCTATCGAGAGCAGGGACTCTTCTCTTCGCTATTTTGGATACAGTCGTGACACAGTCCTTCTGATATTGACAGCCCCAGACAAGTCACGATGCCCTCCCCGTCGTTGTCTCTCACTGCCAGTGCCAGCAACTTGGTATGTGCCGCCTTTGTCTCATGGTTGCTTTATTTACTGGCGGGCGGGATCTATCGACTCTACTTTCATCCTCTTGCCAAGTTCCCAGGACCCAAACTGGCGGCCTTGACTGGTTGGTACGAGTTCTACCATGATATCATCCACCGGGGCTGTTTCATCTGGAAACTACAGGAGCTTCACGACCGCTATGGACCTATTGTGCGCATCACGCCAGATGAACTTCATATACGAGACTCGGACTACTACGACGAGCTCTATGCGCCGGCCTCGAAAAAGCGTGACAAGTATGAGGGCTGGGTGACCATGGCCGGTGCTCCAGCCTCATCCTTCGCCACAGCCTCCCACAGTTTACATCGTCTGCGACGTTCAGCTTTGAATCCGTTCTTTTCAAAACGCTCCGTCAATCAGATGGAGTCGCTCATTGTCGCCAACATCGAGCGTCTGTGCAAACGGTTCGAGGAGGCCATCAAGACAGCCGAAGTGATCCGACTTGATGCTGCCTACATGGCGCTCACGATGGACATCATCACCCAGGCTGCCTTTGGCGAAACCGACAATTGTCTGGCCGAACCCGACTTCAAACTGGCTTGGAAGGAAACCGTTATAGCCGGGTCCGCGAACGGAGTGTTTCTGCGCCAGTTTCCTTGGGCATTGCCTATCCTCAAAGCCGTACCACTGTACGTGCTTCAAATGTTGAACCCGCCCGCCGTTTCCTTGTTGGCCTGGCAGCACATGGTTCGGGCACAGGTGGACGCAGTCATCGCCGAAAATAAAGCAGGTGAAAAGTCGCATGGGACAATTTTCCAAGCGTTACTCGACAGTGACTTGCCGCCGGAGGAGAAGAGCGCCGATCGTCTACAAGACGAGGCCCAGACTCTTGTGGGAGCTGGCTCGGAGACGACAGCGAAGTCATTGAGTGTAATCACATTCTATCTGCTCGACGACAGAAAGAAGTTGGACAAGCTTCGTGCCGAATTGAAGTCGGTCATGCCTACGCCAGACAGCCCGGTTTCTCTGACTGTATTGGAACAACTGCCATATCTGGTATGTACAGCCGTGATACTCCAACCCTCAGAAACCTTACAAGGGACTGACAACAATTGGAATGAAATAGACCGCTGTCATTAACGAAGGCATCCGACTCATGTACGGCGTCACTACGCGGCTACCCCGTGTCTCACCCAACGAGCCATTGAAGTACAAAGACTGGATCATCCCTCCTGGAGTACGTCCATGTTTGTGTTTATGTCTATCTTGATTCTTTATCCCCGAAGTACATGTCCGCCCAGAGATGAGAATCGAGATGCCTAGTACTGACCATGTCCTCGTGACGCACTGCAGACACCAGTCAGCGAATCGAATTACTTCGTGCACATGGACCGCGCCATCTTCCCTAATCCCGAGCAATACGATCCGGACCGCTGGCTCCGAGCGGCCAAAGAAGGCTTCCGGCTCGATCGGTACCTTGTGTCCTTCTCCAAGGGCAGCCGTATGTGTGTTGGCATCAAGTATGTTCTGCAAGTGTGAGCACTTTCTTACTTTTGGCGTCTGGACTGACCTCTTGCCCAGTCTTGCGTATGCCGAACTGTATCTCACCCTCGCCATAATCATGTCTCGATTCGACATGGAGAATTTCGAGACGTCGGCCGAGAACGACATCAGGATCGACCGTGACTTGTTCGTCGGCGTGCCCAAGGAGGGAAGCAAGGGCGTGAGGGCGAAGATTGTTGCAGGGCTCTGACTCCACCTCAGCCTCAGCCTCTGTCGACCGACAGGTTGGCTGTATTCACGCTGTATATAAGGAAGGTCCTCCTGAATATAGAATATGATTTGCCAGAGTTGTGAGGTGTCAGTCTGTTCTGGTTAGGTTTCGGTCAAGTTCTGCCAATGCCTGCTATTTTCAAGCCCGACTTCGCCTAGACAGATCATCCCAACCCTTATTCCATGCATATACCCTCTGATCACGTTCTCAATGAGATGATTCGGTCAATAATACCCCTTTCAGTTACTCGGTATGGTCGCTTGTCCAGACACCTCGTCTGTGAACGAGTGACTCCTTGGTATTTGGGCTCTGTATTTCCGTCTGAACTCAGTGCTACTGTCTCGTTTCCTTCTTTCTGCTATGGCACAGTCCGTTTTTTGGGGGTGGTTACAATCTTTCTCTCTCTATTTCTCGGGCTTCTGGAATAGTATCTTTGCCATCGCGTAAGGAAAATATATAGTCAGAGAGGGAGAGGGAGAGGGAGATAATATTTATTATATTGTAGAGGAGGTCATGATTCCTAGACTGACTTTGATATCATATCACAATCCTCCTCGGTCCAGACAGAAGAGTATCGGGAACAAGTCGTGATACGTACGGAACTTCAAACTATAAGGCGACGGTGGCCAGGCGTCTCAGACAGGCAGAAATATCTCAGCGTTGCGCTCAATCTGACACTCTATTGCTGCTCTTGTTCTTCGCTGGCAAAGATAAAACAAAAGGAGATGTATGACTCCAAGAAACGGAAAGATCACGCCCCACCAACAAACACACTTATCTTGCACGGAGAAGTTCCAACATTGAAAGGACAGTTCTGTAGCATGACTGCTTAATATTAACTCATACATACTTTTTCATTTGCTCTGCTTCGTCACTGTAATCAAGCCCTAATCAAGCCCACATGCGAGCTACCAAGTACCAAGTCCCGCAATTCCCATTCTGGCTGCCTGCCCAAAAGTCCCATATTGCCCATATCCTTTCCAACACCGACCAAAAAAACCTGGGGTAATGTTCATCGATGGAAATAGCGGATCTCAATCGACCTGAAACAGACATAGGTAACAAAGGCGAAGCTGAAGGCCAGCTCAAAGCCAATATCACCGCCGTAGCCAATGCCGATCAGCTTCCCAATGGGCCCGATGAACCAGACCTGGGCCATTCCCATAACGGCACCGAGCACGCCGAAACAGAAGGCGCCGAGCGCGGCGATGGACGGCGGCAGGTACTTGGGCTGGTCGTAGTGTTCGGGGACGTAGCCGGCGAAGCCGCGCTTGAAGATGAAATGTTCGGGCAGGGCAATGCCCTCGTAGACGGCGAGCCAGTAGCCGATGACCAGCATGAAGTTCTCGAGCACGTCCTCGAAGTGGCTGTAGCCGGGGATCGCGATGGCGCAGTAGATGACGGTGCCGGCGAGGGTCCACAAGAAGCGCGGCACCTTCTGCGCGTAATGCGTGAGGATCTGGAGCGAGAAGGTCAGGCTGTAGATGTTGGGGCAGTTGTTGCCGACGATCGACAGGGCCAGGATGACCAGACAGAATTTGCCGAAGCCGCCCAAGGGAGGCACGAGGACTTGGTGCAGGAGACCGCCCACGGCGTCTTTCGCGTAGGCGTCGGCGTACGCGGGGTCGTTGATGGTCGCGGTGGCAATGGCTAGTCCCAGCATCTCGGTGAAGCAGAGGGGGAAGAGGAGGCCGGCGAAGACATAGAAGAATACCTTGACCCGGCTCGTCGTTACGGGCTGGTAGCACGTGTAGTCGGAGGCGTAGGATGCCCAGCCGGTGGCGAACCCATAGACCGAGGCGGCGAAGGAGAGGACCGACGCCGTCTCGCCCTCGCCGCTGGGCATCGGGAGGTTCTCGAACGAGCCGGAATGCGCGAACTCGCCCAGCACGATCAGGAAGATGATGAAGCACGGCACCCAGCTGATCATCTCGTACATGTGCACCACCTTGTAGCCGAACAGCGTGACCAGGAATGTACAGGCCGCGATGATGATGATGCCCGCATAGCCAGGCACGTCGGAGTTGACGGCGTGCAGAAGCTGGGCCCCCACAATCACATTGACGGACGACCAGCCCAGACAGGCCAAACAGTTGAAGATGGCGACTAATCGAAAAGGGTCAGTCAAGAAGTCAAACAAACAATGGGTTCACTTAGCAACGTACTCAGCTTTACTCCCCAGTATCCAAACCAAAAGCGGCTGAGGATCATTTGTCGCATGCCGAATCGCGGTCCGAAGGTCGAGAAGAAACACACCGGTAAGATGCCGAGAAGGTTGATGAAGAAAATCGTAAGAACACCATCGATGAAGCCCATGGAAAAGACTGGCACGGCCAGCACTCCAATGGCGAGAGACGAGATCACCATGTTGGCTGCAAGCCACTGTTCAAGAATGTCAGATACTGGCGCGGACGAAAAAGGCCAGGGGAGGGAAGCCAGATGGGTCGTTCTCATACCATCGTGCCAACTTTCACGGTACTCTTGTCCGTCCGTTCATCTTCAGGAACACGTTCAATTCCTCTCTGTTCCACGCCATATCGACCAGCGAGTCGCTGGAGTCGGTGGTAAAGGCTGTCGCCCGCCACAAAGGATTGTCCATGGACGGCGCCTGACTGGTCTGGGGCGATGGTAGACCTGTGTTTTTCGGTGGGTTGATATTCGACATCATAGCCGCTCTTCTCGTAGGAAGTCATGTCTGCGAGCGCGTGCTCTGGAAGCCACGCAGGAATGGCCAAACTGTAGGAACAGGGAGACCTCGAAGGGGAGCAGGCAAAGACAGATGATCAAAATGGGGAGGAACACAGAAGACTTTCAGACACCCCCTACCGATGTAATGCGACAGGATGTCGTGGATAATATAGCATTTTCTCATCCCAGACCAGCATCTTGGAAGGCGTCTCGTCTGGGTAGACACGATGAGTCTCGAACAGCCACAAACCATCATGACCCTTGTTCAGATTTGCCAGTGGCGCCGGTCAAGATAAGCAACCATCCAGTAAAGCCTTGTTCTGGATGGACAGCATGGTCGCCAATCATGGCGGATTCAAGCTTCAGCTCCATAGAAAGAAAGAAAGCCGGGGTGTATTTGTTCTTTGACGGTGATTGAATCGTTCTATTCGACCCCGATGATGGTCGGAGATCGCCTGAACTGCCAGGAGACGCCAGTTTCGCCAATCACTGCCTGGTAGATACCAGTGATTGGGAGCAGATAGCAACCCCCATGCAAGCATCGGAGGAGGGAGACAGGGGTCTGAAAGGATGCGACCGAAAAAAAACAAGCATAGAGGTGAGCTTGAGTGTGAGCTTGGGGGAAAGCTTGTAGAACTCCAGCTGGAGACTGAACAGGGTCTGATCGCTTGTGTAGACAGGGGGAAGAGGAGACTCATGCCCCGGCCAGACCCCAGGATGGTAACATCGCCCGTGTGTATCATAGATAAGCAGTCTCCTCTGGTCCAATTCGATCCCGTCATTCACGTTGGTCACAGCAAAGCAAGCAAAGTCAATCTTTTGGCTCGTCGGCTGCCGCCCGATGTCGTCGCAGGCTGCCGTTCATTCGATCGTCCTTCTCGACTGGTGCCAGGGTCGATCTGTCGTGTGAACGGACTCTTGTCTTCACTCTTCCCTGTAAACCGTGCCGCATGGCAGCTGGGCTGACGTATTTGGGCGATCGTTATCTCGTATAGATGCCCAGAAAGGCACGTACAATCGAGATCCGAAGGGTATGGGACCAACTGGGACGATTGGCCGTAAACAGGCGATGCTCGTATCTGATCTGCGGAGGACGCCTGGTGCAGTGCATGGTTGTTGCACCAGGGCTGAGGTGGCACACTGCACTGTACACAAGTCAATCTCCACTCAAAGGGTTGTGTACAGACAGATCTGGTACTCGATCAGGTACGTACCTGGCGGCGGTGGCCGAAATCTGTTCAATTGCCGTGCAGACGAAGTGGCAAAAGAAAATTCAATGAATCTGGAGGGCAACGACCGGACCAGGGAGGCCTGAGGCATCATCGTTGCCATGCATTTCACCGCCATAGCAAAGAGCCTGATCTCTGATGAGCTTGTCGCCGCCTTCGCGCCTTCATGTTACTTACACCAAATGTACTGTGATAAATCAAATGCATAGTATGAGTTGCGCCAATTGTTGCAAAGTCATCGATGATCCAAAATAGTCGCCCTGTCGACTTAGTTCTAAGGGCAAGAAATACTAGAGTAATATTAAGAAATCTCCAGACGGCCATTTCTAGGCTTCATATCCATACGCTCCCACCATGCTCCCACGAAACCGTCCTTCGTTAAAGGGTCATCAGGACCATCCGTCTAGATCCCCCATCCTGCGCCGCCCGATCCTCACCAGGACCAAAGCCCCGAAAGAGAAAGAATTGCCAGCACACGCGCAGAATAGACCGTCTATATGCCTCCTCCCAATGATTCTACCCTCGACGGGTCGTTGATCTGCACGTTGTTGAAATTGTAAGGAAACTCCACAATGCCATCCAGCATCCAGTTCAATGGATCAAACACATCATAGCTGGCCTGGCCGTAGTCCATGCTGGTGTCGTCCACCATTCCTGTGGCCATACCCGCCATCCCGGGCACCATGGTAGAGCTCGACAGCATTGGATCGTTCACGGTAGCGTTCGGCTCGACATTCGAAGCAGGGACGACTATCGGATTGTCGACTTGTTGAAGCGTGACGTTGCTGTCCCTCACTGCGCCATGTTAGCAAGTTAAGACATCGGACGGTTTGGAAAGGAACTCTCTTACGGTCAGACGGTCTTCCGCCTTTGAACTGGAAACTTCGACGCCATCGCCACACAGAGTCGAAGACCAGGGACATGGACATGCGGCACTTGACTTTCAGCTGGAGACTGTCATCGACATCATCGTCGCCGACGGCGTTGCGATTCGGCCCTGCTTCCACCCTTCCGCTCTTCCAGACCTGCGCCAGGACTTCGGACAGTCGCTCGGCAAGATCATTCTCGCTGACGCTCATGCTTCTCAGCGCCCACACAGTCCTCGAGAGCAGTTCAGATGCACCTTTGGCGTCAAGCTCATGCTCGCCGACAAAGTTGCGCATCAGCTTCAGCAGAGAGAAGCCCGCCGCCAACATCATGTGGAAGATGTAATTGGTCCCATGCGATAAGGACAGGCCATGTTGGTAAGACGACGGCAGATGAACTGTCATACTGGATTCCAAGCTTAGACAGGCCTCCAGATACTCGGTCGTTGCATAGTACAGCTTCAGCATATCGGCTCGGTATGACGGAAGCGATGGAGGCGAGAAGAACGCACTGAGCCTCATATGCAGCGCCGCCGCCTTCAGGTAGATTTTGGTGATCGGAGACGCATCGTTACGCAGCTTGTTTTCCAATTCTTCCAGATCATGCGCCAAAAAGGACACATACGTGGGCCGTTCCAGGTCGGTCGCCAGTCCGACCGGATCATGCGGGTTCATATACAACGTCCGGGACACCTTGTCGACGAACTTCTCAATCATCAAGCGATTGGAGATCGTTGCTGGTAATTCATAGCTTGGATTGGTCTCTATGGGTTTCGGCCCAAGAGTCCAGTCGTAGATTGTGAGAGGAGGCTGCCCATATGCCGTGCATATCCTCTGCGCCACAAGATTGCAGACACTCCAGACCACCACTCTGTCTTGTAGCTCAGCCTCCCTGAGCTCGACTCGGAATTTGCTGAAGTCTTGGGCGTGAGTAGGTCGGTGTAAGCCAAGCTGCAGGGCGGTCTGCATCATGATGCCGCATATCATAAACGTCGAATCGCTAGATGTGCTACTCGTCGGGAAGGGCCAAGCACACAGAAGAACCAGTGCTTTGACAACATGATAGTTCTGCGGGACTTCGGAAATCGTCGACCATAATAGCCGGTTCAGGGGTCCGGTCACAGCATTGAACAGCGCGGGTTCGGCGGTATAGTTGCGGGCTCCTATCATTATGATGGTCCAGAACAACAAAGGAGACTTGGAAAAGTATTCATCCGGGGTTCGGTCGGGATTGAGGAAGGGGACGAAGGGATGATGCAATGTGAAAAAGCGTTGAAAGAGCTCCTGCACACGATCCGTGGTGAGACTAACGTCCTCGAGGCGCTTGAATATTGCCCTCGCCGGGCTCTTCTCAAAGGCCCCTCCTCTCAGGTCAAGAAGTCCTGCGGCGGCGGCGTCCTGCGTGAAAGAAGCCGTCGCTGTTTGTGAAAAGTCTGCGGTACCGTTCGGGAGCGGCGCACCAGCCAGACGGCCGGACTGTTGTCGCGCGACTTGTTTGCGAAGCTCGATGATCTCGCGCTCCATCTCTGCATTCCGCGATCTCTTGCCAACACGCTTGAAGTTGTCCTCGATCTTGCAGTCGAGCGACAGTCGCTTGCAGCGGCTGCAGGTCTGGAAGGGTTCTTGTACGACATCGCACCGCAACTAGACACTCTATCGTTAGTCGGAATGAACGTGGGGGTCGGCGCGTGAAGCAGAAACTCGTGATAGCCGGCGTGATAGAAGGTGAGAGTCGTCGAAAGGGTTGGCAGGATGCTGCGCATGAGGATTCTTCATTGCTCACCTTCTGCTGTCGGCACTCATTACAAGCCCTCTTCACAGGTCTACGCCTTGGATCGCGGGACCCATCGCCGTTCTGATCGAGTGACTCGACGCTGGCGGGCGAGCTCTCGAGGCCGGCAAAGGACGCGTTTCTCTTGTGGCCCTGGACGGGACTGGTGAGCCCGGAGCCAGGACCATCGGCGTCCGTACCAGCAGATGTAGAAGCCAGGGTGAAGTCGTCGTGGAAGTCAGGGCTGTGTACTGCCGCTCCCCAGCCTGCCATGAGGCCGATATCGCAGTCTCGTGGCGAGCAGTGGTAGAGAGCTGCTGATGACTTGGCAAGATCTGATAAGATAAAATTTGGCGGGAGCGCAGCTTGAGCTGGCGAAAAGAGGGAGATATCCGGGGTCATTCTTCTGTGCCTCATTTCATTCAGACGATGAGGGGAGAGTGATCCTGAAGCTGCTATGGCGACCGTACAGTCGAGAGTCAAGTTGAAGGGTCCCTTACTGAAGCCGAAAATCTCTTCCAATGCCATGGAATCAAGCCACGCTACAAACACTATCCACTTCGCTAAACAACAACCTCCATCTCACTCCCAGCGAGGTGAGGCACATGACTCACCCGCTACACTGTGTTTACCACAGGGCTAATCTCTCCTCATACAGTGATCGTCCTTGACTTCAGCATCACTCCTGAACCTTTCCTAGACTCCGTCGGCTTGGAAAATATCAGAAAGCGACAGCAGATGGAACAAAGGCTATCGTCGGGCTCAGCCCAATGACATGAAATTCTCCCTTTGCTGGCGACGGTCTGGTAGCGTTGCGATCCCTAGCTGGATCTGGTCTAATCATACAATTCATCAAATCATCCTACTCATTAGTCGTCAAGACGTGACATCGTGCGCAGTCTCCCTGCTCATTTCCACCTTGAAGCTGAGCGCATGAACAGAAACGCTCTCAAAACAAAAACGCCGGCAAACATGATTCTCAGCCACCGAGGCAGTGTAGATAGAAAGTCGTGTCGTTACTCCGTTCAAGACGCCGTTTGCTTCAGAACATTCTTCACCAGATTGATGTGACTTGCTGGAAACCTGGAGTCCCCTTGAGAGACGACATTGGGTCCAATGCTGCGTCTCAACTCCTCCCTCCTCTTCTCTCGTTTGTCATCCTCCCGTCGTTCTTTGACCCGTAACATACGTTGATGGATATCCTTGATTCCGATCAGATGGAACCCTAGTCCAAGGCTGTGTGACTTATGGAGCCGACGAGTCGCTCGTAGCTTCGAGAGGCTCCCATGGCTTGTTTGCTTCACTATCCCTCTTTTCTGCCGTCGACGTTCAGACATCAGCCTGACCAATGAGACGGGTCCCGTGATCACAGTGCGCTTCTGGGGCAGACCGAGAGAGTTGCGGACTCTCCCTTGATCCAAGGCTTGCTCTTGTTCCAGTTCGGGGCGAGCTACGTCAATGTCATCCCAGAAGGCACGAGGGCGCCAAAAAGGATGTAGCTTTCCGTCTAATTCCTGGTTCGCTTTCCGGTTGCGAGCATTCTTAAGGCTCAAATTCCGAGAAATGGAGTCGATCAAGGAATCCGAACGTCGACGACTATTGCCTCGGCGCCTCGACGAGCCCGTTCGGTCGAGTGCCTGCGGCCCGTCAAGCACCAATTCTTTCTCGAGTTCATCGCCCGGAGTAGGTGGTATCACCTTGAACTGAGGTGGCTCAGGAGGACGTCGCGGGTTACGCAGCGGCGACTCTACCTCCATGGAAGGCAAGTTTCGCCTCTGTACCTCCTGAACAGCTCTTGATTCCTGGACAGGAAACGGCTCGATCAACTGTAGCGAGTGGTTGTTGTGAGGAAAGAAATTAATGGCCTTTGCCTCATTGATCTCGGGAGATGCCGAATGGAACGACGGCTGCGAAAAGGGCGTCTCCAAAACTGATGGTGGTCGCAGAGCAGCCCATTCGTTAGTCCCAGGGAGGAACAGCCCCGGCATGTTCCCATTGGGATCAGGGGGGCTCAAAAGACTCCCCGGAAGGGAGACCGCTCGGCTGCCCTTCTGTCCGAACGAGCCGCGTGCCACCGTACTCTTCTTCGAAGTGCTCGGCGCCTGCGCCTGGTCTTCCAAGTCCCAGTCATGCAAATTTTGAACCAGACGGTCAGATTCCATCCTGTCCAACGTTTTCCGCAGATCTTTCTCGGCTTGCTGTCGCCGTACGCGCAAGTGCTCAGACGTGATTGAGTTGGCTCGCGAGGTGCTCCTCGACGTGGGCGCTGAGAGTGACGAGCTCCGAGGAGGAATTGAAGGCCCCTGCTCCTCTCCACGACCGCGCTCAACAGCCTCGGAGAACGCTCTCTTATGCTGCCAAGAAGATGGAGGATTGTCGGAGGTTCTGCGGGATTGAGATCGTGCAGATTCCGCTGAGAGTGATTGTCTGTGGCTACCATTGTAAGACGATGACAAGGACGAATTCCTCTCTGGAATGACTGCTACCCGTATGATCTCCGTCTTTGGCAGAGCGGCGCTCGAGGCAAGACTATAGGACCGCGAAACCTCTGATTCAAAGCTCCACCGAATTTGGTTGCTCAACCTTGCCTCTTTATGCACGAGCCTTCTGGGAGAGTCGGAATTCGAAGTCATGGAATTCCGGTTCGAAGAAGGTAGCGGCGAGCTCACAGACCGCAAGGATTCATGTTTGTTCATGTGACGCAATGTGGCCCTTCTACTGGGTAGCTGATTCTGCTCGAAAACAAACGCACCGATGGTAGATGTAGCTGAGATACCGGACAGTCGTCGAGTGTCCTCGTGAGTCATCGCCAGGTTCTCTGACGAGTCACCCTCGATGGGTACCAGATTATTCCAACCAATGATGTCTGCAAACTTTTCAGTAGAGGCTGATGGGTCTTGCTTCTGCGCCTCGAGAAGTCTGTCTCGAAGACTTTGGTCGCGCCTCAGGCCGAGCGTAGGCACGATCTTCCCAGGCCGAGCTGTGGTATCGCTCTTCCCCAGGGTGTCGCTGGTGTCAGCATCCAGATTCAGCGGGGCCATCGTTCCATTGGCAGGAGCATCTGGGGTAGACACACAGCTCAAGGCTTGCGGGCTTGCTCGGAATCTGGCTGAACCATTTTCGCTCGCCATCAAGGCAGCGTTTGAATTGTATGTATCTGTGTGATGTTGAGACTCGGAACGATCTGGCAGCATGCTAACGGGATCATTTTCCTCCTCGAAAGCATTGATCAACGGCGATCGTGGCAAGTCACCACCACGCCGTCCCATTCGATGCCTGGCGGGACCGCGGTTGTGAACAGGGGTCAGTGGGCGCAGAGTTCCATTTTCGTGTATTTGGGAGTCTCTATCGGAGTCGGAATCTAAGTCTTCGCGTGCAGTTTTGAAGGACTCGGCCCCAGTGGAAGTCATCGATGGCTGCGTGTGCAGAAATGGACGCATCGAAGGCGTAAGCCCTTCTCGTGGGGGAGTATTGTCAGGCGTAGGCGGGCTATTTTGGTTGATGGGAGTAACCAACGCGGATCTGACCATGGCAGTATCTGAGACGTGCTCGTCGACTGCATGCGAAACATCCCCGTTGGTCGCTCCAGGCGGCGTTGGAGGTAGATACGGGGAGTTCGGAAGGATGGTAGAGACAGGGCCCAGTGAGTGTTCTGTGGCTTCGGTGTCCGCAGGGCTTTGTGCAGAAATACAATACAGCGATCGTAGATTCGACGAAGCTCCTTTCGACTCCTTGCGATATGGCAAACCCTTCGAGAAAGGGGCCGGCGAGTTTCGACCAGGGACCTCGGGCGGTCCTACGATCGTGTATTCAATGGTCCTTCCCATCATAAAGCACAGTGATCATGTATGGACAAATTCAGCAGCTTTTTCTCTTCATTGCGACTGGAACCCGCTGCGGCGAAAGCTGGCCGTTGAGGGCGTTCGTAGGGGCAATCAAGGATATCGGGACTGCTTTCGAAGGAGGATTCCTGCGCATTCAGAATAGCGCGTCGATTCTCGTGGAGGCGACAAGACGTGAGAAAAATATCGGGCGTGACGCGAAGCGTGACAAGATACTAGGCGGTGCGCAAGTGGTGGTGCGCAAGTGGTGGTGCGCAGGCCTCCCGGTGATCTGATCGGAAGGGTACGGGGTGCCAACGGTCGGCACAGCCGTGCAGTGGTATCGGCGCCAACTTGGGGTCCAACATGTACTGCTAGCAAACTGCGGATGGAGAGAGAAGGATGGAGTCGAGAAGGATGAGAGCTGGCGGCCGACAAGCGCCAGGTAAGGATGTCGGTCGGACGGCGAGAATTGGATCAGTTATGCTGGTCAAGATCGTTTAGAGGAACAGTATGCCGTGAATTAATGGATGAATCAGATATTCGAGATTGTCGGACCTCAACCTGGGTTGGAGGAGCAAGGAGAGAAAAAGAGAGAGTGACATGGATCCAGGAAGCTGGGCAATTCAGCCAAAGGGACGGAGTTCTGTCCACTGCTACTGTACAGATAGAAGATACCTGCTCTACACAGAAACTCTGAGGCTGGAGGGACAAAAGGAGTTTTAGTCTGACAGAATGGTGTCGCGATGGAAAGGGCATATCAGTGAGGGTTGCGCATAATCTCATTTGTCAGACCTCATACACTTTCTCCTATTCAGCTGCCGCAGGAATTCTATGGTGGTCTGAACAGACTACAAGGTACCTTGTATCGTAGTTCTGACTGTGTACATATCGCCATCAACCAAAGCCAGGTGACTGGCACCTCGCCTGCGAATGCCACAGTCCAGACCATCTGGACATATCGACTTCGACCTCCTGAGCGCTGAACACTTTTGGCTCCCAATCTCCTCCACATCCGAATTGACAAGGCTGTGACAGGCAACCTGTCCATCCAACGCCTTAGCCCCTCCCCCATCGCCCACACCCGTTTGTTCGACGCGACGAGCCACACACGAGGGCGACAGCTGCGGGAGATCAGCTCTGACCCCGTTGCCTCGTGCCAACCAGAATATGCCTCACAAATCTACTGGATGGTGTGTGTACTGTGTACTGCTGTATACAAACAACACCCCTCGACCTGCTCGCCGGGTGAGCACTGAAGCCATCAATGACAATGGCATGACTTCTGTTGCTAAGAGACAGCTTGCAATCACCTTCCCATCCTGTCACCCACATTCCATTCTTTTCCCCTTTTCAGCCGCAACCTCAGGGACTGCGCGGGGTCCAAGAAACAACATGCCTGTGAACGGACCACCTGAAGGTGAGATCTGTCAGAACCCCCAGGTCCATGCTCCTGTCAGGACTCTATAGTGAAGACGCAAAACCATGTCCATATGCCTCTTTGCCGTCTCTACCCTCTTCCCTCTGCTTTCCACACTACGTCTCATACAAAACGATGTGAGTTACCCGACGATTCGTCTTCTACTTCTCAGCAATGGCATCAAAATCACCTGTCCTCGGTTTCCTGTTGCTCGTCAAACTCCCGAGCGTCCTCTCACTCCCCCTTTCGCAAATCGGCGCGCCGGATCTCGGGACGCTGTCTTTCGCAGAACTCGCGCAAGAGACCTTCCGTCGGATTCTCGAGCTGGGTTTTCTCCGCGGCATCCTTGTCGCCCTGTTCGTCCTAGGTTGTCTCGTGTGTTTGCTCATATGCCTATTATCCGGGCTGGCAGCGTACCTTGGACGCCATGACACGCATGTTTGCGATGATAAGTCAGAGACATCCCGCCAGAACAGTGAGCACGAGAAAGTGCAGCTGTACTGCTTGGACGCAAACAAACGAGACAAACAGATGGCGACGAAATCGGAGGGCATTACGGTGGTCGAGGAAGAGATTCACTTCCTGCAACAACCCCAGCCTCGGAGTCGGATATCTCAACTCATATTGGGCCGACAGCTCTCTCCGATGACCCAACTCCAGATCCACACATCGTCTCCATCGCCAATAATGGAGACAGAGTTATCATCATCTCCATCAATCTCACCCTCACCATCGCCATCCCGCAATGACAGAACCACTTCCTCATTACAACCTCGATCCGTGCCGCTGCGCTCCGCACTCTCCAAATCGCCACCTCCGCCGCACCGCTTCTCCAGAGCCCAAATCTTCCTCTTCGGACGCAGGAGGTCGAGTCCCAGCTCCAGTCCCAAGTCCGTGCGATGGGCTGACGAGCTCCAGCTTTCATTGACAGCAAGCTTGGAGTTGGATATCCGGCCACTGGACTCCGACTTTGAGGCAGATATTGGTCTTGGAAGAGCCGAGCCCGCAGACGACCTGGACTTGCCGTCAGCGCCCACTTCAATTACAGCAGCGGGTGCAGATGTGGTACAAGAATCATTACTGGCTCTCGCATCATGATCAAGCTGATTTTCAACGTGAGGGGAACCGAGAGCCTCAGAAGGAGCTACAATGGTTTTCTTCAACTCGATTGTCCTACTCGTGGAGAGGCTGCCGTGTTCTACTTTGCTACATATATGTCTTCTCTTCTTTCTTTTTTCTTCTCTTGGGAACGTGATTTGGTGGACCGATACCAACTTAAGGGAGGCTTTTTTTTTTCTTGACCAAATGTGACGTGAGATGATTGACTTTTGAAATTCGAGCGACGGCGCAAAAGATCGAAGGGCGGGAAAGGGGAATCATCGTTGAGCCCAGCCGGCTTTGGACGGTTGATTCCAGTCTATATTTAGCCATGACCATTACTTGTTTTAAGAAATAAATGTTTCACCATCACCAGACTTGCTCTACCTTCTGCTTGTGACTTTGTCATGCCCAAATTTATCTGCGGCCTTACTTGCTGGAAAATGGACTCATCGAGCAACAAAAGACCGGTCTAGATTTTGTAGCTCAGCAGGCTCTATGTGCTGCTTTGATTTCGTGATTATAATGTTTCTATTACTGCAGAGCGCCACGCGTACTCGCGCATCGTAATCGACGGAAGATGCGTGTAGAATACATCTTAGATGTCCTTCCAATTCAGATCGTACCGACTGGTGCCGCGCCATGCCAGAATGCATTTTCAGACCCGAGCTTGCTATGCATCCAATATAAACCGGCTAGTATTATTTCATGATATCCGTGCAATGCTTCAAAATGTAAATCCAAGACTTCGTAAGGAGTGTGGGTGGAAATTTGAACATGTCCTTTCAGAGTTGGGGAGTTGGGGTGCTTGATCAGAATCTCCGAATCTTGGCCCAGGACGTCGGCTTATAGGTACCGGTCCCGCTGGCGCTAGCAGCACTGGTTGTGGTTGTTGAGCCAATGCTTTTAGTTGTCGAGCTTGTGCCCCAGGTCGCCGTGCTGGATGCTGCTGACGTGGTGCTTACGACGCTGGTGGTACTGTTGGTGGTGGTCCAGGAACCCGTAGGGGAGGTCGATGTACTGTCAACAGGCTTGCTTGTCGTGCTTGGAGTCCAGGCGGATGTGGTCGAATTGTGTGCCTGGGTGGTGGTTACAACGTCGGTGGTGGTAGGCTTGGCGGGAGCAGGAGTAGGCTGAGTGGGAATGGCAATGGTCACAACATAACCCCAGACATCTGTGTAGGTGATGGTCTGGCATTGATGGCATTGGCCTGGCGGATAGTAGGTTCCCGAACCACCTTGGGCAGGTTGAGTGGCGGTAACGGTGACAGTCTCGATGCCAACAGCAGGGCAGCCCGAGGGGATGATTTGAACAGGAGCAGGTGCCGGTGTGGTGGTTGGCTTGGATGGAGCAGGTGGAGTGGTTGGTTTGGCCGGAACAGGTGCAGGAGCCCATTTGGTGGTCAGCGGGTAGCAAGAGGTGGTTGTCCAGATTTCAGTTGTTAGCCACGTAGAGTAAAACGTGGTAGGCCCTTGAGTGGCAACTGGGGTTGAACAAGGAACAAACTTGGTCTTGGTGAGCCATTCGGTCGTGGTGTAGGTGGTCCAGATCTCAGTAGGAACTGAGGTGGTGGTGGTCTCAGAGACCAGGGTGGTGCTGACGATTGTGGTGGAGTTGGTATGGGGCGTCGTGTAAGCTGAGGTGGGAGAAGCGCTGGAGGTGGTAGTTATGGCAGATGCCGTCGTGGACCAAGGCTGGGACGAGACGGAACTGGATGAGTTGGAGCCAGTTGAGGTACTAGTCCAAGGCTGCGTGGTGCTGGCGCTGGACGAAGTGGTAGACCATGATGTCGACCATGCTGAGGTTGTGGATGAGGCAGAGGTCGTTGTAGAAGAGAGAGTTCCGTTGCTGTGATCATAACCCTCGGGGTATGGGTATGCCAGAGAGGCACCGGCAAGGGCTGCCACGAGCAGGGAAGTTGAAGCGAGCATATGGTTGTGATAGGACAGTAAGCGAGTGCTGAGATATCAACTTAAGTAGAAGGGATCAACGAGCGAGATGATGTATGGTTCGAGTGAGAGGTCTGAACGGTGATAGCGAGTGTCTTCAGTTGGGAGGATAAGATATGAATAGCGAATGTCTTTTGTTTTGTATTCGATAGTGATGTACGAGAAAAGATATACCACGGGATGGGAGACTGGAGTTACTTATACCTAGTCGTGGCGTGCTCCTACCAGATGAGACATTGCTGACCACCGTGAATAGTACCTAAGGTAGTGTATAAGGAAGCAGAGGTAGCATCGAACCGGTGGCGACGTTGTGGGAGTATTGGTCGGTCAGCATGGTGCCAGTGGCCAGATCTACGGAGAAGGCGGAAGAGCAGCTGAATAGCTGGAGAGGACGAAGAACGAAGAAGGCTGCGCCTTGCATATTCGCCGATGTAGCGTGAATACGATGTTGTAGTCTGTAGAGAGACGATGTTCTGGTGATGGTAACGGATGTAGTTCAAGTGGTGGATTGGACGATGGAGGAAAATGGCGCAGGGAGCAGCTGCTGAGCCTGCCAGTGAGATGCTACAAACTGCGCTCTTGGCACCGGCGGGAACTATGACTGGCTGCGACAGAGACTTGCTGCTTTTGCGACGTGCCACTCCACGATGCCATCAGCCACGCTATCCTGTCTGGGAAGCACCAGGCGAATGTTTGGTAGTATGACTACGACATCCCATTGGTTCATCCTGTTTATTTATAGCCAGCTCAAGGCCGCTGTCTACTATAGCACTAGTAGTATAGTGATCAGACGCCACTGGTAGCTGATGACTTGACAAAAAGACTCTGTTCTCTTCTCATACTACCACGTTATGCTACCTGATGGACTTGCCGTGACCTCCATACCTGGAGCGAGGCTGCATCTCGCATCTGAGGTTGTTCCACGATACGAGTTCAAGAAGCCACCAACAAGGAGACAGGTCTCGAAAGTAGCAGCCTTGAGGCTACGTTAGGCAAGGCTGAGTCTTTCCAAAAACAGAAACTAGCCAGTGATCTTTGGCTATACGGTCACCCTATCCCTCTATCCCCCACCAACCAGTTCTATCCTTAGTCACATCAGACACCCGCATACTACCTAAGTACTACAGAGTACGTAGTAGTCAGCTGTTCAAGAAAATGTGGGCAAAGCCTGTGCTGCTGATTACTTGATCACCACAATTCCACTTTCCTGGCAGGGTAACCACGATTCTGGGGGGATAGCACCATAGTCTTTCTGCGGGCCTCGCCGCCATGTCTCGGGAGTTCCAGAACGGCGCTGTCGCTGCCCTCACCGAGGAAAAGCGCTTGACTCATCTAATAAGCACCAAGGAATTGTACCCACTACTGAGTAGTCCACTGCTCATGATCATGCCTTCAACTCTGGTAGTTTGGCTATCGCATTCAAGAAGCATCACCTGCCTCATCTTTACCCCGATATGGTGGTATTCTACGGAAGATCCACAAGTTGACAGAACGTGATGGCAAAATGTGCCCAAAAATATCTGAGACACAGCGCCCTATCTGTCTAGGCAAAAGAACCTGTGATTGCCTTTTTTAACACTCTAGCTTCCTCGCAGCGAGCGCTCATTCAGACCGGTTCCCCTTGCCGTCGATGAGTCTTCACCATGAGCCCACTCATGGTCGGTAAGGTGTGACATTGTCAGCAAGAACTCTCACCGGCCGACGAGGTCGACGATCTGGACGTGAGCGGACCATGGCTCTCGGTTTGCACATCTGAAGACATGCAGCTGCATAGACCTCATCATATCATCGCGCTTTTCCAGGTAGCTATTCCTGGAGACACACTACTCCCATGTGTATCGCAAAGCTCCGCAATCAGCACGGTCAGGAGACTGCTCCAGATACATGACCCTGGCAACCTCGACCTCCAAAAGCCTCGTCTTGTCGTCGTTTGTCCTCAGCCCGTCACCTTGAACACGCCAGTTTCCCTCATACTGTCTGAACTTGACACTTTCTCAACAGTCGAGGTCGGCGTAAGCGCCATGGAATCAGAGTCTTCAGAACGGTTCAGCAAGATTGGTCCTCCCCACCGCCGAAGTCTCAATCGTTGTCACTCTCGTTGGGAATCTCGAGCTCCAAGACCTGCATGTAAGCATTTCTGTGGAGTCTGGCACAGCGGAGTCGACTCGCCTGACCCCTCGCGGAACATGGCTGATCTCGGCGATGCTTGGCCTGACGTTGATCTTCCTCGCAAGGGGGTATCTTGCTCATCCTCAGCGACACATCGTGACTACCACACATAGGTTTGTAGAGATATAATATACCCGATGTAGCACGTACCCGATGTAGCACGTGCCGTTGAGCGATGAGAGGAACGGATGGTGGGTAGACTCGCTTCCTCTACTCTGCGAAGCCCGTTTGGCTGGCTCGTGCGTGGATATGTCTTTGGTATTCGAAATTGAAATTGCACTTGTCTGGAATGACCATGGCCAGTAATGGGAGGTCATCGTGAGTGACCGTGAATCTCTTATCCTGAGGTCATTACTCCAACTCTGTTCAATTCACGGCGACAGTGCTTGACACGGAGGATTGTGCCCTTTCGAAGCCCTGGCAACGTAAGTCAGCTCTGGACCCTAAGTGCGTCGTAGCTAACACAATACGCCTGGCGGGCTTCAGACAGTGTTGAGAAGATATTGCGGCTGGTTTTTCTAGGCACTGCATTCCAAGAGGTCCAAGGTTGAAACACGGTCGTCCTACCACCGAACGAGAATGCTTCTCTGGCCCCAGCTGCCTCATCATGCAAGTGTGAAGGAACGAGTCATGGGGTCACCAACCTGACACTTCAGATGCTAAGAACCCGGAATGAGCATATGCAGCGTTCAACCAGGCTGTCAACAGTCAGCAATGTGAGAGAGAGCAATCATGAAGTCCAACGTACCGTCGGGTTTCCTCGTCTCTGTCTCATTTCTTCCACCCTCCGCTTGTCCTCCCCGAACTTCCGCAACATCTCGGATTGCTCCTCTTTCCTCTTGTTGCGCATTTGGAACCTGTAGAAATCCTCCAGGCTCTTGCTCTTCTCTTTGTGCTTCTCGGCAATCTCCTTCGCTTCTTCGGCGCGGACGCTGCCTCTTGAGCCTCTTGTCACTGTGACAAAGCCATCCTCGTCTGGCGCCTGTCGTTTTCGCGCAGTCTCACGGCTTCGGGCTTCCTCCAACTGTGCGTATGCAGTCATGAACCCGTTTACGGATCGGAGCACCTCTTTCCTCGAGGGGAATTGCAAGTGCTTGTGGTGTTCGTATCTTTTCACGCCCAATCGGGGTAGGATGGCCTCAGCACCCTGTCCCCATGTGATCGACGGGCCCGATTTCGCGACTCGTCTGGCGGCTTTCAACGCAAGCTCCATGCTTGGCTTGTCGACGAAGACCACTATAGCCGAGGAGCCGCTCTGATAAATTTGACTGTCGAACACGCCTGGGAGAGAATGGGTATCTAATCCGACCTCCAATTCTTCGGCTGTCATCCGTTTCCGCTTGCGGTTCGACTTCAAGGTAGCAGCCGGTTTTGCTTGCACATCTTCTGTGAAAACAACCTTCTCAATACGGCCACCCTCGAGTTGTGTCGTCAAAAGGTGCTTGATTGCGGCAGGGGACGCGGAGACTGGTATGTTTACCAGAAACAGAGATCGGGGTGCATCTGTGTCTGGGACTGGGGGATCGTGAGGCTTGAGATACAAATAGTGAGTGGCTTCTGTGTGAAACGCGCCTGTTGCTTGAAGTTTCAGTGGCAGGGCCACGAACCCTCCCACTTCTCGAGGCGCTTTCCCCATTGTTGTGAGTTGCGCCTTTCAGAGGAAATGTACATAGTATTTCGGGAGACTGTAGACTGCGACCTGGGAAAGTTTTGGAACTTTCTGTCGTAGGCCGGAGATAACAAGCAGCGCTTGGCGGATTAAGTCCGGCCCAGTGTTTAACGAAGTTCCATGCTTTCCACGACTTGGTGTCTTTCCTGTACAAATCATTCAACTCCAACCATGCGAATCAGTGCTGTACGTGTGGGCTCGCTTGGGTCGAGGGCCTTACGCCTTCATTCGTCTGTGGGCCGACTCGCAGAACCTGCGTTTCGACAGATCAGCACCACTACATATCGACCTGCCACAGCTCTACCCATCACCGCCACCGGACCTCCCCCTAGCGCTCCAGTAGCGACCTCATCGCAATATGGCGACCGAGTCGAGGAGCGACGCAGGAAAGCGGAAATGCTCAAACAAGGCAAAGAACTCCGGGCAAGTCAATCGGGGAAATCAAGTCCACTGAAGAAACGATTCTGGAATGAAGTCACCGTCCGAGAGGTGCCCGATGGATACCATGTGTATCTCGATTCGAGGCCTGTGCGGACGCCGTCCAAATCGATTCTCACCGTCCCGCGGACCAAGCCTCATCTTGCACATGCGATAGCCATTGAGTGGGACATGTTAGAATCGGCGCAACAGGCCCTCAAGAACCACAATATTCCCATGACATCAATTGTGGCGCGGGCGCAAGACCTCATCGAGGCCGAAGCACAAGGCTCAACAAAGACTCGGGACGAGATCATCACGGTTATGATGAGGTATCTAGACACAGATACACTGTTGTGCTGGGCTCCGGAGCATTCAATGCATGATGCTGCCCAGCTAGAGATGCATGCCGACCGCACCCAGTCATTACGGAATCTCCAAATCAAGACTGCGAAACCGATTATAAGCTTCCTCACAACCTCGGTCTGGCCCGGAGTGGAGCTTAAACCTGTGCTGGAGGAGGGGAGCATTATGCCTGTACAACAGTCCGAAATGACTCGAAACATTATCAGAGGCTGGATGTCCGGCCTCCCGGCCTATGAACTGGCGGCACTGGAACGAGCAGCGCTTGCAGGGAAGAGTCTGCTGGTTGCCACCAGGCTACTGATTGAATGGAGCGAGGAGTTCCGGGATCTTCAACGCATCGATGAGAAGAGATTTGGCATTGAAGAAGCGGCCGAGGCAGCCAGCCTTGAGGTTCGATGGCAGACAGGCATGTGGGGAGAGGTCGAAGATACGCATGATGTGGAAAACGAGGACATCAGAAGGCAGCTGGGAAGTGCGATCCTGCTTGTCAGTGGACATCGATAGACAGTTGTTTAGTTATTTATCAAACCTCATGGCAGCGAATCTATGCCTTTAGCCACACTGTTGGGATGTTCTGCCATGCATGCCGTCCAACATACTCAACCCATCCATTTCCAGCACAACCTATGACCTTTTTCAATATCATGAGCGCTCGCCGGTTTCGTGTCCTATTGGAATGCCACCGCCTTGTGTGTCCGAGAGTCTGCGTGAGAGGCCGGCTATCTCGCTTTCAATCCATTCGTCTCGACGCTGCGGTCGTCAGGCATCGTCGGAGTTGTACTTGAGGTCCTCTCGTCAGAAACGGTCACGATAAACGTCCTGAGGTACCAGGATGTACAAAGGTCGTTGAAGCATGATGAGTTGAATCCCGTAAAATGGCTGGTTGGGCAACGCTGCTGAAATCCCGGCCAGGCGTGACGTCGACGGCTGCGCAGCGAGACTTGTAGCGTGCCAAACTAACGCTCGAGAAACAACTGTTCCATGTTTTCTCCTCTCAGCATGAAAGGCTGTCAAGCAAGGTATGTGAGATAACCGGAAATGAACACTGCCACGATTCCAGAGGTAAGGGAATGGTCTGACCCCTGGATGGTGATGAGTGTCCGTTCTCTACAAAAGCCGTCGAATTACTTCTGCTTCACCACGAAGCTGCCACGACTCTCTATCTTAGTTGTCGTTGGAGCTGTGGCTTCTGTAATGCCGCCAGACAATGCTACCTTGCTCTCTCAACTTGAAATTTGACGAGATCCGTCACTCTGCAAGAGCATCAATCCAAAGTTGCCTACGAGTGAATTAAAGGCGTCCACCAGGATGAGGATTCCCTTGTTCAAACGCCTTGTGATTGCCTTTTTCAACGTCTTATTCCCACCTCTGGCGGTTTTGCTCATTTGCGGACCGAACGAAGACCTCCTCTTCAACTGCGTCATGTTCATCCTTGCCGTCATTCCTTCTCATGTGCACGGCTTCTACATCTCTCTGACATACTTCAACCGCAAACGCAGAGTACGCAGAGGCCTGTATCCTGGGACGCCGAAACACTTGATTTGGAGTGACAAGGTGAACAATGGAGGCGCGAGCAGGAGGGAGATGCAGAGGTTGAAGCAGGAAAAGGAAGGTAGCCAGTTGAACAGGAGGATTAGCAGGCGGGCCACTGGCACGACGAACACAAACGGTCGCGAAAGAAGCTGGGTCAATGACTGGGACGATGGCTATAACGTGTCCGCCGTCTCATCTCCAGTGAGCAGAACTCGTCCACAAAGAATTGGGCGGGCCAACTCTAGTAGGAGGGAAAGATACTCCGAGAATACAGGATAGTGGGAATAGGCCAGAGGGTTGGTGTCAAGGTGTCTGCTACCAGGGAGTCAGCACTGGTATAGTGGCTTTGCTGAGAAAGCATAAGCACTGTCTTTAATACCTGGTATGTCTGTGCAAGAGGGTTACACAATGTCTTCGTCGCTAGTATGCCGTTGTAGTAGACAGTGATCACTCGATTGTATCGACACTCAATTCTAGGTTGGCGTCGTGGGTCTCTTCCCCGGATCCTACCTGCCGCAAGTGGGGAGATTCTTAAACTTGGATGATTTAATTGTTTAGTGCTTGTGCACGGTGTGGGAGTACTACCTCACTTCAATCTATGCACTACCCTTTTCTTCAAGTTCCCCTGTGTCAGTTCGGTCACTTCTTCTACGAAGTCCTTGATGGTGTGGCTGACCTTACAAGTCCTTCCTTGCCTATGCACACACATGCCTGCCAGTCTGCGATCTCAGACATGGCGCTGTTGCTCGCCTTGCAGGGCGCCACCATGCACGATGAAAGCACAGCCCCCAGCCGCAGGGCAACTGTCTGCCTCGTCGCTAGATATGTGGTTTCTCTTCCTTTGTCCCAACTCTCATGCTTCTGCTCTTCCCTGAAAAGAGTTCCTTCCACCTTTCCGTCGTGGCCCCGGGAAGGTGAGTAAGGTGAGTAAAGATGGCGGAAGTCGGTCTCGTAGCTTCGGTGTTTGGAATCGCCTCGCTAGCAGCGTCCGTCTCCAAAACGCTGTTTGATCTAGGATATACCATGCGCCATGCTCGCGAGCAGATTCACGAGATCGCTGGCGAGGTCACCACGTTTACCACGATCATCAGGCAATTAGGAGTAGTGTTGAAGACCCAGAAGGGCTCTTTCACCGACGAGGCTGAGAAAATGGTCGAATCATCCATGAAGGATTGCAAGAGACTGTGCAAAACTATCCGACGTCAAGTCAGACGGAAGAAGGAGAGCCTGGTACCGGTCCGTTGGTTGTTCAAGAAGAAGAGGGCAGAAGAGCTCAAACGACGAATGGACGCCTTGAGAAGTGTTCTGGGGTTGATGCTTCAGGTGGTGCAAATGGGAAGGAAGATCGAGTCCGAGTGAGGGTCGACAGCACCATATTGACAGACACAACACTGACTGCAAATCCAGTGCGACCGTTCCCGACGCTCTCTCCGAACTTCGCGAGGAAATGAAGATGCTCAAGAACGAAGTTTTGGCCTATCACCGTAGCCTGCCCAAGCTGCAAGAGGCTGAAAGAGATCTTCAGACCCCAACACATCCAATCCCAAATCGGAGGGAAAGAATCTATTCGCATCATGGCCGGCGGTCACCAGTCTTTCATTATCCCAACAGGCCGCCGGTATACAGGGCGGACTCGGCGGCTCCAGCGTTCGTGCCCCTCGACAGCCCGCACCGGCAGCAAGGACGGTATGAGGAGCGGCTCGGTGACCACTGGGAGGATCCATCCATACCTGTACACCCCTATCCAGGCAATGAATATGATACTGCGGATTCCAACTTCTCAGACTATGCGCCGCCACCAACGCCTATCGTGAGGGAAGAAGAAAAGCCGAAGGATGACCTGCATATCTCCGGTGATGAGGTTGAGAAAGGTCCCGTTTCACAAATACGGCCTCTTAGGACGGAACATGGTCATCAGGCAATTCCCAGACTAACTTACCATGCATCCCAGAGGCTCATTGCTGCCATGCCTTATAACCCCACAGCACCGATCAGACCACCAGCAGGACCAGCCCGGCTCACTGCTAGTACAACACAACTCCACGCGCGGCATGTCTCCAACCCAACCTCTCCAGACGATGAGGCAACGAACGCGCTCAAGCTATTGTTCACCCGGTGGACCAAGGTCAATCCGCGACTGATTGAAGATGTGCTGGACAAGGACATTCCCAGCGCACGTCCGCCTCCGATAATCCCCACGTGAGTGGAAGCCTTGTGTTGTTATGAACCAGCTGACGAAGGCCTAGTGACCCCCTGTCTGACGAAACAGGGTCGGAAAGCGATGCCTCACGCGGCCGGCGGCCGTGGTACGATGTCGACAGTGACTTGTCGTCCGCTTACTCACGGTCGAGAAGCCGGCATCGGCCACATTCACCCCACGAGCCATCAAACAGCTATGAGCGCCCGCGGCGTGGCACTCCTCCACTGCTGGGGCCTGATTCAGTCAACTGGGGGACGCCTGCTTATAGATATACTGCAGGTCAGATGTTCCCAGTACTCCGAGATGCCTGGCGGTCACCTCAGTTTGAGGAGCCACCGCTTGCGAAACTCCTCGCTACTGTCAACGCTCGCTTCGTGTGGATGGTTCGCAACCCTGAAGAGTTGACGTATTGGGTGGATGGCCAGGCATGCGTGCGATATCGTATGACTCCGCCGAGTCATATGTACATGATGCCGGAGAAGAGTGAGACTATCCTGCCAAAGCAATGGGTGCTGAAAGAAGTGGCTGAGCTATTCGGCTTCGTATGCAATGAGGATGGAGCAGCCCACTGGGTGATCGACAAGACGTTGACTTATGTGAGTGGCTCCCTGATTCGTGTGACAGCCTTGAAGACCCGGAAGGGTGGGAAGCTGACTGTTCCGTTTGCCGTGGATGTAGGTCGAGGTCAGGCAGCTTGTCGAGGTGTCGTCCCATCTGATAGAAAAGGACATCCGCAAAATGGCCCAAGACAAGGTGCAAAATTGGAACGTGGACACCGGTGCAGAATATCGAAGACCTGAGACCTCAAACGTGCCGCCACCGTTCCCCTATTTTCCCCCGGATCAGCCCCCAGGCCAGCACACAGGTCCTTTACTTCCCATGCCTGGAACTATGGACGTGCAATTGACAAGGGGTGAAATTCCTCCCCTCCAAAGCGCGGCTGACTCAGCCAACCATCCAGAAGAAAAGACCTCTAGAGACAATGACGGTGAGTATGAAACAGGAGAGGAGGAACCGGAGGAGAGTATGAGTGTCCTCAGCAGCCAGATCAGCTACAAGGAACGCCTCACGCCGTCGCGGTCGAATAAATCCAACCAAGGCGGAACCAGCAGCAGCAGCAATGTATCTCCTCCATCTACCGGAAGGAAGGTCCAGGTGGGCACGGAGAGTAGGAAGAACCATGACCCCGACCGGACACGGGACTCGAAGTTTTCGAGATATTCAAGAGATGAGCGGAAGAAGGTCAGACCGCTGCAGACGGTTGTGTCTAGCCAGGCCCAGAGTCAGGCCACGGACACGGGAAATCGACGTCGCCATCGGGATCGCAAGCGGTATTGAAGTCTTGGATTGGACAAAAGAACCCCAGATCACGATGAATGTACTACTTGTCGCAGTAGTAGCCGTTATTTCCACTAGACAAGGAGGGACACGGTTCAAGTCAGGACGCGACACAAGGTTAAGGCACTGTACAACTTGAAGGCTGCAAGAATATCAACGAAAGTTGAGGTTTGGAGAGTCCATGCATACGAATAATATGAAGGACAGAAATAGCTTGTTCCCAGACCTCGAATCCAGTCTTGGTAGCAAGACAGGACTTGGGCAATACCTAAAAGTCTCCGTTCTCCTATTCTCCTTCTCCAGACCCCAAAAAGCAGGGCGGGGGGATATCGCTTTCTTTGCGGTTCGTCAAAACATATCGATCATACAAGGCATTACAGAATACTGTGCAGGGGCCCATCCAGGTGGTATTCTAGTTTTCCAGTGTCTTGTGTCTTCAACAATCCAACACCAAAATGTCTGGGAGCGGCCGTGTGGTGACGAATATCAGCTCGTCCCTGCGTCTGGGCGGGAATTCGAACTTTCCTTGTCCCGGGTTGGTGTCGTTCCGCCAGTGACATCTTCGGGTTTCGCTGGTATAGGGAACGGGCTGAAATCGCGGCTGCTGGTGCTGAAACTGGATTGGACGGATGGGTGTTTCTCGTGTTTCTCGGCCGAAGCGCCGCCACCGCCGCCGCCGCCGCCGTTGCTGGGTTTGATGCCGTTTTGTAGAGGCGGCTCGTTGGTTGGCACGGGCGTGTTCAGCGAACTCTGGTCGGTGGAGGCGGGGCTGGTGATGTCCATATTATTCCCTTCGTCCAGGGACACCGAGTTCAAGCCGTGAAGACCGCCCTCGATGTCCCTCACCAGACGCACAAACTCTTCGGGAACAAGTCCGCTCTCGCCGGTCCTGGGGTCTTCGGCCACCAGCCAGCCTTGGCCGTGCCGATACGACACCAGAATGATCTGTCCTTCTTTCAGAGGTAATTCGTTCGGGTGCTCGCTCTCGAAGTCGAACAGTGCAACAGCCTTGCCGTGCATCTCCTCGTCGGGACTGGCAATCGTGAAGGAATAGTCTTTGGAAAATCGAGTGTCATCGTCTGCTTCCGAGTAATCTCCTTCTGAAAACGGCTCCTCTGTGTTGTAGGATGCCTGCATCGGACCTGTGGAATTCAGGTTCCCATTATCAGACTGCGGCGGGAAAAGCAGCGCATGATTATCGTACGTATCCACCGCCTCGCCCGGTCCATCACCGTCGTCTTGATGAATGCCGGCGGAGAGGAAAGTGCCACGATTTGGAGCTGCATCCCCCGGTGACCTTCCCCGCTCATTGGATTTGTGTTTTTTATGCCGGTTCGTGGTCACAATGGGGGAATGAATATCTTCATCTTCACTGTACGGCGGCCCTCCATCCCGAAATGTCATTGCTGGGAGGCGATCACGACCCCATGAGCCCGTCCTTGTTTCAGATATCCAGGGAGGCGTCGCCGACCAGTTCACCCTCGAATCGTCCCAGGATGAGATCGCAGGATCCGAGGATCGTCTTGACTCGCTGACAGGCGTCGACAGGCCCGACTGGTCCGGAGACGGCCCGTAATGTAGAGGATGGGTGGGCAAATAGGCAAAATCGCGCACAAGAGTGTAAGACAGGCTCGAGTGAAACTCGGGATAGACGTGAGAGGCGGGTCGCGATGCGGGCGGATGTGACGCCTTTGAGTTGGTGGAGAAGGACGACATCCGTCTGTCGACATAGGAATTCGGCCTCTGAGAACTCGGCCGCCGCGGCCTGGGTGTCGTCGTGATCAGCGGAGGCAGAGAGGAAGGGGTGGGCGTCGCTGCCGCTAATGGCGGTGACATTGTAGGTGGCGAGGCGGTGATGGTCGCCATCTCCCACCGAACAGTATGAAGGTGTGCCAACCGCCGAAACAAGGCACCACCAGGTAGTCGAGTCTAGAGGAGGAGAGTAGCAACTTCACCTCTTCGAATGCCGAGGCGCGGCTCGAGACACGAGACTAGAGTGAGCGGCTAGACGGTGGAATGTTGAGCAGGTCGTCGCAGGTCGTCGCAGGAAGCGCAGTCCGGGGAAGGAGTTATGATCGGGGGAATTCCGTGAAGAGTAGTGGTAGCAGACAACCTCTCCTCCGTCTCTTGATTCTGGTATCCTAGGGGGAACGGTTGTTGCGGCCTTACTGTCCAGAGTCGAAATTGAGAATGCGAGAGTCTAAATATAGGACGGGGCGGGAACGAACCAGGGTCGAGAGTGAGAAAGAGGCAAAAGGCAAAAGACCACAGACTTGGAAGGGCTAGAGAACAATCGTCACGCGTCGGCGCATCGCAGATCCAAAGAGCACCCGTTGAAGAAGAAGACAATCGATGATTTTCAGGCGGAAAGAAGAGGGATGCCTAGAAGTCGTCAATTGCTGTATGAGCGGCAGCGAGGTCGAGATGCAGTGCAGTGGTGCATTGGGTTCAAGTTGAGTTGAGGGTCCAGCCAGCAAGCATTTTGCGGTCAGACTGCGCTGCTGTGCTTCCACCTCAACTACTAGTAGTAGTACTACTACTAGTGGTCAGTAATAAAGGGACTCGGATGCCAGAATCGCAGATTGGCTTTTGACCGTTGTTGCTGGGGTTGGACAGGAACGGTTATTGGGCATAGACAGAGGTGCAGGCGGGGCTCTCAGGCGCATAAGAGCACGGAGCCCCCTGGATCTGGTTAGCAGGGCGGTGGGCGGCCTCCCTAGCACTTGGACACCACTCGTAGAGTTCTAGGCGACAGGTACCTGGAGCTCCAGCGCCTAAAGTGACTCTAGTAGTTCTGGCTGCTGCTGGCAGCGGCTTGATTCGAGGCATCACACAAGCACCGTCATCTCCACCACAGCGACCAGTGTTTCAACTGCGAGCCTAGAAGTCTTCTAGCACTCCTCACAAACCCTGTACTGCTGCTCATCTTCACCTGCATCTGCATCTGGCTTCTGGAATCTTGCATCCCTCACTACTACGTAGTATCTACTTTTCTAGTCCCCTCCATCACATCGGACGCATCCTCAAATCTCGAATCTCGAATCTTGAATCTCGCATCGTGAATCTCTCAGCCTCATGCCCTAGCCGACGACGCATCATACCGAACGAGGTAACCACCGCACTTTTACAGACCTCCTCTGCGCCGTGTCGCAACGAACATTTTCATCAGCTGTATGTAATTCTCGCTTGTATCCTGTCCTGTCGTGCCGTTGTTTGACATTATGATGATCAAAATATTGGAGCTGTCCTATTTTTCCATGCGGACAATCATAAAATACGCATTTTTCTATATCTGACATTGATGACGACGTTTGCCTGCACTTCCTTCAAGACCTGCAATTGTCCCAGGCGAAACCATGACTGACTTGGATTTAGTTGAACGTGATGTTAACCCTACACCGGTAACTCCCTTCGGCGTCTTCTTTTTTCATCATGTCAGCCGACCCTCGACTCGCCCGGCTTCAAGCTCGAGCGAATACACCTCAGTCCGCGCCGCCACAGTCGCAATCACCGCAGCCACTGCAGCAGTCATTACAGGCACAACTTGAACCTCGACCTCAACCTCAACCTCAACCACAAGTGCAAGTCCAAACCGAGCCACAGACAGAAACACAAGTCGCTTCTCCATCACCGGTCCCCACCGAGACAGGACAATCCCCATCAGCTCCGCCAAGTCTGGATGGAAATGTCGATACCGTGGCACCAGCTGCGGCGCCTAGCAGTGCGGCCACTGAATCATCCGAGATCCCTTTCAAGTTAAGATTTTGCACAGTCTGTGCCTCAAACAATAACCGAAGCATGGAAGCACACCTAAGGTTGTCCACCTCGGACCATCACTACCCTGTCATCTCTTTCGGCACAGGTTCATACGTCCGACTACCGGGCCCCTCAATCTCGCAGCCACAGGTCTACAATTTCAACACGACGTCCTACACGAAAATGTACGAAGAACTGAACGAACAGGATGCGAGATTATACCGGAACAATGGTATTTTGAATATGTTGGATCGTAATCGAAACATTAAATGGGGCCCAGAGCGATTCCATGACTGGGTGGTTGGTGCCGCGAGGATTGATGCTCTGCAGCGAGGGGACAAAGGCGCCGCCGGAACAGAAGGTGGTGTCGTCGACGTCATTTTCACCTGTGAAGAGAGGTGCTGGGACGCCGTGGTCGACAATCTGCTGGATCGCGGAGCGCCCTTGAACCGACCAGTGCACGTTTTTAACATCGATATCAAGGATAACCACGAGGAGGCTCTCATAGGAGGAGGCGCCATCCTTGAATTGGCAGACATGCTCAACGAAGCTGCAGCGCAAGAGAGAAAGCTGAGCGGCGCTGCTGGATGGGAGAACGGTGGTGGCGCGGCAAGGCAGAGTTTCGACGAAAGAGTGCCTGACATCCTGGCCACCTGGCAGGAGAAATGGCCCAACTTGCCGGCCTTATGGACGCTGTCATGGTTTTGATACTAGTACCTGGCCACCTATATGAGACCTGCTAGTTTTAGCGAAGGCGCTGGAGGAGTCCAATATTGGGAATCATGATGGTAATGTGGATGCTCTAGATCATTGCCGGCAACTACTAGGACTATAACTTGCTCGTTTCCGTTTGATCCCGTGTCTTCTGTTCTTTCAGTAACCTCTCTTTCTGCAAGGCTTCCGATCTCAACGCCACCTCCACCTGTCTGGGACCTTCTTTGCTGAACTTGACCAGAACGACGTACTCGGAATCGCCCTTCAAGCCGCTCGTCCTGAGTTCCGGGCCGGGTTTGTCCAGCGCCAGCACCGACCGCCCGTCCTCCCGACCGAACTGCAACCCAATGGGACTGATGAACTTGTCCTTCCAAGGCACGGGCGTGCCCTCGTTGAGAATCAAATGCGTCAACTGGTCGCGCTTCCGTAGGGTTTCAGCTTCATTTTCGTCGCTTCTTCCGCCCTCCACGCCTGCATCCAGAACCCCCGAAATCAAATACAGCAACAGAAACTGCGGCGGGAACAGAATGATCTCCCCGCGGCGCGCGCGGTCCAACCAGTCCCGCGCCCGCCGCCACTCCGGCGCCATCGTCTCGACCATGTCGCCCGTCGCGCGTACGGACGGGTTCCCCGCCTCCTCGATCCCCACGAAGTAGAGGTACATCTGCGTAGTGAAGCGCTTGGGCACGTTCGGCGGCGTGACCCAGTGCGTGAAGGGGATCAAGCGGTCCGTGTCCAGCACCGCAGGGTCTCCGTTTGCGTCTGGAGAAAGTGATTGCAGCCACGCCCCGAACGAGAGCTTGCCTTGGTGGACGGCCTCGCGGCCGCTTTTGCGCTGGGCGCGCGACACGTGCAGGAGGCGCGGAGCATCGCGTGACGAGCGCGCCAGCAGGATCCCGGTCTCTTCGAACAGTTCGCGGATCGCCCCCGTGCGGTACGCCATGTTGTCCTGGTGCCGCTGGATGTCGGTGGGATTTGGGGGGAGCGCGCCGTCCGCCGGTTCCAGATTGCCGCCGGGGAAGACGTGTGCTGAGGGAAATGCCGATGAGGTCTGCACGCGGTGCAGCAACAGGATCTCGTTGGACGGTGAGACAAGGATCACGCTGGCGCTGGGCGAGGCCGGCTTGGGTGTCTTGTGCTCTGCGTATTCTCGTACGGCGAACTTGGATGGGGGCGCCATCTTTGGATTGCGCCGTCGGTGGAGAGAACGGGGCAGAGGGATGGTGGTGTTCAAGTTGGACTCTGGCTGTCTTGTTCTAAGGAGGTACGTTCGGCTCGGGCTGTGGTGCGCGCGTCTATAGATACTAGTATGTAGTATATGTGTTGGACATGGCCTCGAGCTGCGATCTAGGGTTCTAATAGATGGTGGAAATGGTGCTCTAACAATGGTGGTGCCAGGATGGATTGTGAATGACTCGGACCTTGAAGCACAGGTTGAGGCAAGTACACTCACACTCACACTCACACGCATTGCTGAGCAGATTGTCAGACCGAGGTTCAGTCAACGCGACATGATAGAGAGTACGTAGTTTGATAGAACAAAGAGCCCTGCAGTGCTGGTTCCCTTGTCGTTGACACTTCCACTGCAGTCCGAGTTCCTTGCAGGCCAAATCGATCCCCACGCGGTGGAGAACCGAATCCACGCCGAGGTTCATCTTGGAGACTCCACAATAGGAGTTGACATTGAAGGTAGACAGTACAAGACAGTACAATGGCAGTATAGCGTCTCATCTACTCTTCAACATTGAACAACTGAACGGAAGTCTTATCGAGGACTATGTCTGTACATTTTTGTCCAATTCATACAATCATCTGTAAGGCAATGATACAAGCAAGACCCAGTCCATATGCAACACCAACCGCCCTCAACGCCGCCTCGCCATGCTATATCTATCTATTTTCCAAGTCTGGGACTACTCAAGAGTAAAGCTTCTTGTCGAAGCTGTCCAGACCGTGAACATTGCCCTCAGCTTGCCCGCTGACCGTTCGGAGTTCGAAGCGCACTTTACCGCTGACGACGCTCTCTCGAAGTTCCGTCAGACTCTTGATTCCAATGTCTTGGAGAGAGTGCTGCAGGCCGGCCAGCAAGTAGGGCACGAATTTGGTCACCGTGCCTCGGTCGGGGACTGCACCAGAGACACCTTGAGCGACCAATAGTCTATCACCCTCAGAGAAGTATCTGGCCGTGCCGGCATTGCTGGCCTTGGAATCCTTGCCTCCACCGCCGGCCTTCTTGTCTTCCATAGCATCGATGCTGCCCATTCCTCGATAGGCCTTGACGAGCTTACCTTCACGGCTGACAAAGTAGTTTCCTGGGGACTCGGTGGTACCGGCCAAGAGACCACCCATCATCACGGTGGAAGCCCCCATGGCGAGTCCCTTGACGATGTGGCCGACGTTTTGAATGCCACCGTCAGCAATGCAGGGAACCCCAAACCGGGATGCAAACGAGGCCACGGCGAAGACTGACGCTGCTTGAGGACGGCCGACTGCCATGACTTCTTGGGTGATGCATGCGCTGCCGCTGCCCATGCCAATTCTCAAGCCATCGGCACCAGCAGCAATGAGGTTGGCTGCTTGCTCGCGAGTCACGACATTTCCAGCGACCACGTCGAGTTCCGGGTATTTCTCCTTGATGTACTTGACCATCTCAATCTGGTACATGCTGTTTCCTTGACTGCTGTCAAGGATCACAATGTCGAGACCGGCGTCAACTAGTTTCTGCAATCGGATTTTGTCATCTGGTCTGGTGCCAATGGCGGCAGCAGCAATAAGCTGCTTGGAATGAGGCAGTTTCGAGGCCAGAGGGAAATTTAGGTTCTTCAGGAGATCCGATCGTGATAGCAGAGAGATGAGGTTACCGTTGCTGTCCACAATAGGCAGCTTGCCCTTGCGCGAATCACGAAGAACTGCGTTAGCCTCGGCCAGAGTTGTTCCAGCAGGAGCAGTGATCAAGTCTTTTGACATGACTTCCGTGACCAGATCGTCCGGGCGAGGATGGAACTGGATGTCTCGGGTCGTAACGATGCCAATGAGCTTGGACTTGAGTTGACCAGTCTCTGTGCGCGCGGAATTCGTCAGCAATCGGAAAATCCACGGTTGGGAAGCAAAATTGCGATATCAAGTATTCTCAGACAGAAATCTCCATAATTCCCCATTGCAAATTCATGCTGCGGATGAACGAAAGTTATAAAAGGGTAAATAGTTTTGGACATCATTGAACGAACGGGTGCACTCGCATCAGGGGCAAACATACCAGTGACTGGGAACCCTCCGAATCCCCATTTCTCTTTCAGTTCTTTCGCTTCTCCCACAGTGGTCTTGGGCGAGAGAACGACGGGCTCAGATATGAAACCGTTCTCGTATCTCTTGACTTTCCGAACCATGTCTGCTTGGTCCTCCGCCGAACAATTGTGATGGATGACACCGAGACCTCCCAACAGGGCCATGTGAATGGCCATAGAGTCTTCTGTCACAGTGTCCATCGGAGAAGAGAGAAGAGGAGTCTTGAGGGAGATACGCTTGGTCACGGGCGAATCGAGAGTCACTTCGGAAGCAGCGAAGCCTGCGCGACAGGGTCAGGATGGATTATCAGAGGACATCATTGCGCAGCATACCAATGTATCCCGGCAGAATGAGGAAGTCATTGTATGTCAGCGCCCCATTCTTGGCCGAGTCCAGGAGGGTGTGAACATCGAGGCCATCCTGGGACTGATAGTCGGACTTGAGGACTTCGACGGCTTTGCGATAATCGAGTTTTTCGACGTTGCGATTCAGGGATGGGCCATTGACGGCGACATCGCCGTTTGCAATAGGCATCTTGGGAATGAAGATTCTCTTTGATGTCGTCTCGTACGATATATACAACAGACCCTGGTAGTCACGATCTGCTGGGGTCAAAGGTGACCGAAAGAAGAGAAGGAAAAGTTCAGGGAAAAAGTCGCGATCCCGATTATGAAACTTTTTTGCAGGCCTGATTCGAGCGGGGGATGCAGATGGCACTAAATCTCTTGGCAGAAACGCGGTCAGGAACAACAGCCAAAAGACACGATAACTTAGTAATTGAAAGGTGCGTGTGCAAGTCGCGACTGCAGTCCGGCTTGAGTTCAGGGGGTCACGCCTATTAAAGGGACAGACACTACTACCTATTAGTACCTATTAGACACCTAGAGGGGTAGGTAGCGTGATAGCGTTATCACCCATGATCTAGTAGTGATACAGACTGTACTCGACAATCAGGCTCTGCACAGAGCAAGCGGTGAGTGATGCCCACTGCACACTGCACTGGCACTTCATAGAACGCTCGGCCATTCTTCAGTGACAGTCTCTTTTATTACTACCAGATCTGAGTCGAATATGAACCTGACAAGAGGACAAGGGTGATTCAGATCTGTTATTATTATTAAAACGATGGTAATAGTGATGCTGGCACCCCTGCAATGCCAGTGTTGTGATTGTACCTAGGATGTACTGTGTATGAGCCTATCATCTGTTTTGCCCACCTTAGGTACTACGTTAGATGCTGCCCACTGCCGCTGGTTGGCGCAGGCACACTATCCCTTTCCCGGCCAATGTAAACAGTAGACACTTCAACATAGTAGTAGTACGGTACACAGGACAAGAGACTACCACAATACAAATTGTATTGCACCATTGAGATATTGGGTTGCAAGCCTGGCATACTGGTAGAAGCTTGCACTATCTCTGTTGTCTTCTGTTGTTGTTTAGCACTCAGCAGTCCCAGTCGACTGAAGTGTCTGTCTTTTGCCGCCTCTTTCTGCCACATTACACATCTGCTGCTGCTTCACTTTCCGCTCCATGTCAAGTTGAACGGCGCACACTCGAGTATGCGACCCAAGCCCCGGCCACGATACGAACCAGACCTTTTCTTTCTTGACGCAGTACCCCAGACACCGGGATGTCGCACTACGCCCTTCGTAAAGTGCAAGCAGACAGTCACTACGGCCTGCCTCAGCGGCAACCGTCAACCGCCTCAACAGTGTCCTCTGCCTATTCTGCCGCATCGAGCGCGTATCTTCCTAGTCGGACGAGCACGGTGACCTCGACAAGTTCCAGTCTCTATTCAAAAGGCTCGCCCGGGCACAAGAGGGGGATCAGTGAGGCGGGTGAGATGACTCCAACTCGGACACAGCGCAGCCAGAACAGCGTGGAAAACAGCCCCGACCATGTGTATCGGAACATTCGCCAGAGCTTGAGGCCTCTCCCACAGGCGCCATCTCCAAAAGCAACCTCCACCACCCGAAAGCCCAGTAACCATCATACTCGCTCTCAAACCGTCGACCGCTTTCCCCAAAGCCACTCCGAAGACCCGTTCGTCGACAAACGTGAGAATGAGCATCATGACGAGATGAAACAGTCAATGCCACACCTTGCCCATACTGTTACAAGCCCTCACGCATCCACCTTCAAGGCCCCGGATATACAAGAGCTGCAAAAGTCGTCTACCTCGCATCTGAGAACCCTGTCAAGGTTTGCCCAAGAAGCTGATGCCGAAGAGTTTGGAATTACCGCAAGTGGCCATTCGGTGGTTGGACTACACAATCGGAGACAACTGAAGCGTGCCGATTCTGTGGCGCCAGGTGGTCGCTCGATAGCTAAAAGCTATGGATGGGGTGACAGAAATTGGATGGACAAACAGCGACAGTTTCTGCAGGCCTACGAGTATCTCTGCCATGTTGGCGAGGCAAAAGAATGGATCGAGGACATCATCGGCAAACCGATCCCTCCAGTTGTGGAACTGGAAGAAGCACTGCGCAATGGAGTGACTCTGGCAGAGATTGTCCAAGCTTTCCACCCTGACCAGACGTTGAGGATCTTCCGCCATGCCAAATTGCAGTACAAGCACTCCGACAACATCGTTATGTTCTTTCGATTCCTTGAAGAAGTTGGCCTACCAGACCTGTTCCGATTCGAATTGATTGATCTGTATGAGAAGAAGAACATCCCCAAGGTCATTTATTGCATCCATGCTCTGTCATGGCTTCTCTACCGGAAAGGGATGGTCGACTTTCGGATTGGCAATCTCGTCGGCCAGCTCCAGTTCGAGCATCACGAATTGGAACAGACTCAACGTGGCCTCGACAAGGCAGGCGTTAGTATGCCTAGCTTCTCGGGCATGGGGGCCAGTTTTGGTGCTGAACCGGAGCCCGAACCAGTCGAAACAGAGGAGGAGCGGATTCAACGAGAATTGCAAGAGCAAGAAGCGGCCATCGTGGACTTTCAAAATCAGATACGGGGAGCGGTAGTTCGAATGCGACTGGGGAGCATGATGCAACAGCTGTGGGACTCGGAGGGTTCGTTGATTGAGCTTCAATCCCTCATCCGCGCCGATTGGGCCAGACAAGTTGTCGGCTATCGACTTCATATGCAACGGTTTGCCACCAGGCTCCAAGCCGGAGCTCGAGGCTTTCTAGCGCGTTCCAATCAACGGAGGAGAGAAGCAAACTGGAAGTCCAGCGAGAAGGATGTTCTGAAGCTCCAAAGCCTTTTCAGAGCTGGCAAGGCCCGGGCCGAATCACGGACACTGAGATCACAAGTTCGCAAACATGATGCCGGTATTCGTAACCTTCAAGCCGCCATCCGAGGCGCTCTATCTAGGCGAGACGCTTTCGACCAGTACGAAGCCACAAGGTCAACAGAAAGTGAAGTCGTCTTTTTGCAGGCCAGTGTCAGAGGTATGCTGGTGCGGACCCAACTTCAGAAGGCTCATGCGACTTTGCAGAGACAGACTCAGGCGATTACACAATTCCAAGCTTACTCACGGTCACTACTCACCAGAATCCGCCATGATAAGCTTCTGGACACCCTTCATCAATACTCACCCAAATGGACTGCATTACAAGCTGTAGCCCGAGCCGGTCTGATACGACAGGAGCTGGCAAGCTTGAGGCGGGAACTGAGATCTGCATCAGCATCAGTAGTCGTGTTCCAAGCCATTCTTAGAGGCGCAAACACGAGGGAGGCTTACAGCTCGCTAAGGCTCTCATTGATGAGACAATCAGCAGCGAGCATTCCACTTCAAGCTGCGATCCGAGGTTTTCTGCTACGAGGCAGCCTGGACAAGCAACAGAAGCAGTTGGCCTTGCACGCTCCCAAACTAGTGCATTTACAAGCGCTCTCGCGAGGCGCAATGGTACGGTTGCAGATTGCAGACACACTCAACGAACTGGAAGACAACCAAGAGCCGGTGGTGCGTTTCCAAGCTGTTGCTCGCGCCATGCTGTGTCGGATCGGCGTGGCCGACCTACTCGCAGAGTTGGACGGCCATGAAGAAGCCATCATCGAGCTGCAGGCGCTGATGAGGGCCGCAGCTATCCGAGCCCAGTTCGCGGAGAAAAAGCGCTACTTCAAAGAAAATATGGAAAAGGTGGTCAAGATCCAAAGTGTGGTCCGAGCAAAGATTCAAGGTAAGGCCTACAAGAGCCTGACTACTGGCAAGAATCCACCCGTCGGAACTCTCAAAGGTTTCGTGCACCTCCTGAACGACAGCGACTTCGACTTCGAAGAAGAAATCGAGTTTGAGCGGCTGCGCAAGACCGTGGTCCAACACGTGCGGCAAAACGAGCTTGCTGATCAGTACATCACCCAGCTGGACATCAAGATCGCGCTTCTGGTCAAAAACAAAATCACCTTGGACGAGGTGGTCAAGCATCAGAGACATTTTGGTGGCCACGTCGGGTCACTTCTGCCGAACTCTGATATTGCTTCGAAGGACCCATTCGACCTGAAAGCCCTCAACAAGACGTCACGTCGGAAGCTCGAACATTACCAGGAACTATTCTTCCTGCTCCAAACGCAGCCCCAGTACCTGTCGAGACTGTTTAGGCGTATCAGGGAGCAAGCCACAGCTGAAAAAGAGTGCGATCGTATCAGACACCTCGTCATGGGACTATTTGGCTATGCGCAAAAGCGACGAGAAGAGTACTATCTTGTGAAGCTGATAGTGCGGTCCGTCAAGGAAGAGGTTGATTGCTCGCTGTCTCTGCAAGACTATCTGAGAACCAACTCATTCTCAAACAAGCTCTTTGCGGCTTACAGCAGATCTCCCCGCGACCGCAAATTCCTCCGCGACGTTCTAGGTCCGTTAGTCAAGGAAAACATCATTGACAACGCGACTCTAGACCTGGAAAGCGATCCTCTTCAGATCTATCTGTCCGCCATTAACAATGAGGAGCTGAGAACCGGCCAACGAAGCCAACGAGATCCCAACGTGCCCCGAGAGGTGGCCATCCGCGACCCCGAAACCCGGGCCACGTTCATTGCCCATATGCAAGACCTTCGCGATATCACGGACCAATTTTTCCTGTGTTTGGAAGATTGTCTGCACCGGATGCCGTTTGGAGTCCGGTTTGTCGTGCAGCAGACACAGGAATATCTCCTGGCGCGGTTCCCCGGTGAAGATGGGGAATTTGTGCTTCAACTGGTCGGACAATGGCTCTGGCGCCACTACCTGCTACCTGCGCTGGTGGAGCCCGAGAAATTCGGAGTCGCCGATCGAGCCATGACCCAAGAACAGAAGCGGAATCTGGGGGAGATCGCTAAGGTGTTGAATCAAGCAGCGTCGGGACGAGAATTTGGAGGGGACAATGTCTATCTTCAGCCGTTGAACAACTATATCCGCGAGGCTATTGGGCGGTTCCGGGTGCTCTGGAAGCATGGTAGGCTTGACTCCCGCCATACGATCTTGCATTTTGCTAACATTGTGCCAGTCGTCTCGATTTCAACGGCGGAAGAACATTATGACATTGACGAGTTCAATGACCTGTATGCTAAGACGAAACCGACGCTGTACATCAAAATGTCCGACATCTTCTCGATCCACAAGCTGCTCTCTCAGGAAACCAGCGTCATCTGTCCCAGTCAGGACGATGTTCTTCGCGACATCCTCAGGGAGTTGGGTAGCGTCCAAAGCAACGAAAGCGAGCTTCGGGGGGTGAGCTCCAGCGAAATCAGCCTGACCCTCACGCCCAAATTGCTCAATACCGAGGACCATGACTCGGAAGTCAAAGCTTTGTTCACCGAGACCAAACGTTGTGTGCTCTACATCATTCGTGTGCAGTCCGGCGCCAATCTGCTCGAGATCCTCGTCAAGCCGGTCAGCCAAGAGGATGACGAAAAGTGGGAGGCTTTGGTCCGTGAAGAGCTGGGGCCGGGAAACAAGCGTCACGGCGCGTACACAGATGCCAGCAGCCATCTCGACATCAGCGCACTATCATACCGCGACCTCAAACGGATTGCCCTGGAGAATGTGCTGCAACTCGAATCGTTGGGCCGTCTGACCCGGAACAACCAGTACCAAGATCTTCTCAACGCCATCGCGGTCGACATCCGTACCAAACACCGCCGCCGGCTACAGCGCCAGCGCGAACTGGAAAATGTCCGGACCACCCTGGCCCGGTTGAACGAACAAGCCGTGTATCTCGAGCAACAACTCAAGACGTACAACGACTACATTGAGCAAGCGATGGTGACGCTTCAGAACAAGAAGGGCAAGAAACGGTTCGTCATGCCCTTCACCAAGCAATGGGACCACGAGAGAGAGCTTCAACGCTCCGGACGGTCCTTCAAATTCGGATCCTACAAGTACTCGGCGCGGACCCTGGCGGACAAGGGAGTGCTGGTGCAGTGGCGTGGGTACAACGAACGACAATGGGACCGTGTGGACCTGACCATTTCCTCCAATGAAGTCGGGGTGTTTACCATCGATGGGAGCTCTGGCAACATGATGATCCCGGGAGCGAATGCCCAAGTACCGCTGGACGATCTGCTGCAGGCTCAATTCAACAACACACAATTTCTGGAGTTCTTTGAGGGGGCGCTTCGGGTCAACGTCAACTTGTTCTTGCACCTGATCATGAAGAAATTTTATAATGAATGAATGACGAACCGCAGCATATGCATACATACCAGACAGCAGGGGAGGGAGGAGGTCAGGACCTGTTCGCAGAAGGTACAGCCTTGGGAGGTCGGTCTCCTTTGGAAAAAGAAGTTGGGAGTTGTAAGGTGCTTGGACAAGGTTGTGTGCCTGGACCAAGTGACAGACTTACCTTCTAGTAGTTGAATGATATCTTACAGTAGCTGTCAGTACTGTCTGTATATGATGTAGACTTTCCAGTGGATGACAATTCTGCCGGTATCTTTGTCTGCATGAGCATATCATTCGTCGCACCGAGTCGCTCGTATCCTGCCTGTTGGACAATTGTACCACCACCACTTGAACTTGAACCCTGGTTGACTTGACTCGGCCGGTCATGCAACACCATACCGGGGTCGTCTATGGATGGGCTCTTGCATCTTGCATTGCTTTTATTCTATCGGCAATGGCCCCAAGTGGCGCAGCACAGCAGCCCGTGGAGGAGCCAAAGACTCAGCCTCCGATCCTTCACCGCCAGCTGGCAGCGATTCCCCCTCAAGGCCGCATGAATGGCCCAGCCTACCGCTTCTATGGCCAACGACACGTCAGGTAGCGGTGCAGGAGCCCGGCAAGAAGAACGAAGGTCCTGAGGCCCGTCTATCAACCCAGAGAGCTACTATGGAAGAAAAGGGACAGGAGAAGACTCCAACCTACACTACATTCCACCGCATCAAGTTGGGTCCGGGCAGAGTATCAACCACCTCAGTGACCGACCGATTGAGGTCACCCATGCTTCTTATCCTGTCATATGGGTCTGGTCGGTCCTCTCGTCCTACTACTGACCTAGTGTGGCACCTGAAGCGATCGCATAGGTCCTTACGGCTTTGCTCACTGATGCCATTGTTCAACCAGCCGGTGGCTACCGATCCCATATCCAATCTAGCCCGAGTTCCGTCTCAGCTTAGGTCATATAAACAGATTCCCGCTACACGGATCCTTCTCACCGACCATTCTTCCTCCCGCCGACACTAACAATCCCCGGACCATACGCCGTCCCTTAGGCTCCGCGGAACAAATGTGGGAGAGTTTGTCTACTTAAGCAAGAAAATTCTTTCAAGATGGCGAAGTTGACTGTATCGAGCAATGGCAACCCAGAGATCGTGTCACTGGTACAACATACGGGTCTCGGGGCCTTAAGCGCTCGACGGCAGAGACCGAGGTTGCCTGTCCAGTCTTACAACAATACCGAGTGGGAAGCGAACCGCGCCATCATTACTCATCTCTACTCAGTCGAACGACAACCGTTGGGCGAGGTACGGCGACGGCTCCGCCAGATGGGGTTTCAGGTCAAGTAGGTGGATCTTTCATTGCAAACCTTCACTACCTACTATCTGCCTGTAGAGATGCAAGGGCAGTCAAAAGGACTTGGTGTATTCATGTTCACGGTCGTCTTTGAAGTGAGGTAGGAATGTGTTGTATAAAAGGAACAATGTTTCTGAGGATGGCATGCCAGTCAGGGAGAGTCGCTCCAACAGGTGTCTATCTCGGCGCTCAACCCAGAACCATTCTCCCAGCATCTGAGTCAACTATTCCTGACTGTTTTCTGTAGTGAACGCATGCTACATACCCGCATCCGACGCTGGAAACTCGGTCGCAACCATAAGTTTCCAGAGATGCGTGCGGCAGCACGCCTCCTGGCGGATCATCTTGAGAAACAACATGAGGGAAGCCAACGTGGCAGCATGAGGAGCAGTGGCAGACCTGTCAGCTTTCTCATCAGAGGCGAGGAGATCAGCCATGCCGAGTTTCTGCGTTACTTTCGAAGAAAGAAGATCAATGACCCGGTCAAATGGGTCAAGGAAAATACAACAGAGGATTCCGGCTCGGATGAGGATATCAAATTGCTAGGCGCCGTCACGCCCGAATCGGCCTCTGCAGGGAATGCTGTCCACGATGTGCATGATATTGTGGACCTTGACCAGGCTGAGGTAGAGACCAACCCAGGACGAGGGCAACCGGTACAGGAAGCTGCGGACGTCGTCGATGAGACCCAATGGGATGCATTTCAGGAGGCACCCTCCACGTCGACATTAACGCCAATCCTCTTCAGACCTCAAGCATTCCAAGCTCTAGAGCATTCGAACTACAGCATGGCAACATATATAACCAGCTATACGTCCTCACCACGCTCACTCACGCATGTCGAACCAGCCGTGCACGCATATACCGTCCATGCAGTGTTTGCCTCCAAGATGGCTGACGGCATGGCCCTGCTCGTCCGTCTACCACGACAGACCAGTAAAACAATGTCCCAATCAAGCAGCGAGCAATGCAAAGAGAACAACGACCAACTCCAAGCCCAGACAGCAGCACAAGCATTCGACAATTTCCAACATGCCTTCGAACTGGTCCGTACCATCTTGAGCAACGACCATCCCATGAGCCTGGCATTGATGCTCAGCACGGTTTGCGAACTGGTCAGCCACGCGAACATGCGCACCTCCAACAGCCATGAAGCAGACCAGCAGCCAGGAAACCTTTTCTGGACCATGACAGCCCAACTGCTTCAATATACTCGGGACATGGCGTCCCTTGTACTGGGTAGTGGTCACGCACTGACGACATTTTTCGCACTGTTGGCACAACAATCTTCATTTCTATCACAGTCACTCCATCTTTCTCACTCCAGCAACAACGGTAACGGTAACGGCAGACTACAATCAGAGATGCAATCGAACCTGACAAACCTGATCGTCACGGCTCTCCGAGTTGCTACCGTGCAGTATATTTCCACAACTCCTAGCAGCGGTGGTGCAAACCAAGACTGGAAGACGATGTATCTTCGAGAAAGGTTCTGCGATAGCTTGTACCATTCAGGATCCCCTTTCGCCCCTGAACGCGTCCAGCAGCGCCGTCTTCTTCTCGACGACCAAGAGCGCTTTTATGGTCTTTCCGCGCGCAATGTGCTGTATACGCTGACCAACGTGGCTGATGATGCCCTGGTGGATGGTGACATCGAGGCCGCCATAGGCCATTTCCAGGAAGTGTTGAGCCGCGCAGAGACGTTGACAGACTATGGTCGCGCGAAGACGAGGTTCGCCGCTCTAGAGGGATTGGGGAAATGTTACATGGCTCGGGCAGAGGCAGAGGCAGAAGCAGAAGCAGACAATCAGAGCGACATGGTCGACGACGAATGGGTGATGGATTTCCCAATCGAGGATGAAGACCTACTGGCGCCGCGGTCGATGATACAGGGCCCGGCTCAGGATCCGGTCAATCCGACATCTGGACCGGGCCTGGATGCACAGAGTCAGCCCAACACCGATTTCGGATGGCAAGGTGAAACAGAAGTTCGATTTCGAGCTTCAAATGATATGGAGGCTGAGCTAGCCTTGGATTTGGGCTTGGGTTTGGGCTTCGATTCACAAGTCCCAAATCCCAGCCAAACCGGATGGGAACTGGAACTGGGAGTGGAACAAGATCTTCAGCACAGTGGCAGCGGTGCTCCGACGAAAGAACAGCATGGAGAAGACTATGTCGCACAAGGCTTCAACTTCGTAGATGGATTCCCAGTCGAAGAGGCAACTACGAACGTCCACGACAATGACAATGCCTTTGAGACATGCCAGACACTCTACAACAACGACAACGACATCGGCATCGTCACCGCTGCGCAGCAAGAAACAGCTCCACATCCCGTTTCAGCACCTGTCGACATCAGCAAGCCCGGACTGGAAGCATGCTGTGTTTGTACATGTACTTGTGCATGCCATTCACTATCTCATCCCATTCCCGGCAATACGCATCTCCGGTCCCATTCTCATCCTCAACCTCATTCTCAACCTCGACCAGAACCAGCTGAACCCATGAATTCACAATGGTCAGGTGAAAGTAGCAGCAGCAATGCTGGTACCGGAGCCGTGACGCCATCTACTTCGGCTTCGGCTTCGGCTTCACGGTCATCTTCGTCTTCGAAGTCGTCGTCGAATGGTCCTTATCGACATCCACACCAGCAGCAGCAGCAGCACTATCAATATCAAAATCAAAATCCACACAATAGTCAAGGACTAGATACTGCGCAAGCTACACAGCAGCAGCAGCACTTGTCCAATTTAGTACTCCAGGACCGGGATCCGAACCAGAACCAGAACCAGAACCAGAACCAAGATGAAGGGTCCTATTATCGTCTTCCCTTTCGTCAATCTCAAGTGCACAGAAACCTAGATTCTGAGAAACAGCAACAACAACAGAAACAACAACAGAAACAACACTTACTTCTACTTCAACAACAGCAACAAAAGCAACAAGAACGGAAAACACGACAAGAACAGCCCTTACGTCAAGCACTGACCCATCTCTCCGCCGCCGAAGCAGAAGCACGTATCTGGTTCGACGCGACGAGTCGGCGAACGGCGCGAGTTCGAGTCAAGATCGAGGAGATCCGAGACATACTGGGGGAAACACCTGTGGAAAACCTCAGGTGATTATGGAAAAAGACCAGGAGTCTAGAGATGCAGGAACGAAAATGAGCTACGAATAATGAGATTGATGATTTGAGTCTTTGGAACGAACAATCTGAACACGGGGAATGAAAATAGGTCCATTTGCTTTTTTCCTGCTTCTTTTCTTCTCCTCCTCCTCCTCCTCCTCCTCCTCCTCCTCCTCCTTCTTCTTTTTCCTTTCTTTTTGTAATTATACACGAGGAATGTAAAAAGAACAAACAAGGGAAACTGAAGCCGGAATGAGACTCTGAGGCAGAATCCAAATACGAGATACCGAATGCCGAATACAGTAGGAAGGAGGCAGCATGATGGGCTCAACTTAAGGAACACGCCGTATGCGCCCATGGAATCAGGTATATATATCTGTTTGTATATACCTAACATAGGTATATAGTCTTGTTTCAGTTCTGCCCATTCTACGTACCTAACGTACCTAACTTCAAAAAGTAAAAGTGAAGAAAGCAAGACCCTGAGATCAACACCAAACCATGCTTTTTGGTCATATCAGTCTTCACTCCGGTTCTGGTTCAAGTTCAAAGTTGTTCAGAACATTCAGACCGTTGCATCTTGCGTCGTGCATCCCCTTGTCTTGGGGGTTTGACATTGATATCTCCAAAATCGTCTGAAGACTTGTCACATAACATAGAGGTCCAAGTTTTGCGCTTGAGAAGCAGGCGTCGGGAGTAAGTAAGTAAGGTAGATCAGACACCCAACCCAACCCCCATGCATTATAACCACTACTGACTGACTGACCAGCGTCAGTCATCTAGAACGCCCAATACTTGGCCCAAAATACCCCCAATACCTCCGGACGAGACAATAACTAAGAGGATAGAGGATGTAGCTATTAAGCTAAGCTACCTTTACTCCGCAACAGTGTGCTGAGTCCTGACACTTTTCTTGGACGTGGCATAGAGCAACACGCTCTCCGTTGGGGGAGTCAAACGGCATCTTTTCCACACCTGTAAGTATACGTCCACGTCCACGTATACGTATAGTACACCGATGTGTTTGAGCTGCTGTGAGCGCTTGTCCAACCCCAGAAATCATGCAAATTCAATCCCCAAGACTGTATATTTTCCGGTCTTGTGTGGTTGAACAAAGGAATCTGGTGTATATTGCGGAGGCTCATGTAACTTCCACCCGAAGCAGTGTGCTCCAAAGAGATGATATGCAGAACTGCGATTGATAGGCAGGTGACTGTCTCCAGGACTTAAGTACCTATTCAGCAGGCATTTGGACCAGAAGTGGAGTCTGGTATAGGAAAAATGCTAACCTCACCTCACCAGGTCAAGTGCTGAATGGTTGATAGCTAAAAGCGGCCTCAGGTCGAGCAAATTGCGTGTGTGTCTTATATCGAATTGGTGGATGATGGATCCTCTTAGAGAAGGCTGGGTCCTTCAAGGGGCGCGTCCCTAACCTCGCTGACCGGAGCCATCTGCACCGAGTCTCTCCCGCCTTTTTCATATGATGGACAAATGAACGATGCGACAGCGTACATGGTGAGTGGTTGTGGTTTGTTGCCATGTGGTCTCACCTCCACGGAAACCATTCTCCGCTTGTACGAAGATTTCAGTGCTGGTCGTCGGAGGAATGCGCTACTTGCCCATGACTTCCCAGATAGTTGGATGTGTTGGCCATTACACCAGTGATTGAGTAGCATCGGAGAAAGGGTGCCGGCCTCCAGTCTTGATCGCGCCTCCAACAGCTTGCTGAAGGATATATAATTCCCATCCCAAGCTCAGCGCGACGCCGGAAAGGGACAGCCCTGGCCACAAACAGGATGCAACATGGTAGCATTGCTGGCTGTTCTAAGCAAGTCCTAGTTGTAGGGGCGGCGAAAAGCTAACGCGTGGACGGAATTGTTGACAACCGGGTCCTTCGCCCACGTCCTCGCTGTGGCGGTGAGACTTGCATTTGTTCATCCCAACAGGAGTGCGGCGCCGAATCAACAGTGCAGGATGTATATTCTGCCGGAAGATCTCCCGATTGAACTCAAGTCACCCATCCGAAGTCCGGCCAGCCGAACGATGAAAGTGGATCTGACGAATCAAGCGACCACATCGTGAAGTCAGGGCCGGTCTCATCGAATGGTTGACTGTTGGGGAGCTCGAAAAGAGACTCTGACTCTGGGAGAATCTGTCCAATGACTTCCAAAGCTCGCATGGCCAGAGGATTGTCAACAAAAGTTGTCCGCAAGAGCAAGCGTGTCGTCTCGATATCCCGTCTCAAATTAGTTGCTTCGGCCGACTGTGGATCGGCTCGGATCCAAACACATGGGATCAAGGCGGCATGAAACAAGAAATATCTGCACATCGGCCAGTCAGTGTTTGCATTCGAAAGACAGAAAAGGATGACCACCTACAGACAATACCACCCGGCGAGCCGGGTAAGCGGGTATTGACGAACATATTCCTCCACGGATTCGATGGTGAGATGGGCGCTGCTCAAGCAGAGTTGTCTGCACTCTTCCTCCTCGGCACTAGGCCTCTGAGAAGCCTGCGGGTCTGACTTCTCAATGGCGCAGCGAAGCAGGATAGGTCTGAAGATGATGATTTTGAAGTTCCAGTAGCGCCACCATAATTTTGAACGGGCCAGAAGATACCAATGATCGGACACAGGTGATTGGTGACCGGGCTGGAAGTAGGAGGGGACTTTGACTGCCCAAGTTTCCAGCACTTTGTTGAAGGTTAATGCTTCCTCCACCGAGACAGGAGTGGCCCATAGCAGTCGGTTTGAGAAGTTGTTGGCCAGCAAGTGTAGCTCCGATTGTGCGCGGAGGCCGGAGTAGATCGTTGGTTCGGAAACTTCGCCTGGTATCTCTGTCGTATGAGGTGTCAAGAGCTGGTATGATCAGTCAAGAGCGGCAGCCAGCAAGTTGCAACGGACAAGGACACTTACACTGTCATGAACATTGAGAACGTGCTTGACATCGATTGCCTCTCTCTCCGGGAGGAGAACAGTCCTGCCAAAGGTGACGGAAGCACCACTGTCGAAAATGAAAAGTCCCCACCATAGTCGCCTTCGCATCTCACGCTGCAGCAGGCTGATGTTCCAAGCTGGCAATTCTCGATGCAACCCGAGGCTGAGTGCCATTCGGACAGCAACCCCAAGATAGTTCCACCCGGTATTGGGCTTGTTGCGTTTCTGGACAAAGTTACTGATAAGGACCAATGCTTGTACTAACGACAGACTAGCCATCTCAAAAATGGACTGGTCCTGCCAGAAAGAGCTGGCCTTGCGGTAGAAGAACTCTTCCAGGTCGGAATGGCCAGCACCCAAATTCCAAGCCCCAAGGGCAATGATGGTGTAGTAAAGCATATTCCATGCCTGTCCCTTTGGCTTGGGGATGAGTTCGGAATACTGAGCTCTGAAAGTAGCCTCATGCACGAAGGGATAGGAAGTGTGGTAATAAGTAAAGTATGCATCCAGCATCTGACTTATCATTTGATGGGAAACGAGGGAGTCTGGCATTTGTACGAGGGTTGGCCGCCTTTCATGAGCCTCGATCAGGCGGCGAACCTCTCGTGGTAAGACCGGGTGTTTGGGCGATCGGTTCGTCCAGTGAAGGATAGATCGCAGAAAAACTACCCCTGAAGTCGAGCCTGAATCCGATCAGCTTCGCACCATAAGTAGCTATCGTCAGCCGTAGTCATACCCAGATAACCGACGCCTTCGGGTTCAACTGATAAAGCAGCCATACCATCTGCGATGTCATCGATGTCGGCTGTCTGTTCCTTCCAGTCGAAGCCATCGGCTTCATCTGGTAAGGCTTCAGACAGCTCATCTGCCCGATCGGTGGCAGCGAGGGGCGGAGTCGCAAGGTCCCATTCGGCCTTGGAGACGATGGTGGAATCCAGCGCATTTTCAATGTCAACGTCGGGAAGCATTTGAGCGAAGAGAGTCTCGAGTTTTCGGAGACGACGTTCGACACTCGTCAAATAGCTAGAGATGGTCAGCTATATCAAGCAGGATATGTGAATCTCCACCGCGCACACTCGAGTCAATGGTGAGCGAAGAGGCCGAGCGCTGTAGCGGCACTCTCTGCCGTTTGAGACGCATGTCTTGCACGCAGGTCGATCTTTGGAACACTGGAGCGAGTCAGCAGGTGAAGCGCCTATGACGAAGGACCAGGCTGAGCACCTTCTCCTTGCGGCTTCGACAGAAATTACACTGGACGGGCATTAGCTGGTTTGATTGCGCATGTATAGAAGTAGAGCGAACGTACAGCGAGTCCGGTCGTGGCGGACTTCCTATCCATCACGACTTACGCCAATGCTTCTCCGGTAGAGGTGGAAAAGACATGAGCCGCCAGCGAGCTTAGAGAGTGCTATCCAATGTCATAGTATTACACGGTCGAGGAATGTCATGAAGATGAACGTGGAGATTGAAATATCCAAGAGACTCGGACTGTACAGACAATCCCATCATAGCAAGTCGCATGTCTCTTCCCAGGAAATGCTGCGATGTGGATATGATGCCAAGCAGTGTCATGTGGATGATCAACCCTAACCATATTGAGCTAGAGCCGTCAGCCTTGTAAAGCGGCGATCACGACAGGTATCGACATCAAGGGGCACAATGTGAGCCCACTGTTGGTGAGACAGTGAACACTGTGGCTCTGCAGTCCGATGTTTACTTTCAATGAACAGGGCCGCTATACGCTTTTTGTGTGAATGCATCGTATTTCCATAGCCTGGTGAGGCTCAGCCTCGCGAGCTTGGCTGGCTATCAAGAGAACCATTTTGTTCTGATCATGGCACGCTTTATCCGGCCACTGTACGCTTGCCATAATTCACACAACCAAGTCGTGCCTTGCGAAATCAAGCATGCATGAGGCTTGTTCCCTCCCGCACGGTCATAGTCTGGTACCATCCATCCCACTCAGGGCCATTAAATTTGCAGACTGCAGAAACTCCCGGCAAACCCATGTCTTTTCCCGCCACAAAAACTCCAGTTTGATCGAATTCGCCGTGTCTGCATGCCGTTGGATGACATGTAAAAGTAATAAAGACATGAAACAGAAAGTGGTGGATATCACTTATTGGGTGGAAGAAGAGTGTTGAGCCGATTAGGAACAAGTCGAAGAGAAGGTAGTTTACATGATGATGGACGGCACTGCGATGGAGTTAGCTTGGTCATTGGGCAGATGCAGAGGTGGCTTACCCTCGACGTTGGCCTTGATGCTCTTATGAGGGAGGACACTCCCGCCGTTGACGTAGATCTCGTCGCCGATGGAAACATCATCACCGAGGACGGTGACGTTCTCCAAGCGGGCCCAGCGGCCAACTGTAGATCGCCAGCCTTTTCGCAGTGTCAGTCAAGCACTTGTCCTCCAAACAACAGCACTACTCACCAACAATGGTCGATTTCACCCAAGCATGGTCCTTGACCTTGCTATCCTCCAGAAGCACACATCTCTGAAGCCGGACACCGTCACCAACGACGCAGCCTGGTCCAATAGTGACATTGGGGCCAATGCGGCAGTTCTTGCCAATCTTTGCGGTTGGGTCGACCAGGACGTTTCCGCCGTAGACATATGGCTCGCTGTGGGGCACGAGGGCCTTGGGGTTGTGCTTGGCCAGAGAAGAGAGGTAGAGACAAGTGCCGCTCAAGAAGTCCTTGGGCTGACCGACATCCATCCAGAACCCTTCAAGATCGAAGGAGTGCAGTTGGCCGTCCTTGCAAATGGCTGGGAAGGTCTCTTGCTCGATGGAGGTGGGGCGGAGTTCGATTCTGTTGAGCACGGAGGGGTTAAGGATGTAGATGCCGGCGTTGATGCGGTTGCCGACGAATTCGACGGGCTTCTCGACGAAGCGGTCAATGCGGGAGGGGTGGTTAGGTTTGTGGACAATGACACCGTATTTGCTGGGTTCTTCCACCTTGGTCACGACAATGGTACCCTCGTCCCCATGGGAGGCATGGAATTCGGCCAGTTGCTTAAATGGGTATTCGCAAATGACATCGGAGTTGAGGACGAAGAAAGGGGTGTCGTCCTTGCCCAGAACTTTTTCGGCCAGCTTCAAGGGGCCAGCAGTGCCGAGGGGTTCGGACTCGACGGAGAATGTGATCTTGACGTTGTACATTTCCTCATACTTCTTCAGAGCGGCGGTCATGACATCTGGACGGTAGTTGACGGCAAGGACAATGTCGGTAACACCGGCAGCAGCAAGAGCCTCGACTTGATGCAGGATCATAGGACGGTTGGCAAACTCGACCAGGGGTTTAGGGAGGGTGAGTGTGAGCGGTCGCAATCTGGTGCCGAAGCCACCAACGCTGGAGGAGGGTCAGTTGTGCACAAGCGAGAGGAGGAGGCCGGAGCGTACAGAATGAGGGCTGTGGGAGACAAGTTAGCACGACTGCTGGAATAAAGAGATGGAAGTTGTGGTGTGACTTACCCTTCATCTTGAGATAGTTGTGTATTAAGGAGACGCGATAGAGTGTGAAAGGGTGTATGTAGTATCAAAGGTGTCGCGGTGTGAGAATGGGAATGTTCAAGGCGTTGTAGAACGAGTGAAATGTAGCTTCGAGACTACTGTAAAGCAAAAGAGTCGAAGATGGTCAAAGAGCAAAAGGGGAAGAGAACAGATGGACGTGGCGGGATGGAGTGGGATGGCTATATGAAGCCGATTCAGTCTAGAGTAGCAGAGTAGTACAGAGAGTAAGGGGGTGGAGAGAAGATTGAAGGGGCGCATGCTGCGTGCTGGTGGCAGTCAAGTCTGTACAAGGTGCGCAGTCCACCGCCCACAACTTACCCGCAGCCCACTGCAGAGTCTACTAGTATCCCTCTGTCAGTCAGTCACAAGTACAATCGTTTTTAATTATAATTGACTCTAGTCAACCTGAGCTTAATATCGGCGTCTGTTTACTACTACCACTGCATCACAATACTACTACCAGGAACCAGGCACCAGGTACCAGGCACCGGATGTTATTGTTAGAGTCTGCCTGAAGAAGAATCGTGACAATGAGAATGTGATTGTCAGGCTAGAATGTGCCTCATTAAGACCTCATGCTTGTTCAAACTGCGGTACTACTACCACCAGTAGTTCTGTACAACGCGTTGTAGCCACGCTGTTCCCTATGTCCTTTTTCCCCTCTCTCTGAACTTTACGCGTGACAATTTCACTATCGATTAGGATGGATCTCGTGGATTTTCGTGCGTTGCGTGACCCGCTAACTTAAAGATTAAAATCTCATCAGCTGCCAATCGATACTACAGACTACAGACTACAGACTAGCAGTAAAATGATCTTTCCACCTGTCACCACGCCGCAGCTGAGGATGGAGTCCTCCTTATCCCCCCTTCCTAATCCTAGTAACCACTAACTTTAACTGCAAAACGTCTTCTCTGGTTCGACCCTTGGGATGGCGGTCCAGGTTGCTGATTATGGCGAGGTGCTATATGTGGCCTCGACCTGGCCGTCTGATTCCAGATGCGGTTCAGGGCTTGAGAGGCGCGCCAGGGACTCTTCTTTCAGTCAGCCACAGTCCTAATCTAGAGAGAACTGTATCTATTCTAAGCGATCTCTGCGCCAGGTCGCATGGAAACTAGTACTATTGATGAGAACAACTCTTTCAGGTCAAGGCTCTTTACGCCTCTTGTCACAAGGAGCCTATGTGTAATACACAGCCACTGTAACCTCCATCACTGCGACTGTGGCGACTGCACCGTACCTCACATCTCTGTCTATAGTACGTACTAGTAGTGACTACTACCCCTTTTTCTAGTGGCAACGTTCCTGTCACCCAAAGTGTCACCGTGGCTCTGACACCATCCTGCAATGTTCGATCGAAATCATCAACCAACTCAATTCCTTCCCCAATTGATAATACCTGCCACCACGGCCTTCGCTAACCGGTGACCTCGCCTGCCACGGCTATAAATTAGACAAGAACTGCCAACACCGCTGTCATGTCTCGTGAAAAAATGGTTAGGCTATAGTACAATACCGGACATCGGGGCACCAATAAGGGGGTTGTGTTCGTGGCGCTGCCCTCGTTTCCCCTTTATTGCTGTCCCGGAATGCATCCGTAACTTCTTGTCTCTTTCCAACCCCAGTATGTTTACATCCTCCACAACATGCGTGTCAACCACCGACCTCACCTGCCATTCAACTCCCAAACGGCAGCTTGAAAAGGAATCCCGGTTGGCGCATAAGACTTCGGTCTCGCATGTCGAGACTTGGTGGTAAATCCCCCCTGCTAGACTCGACATCATTGGGTGTCATCTGGTAGAAAGCCATAATCACGCCTCAAGGCTGCGCCTCCCCGTCGCCCCTTGGCCGGAGCTTCTCGATCCCCCACAAACTCCATCAGCCAATCCCGCACCTTCTTGACTTTCAATATCTGGGGATCACGGCTCGAGGCTGTGCGCAGATTCGACGCCGAGTAGATTCCGCCAAGATCGTCGTCGTCCACCTTTTTGCGGAAGAGCAGATCGACCTTGGTCACGTCACCTTTCAAGCTCTGTCCATGCACTTTGCCCCTGAACGAGCTCAAGGCCACGTTCTGCAGCAGTACCACGTCGCGCGGTCGTAGTGCCCGTAGACTCCGTCGCAACAAACTTCGTGACCCTTCGGGAGCGGACTTTGCGCCATCCTTCCAATTCACCCGCATCTCCCGTGGTAGCCACATGCTGACGCTGAATCCCGTCTTCGTGTCGTCACCCACAACCATCTCCACCAGATCCGTTTCCCGCGGCTTGCCATACTTCGACCCCGTGATCACCGTCCGTGCGGGAGCTATGGACAAGACCGCCACGATGAGGTTGACCGTCATGGTTTGCGGCTCGATCGACGCCAGATAGCGGGCGTTGGGGATGTCTTCTAGATCGCTGAGATGTTTCGGTCGGGGCGCTTGGCTCAGTCGCCTTTGGGAGGCTGTCCGGATGATTCCTCCGCCGCCGCCGGGAGCCTGGGGAAACATTTCGTCGTTGCTCTCATACGTCGGCGTGCCAGGCGTGTAAGCGGAGAAGCCGGATAACTGTGAGGAAGGAATGGCTTCGTAGATGGCAAACGAGTGGTCGTAGTAATCCGACAACGCCTCCGAGGTCGTTTCGGTCGACCCGCCTGACGGTTGAGACTCGTGGCCGCTGACATCGCTGCCTGGCGTCTGCGTGCCGACATACTCCTCGGCCGTGAAGAAGTCGGCGCCACTGCGATCACGCTCATCTGCGGGCGGACGCGCATCGATTTCGAGCTTGGGGAGGACTGGTCGCATCTGAAGTCGTTGGGTCGTAATCTGTCGCCATTGGGCACCAAATGCCTTGGATGAAGGAGATGTCGGCACAGGAAGTGACTCAACATGCATGGGTTCCGGGAGAAGGGATTTTTCGCTCCAATCGAGATTGTGCGACTCCGGGGCGCCGGCCAGGACGATCATACGCGTCATGCGAATGTGCAACGGATGCAGAAGATGAACCGAGTAGGCAGCTATGTGCTTGATAGTATAGCTTTCACCCAAACAGAGCTTCCGGACTCGTGAATGGAGTGCAATAGGAAAACTCAGCCAGACAGTCTCGAGGAGTCCTGCAAGATAGACTGTGAGGTAGGTAGCCGACGCGGATGTGGCGGATCAAGTCAGACTCCTTGTGATTCCCTCTTTGTTGGATTTTCAGTTCCGAGTTTTGCTGGCGCTAGAGACATTCACAACGCGACATTCCAACCTATCCCATACGCTGAGATCAAGAGAGGGCGAATTTAGGCGGTACTCAGTCCAGCAAACAGTCGATCAGCCGACAGTCTGGGGAGTCACTCAGTGTCCAAGGCTTCCAGGAGCTGTCCCCGGACCCCGGATCCAGATCAAGGATGAAGGGGGCAATGATGAACCTTATGATGTCAGATTTCACCAACAGGCTCGATGACTTCGACGTGTAGCTGCGGCAAGCGATTGGCACTCCGATCACCAATTGAGCCTGAAGGAATCAATATGGCAAAAGTCGGTGACGGCGAAGACGAAAGAGAGGTTTATTATGACTGCTGCCTCGGATTGAGGTGGAATCTGTGGAATGGTATCGATCAAGGAGCGTAATAAAAGCATTGGGGGCGTTATTCCCGATTCGGCTAGCGGTGCCAGTTTTACCCCGGGAAAAATTCAACGTGACCATGGTACCGGTCGGAAAATATCCGAGTCATCGTACAGCGTGCTAATTACCTTAGGTACCTACTAATCGGTACTAGTAGCCCATTAACCATGCATTATTTAGTGTTAAGTGCCGTTTCGATCCGCCTTCCATCTGACACTAATGTCACAATCAGCGATCTGAGTGGCTAGCTATTTCAGGTAGTGACCAGCACGATGCACTAGAATTATCCCGCGTATCTCCCTGCTAGTTCATAAATACGAGATACGCTACGATCCCGTAAAAGGAGTTGCTCGTCGAAGGCATCTCTCAATCTCAAGGCCAATGACTGGTCATGATATTGACTGACTTTTGCTTGAATATTTGTTTCCTCCTTCTCCATGTTGAAAACCCGCTCCCAGTTGATGCGGCGGCATCATCATCATAATAAACCCAACGGCCTGCCAAACTCCATGCTTGTCTAATATCTCGTAACCGCCGAAATCCAGTCTCGTTGTTCAAGATGCTGGGAGCATTCTGCTTTTGCCTCGGGACCATTGATGCCTGTCTAACGTGAACCTAGTGGCTCAATCCTCAAACTTGAAGCTCTTCCCACCACTGATGTCGATGGGTCCACCACGATAGCTTCCCCGTTTCTTCTTATTCTTCTCTTTGGTGAATCCTTTGCCTCGCGTGACCGAAAGGTCCCTGTACGCCTTTTCCGCATAATCATAGCTCTGGTAAGCATTGCTAAGGTAGTTTTCATCGCTGGCCTGTGCCGAGAGTTGGGCCAATGGGGTTGGTCGTGCACCAGCATGCTTTTTTCGGTTTGTAGCAGCTTCCATATTGTCGAGCATGCCCCTACGATCTTGGTGCATTAAACCCTCGGTGTGCGACAAGTCGTGTGTAACCCCACCGTTGTCGCCCTCCACAGTACCAGAGGACTCGGACCGCGTGTCGGCTGCTGCGACTAATTTATTTTTCTTGTCGATCGGCTTCGCAGCACTCTTTTGCTCTTCTTCCTCCGATGATGACGACGATGATGACGACGAAGATTCGCTCGAAGAGCTAACGGACGCCACGGGCTTCTGGGCAACCTTGGTCCGTTTTGCCGGTGGCTCCTCTTCGGAAGAATCCGACTCAGACGATTCAGAGTCTGATGAGCTGGACTCTGCTTTCCGTTTCAGGCTCTTCTTCAAAGCCGCCCCGGCCCCCACATTCGCATTGGATGATGAATTTTGAGTGACTGCGGCTACGGCGCGGGTTGAGCCGGTCTCCTCGTCCTCATCATCGGCATCACTGTCGGAGGAAGAGGAAGATGAAGACGAAGGGGAAACGGACCGCTTTGCATTCTTGCTCCTCTTGATTTTTGCTGGTTTCTTAGTTTTGGTTGCCACTTCGGATTCGGATTTGGATTCCTCCTCGCTGGTGCTATCTTCACTAGTGCTACCCTCGCTGGTGCTGTCCTCACTGCTGCTTAGGCTAGGGCTTGCACTGCTTGACTCGTCATCGGAGGCCGAGGATTCGCTGTCAGAATTTGGTCCAGCTTTTGCCGGAGGCGAAGTTGTATCCTTTTTGAAAGCATCAAAAACGGTTTGAAGCCTCACTTCAGCCATGGATTCGTCAGGCGCCGGCCAGCCGGCACTATGTCGCAGTTTTGTGGCCTCTTTGACGAACGCCTTATGCGTAGTCTGCATGCCATTTTGTGCCAGAAATGCGTCTACCAGACCAAGCACCTGTGCTGAGGGCCCCGATGCGCTGGAGGCAGATCCTTTCTTCTTCATTTTCCTTGATTTTCGTCGAGAACGAATCGGACGGTACCGAGGTGTGCGCAAGAATTCTGAACGGTGAAATTGGGAAGGGAGTCTGCTTTTTAGACCGCTCGGTGGACAGTCAAGCAGGATGCAAAAAAGCGACACCTGCCAGGAACAAAGAAGGACGATAGCAAGAGCGATCGAGTAGTACTGTAGACAAACACATGGAGCGAGATAAATTTTTCTCCAACTCGGTCGGAAGTTGAAGGTGCGCCCGCATATTGCATCTCAGGATTGCATACTCCACCTTACAACCTCTAGAGCGGAATTTTACACCGGACAACGCACATTAAGAGCATGATAGACTCTTACTGCCCCAGAACTTGGATAATGGACGTTATGGCAGTTATGGCGACTGTAGGTGACGGATGGCATAGACGTATATATATGTGAACCTTGTCAGGGCGACGGCTAAGGTAGATCAGGATGTCTGCAAATGCACTCAGCAAGGCAAAGGTGGTTGTCTAGAAGGTCTCATCCTCAAGGTTCACCGCTCGCCGCACAACACTTGGGCTGGTGGAATCAGCATCGAAGCCCTGAGTCTCAAGCTCCCGGCTAAAATCTATTTCCTCGTCATCGAAATCCAGTCCGGCAGTGGTCAAGATATCTCGCACGATTCTTTGCGAGGCTTCTTTGGCTGTGCGAGTGTAGAGTGTCAGTATTGTTGAGCCGAACACGGGTTTTAGGAGGCGCAGGGGTGCTTGTTCACATACCTGGAGTCTTCAATAGCCTGTTCTGTGGGATATGGAATTGCATTGTCTTCGGAGGGCTGCCAAATGGCGGATCATCATCCAGATCATCCTCGTCACTGTCCCAAATTCCTGGTGTATGTGTAGGTGCTTTCCTCTGTTCAGGCTTTTGACGTGCTGGTGTGAGCACACTGATACCTGGTGTACGAGCCTTACGCTCGGGAGACGAGAAAATCTCTGGATCAAGTTCAGGCGGGGCTATCTCTGGACTGGATGACAACATTGAATCAGGAGGAAGATTCCGGCCACGCTTCGATGTGGATGGGGTCGCGGCAGCCTTGGGCTGGACATTAGCATATTTGTTGCTAGTCAACGGTGTAGCCTGCACCCTATAATTTCTGTCGAGAACTCTGTGTAGAAGAGGGTCGGTGTGCTTGCGTATTGTGGAAGGCCGAGGAATCGATGTAGGTTGTGGCAGGGGATATGGGGATGACTCTGGCGTAGCTGCGATAGTGTCCATGGTGATGACTGGACGTCCAGGTGTTTCTGGCATCATGGTCTGTGTCATGGAGGTCGCATCCAGTGTTGTGCTGTTGACTTCTTGTCGTAGGGCCTCGTAAGGGGCCGGGTAGTCGGCAAAGTTGACTTGCTCAGGTTTCACCTTCGCCGAGGGCCGTGGTGTGCTAAAAGAGGAGCGCGAAACAGACAGGTCGGACAGGTCAAGGTCCTGTATAGAATCCGTAGAAATATGTTGGGCGGTGGGTGTCTCGTATGATTCCGAGGTGTCAAGGTTCGTGTTGGTCATGGTATGAGAGTCCTCGGCAGCCGTGGCAATTGTGTTCTCATATTGTGACGGAGGCTCCTCATAGCCTGATAATGAGACATTGGCACTTGACTCAAAGAATTGTTTCCAGAACTGTGTCGGCATTCAGCACAATGGCCATCGAGATAGGGAAATGTTTCCTCACTCTAGATCCTTCCCACACGTCCTTCGAATGCGTCGCATACTGTTCCACGATAGGTAGGATACTGGACGTCACTATCCGGTGGGCGCGGCTGAAATTATGGTCGATCTCTGTGCCTGTCAGACTTAAAGATATCGAGGCGAGGTTGGGAGCTCGTACAAACCTTGCAGGGTCAAAGTGATGGACTGCTCAAGCTTTTCCAGCTCCTCAGTCAAGGTGAGGGCTCTGGGTTGAGCAGCAGAGCTCGGTCGAGACATGCCTGGAGGTGCTGTTGATTCGGCCTACGTCGCTTTGGCGCTTCAACTACGTAGTACTATGGTGCAGCACTGCAGGAGAATGTTGTTTGACAGAAGACGCGTCGGAAAATACTCCACGCGTCTAAATGCCGAGACGGGTAAATGAGGATGCGGGGTGCCAGATTTCAAGTGGCCCTGAACGTGATGGAGGTGGCGGCGTGGCGCAGCACTTCTTCACATGCGTACAGAATAGATGGAAACCTGGACACACTACAGCCTAACCAGGCTGGCATCTTGACGACAACAACATTGAAAACGGATAAGAACTCAGATATCATCGAAGTCTCTTTCAATCTCTATTCTGAAATCCTACTTCTCGGGCTTACATAGGTTCTCAAGTGCTGCAGCGGAAATGCCGGCCCCGCTGGCTCGAGGTAAGTGCGCTCGTGCCATCTTTCACGAAGTCCCTTACATCATGTATGCTTCCCTTGCCCTGCAATGTCCCATGATGTTGGCATGGAGAAGCAGCTGATGGCCCTTTGATCTTGTTCTCATCCGATTTCACATACTAAAAATGGTGCCTCCGGTAGGAATCATAATCACGGTTACTGTTCTGGTGGCCGCTGGTGTTGCTGCATACGAGAACCCTCAAGTGCGAGCATGGGTCGACCGAACCAGGCGCAAGATTGCCACAGGCCTACACTCCCTCGGCGACGAGATCCACTCAAGCCCCAGTCGTCCGCGGAGGCCAAGTGCCAACGATGCCTCAATGAATGAGGACAAAAGTGAATTGGCAGATGAACGCAGGCGCCAGGCTATCGCCGAGATCATGGAACGTGGCCGCATAATAGAAGAGAGGAGAAAGAGGAGGCGAACGTCTAGCAAAGACCAAACACCTACAGCGAGTTTTGACAACATCGTCGATGCCAATGGAATACTTCTACACGACCGGGAAAACTGTGGAACTGAGCCCGCAGCTCGCTCGTCTGCCATTGATCCTCAAACACATACGATTGGCATGAAGCAGAGACAGATACCCCAGCAAACGGCAGAAGTTTCTACAGGACTGCATCAGACAGCCTCCAGGTCTCATGCTCAGGCGCAGCTGACGCCGCCACCTATTGATGAGGACGACACGGACCCCTTCGAGTCGAGGTATGAGCAGGAAATGCGTGAGGCTTGGAAGATCCCGGTGTCTGCTAGACGGCTCGATATTCCATCTAGTCATGCGTCCGAGAGCTTGATCGACCTGACTCCAACTACCGAAGAGGCTCCTGATCCAGACTTTTCTGTGCCATCTGCCGAAGATCTCCGTCGCCCGATGGATCGTTCCGGATACTTTCCTTCATTGGCGGCGAACTCAGCATACACTTCTTGGGACCACGATTGGCAGCCTCCAGTGCCGGGCAACAGCCATGCTGATCAACCTACTACAACGTCAGGTCGGCCACTCAGCAACGATGCTGCCTCGGCCCTGTCCGCTTCGAGTCTTGCAGGGAGTATGAGCAGCATCCATCGAAGTGAAGTGGAAGAGCTCTCAGACGATCTACTTAGCGAAGCAGGAGATGGCATACGGACTCCTGCTAGCGTGTGGACTGAAGTTGATAGTACAGTCAGCGGTGACTTCAATTTGTGAATGCCGACGGGTGAGGCGTTGCAAGTGGGAAGGACGAATGGAATTTGGATTCGCAACAGAAATACGGGCGCCGGTCTTTTATCATGAGGAGTACCATGGCATAGTCGGTTCCAGGGATGATGGAGTCAAAGCAATTGATACACCCAGGAATTTGGCCTCTGCTTCTGAATGCGCAATGCTTACACAGAACCATTTTCCTTGAGTTTCGTTCGCAGGTGCGTTAAGGCAAGCTGTATTGATTGCCTGCGCATTACCTGCAGGCTACCGCAGCGGCAAGTTGCATGCCTACTAGGTAGTACCTCACTACGCTGTCCAATGCGCTCTTTCATCTCAGCTGGACTGGCCTACATCTTCGACGCACGGATGTACCTGCCCTTCGCATCTGGTCAGTCATACCTTCCTGAGCGTGCCGCAGTTCTCGCCACAGCCCAGATTGCCTATCAGCATTCCTTTGGGCAAGTCTCAAGGCGACTCTTGCACAGGTTGGCATTTTGGCGGAGCAGTATCGGCATCCAATGATTACCTATATCATTCACTGCATTCACGGCGCAGCCCACTGTCTCGATTCACGACCCATCTATGCAGGCTGTGCCGGATCATATTCTTTTGGTGCTGACCCTTCACTGTCGACAGTCACCGTCACCTCTGGTGACCTCGTGTCCCCTTCCATCGTATAGTGCCACTCGTTCATCACCAATTGGGACGTGAGCGTTCCGCCCGCTGCTCCTCGTCCTTCCGTGTGGTACCTCATCCCGCCGTGTCGTTTCTGTACCACAGCTGTCTTCAGGCCTTCGGAGGTCGGACCAAAGGCGCGTCTTGGCGATAGAAAGAGCTCTCGAAGCAGGCGAAAGAACAAGATGTCGACACAACGTTACGAGACAGGACCCTGGTCAACACCTGATGTAAGTGAAGATAAGTCCAGTCTTGTTCTTCTCTGGAGCTAAGTCGTCAAGATCGTTTGTGCGGCAGTCATTGGGCCTCTGATAGCGGCCGCCTTCCTCGAGTCGGTACTATGGGTGGCAGCATTCTGTTATTGCCTCGTAAAGGCTTATCAGAAGGCGGACCATGTGTCTTCGAAAATTCTGGCTGGTTTCTTGACAGTCGTCTTTGTCGTTCTCAGGTGCGACATCTCAGCTCTCTCAGTATCTCACTCAGCTAACCATCCCAGGGGCATCTTCCTGCCAGTGATGCTCGTTACTCTACCCTTGCCGAGTCGAATAGTACAATACTTCCCAGAAGAGCTCGTTGCTGTCCTCCAGAAATTTGCCTTCTACAGCTTTGCTGCCATACTTATTGTGCCTTGGTTGTTCTGCGTCTATCGAATTGTCATAATTCCCTTGGGGCGGAAGAAATTGGTCAAATACACGCTTGATGAGCGGATTGCCCCCAAAGTGGTGGTTGTGATGCCTGTCTACAAGGAGCCCCCAGAATCACTGTGGGCTGCACTCAATTCAGTGGTCCACTGCGACTATCCCGCTGCATGCATCCACGTCTTTCTATCCTTCGACGGAGACGGCATCGATGAACTGTACTTGAAGACACTTGACCGGTTGGGCATTCCTGTCACGCTGAAAGACTTTCCCAAATCCATCGATGTCGCTTTCCACGGTGCGAGGGTCACAGTGTCCAGGTTTCCGCACGGTGGCAAGCGTCATTGTCAGAAAGCGACCTTCCTCCTGATCGACAAGATATACAAGCGGTATTTGCAACGAAAAGACGATCTTTTCATCCTGTTCATTGATTCCGATTGCGTCCTGGATCCAGTATGCATCCAGAATTTCATGTACGATATGGAGTTGAAGCCCGGTGCCAAACGTAATATGCTGGCAATGACCGGCATCATCACCTCTTGTACAAAGAAGAATTCGTTCTTGACCTTGATGCAAGATATGGAATATGTCCACGGACAGCTGTTTGAGCGGTCTGTAGAATCAGGATGTGGCGCGGTGACTTGCTTGCCTGGCGCCTTGACTCTGCTACGATTCTCGGCGTTTCGAAATATGGCAAAGTTTTACTTCTCGGACAGAGCGGAGGAGTGTGAGGACCTGTTCGATTATGCCAAAACGCACCTAGGAGAAGATCGATGGCTCACACATCTGTTCATGCTGGGAGCGAAGGAGCGGTATCAGATCCAACTCAGCACAAGTGCCTTCTGCAAAACGGAAGCGGTACAGACGTTCCGCTCACTGCTCAAACAACGACGCCGTTGGTTTCTTGGTTTCATCACCAATGAAGTCTGCATGATGACAGACGCTCGTCTTTGGAGGAAATACCCAATGCTCTGTCTCCTTCGCTTCATGACCGTCACGATCCGAACAACAGCATTGTTGTTCCTGGTTACAATCATAGCTGTGGCCACCACTTCGAGCCGTGTTGAACGTTTACCGTGGGAGTTCATGTGCATTTCCTGCGGACTCAACTGGATGTTGATGCTTTACTTTGCAATCAGGTTGCATCGCTGGAAGGCAGTCCTTTACCCAATCATGTTTATGCTCAATCCGTTCATGAACTGGGTATACATGGTCTATGGCGTTTTGACAGCTGGACAGAGAACGTGGGGAGGACCGCGGGCAGACGCTGGCGCAGCAGATGCAAAGGTCAGTCCGCAGGAAGCGATCGAGTATGCAATCGCCACAGGGGACGATTTGAACGTGGTTCCCGAAACATTCAAACCCGCCATGCAGGTCAGACGCCGTCGAACACGCCCATCGGCGCTCCAGCCATCGTCATGTGTGGAGGGTCGTTTCGTCCCAAGCGACCAGGATTCAAGCTTGGTCATGGAAAAGGGCTTGATATCCCCGACCCCGTCGGACCTCAACATAATCGCGCAACTGCGCCGGCGAGAGCATGATTCTCTCGACATGAGTGATTCGGAGGATATATCCGTCCACACGCCTCAGAGGATTGGCAGCGTATCCGGTGAAGATTACATGTTAGGTGTGTCCGAATCGAGTGGCAGTAACCTCCCCAGGTTCCCCAGCATGCCAGGTGGGCAACGGTCTTTCGCGAGGGAAAGCTATTATTCCGCCCAGGGCGCTCCCACCACTGGACCTGCGTCTCAGCGACAGCAAGCTCCTACTGGGATGGAAAGGTTGGGAAGGACTACATCACCCTCAGTGGTGGTGAGTGAAGCCGAGCTTCAGCAGCTCAGGGAGATCGCTGCCCGATATGAAAGTGGGGAGAGGCGAGGTTACTGGGACAGTCGAAGCCCCCTGGGCCGGATCAGTCCCCTAACAGCATTACCAGTTGATGAGGAGATGTCGAGGCTGCAAGGCGACCATTATGATGGCACAGATGACGGTAACGGAGATGGAGCCGGGTACAGTGGCAGCGGATCATCCAGGCGAAAGCGGCTTCGGAAGAGCAGTCGAAGTCCTAGCCATATGGTATAGGCGGTGGTTGGCTTCATCGTTATGGCCGACTATCCCACGGCATTTCATGTTACATCAGCCCGGAAATGGATATCTCATTCGTAAGCATTCAGCGGTAGACTCAGTCGTGCAGCCACACCGTCAAAAAGACACCGTCAAGAAGGCCATAGCGTCGCAACAGCAGCTTTTTCGCATAAGATACTTTAAGAAATGGTCAAGAGATATGGAGTCGTTTTTCGGGCTTTTGCGCAGCAACCTCCCATTTGGAAAAATACGTTGAAGCATATCTCTTCCAAAATCATATCACGTGACTGCTCATCCCGTACAAAGTCACGTGGCTGCTGATTTGGGCTCAAAGGCGGAGAGGCTTAGGAACAAACACACGGTGTTCCACCACAGAGCGTCATATATGAGCGTATGGCAGGTTCAATAAGATGTCGGCAAGAATGGAGGTTGCTCTTCATTATTAGCCAAATCATCGCACGTCGAGGCGCTGGATAGCCTCTGTAATAGTGTTGATATTGCCTGCTATGCTGCTGCTCCTTCGTGTTCAACGTTGATTGAGCGACAGGGCATCGTCAGCTGCCTCACAGTGACGTGTGAGCCGTAGACCACAACACTTCACACATGATGCGGGTAGCATGTTGGGCATAGGCATTAACCGTGGAGCAGCAACAGCAGAGCGTTGCCTGCGCCAACCAGAGACGTGAAAATTTGTAGATGGGGAGAAGGCTTGCCAGCGTGCCAGAAGGTTCTCGAAGTAGCAGGCAGGTATAGCGACGGCGGGAGGGTGAGGCAGCCGCTTCCATACCGTGCTTTGTTACTGGCCCTTGGACTTTTGGGCGGAACCACGGTCCCAGCATCTGACTTTTCCAGTTGCTGTTCCAGTTGTGTTGTACCCCGTTTGGTGAACGGCGAAAGACATTGATTCTTTACGTGGATTCTCCTGATCTTGGCCTGAATACCATCTACCTACAATCTTACAATCCTCGATTACCATCCTTCCACATCCATCTACCATACCTACTCTCAAAACACAACCAGAACACCTCACTACTAAGTCGCAATTTTCCTAGACTCTTCCGACCAGAACCGCAGCCATGAGCGTTGTCGGGATAGATTTTGGTGCTCAGAGCACGAAAGTTGGAGTCGCACGGAACAAGGGAATAGACATCGTAAGTGCTTCCAGCCGCAGGCTTCCTTGCCGACGATCGCTAACATACAAAAGATTACCAATGAAGTCTCGAACCGAGCTACACCGTAAGTGATACCTGCCTTCCTCATCGTCTCCGGTTCGTCAGATCAACTAACTGTCTGTAGGTCTCTAGTCGGGTTCGGACCAAAGAGCAGATACCTGGGCGAGTCGGCTAAAACGCAGGAAATCTCAAACCTCAAGAACACCATCTCCTCCCTCAAGCGCCTCGCCGGGCGGACCATCGATGACCCCGATATTGCCATCGAGCAGCAATACATCACGGCACCACTAGTCGATGTTGATGGTCAGGTTGGAGCCGAGGTCACATACCGAGGGGAGAAGAAGAGATTCAATGCAGTCCAGCTGATTGCAATGTACCTTGGGAAAATCAGAGATACTGCCAGTCGAGAGTTGAAGCTTCCTGTCTCGGACGTCGTGCTCAGCTGCCCGCCGTGGTTCACGGATGCTCAGAGAAGAGCGTTGATCGATGCCGCCGAGATCGCCGGATTGAAAGTCCTCCGGCTCATCAATGACAACACCGCAACCGCCCTCGGTTATGGCATTACAAAGTCAGACCTGCCGGAAGGGGATGCGAAACCCCGCCGAGTGGTCTTTGTAGACGTTGGCCACAGTGACTACACCGTCTCGGTTGTGGAATTCCGCAAGGGTGAATTGGCGGTCAAAGCCACCGCCTTTGACCGACACTTCGGTGGCCGCAACATCGACAAGGCCCTTGTTGACCATTTTGCTGCCGAGTTCAAGGAGAAGTTCAAGGTGGATATCACGACCAACGCAAAGGCGACTACGCGCGTGGCCGCGGCAGCAGAAAAGCTCAAAAAGATTCTCTCTGCAAATGCTCAGGCTCCTATCAGCATTGAGTCTCTCATGGATGACAAGGATGTCCGAGCCACGTTGAAGCGGGATGAACTCGAAGAGATGATCAAACCCCTCCTCGACCGAGTCACCGCGCCTCTGGAACAAGCTCTCGCGGATGCCAAGCTCAAAGTCGAGGACATCGATGTCATTGAAATGGTGGGCGGCAGCACCCGTGTCCCGGCCATCAAGGAGAGAGTTGCCCAATTCTTTGGCAAGCCACTCTCATACACACTCAACCAAGATGAGGCCATCGCCCGCGGGTGCACCTTCAGCTGTGCCATCCTTTCTCCAGTTTTCCGCGTCCGAGACTTCTCCGTCCATGACATTGTCACCTATCCGATCGAGTTTACCTGGGAACAGTCCCCAGACATCCCGGATGAGGATACCAGCTTGACCGTCTTCAATAAGGGCAATGTGATGCCGTCGACCAAGATTCTTACCTTCTACCGGAAACAGCCTTTCGACCTGGAGGCTCGATATGCCAAGCCGGAAATGCTCCCTGGCAAAATCAACCCCTGGATTGGACGTTTCTCGGTGAAGGGAGTCAAGGCAGATGAAAAGGATGACTTCATGATCTGCAAACTCAAGGCACGTCTCAACCTCCATGGCATCCTCAACATCGAGAGTGGTTACTATGTTGAGGACGTCGAAGTCGAGGAGCCTGAACCGGAGAAGCCCAAGGATGGAGACGCCATGGAGACCGACCAGCCTAATGGTTCCGCCGAAGGCAAGCCCAAGATGCGCAAAGTCAAGAAACAGGTGCGCAAGGGAGACCTGCAGCTTGTCTCCGGGACGTCTTCCTTGGACGAGTCCACCAAATCTGCTGCCGGCGAACTCGAGAACGCCATGTTCATGGAGGACAAGCTGGTGACAGACACCGAAGACAAGAAGAACGAACTGGAATCGTACATCTACGAGCTCCGTGGCAAGCTGGACGACGTCTACTCGGAGTTTGCTAGCCCCGAGGAGAAGGAGAAGATCCGGGCTACCTTGGAGAAGGCAGAGGTAAGTTGCTCGTTCATCAATTGACATGGCTGGACCGATACTAACCTGTGGTAGGATTGGTTGTACGAGGACGGTGAAGATGCCACCAAAGCGCAATATGTCGCCAAGATGGACGAGATCCGATTCGTTGCCGGCCCCGTCATCCAGCGATACAACGACAAGGTCGAGGCGGAACGTCAAGCAGTGCTGAAGGCTCAGGAAGAGGAAGCCGCGAGGAAGAAAGCCGAGCTCGAAGCCAAGAAGAAGGCGGAGGAAGAGGCCAAGAAGGCTCAAGAGAAACCATCCCAGTCAGCGGCAGAGGATACGGAAATGAAGGATGCAGATGGCGACGCTGTCAAGCCTGACGCTGTGGAGGAGAAGTAGACGTTTCATGAAAGCGGTGAAGCGGTGAGCGCAGGAGTTGACAGGATGGGAACAACCAGAAAATACACGGTGGGATCCTAGTTGATCATGATCAAATGGCACATGGGGCTACATGGATCGACATGTCATGCATAGCGGATGGAAACGAATCTCCCGGCGTTCAGGGACTATGATAGATAGACGATGATGAACGGTCTTTTGCCCTCGTGGTCTTGTTGGCATGTCATCTGGCAACCACGCGAAACAGCAAGATACCACCAACATGAGGGTCCGGTAGAACGAATGAAGCTTGGGCAATCATGGAGATCCCGCCTATTGTCAAAGTGCATCCAGTAAGATATGCGTAACACACCTACCTGGCGTCCTGGGTATCTACGCAGTACTGCTAGTAGTCCGGGGATGTTGACCTCGGGATGTTAGCCGAACAGTACCCATGGAACTCCAACCCACATTCCCGCTTCCCGTCGAGTGGCAGATCTTGTGTCATGCAGGATTCTCCGCAAGGTTCGAGGCCATACCATGCCTGGATCACGGGGTCATAAGCCGTGGCGTTGACAGAAAGTCGAATTTGTGATCATGTTTCGGCGGAAAAGGGATCAAGATGGAGTTCGATATGTGGAGGTTAAAGCAGCGAGGTTGTCGGCTTCTCCGGGCCGTGGATGGAAATGCCGAGGCAATTCATCATCACCCCAGACTGGAAGGAAGTCAGCAGTCAATCGGCTTGGATGTTTCTGTACATTTAAACACTTACCACAACTCAACTCGCCGCTGTGTCCTCGCATCTCTTGACTACCACTAGTACACCATCGTCCCAGCTCTGTTCTCTGCCATCCGCTCCTCCAACTTTCTGCATCTCTCCATCCAGCTGCAGAACAGCCCAACATGGCCACGCAAAGACTCGGCTCGATCCTCTCGCACCTGACCGCTCACAAGAGTGGCGTCGCGGCCATGTAAGTCGATATGCTGGCCATCCATGGGTTCCAGTGTGGTGCCCGCCTCGAAGGACAAATGTGCTAACGTCACAATATAACAGCACGCAGAAGAACCCCGACGACATTGTCATCACGCTCGCCATTCGAACTCCTCTCGCCAAGGGCAAGAAGGGCGGTTTCAAAGACACGGACCTCGACTATATCGTCTACGCCCTGTTGAAGCAGGTGCTGGAGAAGAGCAAGATTGACCCCGCGCTGGTCGAGGATATCTGCCTGGGAAATGTACGACACGGTCCCCACGTACCTGGATTGAGATATCACAACTACTGACACAAAGATCTTCATCTACAGGTCGGTGACCCAAGAGCTGCATACAAGGTGCGAGCGGCCATGCTCGCAGCGGGCTTCCCCGACACTTCGGCAGCCAGCTCGGTGAACCGATTCTGCTCGAGTGGCTTGAAAGCCGTGCAAGACATTGCCAGCCAGATCATCACCGGCAGCATCGATGTCGGCCTGGCCGTGGGTGGTGAGAGCATGACGCACAACAGCGGCGCAGATTCGCCCTTCTCGCCCGAGATCATGGCGCACCAAGAAGCCGCCGACTGCACACAGCCCATGATCCAGACCTCAGAAAACGTCGGCAACGACTTCAACATCTCTCGCCGACAACAGGACGAGTATGCCGTCGAGTCGTTCCGGAGGGCCGAGGTCGCGCAGAAGGCCGGCTGGTTCGACGACGAGATCGTCCCGATCACCACGAAGATCAAGGACCCCACCACGGGAGAGTTGAAGGAGGTGACCCTGACGAAAGACGAGGGTCCACGGTACGGGACCACCGTGGAAAGTTTGTCCAAGATCAGACCGGCCATGCCGCAGTTCGGTGACAAAACCACTGGTGGCAATGCCTCTCAAGTCACTGATGGAGGTAAGCAACCAAGCAAGCAACAGAATCCCACTTGGGCTTTTTTCCACCGTTGCCCGAAGAAGAAAGACGGCTGAAACTGACTCATGCTTCCACCACAGCTGCCGCGGTTCTACTGATGAAGCGGTCCAAAGCCATCGAGCTCGGCCAGCCCATCCTGGCCAAGTTCTGCGGCGCCACCGTCGCCGGTGTCCCTCCTCGCATTATGGGCATTGGCCCGAGTGCCGCCATCCCTAAACTACTTGCCAAGTTCCAACTGACCAAGGACGACATCGATATCTTCGAGATCAACGAGGCCTTCGCCTCGATGGCCGTGTACTGCCTGAATGTCTTGGGCCTGGACTATTCGAAAATGAACCCTCGTGGTGGTGCTATCGCATTGGGCCATCCTCTGGGTGCTACTGGTGCCCGCCAGATCTGCACGATCCTCAGCGAGGCGCGACGGACGAAGAAGAAGATTCTTGTCACGTCCATGTGTGTGAGTAGTCGCCCTTGCCTTTTCCTTTCCTTCTTTTATCCTTACGTTGTTCTTGTCGCCGTTTCGTTTCGAAATTACCTTTTCTGAGCAATATATTGACTTGTGAATTTCTTCTATTACAGATCGGCACAGGACAAGGCATGGCCGGGCTATTCGTCAACGAGCAGCTGTAGCTATAAAAGATGCTCTATCAAATCCAGAGGTGATGGCTTGGCGCATGCAGGGCAGGCAGACGCCGTGTCGATGAGTAACAGTTCATACTCTGGTTGTCTTCCTCTTCAAAAAGCATCTGGAGGTATAGCTGGGGGGAGCACTCCAATACTAAAGTTGCTATTTCCTCTTTCCTCCTCCTCCTCCTCCTTCTTCTTCTTCCTCTACTTCTTTCGGCCGTTCAGAAAGCTTCCTCGGTTTGAGGTCCAACATCGCTGATGGGAAAGTATAACAAGCATCCATGTTGCTCATGAATCGTCTGATTTCCGGAACATCCATAAGAGCCTCATACTGAGCCTTCAAGTCCTTGTCGATTCTTGCCTCTCTGCAATTGCCTTTCTCATGGCAGAGAGTCGTCGCATTGCATTTAGCATTTTCTCCCACTTCTGGCGACTCTCGACTTCGTCTGCAGCCTCGGTCTTGATCAAATCTTGGAACTGGACATCTGCGGCCGCGCGGTCTGGGTCTTCGGACTGCTGCTTATCCTTGCGCCTCTTCTGTTTCCTGCCCACGTCAGTGAGCGTCCACGTGTCAGGCTCGTGTTCTTCGTCGGTGTCGTATGTAAAGCAGTGCTCGACGAGGCGCTTGATGGTGGCTCGGATATACAAAAGAGACCTGTCGTTTCCGTCGGCATTCAAGCTTTCGACGGTACACAGGTCTCGGTGTAGAATATTGGCCAACTTGCCGTAAAGCCTGCTTGAAGGTTGCGCTCCATCTCATTATGGAACATGGTCGCCGTCGGATTCCGCTCCGAGTCTGTATACTGCTCGACAGTACGGAACAGTTGCTCCTCATCAATCTTCAGGGTTGTAGCGCAGTTTTTGACCGCCCGTACTATGCTGGCCCTGGGGACCGGAGGTTTTTGATCTGGCTTCTGCGTTTCCGCATCTCGCTCCTTTCTAATGTTCTTCTGGAGCTCCATCCACCATTCGGAGAACGGTGACTTGTGGTAGGGATTGAGGTCTTCATTTTCCTTGACAGCTCTAGCTACCGCTTTGCAAGATAGTGGTAGATAGTCTCGGTATGTGGCGAACAACTGCATCTTCTGCAATTGTCTGGCACTGTCAAGCAGCAACTTCATCCCCTCTGTCGGGATATAGTACAGGCTTCGGGGATACTCGAGTATTGCGTCATACGTTTGAACCTGTTCCTTTGGTGATGATCGCTCCTCCGGTGACAGTGCCGGTTCTTCATCTATCTCAGCCGCGATAGCAGCTTGGGCGGCAGCTCTATACTTGATTGCAAACGCCCATGTGGCCGGGGAGACCTTTCGGGTCACCAATTTGGCGGCATAGTCGAGTCGCTGTTGGAGTTCGGCCACAGTGTAGTCGACTGGAGATAATTGGATTGGCTCTCCTTTCTTGGGCCGCTCGGGATCGTTGGCAAATGTCATGGGAGGCAGTCGATTGCCATTGCCATCTGCTGGCTTGAGAAATTGGCGTATTTGGTCGTTGAGAGTTTCTATGGCTGACTTCTCTGTTCCGCTTGCTGGGGGTTCGGATTGTATCTGGGAGACTGAGACTTCTGTGACGTCTGCCATGATGGTCGAATGAGTTGTGAAGAAGAGTCCTGATGTTTTCGAATTCGGATGAGTAGAGCTTCGAGGTACGTATCTAAAGATGAAGGCCGACTTGAGTGGGAGAAAGGTCGATGGAGATGGAGACGCTTCAAGATGAGTGAAAGATATTGGACTCTGGATTTCAAAAGGGCAGAGTCCTGGTATTTATATGGTGAGGTGTATCGTTGATCTCTGGGTTGGGTCGAAACTTAACCGTTGAGTCACACGTATCTTGTTGACAAGGTTTGTGCCAGTGAAGGATGAAGCCTGGGGAGATAGCAACCAAGGGAATTCTAAGGTAAGCAGGTTGGTTTGGCTTGGTTGGCAGGAAGTGTATGTCCTCTTCCTCTCCTACCTGATTTGAGACTTTGATGGTGCTCCTAAAGCTTTTCCTTAGTGAGTCATTTGGTTGCTTCGACAATCTCTGCAAATATAAAGTTATACTTCATCGTGTACCTGTAGGTATTTACCCAAAGTCGCGAACTGTCATGAATGTATTGAGTTTATTGAAAGGCAATAGAGCGTCCTAATGGGGAAAATAAAGACAAAAGTCAAAAGGCCAAGGCCAAGGTGGCGATGATCTTCAGCTGAACCAGACCTAGCATATGCTTACAGGGATACATTTATTGTCCATTTATTAATTGGCGGCAAGCAGTGTATTGTATCTGCAGTGGGACTGGTACTGGGATTGGGACTGGGACTCAGGATGTCAAATTGCCCACGTGGATGCACCCCAGCAGGCAGCAAGTCTGTCTGGAGAATGTCCCGCCAAAGGCCTTGGGCTTATATATCCTATTATCATATGTAACGAGTGGAAATCGACAAATACTGGTAGAATGGAAATGGTGTTTGGACCGACTACGGTAATTACTAAGGATTCAAGTTAGTGGCAAGGCTGTGCTGAAAAGGGGTAAAGATCGAGGGTGGGGCCCGACCGACAGAACAAAACACCTGCTCTAGCAGAGATGACGACCACCCCGTGTGTAACGTCGAGGTCAAGTATCAACGACGACATTGTATATGAACAGTTTCCTTCAGCAACTGACACATAATAGCTATAAGAGACGGCGGAATACATCGTCACGGCTAACCATTCGAGGATCTGCTGTTGAAATACATACACACCTGCACATGTAAAATGTCAATTGCTCGTACTAAGAATACTCGGACCAAACCACTCGTAAATCATATCGCGTCCATGTCATCAACCTCTCTAGCTTCTATTTTGATCCTCTCAATGTTCTGCTTGATGTCATCTGGAATCGCTTTGACACCAGTTTCTTTCAGACATGACACAGAGCCGGCACGCCAGTACCACTGGTGCACCGGTTGAGTCAAGCGAATGTCGAAAGTGTCTCCAACCCAGTAATGCGTCATTTTGGCGTAGCCGTCGCCAACGTGTTTCTTGTCCTCGTAGACTCCACCATTGATCTAGAATGGTGTTTTGCCCGAGTGGTCCAAATGTAGCATGTGCGTTCCACAGATCTCCACTCTGTCTGCATCGAAATCCAATTCAGAAGATGGCTTTTCTTCTTCTTCTGTGATGGTTCCCATGGCTCCTGCGTACCATGGCTGGAAGAAGTACTCAACTCTACTGAGTTCCATGGCGATCCAGAATGTCTCCTTGTCCCCGTGGAAAACGTGGTAGGTCACTTCGTCCCGGACGTTCTTGGTATTCATCCACGTGGCAAACAGCAGCCCGAGAAGAACAGATGGGCGGGACTTGTCAAGGGCGACGACGCCACTGTCTGCTTCATACCACGCGGAACCCCTGTAGAACAGTGAATCCACAACAAGACGAGAGGAAGGCGGAATGCCCGCAGCTCGTATCTGTTGTCTTAGCCATAGCCGACGTTGGCCATTTCCGCCTCCAGCAGCGCGATCATGGAAGAAGAGGGTTCCAGTGCGTACGAGACCAGTGTTTGTCTCGAAGATGGAGTCGGGGCTCGTGAGGAAAACGGCGTCTGCGTCAACGAGAATGGCTTGTTGGTGTGAGGACGCCAGAAGAGCAAAGGGCTTCATAGCCCAACCGCTATTGACCAGGTCATGGCGTGCGCTGGGGAAGGCGTCGAGGAGGTCGATGAATGATGTTCCTGGATCCAGAGTCTGTAGGAAAGCCCGCTTGTCGGGATCCAAGTCCTCATCTCCTGCATAGGCGATTTCGATCGGTATCCGGGAATGGTGTACTCGACGTAGACTGGTGATGAGATGACCTGCCATGCGGAAGTTCCTGGATCCAACACATGTGACGATGCCAGTTTGCAAAGTCGAGTTTTCAATCATCGGTAAAGGCCAAGGTGTGTATATGGATTCATTGCTACCTGCGAGAAACGGAAACCGCGACAGCAAGACGCTGTGGAAAGCGGGTTTGTCTGCGAACGGGTGCTTCATGAGCATGTGTGCCCATTGTGACAGCAGCTTGACCTGACTGCCCATCTCACCCCAATCTGTAATGTCGATGGGTGTCTCGAGCTCTTCTGTCGTGAAAGGGTTTGTTGGTCTTGTCCTGAAGCTTGAGCTGACAACCATCCACGATCGCCTTGCCTCTGCGTCCAAGATGGTATATAGCAGAAGCACTATGGCCATGATGGCCAAGGCGCTTTTCGCATGGTTCCAGGAGTAGGATGTCCAAAGAAGGGTAAACATGTTGTGTTTTGTTAGAGGCTGTTGGGGCCACAGCTGGAACAACGAAGGCGGTAGGGAAGAATGACGAGGGTAATGATAGCCAATGGCCCAAACCGAATTTTCAGGGATTGTACAGAATCCAATTGAGTCTCAATGAAATGTCATAGAATTCCTGCCCAGTATCTTTTGTCCGAGAGCAAGAAGCCGTGCTGTTATCACAATCATTGAGGAAAGAAGAACTGTGAGCGCTGGTGGCTCGTGGCCGACCAAGCAGGAGCAACCGTACAACGAACAGCATTCGCCTGAGAAGACGGATATATTTGACAAGGACGTTCTACTGCCGCGGTCTCTCTTGGAACTCTTACACACGGCTCCTTGGAAACTTTTGCACAAAGACCACCAACAACAGAATCAATCGCACATCACGGCATTCTTTTCATGTAATCGCCCCAAGGAGTGTGAAACCGCCAGCCCTTCACATCTGTGTCAAGGGCCACGTTACTCTGTAGCATCGGTAAGTGTTGGAGTCATCTTTTCAGTAGCCGTTTAACCCAGTGCCTTCAATATAGCCGTGGTATTGCCCACGAATCCTGGAACACTGGTTAGCTGGTCCTCCTTTCAACTGAGAGTTGACTAACCATCGCTATCGGCATTGTATCGCGTCATATTGAGTGTATAGTCCGGGCTAGTAGTCGCACTGATATCGTCGACATATACCACGTCGTAGCCCTTGAAATAAGCGTCAATCAACGTAGACCAGACACATTGATCGGCATTCACGCCCCCGAGGAAAAGTGTGGACACTTGGTTCTCCTGCAGCCACAGTCCAAGCGGAGTCTGCGGTCCCCATAGTCCTGACAGGCGATTCTTGTTGAACCACAGATCCGTGCCTGCTTCCAAGCCTTCGTCTTTCATGGTGCCTAGGATCCCATATGGCTCTGCATTCCAGGAACCTCTCATCAAAAGCCGGCCGACAGCGATTGACGAACCATTCTCCTGCAGAGTGCCCATATCGCTGCCGAAGGTGTCGTTTGCCAGATCAGACCCGCTACTGAACTGAGACTTGAAAGCTGGTGGAATGGTAAGTAGATCATACTCCGTCAAGCCCCAGTTGACCCAAAGCACTTTCATTCCGTGTTTGCGAAATCCATTGATCATATTGACCGTCGGCGGCACAGCCGCTCGACCGGTCTTTGCACTCGGAGACAAATCCGGATGCAGGAAAAAGTTTTGCATGTCGATAATGACCAAAGCAGTCCGGTTAGGTTCGATGATGATCGATGGCCTGCTGCCCATCATCGGCAGAAGCTTGGGTGAAGTGACTGGTGATCGGTCGCTACGAGTCAAGTCGAAAGTGCCATTGGGCAACTTGCGCCAGTAGTTGTAATAGTTTCCGAGGGTGCTTGTGGCTTTTTCGAATCCATCGCCAATCAACGCGTATGCTTGACGTTCTTTCAATTGCGATGGGCTTGCCAAACACACTGAGACGAGGAACAGGAGAGCGTAAAGCAGAGCACTGCTCTGCAGCCTTGCGGGAACCATATCAGAAATCTGACAAGGCTGAGATAAAAAGGGGCAAGAGGAAGAGAAGTTCTAGTGAAGAACACGACTTGCCAGTCTCGAATTGACAATGATAGAGTAAATGAGAAGACCTCGAACAGGTTTTCATTCTTATTCTTATAGTTGTCTCCAAATTTCTATCGAGTTGCGAGCAACGGAGATAGGCATGCTGTACAGACTGAGGCATAGTGGCCGATCGATATGGATATCCCCCAATTAGGAAGGTCTGTGAAGGGCTGATAAGAACAAAGCACCCCGTTGAAAAATATATCACTTGTCGTAGTAAATCACGGTGGACACATTCGTGCACGCTGATCGCCTGGACGGCTCAAGGCGCTCTTCATCTCCTCACTGACCTAAATCGCGCTGCCGTGCCTTGGCGGCCATCGTCGATGATCCATCACTGTTTAGCTCTGACATGATACATCCAGCTGCCTAAACAGGCTGGCGGACCTCAATAGGAAGGAGAACTGTAAGTCGCACGTGTAAAAGCTGACTTCCACAGCGGATGAAATCACCGTCTCATAGCGGGATGAGGGTTGAATCTAAAGAAGACTTCGGTTGTGCGGCAGTTCTCCAAGCGACGGGAAGAGAGTAGACCCAGAAGAAGCGGATCCGATGGGCAGACGCGCTATACAAGACTGGGAGCCGGCATGACGCACCATTCGACGGCCTCCCGTTGCAAGCATATCAAAGAAGCGAGAAAGCGATTTTGAGCTGATGAAACTGTAACGCTGATGATGGGTTGAACGCCGAGGGAGATAGGTGGATTATGACCGCGTGAAGAGAGCAGTTGGAATGATACTTCTTCTAGGTTCTGGATGCCGGATCCGATGGCACGCTGCGCCTAGGGACAAACCACAATTCGATTTGCAAGTCACAAAGCATGCAGTGCCATGGCAGTGGTCGAATGCATTTGGACGGTTGCAATATCGGTTGTCGAGATAACGGGTTGTCGGGGTGTCTGTCTGCCTGCGCCGTTGATACTGAGATGTGGCTGGTGTCAAGTTCTTCAGCCTCGTGGCTGTAGTGGCACAGTGGATGGTGGGGGAGGCTCAGCTTACTCATCCAGTCAACGCAGGCTACAATCCAGAATACCGCAGGCATCTTGTTCATGTGCACCACCATCCCAGAGTACAGGACACCGCACTGACAGACTCGATGGCTTCAATGCCAACTTGAACGAGACTTCTCAAAGGCATTCTCTATCGTCAAATCTACCACGATTGGCCCGCATTGTGCCATAAATAAAAGAAGGGTCATGAGTAGTGCTGGGTGTAAGCGCCCGGCATGCGGCAAGACCATCACCACCATCCAACCACCATCCATCCTGCGCTCCCTCCTTGCTCCCTCGCATCTCTCTCTACCAACCATCCTGCATCTTGATCCTACCAGCTGCCAACACGTCTCAGCACTATCGAATCCATCATCCATGCTCCAGTCTATCTTTCTCAGCGTCTCGCTGGGCTACAGCTCCCGATTGTATGACATTGGCTCAAGCTACATCCCCCGAGTCTCGGTTGTCCCGTTCTTGAAATCCAGCCCATGACCCCGGCCTCTCCGTCCAATCGAGGAGGAACCAACATGTATCTCTTCCGAACGGTGAGGCACAAGATGTGTGTGACATTGGCGTTGCCGCTCAATATCCCCCCCTCATGTCTTGATCAGCGCCAAATATTGTTCTTACGGCGCTTCCGGGCTTCCATCAGGTCGACCTGTTGTCTCACACTCATGAGATCTTACCACTCCTGCTACTGCATTCGCCATCTTCTCCTCACTCTGAACCTCGTCGTCGCTGAAGCTGCTGGTCGCCGTCAGCCTTTCCCTCGTTTACTCTTCTCTTTTGTGCCTTACTCTGCGCGTGACCGTTGACCGGCACCGCCTACGACTACTAATACCTGTTGATACCGACTGAGAATACTACGCCTCTGGAAGGCCGGTGACCGATGAGCAACTGATAACAGTGTCGATTAATCTGACCGACGACACGCGTGCACCCTCTTGTGAAGGCTGGTCCTCGCAAGCATGAGCCTCTTGCCATCCACCACTTACGCAGCTCCTTCTCGGCTGGGCCGGGGGTGGCAGCTTAACACTATTCCCGAGGAAAAGGAAGATGGAAGTCAGGGCGTGAAGAGCGACAGTGAGGGAGATGGTAGTGATTCAACCGTCAAAGGCCGTCCTGCAGTATGGAATCCACAGCTTTACACCGTCCAGCTTCGCAAGAGTTCTCTTGCAACAACCACTTTTGCAGACTCACCAGTCTCCTCGTGCGCACCCTCCCCTCCCAGTAGTGCTGGAGAAGGTCACCAACGGAACTCAGTTGGATCCTCCTACGGCAGTGATGCCGGAACCGTCTTCAGCGACGATGGATCCCTCTCCAGCGACCCAACTAGCTTTGCTTCGGAGTCGAGCAGAAGCAGCTATACCAGCAGTAAATCCACCCGAAACCGGTACCCTGCTCTTCTCATCCCCAGGGATTCATGGGGATCCGTGGATGTCAGCCCCGTCAAGGAAATTCCCTTGGGCATGTCTCCAGCTACGAAGATCCGCCTGTCTCCTGGAGCACTCTCTGCGCTTCCAAGGTGTGTTCCAGACGGTAGTGCACCACCATCGCTGGGAGACAGCAACAGTACGACCTCCGAGCCACCGGATCATCTGGGAATTAGTGCTCCGGTCACCCCAGAAATCAAGCAGCTGGAAATCAGGCAAGGCGAGAGCTGGGGTGGACCTCCACCATCAAATCCTCACACGCAACATCTCGAGATTGCGCTGGATGACGACCACAGTATAATACTCTCACCTGCAGAGGCGCATTCTGCGAACGCATCCTTGAATATCCTCTCGCCTGTGTGGATGGAAATGGTGGTCAATTTCCCACAAGTGCCCGGTGCTACGCCTCAAGACCGATCGCCATTGATGCCCACCATGGATGAGATCAAGAAGTTCGAGGAGCCGACGCTACTGTCGAATGGCTCCGACCAAGGAGTCAGGCTCCCTCCTGATGCTTTGCGGACGCTCCAGCGCATTGCACGCCAGCGAAGTCCCGATGAAATCTCGTTCACCTCTGGCGGCTCACGTCCCTCCAAGCGCTCTGGCGGAAAGGAAGAAATGCGAGAACTCACCGATCCCCAGCCTGCAAGTAGACCTCGCAGCGCGGATGGCCAGACGCCTATCTCCGACTACAGCTTTTCGCAGTTGAGCATTCCATCTCCAGGAGGATTCTTTTCGTCGTTGCGGAACGGTGCACGGCATACCTGGTGCATCAGCAAGTCCAGGGATGCCAGTGCTCCGAATACTGCTACAGCGGAAAAGTTCTACAACCGACCTTGGGACAGTCCCGATTCGAGTTCGGCCAAGATGGTCGAGACTGTTCTGACAGTCGAGGACACCAATATGACCGAAGGACCTCCAACAGCACGACAAGCTACTTTTGGTCTGGCTCCAGCACCAGTCGCCGATGGGAACGAAGGGAAACCTCCACCTTCGGAAGATGACGACCTCTATGGCTCTGGCACCGACGCCGGGGTTCCTACTGAGACGGTGCAGGTCAATTTCGAATACGATGATAAGTATCAAGTGGAGCTCAAAGCGAGCGCAGGTCAGAATCTGGATCGCACAGGCTCCTGGCTCGCAGCACAGACTGGATACTTGTCAGCGATTCTCGGCTTCGATCCGAATCTTGGTGCTCACGTCGAGCCTAGAGTATCAGTTGAGGAGGCTATGGTGACTGTCCCTAAACCGGCACACCAAGATTCTGGTCAGTCTGATCTAGAGCATACCGGGTTGAGTGACCCTGGGTTTGTTGGTGTTGTACGCGAAGCTGCCGGGACTGACATGACCAAAGTGGACACTACAGCACTTATCGACGAACCTGACATGGAGAGTCCTTGCAGTGAGGCGGAGGCGAAGGAACCGGTGTTCCTCACGGCGTTCCAATACCTAGTCAGCAACCGCAAGCGCCGCGATGCGTTCATTCAAGCGGGCTCACGGCTGGAAGCTATCCAAGCGGCCCGAGTGGCTATGCCGGAGAAGCATGTCACCAATCTCTTGGGCCAACACATCCTGGTTGAGCCTGTGCGGCCCAAGTATGCCGGGCCGTTCAGTCAGAATCCGCGTGCCACCGGTGTGTTTGAGCGCACAGCCGAACAGATTGCCTACCGAGCAGTCGAACGCGAACAACTTGCCCTAGCATCTATCGAGCCGTCAAACTGGCAGATCGATGCACTCAGAGCGGTGTACCGTGGACGTCTCCTTGCTTCAGCAGCCGCTTGTGACCGACTCCAGAGAAAAGCTACAATGCCGTTGGACGATCCTGACTGTGTTGGGAGCAAACGCCTACGCATCTTGGATTTTGGGGGCACATCTTCGGCCTCATGGGCTTGGAATGCCGCTCTCGAGTGGCCGAACGTCAAGATCTACACGGTCATCACCAAGGATCAGTCACAGTCACAACGACCGGTAGGATCCATGAAGCCTGAAGCGCCTGCGAACCATCGCACAGTGTCGGTGCCACACCTGTGGCAGTTGCCGTTCCGTAGCGGGCATTTTGATGTCATCTCAGCACGCAGTCTGCATGCTCTGCTCAAGCATAATCCGGTGCCGAGTGTCCCGGAGATTGACGAATGGGACCTGGCTCTGCGAGAATGCATGCGGGTCCTGAAACCGGGCGGCTACATTGATTACATGATCATGGACTCGACCATCGCACATCCCGGGCCCAGAGGGGAATCGATGTCGGTGGAGTTCGGCTTTGAACTCAATCGGCGAGGCTACGAGAGAGAAGCAGGCCGTAGTTGGCTCCGGCGCCTGAAGAATCAAGGATTCGTGGGGATCAAGAGAGCATGGGTCTTTTTGCCCATGGGACGCCGGCCCCGTGAGGAAACGGAGGAGCATGTGCATGGATATACGGGCGGGTGGCAGTCGTGGCGGCAGGGGGCCACACCGTTTGTTCCTGCTCCCCGGCCGATCAGTGAAGTGTCGACCATCAGTCAGATCGTGAAGCAGTACCTGGACGTGGAGGCTGTGCAGGGTCCGGTCGGCAGCACCCAAGATGTGGCTGACTTGACTGGTCTTCTTGGAGCTCGGATGTGGGAAGAGTGGTTGATCAAGGTTCGCGCCGAGTGCGGCCGAGAGCGGGATAGATGGTTGGAAGGCGTGGATGAAGTGATTGAAGAAGGTAGAGAAAAGGGATCGGGATGGAAAGTCTTGATTGGATGGGCGAGGAAACCTAAGTTGGACAGAAGGCAGAAGAAGGTTGAACGGGCCGAGATTGTTGTGGCGGTGGAAGACATGGAAGGGTTGACTTTGTCGGGGAACGAGTCCCTGGAGACTGGGATGATTCCGATGGTGATCCAAGAATGATTGAGTCTGGGGATAGGAAAGGAGTTGGGAAACAGGGAGTGACAGAGCCGGCAAGGGGCCTCGATCTCAGGTCTGTTATACAGAAGATGGGCATCATCCTGACCATTGCTTTATGTGTCGGGTCGACGATGTCTGATAGATAGCTAGGTGAACAGGGGTTTCGAGGCCACCACTTGTACAGTAGAGCAGGTAAGTAGATTGCATGATATTGGCGTTGTGAGAGAGTCTCTTGTCCGTCCTGCATCAGGCTCTCCGTTTTCTGTTGGCACTTCAGTCCTAGTAGCGAGGGTGTACTTGTCATGAACAGCTGAGTGTTGTTGAGGATCGCTGTTGTTGACATGGAAAGCAAGACTACTCCTGTGACTCTATACTCCTGATCACAGCTGATGACTCAGCCAGTTGACCCGTATCTGTGGTATACGTATATATACGATAGTACTCTGTAGAGGCATTTCATCACTATTATTGGGTGTTGGCCCATGAGAGCTCCTCTTTATCCCCTTGAACACTACCTACCTAAGGGAACCTGCTCTAAGAGTTGACCTCTCGCTGTATCTCGCTCCCGAGGCCTTCTGGGCTCTCCACCGCCCCTTGATCTGGCGGATCTTCCGGGCCTTGTAGCCCCTCCATTTCATCATCGCAACATCCTCCCTATCCTCAATTCGTGGGTCGTTCGGTATCTACGGTTAGTTACGTAGCTGCTCAATTTTAGCAACGATTGCGGAAAATGATGCATGCGTCAACATGGTCATGATGACTACAGACTATACTGTCTCCTACAGCCAGCTGAGTACCTACGGATACCATAACATAACGTAACGGTTAATATCTCACTCATCTTTTTCTTACGAGCGACCAATTCCTGCTCTATCTACAAAGGTTCACCCTTCTCTTCTCTTCTCTTCTCGTCTGCTGCATGTCGTCCAGGTCCCCACCAGTAAACTGTAACACCGCACGTCAGTCAATCGTCCTGAGAGCGTCTCTCTTCCACATCCACTTCCACATCCACTTCCGCCCGGAGACTGCGCCGGACCCTTCAGCTTGCGACTATCCCTAGGGCAGTGCTCTACCTCCGACTGCTCACTCCAAGCCGGGAGACAGAAGTAGCCCACAAGCAAGGAAAACAAAGGAAGAGACGGCAGAATACAGACCATCACCGGGCAGGGCAGCACAAGCACAGGCTGCAGGGAACGATCAGATCACGCGAGGGCCCAAAGCGTGATTGAGCCACAGACCCTTTAATTCGACAGGGTGAGAAGACTAGATCAGGAAGAGAAGAGAAGCGAAGATAAATCAGACGATGACCACACCGCGCTGTTTCATCGTCCGCCACGGCGAAACCGAATGGTCCCTTTCGGGTAAACACACAGGCACGACGGATATTCCCTTGACGAAAAACGGCGAGAAACGAGTCCGCGCCACGGGGAGGGCGTTGGTCGGCGATGATAGATTGATCGTACCTAGGCAGTTGGTGCATATGTAAGTTTGAGAATGATTGTTCCTTGATTTCCCACCCTACACACGAAGCCGAAAGCAAAACACGAAACAAGAAATATAAAGTGGGAGGGAGGGACGGAGGAGAAACAGAGGGAGGTGGGAGAAACAACTGGAAGAAAGTTGAGGGAGAGATACAGGACAAGCCATGCGATACACTACCTTGCTCATGACAAAGTCTCGAAAAAGAAGCGAGAGACATAGATGGAACTTGAGGCTCCCTGGTCTACCTCCCTACCCTGACCAACTTGGATTGCAAACCAACCCCCTCCCTCATTGCTACTCTATTCGCTTCGTTCAAGATCTCAATCACTGACAATTTCCTTCTCTCTCACAGCTACGTCTCCCCGCGCCGCCGAGCGCAACGAACGCTCGAACTACTCAACCTCGGCTGCCACCACCCCTATCCCTGGGAATCCAGCACGACCGACACCTCCTCCAGTTCCAAGCATCTTCTTGAATCCAGTCCGCCGCGCTACAAGACCGACGCGCACGTCACGATCGACGACCGCATCGCCGAATGGGACTACGGCGACTACGAAGGCATCACGAGCGCCGAGATCCGCGAGATGCGCAAGAAGCAGGGTCTCCCGCCCTGGGATATATGGCGAGACGGCTGTCCTGGCGGCGAGTCGCCCGAGGACATCATCCGGCGCGTGGACAGCCTGATTGCGGAAATCAGAGACCGCTACCACGCCCCCGTCATCGGGAAACCTAAGGACTCGGGCCTCGCGGGCGACGTCTTGGTCGTCGGCCATGGTCATATCCTGCGCGCGTTTGCCATTCGCTGGGTCGGGCAGTCGCTGACGCAGACGTCGTTGATCATGGAAGCTGGAGGCGTGGGGACCTTGAGTTACGAGCACCATAATATCCACGAGCCGGCTATTTTGTTGGGTGGTGGCTTTGTTGTCGGCGAGGAGAAGGCGGAGATTGAAAGGGCTGAGAGGGAAGAGAAGGAAAAGGAGGAGGAAAAGGAGAAGGAAAAGGAGGAGGAAAAGGAGAAGGAAAAGGAGAAGGAGAAGGAGAAGGAGAAACAACTGCAGAATTAGAGACAGAATGAGAATGAAAAGAGAAAGAGAAAGAGAAACAACTGCAGAAAGAGAAACAGAAAGAGAAAAACGGGGCTATCTCGAGGTCTTGTCGAGTCTGCATTCAGCCTTGTTGGAATAAGCCAGGAAGTGCGATATAGTGGCTTGTTGGATGAACTGGCTGTCTGGTCTGTCTGTTCGCAAGTGGTTTCTGGTTCTTGCTTCTGGCCATGTCCCTGGTCAAGCTGAGTGACAGGATGTGCCGCCCTTTTCATGTGCGTCTGCTTGCTCGCGTCGAGACCAGACCGAGATGCGAGAAAAGGGAAATAGAGAGAATCAAGTACATCTTATTTCATTCTGGTCTCAGAAGAAAAGAGTCACGGCTCGAAAGATTTCTAACTTCTTCTTTTCCTGCTCTCTCGGAGAGACTTGGGATACTCTCCGAACTCGCCAGTGGAACAGTAGTGATCACCGTTCGCTTCATAGACCAGCCGCTGTCTGCGACCTGCGCACCCCTCCCTCGCCGACAAGCCTGTTGCTTCACCATTTCGTGTTTGCTGTGTCTTGTTGGTGTGCTTGCCCTGTCTACGCTTGATTTCACAAAGGCTCCTTGTCCCGAAGATCTATTGCCATCTCACGTTCGTTGACTTGTTGGTCCCCGTATCGCTCCAGCTCCAGCCCAGCGAATAACCCTCGCCATATGAATCTCGCCCGTGATCCGTGATCCGTGATCCGTGATTCGTGATCCATGCTCCATGCTGCATGTTCACTGTCTAACCTTCTAACCTTCACCACTCGTAAGGCAGTCCACTCGACCAACCAGGACCGATAGGCTCAAAGTTCTTGTCCTCTTCCCGTCCATGTTCCCACTCCCGCGCCGGATTCTTCGGCGGAGTAGGCGGTCGCGGACCGGGATCGAAGCCTACAGGCCGATTCTTCAGGAACATTTCTTCGTACATTGGATTTTCGGCCACCAGGGCTGCAGTGCCTGGGGAGTAGATTGGGTGTGGGGATGTCACGACCAAAGGTGGGGAAGAAGGAGGTTGGACTGAAGCACTGCCTGCTGCTGGTTGTTGTTGTGCCCAGGGATCTGCTGCGGCTGCAACTCCTGGTGGCATTGCTGTTTCTGGCATTGTTGCGGTCACTGGATTTGGCGGTGTGGACCATGGGTAGGCTGGGTAGGCTGGGTATGTTACATTTGGTGGTGCGGGAGGGGATATCGTATTTGGTGGTCTTGTTGGGTATGCTCTTGTTGTCGGATATCCTGGGTTCACCGGCATTGACACATATCCTGGGCGGGTGGTATTTGCGTGCGTCCACGACATTGTCGGTGCAACCGTGTGGCGCATCGTAGAGTATGCTTGCGTCGGGGGAGTTGCTTGCGGCCACGGGTATATTGGGACCGGTGTGTGTGCTCCATATGCTGGGTTTGCTGCCATGGTCGGATATCTTGGCATGTATGGCATTGCCGCCATTGCAGCATTGACTGGTGGAGACGGGTTGATCGGGAATGCATGGTTGGCTTGCATCCAAGGGGGTGTCGCTACAGGTGTGTTGCCTCGTATGGAAGGGGTTGTTTGCCGTGCTGGCGCATAGGCTGGGGTTTGCGGCACGAACGAATAGTCCGGTGTCGACAAAGGTACGAAAGTACTTGTCGATCCACTTGTCCTGGCTGCAGTACCCTCTTGTGAAAGTGAATAGGTTGTTGCTGGTTGCACGACACCGGATGCGTGAAAGCTGACCTTCTTCCATGCATCTTCAGCGGGCCTCGCTCCATGTTCGTCTTGAGCGGCTGACCGACCGCCGCTACTGTCCCAGGACTGTCTGGGAGTGTCTTGCTTTTGCTCGGGAGATGTCGCGTCACTTCTCTCCTGTTGTCCATCCCAGCCACCACGGGTATTGTTGGCTTCGTTATTGTTCTGATCCCACCCGCCGCCTGGAGCCTCATTATTGCTGCTCTGCTGGTTGTTGTTGCCTTCGTCCTGCCAGTTGGCCGGCCCATTGTCTGCCCAACTTGCATTTTGTTGTTCATTCGTGGCGCTGCCGCGGCGGCTGCCATTTCTGCTGCCAGGGCTGGTTGCCAGTCGAGACTGGATCCCAAGCCCAGGATTATCGGAAACCTTTCGGGCTGCTGGCAACTTGTAACTGAGGAAGCCGACATCCGGTGCGGAAACGGGGATCTGTTCGTTAGAATGCGTCGATGCAGGTGTCGTGATTTTGGCTGGTGGGCTGGGTATCTTCCCTCCCAAGGCGCCTTTTGCTCTCAGCACCATTTCGATCAATTCAGCCTTGTCCAAGCTCTCCAGTGTATTGGCGTCCTCGTTCGGTGTTGGGTCAAGTCCGACTTCGATTCCGATCTCCTTCTTGATCTGCTCTTTGGTACGATATTTGAACACAAACCTGGCATATGGCTCTGCGAGGCTGTCGACGTATTCCGGAACACATCTCTTTTTGTTGTATATGTATCCTGGTCCAGGCTGGACCTGTTTGGAAGTGCCCATGTTCTCAGCAATGGCTCGAGGCACATCATATCTGGGCTCTTCCTCAGCATCCGGCGAGACTGCGGTCTCTGCGGCAGCCTTTGTGGTGAAATAAGCGCCGTATGGCCCGTAGAGAGCACGCTTGGTTGCATTTGAACTGGACTTGTTGTTGCCATTCGATTTGTCCTTTGAATAATTGTCCCAGCCTCCATTTGAGTGCTTGTTGCCACTGTCTGCTTTTTGTTCGTCGTCACCCCAACCCTTAGCGTTCTGGTCACTCTGGTCCCAGCCGTGGCCCTCATTGTTGGCCTGATCATTGCCCGGACTGTTGTTATCTGCACTACCTTTCGAATCGTTGCTGGCATTGTCCGGCTGTTTATTATCATTCCAACTGGGATATGTAGAATTCTGACCGGCTGCGTCTCTTGGGGGATCTTCGGCATCCTTGACATCGGTGTTTGTGGTGGATTGGTTCCCTTCTTTCTCGGTGTCGATAACGGCCGGTGTCTGCTGAGCTCCAGACATCCAAGCTGTGTCTGCATCGGCTTGACTAACTGCTGGACCGGGTCCAGAGCTGGCGAAGGTTGAGACCGGTGGGACACCCGTGGTGGCGGCAGGATTGGGTGCTGAAGCGTGGAAGAGTGGTGCATTATTCGGCGGCGGGTATACAGGAACCGTACCCGGTATTGGTGGTTGAGCGGGACCTGCAAGTGGAAGGGGCCAGACTACTGGGACTGGTTGTGGATTCATTGCAGTCCACGGCGCCGCTGGGAAAGAGTGCGGGGGAGCGGACGGTCGAACAGGAAATGATAATGGTGTCGGACCAGGCATCGGTATTCCTGTGGGCTGAAGGTGTGCCTGATATGGAGGAAAAGGATGACCAGAGTTCCCATGTTGCATGTATGAGCTGGCAGATGGAGTACGCGGCGGATAGCTGTCATGCAGATTAACATCAGGATAGTGACTGTATGCCTTCTCCTCGGCATCATACATGTAATGACGATCTCGCGGTGAAGGTGGATAGTCAGCGTAAGAGTGCGTCCCTCTGTGATTACTTCTCTCGCGGTAAGTCGGGTCAGGTACTGGCCGGTTGTAGTCATGTTCTTCTCTCCAAGCACCTGGAACATAGTATCGGTTTCGATCATCGTACCTCATGTCGGATGTCATGCGGTGATGTTGCTGAGGACCTCTGCCATCACCAAGATCAAAGTGCACGCGTCTCTCTGGTCTTGGAGGGCGGTAGGCATGATGCTCATAGGAAGGTGTGCTTGAAGTCGGTCGATATGTGTGAGAGGGTCCACCAGGGTGTTGATAGAAAGGATCTGGACGGTAGTTCTGCGCATATGAGGTCGCCTCATGCGGGCTATATGGCGCTGATTGACCCCCCTGAGAATGCCATGCCCAGGGAGGATAACGGTTCGGAGGCGCATCACCTTGGAAATTGTCATACATTGGCGGATATTCATCGCCGGGACCGTCAAAGAGACCCGTCATGCCGGCCAGTAGACTATCTGCTTCATTTTCTGGTGTGTCGTCTTTTGCACGTTCGGCTTCACCCTGGGAGGTTGTGCGTGATTGGCATGTGCTTTGTCCATCGCTGTCAACTCTTGAACCAAAAATATCACTGTCCTCGGCAGAAGAAGATGTCGACATATCCTCTTCGACGTCCGACATCCGGCAGCGTAAGACCAGGACTTCGATTGTTCCAAGCTCACGAAAGTGGGTGTCGTCAATACCTTGGGGCATCTTAGGCACTGGATGAGAAACGTTAGCTGTCTGGTCATTTCACACCCACATGAACAAACCAAGGTTGTAGTCGTCGAAGCGCCACTCTCGGCCCATGTATGTTCCATCTCCCATGGGCTTCTCTTTCTGTCTCACAACAAATTCAACGACGCTTCTGCTCTTGGATATGTCTTTCCTGGGAGGTTGTAAGTTGACTCGGTTTCGGTTGCATTGATACTCTCCGTCGATGAAGACAACCATTGCCAACCCTTCGTAGATGAACTTCCGTGAACTAAGTCGAATGTTGAAGGCTTGAGGATGACTAGGAATGGCAATGTACGTCTCAACCACGCCGTCCCCGTACTGAGTTCCATGTTCGGGGAAAGGAGAAGCTGTATCAGCCCACAGGACCTGGCAAACCAGATCCTTGAGGGTTGGCATCGTACGCGTTCAAAGATGGCTATTGTTAGTGGGAGAAGGAGGTGTGAAAGTATGAATGACAGTCCGTCACTTGAGCTTCAGAAGATCTTTAAGTAGCCAAAGACAAGAGCAGCAAGGCGTCTAATATCTTCTCGGGAAACACGCCTGAATGGTAGTCATTGCAGGACATCGCGTCGTTGTGTTACAGCGAGTAGTGCATCAAACTTGAGTGAAGTGAAAGGAAACATAGAGAAAGTTAATGGCACCCGAGCTGGCAGAACTCAGCTTTGTCTGTCTGTACTGTTTGCACAACGACTGTGTTGCTCCTGGGGCGGCCGCTGGTTACTGGTAGGGATTGGGTATCATGCTGGAGTTGAACAGCTCTACAAATGAGTGAGCACAGTCAAATCGTCGCAGCAGCTGCAGAGCATCGTCCACAATATCATTTTCTGGCATTGTGAGGCATGTAGGACCATGACGGGACGGACTGTTGTCGAACAAACAGATGAGATGTCGTCGATGTCGATGTCTTTGATCGCATTATAGTCCATCACGCCGCCTTTAACCTCCCAAGGCTGTTTTGCCTATCCGTGTCTCTCGCTGCTTTATCATCTGTTGATAGGCTCCAGAACGAGACTCGATGACAGTCGCCCGCTCACGCAACTCGCACTGTTGGGCGCATGCTCCGTGTCAAGTAAAACAACTTGTAACATCTCCTTTCCCACCTGCACCCAGGTACCTTACATATCGTGTCCCACCCCCAGCTCTGTCAACATGACCGCCACAAAGGCTCAGTCGCAGAAGATCTTCGAGAAACTCAAGTCGAAGCCTGCCAACAAGGTAGATCAATCAATCCCCTTGCGCGTGGGTGGCCCACCAAGGAGGCCACCTCGCGCATACACAATCCATAAAGCCCTCGATATAACTGACATTTTGTCTGCAGGTATGCTTCGACTGTGGTCAGAAGAACCCAACATGGTCATCCGTACCCTTCGGAGTCTACCTCTGTCTCGACTGCTCCTCCAACCATAGGAATCTGGGTGTCCATATCTCCTTTGTGCGATCAACCAACCTGGATGGTATGGTAGTTTCGAGACATGACGAGGAGGACGTGCATTGACAACCTACAGTGTGGCAATGGAGCCAGTTACGGACCATGAAGGTCGGAGGCAACGAGTCGGCCACGAAATTCTTCCAGTCCAACGGTGGAAGTGCAGCTCTTGCCAGTAAAGACGCCAAAGTCAAATACACTTCCAACGCTGCGAACAAATACAAAGAGGAACTCAAGCGCAGGGCAGCAAGAGACGCAGAAGAGTATGCCCAATGTCCCCCTAGTCAGATACAGGAAATCTCATACTGTCGCAGATATCCAAACGAAGTCGTCATTACGGATGAATCCTCAACCACTCCTGCTGACGGCGCGTCAACACCAGCAGGCGAACCAGCCGACGACTTCTTCTCTTCTTGGGACAAGCCGACCATCAAACGACCTAGCAACCCACCGTCACGCAGCGGCACGCCTCCAGTAGCGTCACGTACCGCATCTCCTTTCCTCACCGCCGGTAACGCCACCAATGGCTCCGCAGCGCGCCCCAAGTCTCCTTCTCCGCTCGCCTCTGCTGCGGCCGATGCAGAGCACGCCCTGCCTGCTCCAGCAGCCATCCGGACGACGTCTTCATCCGCCATCCGCAAGGGACCTTCCGCGGGCGGTGTCGGCGCCAAACGCACCAACGTATTAGGTGCGAAGAAGACACAGAAACTTGGTGCGAAGAAGGTGACAGGCGAAGAGATTGATTTCGAAGCCGCCGAAAAGGCCGCCAAAGCCGAGGCAGAGAGGATAGAAAAGCTAGGCTACGACCCGGATGCAGAAAAGGCCGAGCAACTGTCCAAGAACAAGCCCATCGGTTTCGGAGCAACCACAGTCGAAGCCTCTGCCCCAACCGCCACGTCCAAGCCCGGACCTGCTTCTAGTAACCCAGCACATGCACGAAGTCCAAGCGAGATCGAACGACTGGGTATGGGTGTGGGCCGATTAGGGTTTGGACAAGTTGGCGCAAACAAGGCTGCTGCATCGACCGCCCCTGCGCCCAGAAAATTGGGATTTGGCAGTGTCGGAGCGAGCAAGGCTCCAGTGGATGGTAAGAACAGCATCACTCCACCCCCTATTCCTACCCCGTCCCACCTCCCATATATCACCATCATAAACACTTGTACTTTGTGCTGGCTTCATGCCGCATGAGTGCGACCTGCCCTTGGTCATCCTCACCCCACGCTGCCTCTTTTCATATTCATATGCAATACTAATATCCGTTGTCGAGATAGACGATGCCGAACAATATGCGCGCCAAAAGTTCGGCACTCAAAAAGGCATCTCGTCGGACGAGTTCTTCGGCCGCAACGCCTTCGACCCATCCGCCCAAGCAGAAGCCAAGAACCGTCTCCAAGGCTTCGAGGGCGCCACGAGCATCTCGTCCAACGCATACTTCGGCCGACCCGAAGACGATCTGACCGGCCTGGAGGGTGGCGATTACGGCGACATCGAGACGGTCGCCAAGGACTTCGTCCGTCGCCTCGGTCTGACTGCCGGCGACGACTTGGAGAATCTGATCAACGTCGCTGGCGAAGGCGGCAGGCGGCTGAGAGGTGCTGTGGCCCGGTATCTGAACAGCTAAGCTGATGATCTATCTTGCATTGTGTGGAAACGGCTGGGCTTTCAATTGTCTGCCTGCGGCGCTCTCGGAGTTTAGAGGAAGCTGTCTTTCCTGTACCTTAACCCTGCAGGGTATGTTTTTGAAGTCCCTGATGTGTGAAGAGTTCTGGTGTGGTGCAGGAGACTGGAGCGCAGCAGTGTCAGAAGATGAGCCTGAGCCTGAGCCTGAAGCCGCCTCTTACCTGCCTGTGCCCCTCAGGACAAGCTGGACGTGGTACTCGATGGATTCAAAAAAGGGCAGACTCGGATGGGCGGAGAGGCGTGAGAAGGTATGGAACACACGAGACAAGGGATATCGAAGCATGGTCACAGCGAGCTGTTTCCTTGTCGTCATTGTCCATCCCATCCAAGGCCAGGCTGAGATGATGAGCTGAATTACATTACCAGTGCGAAGCTGGCACTACTGCCCACATTCCGCTGGATGGGATGTAAAACAAACATCCTAAGATGTGGTAAAGCTACTCCTATTACTTGAGGCCGTACACGAGAAGATTGAAACAGGCCAGGCCTGTCTACCTCAGCACTATGTCGAATTCCTTTCATGTTCTCTTCACTCCTTGGCTCGCAGACTCGCAGAGTTACAAGTCCCCATCAAACCAAACTCTTCATTTCGTCTTCTTCCCAAGCAAAGTAACCGAGCAAGCAAAGCAAAGCATCAGTGCTCAACGTGTCAATTGTGCTAGAAACTACCAACCACTACAACCGATTCATTCCAGAACCGTCCTTCCAGCCTCGGCAACGACCATGAATGCTTCCCCGTCAAGCTTCAGCTCTTCCACCGCAGCTATCATGGGAAGAATCCCCATTGTCATGATTGGCCATCACCCCCTCCAAATCCGCTGCTGTGATTGAACTTGGTGCCAAAAAAAATCACCGAAGAGAGTGACTAATGCCGGTCCACGCTGAGCATTCCTGCATAGTCATCCACCAAGTCTCCAGAGCCATCCTTGTAGAGAGCGGAGTCTAGTCACAAGAGCCAGAAGTAAGAATAACAAAGAACAAAATAAGCCAAGTAATGCATGGACTCATCCATTAAAGATAATACCCGGTGGTTTCAACCAGGGTGTTTTTTTTCTTTCGTGAATTGAATTGAGCACAGTAAAATCGTGTCAATCAATCTGAGGGCGTTTCATCAAATCGTGACGAAAAGAGTGGCTGAGTCTACCAAGAGAACTCCATATGATGTGTAACGGGCACTGCCCTTTGTTGTCCTGCGATCCTCTTCACAGAATGAAGCTCTTGCGCTTCTCAGCGTTGCTAAGGACGAGGCGCGGAGTGTTGCGTCTTTTGGGCTCAACTTCAACAAATGATCCTCCAACCGGATTGCCCTCGTCGCTGCTCAAGCTTCTAGCACTGATCGCTTCGACACTGTCAACCGAGGTTCGCTCCCTAGACTTTTCCTTGATTTCCGAACCGATGGCACCATTTGCAGCAGCTCGAAGACTACCAAGGCTAGGCTTGCTGGACAGGCTAGTGCTGCCAGCAAGCACGGAATCGTTGTCGGATGAGACGGAGAAGTTGAACTCGTTCTCGCTGCCTGGCGTTCCAGCGCCAGAGCCAGATTGACGCCCATCACTGCGGCGTTCACGGCCAGCACGAACCAAGTCATGAACGGCTCGGCGGCGTTGACGAGTGGCGAAGTTCTTGCTCCCTTCATGCTTGGCAGTAGGCTTTTCCTGAAGTTCTTGCAGCAATGGTGGTCCACGTGGTTGTCTGATCGGATGCTCTCCCACTCTGCCTTGTCCGGGACCGAAGCTACCTGTGGCAGGGGTCTGTGGGAAGCCTGCCGGCCTCAACCCTGGTGCCTTTGTCCATTCGCCCGTGGTCTTGACATTGACGGAAGACATGTTCTTGCGGTGACCTCGTCGGAAAGCGTTGGCAGATGGAGGTGGTAAGGGTTCGACGTCTTGCTGCGGGGATGGTGTCGACTTAGGAGGGGTCTTCGAGCGACTCTCTGTCAACGAATAGGAAGTCTCATTGAATTGGCGCTGATAGCCAGTGGTGGCAGGGGGAGGCGAGATAGAATGGGTACGACCCATGGGGGACACTTCCTGTCGCTGCTGAAGCGAATTGTCGACGACTAAGTTGGATTGACCGGTCATGGGGTTGTAGACTGCAAACACTCCCGGACTACCTGGAACTGGCTGAACGACGGGCTGCAAGCCCTGTTGGAACTGCTGGGTGTACAAGCTCATGGGAGATCCGACAGGAGATTGGAACTGCTGTCCAGCATGGTTCATGATCCCCGCGTTCAGATTGAGGCCGCCCAGTTGCTGAGCTGCAGCAGTGACGCTCAAAAGTTGTTGCTGAAGAGCTCGTTGCTGTTGGGCAAGATAATTGTTGGTCGCTACCAATTCGTCGTACAGGTTCTGGTCCATGGTGTCTGCTCCGTCGACAAGATCAAGAGCGGGAGGGGCAAGGACTTGCTCGGGAAGTGAGTAACCCGGGTGCCAGCTGTTCCTGAACGAGTTCCGGTTGCCTGGAAAGTGCGTGCCAGTGGCGGTCTGTGGGATCCGGCTCCCATATTGCGGCGAAGCGTACCTGCTGCTTTCCAGACCCGACGTGTTGTGGGCAGGAGCGACCGTGGCCGACTTGGGGGCGGTCCGAAGGCCAGCCAAAAGGTGACCACGACTGGTACGAGGAGTCGAGTTGACGGTTGCTTGCTCAGTTTCGTCGATGGTTGAGATCTTTGGAGGAGGGGCAACGCTGAGACGTTTGATATGAGATCCTTTTCCACGAGACGCAAATCCTGGACCAGAGACGCCAATCGAGTTATTGAAGGGAGACTGGTAAGTCATTTGAGCAACACCGCCAGCGTCGATGCTCATTGTATTCTAAAATAGACGTGTAGTATGCAAGCTGGTAATGGCTAGAATTGTATGAATGCAAAAGCCCCGACCACAGAAGTTGATTGAGTTCAGAAAACAAAGTATCCGTGAATTGTCGACGCGTCGAGGTGAATTGCAAAGGAGTGTGCAAGTAATTTGCTCAACGATTAGGAGATTATTGCGGTTTGTGACGGTCCGAGAAAGTATCGTACGACAGTGAGTGCGAGGTACTAGGAAATAAAGGTAGGAGGCTTGCAGGTGCTGTGAATAAGATGTGCTTCCTGCTCACAGAAGTCAGCCTATGAACCTGATACCTGCAGAGGACGGTCACCAGACTTACCAAAAGTCAGCCAGCTGTGGCAGGAAGCAGAAGAAGAGATTTGGCGACAATGCCGAATGTCAGACGATGGAAATGTATGATGCGGTATGGATTTTGTTGTAGATATATTCAAGCTGCGCAGTTTCGACAGTAATGAATGTGGCTGCGTTTTGCGGCGGTAGAGATGATTGCACGGCAATGATCGAGTTGGTGACTTTTGAGCGGTAGAATTTATGGACAATTAGGTTTTTGCAGTTTCAGGTGTATGAGTGCGATGAGAGAGTGCGATGAGAGCAAGGACCTGGCAATAGTCGAAGGGAAGTGGTTTTTGCAGGCCAGTGATTAGGAAGAATCGAGGCCGGTTCTGTATAGGATCCGTCTGGGCCGAGCAGGGAGGCGATTAGGGCGGAAACGGCGAGTGAAGGAAGATGAGCGAGAGCTGCGAGATAGATGGTTCGATGTCGATGTCGATGCCAGTATCGACGTTGAAGGGAACGAGACAACAATGGTGGCAGAGTGATGGTGTGTATATGAGAGGGAGGAAGTGAGTAGTAGAGGGGAGAGTAGTAGTCGAAGAGGAGTTACAAGGTAGGAGTTGACAGTAGTGACAGCACAAACGAAGTGATGGAGAATGAAGGGACTCGGACCCAGCTCGCCAGGTAACGATGGATGGGGGAGGATGGATGGATAGAAGGACGAAGGACGATTGATCGAATGAAGCGGATGGTGGATGAGAGGGAGAGAGAAGACGACGAATTGGGTGGAAGAGAAGCAGAATTGGATACGAGAGGAATCAAATGTGACGGGAATGGGGGTCAGCGAGGCATTTTAGGGGGGTGTCTGACGGTAACAAATAGGTGCAGCGACGAGCAGTACTGAGGCAATACGATCCGTCAGACACCCCGCATTAATGAGAAGTGAGTGGGCGAGAGACGCGTGAAGTTCGAACCACACTGGCAAGCCACTTGCCTCTGGAACCTCCTACTGCACTGTCATGATTGGCACTTGAGCCTCAGGGTGCTGCAGGGGGAGTTCTTAGGCTCCTTAGGCACCTCCTCGGGTCGTTAGGCGCATTTCTGGGGGCGAGCCATTGGTCCCCAGGCCGCATGTTTAACTGGCGTGCAGGGGTTTGCGGCGCCTCCACCACCAACCCCAACTGCTCGGGCCCTTTCACTCTTTGTTAAGCACTTTTGGTATTGAACGTGCTGCCATTATTGAGCTATCCTTGTCACAGATGACAGCAGAACAGCTTCCTCAGCAAGAACAACAATCTTCTGCATACTTGAACATGCAATCGGCCGCTCCAATATGCATAGGGCAGCCTGGAAGTAGCCTAATTACCTAGGGTACTTGGTATCTACAGCTGAGGGACAACAGCCATGGAAACGCCACCGAAGGAAGCACACTTCCTTCCAGGTCCTCTTTGTCCCTATTGTACAGAGTCCAGGCCTGGGTTGCATGACCTCCATCCACACCATCGTCCCAACACTCGTCGATTGACTGGACCGTCCTCAAAAGCTATAATCTTTTCCTCGGTATCAAATTGGATCTAGGCTGAATAGGTGCGTGTTGTGTCGGTGTATTGGGTGTCAACTTCAGGGGGCACGAGGGCACAACTTGAGCCTCATTCTTCCCTCATGGGCTCTACGATCAGTTGAGTAAATACAGAGTACAGAAGTAAGTCCTAAAGGTAGAGACGGTGGGACACAGCTGTTTGTGCCAAACGTCGGACGAACTCTTGCTCCTCCACAATATGAACATTGGCCATATGGAGTCTGTTGAGTCCGTCGCCTATCGCTCGTTTCGGCGCCTGTGGCACCACAACGGGCATATTTGCTTACAAGCGACCAAAACTGACAGCGGGTTCATCTTAACTGGCGGTTCCCGGTTTCTGGGTCTCTCGCGAAGTCAAGTCTGCGTGGCCATCGCTGAAGCTCGTGGCAGCCAGCCATGGAAGATCGATTTTTCTCTGTAGGCACCAAGGGGGACAAGGGGGAGATTGCCTGCTCATCTTTACCCACAAGCCTCCCTACAGGTACCTACTACCTAGCCCTATTCTGGCGACAACGAGTCTCTTGCGCAGAGCCTATCTCGTTTGTACATTCCAGTGTCCACTCCGTATGTAATTGTTTGTCATGAGCGTTTCCCCTGATTCGTGGCTCTCGATCGCGAAAAGATCTGGATCCTAAGGTGCGTACCTACCTAGGGATGCATGGAGCCACATGGTATCCTAGCACATCAGTTTCAATCAGCCTCGCCTCTTCTGCGTGTTGGTACTTTTGACCGGTCCAGCGATCAGGAATCTGAACCTCAAATACTACGTAGCAGCATGTCATAAGCGGTCGAGTCTGGTTGTCGAGTGGATGATTATTTTTCTCTATGGACGTCCTTGATCGTCACTCTCAACCTGTCCACCATACTCGTATCGTACAATGTACAGCCTGGTTCTCATATGATGTACAAACCCCAACGATGATTTTTTGGTTTTTGCGCCAACCGTCCCATGCAAGCTGCCTGGATGCAAAATGGTACATGGCGTTTGATCATCACAATCAACAGCAACCGCCAGCTTACTTCTCCGTCTCCCTCTTCTTCTTCGCGGAACCGCTCGTTGCGTCGTGCGCCGCTTTAGGAATGATACTTGCTTCATCAATCAGAAACTCGTCGCGGACGGGGGGAGGGTTCGGTTCCCGGACGGTGATAGACGCCTGTCCTTCATGGATGAGCTCACGCTCTTCTGACATGGTCGGATCGTCATGCACCTTGACCTTGGCTTCTTCTTGTGGCATCTTGGAGCTTTCCAGATACGCAGGTCGGGGCTGGTCCTGGCTTGTCGTCTTTGGTATCTCTTGAGATGTGCTCGCAGGCTTGTTCTCCGACGACGTAGTCTTCTCCCTTGGAGATGCCGATGCCTTCGTGTCTGATTGTGCAGGCTTCGACGAGGCCGAGGCAGGCTCTTCTAGTAACCGACGTTGAGAAGCAGTATCTTGTCCCTGCTGCCGCTGCTGCTGTTGGGCTTTCCTCTCCTTGATCTCATTAACCAGCTCTTGCTTCTCGGCCTCTAATCCAGCGTCGAGCTCTTCATCGTCTTCCAGTTCACCCTTGTAGACCTCGGGATATCTCTGGAAACACTGTTGCATGTTCTGGAACTTGTCGATGCAGTCCATGCCTTTGGGTTCCTCCGTCGAAAAGACAAAGCACGAGAAAGCCTCGCGGAATTCCGGCCCACAAGGACCATGGGCCATCCCTCCAAGACATGGGCAATCCCAATTGATCTCACCGGTCTCCGGGTTGAATGCTCCTTCGTTCGCTGCCTCCTCTTCTAGTTCTCCAGCGGAGCCTGTGGATAGCGGCTCCTGTTCTTGGGCAGCAACAGAGGTCGAGGCATTCTCTGAGGATACGGCATCGGCAGCCGCATGAAGGACAGCGGAGTTTGATTCGGGTTGTCGCTGACGGCGCGAAGTCAATGCTTCTAACGGGGACTCCTCGATGATATCGTCAGCGGCATCGAGGTTCGGGTTCAAGAGATCTGTCAAGACACAGCCAGTCAGTATGCGGTGATGTCAAGACACAAGCTGCAGAAACCCGACACACGTACTATTCTGTGGTTGCTCGGCGAAAACGGGACTGGTGTTGTAATAGTAAATGCCAGCAATGGCAATGCCCCATCTAAAAAGGGTGCTCTTCCAACTCCTCCGTGCGTCCACCGGCGATGTGCTCACAAATCGTCTTCCCACGGCTGTCCGCGGCGCAACGAGACCAGGTCGAATGGCCGTCCGCACTAGTGATCGAGCGGCTGGTCTGAACATGGTCGAAATTTCGCGGGTTCCTCTCGTTACTGTCCTAGAGGCTCCAAGTTAAAGGAGACATAATATGGCACCGAAGGGCAGAAATGAATGACTGCGGCTAAGCTTGCGACGAGCCTGGGAGCAATGATGTTCTACAGAATTATTATTGCTGCAATAATGCAGGGATTATTATTAATTGAGACTCATTATTAAACATTTCTGCACTCTACATTAGTTTTGTTGCGCCGTACATATGGTACGACGGAGCATTCAGCATATCATACATACCTTACTCGTAGTATTACAAAAGATAAGAGACAATGAGAGGCATCGCCCTCCGCTTTGAGGGCATGGACAGACCTAGACGACCGAGAGCTGCAATATGGCGCCCATTACGGGTAAGGAAACGATATCATGGACAGGGACATCACTGACTGGTGACAGAGGCATACCTCACCACATTAGCGACTGCCGATCCTGGCCTCCCAGTACCGCGACCAACAACACCACACTGGCTGAAGGATCCGCACGCGCTGGCCCAGGTTCAGAGTGCATCGCTGCCCAAAGCTGTTGACGTCGTTGTCATTGGCTCCGGTATCACTGCTCTCAGCATTGCCAGAACTCTCCTGTCCCAGAGCCCATCAATCCGAGTGACGATCCTGGAAGCTCGAGCTCTTTGCTCAGGTGCCACAGGGCGGAATGGTGGCCAAATTGTCACATATGGCGCGGCCGCATACTCGCAAGCCAAGCGGGTGTTAGGCGCAGAAGCTGCGACCAAATTTGTTGATTTTACCTTCGACAACGTTGCGGCCATGTCAGAGGCCGTCAAGGAGTATGCCATGACGGAGTCCGAATATCGTCAAGTCAGACGGATCCGGTGCTTCACCGACCCCGAGTATTTCAAAAAGGCCTGTGAGAGCATCGCGGAATACGAGCGAGATAATCCGAAGTCGAAACATATCAACACCTATACTGTTGTGGACGCCCAACAACTGTTGAAAGTAGGTGATGTGGAACCCGTGTAGGCGACGGTTGACTCACGCGAAAATAGGATCATGGCATCCATGGCGTCGCTGGTGGCATCATCTATCCAGCAGCAGCGTTCTGGCCATACCGCTTTATTGCAAAGACTTACCAAACCCTGCTGAACCAGTATCCTTCACGGTTCTCGATCGAAACCGAGACTTCCGTGACAAGAGTCTTGCACGATTCTCAGGGTGAGAATGTATACCCCTATGCTGTCGAGACTTCGAGAGGCCTGCTCAGGGCCACTCATGTCGTTCACGCCACAAACGGCCATGCGGGTCATCTTCTGCCGGCACTTCGTGGTCGCATCGTTCCATACTGCGGAACGATGACGGTGCAAGACTACGGAACGGCGGTGCCTAATCGGGGCGACCAGAATACATGGAGCGTCCATCAGAAGCCTCAGCTGGACGAGTCCACTGGGGCCCTTGCCTCCGGTACTTACTACGTCCAACAAAACGCGGTGACGGGTCAGTTCTGGTTTGGTGGTGAGTTTAAGACGCTCGAAGAGACGTTGAGTGCGGATGACTCTTCGAAATCGGAAGGTTCGGTAGAACACCTGAAGCAACGACTCGCCCAATTCTTCGGCCTGAAACCTCGACCTGATACCTGCCTCGTCAGTGCCTGGTCTGGGGTCATGGGCTTCACCTGTGACGGGTTCCCACTGGTGGCTCGACTGCCCAAGTCCTTGACGTCTCGTGATGGAACGGGCGAATGGATTGCGGCTGGATTCAACGGCATGGGCATGTCCATGTGCTTGCTCGCGGGCAAAGGCCTCGCCCTGAAAATTCTTGGTTTTGATGTCAGTGATTGGTTCCCGGAGTCTGCCTTTGGGCTTTCATCAGACCGTCTGCAGTCCCGCCTGACAGTGCGAGCAACGGTGGACGACTTCTTGAGCGACTATCAGTCAGCTATCAAGGCTACCAAGTCTACCAAGGATGCGCAAGTGGCGGAAGCAGGGGGCATAACTCAAGCCAAGCTATAACCCGAATACCTATCTCCGCTTCACTCATGCTCCGCTGCCGAGGATCATGCTCCAGTCCTTCCAAGCCGAGTAGTATATGGGGAACTCGAACTTGACCCTGTAGATTGTGACGGGGATTTGCCCAGTGCCCAGTGCCCAGTGCCCCAACACTGGAGCCGTTGAAGCTTTGTCGTTCGGATGAGATGATGCGTACCCCCTACTAAAGAAACTGACACGGACACCCGCTATCTCTCGCAGCCAAAAAAGGACTAGTCCAGCCTGACTCGGTACTCTAGGTTCACCTAAAGCGGCAGGAACAATCTGAAAAATGGGTTAATCCAGAACAGGGTCGCGCACGCATCTGACATTCAACTTCATACATGCGTCCAACATGGCAGCGCTCGACTGGTACACTTACCTTGCTGAGATCCTGGGACTCAATCGAAAGCATCATGGAACCACGGGCATACCGACGTGGACTCTACATACCGCGCGGGAGGTGTTCGTCTGGCTCGGATCGTGCCACCATGGCCCCCCCAGCCCCCAACCCGAAGCGCCGGGGGCCTTACAGCGATTGAGGCGCTAAATTGCTTTGAAACAATTCTAGATCATTGCCGCAGCCAGGATGCTGTGCGACTACAGGCCGACGCGAAATGGGCTGTGCCAGACTGCTCGCCAACTACGTATCATGTTGGCATTGGGACATCTCACAAAGAAAAAGCCGGTCTCATTGTCGCCAGATCAACGACAGACAGCCTTATAAGAGCTCGACAGAGACATAAACCCGTACGGTCCATCAGATATTGTCAATATCTTCGACCCCGATGAGCTAAGTCATCTATGTTGTAAACATGTCACGACGAGGCCACCAGCCTTCTGACTCTGATGACGAGTCCAACCACTTCGGCGGCGGCCTGCCATTGCGTCCGATCATTCTACGAGACCAAATCTCCTTCTCAGATGCCCCACTCTTGAGTACGGACGATGAACAGTCGCAATCTCAGCCTCGACTCAGTAATAGTCGTGGTCAAGAGCAACTGTTTACCCGCGGCCAAACAAGCTCCACTGCACCAAAACAACCACGTTCGCAGTATACTGCTCTCCCGCATGAGGATACCGTCGGCACGGTTGGCGACAAGGACAAAACAACTGTTGCTGACTACTCAGTCCAACTCGATAAGCAGCATTGGAAACCGGTTTCGCTCAGATGGCCTTACTTGGTTGCCATCCTCACTATCACCCTTGTTCTCGGCCTGGTCACCATCTTCCTACTGGCTTATTCCGCTGTGCACGACGGCCTGGGCGACGATGATGGTTCTTCTGCCATCCTCTTCGGATGGCGGTTTACACCCACCATCGTCTCAGTCTTGTATGCCATTCTGACGACATTCACGTTCAATGATGCTCGCCGAACAGAATCCTTCGCGCGCATGTCCCACGCGGCTGGCGCATCCTCCGCTTCAAGCTTGTTGAAAACGTTTGGACCGTGGTGGGATGTTCTTGCGGACAGTTTCCGTAAACGTGAGAATCATGGTCATATCAACTATTTTCTTCTGACAATTGTACTTGTCAATGGTATCGCCTCCCTGCTCATCAATCCTCTTTCCTCGGCCTTGTTACAAAGTGAGCCTGTGCAGCTGGTCTCCAAGGCGCCCTTCACTCGGTATGCGACGACCGAAGATGAGCCTATCAATATGGCGGCTGATGACCTTGTTTACTTTCGCACGATCGGAAATATTCTCCAAAACATCACGACATCGGCCTGGTTGACAGACAAATACGCCGTCGTCCCCTTCTCGCCATCATCGATGGCTCTAGACCTTGGTGTACCCCAGACAGAAAAGACCCAGAAATGGCAAGCCAACACAACCGTGATTTCTGTCGATCTAAACTGCGAAGTGATGACAGTCCGAAAGGCCATCTGGGCCCAGAATTCCACCGAAGACGGCGAGGAGTATGAGACACAGTATCACTCATTGTTGCTAACAGATAGTCATGGGTGTGAGGCCGGGATCAAGGGCTATAACCAATACATGACGTACTACGGCGGAGGATCATGGTTCACACCGCCACATATAATTTTGCCAGTATGGGATGACTCCTATTCGGCCCAATATTACAATGCAACAGCCGAATGTGCGGACCGACAAGTCGTGCTGTCCACAAATGGCACCTGGCAAGGGGACAAGACAGATACTTGGAATGATTATTTTAAAGCTGGCGCATGGTCCTGCAGGAGTACTTTCTACGCCGCCGACATGCTCGTCACCGCGAACACCGGCTCGAGCGGGACTACTCTGGACATCGATGACTCCACTTTCAATGCTCGTCGAAGTCGCCTGTCCCCCAACCTCCTCAACCAAACCCGCTTGGAAACGGCGTTCTTGAATCGCAACTGGACGAACATGATCTATACTCCAAACACGGGCGCTCTCCCAAACTTCGGAGGGGTGTCAGCGCTTCTAGCTGCCGTGTATGATTTCAACGCAGTGAGCATGATCGATGCAGATTCTGTTGGGCAGGACGCTCGAAGAATCAAACAGCGCTTCTTGGGTGAAATGATGATTGCAATGATAGCGCAGAATACACCTGTTCAGCAAACTGGCCAGATTACAGAAAGTCCACGGAGAGTCATCGTCAACCTCCCCATCGCCGTCTGCCTGATCGTGCTCTTCTTCATTTGTGCCGGCCTGCTTGCGATGGTATTGGTTCTGTCGAAACGACGTCCACTGAATCTTCACGAAGACCCTGCTTCAGTGGCGGCCGTTGTCAAGCTCATTGAGGGCAATGCCGTCATACGTAATTGTTTCAAGGTGAGAGATAGAGGAGACTCTGGAGCAAAGCCGGACCGGACATTGAGCAATACAACCCACTTTCTAGGTGGTGGACTTTTACGTTCAGTCAAGAGCGTCGATGAAGAACCAGGTAAGGGGAGTTGTCTGCATCACGATTGACCTCTCTAACATTGTGAACAGTGCCTGTGCCTGATCGGCGTGAGACGAGGGACGACTGGAGACCCTTCGCAATACGGCGACCAGGGGGCCTGCTATTGTTCACACTTTTGGCGCTTGTATTTGCAGCGATTCTTGTCCTCTTTGTGTTCGCGCGTACGACTGGCCTCTACGAGTCTGCATTTACCTACCAGACCGACTTGCTACCTTCCAGCAGCGACCTGTTCACATTCGCGCCTTATTCGATTGTACCCACGCTCCTAGCTGTCATTGTGACCCTATGGTGGGGTGATATCGATGAGACCTTCCGCAGACTCCAACCGTATGTGACCATGGCGCAAAAGGCGGTACCCGCCACTCCTAATATTGGTCTATCGTACCTGGCCGCCCATCCGCTGAGTTCTGTGCCGAAAGCAGTCAGAAACCAGCACTGGCTGGTTGCACTGGTGTCTGCCGGCGCTATTCTTGGGCAGGTCTTCACAGTGTCAATGTCAGCGTTATGGCAAAGAACCGACGGAGCTCGACCAGGGGACATGATTCTGACACGCACGCTGGAGCTGCGAACTCAGCCGTTTGTTTACGTGTATGCGGTTGGCAGCTCCATGGGCGGGGGCGACCCGGAGGGCCAGGAGATACTTTCCAGCTTCTACGGCGATCTTTCTACGAATTGGCTCTACTCGGCCACGCTGGAACTTGCGTACAACGGCTCGCAACCTGCTTGGAGCAGTGATGGGTGGAGTTTCGTGCCACTGGATCTGTCGTCGATCAAAGAGTCCCAGATGTACAGGCACACGCCCAGCACGAACACTTCCTCAACCAATGCCACCTCGTCGTCTGCCAAAAGCGTCAATGTCACCGTGATAACTCCTGCACTACGGGCCACGATGGACTGTGATCCGGTTGGATCGACAACCAATATATCGAGCTGGGTCACAGAATGGGACCTGACCGACCGAGGGATTTGGAACGTCTCGCATAATCCGACCTCGCTGAAAAAGGGATATGAGATCAACAAGCAACTGGAATTCAACAGCACGGCCAACTTCTCGACCACTCCAATCCTGAGTCGGGAAAGGACGCTACTATGTTGCGCCAACACGTCAAGCCAATCGTCGGAATCAGCTGCCGTCGGGTACTGGTCCGGCAACTATGGGCCAGGGCTGGTATATGATTTCGAAACATCTTCCGGGCCGTATCCTCGAAATTTCACCATGAAATGGATCAAAGGCAATGCCGCCAAAGACTTGTACTTGATGAACTCGAGCTATGCGCGGTCCAATGGGGAGAGCGATGATTTCCGGCATCTGATCTGGAAAGAGGCGCCCAGCATGTCTGCACTCAACTGCCGACCGCGGATCGAATGGAGCAATGCCAGCGCGACGGTCGACATGGCTACGGGCCGGGTGTGGAAGTATTCCATCACCGACACTCCCGAAACGGTAGACTGGCCTTGGACCGACGTGTACTATTCGCACAACTACAGCCAGCCAGGCGACGGGGTGGCTGCCGGTGTGGTTCACGACCAGGTGACGGTCAGCTACGGCGTCTTGTTCCAGGACGCCCTGCTGTTCGCGTCTGATCTGCAAAAGCTGTGGCCGTCCGGTGGCGGAACGTCCTCGTGGGTGGAAGATCTGGCCGACAAGAATTTCAATTTCCGTCTTCCTCCACGCGGCCTCAACACCGATCTCATGTCTTACTCCATGTACCAGCTCGCAGGTGAGGATCTGGATGTGTTGATGGACCCCGCCCAGATGGCGCAGCTCGGGCAGCGGGTGTTCGCCACCTTCTTCCAGCATTTCATCTCCTCCAACGTCTCGGCCAGCGGCGGCTGGGGATTTCAACAGATCGGGTCCACCCTGCCTGGAGATCTGGCTCCGATCATCCATGAGGCCTCAGAACATTCCATATACCAAGACCAGAACACCAGCCTGACCTCGGACACGAATGCTCCTGTCCGTATCGAGATCGCCGTCGAGGTTCTCCAGATGTCTCCTGCCGCGGTATACATCACGTTGGTCATTTTGTTGATCCTGGGCCTGATCACGATCCTGGTGTATTCCGTGGATTACCGACATCTGCGCAAGCTGAGACACGACTTCGATGACTTGGCTAGTGTCATCAGTGTTGTGTATGACAGTCCGAAACTGCAACGTTGGATCCGGGAGCATCCTGATCCGAAAACATGGTCGCAGAGGACGTCTCCAGATCGAGTCCCTCAAATTCAACTTGGGCCATTTGTCGGAAGCGATGGACGGGAAGTTTGGGGTATAGAAGTGGTCGATGGTGAAGAAGGAAGGCAATAATTCTCAAGTACGATCGTCTTTTGGATTTATCGCGACGTCGGGGTTCGAGGTCTGTGGGTGCCCTTCGTGGATATGACTCCTAATCATTCTCAGCATTTACGGCCGGCGTCATCCTTTCTTTGCCACAGCGTACAGCGTTCATGGGATGCGTAGAGGGCGCAGTACAGGTAGACATATTAGCTATCCTTTTCTGTCTCCCTCAATCTACAAGCATGACATTCTCCTCCAGGTGGATCGGTCGTCAGCATGTCTCAACAATATCTCACCGATCGACAATGAGATCTATACTAGATGAAGATTGTGTATATTTCAAATTCTACAATGTCGAAAGTGGCCACCCTGACAAACTACACAGAAAATTGCCTTGCCCCGTACCAACGACTCCCATGCCACTGCGACAGTTCATCATCGAGTATCTTGATATTAATACTTTCACTCCCATTCAAGGTTGATACTGTATTATTTCGACGACAAATCAACCTCTAAGCAAAAAGCAGCGAGATATTGTGTAGCAAAAGCACTAGCGCAGCCTTGGGCGTCCGAATACAGCCGTGTCCAAGTCAAGCTGAAGTCAAGCTGTCATATTCTTGTCGTTGTTGTACAGACACACATCTCTTCAATCGTCTACAAACTCATGACACAACTATCATCTCCCTCATTTAGCTCTTCTGCCAGAAGGATCAATCAGGCACCTTTGTTGTCCAAGTCCACCACTCGAGGCTGTCGCTCTGGGAGCTGGGACACTACGAGTTGACCTATACTGACATATATATACACTACACACCACACAGCGTACAGCGTACAGCGTACAGCGTACAGTATACATTATATATCACGGGTTGATTGTTATATTGTGCTTGATAGCAGAAGCAGGAGCAGGGCCAGCCAGGATCACTGTCCACAATCTACAATCTACAGTCTACAGTCTACAGTACACACTAAACACTCAATAACACCACTCAGCCTATCCAACAACAAACAGAAACTCAATAATACCAGCAGGTCTCCACGTGAACCAACTGAGCTCAATCTCTATCTACCTACGGCTCAGCAAGGTACTCTACAGGTCATCATCGGGGATTGACAATCTGTGAGTGATCCACACTTGGATCTCGACTCTCAACATCTTCGAAGCCATTGTCGAACATTACGTATTATCTAACGACGACTCAAAACTCAAGACCCAAGACTCAAGACTGAAACTCAAATGTCATCCACCAATCCCACTGGTGGTAACTCTACAGCTACCACCAGCATCAACGTCACAGATAGCGCCACCGACAGCAGCACAACAACGACAAAAACAATAACAACAACATGGTATCCCACCGGTCTTCTCAACGGCCATCCAACCAACCCCTACGCGCTCATCATCCTCAACCAGCCGATCAACCAGCATGCCTTGGACGCGGTCATCGACGGCGCTGCGGCGCTGGTATGTGCTGATGGCGGGGCGGATCGATTCTTTCGGTATCAATTCGGGTATGATTTGGTGGATGGGGAGATCGACAATGTGAATCAAGCCGAGAATCAAGCTCAACGGCAGCAACAACAGCAACAGCACAGATCAAACATCCAAACCAAAAACGACAACGACAGCCGTAATCGACGACATCGACATCAGCAACGACAACGACTCCCCGACGCGATTATCGGAGATCTAGACTCTCTAAGTCCTGCAGTCGAAGAATATTATCGCGGCCGCGGCGTCACGGTGGCCAGGGACCCGGATCAATATGCGACGGATTTTACGAAATGTTTGAAATGGATTCGGAAGTGGACCGAACTGAAACAAGACATGAGTTCGACGAGTTCGACATCGAAACCGAACCCGAACCCGAAGGCGAGTCCAAGTCCAGACACAAGAACAAACACAAACACCAATACAAATACAAATACAAGTCCAAACACAAACACAAACACAAACACAAACACAAACAACATCATGGATGTCGTCGTTGTCGGCGGTCTCGGCGGCCGCGTCGACCAGGCCTTCTCACAGATCCACCACCTCTACATGGCCGAGACGAACACTGCGTTGCTCCAGGGCCGGATCTACTTGTTATCCGAACAGAGCTTGTCGTTCGTGCTAGGGAATGGCGTCAACGTGATCCATGTCGAGGAGGAACAACAAGAACAACAAGAACAACAAGAGCAGCAGCAGAAAGAGAATCAGAAACACAAACAGAACTATTATTTCGAGGAGAACATCGGTATCATCCCCGTGCTTGGTCCTACTCTGATCACCACCCGTGGTCTGGAATGGGATGTGGAGAAATGGCCGACGCAGTTCGGTGGCCAGGTGAGTACCAGCAACCATATCCGTTCCCCGGAGATCCAGATCGCCTTTGAGGGGCCGAGACCACTCTTCACCTTGGAACTTGGGCGACGGTTCGCAGCCAATACCATCATCACCACTACCGCCGCTTCATCTTCATCTTCATCTTCTTCGGAAGAGGAGTAGTAGAAGAATCTACCGCAAGCCGATAGCTACCACAACCCGCAACCATGATGACTGCCACGATCATCCTGTTCTCATACCACTCAACTCTCTCGCCTATGATCCTATTTACCGGCGTGGAGATACCAAGTTAGACACTGTGGAATTCCACTGGTAATGGCTCTCTTTCCCCTGCAGGCGCCGCTGAACATATCTTGTCGTGGACCCGACGCGCGCATAGTCGGAGGAAGTGCTTCTCCCGCCGCAAACAAGCTATTGACAAACAATTAGATTTGTAACGGGGGATTGTTAGTGCTTGGCTCAACCTCTTCCGAGAGTCTCTGGATATCGACTGTCACCGTTGCAGGACCAGTGAGTGGTACTTGCTGGAGACGACCAGGCCAATTTCGACGTTCGGCATTCGGCATTCGTGGGTGCTGTGTCGCGCCATCGCATTCGAAGCGAGTAGCCTATGGATATTTCGAAAGGCCAACAAAATGGCCGGATGTCCGTATGTTTCATGTCCTACACAGGGGCCAGAATGGCCAATCAGCCTGGCTTCTTGAATAACCGGGGACTCTTGTCGGTTGACGAGCGAAAACCGTTCTTGTTCTCGTTTCCGCCATTTGCACCGGTCGGAGTTGCATTCTTGGTGTCATACCAGTCCACATCTTTGAGATTCAGTCTCCTTGCTCGCGGATTGTTCCGTCCGGCTCTCTCTGCTCGGCTGAGAGAGGAATTGAAGGGATCCGGGCCTGGTTTCACAATGAGTCCTTTAGTATTGGGGTTCCTCTTTAACGGGGGTTGCATAATAGGGCCAGAGGGAAATCCATTGGGAGTACCATCATGTTGATCATCGCGCAGATCATAGTTCAGAACCAGGTTTTTGATGCGCTGCTGCTCCTCTCTCTCCGCCGCCTGCTGGGATTTCATCGAAATAGCGAAACTCGAGTCGGACGGCAGCTCAATCGTCTTGGTCTGGTCAACTCGTTAGTCATTCACACCACATTCCCGCGGCTAAGGATGTCACAATCAGATGGAAGGGAGAACTTGCTTGTTGCCGATTTCCTCGCTTGGTCATCAAGGAGAATGCCATGGTGTTGGGTTCGGGTCGAACCTCGGCCGGCGCCTCCTCATCGACGGTTTCGGTCGGTGCTCGTTGGATTTTGCGAATCGGGAGCGGCACATCGAACTGGGCCTTGCGCTCGAACTTGCGAGAATCTAGGCTTTCGGCCATCATTTTCTCGAAGGCTCGGTCAAACTCTGCTTCAACTTCCGGGTCAACCTGTTCTTCTTGACGCAAAACAACAATCTGTTCTTCTTCGTCCGAGTCGACATCTTGTCTCTCGTCGGCGCTGTCCTCTGCGGCTGCGGCTGCGGGCTGTGTCGGGTCAGTCATCAATGTTTGCAGTACTGAAAAATCCTTTACCTCGCCTTCGTCATCCGAGGACTGCGCAATGTCCGCCTCAAGTTCGGCATCGACTTCACCATCCTCGGAAGCTGAATCCTCGTTGTCCTCTGCCTGCTCGACAGCTCTGTCATTACCTTGTTGCTTGTAGTTTGCATTGACCGCTTCTGCAAATAACCTGGCGGCTTCCGCGAGATCGGTCACCAGTTTCCAATTCGGTCTCACAAGCGAAAAGGTGTCTTGTACCATGAAGTCAATCTCCATGGGAAGCGGATCCTTGGTCAGCATGTAATACTGAAGGAACGTCAAGAAGAAATCGAGCTTCTTTCGGGAGCTGCCTCGGTCAAAGCAGACGCCACAGGTGTCGAGGATCGTGCAAACCAAGCGGATTCGAAAGAAGTCATCCGGAGGATCGAAGGGCGTGTAGTTGTCGGGCTGAGGAGTCCCACCTTCGTGACCAAACGTCAAAATCCGGTACAATGTGTCAAAGATCACGGTCGAGTCGATCATCTTGTAGTTGTAGAGCTCGCCGAGGTACTTGACTTCGGCCACTCTCCGCTGGTTGAACTTGAAATCGTTCTGTTCGAGACCAAGCGTGATTTGTTCCAGAATGTTATCTATCACACTGATTGCAAAGTCTTGGTGGTATCGGAAGAGCGCCTGGAGCAAGACCGCCAAAAGATGGATGTTGCTGAATTTGACCTTTCCAGGCTTGCTGAAGATCTTTTCAAGAATCTCAACCACTTCCTTCTCTTCCCAGTGCAGCTTGCGGATGGTCTTGAGCACCTTCATGTAGTTGCGTTTGGTCAGATCGACGTACATTAATTGACGCACGAAAAGCTCCATTGGCGTGCGTTCTTTCTGCTGGATCGCGGCTCGCTGCGGAGGATCAACATAGTAGAGCGCGTTTTCAATCAGCATACGCTCCTGAGCTCCCATATGCTGCGCTGACTTCTTGCGGTTCAAGGTCTCCAGAAACGAAGCCATCCGAGGGGCGGTCTCAGGGTTGCGTAGGAGATAGCGTCCACAATTTTCCAGCAGATGAGCAATGATTTCAATGTTCATCCGGGAAAAGTCGTCCAAGCTGACTTTGAGACAGTGGAAGATAACGTGCTCGGGGACAATGCCAAATTTCGTGAGTTCAGCCAGATAACGAATGTTCACCATTCGGACCTGTCCCAGGAAGTCTTTGCTTTTGCGTCTCTGGAGACTCCGAAACTCGTCGTCAAGATGTCCCACCAATCCCTGGGCAATGTCTGGCATATACTGACCAAGAGTCGCCGCCAGGCGCCCGTACAAGGGAAGTAAGTCTGACCGGCCCTTGGGAACTTCTTGCAAGGCTTTGATGAGGCGGTTGCGCGATGCTTTCGAGTTGACAAAACAGAAATCCAGTGCGATCTGGTCGACCATGTCCTTGGTTTGCAGGTCCGGCAACCGCAACAGGAGAGCATCGACCTGAGCACCGACGGTTTTGTTCGCAATCGCGGTAGATTGATCATCGTTCTCGGGCGGCTTGCTGGAGCCGCTTTCGGTTCCTGCAGCACTCGAATCTCCCCGCTCTTCTGCTTCAGGCTTCTTCTTCGAATCCTCAAGGAGAATACTAGGAACTCGGCCCTTGAGGTCCATTAGATTCTCATAGAAGCGACGCTCTTCTTCATCTTCCCAAATCCCGGCGCCATCACTGGACACCTTGAGATAATCTCCGGTCTTGATCATTCCCACGCTGCCTGACAATGAGCTCTCTGCGTTTTCTTTCTCGGCAAGATCTGGCATCTCTTGGCCTAGGACGTCACAGAGCACCTGTGCACCGGCAATCAGTTTTTCTTGCGCCTTCATCTGCTTTTCATGATTGGCTTGTCGGTCTTCGAAGATTTCACCACTCTTGACATATGCCTCTGCGTTTCGGCGGCCTTGATTGGTTAACGATTTTTGATTTCGTGTGACATGGCTCTTGACACTCGCCAAATAACGCTCGAACACATTGATGAATCGTTGTCGAATAGGTTGTGGAATGATGGGTTGGTCTTCGTCGGCCAGGCCGCCAGGAGTGGTATCCTCTTTGACGCCTTCCGACGCAGCACCATCGGCTTCGACTGTTTTTCTAGCTTCCTCGGAAGGTGGCTTACGTCCTAGAATATCCCAAGCGAAGTTCTTGACAAAGAGCACGGCAAGACCTAGGTTGGCGTGTTCAGGGTCGTGTCCGAGCAGCTCCTTCAAAACCTCAAGGGGGAAAGGGTCATGTTCGATATGAGCGTCAGGGCGGGTACCGTTTGCGACGAGCTTCGGTTTGGATTCTGCCTGCGACGAGTTGTCCTTCCCCCGGGCTGTAGCCTCGTCGGGGCGATCCACATCGTCCAGACTTCGAAGAATACCACACAGCCAGAATTCCGTGACCACACGAAGAAGAATCCGGTGGCGCGAAAGACGCTCCTTCTCTTCACGTTCACGCACTTCCGGACTCCAAAGTTTCATCTGAGCCTTGTCAGGCGGTGTCAACCCCTTGCCAAGCAACCATGCCAGCTGCTTTGTGAATTCTGCAGGTCCGAATCTTTGGTGTAGCGCGCTCACAACCTCCGCCGCCGTTGAGATCTCGCTGGCGGTCTTGAGTTTGCTCAAGCCTTCGGCAGTCGCAGAGATGATCTCGGAGAGATACTTCTGCAGAGATAAGGTGCGGACTTCGGAGAGAAGGGAATCTTGTGCCGTCGAAGAGAGGCCGGTCCGGAGACGTTTGATAAAGGCGGTGTTTTTCTTGAGAGACGAGTCGAGAGAGGGTGCCACATTGTAGACATCTGCGACATTTATTAGCCGTGTCGGGCTGGAAGGGAATGCAAAGACAACACCTTTTGCGCCTGCCCAGACGCGCAGATTTAGGTCACGTAGCTCTCCTATCCCTGTGGTCAGTATCTTTCTATCCGAAAAGGCCGTGGTCGACGCACTCTTGCGCTTGCGGTCCATGTTGGTCCGCGATGTTGTAGAGAGTGTTGTGACGCTCGCATGACGGGAAATGAAGGAGTCTAAGAGGTCAGATTTCCTGCCTCATAGATGCAAGAGCGGATCTCACTGCATATATGTCACGCAGCCCTACAGCAATCATGAGATGGTGAAGGTAGACGGTGTCTTTGGTAGAGTCGAACTGGAATCCCGCCGCGCGATGATGAGCGCCAAGCCAGGATTGAACCGTATATCTGGTAAGTACCTGTATTGCTCCTAACCAGTAATACGTAAGTACAGACTCGAGGTAGTACGGAGGCCTTAGGCTCTTATTCTAGGTGCCTATTAGTAGCTTAGGGAGGTTCCCTTAGGTGCCCTGCCCTGCCCGGAGATAACCAATAAATAGCTGTATCGATGACAACATCCACTGCAGGCAGGAACTCAAGCCTTGTGCCGTGCAGTGGTACAAGTCTTAGCGTCTACCAGTAAAATCCCAGTACAATTCCAAAAAGCGATCTCAGCCTTGCTCAAACAGCATCCATGATCAGGCATTTCACATCAATTTGAAGGGTATCTAAAACTCCGCGGCTAGGACCTTTGTTTACTTCCAGGTTCACGATGTCCTACAACATGTCCTGCAATCTCATGCCGTTGCTTCGAACCTACACTTCCTCGCCAAAGATACGGGCCTTCTGCGCTGCCAACTTGCTTTTTCTTGCTTCTGTCAATCCGTGCTCTGCCGACTTGCCATCCTTGCCCTTTTCGACCTTGGTCTTTTTGCGAGAACCAACCTGAGGGCCTTTTGCGCTTTCCGGGTTTCTTTTCCGTTTCTGACCTTGATCATCCTCGACTGCCTCATCTTCCGCTGCAACGGCAGCAATATCATCGGCTTCGGTCCAGAGGTCGTCGGCCAGCCAAATTGGCACAGCCGTTGAAGATTGACCCTTGATATGGATGCCTCTTACGTTCCTCCAGCCTTTGACAACGTGCTTCTCAACCAGATTTTGAACGACTGCAGCAATGTTCTCGGCCAGTTGCTCGGGTTTGAAGGAGACGAGGCCAACACGCACGGCTACCAGCGTCCCAGGTCTCAAACTGACCGGAACCGCAGCGATGGCTTTCTCTATCTCCTTTGCAAGTGCTGCCGGTGATATGGGCGGAGCTGATCCATCATCTTTTTTCGACTTTTTGGACGTCTCTTTCTTGTCTTTCTTGTCTTTCTGCACTTTCGCGATTGAGACGGGAATGGGTCGTTTCGAGGTGCCTTTATAAAAGACTTTGCCCAGGACGGCGGGCAGACGAGTGATTATGCGGTCATCCGCGAGGAATATATCATGCTCCGACAACAACAGCCTTTTCTGATCAAAAGTCTTGTATCGGGCTTTCAGTTTCGTGAGGCCAATAATGCGTGTAATGCGTGATTTCAGCTCCGCCGGAAATGCAGGATCGGCCACGACATTCTTGACCGCTCTCTGAGGGTCTGTGGTAATCAGACATATCCGAAGATCGGGAGAGGTGTTGAGTGGGTGTGGGACTGAAATCTTGCTGGGCTTTAATCGAGTCTGGTCGACAATATGCTGCTTTGTGGTGAGGGTCAGCCATATGGGAGCCTCTCCGTCTCCGGCCACATCTTCTTCGGACTCGGACGTCTCGGCAGCTAGAAGGCTTTTCTTGGATGAGGCCTCTTGTAACCGCTTTGTTTCGGCTTGGACATGTTGTAGAAGGGCTCGAGAGGCTTTGAGGGTCTAGGGTATGTCAGTTAGCGAAACGCTACAAAGAAGTGCAAACGAGACACCAGAATAGCATACCTGATCGGGGTTCAACTGGTAAGGTGAGTCTTTGGGATGTCTAGTTGCGACCGTCGTTTTCGGGGAGGTTGCGACAGCCATGATGCTGACGTTGAGGATGTTTTGGCTTGACTGCACGGCGTAATGAATGAATGAACGAACGAATCCTGCACTGCCAGTGTTTCTTTCACCAAAAATTTCAAGAGTCGGCGACTAAATCGAGACAGGCCGATGCGGAGCCCACCAGCCACGAATTGTAGATGGCAGGTTTGCCGAGTGTGGGGACCGTGATTTGCACGCGCGATTCTCCATTTATTGTGTACACGCTTGTTGACCGCGCTTTGCTACATACAATTTACACCACGGGCACGTCAAACAATGGAGGCAGACCACCTCCAACCTGCATGAGTCTGTCCAGGTACCTCTTGAAGATGGCTGGTCCGATCAGCAGGCTATATCACAGATGTCTACTCTCTGCCGGCACGCTCTGCATCAGGTCTTTCGCCCCAGTGCCCGCTCTTCAGTCATTTCCGTTCTTCAGTCGTGCCGGAGCGTGAGGAGAAGCGTAGTCCCGTTCATCACCTTCTTGCTCGCAGTAGTTTGTAGCCAGGAGTCCCAAGTGAACGAGTACACACTACTATCTAAACAATTCACATCATCACCTCTAAACTGTCCTCCATCCTCAAGCATTCACATTCTCAATGCTGGGAAAATTGACGTAGCTGGCGGGTCCCGTTTGTTGCAACTGCGCCTGTGCGGAAACGCGCCAATTCGCGAATTGGCGCGCGTAGTTGTGCCGTTGCTTTTCGAGGTCCGTTTCTTTTTCACCTCCAGTCGACCTCCTCTTGACCACCTTCCACTTCACTGTTGGGTATGTCTCGTGTCCAACTTCTCGAGTCTGCCGCTGAATCTCTACGAGCGGACTCGGCAATCCAGCCGTGTATCTTGTCTGCCGAGGACGCGCCTCAATCTGGTTGTCGCCGTCCGCTCGGCCACCACCATACCTCCACGACCATCTAGATAGCTTGGGTCAGGGCAACACCATGCCTCCCTCAACGTCTCTTTCAGACACCAATGCAGCTCCTACTCCAGGCTCTAAGAGGCCTACCGCGTCCCTCCTACCCGCGTTTGAGCCTCTGTCATCCTCGCCGTCTTTACCGAGGCCTTTGAAGCGGAATCGAGATGCCTTGGACGAACGCCCAACATATCCTACGCCAGTGCCCACTTCATCTACTGCGATACTGTCCTCTTCGCCGTCACGCGTTCCACTGGCCAAGTCCATCCTCCAGAAGACCTCGTCCACCCTTTCAGAACGTACTCCTCTCGGAGCCGTGCCGTCCATTCGACTCAATGGTGACGGCAAGATAGCGCGTATGGGACGGTCCAGTGCTTCTTGTGACTACCAATTGTCGGCCAATCGTCTAATATCCAGGGTTCACGTCGAAGCATGCTACAAACCTGCAAGTTCAAGTCTAGAACGCGATCGGGTGGAGATTACTTGTACCGGGTGGAATGGCATCAAGATACATTGCAAGGGCCAGGTGTACGAGGTCAAGAAAGGGGAAACGTTCTCTTCAGATGTTCGAGATGCTGAGATTATGCTTGATGTGCATGACAGTCGCGTGGTAATCATGTGGCCTCCGAAGCCCCGTCTGGGTGCCATCTCATCGGATGACGAGGAAGAGGAGGATTCACCCTCAAAACGGCCGCGTGTCATGCTACGACATTCCACACCACCGAGCCCAAGTCCCTTGCAAAGCCGACGACGACCTGTCTCTCCAATATCCCCTTCGCCGGCTGTTCAAGCCTTGATGCCATCCTCGCCGCCTGTTCCTCCAAGTCGAGCGGCGGTCGAAGCTGTCGAGATATACGAAGACCCCGAACCACTACAGAGAGTGAACGGTACCACTAACGTTGCAGAAGTGTCGCAGAATACGGTGGCTCTGTCAGAAAGCATCCAAAGATCTACCGTCTCGCAGAACAACATCTCCACCATGACGGAGGACTTTTCCGACAATGACGAGGAAAACGATCCGATTGTTCACTCTTTTGGACCATTTGGAGCCAATCTGCTGCCACGCATGGCTGCCTTCACTACTGGAGACTCTCCTAACCCCAGTACTTCTGTCAAGACTTCACGATCATCACATACTGAACCGCTTCAACCTAACCAGACTTCCACGCAGCCCCAGAAACAAACCCCAGAAATTGACGTGCAAAGCCACATTATTAACCAACTTGCGTTTTCAAGATTGTCATCTACTCCGCTGTCAACCATTTTGAGTCACCTCCCTCACGAGGCTGGCGTTCTGTCCATCAATGATATCAAGAGAATCATCAAGGAGACACCATGCATCGGTGAAGTGGCCAGAGAAGGAAAGGACGCGGCGGGGAAACCTCTGGAAAGCGAGTATTATTACATCCCAGACGAGGATAAGGATGAAAAGAGGAAGGAAGCTGTGGTGCATGATCTCCGCAAACCCGGACTACGAGCATGCCGCAAGCAGCACAAGGTATGTTTTCCAAGGAAGTACACAACCGAGAAATGGACGCTGACACACGCCATAGCAATATTTCTGGCGAAAACCGAAATAGTCCCCCATTCAACACCGACCGCGTCGTTCGTGCGAAAATCAGATGGCCGGGACAAGACGTGATGGTCTGCTTGGTTTCCTATTGTTAGCTTCTTCTGTTGCATACTCGTCCTCCTGGGATGTCGCTGTCCAGAGTGTTATATGTCTAGCGTTCTCCATTGTGCATAGCAGAGGATAGGCAAGGACGGCATCTCTATGGCGGGAAACATTGACAGGTTTTGTTTGCATGCGGTTGACGATTGCTCGAGGTTGCAGTCATCGAGGTTGGCCGGGAGCGTTTGCGGTGGTTGAAGAAGAGCCTCGGGGCCGGTATGACAGTCAGTCTATCCCCGACATTCGGTATGGATGGGTACTCGGCTTGTACACAATAGGTCAATCGAGATTCTTTCGCAAGTCAAGCGGGCGGTTGTCCAAAGTACCAAGTACATCTTACGTCCTACTAGTCTGTAAGTATCTCTATAGAGATATCGACCGGGGACTGGCCGAAATCGGAATTGTTGGCTTCCGGAAAGAGCTCGCAGTCCACATTTCATTCCACAAAAGTTCCCGAGGTTAGACTCTGTATAGATCTACGGCGGAGTATAATGGAGCGAACCAACATGTTGCGGACTCAATGATAAATTGTCGGTGATCGCACTTGGTATCCCACTGTCAAGCGACCTGACCTTTTGAATTCCTGTTGCATATTGCTCGAAGGCTTGTGCAAGTCTGGCGCTATGTTGTCTATAGCAAGACAGTCGGCCTTGCGGGCAGTGCGAGCGCAGACCCCCTCGACGTTCCTTTCCAGTTTCACACCCTCACCATCGTCGTCCCTCGCGCGACTGCTGTCGACGCTGGCGATTCTCGAGCAGAAAGATGGCAAACTCAACACCGGGTCTCTCGGCGCGGTGACAGCGGGTCAGAAGCTGGGAGGAGCGGTCCACGGAATCGTCGCGGGCAAGAGTGCCAAATCGATCGCCGAGGAGGCCGCCAAGGTCAAGGGCCTGGAGAAGGTGATTGCGGCGGAAAACGAAGCCTACGAGCGCGGGTTGCCGGAGAACTGGGCGCCTCTGGTGGTGGAGAACATCAAAAAGGGCGGGTATACACATGTGATCGCGGCGCATTCGGCGTTCGGCAAAAGTCTGTTGCCCCGAGTTGCTGCGTTGCTCGATGTCCAGCAGATCTCGGACGTCATGTCCATTGAGAGCGAAGACAGTGAGTGTTTCCTCCCACATATCCTGGCCGGTTCACGGACAAAGGAGAAAAAGCCTCTTTCTGTTGTGTCGGCCGATCTACTCACACGGCGATTTGTTTGGTACAGCTTTCGTACGACCCATCTACGCGGGAAACGCGATTCTCACGGTCCAAAGCACCGATCCGATCAAGATTCTGACGGTGCGGCAAACCTCGTTTGCTCCCGCCGAGACCGAGGGCGGCTCCGCGTCGGTCGAGGACGCCGTGGACCCGAGCGCCGCGTCGCCGACCGAATGGGTCTCGGAGAACCTGACCAAGTCGGACCGGCCTGAACTTGCCTCCGCCGACAAAGTGGTTTCGGGCGGCCGAGGCCTGAAGTCGAAGGAGGAGTTCGAGCGATTGATTCCGCCGTTGGCCGACGCTCTGGGCGCCGCCATTGGTGCTTCCCGCGCTGCCGTCGACAGTGGGTTCGCGGACAACAGTTTGCAGGTCGGCCAGACGGGCAAGAACGTCGCGCCGCAGCTCTATCTGGCGGTGGGCATCTCTGGGGCCATCCAACATTTGGCCGGCATGAAGGACAGCAAAGTGATTGCCTGTATCAATAAGGATGCCGACGCGCCTATCTTCCAGGTCGCTGATGTTGGGCTGGTCGGAGATCTGTTCGAAAAGGTTCCTGAGTTGACGGAGAAGCTCAAGGCACAGTAGTCGGGCTAGAAGCGCAAAAGCAGGGTGTCTTTGAGGGTTAGATGGTGAGCGTTGACACCGCCAGACGGATGGGAGGCGACACTCGAATCCAGATCCGGGGTCTATGTCAGTGCCACCGCCGAGGGTATGAATATATCGACATGAGTGGACTATTGGGCCCTCGGAAGAGGGATATGAATCATCAGATATCTGAGGTATCTGCTCTGTCCTGTCGAAAGGCTTGGATATGGAGGAATGGTATTCATCACACAAGAACAGCTCTCTCGAGACAGAGAGCATGGTACTCTTACACCACAATTCTCTGGAGAGTCGTTATGCCTAGACCTCCCTGGATCTACATCTACCATGACCTCTCCCTCCATCTTCACCCTTGTTTTGAGTCTATATCATGCATCTTACAGGGTACATAACACGAGTAAAGCCACAAATACCTTAGTAGGTACCTACCCGGTACCTATACGCTCCTAGGTAGTGTATCCCCCATCCCCCACAATTGAGCCGGGGCATGGCGTACTAGTACGGATGCAGGGGACTGCCATCAAACGTGCTTCGCATTTGGATACGACAACGAGTACGAATACGTGAGCTTGAACTTTGAAATCTGTGTCTTCGGGTTATGTAAAGGTAACTTCGATGGGTAAAGTATATTGGCTCATCGCCGGCATGTCACCTATAACAATAGCAGTAATGTGGTGGTAGTGGTGGTGGTGGTAGTACGTAGTGGTTAACTCATAGGGTACCTCTGCCAGATAGGTGTCAACATGCAATGCAGTGCAGCGTCGAATAATGTTTCTTATTTCTTACATGGCCAGTGCTGGCAGTGGTGGATAAATGGATGGAAAGATACGTGGCATCCCGCTGGAAGAGTCATCACCCGATCCACAGATTCCACGCCCTACTACCTTAGGGACCTACACAGTCACAGTCATAGTCATACCAGAATCCCTCGTGGAAAAAAGGGTGGCCTAATGGTGTTGATCAATGCATCAATTGTCCCGTGCCCACTGGCAGTCCCCTGCAGTTCAAGCTTTTCGTGATACTCGTAGTAGTATACAAGCTGATGCTTACCTAGGTAAACCTACCTACAGAGATACCATACCGTGGTCCATCCGTGGTCCATCCATCATCCGCGTATGAGCCTATTGGGCTATTACCTCCATACTATCCTATACCTCTTCTGGCAATTGGCTGTCCAGACTCAATACGATGCCCATGGTGCAGGCGCCCTCCTTTTGACAAGTGTGGCTTCTGCCTGGTGCCTGATTCTGACTGCCGGGCCTGAACCGCTGTGAGTCACGAATGATACTAACTAGAGTCTAGTAGTTTTGGGCCTGGCTTTATATATTGAAGTTGGATTACGACTGTTATAAGTATCTCACATCAGCCGCTTCTTCAAATACCTTTGCCTTGGGTAGATATCTACATTGCCCACTCAGAGTCACAGCGACAGAATTACAGTCTTCAATATATAAAGAAGAAGCAGGTCTTGTCGGTCCATATTCAACTATTGTTTACAACACACCATAGTTCTTCACTGCAAGAGGGCCGCACACTGCACAGTCTAGGATCTCAATCCATAAAAGAGCTCCCTTCACATATCTGCCCACTCCAAGAACCAAAAGAGTCAGGATTCAAAAATGGCCCCTTCAATGTCCGAAAAGGCTCAGACCGTGACAGACGCTGCCTCTGTCCGGAGTACTTCGACCATGTCGAGTCTCAGGGCCCTGTTGCCTTCCCGGAAGACCGATTCCGACAAGAAGCAGAAGCGTCAATCGAAGGCCGAGACGACTGAGGGCAGGGCCGTCAGGATGCAGGCCAGGGCGGATTATATGGCCATGAGATAAAGAAAAGGACGACGCTAGAGGAAGACAATGAGAGGAGAAGAGGAAAAGGAGGAAGGAGGCACGGTGAATACTGTGATGCACAGATATATGAATGACGATGAGGCGGTTCGGTTGTAGGAAGAGGGGGCATTGATTCCTGTTTAAGTGATGCATATATATGTGTGTGTGTGCTTCCTTAGACGTTTTTGACGATCATCACGTCTTCATGAGGTTCAAGAGGGAGACGAAGGCGAAAGTTTCTCGTTGTCGAACTGGATCTCGAGGTTGGTGTGGACGTCGATGCTAAACTTGATGAGGCTTCTGCAGATATTGGTGCTCTATATGGGATAATTGCAACTAAAGCTGGTTTTTGAATGAACAAAGAACAGGTGATCTGTATCTGGAACGGGCTTTGGCTTTGATGACTCCAAGACTCAAGTTGATCGTCGTGATCGATCGATGCTGGATAATGCTGATGGGGCTATGGTTGTGAATGAAGACTGTCAAGCTCGAGACCGATCCCTTTCATCACGTCTTCGTGACCACGATGGGAGTAACTAGCACGTACTTTCTCATTTAGTCAAGTTCCTGGTGGCAGCTTCATTGATTGATGCTGGACCTGACATCAATGAGCCTGCTGCTGCTTATGTCTGGAGTGTTAGATCCGAAATTCTATCTGCGTGGATAGTAAGTGAGCCAGATGAACGCTGGTCTGTTTGTCAAGTCAATGGGATGAAGCGTATCGAAGACCGAAGACCGAGAGAACGATGAACACCACTCACTGTCCCCTCCGCACCCATCAGAGAAGTGGCATTCTTCGTGAAAGGGTTGAGGCCGGTGGACTCGTCCAGTGCCTTCATCTCACTCTCATGAATTTTCTCGTTCTCGGATTCGTCCAATTGTCGGCCTTGAGGAAACTTCGCGCGTCGGCGGAGCCAACCAAACCCTCAGCGGTCGACTTTTTGGGGCCATCTCGCTCATATCGGATTTAATGAGTACCAGCAGAAACCCCTTGTTCAACGTCTTCGTATCGTTGCCCAGGGCCACAACGACGAATTAGACCTCAAATCGATGATTCAACCCGTCATATGGTTTCGGGAGACTGTGAACTGTAACATGACACACTGTCAAGACTCTGTATAAGGTCCGGTGTGGAACCTTCCCCCCAGACGGAGGTTGATGCGCGAGCATTTCGGCCGAGCAGAATGGCTTCGAGCGAGCCTCACGTGATCCTCCCATCCTTTTGCTCAAGAATCCGCCTCAAGACGATCCACAGAGCCGAAAGAAACAATCGTGTTCAGAGTCCACCTTCGTCAAACGAGCCAGTTGATCCCTCAACGACTTTTCTCGACGGACAGCGGGCGCGATCAATCTTGAGCGAGCGCGGGCTTAGGGCCGTACTACTAGTAGTAGGAGGCCTGAAGTCGACTCCAACGAAGCCGGTACGATGTACGATACCGATACCCCGGACGGCGCCAGGATTAGGCTAGTGGCTCCTGTCGAGCCAATCAGTCACCATCCCTTCTCTATCCAGGGCTTACAAATCGACCCATTGTGGTTCTTTTTATGTCCGAGTCAAGCCTGTTCCGTCATGCTGAATCTTAAGACCGAAGGGATCTGCCAATTTTCGCGGCTAAAGGCTTCAACGCTTTGATGCGCGCCGGGCTAGAGAGACCTTTCGGGCCCGGGCTGGGGAGGCCTCTCGGTCTAAACGTCGCATTTGGTTCCGACTGTCGCGTTTGTTGATGGTATATTTGTTATCTCCATTTCCTCCGCACCATGGGAGAGTCGTGTCTTTTATTTGCTATAAATCAACTTGCAAGGTCACTTTCTACTTCTTTTCGTCACTGACTGTACTTCTGCAAATCTTTCCTTGACGAGGAGTGAGTTCTCCCATTCGGCATTTCACGAGCGATCATCGCGTCCGATCATACAGTAGGGGCCGCAACAATCATCCTACGAACGACCCTTCAACAGAAATCAACATGTCGGAACGGTTAGAGAAAGAAGTATCCACCCAGGATGGCGGCGAGGCTTCTGTACCTATCACTCCAAAGCCAGAACACTCGGCGTCTACCGAGGAGTCGTCGCTGGAACAACCTCAGAATGAGACTCCGAAAGCGCCCCCATACAACCCTATGATGGATCCTGCCGCCTTCCCTGACGGCGGACTTCGAGCTTGGATGACTGTGGCCGGATCTGCTGCTTTGTTTTTCGTTTCGTGGGGGTGAGTTATTACGCCTGGATACTCCCATATCTACCATGCATGGCATCTCTCTAACCCCAGTCTTCAGATGGATAAACACGCTGGGAATCTTTCAAGACTACTACATGACCAACGAGCTTAGCTCCTATTCACCCTCCTCCGTCGCTTGGATCCCCGCATGCGAGACATTCTTCATGCTCGCCGTGGGACCAGTTGCAGGCTACATCTTCGACAACTACGGGCCGCGACACCTCCTCTTCATCGGCACTTTCATGCACGTCTTCGGTCTGATGATGGCGTCCATCTCCAAGGAATACTATCAGTTTCTTCTCAGTCAAGGCATCTGTTCCTCCATCGGCGCCTGCTTCCTGTTCAACCCGGCCATGAACTGCGTCACGACCTGGTTTTACAAGAAGCGCGGCATGGCGATTGGTGTGGCCGCTTCCGGCAGCGCTCTGGGTGGTGTGCTGTTCCCGATCATCGTGAGCCGCATGATCGACGAGACCGGCTTCCCCTGGGCAATGCGGACGTGCGCCTTCTTGATCTTGGGTCTGTGCATCTTCGCCATGCTCACCCTCCGCTCTCGGCTCCCGCCCAACAAACGCCCCTTCAACATCTGGGCCTTCATACATCCGCTCAAAGAGACTCCTATGCTTCTGACAACGATAGCCGTATTTATCTTCTACTGGGGCATGTTCCCTGTCTTCTCTTTCCTTCCATCCATCGCGAATCAACGCGGCATGTCTCTGTCCCTGGCGCAGTATCTGGTCTCGATCATGAATGCAGGCTCGATGTTCGGGCGAACTCTGCCCGGCATCCTAGGCGACAAAATCGGCCGGTTCAACGTCATGTTCATGTTCTGCACGCTCACCACCATCTTGGTCCTCGCCCTTTGGATTCCGGCCACGAGCAATGCCGGCCAAATCGTCTTCGCGCCCCTGTTTGGCTTCAGTTCGGGTGCGGCCATTGGATTGACCCCGGCTCTGATTGCCGAAATCTCTCCGCTGCGAGAAATCGGCATCCGGACAGGCACAGTCTTCGCCGCCGGTTCCATTGGTGCTTTGACTGGCAGCCCGATCGGCGGAGCTTTGATAACGCGAGACCACGGCGGTGCTTTGTACATGCAGCTCTTCAGCGGCTGTACGTGTGCCGTGGGATGTGTGTTGTTTCTGATCACTAGAGTTTATATCGGGGGAACCAACCCGATGAAAAAGGTCTGATTGGTGGTTCCACCGTCAGAGCAAAAGTTCGAGCGACGGATCCTGTACCAACCATAAAACCATAGCACTCCGCTTAGTGTCAATAGAATTATGCTCCTCACATGTGTACTCTGTACTACTCTGTAGGGAGCCTTTAGAGAGGTTTGGGGTTTGTGCTAGTGGGTTGCACCTGCTTGATTTAGTAGTGGGCCGAATCCCAATGTGGAAACTCGGGCCGATGCGGTCTCGGCATCAAGTTTGGCAAATTCCAACTTGGACGTCAACCGACATCAACATCAACAACAACAACTTGGACACGATGCGCACTACTGCCAACAATTCAGGACTCTCACATTGCTCATGGTGAGCTTGATGGGCCTCACCTGCCCCTATCTACTCCTCTGGGAGCGGAGGATGCCGGGGCCTCAGCGTCGTCGACCGAGGCAGGGAACGAAGTCGTCGTCGTAAGGATCGTCGACCTCCTCCTCCACCTCGTCGGCGACGACCTCCTTGGCAGCAGCAGCCTTCCTCCACTTGCCCGCCAGGCGAGCCACCCCTGCCATGTCGCCTTTCTCGAAGGCCGCGACGATGGCGTCACACTTGGCAGTGACCTTGTCGGCGGCGACGACTGCGCGACGAACCTCGCCCTTCAGGGCCTTCCTCTCCTCCTTCCAGGCGCCTGCCAGGATGGCATCGTTCCTGGCCTCCTGCAATTGCTCCTGGATCTTCACATATGCCCGGCACCCTGCCTCCAACTCTGATTGGCTCATGAAGATTGGCCAATCAAGCTTCTCGAACATGTTGCCCAAAACACGTGCGTTCTCCTCCGTCCAAAAGTCCGGCAACTGCACGGCCTTGGCCTTTGCCTCGGACTCGTGCCACAACACCACAACGACCTTGACCATGTCTCCTTCCTTGCGTGGCATCATGTTGACTGTCATCCACCACTTCTTGTATGCCTCCTCATCCAGAAAGAGTCCGCGAGTGACGTTTCTGATCGATTTGGTGGAGAAAACGTTGGTTGGGCCGTAAGTCATGATGCCGGCGAACTTGGTTTCTTTGAGTTTCATGTTTGAGCGCTGGAACTCGAGGGGAAGACTGGTTTTGGCAATATCTTTGATGGCTTCGATCGTGTTACATTTGACAATGTCTGACTCGATCTCTCGTGTGAAACGGCCGTGAATAGGGACTGCGGCGTGGATCTGAACTGGGAGATAGTCTGGTTCGAAACCATATGGACCGGTACGTGTTGCATGTCGCTGAGCAATTTGCTTGCGCTCTGCTTCTTCAATACGCTCCCATTTCTCGACAAGAGGGAATTTGGAGATCTCAATGGTGGTTGGGCCATGACTTGGGTGTATGTCAGGAGTAGCAGTTGGAGCTTCGGTAGGTTCTTCAGTGGTCTCGGCAACAGATGATGTATTGGCTTGCTCGTCGATATCAAGTCCACCAAATCTGCGGCGAAGAGCAGAGCGCTTGACCTTGTCGCCTTGTGCACGCTGTTGTCTGGTGCGTTTCGGGGCCATGATGATGGATCTGAATACGATCTGAGGGTCAGGTACGAGGGGTCAAGATCCGTGCAAGTAGCGCAACAGGAAGGTAGGCTTTGCGATGATGAGCTTTGAAAGAGCTTGAGGTAGTATGAGAGAGAACTGTTCACCGTCGAAGAGAGACTTTGATGAGGACGAAACTGTTTGGTTGATGGTGGAAGGTAGAGAAGAAAAGGTGAGAGTTGAGATGCGAAGACTGCGGAAGAGAAGTATGATATGAAAATTTCACGCGGTCGTGTGTTAACAGTGAAGTGCTGGCTATTCACTGCTGCGCAGGTGAGAGTAAGGTGAGGGCAAGGTATTACTGCGTCTATCTGTTGTTGATATTGGGGAGGCCACCCCTGGAATCGCAGCCTCGTCGCCAAGCCATGCTTCGTGCCACCGGCACCTTCCCAGCGTCCGCACATTCCTGCTGTGCCGACAGCCACCGAGGAAGCGAAAATGATGAACGACAAAAAGTCCAAAAAGTCCAAAAAAAAGATGGTTCCAAAGATTGGTCTTTGTATTTATAGGTATGGACTCCCAGCGCGAAAGCATGTATGGAGGCGGCCCCTAAAGGAACAGATGAACCACCCAAGGCAAAAGATCGAGATCCTTTAATTAGTGCTTGTGAGGCATCCAAGAGCTGTGGTCGTACCACTAGGTTATCGAACCTACCACGACGGGCGACAAAAATTGGGAACTTTTAACTTATGAACCTTCATTTTCGAAACAGTCACGTGTGAGCGTGCTGCTGCACGTGCTGCTACACCTGCTCCTGCCACAGCTGCCGGTGAGCGAGGGCTGTGGGTGGTCTCTCAAAACTCCTTCTCCTATTACCCTGCCTCCTACGGACCTGAATTATCTGCTACTGGAGTCGACATCTATTCTATCTGTACGGGACAACTAGCTGTCTGGCCTTAGAGGAGCTCCTTGAACGAGAGTTGGCAGCATGCTGAGGGAGAATGCCTGACGGGCAGTCCTTGGTGCTATTGTCGTCCTTACCACATCTATTGGCTCTGCTCACTGCAATCAGGATCTCCTCCTTATTCTGTGGGCATGCTCGGCGGTCCAACCTCTACAGCAACAACCCGGAGAACTACAGGACCGCCGATCGGAGCCTGAACAGCCTGTTTCTCTCGTCGAGTCACAAAGTTGACCGAGACTCATGCAGCCTTCTCCTTCACCCCTCAGTCCGCCAGCAGCCATCCTTCCGGGATGCTATCAGTAATATCATCGAATCAAGACAGCCCGAGGTGTACATCGAGACACCAGGATCGGCCTGACCGGTGAGAGGGAGCCGTGGTCCACGAGCAGAAGAAAAGCCTATGCAGTCAACGATGCATATACTCTGAAGCAGCCATTGTCTACCAGAGAGATTTGTTGTCATGGTCACTCGGAGTGCAGTGGAGCAAATACATATCGAAAAGGCTGGAGGTGACAAGCCAGCCTCACCTCAACATGCAGTGGCATGTACATGAGTAGCGCACTTTTCCTCATACATTGTCAATATGATGACCCTGGCTTCTTTGCAACCGAGTACGGCTAGCTTGAAATATGACCAGGTTTGTGGGCGAGAGTCGGCATCTCCCACGCCGATTAGCAGCATCCGACACGTCTTTGTATCGAGCGCCTTGCGGGACATCGACGGGCAATAGCTATTCGCTCCACTTCGGAGGCGGTCCAGCCAAGGCCCAAACCGTGGAGGCACTGGAAACTAAGTACAGCGCTCTGGATTAACGACAGTCACCGGCCTACCGTCGGTTCGCTCTACCCAGGTCGTTATTCCCATCTGCAGCGCGGCTTCCATCCTGTCACAATCTATGTACGGTCACTTGCAAGGTGCCAAGGTCTGCTCTCCCTCTCTTACCCTTCTTGCGGAGGTGCAATGAGATACGCAGCACAGCAGAAAATAGGCTTGCCGTCCTTTACTTTCCATGCGCAGTGGAGCGATGTAGGGATGGCGTTGCCGCGACGAACCTAATTTACTAACGTTCATTTTATGAAGTGATGCTGCAGCTTTCTTCTAGTTCAGGTCTTCCCACCTATTACCGTTTATGGACGAGGTTTCGCCTAGGCATATCGTACTTTGCCTCTGAGATTTGCTAGTTGGGAAAGGCCTGCCCTTGGGACAACACATAAACCGCCTCGCGAGTGAACTAGTGTTAGCCAGGAGCCTTGGGGTCTGGCGGTGAGCAGGACAACCTGGCTCCTGACACTCAACTTCGGATCAACATACAACTAATTCTCGGCCCATCTGCGAACTTGCCAGGTGTCATACCAGCCTGGCAGCTTGAGATCCTTTTGAGATGACGGCATGGGGCATTGCGTGTCAAAGTTCGATCCGAGAAGTTCAACGATAGGCTGAACCAACTGATCAATCTCACCTAGCGTTGAGGGCATCCTGGTTGCGAAGAGGGTTGGGACGAGGGTTGGGACGAGAGTTGGGACGAGAGTTGCGAAGAGGCAGCACGCGATTCTCGAAGCGCCGTGGGCGGCTTGCTAGCCCCTGGCGGTAACCGGGTCGCTACGAAGGATTTTTCCGAAGCAGAAGACCGCTCACACGACCAAGTGCGAGTTTTGCAGACGAAAAGAGAAGGGAGATTCCATCACAATCTTTTCGACTCGCATTGCGCTGTAGTTTTCTCTGCACCTGGGAGCCTGGGAGCCTGGGATTTCTGGTTGCCCGACTGACGGGGCACGCCAGCTATTCCAGGAGAGGAAATCAACAGCTATTTAACCCTGGTCAAGACTCTGCATCGTCACAGTTGTCTCTGCTGCGTTGGACCATCTTGAGAGCTGTTCAAACTTCGCAGCCTAGGGGAAGGGGTCAGAGGCAAAGAAAGTCCAGCACGAAGAGACAATTCTTGAATTTAGTGGACTATAAAGATGCCTTCCAGCCATGCTTTTGAAAGATGGCTCTCCTACTTCTTCAGAATCTTCACAGCAGCCTGGCCTTCTGGACCCGGAGAGCCTTCATTGTCTGTGGTCCTCTCACCTGCCTCGCTCCAAGGCCAAAAGGTCTTTCGCGCCATATACACCGCTTCACAAACACCCAGGGCTGAATTTGTACAGGGCTACTCAATCGTAGGACCGGAGTAGCTCCAGTGGCATCAAACCGACGATGCCGAGATGTAACAAATGTTCTCGAGACCGCCAGAGGGTGAGTTGAAACGACAGATCCATCAAGCAGGGCTAATCCATTACTCTCTGTCAGTGTGATCCAGGACTCCCTGGGAAGGCGTGTCAGCGTTGTGCAGGCATGAAAAGGTTGAAAGAAGAATGTAGCTTCTCTACCACCACGGACGCCAGCCGTGGTCAAACAACGCCATCGTCTGCCCCTCCTCCTGCTATTGCTATTGCTGCTCAGCCTTCAACATCCTTTACACAGCCGGCGGCGCCACCAAGAGGTCCGGGAGGATCAATTCAATTAACACCACAAGCTGCTGCTATTGCTGCTACTTCCAGGGGACAACACGTCCTACATGGCTTCCAGCCCGCATCTGGCCCATACTTTCTGCTGTATGTGAAGCCGCTCTTACCCCGGCATATAATGAGCAAAGCTGACACTGTCCAGGCCCAACGACGGTCAAGAAGGTTTCGACCCTCCGATTGATCCTCGCATATTGCATATCGGAACCGGACCATCACTATTTCCACGGCCGCCACCCTACGAGCCTACCGGATATAGTGGAAATCTCTCTACTAGCGATGCTGGCTTCCACTCTTCGGCTCATTCCTATCGGGCTCATTCCCTTAACAGCGGGGGTGATCCCGTCTACCACCGGGAACATCCAGAGCAAAAGATCATTGATGATGTCGAGGATGAAGTTTTGTATGGTGATCCAAACACCTGTGGCATACTACGCCAGTACAAGGAGAACAAGGCGGGAAAAGGAAAGGGCAAAGGGAAAGAAAAGAAAGAATACGGATATTGAATTCAAGAAAGAAGAGCACCGCCAGCATCCTGGCAAAAAGTCAACCTCATTACATTCGTTTACAATGGACCTTGGAATGCCTTAAAGAGTCGGGAAACCGGGGGCTTCGTCAGATCACACCGCTGGTCGAGGACGAGCGATGAAGGATGAACCGTGGCACAATCTCGATGCCAACGTGACGTCGTGGTCAGCCATGGACCCTTGGTTGGACACTGCTTTCCTTGACACAGTCTTTACCGGTGATATCTATGTACGCTTTGTTCTCAAATACAAAGCGGGCAGGAACAGCCATCAGTTCGAACGGATCATCAGTCTTGCAAGGAAAATAATAAAACATCCACTCGTCTAAGTGTTACGTACAGTGGGAAGAAGGTATTGGGGGATACTGGGAAGTATTTATAAGATGAGAAAGCGAGTAAGAGCTCGTTTGCTACTACTTCCGGAGTCCATGGTTATCAGAGTAAAAGCCATTGGATAGAAAGGTTGGCAAGGAAGATCAGGATATATATTGACGTGACCTGCTGGGAAACTAGTATATTCTTATCAACATAAACTTAGCAGATTCGGCTTGTGATCCCATCGAAGAGTTAGACAATTACTATATAGATTCCTCGACTATGCGGACCATCCTGATATATTCGATGACAGGCGTTGTTAGGATTGCATACCTAAAGTATCACTGTATCGTATGTATCTACTACTACTTAGGTAGTAAGCGGCACAGTCGGTGTAAATGGCGAGCGGACTAATAAGTACCTGGCGCTGTCGAAGCCAGATGGGTCTCTACTACTATACCGACTTCGGTTATTGACAAAGACCTGGCGGAGTAAGTCACAGCCTGGTCTGAATGCTTCAGCATGGTATAGTATTTCAATGGTTGGCCAGAAGTGAACCATGGCTCACGAATACCACATGATGCCGACCTGGGTGACTTGTTCAGCGAACGTGCGCCTCTCTTCCGATGTGTCCTACTAGTACGTGTACTGTCAGTGGAGGGACCTTTTTTGTCGTCGTAAATGGAGAAGGGCAACAATTGGTTTATCCATCCGCCTTTTTACCAAGTATGGAGATAGATTGTGCACTCGCTCAGTACCCACCTAGGTAGGTATATACTACAGGTACGACGCCTTATTGCAGGTATAATTACACCCCGGTGATAAGATGTTCTTTTGCCTCATGTACTTCTCAAGATCTATAATCTTACGTGTTTCAGGTAGTATACTATATGAGGACTGTACAGTTGTACACTACTAGTATAGGTCAGGTAGGGCTAAGGATTTAACTGGTGGGTTGCTCGGGTCGGGGAGCGGAACTTGAAATGGAATTGGACTTTGGAGAAGTCCAGATTCGGGCGAACGAGCATGTTGGCTTTGGTCTGGTCTGGTTTGGTATGGTTGACTCCTAGACCTATTCGGTGCCCGCGAGGGGACCACGGTTAACCATGTTGGGGATTGTGGGGTAGAGATCGAATCGTCCGTTCTCGGAAATCGTGGAGAACAGCTAAGTACTAGGATGCGGGTTAGTACTAAGAAGAGAGGTACCCGAGAGAGGCATGAGAGCGCATGTAGTATATATACTCTCTGTACAATTAGTTCTCGGGCATTGGTGGAGGTGGTGACAAAATGTCTCTATCTTGTCGGTGGTGGTGGTGGAGGCCTGGCAGGATCCTTCTTTTATATGCGTGATGAGACTGATGAGGAAGCAAGGGGTGTGGTGTGAGATGTTAGTAGGCTCAGCTCAGGCCTGCAGCAAGTCTGTTTGTTCTACAGGCAGACGACATCAATTGATTGATGCAAGGTACCAGACCTGACACCTCTTCTCGACCAGTCGCATCGTAACACCGCAATCACCATCACCATTACCCAGCCCAGCCCTGCGGTGCGGTGTTGAGCGCCAGAAATAGACCACACAGGGAATCCCCCGTCAGCATGAAAATATGCAGCCAGCATGTGACGCTCGACTCTGTTTCCGAATTTCAGTCTTGGTCAGATACCTACTCGGTACCTATCGAGTGCTGTTATTCAAGAACAGGCCGTGGGTGACGAGCATGAACAGCCACATTCAGTGAGCAATTGTGATTATATTGTTCAATGTGCCTATCATCCATTTCAATTCATTTCAATCAATACTAATAAATGCAGGCCTCGTCTTCGATCGTCCAAACCAAGAATCGGACACTGGCACGTTTCACCACTCCAAGCCACTGACCCGAAAGACTCCAGAATGACAGCATGGTGGAGGAGAAAGATCTGACTCGAGGAATGTCAGAAGTCCCAATTGGAGTCAACCCAGACACCAACCGGCCTGAGGCCTGGCCAAGAGCTGAAAATCTTCATCAGAGACGACAAACTGTTACGAACACGGCTCTCCATAAGCCTTAGGAGCCCTCGGAATGGGCGCGGAAGACCGCCCCCTACGCTACAGGCAGAGGCATCATTGGCTCGGTTTGAGGCGCGGACATCTCTCCACTTCGGGACGCGGGAACAGGCCAGGTCTGTTGGCCATGTCTCATCCGCCGGCGCTGGCAGTCTGAAACCTAGCATGGGGAGGAATCAAGATGGTCTGCGGCGGACGGAAGGCTGCGGTCGACGTTGAGGGCGACGGCTGGAATTGTGTTACAAAACATCGTTGTGGAAAGGAGACGTACTTACATCTTGAAGGAAAGACAGAGAGGATCGATGTAGTAAGAAGTCTCGCTGGGTTTAGTATGGGCACTGGATGATGAAAGCTGATAAGAATCCCGGGGGAAGCTAGTTCCCTGGACTTCAACGAACCAGACGCCGAGTAGCCCGTCTCCTAAGCCTGTGGGTGGTCTCTGTCAGGCTCGGTTAGGCGAGAGGCTTACCAACTACACCCCATCCGTGCCGCCTAGCAAGCCTAGGGAGCCTCCTACGGCCAACTAAGACTGGGGCTTCCGCATCGTTTGTTTTTGATGGCTGTTTCTCGCCTCGCCACCTGGATTTTCGGTCTCATCCACCGCACAAAGGTGCCACAAGCATCCAGATACCAGCTGGAAAGGTTGGTAACCATCATCTCAGCACTCCAGCAAGCTCAAGTCGACTCAGGCTGGAGCCAGCTGCAAGCGAGCTTGTACTGTGTAACAATCATCGTGGATCTAACTGTGGTACCTAAACTACTACTAGTAGTAGTCATCTGAGGTCGACATGATTAATACTTTACTTGCATATCCGCTCTTCCATTCTCTGCCGTCCTTGTCCTTCGATTCTCAACAGGAATAAGTTGAGCACCGTCAGTGAGTGGCTCTTCCACGACAACTAGTAATAAGGAACCACCCGCACCCACACCCACAGGTGACACACTGCAGCATTTGGGCCCGCCTGCGCCTGCGCCTGCAACAGCCTGCCCCGGGAAACCCGTCGAGCCGTGTTGCATCCAAGAAAAGCTTCTTGTCTCTCACCACCACTGCACTACTACTATCACTGTCAGCACCACCAACAAAACCCGACGAGTCGCCGTTCCTCACATCTCCTCGCTTCCTTGTTACTCTTTCTCTGTGTTAGTATCCCGTCGTCACTCACTACTGCCATTGCCCACTGCAGCAGGCACACACACGCACACATACACACCACCTTCGCTTGGTCCGTTCCTCCGTCTACTGGTATTCGTCTTCTGGGCACATCCAACAATGTTCGGCCTTTGTAAAGCACTCGTTTTTGGCAGCCTGGTGCTCGGTGTCCTCAGCTCGCCGAGGCATACGGAAGAGGATGACAAGTCATTGGTGAACTGGGGTTCCTTCCAGGCCCTCCTCGATACCGTCGATCCGGCGGCACTACATTCGGTCCTACACTCGTTGTCGCCCAAGTTCCAGGACGGCGTGTTCAGCAAAGACCGTGCAGCCATTGAGCACGTCCACTCCGAGAACCCGGTCATCGCAAGCAAGCTCGTACATCTGGCTAGAAAGAGACAGGTCAGCAATACCACTGCCACCACCACGTCCTCCTCGACTCCTGCTCAAAGCACTGTCGAACAACAATCTAGCTCCCGAGCAGCTAGTGTCTCCTCCATTCTCTCGTCAGCCATCTACGCCTCCACCGTCCCGGGAGCGACCACCGTGACGGTTGCTCCTTCGACTCCCACCTCTGCCACCGCCGTCTCCACGAGCGATGGAGCGGTTGTTTTCAGTACCGTTGGGGGTGGTCTGGTCACCTTGACCTCCTCTGCCGTTGGGGTTCGGTTCACTCCTAGCACCTCCACTCACCTGTATTACACGACTTTACCCGACGGCAGTATCGAAACTTCGACGTCCGTGGTGGTCGTGAATGCCCCCGTGACGGACAGCCAAGATGCCACATCGGCAGCAGGAGCCGCGGCGACCACCACATCCAGTCCAGGATTGCAAAACGCTGCCTCCTCAAATACAATCGGCACTCTTCTCATGGTGGTCCTTGGTTTCGGAGGATGCATTCTCGCCTTATGAACAACGACAAATTAGCTCGGTGGTTTTCTCCGGCGGCTCAACATGACTTGATCCTTCTTCAGCAACGCATAACGACGAAACGGCTCAGCATTTCTCTCCTTTACCGCAATCTGCAACGGGCATAGCTTTTGGCGTTCATTTCATCCTCGAGCGAGGATTTTTGGTTTGGAACACTGCCTTTGGAGAATGGTGCAACCGGGTGTACACATGACCGGGGATTGATCTCGGACCGCACGAAACGGGTAGATGGCCAAGATGATAGGACGATAGGACGATGTTGAATGATCCACAACGACAAAAATTGAGGTCTGGTTCTTTGGGTGTCTGGACATAATTTGATGATCTCGGGTGAATATAAAAAATATCCAACTCGGTGTGCCCTATGTCAGTTGTGTTCGCGCGCATCGTTGGATGGATCCTTCCATGAATTGTCGAACGTGCAACCAGGATCCTGGATAACCGTAGAACAATCCTGCTGACGACACTGGCAGCCCGGATACCATACAAGTCGTTTATTCTGGAATGAAGCGGGCTGAGAACAAGCATCATCAGCCATCAACTTTGAAGAAGACGCGGAAACAAGACAAGATCGTCCATTGACCTACACCTCAATATGTAGTCCGCGAAAATATCAAGGAGGTTTGGTTTGTTTCTACCCCAATTTGCCTGGTGGAGTGCATGTTTCCATCCCTCGGGCTTAATTTCACCACAGCCATGGTGAAGCAAGGCCAGCACCAATCACAGAGATAGGTTGATCTCGAAGATCGTATGGGTAAAGAGCATAACAAACCTGTTACACTAGCAGATCTCACTTGTAGCATCAGGGGGATCAGATGGCCGTCTCCTTTCTTGAAACACCCTTGTTTCCACGACCGTGGCAGTGCAATCGTCAGAGAGATTTGTTTTGTGACAGCCGAGGGTTTTGATAGGCATATGATGGATCAACAGTCTTCTAGGCGCGGCTACGAGGGCAAGGGTCTCACCTGTATCTGTATCCGTTTGTTAGTGAACCGTCCGGCGGCATTGTTATCAGCGGCTCCCTCGTCTACCCAAAGTCCGTCATATTGGAAGCGGAATTGGCACTGGCAAGGATGGCTGTGTACTCTGTCCTCTGTTCTGGTGGTAGGTACTGAATCATTGTTGGGTCCGTCTGCCCATCATCCCCGGGTGTAATCCGAAACTTGTGCCAATCGATGCGTCCAGTCAGTGGGAAGTGGAGAGGGCACAGCATGCCAATTGCAACTCCTCCGGCGAATCTGTGAGGAAGTGCGAACTGTCAGTGGTTGAGAGACGGTTGTGGCTGGCACTAAGGGGTGAATCGACAGGGGAAGATGGCAGATGGAGTGGAAAGTGACAGGGTTTATTAATAAAAGCTGCGGTTGAAGGCTGGATGGCTCGTCTACCGTGTAGGTATGGTATCACCTGCAGTGCTTGCCTGCGCAGGCGTGGCAGGCCGCAGACTGCACACCCAACACACCCACACGCCTAGGGAGCCCACTAGCCACCGCCTACAGAGTAGCACCCAGGATCCACCAGTGCAGTGGCCATTGACCCCCGTGCCTGTAGGCTTGTCAAACCCCCGAGTTGATCCTTGTCTCGACACGAATGAAGGTCTTGGGTGCTTGCCTCTCCGCTCGGGCTCCGGCGCGTTGATTTGTATCTTGAACCTTCAACCTTCCTGCCCTTCACTTTCACTTCCACTTCCACTTTCCTCTTCTCATTCAAACCAAGAAAAGAGCAGTCACCGTGCGTTGTTTGCAGGTGTCGCTCCTCCCTCGCTTTTTCACTCACTACTCTTAATACCATTTCTTCTGTTGGGAATTCTCACTCCCTTGAATCCCAACCCTGATTAGTTTTGTTCTCATTCAAACTTCACCTTCGTGCCATTGCTACCCCCTTTGGTTGAATTGGAACCCGAAACCCGCCCAAGGAAGACCGTCGTCTATCATTCGCCTTGTAACGCCTTCGTTATTCTCACCATGCGTACTTCAACTCTTGCCACTCTCGCCTTGGGCGCCGCTGGGGCTGCTTCAGCCGCCGTGGTTAAGAGAGCCAGCGGTGTGACCCCGGTCTCTGTCAAGGGAAACGGTATGTCGCGGCCTAGACGCGTCCATCCGTCACCACCTGCATCGTGCTGACCATGCTGCAGCTTTTTTCGCTGGAGATGATCGATTCTACATCCGGGGTGTCGACTATCAACCCGGCGGTTCCTCCGACGTCGCCGACCCCATCGCCGACGAAGATGGCTGCAAGAGAGATATTGTGGAATTCACGAAGCTGGGGATCAATGCCGTCCGAGTGTACACCGTCGACAACACTGCGAATCACGACGCCTGCATGAACGCCCTGGCAGATGCTGGCATCTACCTTGTCTTGGACGTCAACACTCCCAAATACTCCTTGAACCGAGCCGACCCCAACCCATCGTACAATGCCGTCTACTTGCAGAGCATTTTTGCCACCATTGATGCTTTCCATGGCTATGACAACACCTTGGCTTTCTTTTCAGGCAACGAAGTCGTCAATGACCCCGAGTCTTCGGCAGCTGCCCCCTACGTCAAAGCCGTCACCCGTGACATTCGATCCTACATTCGCAACCGAGGTTACCGACAGATCCCCGTGGGCTACTCTGCTGCCGACGTCAGTGAAAACCGTCTGGAGATGGCTGAGTACATGAACTGCGGGAGCGACGACGAACGATCTGATTTCTTTGCCTTCAACGACTACTCCTGGTGTGACCCGTCATCCTTCCAGCAATCCGGATGGGATCAGAAGGTCAAGAACTTCACCGGCTACGGTCTTCCCATCTTCCTTTCCGAGTACGGTTGCAACCACGCCACTCGTGACTTTGATGAGGTTCTGTCTCTGTACAGTACTGATATGTCTCCCGTCTATTCTGGTGGATTGGTGTATGAGTACTCCCAGGAACCAAGCAAGTATGGGCTTGTGGAGATCAATGGCGATTCGGTGAGTGAGTTGACCGACTTCACTACTCTTCAGTCACAATTTGCGAAAGCCACCGACCCACAAGGTGATGGCGGATATAACTCGACCGGTGGTGCTTCTGGCTGCCCTGCTTACTCTTCGCCTAATTGGTTGGTCATGAACGATACACTCCCTGCTATCCCCGACGGTGCCAAGAAGTACATGACCCAGGGTGCCGGGACCGGTCCTGGTCTTGATGGTGCAGGTTCTCAGAATGCCGGTGGTGCCTCTACTGGGACTGCTACCGCAGGCAGCGGAACTGCTAGTCAAACTGGATCATCATCGAGCAGTTCCAGCACCAGTTCCGGTACCAATGCCGCTGTTTCCATCAAGGTTCCGGAATGGTCTTTTGCTCCGTTGGTCTGCGGCGCAGTCGTTGTCATGTCGACATTGTTTGGTGCCACTCTGTTGTAAACTGGGAAGAGACACAAAAGCTTACGGAAGCCAAATCGGGCCACTGTCAGAGTTTATCGAATACATGGTTGCCTTTTCTTTGTGTGGACAGGTGGGAGGGTTTTGGTCTTGGAGGCGTATCGAAAGTGCCTACCTAGAATATGTATGGACTTGACTTGATGCAGTGGATTTGCGTTTGCGGCAATGGACAATCAGATAATATTGACCGACGTCGATATTCGAGGCGTTTTTAGGAGTGACAATTGAGGATATGAACCATTCCAATGTAGCGAGCAAGACATCCAGTCCGTAAGCGCCGACGCCCAGGAGCGAGAAATGTTCATGCGTGTTGTTCTCGTTTTGCTGAAGTCAACGAATCTGGTTATACATAGCTAGATACCACTGGGATTGTGATGGAACCTGCCTTTTGCCCCGTCCCAAGTTCCTACTGACAATCCCATTGTTGCCGAGAGTGATTCATGACTGTAGAGAAGATGCCCCAAGGCTGAAGCAGATGCAGAGACACGTACTGGCATACCCCTAACAGGGAAATAAGAGGATATGGTCATGGCTCTAGACATTGGAGTAACTAAACAGATATATTATATTTTCATATAGCAAGATTATAGTATGAAAAATCCTGAGCCGAGCCGCCCATTTCCCATCTCCATTTCAGATGCCATTTACGTTCTGCGAAGGTCATACGTGGAGGATCATCTCCTTCAATGTTTGTGTTGTGTTGGTGGTATCCCAGGGGCCGATGAACCAGATTGGATTGGCGTTGTTGTTATTGTCGGTCTTGTAGATCTTACCATCGCCACCGTTTTGTGTGTATTCGCTGCTGCTGCTGTTGCTGAAGTACTTGCTCTTGATTCTTCTCTTTGCAGTAGCCGGCGAAGGGATGGTCTCCTCGGTGTCGCTATTGCTCTCAAGGGCTGTCGGTATAGTCGGCGTCGGTATCGTGGTGGCATTTGTTCGACCGTTTCGGCGTCTGGGTCCGATTTTGGCGTTGGCTTTGGCGGTGGCTCCAGTTCCGGTCCTTGTTCGAATTTGAATTCGAGTTTCATCGCCGCTTCGTGCTCTAGCGCTGGTTCGCGATCCCGACTCAGCTGCCAGCATCTTGAGCTTGACTTTCCCACCCCGGTCCTGGATGAACTCGACACCCTCTGCTTTGAGCAATTCCAGTTTCTGGGCCTGGCTCAGTCCCAACTGTGGCTGTGCCGTTTTGGGTGTGGACCTTTTGGCGGTCCGCCACTCGCCCTTGAATCCGCCTATCGAGCCATCACTGGCAATGACGCGATGGCATGGCACCGCGGGGGCGAATGGGTTACAGCGCAACGCACCGCCCACTGCGCGGGGCGATGAGCCTAGAGCCTTTGCGATGGCGGCGTACGTGGTGACTTGGCCGGGTGGGATGAGGAGAAGGTGGAGGTAGACTTTCTGCAGAGGAGAAAATATGGAGAATTAGCGGAGGAGGGAACTATGGGATGGTGTCTGCTGAATGGCATGTTTGATGGGCTTGGGAGATAGGGGAGGGACAGGAGTTTCCATGAACATGGAATTCAACATGAGAGGCATTGGAAGACGCAGGGAGCGGTAGGAACTCATGCTGTGGCTCGGTCGGCCAGCAATGGATGAGAACTTGAGGTGGATATGGGTTTGACACAGAACACTCGGTGTATGAGACGTTGAGCACTCACTTCTTGAAAGTCCGAAATGGTAGGCATTGTAAGGAAGAAGGCGGTGTCAAGCTTGTTTCTTTTTCTTTTTCTTTTATGACAGACTGGATGGGACGAGTCTGGCAAGGTAGTCCTCCTGTGGCTGAACCGCACCGAGAAGACTAGAGGCTGGAGGTGATAGTTGCGATAATCCTGCAAGAGGATGGAGAAGACGAAGACGAAGACGAAGACGAAAGGTTCAATGTACCCAGCAGAGAAATGAAGCAGGGGAATTGAATGATCGTCAACCGATCTGATTGTGCTGGAATGATGAAAAGGAAGTATATGGTGTGGAATGGACGTAGATATATATATATATATATACACACATCGGTCATCACAGGCTGGCGTTTCAGAGAATGCTATTGGTCACTTCCAGAGCAACAGACAGGATAACAGTCATCAGCACTGCAAGTGTATGGATGCCTGGCATATCTGTAGATAGCCGGTAATATGTCTCGGAGAGAGGACAGACACCTACCGTCATAAGTGAGGCACTGGATTCCTCAACAATTCCATGAGCTGAGCCTGCTTTGAACACAAAGTGTGAGGTATAGAAAGAAGGGTAGTAGGGGAAGAGAGGGAGGGAGAGATGATGAGTCAGCGATAAGGAGTCAGGGGTTCCAGTAAACACGGTCAAAACGCGCTACCACGTGACGTGGTGCCGAATTGAGCAACTAAGTGGTCACGTGTTGACTGTATGACGTCCTCTTCGTCACAACGATCCCAGGGACCTTGGATGAATTTGAACACACACCTGTAAAGTAGGTGCATAGTAGAGAGTAAGGAGACCTGGTAGAAGAGTCTCAAATTGAGCAGTGTAATTATCGGAATCATGATCTTGTGGCGTCTGTCCTGTCCAGTCCCATCCAGTCTGAACGTGTTTCCCACATCACAAATGTCCCTTTGATTATGTTGGCGGGAGAGGGATAAATTAAGCCAAGCCAGATTGGCGTGTCAGAGGCGGTGAATTTCATGCTGCGACGCGCTTTCCTCTTTCGGGCTTTCGCTGTGCTGCGCTGCGCGTCGTGCGGAGCCCCAAGCGCAGACATGACATGACCCTCATCTCTACACCTCAACTTCAACTTTGCGAGATCACACACCGTCGCCATCTCCCACTGCATTCTCCTGCCACAACAATGGAGGACTCACTTCAAGGCGCGACTGAGTCTGGTCAGCGTAAGAGCCCCAAGACTCTGTACGCGTTTCAAGTCCATGACCACTCCATGGCGTCCGCAACATCGTCCACTGCGCTAGGTGGTAGCAAGGCCAAGCGACGACGAACAAGGTACGTCCTCAGCTCCCTACGTGTATGGTCCTTACACGTCCTTAACACTGTCCAGCCCGCGTGATCATGCCATCCTCGAGGCTGCATACCAAAAGAACTCAAAGCCCGACAAGACAGAAAGAGCACGTATTGTTGATCAGGTCGAGCTTGGGGAGAAAGAAGTTCAGGTTCGTATCTTCAACAACTTCCACAGCTTCGATTCTGCAATAGCCGGTCGCTGACCTGTCATAGATCTGGTTCCAGAACCGTCGCCAGAACGACCGCCGTCGATCTAAACCATTGCAACCTCATGAGCTCGCCGCTCATTTGCGCAACAGTACCTCTAGTCCCGTTCCACCTCAAGTCAAATCGTCACCCGGTTCAGCAGATACCCCGGTATCGCGTGTCATCTCCAACTCGTCCCTTGCGCCATGCGAGGTTATTGATCGACCTGCTTCAAGAACATCGAGCATTCGCGACCTTCTCAACCCAGCGACCTCGGGTGATACCGCCAGCAGTCAAGAGACTCTCCAGCAGGGTACGCAAGGAACATCTGGCCCATCTACACCTCCATCAAGTCTCGAAGAAATTGCCAAACCCATTGTTCAGGAAGCAACTCCTCCTAAGGCAGACGCACCTGCACCCGAAGGGACCGAGAAAGGCTCTGAGGTCGGCAGTGAGCATGGCAGTGCTAGAAAGAGAGGTCACGACGAAATGGTGGGAGAAAATGGTTCAGCACTGGACGCAATGGTGCAGGTCGAGAGTAACAAGGCGCCAGCGCGTGTCAAGGAGCCTCTTAAGCGCACAGCCAGTATGGTCCGATTGTCCATGACTGTGGATGGAGCTGTGAAGGTGCGAACCAACAATGAGCCCACGCCGTCACCCGAAAAGCCACGTGCACCTCCTCCAGCGTCGATGCAGAATAAGGTCAAAACTCCATTGGCTCGCAGCCAGAGTGCCATGACTAGTATCGAGGACTTCCATGATGCCGGACAGGGGACACAGTCTCGTCCTGTAGGGGCTGGCTTTGGTCGATCGCGTGATTCTAGAACCTGGGAGTTCTACTGCGACAGCAACACTAAGGATGCTCTTTCGACTCAAGCAGAAGCTGAGACGGCGGGGTCTGCTGTTAGTGCCATCAACCTCATCCGAACAAACAGTTTCAAATCCCGCTCGCAAGCACTCAGTCCATCAATGTCAAAGACCAACAGTCGACTCACTCCAACTTCGAAAGGCGGTAAGCCGAAATTTGCTCGCGCAAAATCGTCACTGGGTCGTTTGCAAGGATGTGATGGTACCGCAGAAATGTTGAAGGGCAAAGTCAAGCGCCACGGCCATGTCCGTTCTGACTCTGGGGATTCGGACAAGGAAAATTGGGCACCAGGCACGAGAATGTCAGAAAACCCACTCCGCAGAACCAAGCCTAGCGCACGTCAGCGACCCATCCTCCAAGAGAACGAGGAGATGACATTCCCCGATGCTGGTTCTTCCCAGAAACTTGGTGGCGGCAAGGTCGACAGCAAATCATCCCCCACGAAAGAGAAGGCCAAAGGTGAAGAACTTGACTGTGTCCAGGGCCTGCTTTCACTCAGCCAAGGAGCTTGGAGATGATTAAGAAGGGTTGCCATGCCTCTTGCTAGCCTCCGGAAGACATTTGTTTGACGAATATGGCCGAAATGGCATTGCATGCAGTGCCCATTGATGTTGCCCCAACTTGAATCGTCTTCCCCGGTCATGCAATAGGATACAGATAGCTTTGCAGCTGTTGGCAGCTGGTCCATAGCAGGACATCACTAGAGTTAGCCAACGTGATTTTATTCAGCCTGCTCAAGACTTTGTTGCAAGGATGCTTCTACGAATTTTCAAACTTCGTTTCTTGAGATTGTTTCATGTCGCTTGCCCCTTATTTGGTTGCTGTCCTGTTGGAAGCACTTTGCGGAGACAACAGGGAGCCGCAGAGTGGATTGACGCTTAGATAGGATTAGATTAGATGACTCCCTACCAACATGATAAGATAAGATAGCAAGACACCTCTCCACTCAGAAGCTTGATTCATCGTCAACAATTTGTTGTTGGACAACAACCTGTAAGGTGAGTATAATTGAACAACTATCCAGTCTTTTCAAACCTGCGTAGGCACGACCAGTTGACTCGCAGTCGGTCCTGGAAGGCCTTTGTCTTGGAATATTCAGCGAGCAGGCTCAACAACACCGGGCGTCCGCCCAGAAGCAGAGGGTCTCAGGTCTGGCGTCCGCCTCAGAACAAGATGTATATCATACACCTTCACCTCTGGTGACCGTCTGCAGCCATTGTCCGGACAAGCCAGTCTTGATACAATGTGCAGCATCGCTGCCTTATCACTACAAGTCTTCGTCAAGAAAGAGGGTGGTAAGAAATAACTGACTCTATTCATCCTCGGTTATGGACACTTGTGGGCATCGCCATATCTTGGAGGTATATATCGTTATGTGGTATCGTCGAAATGATAAGCTATTGGGGCATCATCTAGTCTCGGGGAGGCGACCGCTGTGAGGCTGCACATACGTATTTTGTGCCAACCGTTCACTGCGACGCAACATTCACTCACGTGCTGTTTATTTTGAGATTTATGTGAAGGAAGCAGTGGTACTGTGGCCTTTGCATCCGGACGCTTCATTTCTACACCCCACACTCAGCAACATCACTTCCTGTGCTTCTTTCTTTTCCTGGTTGTATCTTGCTTTCTTGCTTTCCATCAAACACTTCACAAGGCATAATCATCATCAGTCGCGACATGTCAACTATGCCTGAAAAACTTGAAGGTGACACAATGGAGTTGGAGGTTACAGTCAAGCTGAAGCTGTCTGCGAAGCTCCGCAAGGAATTGGTCGGGCAAGATAACCCTCTCGCTGTCAAATGGGTTGAGCACACAGACACCAGTGTCATGAACATGGTTGTCGCCGGTAACCCAGGCGTTCCAGACATCTCTGTCGGCGACGATATCACTCCCAGCGTTCTTGGAAGTTTGTCGACTCCTCTCTCAAAAGCAACTCGTAATCAGTATGGACTGACAAAGCCTCTAGCCCAGATAACCCAGCGGATGCTCCGTATGCTCAGCCGCGCCGACATGCTAGGCAAGAGGCGGGACAATGCTGCCGACACTGGACAGCAAACAAAAATACAATACACTCCTATCGCCACTGCCACTGCCACTGCCGCTCCCACTACGACGACGCAGTCACAGCCAGAGAACGCCAATGCTCCTCGTCGCGTAGCGTACACTTTGCGAGCTCGCCAGGTTCTTTTGAATCCAGACACACCTACGCCAGGACATCGGGTGTCTAAGCACGGCAGAGGCAACAAGAGATCCAAGAAAGGTCCCAAGCCAACACAAACAACTGTCGGTCTGCGAAAGGAGCCACGCACGGGCAAAACGGGCAAGAAGGGACACCAGCTGGACAAGAGACTACCGATGCATTTTGAGAATGCGAAGTTCAAAAGGATGGCTGAGAGTACGTGTCACACATCTCCCTTTCTTCGTGTCTCAGTCTGTGGAGTGAGGATACTCACCTGCCACCATTGTCTGATTATTTATGCGTCATTTTGATCGGTCTCGAACTAATAGTTTCCGCTGATATATAGACTCGGGTATCAGCTTTGCTTTGGAACATTACAGCTTACAGCGCGACAAGAAAGTGAGAGCCAGACTCGAAAAGGCTGCAGAGAGGCGGTGGGACGGTATACGTGGTCAGGTCACAGATGAGACCAAGTTGGATGCAATCATGGAAGGTAAAGAATATCCCCAACGTCCTGCATTGTTCGGCGAGAACCTAAAAGAGATGGCGCCCCTGCTTCAGCGATGGACTCTCCATCTTGTCGCTGTTGTGGTTCAAAGACAGTGCATGGTTCTCATCACATCCAATATCTCATTCTCTTGCAAATTCATTCAGCCTAGCATGTGATCTGTCGCTAACTGATGTGTGTGAAAATAGCATTCGAGAGCTTCTAAAGAAGATCTCCCAAAGGACGGTCAACGCATGGCCTAGGATACACAACGGCCCATCATTCCTTTTGCGTAAGGCTGACCAATGGGCTTGGAACTCATTCCGAACTGTCGGGGAACAGAGCCACGGGGTGATTGTAGAGACAGCTCGCCAACGTGGACAGCGAATTTATTGAATGACTTCGTAGTGTTTCTCCATCAGATTCATCCTTGCATGCCAATCTATGCCTTTGACGGAACTAGAGTCTAGCTGGACCGGGTTGTATGACTCTGGGACCACTAGAAGTTTAGAATCAAATAGCCAGCCCAGCCATATTGGCCGCGTCGGGCTTGTATGCGTCAAGGTCCTTCTTCCTTGGTTCCGGCTCCCTTTCCACAGCCTGCCCATCCAACTGGCCAGCAGTCACGGTGTCCATGGCGGCATATCCGGGGACATCGAGCCCATACGCCGCACAGATTCTTCTGGCGACGCCCTCACCGCTCCACCACGCTCCAGTAGTTGTTCCAAGCGCGATAAACGGAGCTGTATGCTCTCCTGCAAGCCACAACCCTGTATGAGTAGGAGGCTTTATGCCATCTGACGAGTGAACAACAACCCCTGCTCGCATGACTTCAATATCCTCGTCTCCGCGTTCCAGCCCGACCTGGAAATTGCAGTAGCTTCCATTGCCCGCGAACCGGTCGGCCTGCCATTGCGTCATGAGCAGCGAGGTCGGTGTGCATGACGGGTCTGATGCCGAATAGTTCGGTAGGCGACTATAAAACGGCTGCGCGAAGGCCGTTAACACCGCGTTGTACTCGGCAGAATACGGTGTCAGATCCTGCACAGAGCGGACGACGTGCGTAGCGCACGCACCGTACATGTAGAAGAGGAGTGTTGGGTGGGCGTGCGGAGCGGGTAGACGTGCGAGTGAGGCGACGGACTGGTTCCATGCTTCGTCGATCGGATGGGGGATGTAGGCTGGATCGTGGAAGTGGGTGAAGAAGGGGTAGTTGGATGCGGACTGGGCATCGGGCGCAGGGTTGGAGTTATAGCTGGGACTCGAATCGCCGGCAGGCTTGACTTTGATATTGGCGTCGAGGGTTGAAATGGCCTTGTCGAGTTCACTTTTCTCGTCCCGCTGATGCTGGTGATCATCCCCGTTTGGCGAAAGCCAGAATGCCGTTGGGAACGTCACGTATAACTTCTCCAGTCGGCCGTAATTGATATTCTCTATCGCTGCGCATAGTCTGGGTGGGAGGGCCGGAGTGAATGCTGAAGTGTGGTAGCGTTTCAGCCAGCCTAAGGGGCACGTTACCACGACTTGGTCAAATGAAAGTCTCTCGCCTGTTGATGCTGTGACGGTGACTTTACGAGCGTGTCCATCTTCGTCTTCATCCTCATCCTGGGTTGAAGTGACTGTTGTGGTCTCTTGTCCCGCTTCCACCTTGCTCCCACCATCAACTCTGGTTCCGGTTTCGGTTCCATCTGTGTTTTCCTTGGCGATTCGACCTGTCGTATCATAGTGCACTATCTCCGTCTCGAGCCTGAGTTCGACCTTAGCAGGATCGGTCGCCGTCCGCCCGGCTTCTTTCAGAATATCCTTGTACGTGCTTGCGACAAAGACATTTTCTCCTTCAATGCACTCCTCTAGAAAGAAGAACTTCAAGCTCTGTTTCTCCACCGCATCACCAACAAACGGGCCCCACATCTGCGCCTCATGGAGGATGTCTTGTCGTCTTTTCTCGTCGATGTCCATGCTGGAAAGTTGTTCTCTGAAATACTCAGCCAGACTCGTGTGTGGGTCGATAGTTGCGGAATGTTCGTCCGAATACTTGAACGCCCCAACGAGCATCTCCCAGACTTTGCCGGACAGTTCGACAGCTTCGGCATTGGATCGTCTCGTCCCATTCGAGTCGACCAGCGCCTCTTCCTCCTCCGGCTCCATCACTTTCGTACCTGTCCTTTCAGCAATCTCCGTGATCGGGTTGCCTTTGGTCCCATGGATCCAGTTCGGGCCCATGTCCACCAGATACCCTCCGGATTCGACCTGGTGGACCCGTCCGCCAATACGATCGCGGGCTTCGAATAAGGTCACCTTCACTCCAGCACGGGCGAGGACATCTGAACACCGAAGCCCTGAAATGCCGGCGCCCACCACTGCCACGTGCGGGATGCGGCCTTTTGTGCTTTGACCGACTTGTCGAAGAGCGTACATGGTCGATGGGGGTGACATCGGCTCTGATACGAGGCTGGTCCGCTGGCCATTCTCGTTGTGAGCACTGTTGGCGAGGTCGCGGGATATTCGAGACATACGATATAAATCCGGCAGACTGCTAGGGCAGTGCAGGCACACACACTACCTCTGGTCTATGCCGGTCACACAGGTCTTAGAAGGAGGTTGTGTAACCCACAAAGAAGTTGCCCAGTCCTGAGAGATGCCGTGCCATCGATGATGTGGCATAGTATATGCGCATATGACTACATGATTTGCAGTAAAATATGTACGGTGGGGCATAAGCTAAGTATCGTTGTGCTTCCCGTCTGTCAACTATCCGACCACCAACTGCATTCGCCATCTGTGAATCATTGTCAACTCGAATACCCAAGCTAAATGTCGACCTCTTAAGTCAGTTGCTACCGCAGGCAAGCGAATCCTTTACCTACATGCCACACTTGTGCCTAGCCAGCATGAAAATGGCTTAGGGGGGAATTGAAGGAGTTCTAGGAGGAAACCAGAATAACAGGACGTCTCAGCGCGGCAGGCTCTGGCTGCTGACATTGAAGTATCAGAAATCATAATGTGGATAGACAACTTCGCTCATTCTATGATACCTCAGAAATAGGCGAGAATGTGGGACGGCAAGGCTGCGTATCCCTTTTTTGGGACCCAGTGAGAGTTGACAAGGCTGAATCACGTGGGCGGAGAACATCCCCAAACTAAATGAGGCTGTGACAACAATCGCCAATTCCAACTGCGTGTCTTCGAGTCTTGACCCTCCCGCCTATGCATCTCTCACCCTCCCTTTGGTTCCTGGCAGAAGTTGGTTGGTAGTGATACCTGCGAGAGTAGCAACATGTGAGATGCCTCCGAAACCCGCAGTCCGTGGCGAGTACATTGAAACTGTATGTCAACAAAACCCTCCACGTCCAACACTCCTAACATGTCGACAGGAAACCGGCAACAAAATCAGTCGAAAAGCCAGTGTCCTCGGTCCACGACATATAATATTGGCCGGCAAATGTGTGATACAGAACGATGTCGTGATTCGCGGTGACCTGGTGCGTCCTGCGCAGCCTAAACCTCCTCCCCAGCAAGGCGAACAGAAGTCTGCCACGCCCGACCAAACGTCGATACACCTCGGTCGTTACGTTTTCATCAGCCCGGGCTGTACACTGCATCCTCCGTCGCGCCTCACCACGGTCGCGAACCCCAATGGCGGCGAGCCACAGCAGATCATGACTTACTTCATGCTGAGGATCTCCGACTATGTCTACATTGGCCCGAACACGCACGTCAGAGCGGCGGAGATTAAGAGCAATGTCTACATTGGCGCTAACTGCACCGTTGGAAATATGGTCATTATCAAAGATAATGTCAAGATCCTCGATGGGACCGTGCTTCCTGCAAACACGGTGTGGGCTGGTGGCACCATCATTGCAGGGAGGCCTGGGCGTGTTGTCGGAGAGATTGGTGAAGGTTGGGCCGCTAATGGGACTAGTGGCTCGACTATGGACGAAGGCGTGGGTGTCAGAAGCAGAGAGAGATGGGCAGCCGTTGGAAACAAGCGATGAAGATGAACAACTTCAGATGTTTATCAGGCATCACATTGGGTGCGTGCCGTCTCCCGACACACTGCACGATTCAGACATTCTCGACGAAGACACCTAATACGTATTGACAGAGTGCTCTGGAGTGGAGCGCATTAGGTGCTTGCTGAGATCTCTACCAGCCTCTGACTCGAACACCTCACAATCGATGGCCGTCTCAGGGACTGCGTGTCCAGTCTGAAACTCGTTCTCAACCACCGGTTTTTGCCTTTCCGTCAAAAGATGGGAGGTTTACTGCTTGCACCACCAGTCGATCACAGAGGACGGCACAAGACCTGAAGCTATCGATCAGATCTGACAGGGAACATTGCGTACGTTACGTCTCCTGGCATGATCCGAAACAGCGCCCGAAGTCCTCTTTACCAACCCATCTTGCACCTTCCCATAGTCAACATTCGTCTCTCCTTTGGTCATCACCTCGCTACCAATATTTCCGGCTATTGGAGACCGGGACGTTCGTTGATCTTCTGCAGCTTGTCTTCCTCAGAGGTTCTAACACCATCTCTCTGGCTTTGGACCGGCGATTACAGAGAAATGGGTCGGCGCCATATACCGGCCTATGATTGAATCGTGGTAACGGCGTCCGGTAGCTGGGTGTTGAGCCAGCCGATGGTGATCTGGCACAGCACGTGGAAGAGCTGACTCCCAATGAGTCTCTGCTCCAGAGTCCGCTCTCTCCTCTGCCTCCCGAGTCTGGCCTTCCGACTGAGCAACATCGCAAACTGGATGGCTCTTGAGGGGATGTGGGTGGAAGCTGCTTCGGAATGCCTCATCATCAGAGACTGTCCAACGTTCAACTCGTTCTGAGTGATGCGGAGATGCCGGAGGACCTCTCTGCTCGCCTCGGCGTATCTGGAGTGGTGCTGGAACGAGGCTTTTGCGGCGGAATATCATCGGTCTCAAAACCTGCGAAGCTGCGGGCAGAGGAAACACTGCCATGTCCACCATCTGGTCAGGTGCATACACGGCACTGTTCAGACCTGTTATTGCGATACATCCTACATCCGATTCGATGTCAACATCCACGTCCCGGTGTTGTAATTCCTCTTCTGAACCCGGTCTTGATCGCGACAATGCCTGCCCAGCTCCTTCTATGTCGCTCCCTTGGTCATCGCAAGCACTTCCAATATCGCAACACGGCGTTCCCAAGTCTTCTTCTTTCAGGACTATACTTCCAGCGCAGTTCCCTGGGTCAGCTGCGTCACCACATTGGCCTTGGTGTGCAAGGTCAAGGTCACTACTGCGCCGGCACCCACTCCCGGCTTCAAGACTGCGACAGTCTGGGGCTCCCGGAGCGTCTTGGTTCTGGATTTGACGCTGTGTTTTCCACCACGATTGCAACATTGCGATGACCAGGACAGTTGCCATGACGGCACAGAATGCCATTGCTGCCGGACTGTTCATGTCTGGAGAAGAAAGGGAATGCCTCGCTGGCTCCAAACCAACCACACTAGACAGTATCGTCTGGCTTGCTCGGCTCGTCGTGATCTATGTCCGCAACGGTGAGTGCTTGAGGATAGTCTCCGAAATGGACAACAAGAGCGGGACAGGAACGTTGTCTCGAGTATAGGCGTGTCCGTGGGATGATCGATGTCCGAAGAAAAGATGTCATGTGTGAACGAGAGTGCACGGATGTTGTGGCCGAGAGCAAAGAAAGAGAGAGAGAGAGAGAGAGAGAGAGAGAGAGAGAGAGAGGTTATCCTTTCTCTGCTATCCATGGCACGACCTTCATGGGATGATATATCTTCCAGAACCAACGATGGATCGGATCACTGTGTGACCCCTTGGTCTTGCACTATCAGGTACGGCCATGATCCAGCTCAGCTCCAAGAAAGCGATACTATCTCGATCTTGCTTTTTTATGTCTCAGAGGCTCGCGTACAGAAGTCTCAATTCCTCACTCACGCACCAGCAAAGAGACACAAATTGATTCTTCTTTTTCTTCTTCTCATTCTCCTTTTTTGAGTCTCCGGGTCGTCCATCATCGAGTTTGCAACCAAAGCCGGCAATTTCCTCACACCTCTTGCATCCGCTCGCTCTATTTTGCTTTACTTTCCAATCGATCACTTTCTCATTTCGTTTCCCTCTCTGTCTCAATAGTCAATACTCCTGCTCGATGTCTCAGTTCATAAAGTCAAACGGGGCTCCTATATTGAAACACCTCTCTTTCTTCCTTTGTCTTTTCTTCTTAGGCGTCAGGAACCACTTAACCCCCGCCAATATCAACCGATATCAACCGATACAATTTCACTTTGTGTGCCACTTGGGGAATGCTTCGTGACGGGACCGGCCGCTGATATCGTCATGTCTCCTTGGGGATCCACCGTGGGAAATTTGGGTTCATGATGGCTATCTGCGTATTCATAACTCTGAATCCCTTGACCTCAGGAGAATTGAGTATCGTAGAGAGTCGACCGTGCTCACTCGGTTGTGATATTTGTCTCCAGAGGATGGAGGGCAAGGATTATTGCTTCCTTTCGCCTCGTGCGCAGTCAGTTATACATAATCATTGAACTCCCGGAATGGATATTATTCCTATAGTTGCAAGAGCATGTCGACGGTGGAGAGTACGCTTGCTTCTTGGAATGGGGGGAACAAGACAGTTTCCCATTGAATGAACTTGGTAGATTCGGCGTGCCCTAAGATGAAGAAACACAATAAACTATCTAAATCAAACTCCATACATAATCAAGTCTAGTCACGCATGGCATGTATAACAAACCTTCACACCCAGCGCCATACTTCATCGTCCATCTCACAGACCTGCAATACATCCCAGCGTTTTTTTGTCGGGTCAATACCGTCGTTTTTCCCATAACCAAGACCAAGACCAAACCGGGAAGAAAAAGAGAAAAGGAACACTCTCGTCACTTCGGTCTATGCCACCACCCAATAGCGACGTCACAGGCGACCTTAGAGCGTCGTCAACCAACTCATGCGGTGAGGTGGAATACCATAATGGCAATCACGCCTAGAATCCAGGCTTGCCACCAAGCAAACCCCTGTAACCCCATACCAAAGAGCCTCAGGAACAGCATTTACCACTTGAAGTCATGTCCTATCCCATGCAGTGGCGTGGATACGTAGCCATCATCGAGTGGCATTGTCGCTCGGTAACCTTTTGTCGACGCTGTCATCTACGCTGACATCTTGATCCGGATTGTGTCGGTGTATGGGCGGCGGCCTCGGGAAAAGATAAAGAGATCGCCGTGGTGGGGGCGACATTGTTGACGGTGTTGATGATGCAGTCGGGAGCTCTTCATGACGAGGCATGTGGGTTTCGGTGACACTTTGAGCCTCTTCTCCAAGGTTCAAATTGCTTTCGTAGGCTGGTAGTCGAGATCCGACGCTTGGTGCCGATCCCATGCGATTCGGATTCCTCTCGTACCGTGGCAGCTCAGATTCATCAGACCTAGGATACGGGGGCGGTATGGATGCTGTCGAAGCCGTCGTTCGGGAATCAGAGACTGACGATCCTGTAACAGAGTCCCAGTGGTTGTAGACGGTGGTACGACTTGAAGTAGCGAACACTATGCCGGCACGGGATACTGTCCTTCTCAGTTCACGCGCAGCTCGCGGTGGTCGAGATAGTCGGGATGCTGGGTCGTGCACGGGCGATTGTGATGATGGATTTGGGCTGATGTTTTCAAGTTCCGTGTCACTGATATCATAGAGGCCGGCAAGTCCTTCTTCTGATCGACCTTCCTGGCTGCTGCGCGGTCGCCACTTCATACCACGTATACAGTCTCGTATGCTGAAGAGTGCAATGAGCAGGAAGACAAAAGCAAACAGAGAGATTACCCCGACAGCGGCATCTGGAAACCCCATGATGGAGAGTTAGTACAGTCAGATGTCCTTTCCGTAAGTCACAAAGTTCAAGTCTAGATGGTCAGTGGTGTGAGGGCGATTTCAAAATGCTTGTTGAATACTCTGTCTTGTCTCCGGGTTTGCATCAATATACGATGTCGAGAGTGAGCAGCGACAGAAAAAATGCCTTTTAGGTAAAGCGGAAACATGTGTATTTTCATGCGCCTTGAAGGTCCTCTCATAAGGGTACCGGGGAGAAAGAATCACTAGGTTGAGGACTATCATACCGTATCCCTGGGACTGCGCCAGTGGAACAGCGCGACATATCGTGGCACATAAATTGCTTACCTGAAGTGCGACTGCGGCAAGCCAGACAGTGCTCGTTGAACCGAAGAAGACAGCTGGTAGGACTGGGATGCTCTCTGGGGATGGCCGTCCTATAAGGGTAACGATGTGTGCTCACTTCTGGAGGAATATATCTTCTCTGCTTGTGGCGTTCTGGTTGCGCCTTGAGAGAGCATGTCACGTGGCACAAACCATGTCTGAAAACTCGGCGAAGATACCAACATCCCGCCTATCTGTTGCCAGAGTGGCAATTGGTGAATGATTCGTGGAGCGGACCAACAGAACCAGAGTTTATGGTAGTTGAAACATGTTGATAGCAGGAAGCGCTCGCAAGTCTCGTGTACCAAGTCAGGTGATGCCTGCTGAATTGGATGACCACATAACCGATAGGCATTCTCGCACTGAGGACGAAAAGAATCAAGCAGAATGCATGCCTGAGAGCGTGGTGATGAGAAAAGTCTGATCGTCTCTAACGGCTGGTTGACTTTGCCCGTAGCTGGGAACCCGTTCAACAACACGGGCCAACGGGTTTAACCTTCGGGTCGATCATTCGGTCATTTGGCCAGATCAGGTAGGCTGGATCTGGATGGTCTCCCGGCGGTAAAAGCGTCTAGGACAGAAATGATCACAAGTTCATATCGACTTGATGCAGCCAGTAGACAATAGTTGTCATGAGAGCGACGATAACGTACCTAGCTGGCTTGCTGGGAGGCGTCGAGACCGAAGACCAGTATCTCAAATACCCATAGTGTGGCACGGACGATATACCAGCCACATGCCCGCAGCCTGGACTTCTGGCCACCGCCACGGGCATCCGTGCACCATATTTTCGGTCAATCAATGAGTGAGGTTAGGGATGGCTGGTGGCATGATGGTCAAGGACAAACTGAAGGCCGCCCGTGCGCTGCAGTAAAGCCTCGGATGCCAGTGATCGAGACGGCAGGCTCAATATTTCGTTCCGTATACGGACGCCGGAGCTGCTACGTACTATCAGTGATGGGTGTCTCGAGCAAGCAAGGATAGTGCAACCCTTATGATCTGGAAGAAAGGATCATCAGCCTATACCTGGAATGTCTGATTCGTCCGCAATGGGATCCGAAAAGGTCGGTCTGCAATCTAGACAAAGACAAAGTCTGGCCTGCTGGACTAGCATTTTTGAGCGAAGCCATATGACAAGGTGCATTGAATTCCTGAAGACCTTGCATGAATCAGGACACCAAAGGGAGGCTCGCGTCCAGTGTCAAGCTTAGCCGTCATGTTGGCAGCCCTTGTGACATCTTTTCAGGTGACTGGACATGAACGCAGGCGGAAGACGGATGAAAGTAGCACAGCGAGTCGCGGGGAAATATTCATTCTATCGTGGCTGTGCCTCTTCGATCTGCGGCACGGCAAGTGGCAGTCAGGGATGGATGGAAGGGATTGTGAGACCGTCAGGAGGTATCGGCATGTGCGATTCAGTTCATCGTCTAGATGACCCGAGACATGGGATGTGAAGTAGTGTGGCTCTGCCGTCTTTTCTTCCGATCCGAGCGGCGAGTGATTGATGAAGGGAGAGAGATGGGGTGTCGCAGTCGAGACGCAGGAGGAGTCGCGCGCGTCGAGACGAGAACATTTGACGAGAAGGAGCTGTCTCACTAGTCAGAGATCAAGCCATAGAAGGGGTAGAGAGTGTAGAGACCGGTCAGCGACCCGGATGGCGAATGGCTAACAGCCAACACGCGACAGAGGGTCCTTGGTCCCTTAACCCTAGGCCCCTGGATGGCGCGTTGCGGGTGTCAAGCTTGACCCTGGGCCTATGGTGCCTCGTTAGCCCCGTTGTGGCCACTCACTCGCGAACGAGTGTCAAACGCAGCCTCAAAAGTGTGTCGGGCGTGTCGGGCGTGTGTCTCGCGTTGTCTACCAATGAATGACTGGGTGTCAGCGGGCTTGGCCACGGGATGGGGCATTACAGTGGGAGGCCAAGTTGGGCGCGAGTGAGGCGGCGTGGTATGTAGAGAAGATTAGAGGGAGAGAAGAGGAGGGAGGAGGGAGAACAACTGTTCGCTCGTGACGAGATCCAGCGCAGCGCAGGCAGAATAGTTGGTATGATGGGTGCTTTGGGTGCAGGCGCAGGCAAAACTGTGTGTCAGCGCAATTGATGGCAGACCTACTAATATTCACGGTATACATAATACTAGTAATAGGAAGCAGAGACAAGTGTTCATTATTGCAGTATGGTAGTTGTCACTACTGAGTAGTGCCCCTCGCAGATGGTAGCAGGTGGTTTGCTCTGTATCCGTTGCCGTGTGTTGTGTATCGTGTGTGTAGCTGCAAATAGCGACCCGAACATCAATCGCTTCAAGTTTGTCCCCTGCATCATCTCCCTGCATCGTCTTTCTCTCCACAATCCTCAACCCTAGATTCCATGGCTTGGGAACAACACATTTTTGGTAGGTTCAAACCCTTCGATCCCTTCCCGAACTACACCCTATATTGTGCTGCCTGATGAGTGGGCACGGTTCAGCGGGCATCCAGCAAGGGGATCATCGAATACTCCATCTCGAATGACCTGGTCTGCTGGGCCACTGCCACCGTATCCTCTCCTCCGAGTCCCAGATGACAGCCGCCCAATCCGCACACCATCCTCGCCAGCCGCCAACACAGGGCGAAACACGAAACAGATCCATCTTGCAGTGGTGGTGCATCTCATTCTGGCCACTCTGGGCCAACAGCTGGACATATCTGGTGGCATTCTGCATTCAGTTCCATTCATATCCACCGCAAGCGCCCTTCCATACATCTCTCTCCCTTCAGAAATGTTGCCATACTAATTCAGCCCTTCCATCAGGCTCATAAACCCTCGTCTTCGCATCTCGAGATCACACCGATCTCTCTTCTCAACATCTGGCAGCGCTCGCCTTCGTCCGTGTCGAAAGCCTTGAGCGTCAAGAACCCATTGTCCCTCGCAAACCACCTTGTCACATTCTGGGGCCGGTCTCCCCACCTCTCAAGCCTCATCGAGCCTTTACCAGTCCTCCACAATTCTCCTAAGGAGTCTAGCACCCGAGTTGAAGCCCCTCCTGGTGCTCCTCACCCACCGGAACACATCAAAGAAGGGCAATACCGACAGCACCGACACCCATCAGCCCCCTGCGCCAAGTTCCAGCCCCTGACCACCCGCGAGAAAAACCAGCCAACAACGAAAGGGGAAAACCCTAACGGCATTGAGCTCAAGCCATCCGCACCCCGTGCCTGAGCTTATTGATCGGTCTATCCGCTAGTTACAGGGCCTATACCTCCCGCTGCTCCCAGACCCCTCGGATCTCCACCCTGCTGCAGTTGCTACATCACTCTTGTGCACTGTTCAGGGGACTGGCCAGACACTACGACGTGACTCTCTCTCAAACACAGGAGCTGCATCCTGGGCCGTGCCTAGGAATTTTGGAGCTATCCGCCATATTTTGGATATACTCAGAAAAAAGAAGAGCTCAGACCTCAATTGACCCTCCTGCTGGTCAGGACTGCACAGATCTACTCGACTAATACCAACCACCTACAGGTGTCAAAAGCCTGAAGTGGCCTGTCACTCTCCCTTCAACGTCGCTCACTTCACAGGCCAGGCAATCGATAAGGGTTACAGGAGAGATCCATAAACTCCCTTAACTACCTCTTTTCGGTCACTGTCTCGTCCCTCCATTCTTCTCATCTCGGTCGACTTCAGCCTTGATTAATCCAGAAGTTGCCTTCAGTTGACCTTGGACATCATCCATCATGGACTCTCATCACACCTTGGCCCAGAACAGGGCGGCATTGGAGGCGTTTGTGCGACAGCCAGTTCGCTCTTATATGATCCAGCATCTGGCCAAACATGCCTCAGAGGTCATTAGATGTGACCCAGAGCCGATTCCAGCAAACGCCATTCCTACTCCTCCCTCCACGCCTCCTCACCGAGCCTCATCAGCGGCCGCCCTACCGCCCTTGCCGACGCTGGAACAGTTCATCTACTCTCTGGTTCAGAAATCGTCTGTCCAGATCCCAACACTAATGACCTCTTTGGTCTACCTCGCCCGTCTGCGATCCCGGTTACCGCCTGTGGCGAAGGGAATGCGTTGCACAGTCCATCGCATCTTCCTTGCTTCTCTGATCCTGGCGGCCAAGAACTTGAACGATTCAAGCCCAAAGAATAAGCATTGGGCACGATACACCACCGTGAAGGGCTTTGATGGATTCGGATTCGCTCTGGCAGAGGTGAATTTGATGGAGAGACAGCTCTTATACCTGCTTGACTTTGACGTCCGGGTGTCGGAGCAAGACCTTTTTGACCATTTCGAACCATTCCTGGCACCTATCCGATTCCAGATGGAACTTCAACAACAACACGAAGAGATCCAGCTGACAAGCCTCAACCGAGTCTGGCACTCTCACCAGACCTCCTACGATTCCAACGTATCTCTCCCACCAACTCGCAAGGAAAATATCCTTCCCAGTGTCGCAACGCCCCCGCCGAGGGCGACAGGTGTCTACGACTCTCCAGCGTCTTGCGTCGACGAAGAGCTCGCGCATGGTCGTTATGCGCGCCAGAAAGTCAACAACGGCTCTCTGTCGCTGCCTGCCCAAAGCCATAACCGACGGTGGGCATCGCCTTTCCGACATTACGGGAACAACCGATCCGTGTCACCGCCTTCAATCCGAGATCTCCCACCACTGGTTCCGTCCAGCAGACCCGGAACCATGCATGGCCACTCCAACTCCAGATCTTCGTCCATGGCACCATCGCTACGATCGCGATCTTCATCCATTGCTCCTACATCTCGGGGGACGCCTTACAGTGTATCATCAGGCATCGATGACGCCGTTGTGGTGGTTGACCTAACAGAAAGCCCTGACGCGTCGTATCACAACGCCTACACCAAAGCAATGTCAGTGTCCAGGCCGAGCCTCAAAGGCCACCAGACAAGCTTCCAAGGCGAAAGCCAGCAACCCGCCAAAAAGGCTAGGGCGGACTCTGGCGTCGGTGGCGTCATGGCCAGAATCTTCAGCTCGGCTACCAGCAATTACAGACTCGGAAGGACGCCGATTCAAGTGGCTTAGGAGGCTCACAGACCGGATGATCACCAACGACCTGGGAAGAAGCGAAAGCGCGGAGCCCATTGAAGACTGATCTACATCATTTTGCTGTTTATGACATCTATTGTGCTGTTATGCATGGCGACGGCGTTCTGGAGATCAAACGATCCAATCGTGGTTGATCAACATAATTCTTCTGGCGAGACAACCTTGGAGATTTCGGGAAGAAGAAGACAGATCTTACTTCATGACGATTGTACAAACAAACATTGGCTAGGACTTTTTTTCACTGGTATGGGATGGAATGACGGACGGTTGCTATTGCCGAGCAGATTTCATTGGGCTGGTTTCAATATGGCTTGGGCAGGCAAGGCGAGGCAGGAGGAAAGGTATCGATGGGGACTTACGTGATACGATATCACCAGAAGGAGTGTCTGATACCCAGATCGATCCACGATGAGAGGTGGTTTCGGCTTGAGAGTAGCAGATCTCATATGACTAGAAGATCCAACGGGCCTGGGGAAGCAAGCCCGGACTTCGAACGAATTGAATTGACTTTGAACGTCTCAAACAAAAACAGTCCTCTGTGCTTGTGTCTTTGTTTCCAATCTCGTCCTGGCGTTTCACAGCGTCATCATCCCTTAACTACGACTTGTATTCTGGGTCTTGGGATTTAGGTTGCTATGAAATGAAATTCACAGATAGAAGACCATCCTAGTCAGCAAGCTTACGACAATTGTCATTTGTGAAGAAACATGCATTGCCAGTCTCGTCTTGTCTCCTGGATTCCCGAGTCTTCACGTATTATTACAGAGTAGTGAATGATACTAACAAAGCGCGCAATCCAGACGGACATGTCACGTGACGGGCTGTCATCCGGTCGATGGACTCGACTCGGACTTGGACTCGCCTTGACGACTCTGACGACTCTAGTCCTTGGTCTGTGCCCATCTGCCACCCAGCCCCCTCCCTCCCCCTTCCATCAAACTATTCAGACATCCCCTTCCTGCCTCCCCGTTCATTCCCAAGTGAAGGGGCTGGAAACGTCAGATGAGAGCGGAACCGAGACCAGACGCGAGATGTCGTGTCTGCCTTTCTGTTTCCCAAGGAATCGAGGGATGGGAGTTCCCCTCCTCCAGAGACAGAGACAGAGCCATGCTACGCATGACGCATGACCGGACCAATCTAGGTAGGAATGATTGCGCAATCATTCATGTATGTGTCTTGCGATCTCGGACAATGACAGTCAGCCCGCTGGTCAGCAGGAGAAGGAATAGTTTGTCACTTGCGAGACCAGGCGCGGATGAGAGGATACGGGGTGTGTGTTTCTCTGGCATCGATGAAGCCATGTCTTTTCGCCATGTCTTTCGAGATGTCTTTCGAGATGTATGATGTATGGTCGGTCTTGGGAGCTACATGGTAGGGGTGGTGTGCCTGAGCTGCCAGGACATTGCCCGGGTCATTTTCGTAAGAACCCTTGCGGTGGGATTGGATTCGTTCGTGGAATCCGTCTCTTGTTGGCTACGCTTTGCGCAATTGCTCTGATAAGCGCTGTGGGCGGATGACCCGGCGGGAGACCCGAAGCTGCTGGAGAGGAGGACGATTTCGCTGGCAGTGATATCCCGATGGGCCTTGCATCAGTCAAGGCTCAAGAACCAGGCAGCGAGGATGATTGCCCTAGTGTAGGCGGTCTTTTCCCCTCAAGTCAGGTGTGTATTGATACCCAGTCAACGGGGTTCATGACTTCCATCGCTCTTCTTGGTAGTGCCGGGTAACGTCTTCATTGGTCCTGTGGGGAGCAGATCAGGCTCGGTTTCCACCTCTTTCTCACTCAGATTGATCCTCACTCCCACTCCCAATCGAGCCACATTTGTCACTACCCTACCGATCGCCCAGCCCAGCACCACGCCCCAAAGCACGGTACAAGGCCATTTCTGCCACTCGCGGTCCCAATCGAGAGCCATCGGCACGGCACCGACCCATCCGCCGACCATGGCGCCCACGGTGCCAGCCCACACGCCGGCTTCGTCAAAGGGTAGCCATGCAGCCGCAACATCCCGCCATGCTGAGGACGAGACTCCGTGCGTGTAGAAAATAGGGAGGAAGCCGAGAAGCGAGACGTGCGCGGCGAGCAGGAGCGTGTGAGGGAGCAGGGAGGTCGGATACAGCGGTGCGCCGAGAACGAGGGCGATGATCGTCAAAGGGAGAGGTGGGAGTATGAGTGTCAGGATGAGGGAGAAGAAAGTTGGCTGTGACGATGAAATGTATATGTTAGCTCATCCCAACATGGGTTTTTCGACCGTAGCGTGCATAGATGAACAAGGATCGGACGAAGAGATTCCCCAACACTGAAAGACCAGAAGCCATCGCTGGGACAAGAACTAACATACCATAACCCTGCCTCTCCAGCTGCCTCCAGCACCATCACCCTTCCCTGCACCAGAGTTCCCAAGCTTCTTCCTAACATTCCCTGAGCCCGACCCCGAGGCCGCCCCTTTTGTAGCAGTATTTCGGGACCCCTTCGCGCCCGTTCCATCAATGATCTTCCCGGCGGCTGTGCCGTTGACCCAGGACCCAGCACTAGGAAGACAAACTGCGCAGAAGACAGCCTGCGCGAGACCAACGACAACCAGATCCGTGAGCATCATCGGGAACGGGTCGGCGACCAGCGCGGATGCGCGGATGTAGTAGTAGATCACCACCACCAGGGTATGGATATAGCTATATTTCTTCGCCGACGGCGAGGAGAGCAGAGGGATCGGGTGTGTTGTAGGTGTCAGGAGTCGGGCGGACGCGATCGGTTGAGCTGGTGTCGCGGGAAGAAGGTGGGTCAGAGCTGAAGAGGACATTTTTGGGGGGGGCGAGAGGAGCACTGGAAGAAAAGAGAGAAGAGCGAGGACAAAACACAAGTATTAGTAGCTGGGACACCTCTTTGGGCTCCTCATGCCACGGCAGCTGGTGGTGAATTGTGTTCGTTGTACTCTTGTAGTAGAAGTTCAAATGTTCAACATTGATTGATTGAACTCCGACTCCGAGTTTCCAAAGTTTCCGGTTCTCCAATTCTGCTTGGCAGGTTTCGGTCATTTGCTACAGCGACAGTTCTACTAGTACATCTACATTTGTCTACTATTTGGTCGGCCCCTTTCCTCCTCAGCCTTGGAGATATTGAATCGATCAAGATTGAAGCCATCTCTTCTGTCTACGGCTTCGATCACCGGATGGCTGTCTGATGAATGAGTCGGAATATCCTGCAGTCCAACACATGACCCCAGAGCATTGTGTATAATACAAGAAACACGAGCAGCCAACATGGCTCTGGTTGTTACCAACTCCCTCTTCACACCGGTCATCTGGGCATCACAATGCAAACATGCTCATGTGGTACAGTTCCAACCGAGCAACCACCAAATCCTCTCGCGTGAGGGTTGTGTGCGAAAGAGGTGCAGAGGATCGCAAGCCGATTATATGCAGTAACATCGCCTCCATCAATGCGACAGTACTCCCCCATAAACGCCGTCAAATCCTGGTTTCTATTACAGCCGATCCCAAAGAGTCTCGGGCGGACTCAAAAGTGGTTCTGCTTTCCTTGGGAGTTGCGTAAACATCTTCAGATTCTTCGTCGAGCTCAGTCTCGGCGTCTGTTTCGGCGTCTGTCCCACTGAACCGCGATATCTCGGCCACGGCATGACTAAGTTGGAATCCTGCTGTCCGATGCAGGCTTCGGGGCGTTCCAGCCGTATTATGCGTTGATTCAGGGCTTGGTGTCGGGTAAGCTTCGCGAATGGTGGCGTAAATGGGGGTGCGCATGCTATCTAATTCTTTCTGCAATTCCGTCACCTGTGCCTCCAGCTGTTGACGAGCTTCCTTCTCTTCCTCAATTAAGGCCATTAGTATATGAACCTGACCCGCAGATAGTTGAGTCGAGGACGGCGAAGCCTCGCTTGATTGTGTTGCCGGTTGGCGGCTGGCATAGTTGGGTCGGATGGTGGCAGTGGTAGCCGTACTTGCCCTTTGCAGACCGGCTGCCTTGCGGGCTTCGATTGAAGGAGATGGCGATTCTCCAGGAGAAGACAGGAATGTTATTGCATGCGCCGCGACCGGAGAATGAAAATAACGCGGGTTTCGTGGAGAGCCTGTATCCGTCGCCGAATGCCCGTGATCATCAAACAAGATGTCGTGCGCCGACCCTCGAATGAATGGTTTCGACGGAAGTACAGGTTTCGAAATGTTGTTGCCTTGCAGCTTCGCGATTGCGTACTCAAAGTCAAACAGCTTTATTTCTAGAGTATTCACTCTCTGTTCCAGGTTGGTGCCATTCTTGCCCGTGTCTTCGAGACCGAACTCAAAGCTTTGCATCGGGTCGACGACCCCCGGCACTGATTGCGATTCGGGAGCCGAGTGTACCGCCTCAACTGCGATAGACTGCCCACTGTACACAGGAACTGGCTTCTGAATAGCACTATTACGCCAGTACGCTATTTCACCTGCGCGATCACGAGCACTAGACAATTCAATGCCCTCCCGCTGCAGCAGCTCGCTGAGCGCATCTGCACTTCTGGAACGACGGTTCAAGCGGCCGTCGGAGATGTAGTTCCCTTTCGACCAGCTGTCCTGTGGAGAAGTCTCAGAGGTGAAGCGGTTGAGGCCCTCATGATCAAGTCCGGTCTCCTTGTCATCGAAAACCAAGCTTGGCAGAGTATTCCGGCGCCCGCGCCGTGGAAGAACTTGTAAGCCTTGCTTTGGAGGGTCTTGTTCTTGCTGAATCGAGTGCGATCCGAGTGCAGCATCCCGCAGAGGAGATGCTGACGTAGGACTTGGGCCAGCCCGTGTTTGTGTCTGTTGCTCTGCCACCGAGAACAGTTGTCTCCGATTGCTGTACTCAAACACGTTGGAGTCTGCAGGTGCAGATCTATGTCGCTTGCTAGAGAACATGCGCTTCAGAGCAGCGCGAATTCCCCCAGATCTCTTCTGGTCAAGGGACGCTTTGGCAGGTATCGTAGACATCGAGCGGGGAAGACTAGATGGCCCGGAGGAACCGCGAGTCGCCGCGTAAGCTTGCGTGTCGCTTGCATGGCGTATATGGGGATCCTGTGCCGAGGGAATCTTCGATTGCCATGAAGCCTCGTATGGTCGATGCCCAGAGCTGTGGAAAGACTGGGTTGCATATCTAGGACGATAAGAGGTGTCTGCTGACCCTTCAAAGGGCAGCGGCTCAGATATCTTGATGTCGCCTCTGCGCAAAGCAGCACCCGCACCAGCCATACCCAGCGATCCTTGTGCTCGATGCCTTGGAGAGTGCATACTGACAGGGCTCGAGACAAGAGAAACAAGGCCGGTTAGGAATGCCTGGCAATGGCGCATCAGCGTTGAGTCGACGACCCAGAGCAATGTTGCATCATGTTGCCGCACATTCAGTTGACCGGCTCCAATCACACGTTATGCCGCCTAAGCTCGAAGAATGGCTTCAAGAGTGGTGCCGCGCCCAGTTGCCTGAGTCGACCAGTGTCGGGCAGCAGCACGTCAGCGACTGTAGCTCCACCTGTGCTCTGAGATGTGGGCGATGCGGTGCAAATTCGTCCAGGTCAAGCATACAACGGACTACTCAGATACGGGAGGAGATGTCGCGTGGGAATTCTGCAGCCCAAAGACATCAAACACAGACCACAAGACGAAGGAATAGCAAGGAGAAGCTCGGCGGTTCTGTATGCAGACTCGGAGAGGGAACAAAAGAGCACGACAAACTGATCGAAGACTCGCGGTCATGGGTAGGGTTCAAAAGGATATCGCAAGTGAGGACCGACATGAGGACGCCGAGTGAAGCCTGCAGGACGGAAACGTGTCGTCGCTTCGCTCGATTATAGCCGAGGACCGTCAACGGCAGGAACCAGTTGTTGCCAGGAGACGAGCCTGCACGAATGCACTACTCCCAGATCCAGGGCCCGAACAGTCAACATCCTTGTAGAGGAGGGTCAGAAGATCAGAGGTGACTATGGGAGACTTGATACCGAAAAGGCTAGGATGACTGCGAGCCATGACAGCTGGCCCAGTTCCCACTCCTGGTCGGAACCAGCATCGCTCTGGGCGTTTCAGTGCCAATACGTATAGAGACGGAGGCTACGAGGCGTCGATGGAAGGGACCGAACAGCGAGATGGTGTGAGGCCATACTAGTAAAATGATAACAGAGCCAGGGGACAGGAACTTGAAGAGGAAATGTGGGCGGTGAAGCAGACTTGCAGTGAGTTTAGCAGGCGTCAAGGGCGTCAAGGCTGGCAGACTGCGCACCCACTGGCAGTGAGCGTGAAGGGGCAGCTTCTCATTGGGTGAGATGGCTAAAGGAGCCTTCCTTGACCCCTGGCGCAGGCGGGGTGACGGTCTCACTCAGAATCGCTCTAGCAGGAGTCTATGATACCTACCTACTACTCTCAGGCTGTACACACTCAACTCAACAACAATATTCTACAGAGTACTATAGTCATCCTACTCTACTACTACTAACTTGTATCTCCTCTGCTCGGCCAGGATATCATTAAAGCGATGGATTCACATTCCACCTACTACTGTGTACCTACCTGCATTCCCATCTTTGACAGCTCTACAGATCATGGACTACGTACTAGTACAAATACATCAACACATCATCTCTTTTCCGGCTGACCAACCACCATCTCTACCCGACCCTCCATCTGGTATCTTATCTCGAATCATCGACTCTCTTGCTCCAGATCCTGCTTGATGGATGCTGCTACGAAGCCATTTCCGCCTCTTATCATTGCTAGCCTCGCAAAAAACCTAGGTAGCTCACCAGCTACTCGAGCAAGGGGATGTTGTGGCAGCTTCGAGACTCACCGCCACCATAGTCAACCCCTCCAATCATTGAATAATCCCGGCCCCTCTCCCGACATGGTGGGAAAAGGAGGAGGACGAGGACGAGGGAGACGAGGACTAGGCGTGGACGCATCAACATATTGCGACTGGTCTCCCTTATCAATCGCTTACTGGCTTACCCCTGCGCCATGCAGCGATGCAAGACATCGTTAGTGGGGGAAATAGGCATCGGCCTTTGCCCTTTCAGGCTTAACGATGTCTGCGTCGCTGTTTCGGGGCGCTACACCCAATTTTCGATGCAGCTGAAAGCCTGAAGAACAGCAAGGTATGTACGTACGACGAAACAGAGAAGGGTCGGGATAACAAACATAAATGTCGAATATCAAGAACTCGGTGCCGATAACAACGGTAGAGGTCTGGTCAACCTCAAGAGGTTGAACCGGTTCGAGGATGATCCAGTGGAACCCTGTCAACTTGAAACCCGACCAGGGTTTCGAGCCAATCATTGCAGCATTGCCATTTATCTCCATGGTCATCTGGGGGCTGGAAATCTGTTTGAGTTTCGCTGGCACTTCTTGCGAAGATGTTCGCCTTTCAAGGTACGCGGTTGCCCCCATGATTGGTCTCACCCCAAAAGGTTGACTCTGAAACGGACAAACCGTTATCTTGGCCTTTCTTTCCATTTGGGAAGGCTGTCCGCATATGCTGGCGAACGCAACCTGTATTGGATTGTCACTTTCGATTCTTCCTTCCTGTTCCCTGTCAATCCAACCGAATTCCTTCGTGAAGCCACACCTGCGCACGGCGTCGCCGTACCATATGGCCCAGGTCTACAGAGAGCGAAACGCCTCTGGTAGTGAGCAGCCTTCTGGCTTCTGGGCCCGTCAGCCGATCGTCAGCCGCATCTCAAACCTGACCTTCTCCTCGAGTTGGCCTGGGATAAGATCGTCATATCGATGCCGCCACGCATACTTCTCTATTAGAAGCTTCTCGGATGGTCTGACGGAGTTCGGTCCGTGAATCGCAATCTTGGACCGGTCCACAGTTCAATCCTCGGTAACCTCCCACAGGAGTGTTCCACGGTACGTTGATGGTATCGGTATCCAACCCAATAGACTGCCAATCCATTTGTCGAGAGGGCTCCACGTCAGACTCTACGATTGTACCTTGAAACAAGTCATCCTGAGTATTCCCGGTTTGCAACCGTCCCGAGAGCAGGACCATGCGGTTAGGCCTACCATAAGCTGATTCCTCAGCCTTACTCGTCCTGGACAGAAGGCTTTGCTGGCTCCATCTACTTGCGGCACCATGTGTTCCACCGTGCAGCAACTTACCCTGATTCCAGGTCCTGAATGCTTGGGTATCTGAGATCAGCGTGCTCTTCGAGGAATTTCATCCATCTCTTGAGAAAAGAGCTGCCTCTGGAAACTGTCTCCGAATCTCCGATCACACATAGGTGTCTTTTAGGTCGTGTCATCGCCACTGTTGCCACGGTCAGTCTGCCTTCAACGACCAGCAAGGGGGGAGCGCCTAGCCCCGTCGGCAGTGACTAGGGACGTCTCTTCCAAAGCAGCAAAACATTACAAACCGACAGTAGGACAGCTTACCGTTTAATCTCCGCTTTTCACCCAGGAAGCCCACCTCGTGTGCAGCATTGCTTCTGACCAGACTGACAACAACGGCCTCCTTCTCGCGCCCCTGGAAGCCATCCACACTACCAAGTTCGACATTTGGATACTTTGTCCTCAATAGGGAGCTGAGAATGGCAAGCTGGGCATTATAGGGTGTCACCACTGCAATATCTTCCTCTCTGACGCCAGCATCTATCAGGTTCTTCACGTGCATCGCGGCCACAGCAGCTTCCATCTCATTGCTCTTACTGTCCCCCAGCAGGACAGATTTGTTGACCCGTCCAGTGTCGTCTTCAGTCCTCTCAGGGAAATCCCCGCCTTGGGTATCAAAGAAAACTAGAGGTTCTGTGGTGTCTTCCGTCGGCTGCACCTCATAAGGCAAGTCTCTCAAAAGTCGAGTCTTGACTGCGTCTGCTGCAACTAGCTCGCCGCCATACAGCTCGTCGCTGGGGAAGCGCATGATCTTCTCATGCATTCGATACTGGGTGTTCAGCAGCCTCTTGATCTTAGAGCCGTGCATGGCCAGAAGCCGATCAAACATGGTCATCTCCAAAGACCAGTTCTTGGCCGCTGTGATTTCTTCCTCGTTGATGGATAACTTTGTCAGTTCCTCTTCCAAGCTCTTCAGCTTGGCTGTCTTGTCCGTGGCATGATCCTTATCATCTGCACTCTTCACGGTGGGCGGCAGTTGCAGGTGGTCGCCCGCCAACACGAGCTTCTTCAGAACATTGCCACCGAAAATCAGCGGGATCCAGCATTGCGGCTCTAGTGCCTGACTGGCCTCGTCAATGATCAGTACATCGAACTGCTCATTGCGCAATTGGTGGCTGCCTGCTCCATGGAGGGTTGACAGAACAACCTTGCTACCTTTGACGAGCCCGTCAATGCATCTCCCCTCTCTCTCGCGAAACTCCTTCCTCAGTTCCTTGAGGTCGGCGTAAATCGCGCGACGTTCACGGCCATTGCGGGCCTTGCGTATGGAGGCCTGCTTTTCGTCCAGTTCTTTTCGCACATCGCTTACAATCTCCGCGGCCTCACTAGTGCGTGTCAAGATTTCGAGGGAATGATTCAGAACACTAGGCAAGAGTCGGGCAGGATGGCCAAGACGCACAATGGGTGTGCTTGAGGACGCCAAGGCCAAGCGTTCGACAATGTTGTCCACGCTGATATTGCTCGGTCCGCAAACCAGGACACGTTGGTTCTGCTTCAGGAGTTGCAGGATCAGTTCAATCAATGTATAGGTCTTCCCAGTACCAGGTGGTCCGTGGATCAGGGCAATCTCCGGTGACGAGAGTGCAAACCGAATTGCATCTTGTTGCGAAGCATTCAAAGTGGGATCGCAGAACACGACGTCCTTCACCGTCTCAAGGTTCGGAGATCCTGGTGAAGACAGACCTAGCAGAACACGCTGCAAGGCGGTGTACGATGCTTCAGGGGTCTTGAGGAGCTTGGTCAGAGCTTGGTTCATTCTGAGGTGACGTATCAGCCCAGTTGCATATCTCAAAATTGGATCAACATGACCTTTACCTTTTGTACGTGACATCATTTGCAAGCTTGACCCTGGAGGGAACGCAAGAGTGGTCAGTATCCAAAGATCAGGTAGTGAAGCACAGGGGTGATGTGTCAAACTTACAACCACAGCTTCCCATCAGGTACCGCTTCCACGTCGTCACCGCCATCCTTGCCCAGGGCGACCCAGACGGCTCTTTCGCCGACCCTGGTGACGACGCCTTCGACGCCCTTCCCTTTCAACTCATTGACTTCCCTCTTCTTCGCAGTGCCCTTGGGCATCTCCCCTAGCCTGACGATATCACCGGTGCGGATACCATGTTCAGGTAATTCGCCCTTGGAATCCTTGGCCACGACGGCAGAGTCGAGGCCAAGTTCGACCACCGACCGGCCCCCAAGGCCTGTCTTGAAAGACTGTATCGACAAGTTGAGAATGGCCAGCCCAGCACGTGCCAGCGTACTGGGCGGCGTGGACGACAGGAGGAGACTGGTCTCAGCGACTTCCGAGGCCTGCTCAACAGAAAGCAGTGAAAGCAATGTGGCGAAGAACGCCGCAGGGGGCAGGACCACTCGTTTGGACACCGACGGCATTGTTCTGTTCTGTTCTGATCCTGAACCTCGGCTCGATGAGTTGCCGAAATACCTGGGATCATCGATTCAAGAGCCTCCAGTAACCTAGGGTGTATCTTGGCAATGAGCGAGCACAACCGTAGTATTGCAGTCAGGCATCTAGGCTTGCACTTTGGAATGATTGGACGGATGGTGTTGCCTGGTCCAATGAATGGTTCAATGAAACAAGTGTCCGTGCTTCTTATACCTCCACTTTTGACCGTGAAGACAGGTGGTAAATCACAAATAGTAATACAAATATCTCTTTTCGGACATCGATGGGTGGAGAGGAGAAGGTCGAGACGAGTACGTCGGCCTGGAACCGCAGCAACGCGGCGAAAGAGTTCCGAGAGTATGTGCCCTAATGGCTGTGATGCACCGCGAGTGATGTAAGTATGCTGGCTTCTATTGATCGTCTAACTCGGCGCAGAAAAGCCTAGGAGCCTCATCGATCGGCACGTCCTCGAGGATGTACCACGAGAGACGAATGATAATTGATTCGAATGTACCTCGGCGGGCCTTTTGGCACTGACCAAGCTGCGACCAGATTGCGAGTCTTGCTGGAAGTATTTTGTGGTATTATTGGTTCGAGGGAGAGTTTTACAACGAGGAATTCTTTAAGGCGAGTTGCCGCATATGGCAGGGTGTTACGTAAGGAGTTATGTCATTTATCACGTGATCCGCTGTGGGAACTGCAGTTCGCGTTGACACTGAGTTTGCGGAAGATCAGTTTATCCGGCCGCCGGAAGTGGCGTTCTTCCCGTGCGCCTCCAAAACCTCCTTCTGACGACATCAATATCTTTGCACCTGCTGCTGCTCTTTCCATAGCATCACCTCCACGCCTCCTTGCCCCTGAAGTTGTATATTGAAATTAATGCCTGGTTCACGGCGGACCTGTTGGAGCGGGACTGGTATTGACAATATTGAGGTACTATCTCAAGTACTGCCGATTGCAGACAAGTGTATCCCTACCCGGAAGCTAGGTCCTATATGTCCAGAATACCTCACAACAGCAACAACGCACAGCTGGCACCTATGGTCCCTCAATATGATCAGGCCACGCTTCGGGGAGGTCTGTAAGTCTTGGGGGGAATCGCTCTATCCTGGCTGGTATTCTTCGTTGTGCACATTGGACAGAGAGGTACCGTTCTTCGCAAACGGCCAGTCCACCTCGGCAGTGATGTATGACAAGAGACATCCAGACCCTGCTCGGTATGAATATCCCAAAAGCTTAGGCAATCGTGTGCTCAGATCAGAACGATCGAGTCAATGCGGGGATCTGCTACTAGTCTTCGAAAGGTTTGCCGGAGACGAGTCCAGTCTCCAGAGGTTATGTTTCAGTCAAAGCACTCTCTTGCTAAGCGATCTTGAGGAGAGTCCTGAATGGATGGCGGAATATTTCATACACTGACCTTCCAAAGCGAGATGCCACGGGCTTGATGTCAGCCAACCTGACACTGGCTATGGAATGTATGTCCATTGGGCGTGGTCTGATGTGTCTAGAACCATCATTCATAACCTTTCCAAAGCCGGCAAGGCGACGAAAGTGGCTAAGGAGGCCATTGGAGACTATATGCTCATATTGATTGCAACGAATCACTTTTGCCATAGGGTCCGAAAGCCATGAGCGCCACCGTGCGACGGTTACAACATGTTCCTTGGGGAGGCTGCACTGGTTTGATGTATACTAACGGACAGCTCGCGGTCTGGACGATGGGTGGCCCCAATACCAATGCCTAGACCTGAGGAATATTTTACCGATAGCCTTCTTCGGTCGAGGACATTTACGGCGAGAGTGACATACAGCTCCGCGGGGCTGGGGAAAATCCCTGAAGACAGCGGCACCAACCATGTCGCAGAAAATTGCTCGTTGCAGCCAACAGTGGGTACCTGTTAATACCTGCAATGAAGAAGAAAATGGCCATCAATGCCAAAGCATGTTCAGAAATCCGATGCAGACAGAATCGCCAGATCCAGGCTTCGAACACCACGTTTCTTACATCACAGTTTTTATCGTCCCATGTGTTCCTGACCTATGTTCGGAAACGCAGAAGATCGGCAGGCTTGCTGGAGGACGGGCAGCTTCTCGAAAAATGCGAAGATTCGGTCCCTGGATGTGATGATCGCATTGTATTGGGATGGTCGGACCATGGGGTCTAAGCGCGGAGTCCCGTGCGTCGCGGGTTTTCTGGACTCGCGGAGCCTTGTGGGGAAAACCACCCGACAGACCGTTGAGGTGGCTCGTGCACAATAGACCATTCAAGTCTGTCGTTCAACGGCCCCAGTCATAGTGGTCTATTGGAAAATGCGACAGTCTGGCACTGCATGGCCAGACATTGTCGCGGACCATACGAAAAACATATCAACGACCTTACACGGACAGACTCAGGGGAACTGTGTCCTATGATAGCCACAGTCCTTGTCAGACCCGTCTTCTGTCCCCGCCCACGCCATGGAGCTGTCTTGTCAGTACTTGCCAAATGTTCCGGTCAGACACAATCCTCCGCAGCGATCTAGATTTGCGATACCCTTATTATGTCTTGCAGGTGAAGATGGGGATTGGTCTCCGATCTCCCGGTCTGGACATCCAATCTTCGTCTATCTACTGCTCCTCCTTTGAGTGGCCCCAATCGAAAGGTCTGTCCATCAGGACCTTCCTTGTCTGGAATCCAACGACGTCTGAAAAGGTTTTCCTGTGCCAGTCTGGGTCTCTCTTGTGGATCTTTCAGACCCTTCTTTCATCACTCTTCCCTTCGATAGCGTCATATCGATCGAAGTTCAAGGATCCCCTGTCTAAGGAATCAGAGAGAGGCCTACTGCAAACCGCAGCCTCTTGATGTGATTCTAGACCACGAATCATTTTCGATAATGGAAACAATAGCGCAAAAGGCAAGAATGGGAAGTATTCGATGCGACGAAATGGGCAATGGCATCGATTTTCGTCAGTTCAGAGCAGTCTCGACAAAGACCAAAGAGCGACTGTTCAGGTATATAATCCTGAACGAAATCGCATCAGTCATGTTGGATCTCTTCATCATATCCCTCTCGATCAAGTCCATCAATAGTTCCATCATCCTTCAATCCAGACCCTCTTTGAGTCTTTATCATTCCACATCTGCAATTTCCTGACCTTCCACTCAAAATCATGTCTTCCACCGACTCAGGTCATGTCTGCATCGTTGGAGTTGGATTCGTCGGTGAATCCCTCCTTCGCGAATTCAGCCATGTTCACCCTACCATGGGCTTCGACATCTCTGAGAACCGCATCAAGGATCTCCGAACCAAGTATGCTGGACAGAAGGACCTCATCCTCACCACCAATGAAGCCGACTTGAAGATGGCCAACCATTACCTCATCTCTGTCCCAACCCTGCTCAAGGCGGACCATTCGGTCGACTTCTCTCACCTGAAGTCTGCTCTTTCCACCGTCTTCCGCTATGCACGCCCAGGAAACACCATCGTCATTGAGAGTAGTGTCTCTGTTGGCACCACTCGCCAACTCTTCCAATCCACTCAACATATCTTCCACTGCGGCATGTCTCCTGAGCGTGTCGATCCCGGACGCACGTTCCCTGCGGCAAATGACATTCCCAAGGTCATCTCAGGGTTGACCCCAGAGTCGTTGAACGTCATCGAGACCCTGTACTCCAGTGTCTTCAACCAGGTCGTCCCTGTGTCATGCCCTGAGGTCGCCGAGATGACCAAACTGTTCGAGAACTGCTATCGCATGATTAACATTGCCTACGTCAATGAAATCAGTGATGCATGCCGAACTCTGGGCTTGAACCCCAACGAGGTGATCGACGCTGCCTCCACCAAGCCTTACGGCTTCCAAACTTTCCGTCCAGGCCTAGGTGTTGGCGGTCACTGCATTCCCGTCAACCCTTCCTACCTCATGGTGACGTGCCCCAACCTGCCAATCCTTGATCAGTCTACCACCCTCATGAGGGAGCGACCAAGTAAGCTGGCTCGGGAGCTTCACGGTCATGTTTCCTCGTCTGCACTTGCATCGACAGCTCTGCAGCCACGGGTCCTTGTCATTGGTGTTGGCTTCAAGCCTGGCCAGTCTGTCATGTCACACTCGCCTGGCATTGACTTTGCCACTGAGCTTCACAAGCTGGGATGTGACAGACTTTCATTCTACGATCCCTTGGTTGCGCAACCTGCCCTCCCTTGGATGGAGAAGCTTGAGGAAGATGCTTTCAATGCCGACGACTTGGCAGCCGACTTTGACGTGGTGGCCGTCTGCTGCAGACAGCATGGTGTCGACTTCAAAGTGCTTGACGGTCTCTCAAGCGAGATGGTGTGGTCATACGATTGAGCAGCTAGGGAAACAACCTCAATGGAAAGAATTTATGATGCAGGAGTTTGGGTCGGGTCATCATTGGATACATGGGAACAATCAAACTGGGTATATACTGGTTTCACCATCAACAGGCTAGATGTAGAGAATAATCTACTACAAGTTTTATTTACTTTATTTGCCATCGTTTCTCAGTGTCCATGTTTTTGTTTACCTACATACTAAGAACTTGTAGCCTTTGGCTGTCATGACAACCTTCTGTCAGCTTGAATAAAATGACACCGTCTGACAGCAAGGCTGGACGACATTCTCTCCATTTTTAGGCCCGTCAGTCGCACGATTCATGCGTCTGGCAGATAATTTCCCTACCATCTTATTTCAACCTCACCGCAATCCAAACGATGAGTACAGAGTAGAACACAACCATTTCCTCGCAGGATTCGCAGAAGCTCCAACTCGAGTGCGGACGTGGTCGTCATTCACCACTGACAGCATATACATGACGTTGCAAGGCTTCAGCCACAACCGCGGCAGTCGTTTGCGGCTTCCGGATCATGGGCCTGTGCTCTCGAACAGTTGTCCATAGCATCATCAGCCTCGCCGTTGAATACCGTATTCTGCACGACATCCTGGCGACGAAGAAGCACCTCATTTGTTCGCGGATCAACCGTTGAATACGATGTCCATCACTGCCACAATTTGAATATTGGTCTGGGCGTCCACTACCAATGCGCACAGATCACGGGCCAGGCCTGTTGCGACTATGATTTCTCCTAGCGCTTGGGCTTTGACCACAACTGTCTACTGAAAACCATTGAAACCTGGCCTCCAAGTGGGCCGTCACTTCTTGGCGAGAAAGCACCAGTATACGTATCATTTGTCACTGGACAGGGCTGCGCCTTCTGGGCTCTGGTTGTCCCAGGACCACAACGGGACTAGGCGGTTGATATATCGAGATGGTGATACCCGAGGGCATCTGGAAGCATAACCCTTGGTCTGTGCCTGGTGGATAACCAATAACAGCACAAGAGGCTCCATCGTCCAGGTACTCCATATTCTAGAAGAGGTAGGATGATTTGTCTAGATGATGTCGGCATCGCTGAATATGGAATTTGATGATGGCAATCTTGAGAACTAGGAGCCCTTCCTGCTCGACCCTCCCGGAGAGCGCTACCAACAGCACTCCACCACGCAGCGGCCGATCAGTTGCTTGGACCCTCTATTCGATTATTAGGAGATGATGTCGTACTCGACCCAGACCGCAGATTCTAGCCCTGTTTGGTATTTTCTGCACAGAATTCCTCCACGGTGAATTTATCGAGAAGCCGGAGCCAGGCCGGACGCCACTGACGAAAAGTGTCAAAAAGATCCGTCGCTCGTGGTGAAGCGTCAGGGACACACAGCAAACTTTCCCTCCAATACAGACGTCACTCAAGAGAACAACTGGGAACCGCCGTTGGAAGTGTTCTCTGGCTGCAGCAGCTCGCCATATCGCCATCCTAGCACTCAATCATACATTCGAGATAAGTTGCGACAGATAGTGTTGCACATCGCGGTGTGTCTTCCGCGCACAGGACTCAGATGCGAGTGGTCTGCCGTCTAAACAGGCTGCGATAGCAACTCAATATAAGGCGACAATCATGCCCTGGAGACGATTTACCGATAGGTTCTTCAAGAAGCGCGAGGATCCCTTGCTGCCCATCACGGAAGAAGCTAAAGAAGAGAAGAACTACGACACCACAGTTGCTGATGGATCATTTACGACGGACAACGAGAAATATGACCCGGCAGATCCAGCATGGACTGCGCTGCCAACTATCCCCGTAGGCGCTCACGCACGACCCGAAATCATAGTCACTGCACCTGAGGATGACAGTGATGCGCCACCTTCTGGTACTATCAGAGCAGATGACTCTGGTCGTGCCGACTACGAGAGAGATCTTGCTCAGTCTGCTGTATATCGACCGAGGGTGTTTTCCAACCCTTTTGGCGATGACCAGCAATCAGCTGGCTGCATAGGTGATACTCAAGGACCACCACAGAAGCTGAAGTCTCCAAGCCAACCGGCATTACTTCAACCCGCAGCACAAACAGCGCAGATAAGAAACTTCTCCAAGCCAACCTACGCTTCGAGTGGGACCAAAATCACATGGCTGCCAGACCCAAACGTCTTCCCCGCCGACTACAAGAGGAGGCAGTCATCATGGGGGCAAGACTCACGCCTACAAAGGCCGGCCGGAAGGGGGAGGCAGGTATCGACAATATCGACCCTCAGTGTGCAAAGCGAATATCCCAGGATCGTGGATCCCGTGGATCCAGCCAGAAAACTATCGCACAGAAACCTCGTCTTCCAAAGAATCATGTATTTGGGAATCGTGGTCACTCTAAACATTGGCTGCCTCATGGCCGCTCTCTTCAGTCATCAGGGCCTGTGGGTTTTCGTCTTCATTCTGGTGATCAAGAGCAAAGACGTGCTCTCCGCCCTCCTGTCACCAATTGCAATGATGATCAGATGGGTATATCGCTTATTCAAGCCGCTGAAAGAAGTGCCGCCGAAATGGATCTTGTCGCTGATTCCAGCCTACTCGGAAAGCGAAGAGCAGATTGTCAAATGCATCTTCTCGTTGCGGGACAACGGCATCGGACCCCATCGACAAGTCATGTGTGTCGTTCTGGATGGCAAACCGCGAGACGTGAAATCACGCTTCACCAAGCTCCTGGCGACCATTGAAAGACCGTATGTCTCGTTCAAACATCGCCTCGGCGAGCTCCGGATTCATGCTGGCTTCATGGAAGATGTGCCCGTGATCATTATCGAGAAGAAGAGGAATGCCGGCAAGAAGGATTCTCTGATTCTCGCTCACGACCTGTTCAACTTTCCGCGCAAGAATGTGCCGCTGTACACCGAGCTTCTCCGTACAGAGATCTGGCAGCACATCTTGCCGGACCTGACCGACGAGTTTCCCTTCGGCGGGTTCGACATGATCTTCTGCACCGACGCCGACTCGGTCATCCACCGAGGAGCACTGTCATCGTTGTGCAACGCGCTCGCTCGAGAGGAGAATTCAATTGCTGCCTGTGGCCTCGTTCTTGTTGAGCTCGAACCGGGCCGCGAGTGGTCTGCATGGAACATGTACCAACAATTCCAGGTATGTTTTATCTCTACATTTCTTTTCAAGCAAACTAATATTCTTTTCTTGCAGTACTGTTTCGGCCAATTCGTGCGCCGTCGAGCCGAACATTTCTGGGGCAAAGTGACCTGTCTCCCCGGCTGCATCACGATGATCAAGTGCCGACCCGAATGCGCAGGCGCCATTGCCAAATACGCCGAACCGGTGACTACCATGCCAGTCCTCCATCACCAAGTGCAATACCTCGGGACTGATCGACGCCTAACATACTGCCTACTGTCGCAGAACATCAAACTGACGACTCTGTTCGTCCCCGAAGCAGTCAGCGAAACAGTGGCGCCGCAATCGCTCAAACATTACCTGAGCCAGCGTCGACGGTGGGGATCGAACGCCTATTTCAACAACTACTTCTACATGACGGGCGAGAAAATGTCGCCCATCACCCGGGTAGCCGCGTTCATCGAGGTCCTCCGTCTGAGCATGGTCTACTACCGCTTCTGCAACACGATCCTGCTGATCCGCGAAGTCATCGTGGAGGTCATCCACCATAAATTCAGCACCGCCCGCCTCATCCCCCTGTTGGCCGTCAGCCAGTTCCCGCTCATGTGGTTCTGCATTTCGGTGCTCATCGAGAAACAGCTGCGCTGTCGTGCTCATAAGTTGTTGATGGGATTTTGCATCAATAAGGGCATTTCGTCGTTTGTCTCCATGTTTGTCTTTTGGAGCGTCTGTCGAAACGTCGGCTCGCAAGGTATGTTCATGATCCTGATGCTATGCTATTCACTCACCTTCCTGCTTCCCTCTTATCTTTGGCCTGTTCAATTCGCTACCCATTCGATGCCATTGCTGACCTATGTTTTGTTTTCTTTAGTCTGGGGCATTTCCGGTATCACTGCCGCTGGCGGCGCAGCTCCGACATCAGCGACAGCCGGCACCGCAGCGTCCGTGTCATCGTCGGCACCGCCATCAATAACATCAGCAGCAGCTGGTGCTACTCCAATGGTCACCACAGCCGGCGGTGTGCCGGCTATCCCAGCCGTGCCTGTCGTACCAGCCGCACCTCTGGTCAAGTCCGTGCGCATCGAACCCAGTATCCCAGGCGCACCGGCATTTGCTGCTGTCGCGGTGCCACTGGCAGCGCCTATACCTCCCAAGGAATGAACGGATGGTTTTCGTCGGCAATGTTTTTCTGCAAAAGTCTTAATGAACACAAAGGGTCATGTGTGTCCATCGTCATGGCTCGCAGAACATGGTTTTAGCAAGGTGTTTGGGTTGAACGGGATACTATGATACCATACCGCACCTATGAGAAGGCTACTGAGAGGGAGAAAAAGTTCTTCCTGAAGATTTGTTCTCTGCTGGTCGTGGCATTGTACCGGTGGTATGTCATAACAACGATGATGGAAAGGAGATAGAGAACGCCCACCACACCAGCGTGGCGGTGGGTCGGAATATTGGGGACCAGAAGGAAGAATTCTATAGACAGATGTATAATTGTACATTACAATCTTGGAATTGTCTTCTTGACGGTCCTTGATGGAACCGAACGGAACACGAGCAAGATGAAACCGGCATTCCATGAAATATTCGTTATCCTCGCTTCACAGGCGTGATTGGAACGATGATCACGCTTCTTGTAAGCAATAGACAGGTATTCCGTTCTATTCCTGAGTTCTGTGAAACACGGGATGGGTGTCAGCCCAGAGTAAATCCATATCAAATCCCTTGTAAGATTCGACCCAAACGCCGCGTGTCCTGCTAAAACGCCCATCGAGGGTCGACCCATAATCGCTCAAACAGGAATAGATGAAAGCAGAGTAGAACAGTCCATCTTGTGCTCATTACTTCTTCCTCATGTCTCAGCTCAGCAATTTGATGTCACAACAGTCACTGTATCCGCAGCTACAGCCGTGGCAGGATGCTTCAACAGTCTTCTCCTCCTTTCAGAGCACCGTTTCCCTATCTTAGCAGTAGATTGAGATCCTCAGATTCAATAAATAGAAGCAGGCGAGTGGTGTTGTGAAATCAATAGCGTCTCTTTATTTGCATATGACCTGCACTTCTGCAATTGCACTTTCTTTCTTCTCTTCATTCCCCCAGTTTTCCCCCAGTGCCAGGTCTCTTCTCACTAATGAACCAGGCCTTCCCTTCGCCAGCCCACCTCTTCTCCACCGTCCAGAACCTCACCAGACTCTCGGCACCGATCTTGTCATGTTCGCGGTACAGATTCGCAACATCGACGTTCAACGGACTATCCAAGCCCGGCGCACTCAACAGCTGCTGGATCGCGCCCATGGTCGTGCTCAGCGTGTACGTGGGCGTCCAATGCTCGCCGCTCAGCAGGGTCAGGCAGATCTCGCCGGTCTGGAAATGCACGTTGGGATGACAGATGGGCGTGACGAAGTGCACCTTGGGCGGGGCCAGAGGGTAGTTCGGCGGGATCGTGATGTCTAGAAGCCACAGCCCGTTGTGGTACGGGTTGGTGTGGTCGTAGGGGCCCTTGAGAACCGCTTCCCAGGAGAAGAGGTCGTCTTCACTGACCGGGCCGAGGTGTAGGACGGCGTCGCAGGGGGTGGTGTGTAGGTCTTGCAGTTCGCGCGTTAGTCGTTTCAGTGCGTTCGCTGGGGAGGCGGGTTTGGTGCGGGACGAGCTGGAATGGCTGCTGGAGGACATGCTTCTGAAGGTTCGTCGGGACGGGAAGGAAGGAATGAATGAAGTGTCTGAGCCCCGTAGGAGATAGCTTCTTCGCTGTGTCAGATGGGGGATGCTGTTGGATGGTACGATATGGTCAAGGTGGGCAGAGGTATAGGTCGAGGATTTGATAGCGGGAGCGTAAACTGGAAAGACGGAGGAGAGACTCTTTTGTCGGGGGAGGTGTATTCGTTATGTGCAATTCGGTTTGTAGGTGTCAAATCCTGAGATGTGTTGCTATGCGCGGTCGTAATGTATTGCAGTGGTATTCTAGTTCGTGGTGTTGATGGTAATCTTGATCAAGTTCGACGTAGTCAATAAAGCTCTCAGCCTGATTGACGATGCACTGGCAGCCGAGGCTGAACACATTGATATTGATTGGGTCTCGGACGCGGACGCGCTAGATTGGATGACCCTTGCAAGTCCCCTGCTCCTGGCCGTCTATCAGTGTCTAACGGCCAATGCCCACCGACCACTTTATTTCATTCAACTGATATTTACTATTGATTCGCGGCTACCATTTTTGGGATTGTGCCTGTAGGCTGCCACAACCACCTGCAGACTGAGACGCGAGTCACGCGGCATAGCGCGAAGATGCGGACATCGAAGATCTCCCAAGATACGACAAGGATCTTCAACGCCCTTTCCCCCAATGCGCGCACTGGCCGGACCACCCGAAGCGCAAAGCGCATCGCATCTTTCGCTCTGGGCTATAATGGGGAAGTCGAGGTGCACGAAAATGAAGAGACGGACGAGGACCATACACATCTTACCGACATGTCACCCTCGCAAACTCCAGATATTGAAGACGCTTTTAGCACGCGCGCTCTCGTCCGCCCTCGCTCGAACAAAAAGAGGAAATTGGGTGCAGACTCAGCGCATACTGCGACCAGGAGATCCGCCATGACGGACAGCGAAGAGGATGAAACCAGAACAGCGGCTACCACTAAAACGAAAACAGAGGAGACAACAACGACCGCAAGGATCCCGATGCCGCGGCGCAGCATCAAGAGCGAAGCTGACGAGGATGAAGATCCTACTACCTCTCCAGAGCATTCGAGGGTGAAAACAAGAGTGAAATCGAAAGCGAAACCCAAAATCCCCGCAAGGAAAACCACTTCCCCATCAGGAACGGTGCGAATACAGCCGCCATCAAACTGGTCGGAGGTTTACGATATAGTCAAAACCATGCGACAACGCAATCCAACAGCGCCAGTAGACACGATGGGCTGCGAAGAGCTATATTGGCCTGCCGCCCCGCCGCGCGAGAAACGGTACCACACGCTGACGGCGCTGATGTTGTCATCTCAGACCAAGGATACCGTCACCGCGGTAGCGATGCATCGATTACACACGGAACTTGTCCCCATGAAAGAAGAGGACGGTGGCGAAGTCAAGAAGGAACAGTCGCCGCCGAACAAAGAACCCGAGGCCAAGCAGTCAACGCTGACCATAGACAACATCATCGCGTGCGACCCGAAATACCTTGACCATTTAATCGGCAAAGTTGGATTCCACAACAACAAGACCAAATATATCAAGCAGGTCGCAACGATTTTGAAGGAGCAGTATAACTCCGACATTCCCAGCACGGTCGAAGGCCTGGTCAGTCTCCCCGGGGTCGGGCCCAAAATGGCATACCTCTGCATGTCTGCCGCTTGGGGTCGGGATGAGGGGATCGGCGTCGACGTTCATGTCCATCGCATCACAAATCTATGGGGCTGGCATAAGACCAAGACCCCGGAGGAGACAAGAGCCTCGCTGGAAAGCTGGCTGCCGCGTGACAAGTGGCATGAAATCAATAAGATGTTGGTCGGGCTCGGTCAGACAGTCTGTTTGCCGGTGGGTAGGAGGTGTGGAGAATGCGATCTCGCAGGCACGGGGTTGTGTAAAGCCGAGATTCGGGGCTGGAAAGCCACTCAAAAGAAAGTCGCGGTCAAGAAGGAGAAAACGGAGGTGGGGTTGGAGGCTGACGAGATGGTCGTGAAGAAGGAAGAAGAGGAGATTGTGACGACCAAGGTTAAGGAAGAATTGGTCGATTCTTGAACTGGGCCGCAGATGCTGGACTTTCGTTACGTTCGCCTGTCCGAGCCCTGTCCTTCTTATACCCCCAACTCTCCATCTCAAGATCTGAGGGCTTGATATTGGAAGTTGGCTAACGTCGAGCACAACCGTCCCCCTCGCTCAAAATATGTGGAAGGTTCTCTTTGCAAGATTGCTTCTAGCACTCCTTGTTTCCAGGGATCTCCGACCGTTCAATGTCTCGCATACTCCACGTCCTGGAGACGCCTGTTGCAACATTACGCTGGAAAATGACCTGAATGTCCGCTGAATGCTGAGCATGTTGTCTGGCGCTGTTGACTTTACCTTGTTCTGTCCAGGAGGTGTGCGTCTATATTAAAGGAACAGCTGTGACCTTTGATACATGGTGGCTAGGCGAGCCGTGGCTCCGTGGATCCTTGGGACAAGGCTGATTCATGCAACGCTACAACGTCGGGCGCAATACCAGTACTTTCCAAGCGTGTCAATCGTGCAGAAACACATTACCGAGCCCAAATCTCGCTGTGAGCAGGAGACCTTGGGAGGAGAAAGTTAAACTTGAAAGGCCCTTGGCCGGTGGTTTACGAGCCACGGCAAAGGTAGGGTTTTGGTCGGAAGGAGTTAGGTCGAAAACCTGATGTCCTGTTAGGGGAATCAACTTTGATACATCTTGGTCCCCGTAAATGTTAGAAAGGGTTGATACAGGCTTACAAGTCGAGAGATGGAGTTGTACGTACTAACTAGTTGCGGAACTTTGGTGGAGCACAAAGCGGCGTCACTACCATCTCCAAACGGGAGTGATATCACGCCGCCAGAGACGCTATGCGGAAGGCACCTGCTAACACTGTTAACATTGGGTTGTTAACACCATAAGCATACAGCATACCCATGTAAGGGTTGTAGTAACAACTGCACCCGCGAACCTCCCAACATATTGTGTTCATTCCTCTGCCATCCTACTTCTATAATCTACCTACTAGGTAGAAGTCGGTGGATTCCTTTCAGTGCTCCAGTTCAGCATAGCATGCGGTGGCATCCTTGACTTCATTGCGACAGCCTAGCTTGCTTACAGCCACATCCTCACCGAATCCGAGACCCATCTTCAACCTGCCTCGCCCGCCTCGCTGCCAGCCATCATGGCAGCAACCAAAAAGATCGAGAAATGGGAAATCGACCGCTACTGGGAGATCTTCTCGTCGCTCGTGCAACCGCCTGCGTCGTCGTCATCACATTTGACGAACCAAGCGGCGGCCAACGTGCTGCGCAACTCCCAACTACGCGATGACCAACTCGAACGGGTGTGGGACCTCGCGGACGTCGACGGCGACGGGGAGCTGGATTTTGAAGAGTTCTGTGTTGCCATGCGCTTGATCTTCGACCTGGTCAACGGAGAATACCAGGACGTACCGAAGAGCTTGCCGGACTGGCTTGTGCCGGCAAGCAAAGCACATCTGGTAGCGGCGCACCGAGCCTTGACGGGCGATCAGCGCGAGCAGTTCGAGAGGATCGAGGACGATGAGGATGACGTCGGTCTGAAAGATGGGTTTGATTGGTATATGAGTCCCGAAGATAAACGCAGGTACGAGGAGATATACTCGGCGAACAAGGACCGACGGGGCGACATCAGCTTCGATAGCCTGCATAATCTGTACGCCAGCCTAGATGTGCCGGATACAGACATCCGCAGTGCGTGGAATCTGATCAACACGAGCGGGCGGGACACGATCTCCAAGGATGCGTGTCTGGCATTCCTGCATATTCTCAACTACCGCCATGAGGGCTACCGGATACCGCGCACCGTGCCGCCGAGCCTCCGAGCCAGCTTCGAAGGCAATCAGATTGACTACCAGATTGACAGCATGAGGAATCGGCCCAACAAGTACGACGAGGACACCATTACTGGTCGAAAAGCAAAGTTCGGCGATGCTTATCTGAGCCGTCTCGGGGAGAGAGGAGGTTCCTCCTATACGCCCAAAGGGACGGACTTCTCGGATGTGGTCGAAGATGAAGATCTGGAGAAGGTCCGACTGTTGCGTGAGCTGCGCGAACTGGAAGCCCAACACGACGCGGCCATGGCAGCAGCGGAGCGTCGACGGAAGCAAAGGCGGGAAAACGGAGGTCCGCGGCAGGCTGGCAAGACTAACTGGACACTGGTCAAGCGAGAGGCGCAGCAACTGCTTGAATACAAACAACGGCAGTATCTGGAATTGAATTCGGAAAGTGCAAACAAGTCAGAAGGCGACCTCAAGAGACTCAGGGACGATCTCGCATTGGTCGCCGAACAGATAGAAGGGCTCGAGTCGCATTTGAAGAAACGCGAGGCGGAATTGGAGGGTCTTCGCCGAGAGATTGAGAACGAGAAGGCGAGTCGATGATGGAGTACTTTTATCCCAGCGGCATGGATAGGACGGATTCGTGATAGGAATGCTCCGATGCTCAAAGAGCACCAGTTGATATGACAAGCGTGCGGGTTTGTGTACACGTTGTACAAGTGTACTTCAATTGCAATATTCAGCGAAACAAAACCCCCCTGCCAACTGTCTAACTTCCAGTCCGTACTTTTCGTAGTCCGTCCGTCGTCAGGACATCTCCTCGCTTGAAGTTCGCTAGGTCAATGTCAACAGAAGCCAGCATGATATAGACGATGCGTGGTCAGACTAACCATCAGCTTCTTCCCATGCTCTTCCAGCTCCGAAACCTGTCCCGAACCACACAGGCCATGCTCTTCGTTTGAACAACAGTACTGAAAATATGACGCCGAACGAGAAACCGAGTGCGGATCTGATCACCAGGGAGGAGACTGCACGATCCCACTGTATACTGTGTCAGCCATAAACAGTTCATGACTCCCCTGGGTGTGCAGCGCAATCCAGGCTCTTTGACAAGTCTTGAAGGAAGCCTATCAACCCTAATTGCAAGCGCCGCCCCGTCCCTCGCTCTATCTCTTGAGTCCTTCTCTCGGGAGCCGTACCTTTTCGTTTAGCAGAGCTTCGCTGACTGGTTTCGATTTGGGTGCAACGGGCAGAGGAGGTCCCGAAACATTGTCGTCCGACATCTTGGAAACTGCAACAAGCTACATTAGTGAATGAGGACGACAACCAAGGCAAAGATACATACCTTGAACCAAGCAGATCTCCTGTGGTATAGAGCTGGTGCGAGCAATGACGAGTAAGACGGACTACTAGTATTCGAATAGTACGTCAAGCTTGGAGTTGGAAGCTCGTTGCTCAGTCGGTGCTCGCTGCTCTTTCCAATTCCGCCGCGCAGCTTCCAGCTTGAGGCTAGTCGCCAAAAGTACCGGCCAATCGGAGATGGCCTTGGCAAATTTTTCCGACTCCATGCAATATCAAACATGAAAAGAGACGAGAAGGATCAATCTTCAGTATTGAAGCCGTACTCAATTACACGTCTATTGCACACTAACTCGACAACGCTTGCAAAGCAGTTGGCATTGAGGATGGTCGGACTGCGAAATCCCACGCTCTTGTAATGGCGAAACGAAGTTTCGAGGCTGCAATCGCAGATCTAGAACGAACGAATGGTCCTCCAGAGGAGATTTTGACGAAAGCCGCCGATATCCTCGGTCTCAATCTTCAAGAATATCTGGAAACTTGCTGTACCGAGGTGAGGTTTAAGACCACTTCACAGTCTCCTGGTTTTAAAGAGCGTTGGCTCCTTCGCTGGCTCCTGAAGAACCTAAATACTTCCGATCCCAAAGGTGGAGCGCCGAAGACGGTAAGGAACAATGCTCAAAAGTATGGACTCCCCTCCTCCATGTTTCTATCAATCCCAACTGATTTGTGGTAGATTTGTTTCTCTTCCACAGTTCTGGGCGCTTCTTCTGGCAGTGACATCTCGCATTACAGATGAAGTCTGTCTGGAGATCCTCTTGGAGCGAAAGTTCTTCCATGCTCTAGACGAGTCGATCAAACTCTGTCTCACCCCCGAGCAGTCTGGGTCAGCCTCCCAAATATCTTCGCCCGCAGACCTTGACCCCAAGGAGCGCCCGTCGAAGAAAAGACGGCTAAGTCCTCCAGCACCCAAGGAGCAGACAGGCCCATCTCACCGGACGAAACTCATTTGGCCCCTTCTGCAGGCTGCCTGCCGCTGTGTTGGTCTTCTGGCTGTGACGTCCTCACAGAGACAAAGAAGGGTTGCTCCGACATGGACCGCATCGTGGAGCGATCAAGCGTCGTTACTTGGCGGGTTACTCGATGCTGTTGCATTCCTGCTAAGAAATGCTTCCCAAGCAGCGGAGCAAGTGTTGTTATCCCAACTACTCAGCACCGCGTTATCCTTTTGGAAAGGTGACAACACAGCCGTCCGAACTCAGACTGACGATCCAAATCAAGCGTTTGCCTCTCACTGTCTAGAGCCAGTCTTGGTCATTCTCGATTTCCTCCGCAAAGCGCACCTGAATAACAAAGAACTTGTTTCTTCGAAGACCACAATGGAAAGATTGGTCGCAATGCATGTTGTATTCCCGTTCCGCGCGATCTTCAACGAACGATATGCCAAAAAATGGAGAAATGTCCATGACGTCCTATTGTACGATCATTTGGAAAGCATGCTCAAAGGCTTCAGGGAACGCATCATGGTTCTTGGAGACGGTCTGGCACGGACCCCAAATCGAACTATTTCAGCTACTCAACGGAATCTGTCGTGGATGATACTTGATATTGCTGTGCGCTCGGTTCCGGCTTCTGATCTACGAAAACGACAACAGGAGCAACCATGGCTTGATTCCTTGTTCATATGTGTCATCCATCTGCTGTGGCCTCATATCCCTCAAGTTACTGCTACTGGTGCCGTACACCAGGACGTCTCCAACAACCCAGCCCCTGGTAACCGAGAGAGCTGGGTGGCAGCCCTGGAAAAATTGGTCGACGTTGCACTAGCGCTGAAATTAAAGGTTTCATTGTCTGTTCTAGGATATGTCCTCTCGGGCATGTTCGCAGTGGACGAAGAAACTTGTCCGTGGATTCTTCTGGCCAAGATCATTCGATTGGATGTCAACATAATAGTGCCCAGCACCGGCTTGTCCAACTCCGGGCAGCTGTTGAAACAACTCTTGCAGAGAATCGAGTCCAGTACTGTCTCGATGGAACTGTATGAGGTCATCCGGGACGATATTGTTCTTGCCTTGTTACGGGCCTTTGCCAGGGCTCGAGCTCTAGACGGGTTTGTCACCATCTGGCAACAAAACATGTCAGAAGCAATACGGGTACGTTACACGTCCAAGGATGATCCCGATACTGTTCCTGCTGTGCTTGTATGGGACGATGAGGATGTATTTGATGAATTCAAATCCCTGGCCTTAGTGCATGCGCCACCAACAATGAGTCAGAGGCTACTGCAGGAGCTTTCCGAGCAGCTGAAGGGCATTGCTGAAAAGATTGGATCTACGGCCGATGCCTTTGCCAAGCTGGCTGTAGTTTCGGCGCTCTTGGAGCTCTCTGGCACCGAGGATGCAGGTTTAAACCTCCCTGCCACACATCTGAGCGACCTGTTCCAAGAAACAATGAGCGCCTTGCCCCGAAGATCCGACTACCAAGCTCAACGGTGGCGACTCTGGAAAGCCATCCGGTTGCTTGTTTCCCTGCTTGACTTGGAGAAGATTTCTGGCCTCGAGAGCCTGATGCAGCCAAGCTACAATTTTATGTCACTGGACGAACTTGAGGACAGTGGAAAGCATGACCCGACTCGTAAAAGGGCTGCCAGATTTCTAGAGTGTCTGGAATGCTTCACACTGGTTGTTGAGCTGGCTGTTAAACAACCCCAATTCCAAAAGAAACTGGCATCCGAGCTCAACCACCTGACGGAGCTGATGATGCAGTCTCAAACTTCAGCCAAATCCTTCGCTCTTTGGAACGGTCGTAGCTTCGACTGCGACAGTCCCTCCAAGCTGGTGGCTGCCTGCATTGGCCGTCTCCTCCAGCGACCAGAAGCCTTCTCTTCCTGCTCTGATGCGCTCAAGGACCTCATCGACAAGTCCTTAGATCTGATATCGAGCCCGGGTCATTCTAACACCACATCTGAGGATGAAAGGAACCTGGCAGCACTCATGAAAGCTCTTGCAAACGCCGAAGAAGTGATTAACAATCCCACTCTGCGAGAAACGGTCCTCCAACATACTGCACAATCTTTGGAGTCTGCTGATGGGAGACTCAGTCAATCACAATTACAAGTCATTCCTTTGGGGGCAATCAAGAAGCCGCTGCTCAGAAAGCTTGCGGCTGCAACCACAAGCCGCCTGATGGGCGACCCTCAAAATTCTACGCTTCAAGCGATCGCAGATGACCTGAACCTTGTGATTCAGTTGGATTCAGTTTCTTCCCGAACGAGCATCGATTGCAAGGAATGGACATTATGGGTTGAGCTCTCCGAGAAGTTGCTCTCACGCAAAGACATCGCACTGTCGCCGTTTTTGTGGCCTGTAGTCCACATGCTAACCACAATTGTGGACAGAATCTTTGTTCAAGCCTCAGCTGCCCAAAAGTCTGCCGTCCTATCAGACATCTTTACCTGGACTAAGAAGGCGATTGAGGCAGCTCAAGATTCAGAACTTCATCATTCGGACTTCTTGGCCCTTCAGGTCTTTTTTGGCCACTTCTGTCAGGGAGAGGAGATACTGGACAACATCGTTACGAGGCAAAAATTGGGAAAGGTTCAAAAAGGTTACTTACGGTTGTTGAAAGATCGTCTCGACAGAGCTATCCGCGGACTGGAAGACGAAAAGACATTATTCGAGCTGAAGCTCACGTTGGATGCCGCACACCGCATTGGCGATCTCGCCAGAGACGAGCAAATTCGACAAGAAGTCGCCGGCGTACAAAGAATGCTTCAGACGGCAACAACCTCTCTTGGAGCGAAGGACGAATGGCGAATGAGACTATCGGCTCAACGCGAGTGCTGGGAACTCGTGCCACTTCCAGACAGCAAGCCTGACGAGAAGCAATTGGAAATGAGTATTCAGAAACTGGCGGCTTCTTTCGATGGGGTGGTCTGGACCAATGCGGATGTCTCCCTCCTCCTGTTAGATGCTGATATTGTGGTACGCCAGGGTGGCCCGGCGGCCTGGACTCACATCTTCGACTTCCTCCACAAGCAGGACAAGCATCCCGGGTTCCAGCTTGTGCGCCCGGTTGTTATTGCATCTATCATCTTACATACTACAACCCAAGATATCCTCCAGCATCCAGACCTGGCGGAGACACTGGCGGGCATCGCTTGCTTGCAGAATCTGAGCTTGGCATCGACGCTGGAAGAATTGGTTCTCACGCTTGAAAATGCCCGCACGGTCTTGGACACACATCCACTCGTTGTAAACCAAGCAACGCTGGACAGGCTACTCGCCTCGCTATGCACCGTCGCCTCCGCCATTTCAGACGAGCACATTTCAATATCCAGCCCAGACACGAACACTGGCCCACACGCTGCCGACATCTATGACCGGCTCTGTGCGATCGTCGGGTCCGTTCTTGCAAGACACAGACGACGTGTCTCTGACCGCTATCACCTAATACTTCCGGTCCTGCAGACTCTTCTACGATGTCTTTTCTGGCCTGGTTCCCGAGGCCTGCACGATACGAACGGGACGACAATCGCCATCGGTCTCGGCTCCTTTGGCCAGATTCTACCAAAATGGATGCGCGAATCGCCCGAGTCTCTGCCGCCGTCCTCTGCGGAGAAGTTCTCCCGTCTCTTGTCGTCGATATGCAACCCCACCGTGTCTGCGGCACGTTCGTCCAAGAGGAGGGGCCACAACGAACTGAACGACGAGACTAAGCGCGCGAAACTGCTCGCCGGTCAACACATGCAGTACCTGGTGATGGAGTATGCTCGATGTACACTTGACGGCCAGATTTCTTCGTTGGTCAAGGAGCGGCTGATGCCCGGCATGTATAGTGTCATGTCGGCCATGGAGAGGGATCTGCTGAGGGCGTTAAATGCCGGAATGGATCCCAGCAGCCGAGCTATCTTCAAGACGCTGTACGATGATTGGAGTCGCTATGGGAAGTGGGATAAGAGCTAGATGGAGGAGGTATATGATGATACTGACCCGAGAGTGGGGAGGGCAGGTGAAGATTGCGACTCCATCAAGAGTTCATATGGTGAATGTCGTCAGGTTCATCACTCGTATGGACCCCTTCCTGGAATATGTTTGCTATATGAAAAGCAAGAGATGCCGGAACTAAGTACATATTCGGCGTGATTGAGACTACCACAGTACCCCTTAATGACCACGCCCATACTGCCATCGAGACACCTCTACCATAGGCAGATCTATAGGCGCGCCGAGAGACTCTTGTTGCGGACTGCTTTCAAACACGAAACCACCGCGGCCAGTAGAGCGTATAAGAGAGGAGCAACAAGCTTGAAGCCAGGCTGCGCAGCGCTGTAACGCAAGAGGCCGTTCCGAATAGAAGAAAAAGGCTCCATGGTTGCTATCTTCAAGTCCTCACAGTATCGCCAGTGCGTTCGGAGGACTGGCAACGCCGCCAGGGACATTCAACACCTCGCTGGTGAACATAAAGGTCCACCTCTGTTCTTTGGCACACTGTCTCGACAGTTCTTCCAGATCGAACAGTTCGCCAATCGGCAAACCAAATCCTGATAGGATGGTTTCGTGCATGCGCATCTCCATCTCGCCGAGACCGCCTCCTATAAAGGTGTGTTGGTAAGCGAATGATCCAATCTCATCAGGCCATATTGACAGCAGACGAGCCTGTCTTTGAACGAAATCAGGAAATGGGAAGGATGAACTGACTCCAGACTTCAAACCCAGGTGAGTCCGCCGCTACACAGGAGAATTGGGTATCCCATAGCCATTCTAAAGATTCCAGAGACCCTTTAAGCCCCGGATAGGTCATCTCCTGGCCTTCCATCTTGGCGTTGAGCTCAGCTTCGGATAAGCTCTCGTAGCGATGTACGAACCCGGTGCGTAGAAGCAAAATATCGCCGGGCTGGAAGGTGATGTTGCACTTGCGGGCGATTTCCTGTATTGTGGAGACTGGAATGGCCGTAGCTGACCACGGATCATAGGGTTCTGCGCTGGTCTTTGCATATTCGACGTAGTCAATCAGGACGCCACGGCCGACGATGCCGCGTTTCGCCCATTCTGAAGACCATTAGGGGATTGCTGATGGACAACGAAGAGCGCAAGCTAGGAGAGCAAGCCGTCGCCACAAGACGTGACCAGGCGGAGGATGGAACCAGTATATCAAACGAACCTTGAATGCCGTTGCGCTGGCTTCGTCCTGACTTGAGCTCCGCTTGGGTGAAACCGTTGTAGAACCGTCCATCGGGGAACGCCCAGTGTCGAAACCCGTCCCATTGCGAGCTTGTTTGGGTATTGAATTCGAGGCGGTCGTCCTAGCACAAGACCATGGGTGTCACCAGACTGCCAGCATATCGAGGGGCTATTCGGAGGGCGTGCCATGGTAGGAGCCAGACAGGGGGCTGGCTGCTGCAGTGGTCTGCGCATCATGGACTTGGTATTCTTACATTGCAATTCTCGGCGATGGAGAAGATTTCGTGTTTCAGTTTGGTACGGTAGAATGGAGGGACGTGCATCTCCCCCATACTCCAGTTGAGGCCTATGGACCTGCCGGTTTTCACTTCAGCCGCAGCTTTCTTGATACACTCTGGAGTCAGGCGGTTGAGGCAGCCCAGCTGGTCATCTGCACCCCAGACGCCCCATGCAGAATGCGGTGGGTGGTCAGGGTGAAGTGGGAGGTCTTTGAACGGGACATGCTTCGGTGTCACTGTGTTGGATACCATCTTCAAAGCTCTACCCGTTGTGTCTTTGGGTTTGGCGACTCCTGGCTCTCAAGACGAAGGCTGAGGTTGAGGAACGCTCTGGGTCCATCAGGTTTTGCATCCCCCACAAGGACCCAAAAGGGGACGACGAAGAAACCACTTAGTCATAAGAGGGACTCATCGGCGTTGCCCGAAACCGCAAGTCGGACTGAGTCTTTGAGTACTTGATGAAATACGTGTCATGATGTTATCCCATCAACCCATCTCCTCTCTGATTGACCTGCAATCACTGTCTCCATGGCAAAAAGGCAAAGGGTGGTAAGTTTGTGTTGTTCTTCGCGCTGGGCCTTCGTGACTTGATCCGAGAGGTCCGAGGGTGCAGGAAGCAAATCGATGGTAGACATCATCTGTTGATGAGGTTGTGAATAAGACTGCGTATGGCAAGGAAGCTGATGAATGATGATCAGATCATGATTGCTGAGCAGCTACAAGACCTGAGTGTGTGCAGTGCAGCAGAAAGTAGCAGAAGTGGTAACAACGTCCGTTTCGCAGCTGCAACCATTAATTTCTGTCTCTACTTTCCACTTCAGCCTTCGGCCTTCATACTCGATTGCTGTCTTGTTGCAAAGAATCACTCACTTCTCCCACTGCCTTCGTCAATTGCATGCCTCACTATCGCTTAGGAGCCTTCAAAGTTTCTGGGAGGCGGCCCAACTGTCCCCTCGATGAGACTTCCACACCCTCATACCCTCCAGCTCCTCTGCCACAGCGACCCTCACCACCCTCACCACCCTCACCACCCTCCGAGCACCCTTTTCTCTGTCACTCCTCCAAGAGTTTGCTATCATTCACGGGACTGATATCGGCCCAATCTCTGACCCTGAATGCAACATCAACGCCCGGTGCGGGATCTAGACTCCCCGATATACGTGGTTATTGCTTTTCAGCCGGACGCAGGCCCCTACAAGTCGGGCGCAACTGAGATGTCTCAGAGAACAAACGGCAAAGCCTGCAGCAAGGCGGGATGGTCGGACGTGGCCTTCGCAAATAGAAACAGACCTCCATTCCGTCAGGCTTACTTCGGCCTGATGGGAATCATCGCTCAAGGCTGAATCTCGCCGAATCGTCCAAGTCAAGGCGTCACTCCAGACAAGGGGTCGGTCCACCGAACTCTGCCACGATTCTCACCACGCATCAAGACCAGCGGGAGCTTCTTCAGAGCGTGTAACATTGGTGGCCCTGTATTGGATCCTACTGGTCCAGCTGGCCGCTTGAACACTGGAAAAGCAGTCTCTTCTTTGTTCGCTGCCAGAACCTTGGTTGAAGCATTTTAACAATGTTATAGGCCAGTCATGCAAGATCTCATCCTTCTACCCAAGGATTGCATATGCGAGCATGAGGCGAGTCCGATGCAGCACCTCAATGTCCGAAGGAATGCTAGTCAGTATCGGCTAGCCATGCCGCAGGGGAAATGGCACCCTGGTCCACTCTTAGTCCCTCGCCGTTATAGGACTACTCAGACTCAATCACGCTTTCGCTGCCTCCCCGGGACCGGCCTTGAACGGCTTCAAAGCTACCGTGAGCACAACCAGACTAGCATGGCCGATGACCGCAAGTTCTGGACCGCTGAAAGAAGAGAAAGACAAAGCTCGTAACCATGACCGTCTTGCACCAAGCGGTTCTTGTCAAACACCACACCACCATATACATGTAGTAGGCATATTCTTGGCCTGCTGACACATTTTGTCCCTCAAGTTACCGAGAATTTAGCGATTTACTGACCGAAGCCGACTGAGGGAAGAAGACAAGGCAACCGTGGTCACATGACTGGCCACAAACGATGAGGCTAGGGAGAAAGGGAGAAGTAGCGCGGCCATTTTCTGCCTGACGCCATCCCTGTGTTTCCATGTTCAAAAGCCAACGATCCTTTTCAGCCTCAAAGATTTCCTTGTCCAGTGTGACCTGCACGATTCTCATGCATGCCTGGCTTGACAATTAGCCCTCATTACTAAACATGTGTCCGATGTCAACTTGGCGGTCAGTGCCCAAATCATGATGCTATCTCCATGTCCATACAAGCACCGATTTGGACAGGTATGAGGCTCTGCGAGGAGTACAATGGAGCTCCTCTTCATTCCTACTTGCGGCAGGCCTTCCCCTTGACATGCTTCACATCCATGCCTCTTGGTGTTTTTCATTGTTCCTTGTGATCATACAGTTAATGTCAGCCTCACCAGTCCCTGGCCTTAACGCTCTCTACAGTTCTTAAAGTCCTCCGTTTCTGCCCATCGTTTTTTACGTTTTTTACGCATTGAAAGACCCCATGAACTTGCCAAGTGCCTTTCATCTCTTTATCACATCTCCTCAAGGTTGTCATCGGCGGGTATGTTCGTTGATTTACCCTTCGACATCATTCATCATCTGGCTCGACGGCTTGACATACGGTCTCACGACAGCCTTGGAAGGACATGTTGGGCTCTGTATGAACATCTCTGCGATGAGGGCACTGCCAAAAAGTGCCTGCTGGTGATGGAATACAGCTCGTATGCTCTGACATAAGCTGACGATGATCAGGCAAGCGCTCCGTATTCAGCATTGGTCCAATCCGCACTGTCAAACCCAGAGGCCAGTTCCCGTGTCACACTTGGTCGGTGTAACGATTGTGCCCATGCCCTCCAAACAGCTTCACCATACTCTGCATGCATCCTAGGATATGCAACCAGTTTTGCCTACCATGAGGGGATCCTGTCCTACTCGACCTGTTCTAGCCTTCGGATTCTCGATCTCAATGACGGCCGAAAAACCGAAAAAGTGTTCAGCAACGCAGTGTTCTGCAATGCCATCATCGGAAGCTCGGACGGTGGTGAGGATATGTACGTCGAGTCTCTTGTGTCTCTCCAAGTTCAAGGGTACGCTTGTGATATAGTGGTGCTTCTCTGCGATTTTGGTATCCACGGCCACTATCTCTGTGCTGTCAATATTTCAGACGCCTTCGGGCCCCGGCAGCAACCCTCCGACTACAACTGCCACCCTCGTGTCTTGCTTTGCACTCGCCTGTGGTCCACCAACAAGCTCTTCGTCAGGCACAACCGTAGATTTCTGGTTCTGGGCACCCACTCTGCCCTAGGCAATCATGATCACCATGAGTGGTTGCTACATCGGTATGATCTGGAAACCGCAAGACCGGTCGCCAAGGAGCCGTTGCAGCTGCGCAACTTCTGTGGCTCCGAGATGGGGTCTACGGTATGCTTCACTATCTATCAAGACAACTTCTATGCCTTGACAAACCAGACCAGCTACGAAAGTGAGGAAGTGGACTGGACGAGCTACTACCATTTCATTCACTTTCCTCTCGATGATCCACTTCCGGACCTGAAAGTACGGGCAATCTGGAGGAGGCAGCATCTCGAAGGTCCAATCAATGACTCCTGGACAGATCTGGGGTTCCAAATTGATCATGGTAGTGGTGAGTTGCTTATAGTGGAATGCAGAAAGGAGTGGTTAGCTGGGGGCAGTCGATCCGTAAGGACCTATTACACCCAACCCTTCGAACGGGCTTTACATGGCGACTTACACAATGGTCACCGACACCCACCCGGCGATCCCCTAGGCCGTACACTGGATGCGAAGAACAACAGCAGATGGGAGGAATCAAGACCTCGCCTTGATAGATTCGTCCACACCGAGATTCAAGAGAGCGACGATCGCGGTGTGAAGGAATACATTCGAGCGAAGACCAAGTGGAATGGGTACCACTTCAACGCCCAAGCGTTCGTCGACCTCGTGACGGATGAAGTGAGCGTGGAAGGCGAGTGGCGACCTAAAGAGCGCATCAAGCTTCGAGTGGCCAGTAGGCATGAACTTAGTCCTCTAGTCTCGGAGGACGATCACATGAATGGGTCATCATTCCTTCTACGACCTCCCAGCCTAGACAAAGAGGGCGAGGTAATGCCAGACGGCGAAGAAGCATTCAGTCCTACCAAAGTATCGTTATGGCCGCCCGACGATGCGCCTCCAGAGCTTCATGATATGCTCTGTCCGGGCGGCAGAGGAGGTGAAGTCAAGGCCATCTTGGGCGATCAAGGTATGGTCTACACCGCTGGTCCAGCTCGCGAGCCTGGCTCTCGTGAGCGGGCGCTCATCTTTGTCAGCTTTGATCCAACATTCGGTTTCGAGGGCATGAAACGTCTTGACGGAAGCCTCGCCATCCCAAAGCAGAGGGATCTCCAATCGGACGCCGTAAGAAAGAGGAAGAATGTTGGTGAACGAGGGGAGCCAGCTGACGCCTGCCCTGGCAATGAAGATACATCTCCAACTCGTGGTTCGTATAGCAAGAGAGTCCGAAAAAGTCGAGATAGGTATACTCCGTCTCAGTCAGAGTATATGGGGGAACAAGCGGGAAGCCACAATATCGCACGTCGAGACTACGACAACGACAAGAAGGCTGAATATCTTGACGGAACAGCCGGGCAGGCTGCTGCAAGCGATGAGCCGTTCAGACCAACGGACGTATCAGGCAAGCAAGCAGATCGTCTCGGCAAACAGACAGAAAGCTTCGGAGAACATACATCGAAGCCAAACTACCAAACCAATGTCCCTCATGCTCCGCGACAGGATCCATTGATTCAAGTCCACGCCACGGCGTCTCCTACAACATACCCTTTGAGGTCCAACGAGTCGTCTCTCCCGTCTAGCAAGCCACTCGAGACCTGGCGTGAAAGGGCCGCCTATACGACTATCCGACAAGGCTTTTGGTTACGTTGAGCAGGGAGAATGGACAGCGACAATCATAACTATCGGGTCCAAGGCCCTGTTGGCTTGGAAAAGGAGGCGAGCATGAAAGACGACCGCCCTGAGGGCATGGGGGAGAGCAAGACAGAAAAGAAATGCGGGAGAGCCATCAGGCCCAGCGGCTACCTGAGGGAAGTTTTGTCTGCAAGGTTCCACGTATTAGGTTTCAATTCTTTGATTGCGAATTCCTGAGTCTCTTCTTGCGGTCTAGAGAAACAAGTAGCCAACCAGCCAACCAGCCAACCAGCCAACCAGCCAACCAGCCAACCAACAATAGCAAGTCACCTCAGTACCTAAACGACCTGGCCTGACATGTCCCGTCCCATCATGCTCTGATGAGAAAAACATGACCTAAACCAGGTAGAGTTGTGGATGAGGACAAATGGGCAACTCCAGCCTGACCGTGACAGAACCTGATCTGAATTCAGCTTTTCTAAGCTGCATCGAGGCGCCGTGCAGCGCACATAACGCTGAATGTCCAGGGTAGGCTGTGCGAGAGCGACAGGAGCCGCCGCTCCAGCCCTGACTCCTGCAATGAAAAGCAAGTAATAAAAGGAAGAGAGCGCCGCATGGCGACGCCGAGAGACTCTGTGATCCAAGTGGGATATGGACCGATTAGGAGAATGCGTTCTGTAACATAGCATGTCAGGGCAGAGCAAGCCACAGGATGAAAAGGAGCATAGAAGAGTCGACAAGGGCTGGCCTGAGTGTGTTTTCAGTATCTCTTGAATTTTCGAGGCCAGCCATCCTGCGCCCTCTTTCATGGACCACACGACTTGCCATTGATGTGGAAAGACAGCGACTGCGAACAAGGGATGTCGTAGGATTGGAGAACTTTCCACGACAAGTTCACCATTGGTTTTATTGACCAGCTGTACATGGTGTATGCCTCATGCAGTCGCGTGAGTGCCACCTAATTCAGACGCACGTAATTGCCTGGATACAGTATTCATTAGCCATTGACCAGAAATCATGCATGTCGACTGAAGTCATAACTCACCAGGAAATTGCCCTTCCTTCCCATTCAGCCGGCCGATCCACCATTCATTCTCGTTCTGAGTGCGCGACACAATCTCAATGACGTCTCCGGTCATGAAGCTCAAGTCTCCTTCGGCTTGTGCTTCATAGTCGTACAGCGCGGTGACAGTCTCGGCGGCAGGGACACCGCTCAGACGACTTGGTTTCGGCTTTGGTGGCGGTGGCTTGAACTTTGCTGCGCTCGAGGAGCCTAGTGCGGGACTCGTGGGCACACTACTCGCCGAGCCTGTGGGAGAGTATGGAGGAGGAGGATGGGACTGGCCGTCTTCCAAGTTGCTCGTTCGCCGGCTTGCAAAGGACGATCTGCCCGCTTCGGCTTCTTTTGCCTTTGCACCGAACCCGTACTTGGATATTCCGTGACCCGCCTTCACGCCGCCGGTGGCCTTGAAGTGAACAATGGTCAAAGCCTCGGCCCTTTCCCGCACGTCTCCTCGCTTCATCTCAAAGGCTTCTTCAATGTCCAGGTTGAGGTTGAAGTAGCCGATGTTGATGGCTTGCATCTTTTCATGCAGCGTGTAGAAAAGGTTCAATTGCATGTAGTAGAACGACTGGAACAGCGGTCGGATGAAGTCGGCCTCCAGCGCAAACAGTTTGGGGAGTTCGTCCTTGAGGAGATTGTTGAAGTGTTCGTAGTCCTGAGTGGCTTGCTCCACGTCATTTTCGGCCTTGTACAGCGCCTTTTCGTCCTTCAATGTCTTTTCTTTCTTGTCCTGGAGCTTCTTCAAGGTGGCTCGGTGACGATCATAGTCCAACTGTTTGTGTTGGCGCTTCACCGCAACCTTCCGGATCACTTTGATGACCTCGAGCAATTGGTCTGCCGGGGCGATCACTCGTTGTTCGATCATCTCCAGTTCCGGTTGTAATGTGGCCTGCAGGTCGCGCACAATTGATTCGTATTCCTCGCATGCTCGAATACCTTCCGGGTTGCCCTCGGGTATCAACGAGTTGGGATCAGAGACACGGCCTGATATGGGCTTGTAGATTTCTTGGATCGCCTTGGAGAATTCGATCTGGTGGTTCAGCATGCCTTGAATAAGTCTCGTCAGCTTTCATGGTCCAATGTCGCGAGGAGGACAGGAGCTATACCATTGATTGCGTCAAAGTATTTCCTTGACTCCTCATGCAGCTTCTTGGTCTCTTTCTCCAGCTCGGCAAACCGCCGTTCCGCATCAATGTATACGGCATCTTTGGTGTTCTCGCCGATGTTAAAGCGCTGTTTGAACTGCTGCGGCGCGCGAGTTAAACTCTTGGTCACACCTTTGAGACTCATGCTGCGTTGTCGTTGTCGTTGTCGTTGTCCTGCGCTTCTGCTGCTGGTGACTAAGAGAACTCTTGTGCTCCGTCGGAGAGAGTGGAAGGGCCGGAAAGAAGTTCAAAGATCGGTAGAGGCGTCAAATCTGGATGATGGCACCACTCCCCAATGAAGATCCGAGGATCCCGTGTCTCTAGACGCTAAGCTGCCGAATACGTGAAGCGCACGTCGGTCGCAAGCGATGGAGGGGATGTTGGGTATGGAGAAGGTGTGCGCAGGCTTATTAAGATCGGCCCACGAGAGAGACTCGGAGAAGGTGACGCAGGACACCTAAGCTCGGACTGTCTGTCAGCTCCGATACAGTGCGGTGCAGTTTAGTTCAGGGCTGTGCGGAAGACAACAGACTTGGCCGTAGAGGTCCAAGGCTCGGCGAGAGTCTTTGTGAAGTCTGATGTCTAGGCTACCAATTGACGGAAATTGGAGAGGTAATATACGTACCCAATGTGGCTTGCGAGTATTGTGGTCGATGACAGCAGGATCAAAGTTGGAGTGGGATGCAGTGCAGTGGACAGTGTCAGTGGGAGGGAGCAGCATAACTCTACTGTGCCGTACTAGTCAAATAGTACTGCACAGTGTAGCGTGGTCTATGCACAATTTGCTGGTGCCTGCAGTCTGTTGACCGTTAAAGCAGCAACTGCTATTTCGTGATCCTCAGGCCTCAGCATTCGACCGATTCAAAATGCCGCTTCGGCCGAAATCTAATCAAATCAGATCAAGAATTCTGCTTGATGACCACCACTGGCACTGCACTGCAGCTCGACAATATATCAACTCTTCCAACTACCGGCCCATCCTTCTCATCCACGAACCTGACTATTATCACTTCTTGACTCTCCTGTTGTTGACCACCTCACAACTATAGTCAGCCGGTCTGACATATCGCGAATATGTCCGGACCAGCCTCATCCGTCATGAGGCAGGCCTCACGAACCTGCGCTCGTCGCCTGTCCTCCGCCACCAATACCATGCTATCAGCATCACATTCACGACCTACATCCATCGCCACCTCACGTTTCATCAACCATCGCAACTATGTCTCGGAATCGAAGCCTTCCTCAGCGCAAGTCACCGATGTCCAGTCTGCCATCAAGGCCGACCAGAAGAAGTTCATGGAAGAGAGTGGCAATCTCCCATCGCAGGTGAAGATGCCCGGTGCACAAATGACTGCCGATGCAATGATGAGTCCTCAGGCCGGTATCCTCAAACAGGCCACTGTCATGGATCAGGGTAGCCGCCCGATCTACCTCGACGCACAGGCAACTACCCCTGTGGATCCCCGAGTGCTCGACGCAATGCTTCCATTCTTGACTGGCTTATACGGCAATCCTCATTCGCGGACGCATGCATACGGCTGGGAAAGTGAGAAGGCCGTTGAAGAAGCCAGAGAACATATTGCAAAATTAATTGGAGCCGATCCGAAGGAGATCATCTTCACGTCTGGTGCGACTGAGAGTAACAACATGAGTATCAAAGGTGTGGCCCGGTTCTTTGGTAGATCGGGCAAAAAGAGACATATCATCACGAGTCAGACCGAGCACAAATGTGTTCTGGACAGTTGCCGACATCTCCAAGACGAAGGCTTTGACGTGACTTACCTGCCAGTCCAATCTAACGGCCTCATTGACCTCAAACAGCTCGAGGCGGCTATCAGGCCCGATACTGCTCTGGTCAGTATCATGACCGTCAACAACGAGATAGGAGTCATCCAGCCCGTCAAGGAGATCGGACAGATGTGCCGGTCCAAGAAAATCTACTTCCACACCGACGCGGCACAAGCAGTTGGCAAGATTCCGATCGATGTGAACGAGTGGAATGTGGATTTGATGTCAATCTCCAGTCATAAGATCTACGGTCCAAAGGGTATCGGTGCCTGCTATGTCAGAAGACGACCTCGTGTCAGGCTCGACCCTATCATCAGTGGGGGTGGGCAAGAAAGGGGCCTTCGAAGTGGTACTCTCGCACCTTTCCTTGTCGTTGGCTTTGGCGAGGCTTGTCGTATTGCGAAAGAAGAGATGGAGGTAAGTTCGACCACCTTGCTACTTGGTTTCCAATGTTCGGGTTGGTTTCACTGAAGCCTGCTGACTGTATTTTCTCAGTATGATTCCAAGCGGATTCACGCCCTCTCCAAACGCCTGCTCGACGGCTTACTGGCCATGGAGCATACGTCTCAGAACGGCGATCCAGAACGACACTATCCTGGGTGCGTCAATGTTTCGTTTGCCTATGTTGAGGGAGAATCTCTCTTGATGGCTCTGAAGGATATTGCTCTGTCGTCGGGTAGTGCTTGCACTTCTGCATCCCTGGAGCCAAGTTATGTTCTACGAGCACTTGGCAACAGCGACGAGAGCGCGCATAGTAGCATCCGGTTCGGCATTGGACGATTCACCACCACCAGTGAAATCGACTATGTCTTGAACGCTGTGCGCGAGCGCGTAACTTTCTTGCGAGAGTTGAGCCCTCTTTGGGAACTGGTTCAGGAGGGCGTCGACTTGAACACGATCGAATGGAGCCAACACTAGCCAAATGATGCGTTTCAATCACGAGTACACTTGTACATTATCTGCTTTGGGCTTGTCTAGCACATTTCGACCACTTTCATTATCAGGTGTGCCGCCGAAGGAACCATGTCTGGGGTCAGGAACTGCTTGCGATTCCCATACATGATGGGTTTTGCCGGCGCTACAAATGCATCATCCTGGCAGGATCTTTATATCCATAGCCTCGAATCATATTTTTGATACCCCGACCTTGTTTCGTTGCTTCCCACGCATCGGCGGCGTGCTCAAAGTCAAATATGTTTGAGATGAGGCTCTTGAGCGGGATGGTGCCAGCCTCTAGCACATCCATGGCCACCCCGAAGTCTCCGGTGTTGTAGCGGAAGGCTCCATGCATGTGCAATTCCTTCTCGCTCATGGTGAGGATAGGAAAATTGACCACCGGTTTACCCAGCCCAGTCTGTACACAGGAACCGCCCGGCCGAAGAACATAGACCGCCATTGCAATTGAGCTTTCCGCCCCCGTGGCCTCGATCACGGCATCTGCCCCCAACCCCAACCCGTTCTCTCGAATCAGCCGCGCAGCATCTTCCTCGGCTGTCGCATCCAAGTCTGGTCTGAACGTGCTAGCCCTGTTGAAGTCCCTTGCGAAGTCTAGTTTCTCGTCTAACAAGTCGACAGCGATGATTCTCTTCGCACCAAACAGCCGAGCCACCGCACCACACAACAGGCCAATAGTGCCAGAGCCGAAGATGACCACGGTCTGGCCCGGTCGAACCCTAATCATGCGCACGGCGTGGGCTGCAACCGCCAGCGGCTCTGCAAGGACCCCTTCCTGCAAGCTGATGCCCGGGGGCAGTTTATAGCAGAAATCGGCCGGGATCTTGAAGTATTTGGACAAGCACCCCGAAGTGTCTGGTGGGCAGGCCGCAAACTTCATGTCCGGACAAAGATTGTACAGTCCTTCTTTGCACCTTGAACATGACCGACACGGCCGGCCTGGCTCAATGGCAACATTATCTCCTGGCCTCAAATGGCTGACGGCAGATCCGACGGCGTGGATGGTGCCTGATGCTTCGTGTCCCATCACCAAAGGGTGGGAGGCTGAAACATAGTTGCCGTTGACGCCGCCATGATTCCAGAAATGCACCTTTGGGGATGACTGTCAGTCTCTGCCGTTGGATATCCCAGCGAGTCCACTCACATCACTCCCGCACACGCCCACGAATTTGATCCGCACGATTGCATCTGTCGGCTCTGTGATTTCGGGCTCCGGTCTGTCCTCGATCTTTGCATTGCCAGGACCATATAGGCATACAGAGGGGTTCTTGGATTTTGTTAGTATTGGCTGGCGTCTGTATATGCAAACTGTTGCTCACCGAGGTTGCCATAGAGAGATCAGTGATGCGTCACGGAAGTTGGATGGATGCTTCGCACGGCTAAAGGACTTCTAACCAGGACCTTTGGGACGCGAAGCTTGTCGCCTCCGCGACCCGGACAGGTTGTTTTAACTTGTCATTCGGCCAGCGCATTTCAAGATTGATGCTTCAGCGAATCTGTTGGTGATTGTCACGTTTGTGATGCAGGGTCAATCTATCGGGCCTAGTTGCGCCGTGGATTTTGTCTGACAAAAAGCTCGTCAGAAAACCGGAATATGACTCCAAAGTCACCGCGAAACTGCTACCTCCTCCGCCGACTTCACTTGTGGGTTATTGTCTCTAGAACTGTGGAGACCACGAGGGGTTTCGTCAGACTGATCTATTTTGCCGGCGATCACGGGCAAAGTCTCGCCGATACTGAATACTCATCATTTCCCACTTCGGAGCGTCGTCTGTTTCTCTCTTTTCTCACCAGCACACCTTCATGTCTCGAGCAACGAGTGAAAAATGAGCAGCGACTCTCCTGAAAGCTCTGCGTCCGAGCATACAAGTTCTACAGTGTATGTTGTGACTCGTGAATGCACGGCGAGTTGTGGTTCCGAACAGTAACTGACAGTCTCTGCCAGATGTTTCCTCTGTCGACAACGGAAGACCAAATGTGATCGATCCCTTCCACGATGCGGGTTCTGTGTCAAAGCCAAGGTCGACTGCCGATATGTGGCACAGCCGAAAAAGCGCGGTCTTCGAGCTGGGTACGTGTCCGAGCTGGAGAATCGCCTAGGTGAGCAAGTGTCTGGGTTCTTTCGTGAAAGATATCTGCTAACGATGACCAGAGACTCTTGAGCAGGAGATGCAGCTACTCAAGGACCAGCAGCGAATTCCTTTGCCGGCAATATCTCAGACGCCAGTTGCTCCGGTCGCAACGCCCACAGTAATACCAGCCCCGACACCACAGCAAGTGATCCCATCCCCCGCTCAGAACTCAATCTTCGACACTCCCAGGAGTTCGAGCAGTCACCAAGCCACCCCCAGACGGATACAAACAGAGTCGGATGCTGCGGTGGCAGACCTGATGACACTACCACATGCGTATATCTACACCCTAGCCGACCTGTGGTTCAAAGAGTCTCAACCATGGGTACCTATTCTTACTCGGAATCAGATCCAAAATGCGCTGGGAAGCCTACCATCACCTTTGACACATATTGACGATGTGGTACTGAAAGCGGTGTTGGCGCTTCAGATCAAACACTCCAGTCAGGCGATCTGTTTGGGTTATCATGGACGACTGCGGCTGTCGGAGCACCTTCGATCACAAGTAATCAATGAAGCTTTCTCGAAGCCGTCTCTGAGCTCTCTGCAAGCGCTCTTGGTCATGGCGATTTTCGACTATGGCGCAGACAACATCCCTAGCACATTCAGCTTATTGTCGGTTTGCCGCCGCATGTGCGAGAACATTGGCCTCTTCCGCAAACTATTGAACCAGATGGAAATCGAGAATCCCGCCAAGATAGGTCCACCTGCGATCATAAGCAACTTTGGAGACGAGCTCGCAATCCATCTGACATGGGCGACTCTGGCCCTCGATGCTGCCACGACACTCGGGATCACCTGGCGAGATGTATCAGCCGCACTGGTGGACCACTTGTCCAGTGTGGCCTACGTCAGCTCGCCCGACCTCAAGGACAGTTATCGCAGCCACGTCCATTTGGCGGCGATTGGATTGCAACCTCTGCATACGTTCGTCCACGAGCACGCGCGGGGCAGGTATGACCACTCACCGGCAAATGCGCTTGAGGTGTGCGATGAGATCTATCACAATCTGATGAGCTACGTCCGATCACAGCCAAGTTCGAGTTACACTTTGCTGGCGGACGGGCTGGTCGACTTTGATCCTTATCTGATGCAGACCAGCCTGGTGGCCCACGCGGGGGTGATCATCCTGTATCAACGACTGGTGGAATTCGATGAGAGTTCGCTCCAGAAGGTGCCGGTGCAACGATGTCTACAAGGATGCGAGGACCTGGTGCTGACCATCCAGAGCATCAGCGACGCGGACTGTGAGCTGAGCACACCGGTGATGGCGAGCATGTTATTCGTGGCGGCTCGGTTCAAGTTGATCATGTACCGCCGGCTGCACCGCCCGCGGGAGCCCATGTTCGACTCGCTCATGCATGGCATCAACATGAACGGGCGTCGATGGGAGGTGGCCCGGCGGTTGGACATTGTGCTCCGGGCGGCCATTGTCGAGGTGGACGGTCATAGCAGTTCGGCTTTGCCGGAAGACTTTTGGAATGTGAAGAAGAGCCACTTGGACATTTCAGAGGAATTGAAAGGGTGGGTCGACGGGTACAAACACTCGTTGTATGTCGGGGCGTTGAATGGGCCGTATGCGTGATCGATCCATGATCAGGCTGTGAGTTAAAGGGGGCTCGTTGTCACCTGTTGTTTGTTAGACAGCGTCACTGATTAGGAGATTGGATCTTGGAGAGCTATGCCGTTGTCGGTGTTTATCTAAAGGATTTGTATCCCCGATATCGGCCAGTGATGAGTCTGAACCAATTTCTGCCACGCTGCCACTTTTATACGCGTTAATATCATTTGGATAGCTACGTATAATTCATCCTTGCGATCGATGAACGACGAGGCAGTCGGACGCTCGTGAGTCATGGCATTACAGAGTACGCAGCATCGGGTATAGGTTACCAGGCACTATGAAAAATACCTCGGTCACAACTCGTACTGGATATTAGGTAGTGCGGGGTGAACACCGCCGCACCGCCGCACCCGCTGTATGCAGGTGTCCACTGATCCCTCCGGAAGAGGGCGGATTCAGTCAATACGGCATTGATACGGCATCATTACCGGCCAAAGGTTGCGCTCATTTTCATTATTACCGTATTATTCACCCATTGCGCCCTGCGCCTCATGTTTGCCTCCGAGTCTGCAAGGTAACATCATCGTCAGCATCATCGTTCGTCACAATATCAATGTCGGCTGAATGATATACAACATCTGAGATGGCCTGCTGTCATAAAATCACATCCTCCATCGATCGATCGCATCTCACCACAAGAAAGCCTAGCACTCCGAGCATGACCAGTACCGGCTACCTAAGGTACTCTCTGACCCGGACAGACCCGCGCCGGTTCAGATGGCCGAGATTTCCATGTTTCCATTATTTCTGCACAGCCGGCGGACGGTTCAGGTCGAACAGACTCAGAATAGATTACTTTTTCCCTCCACACCATCCTTCCATCCCGACCCAACCTCTTCAACCTCAGTCCTCCCTGGTGACCTGTTCCCTAATGACCTGCTGACCAATATCGATCCATTCCTTTCTCTCGGGTCCTTATATCCTCATCACTAGCCTGCCGTCTCCGGTAGCCACTCTTTTCTTGGTCCAACGACTTCGTCCATCGCCAGGCCTCAACTGTCTGTCCATCTTACATTAAACGATCGCATTGGCTGAAGTGACACCGTGGACTGTCAGTCTGCATACAGCCTCAGCCTTGCGACAAGAGACTGTCGCCCCCTCTCCCAAAGCGCCGCCTTCTCTTTCGTCCTTCGCCCATCATGATTCCTCCCATCCCGCGACCAGAAGACTATGGAGTCTCTCCGGACAGAGGATTCCTCCCGTCGCAGAATCCTCTCCAATGTCTCCCACATCAAGTCTATGATCGGTGGGAGCGCATCATGAACAATTTTCAGTCGTTGCTGTTGTCCAAGAGACTGCGCACCGTTATAGACAAACTACCCGTCATCCCCGCCGTCCACCTGGAGACCGAGGCTGAGTGGCGGAGAGCATATTCCATGCTGACCTTCATGGCCCATGGCTACATCTGGGGCGGGGAGAAGCCGTCAGAAGTGAGTTGGCGCCACATAACAGAACGCCCCGTTGACGTGAGCTGATCGTTTGTCAGAGATTACCTCCGCCAATAACATACCCTCTCCTGCAAGTCTGCGAACACCTCGAACTCCCTCCGGTGGCCACATACGCCGGCCTGTGTTTATGGAACTTCAAACCACTCTTTCAATCCCAGGGCCTCGTTCTCGAAAACCTTTCAGTAATTTCCACCTTCACCGGTTCGCTGGACGAACAATGGTTCTATTTAATAAGCGTCGCCATGGAAGCAAAAGGAGGACCTTGTATACCCATCATGTTGAAAGCGATTCAGGCGGCACGGAACCACGACGCCGAGATGGTCATCAAATGCTTACAATCATTTGCTCAGACGCTGGACGAGCTGGGCACGGAACTGGTGAGGATGTATGAGAATTGCGATCCTCATGTCTTTTACCACCGGATACGACCGTTTCTCGCGGGCAGCAGGAACATGAAGGATGCAGGGTTGCCGCACGGCGTGTTTTACGACGACGGGAGCAGCCGATCCACGTGGCGACAGTACGGCGGCGGCTCCAACGCGCAGAGCAGTATGATTCAGTTCTTCGACATTGTCCTCGGAGTGGAACATCGACCGACGGGGACCAAGAAAGACGAAACATCCGAGTCCGAAGCCGAGCCGGGAGCCGCGCCCAAGCCTCGACACAATTTCATCCATGAGATGAGACAGTACATGCCCGGTCCTCACCGACGGTTTCTACAGGCAGTCGAATCGGTGGCCAACATTCGCGATTTTGTGGAATCCCACAGATCCAACGGCCAACTCACCATCGCCTACGACGCATGTCTGGCCATGCTGCGGTCGTTGAGAGATAAACATATCCAGATGGTCTCGAGGTACATCATTGTCAAGAGCAGAGAATCTCGCAGTCTCAGCCGGACTCGGCGCGGGAGTAGTCCTGACCCGGTGCCCACGCGAGGGACGGGGATCGCTTCTATCCGATACGGCCGACCTGAGGACAAGGAAAGGGTTCCGAAAAAGAAGATGCGCGGTACAGGAGGAACCGCACTGATCCCATTTCTGAAACAGGCTCGAGATGAGACCGGCGAACCTGCCATTGATGACTGGGCACGCAAACTCCTCATGGGCGGCCGCCGCACTGAAGCCGATGCGGAAATCGCCTTCGAAAGCACGCTCACCGCGGCCGAGTTGGATGCCGATGAACCTCAGATCGTCGGTCTTGCTGGCGCTTGGGATATGGAAGATGCGGGCGGTGGACTCTGTGCTTATTGAAAACTTTCGCTTTTCGCACAGTTAAACTCGGTCGGTCTCGCGCCGCTGTGACTATAAAGAAGTCTCCGCGCCAGTGACCATAAAAGAAGCTCACTTCTTGGTTTTGTTAGCGATGCATATTTACCTTAATAGATGCCTAGGTCCGCAGCCTAGGGGAAAAGCCGGTTTCAGAACGGCCAAAACATTCCACTGGATCCCGTTGATGACAGTCTAAAAGCACAGCCATCGGTATTCCTTGTACCATTTCACTATACCTATTGCAATACCAATACCAGGATTTTGTTGTTTATTCTGTTACATTTCAGCCTCGTCACCTCCTGCTGCCCGCAGGTAGTATATAACTCGCCATACAGAAGGGCAACTGTCGCCGAAGGGGAGGGGGTCGGAAGACTAGTCACGTGATAGCCTTCCGCAGGACGCGAGAGTCACGTGAGACTCTGTGTCAGTCCAGTCCCGTGACGTAGTATGAGCTCTCACCAGTTTGGGGAATGAAGGGGTGGGGTCTGTTCATGTCGACGTCGGATTGTCTTTCGAATCTTCCTTTCCGCTAGACATATATTTCTTAAAGAGCTGGTCTTTCTCTCTCTCATCTCTATCTCTGTAAGAGACCTCGTTGCACCTCTGAAGGCCTGAAACATAGAAGCGAGAACGAGAACGAGAACGAGAACGAGAACGAGAACGAGAATTTAGAACGAGAAACATGCAAAATGGGACATAACCTGTTCAGAAAGGTATTCATCTGTCCATGAGAGGGAGGTCCAATGTGCGGCTTGTATCGAATTTGGGGCCTGCTCTTTTTCTTCCTTTTTGACCTTTTTGGTCTTCAGACTTGAGACTTGGAATTTCGCTTGAACGATGAGTTGTGGACCCTACGATCGAAAGGCTTGCTTTTCTTTTTTTTCTTGGGTATCTGCTTCGTCGAGTCACAGACTACATTGTCGACGGATGCTGAGAGGAGGTCACTGAGACCTCAAGCCAGGGACTGGGTTTTTTCTTCTCTTTCTTTTAGACACCTGTTGACGAACCTCTCTCTCTCTCTCTCTCTCTCTCTCTCTCTCTCTCTCTCTCT